AACTCGCCTTCTTTTTTGACTTTATTTTGTTGGGTTTGTGGTTGGGCGCCCCCCCCCCCCCCCTCACCCGACCCCAACCCGCATACCCGCCCCCCCCCCCCCCCCCCCCACCACCCCCCTCCTCCCTATTATCCCTTGCCCTTGCCCTCTCTCCTGAATTAGAAACTCTCCTTCCAACTTCCGTCAAACCCACTGGCAGTTCCAAATATACCTTCCATACTCTATTATAGATGCAAGAAATCTGCGAGAAGACGAAAAACCCCTCATAGCCTTCCAATGCCGAGGCATGCCGAGGCCGACAAACTCAGATAGGCCACCGAGAGGGAGATACCATGGCCGTCACTTGCGAGCTCATGGACCTCGCCGATGAGCTGTCCTCGGGCTTGCGTGGACGAGGAATCGGTACTTCCTGCCCTTTCATTGCAAGGTCGCTTCCTCAGGTGTGTTCCTCCCTGAGATAAGGGGTGGGTCTGCGGCCGTGACGCGGTTCCATGTTCAATCTGCAGATACTGAAATGTGTAAGTTATGCTGGACAGAGTCAGCCGGCCTTGGAAATAGGGAGGAGCTGACGACGGTAGCAGAGTCATCCAGGGTTTCCGGCCCTTATGCTAGGTAGTCCGGTGGTCGTATCGAAAGGGGCGCGGAAGAAAACCAACGCCGTCGGGGCATCTTCGTTCAACGACGGACCGAAGCGTGCCCATCGAATGGGACTCGATACAGCCGCGAAGACGGAAACATACAACAATGCGTTCAAGCACCAAGTCAGGCACACAAGTCACCAGTAACAGCAAGCAATACACCCTTTTCAACAACGGGTTGGTTTTGTAAAGACTTGAATATTTGTCATTTCCCTCCCCCAGTCTTCTACAGAGCCGAAAAGGGGGGGGGGGGGGGGGAAACCAATTAGACAAAAAAAAAGGTCCATTTTAAGGTATATAAAATCCTTTGTTGGCGACATCCCAACCGCTGAAAAATGAGGTTTTGTAAAAAAAGGGAAAGAATGAAGGATAATAATAGTAAAAAAAGAGAGAGCCAAGCTCGGGGTGGATGATACTAAGACAAGAACAAAACGAAACGAAACAAAACAGAGTGGTCTATGTAAATGAAGTTCCATATGCCCTTGGACTAAGTTTCAAAACAACAGAATGTTCATCCTTGCTGAGAGGGAATGCCGTCGGGCTCTTTGAAATAAAGAACACCCATTAAAAATATCCTCGGATGGGGGTGGAGAAAACAAGCAAATGGCAGGCAGATTACAAGATTGGGGTGGGAGTAACCCAAAGTTAAGATGGTAATGGTATGGTATGTGGCCACTGGGGTCCCGTTCTAGGCCACCAAGCGAGGCAAGACCTTCCATCGCTTGCAGGAGACCATCCTCATTACAGGAGCGCCTCGCGGAGGAAGCCATTGAGCTGCTTCGCCTGGGAAAGGTGTTAGCTAGGCTGTCTGTCTGTCTGTCTGTCTATCCGACTGAAAAAACTTACCAGATCACCATGCATCATGGAGAAGTGGTTCCCGGGCATATGCCTGAAGGACATCTTGTCGGCGTCGAGGTACTCGTCCCACCTGTTTGGCCCAAAGTCGGACCTGTTGTCGAGCAGGAACAGCGCGTGGCCCTTGGGGTAGGGCTCGGGCCGCGGGTCCGTGGGCAGGTTGCACACGCCGTCCTCGCACCAGATGGCCGTGACGTTGGGGCAGCGGTCCTTGGCGATGGGCTCGGCGTCGTAGTTGCTGAGCGCCGTGACCGAGGCAGCGAAGTGCGGGAGCAGCCAGGGCGGGATCTTGTCGCCCTTCTCGCCCAGCATGCCGATGGACGCGAACCACGCGTGCAAGCCCTGAGGCAGCGGCTCGATGGTCACGGGGCAGGGCGCGTCGATGATGATGAGCCGGTCCACCCTCTCGCCGGCCTTGGTGAGCTGGTCGACGATCTCGTACGCGATCACGCCGCCCGCCGACCAGCCCGACAGGCTGTAGGGCCCGGCCGGCTGCCGGCGCTTCATCTCCTCGATGAACTTGGCCGCCATGCCGTAGACGCCGCAGTTGTACTCCTCGGGGGTCTTGAGGAAGGGAGAGAAGAGCCCCCAGACGGCCCAGTCACCGCCAATCTCTGCAATCTCGACGTACGAGGTGGAGGAACCGCTGCCGTCCGGAATCATGAACAGGTTCTTGGACGCGGTGCGGTGATTGCCCGAGAGGAGGAGAGAGGTAGCCTTCCGGTGCGGCCAGTTGTCGACAATGTGGCCAGGCCTCGGAGGCTTGGTAGGACAGGGCTCCTCGAGACCGATCCTGGGGTGGACAGGTGCAGCCGGCGCCAGTGCGGGTTTCGCCGCCGCCACCTTGGGAGCCGACGGCCGCTTCACCGCGGTGGTGATGCCGAGAGCCCTCTCGACGTCCTTGAGCGACGGGTTGGCGACGAAGAGGTCGGACGGGATGTTGAGGCCCGTCTTCTCGCGGAGCGCGCCCAGGATCGAGAGGCTCATGAGCGAGTCCATGCCGAGGTTGGCGAGATCGGGGGCAGCCTGGACCTCGTCGACATCGACGCCCATCTCGCTGGCGATGGTCTCGCGCACAATGGCCTGGAGACCGTCGGTGCCGGCGCTGCTGCCGTCTCCCTTGACCGAGCAAGTGTCATCCTCGGCGAGGGGCGTTGTGATGTCCGAGTCTGACCCCATCTCGGGGGTGGAGTCGGAGCCACTCGAATCGCCCGAGTCTCTCCAGTCCATGCTCTTCTTGCTGCCGGCGGTCTCGAACTGGGCAAGGTAGCCCTTGAACGAACCGATGGTCGGGAAATCGACAAAGGCATTCGAGCTCAGGTCCAGCTCGAGCTCTTCACGGATCTTGCCGCTGACGGTCAGCGACATCAGCGAGTCGACACCCAGATCGGTAAAGGCGATGTTGTCGGCAAGCTCGTCGTGACCCACGCCAACCTCGCGGGCGAGGATGTCCATGACCTCGGAGATGACGCTCTTGAGCTTCTGGTTGACCTTGGCGATGTTGCCGGGGGTGACGATCTTGGTCTCCTTGACAGGGCTCGCCTTCTTGGCTGCCGGGGCGGCCGGCCGGGCAGGAGCAGCAGCAGCACCAACGGCATAGGCTCCGCGGGGGGGCAGCACCATGTTGAGGACCTTGCGTGGGATGGCCTGGAACTTGAGGTCGCCGCACATGCCGATGATCTTGTCGCCGTCGAACACGTAGGCGTCGCCGGCCATGACCTTGCTGCCCTTGACGGGCTGCATGCGGATGTAGCTGCGGTACTCCTTGTTGCGGTCTGGAACCTCGGTGAACCTCAACGAGCCCCACCCGTGAGAGATGAAGACCTGCTCGCGCGAGTCGACCGCATCGGTGCCGTTGATGATGAAGCCAGAGATGTGGCACAAGCTGTCGATGTGATAGGGGCTGAAGAAGAACGAGCCGTCCTCCTCCTTGGTCTGGAAGCGGATCTTGGCAGTGGCCTCGCAGGTCTCGCTGTCAAGGATGACCTCTTCCATGCCCTGGTACCGGCGGTTGTAGTCGACGAGGGCGCCAAACAGCTTGTAGGCAAGGCCGCGGCCAATCTTGGAGGCCTGGCCGGCCCTCTCGGCCACCATCAGGGCGTCAATGCGCGACTTGATGAGGTAGGCAACGCGGTCAAAGTCGTTCTGCCACTCCTCGACGTCGTTGAAGTAGACCTTGCAGGTGGCGTGGTCGGTCCTCTTGGCGCCCTCGCCAGTGTGGAAGACCAGGTCTGCAGATCCGAGCTTGACGTTGGCGGTGACGGTGAGCCTGAGGATGTGGCTCTTAGCCGTGTCGTCGAAGATGAGAGTCTTGGGCACCTCCATGTGAGCGACGTTGGAGCCGATGTTCTTCGCCTCCGGGCGCACAAGCTTGTAGGCGTAGTCGCAGACGGTCATTGCCATGTCGCCGTACAGCGACGACGGGCAGAGCGGTGCGCCGTTGACCATGTGGCCGGAGACGGCGTGGCGGAGCTGTTCTTGGCAGAGGTCTGACTCGATCTCCACGATGGCCACGTCGTCCTTGACCTCCTCTCGGATGATCTTCTGGACTGTCGTCGTCGACAGCTTGGGCTTGGCAGGAAGCAGCAGCTTGGGATCGGCCTTTGCAACACGGTTCTTGGTGAGACACCAGTCGCCCTCGTATTGCAGCCAGTACGTCTTCTCATCGAAGGAGTAGCTGGGCAGGTCCAAAAGCCGGACCGACTTGCTGAAGTCCCGGTGGAACTCGTTGAAGTCGATGTTGAGACCGGCGGTGTGAAGAGTGCAGAGACTGGCAGTGAGGGTCTTGTAGGACTCTTCCTTGCGACGGAGGGTCGGCACAGCGATGGTGGAGGCCCCGAAGGCTGCCTTGACCATGCCGGCGCAGATCGGGTGAGGACCGACCTCAAGCCAGACAGTCTTCTCGTCGATGGCGCCCGTCTGCTGAGCAGAGATGAGGCCACCGAGGAAGTTGACGGGCTCGCGGGCGTGTCTTCGAAGGTACTCTGGGTTGATCGGCTCGTTCTCGAGCAGCTTGCCAAGCAGCGGTGAAATGATGGGGATCTGCGGTGTCATGAAGCGCACAGAGCGGGAGATGTTCTCGAACTCGTCCAGTATGGAATCGACCTGGGCGGAATGGAAGGCGAAGGGCACCTGGAGCTGCGTGCACTTGAAGCCTGTCTCGCCCAGGTGCTGGGCGATCTCGGCGATCTGGCTCGCCGCGCCGCTGAGGACGGTCTCGCGAGGGCCGTTGACGCAGGCAACGTTTACATGGGCAGCCCGGGCACCGACGGCCTCCATGACCGTCTCGACGGAGCCCTGGATAGCAAGCATGGCGTGGGTGTTCGCGGTACACTTGTTGACGAGGAGTCTCGCACGAGCACCGACAAGGTAGATGGTGTCGCTGGCGGAGAGAACGCCTGCCACGTTGAGGGCCGGATATTCGCCAAGGCTGTGTCCGAGGACAACATAGGGCTTGATGCCCCACGAAGCCCACAGGCGGGCAATCGCCATCTCGAAGCAGGCCAGGCCCAACTGGACGACAACCGGAGAGAGTTTGGTAACGTCAGGTTCGCTCCCGTCGATCAAGGGCAGGAAAGATGGGAACCCGTGGATCCTAGCGATGCTGTCAAACTCGTCGATGGCCTGTCGGAAGACGGAGAAGTGTGCGTAGAAGTCCTTGCCGAGGCCGGCGTACTGGGAGCCCTGCCCCGTGAACATCAGAGCCACCTTAGGCTGTTCAGGCAGGACCGGGACAAAGTTCTCCTTGAGGCGGTCGCTGATGGCCTTCTTGGCCTCGGGGAGACTCGAGGCAGCGACATTCATGCGCCAATAGTGCTGGATGCGACGAGCAGCCGTGGTGTAGGCAAGATGGGAGACCGGAGTCTCGGGGTTGCTCTCAATCCAGGACACGATCCTCTCGGCGTTCCGGATCATGGCAGCCTTGGATTTTCCCGTGACGGTGACGATGTGCGACGTACGCGGATCAGCAAGAGCCGGCTTCAGCTTGGGGCCATCCTCGATCAGCAATCCCGTGTTGCCGCCAGCAGCGGAGAAGTTGTTGACGAAGATGCGTCTAGGCTTGCCATCCGAACGGCGCAAGGGCGTCATATGGAAGGCGATATTGACATTGCGATCCGAGAGATCCTTGGGGAACGTCTTATTGATGACAGATCCCTGCTTAATGCCGACGTGCGGCGGGATGGCGTTCTTCTGCAGCATGAGCAGCACCTTGATAAGAGCTGTCACGCCCGAAGCTGCCTCTCCGTGTCCACTGTATTGCAAGATTAGCGGCTGCCGCGGAGGTATTGGGTTGCTCTGATTATCGAGACTTACACGTTGGCCTTGACCGTTCCAATATACAACGGCCGGTCCGCCGGCCGCTTCCTGTTTGCGGGAGCAAACACATCTGTCACTGACTTCATTTCGGTCCCGTCGCCGGCCTGGGTTCCGGTGCCGTGCATCTCAACGTAATCAACGTCCAACGGATCGACACCCGCCTCGTCCAGGATAGAGGTGGACAGTATCGACTGTGTCGGGCCGTGAGGATGGGTGATTGAGATGGCATCGGCGGAATGGTTGGTCGCCGTGCCGAGGATGACAGCTAGGACGTTGTCCTTGTCTGCAATCGCATCCTCGAGACGCTTGACAATGACCGAGGCACAGCCGTCGCCCCGACAGTAGCCATCAGCCTCGTTGTCGAAGGTGGCGCAGGGCCCCTTCTTGGAGAGGAACTGTCCACGGCTGAGGCCGGAGAAAATGTCGGGGTTCGTCATGCATGAGAGACCACCCACGATGGCCGTGTCGCAGTCACGAGCCCACAGGGCGGAACATGCGACGTTCATCGCCGCAGCACTGGACGAGCAGGCCGTGTCGATGTTGAGACTCGGCCCTGAGAAGCCAAAGTGGTAATTGATCCTTCCGGGCCCGAAAGCGCGGACACTGTTGAAGGGAGAGAGTGAGTAGTTAGCATCCCGTTTCCCAAGAAAATAATGGGGTTATCTGCTTACCCTCCTGTAATGAAGTAGGTGTCCACCTCCTGGGCGGCGTTGATCTCGCGCCAGTCGTCCGACGTCTGGCCGTAGAAGGTGCCCACCCTATCGAGTTTTGTGGACGGCGTCCTGTTGGGGACATAGCCAGACATCTCGAGAGCTTCATAGGCCGTTGCCAGTGCCATCCTCTGCATCGGGTCTGTCTGATACGCCTCGCGAGGAGACATGTTGAAGAAGCGCGGGTCAAAGAGGCCTGGATTCTCAATCCAGCAACCGTACGGGGTATGGCTGGTGTTCATAATCCTGCCGCTGGGGTCAACGTGCGTCTCCACATTGAACCGGTCCTTGGGGACGACGCGGTGGACGTCGAGACCCTTTGAGAGCAACTCCCACAGCTTCTCGTGGGTAGCAGCGTCCGGGAACCGCCCAGCCATGCCAACAATGGCCAACTTGGCTCGCCCTCTCGACCCGTGGTTTCCAATGGCGGATGAGATACTGTGTTCACTGATTGGCTGAGGCTTCCGAAGGGTGACCTCGAGATGCGTTTGTGATTGTATGAGGTTGGCGAGGGTGGCGGCATTCTGTGTAGGGCCGAGCGAGAGAATCAGGCACCTGTCTCCCTGGAAGTTGCGTGCGAGGCTGAGACACCCATCGAGGACGTTGTTGAACACCAACGTCTCGTTCAGGATTTCGAAGACGACAGCCTTGAGCAATGGCAGCGTCTCGGTTTCGGTGAACCTGGTACCGGTGGCACACGACAAGACGGCGGACCGCGGCTTGGTAGCGACGATGGAGTCGAGGAACTTTTCGTCGTCAAGACGGAGTATCTTCTCGAGGTCGCTGTCGTAGTGGAGGTGGGCGGCATGGTACGGGCCGTAGACCGGAATCGATGTTGGCCTATGCGGGATGACCCCGCTACTCGACAAGGCTTTCAATGTCGTGGGCGGTCCGGAGATGGCGATACTGTTGACGGATGTTGCGCTTACATATGCGCGGCTGGCAGTTGGGATCCCCTGGTTCGGATTAGCAGGGCAGTCAAGAACATATGGGGGAGGATCTGTATCTCTCTCCACCCCCGACAACCAGTTGGGCTCCGATGTAGTCTCACATTCTTCTGATGGAAATCCTCAAGCAACTTCGAGACCTCGGCCTTTCCGATGCCAGCATAGATGTGCGTCCAACTTTCGGATTTTTCAAAAGCTGGGTTTAGCCTCTCGGCAAGGTTGTGGACGTATGAGCCAGTCCTGAAGGCCAGTAACACGACCTGGACGGCGACTGGGACGAGCGCCGACAGGGACGGGGTGGTGGCAACCGCCGAGGCGGCGAAAAGCCCCGAGCAGAGACCAACAAGATAGGTCTGATCATGGCTCGTGACATCCTCGTGGTTCTTCTCTGCATGGCTGGTCGATAGTCAGTATCGATCCACAACCTCCTCGCCCCTCTACGGCGTAGGTTCCCACAACGGAGGTTTTGACAGAAGAACATACTCGATATAATGCGCCAACTGCGAGACGCAGAGCAGAGCGCCGTCAACTCCGGGGTGCTTGAGTTTCTGGGCATGATACCGCTCGTTCAGCTGCTGTAGGTTACGGAAGGTGGGCAGCTTTGAACGTTCCAGTTTCGCCAGGCCCTCGACTTCGTTCCTCAACGCCTGAGAAGCTTGCTCGATGAAGCCCTTTGCTAGATAGCCCTGATTTCCTCGGCGGAAGAAATCGGCCAGGAACCCATGCGTGTCAAGTGACTGGTCTCCGAAGAGGAGAAATGTCAACTTGTCAGCCATTTTGGGTTGTTGTCGACATATATCCCCGTTGTATGGTTAACCCAGATGGTATGGTCTAGGGGGAGACTGTCTCTCGACTTTATATATATGAACAGGGGCAGCGCATGGCGCTACATGAGCCAAAAATACGCACCTCAGGCCCTTCCGCCCGGCATTGTCTCTCATGTGAGATGTACTATCTCCGGGAACTTGGGATCCTCATCTCGAGGGAGTGTGCGGATCAAGTGTGCGACGGCATTGTACCCTCACCCCCTCCATCCCTCCGTCCTTTTTTACCGGTGGAGAACAGTCCGGTGCTGCTAGCCTTCGGTCACCGAGGAGCCATGAGAGATAATCATCGAGTTTCCGCTTTTAGAGTGGTCCACGCCCATAGGAGGGAACGAGGGAGGGGAGCCATGTACCGCGAGTCGGGAATTGCATGGCTTGCGATACGCGCAGGGGATGTGTTCGAAGGCCGCCCCTGCCATGTAACCGGGAACTTGCAAGCAAAGTGGCATGTTGATTATTAACTGCGTCCGGACATCCTCCCAAGGAACCGCCCATCAGCATACGCTAACAGGGTTGGGCCAAAAAGCTTATCCCAAGGAGCTACCCAAGATTCGGAGAGCCCTCAGACCAGGCACCCCCCCCCCCCTCCTTCTGGGATGGGATGAAGTCATTCGAAACCGTCGAGATTGGAAATACACCATACACAACGGACTTCATGAGGTCAGCAAGTCTTGATCTGGACGGGGACCACGAAAACTCCATTTGCCTTCCTAGGCCGTTGAGCAAGATGACGGCATGTCTGATACAGAGACAAACCAACTTGCACGCCTATGGGGGTACTGACACCCCTTCGCGAGAGGAAAAAAAGACCTCGGCTTCTGCAATTGGAAGAGTCCGGCGCATTTTCCCATCGTAGGTGATCCAGTTTGCTCCTGGAGGGCTTGAGTTGTGGGTCACGGTTGACTCTCTGGTCTCCGGACTTTTCGGGGGGTTCGTGGGGGAGGCCGAGCATATGCGCACCACAGAGGCCCTTGAAATTGCTTCAGGACGCGGTTCGCCCCGGTCATCAGCCAATTGAAAATGGATTTAGCCGCAAACTCAAGAAATCTTGTCATTTCTGAGACGAGATTCGCAGCTCGACTACTTTCGATCGTCTCTTGTCTGGACGGAGTTGGCTGAGGGAACAGCGCAGGCAGGCGAGCGAACGGATGTCGTCTGTTGCTAGACTAGAAGAGGTGTGCTGAGCCTCATCCAAAGCGGCTGCACGGGCGCCCGCTTTAACTCGCCATCCCATAAGCAAGCCACTTGACTTGGGCTTGTCTCATTGGAAAGTCACGGCAATGCAAGGGGGGGCCAACCTTGCGGCTGGCCCGCCAGAACGACTGGCCAGGAAGTTAAGGATGATCTCTTAAACTGACAACTTTAAAAATGCCCGCGTCTTCCCGTTAAGGGCTAGCGTAGGGCCAGGAGATGGGATCCGGCGCGTTGGGCAGGCCTGCTTGCTCCCATCCGTTCGATCCCGATCTGCTCTGTCAAAATCGTGGCATGCATGGTGCCGAGGGGTGGACCAGGGAAGCAAGATGGAATGTGGCCGTTGATCAGTGGGGGGAACAAAGCCCTCCCTCTCCTTCAAGCCACCCCATCCGAGGCCAAGCAGAAGGGCCACCCCCTCCCTCCCAGCGGGCCGGGGGCCGTGTTCATTCCATACGATGGCTGGGGCAATGTCTGGGACGAGCTGGGAGCAGGCAGGCGGCTTGATAGCAGGGCCGCAGGCGACGGATTAAACCATGATTACCAGTCGCCAATCGCGGGTTCCCCAGTACTACCGGCCGCTATCCCCCCGCATGATCCATGACCGCTTGGCCGGTTTACCAGGTTGTGGGAGTTCATATACCGCCTAGGCAGGTTTATTTGTGTCGCGCCCGCACTGCGGACTGCCAGGCACACGACGCCAATTTGGCCGTTCAGCCGAGCCCCCCGTAGCACAAGAGGTCTATGAGGGAATAGTACATGTGTACATGTGTACGTGTGTACATAGATGCGTACATACTTTGCAGTATGTGCAAGTGTCCGCGGCTGAGGGGGCGTGCCAATATGAAAACAGCAACCCCCCAAGGGCTCGCCCATCCCATGGGACGGAGTCAATATTGGATGACTGCGCTTCGTACTCCCCTATGCTCGTCCTACGGTGACGGCGCCGCCTGCCTCATTCTGATGCCGTTGCTGCCGGAGGAGCTCATATCCTGTTCCGAGCTCAGATTGCGAACCCTCTATCCTGCAGCAGACATGTGGCCACGTCCCTGCAGGCCAGCATCGTTGCTGACAGCAGTCGGGAACCGAGGTGGAGGTGTTGACGTCGAACATCAAACCCCGTAGACGCAAAGGATGTTCGCTCTTGGTAAAACTAAGCGTCATTGGCTCGTAATACCGCCGTGACAGAGACCTTCAGCAATGGTTGTGGGTAAGGGGAAATCTGCACAAATTGCTAATCCGCTGGAGACTATCCGCCGTGGGAGAGAACATGTAATCCGGCCCGCGCGGAAATGGTATCTATGCTGTGACAGCCGGTAGCCAGCTGGTCTTGCTGCTGTGTTGCTGTCCATGTTGCCAGACGCTATTAAGGGGTCCCTCACCTCATACAATCCGCATTAGGAACGACCCACATTCCCTGATCTTGCATTCTGGGCTGGCCTTTCCACGAGATCAAGATCAGTCCCGGTCCCGGATGGTCGAGATCCAATGTGCTCCAGTAGGTCCCTAGATGGATGCGGCGAACCCCGGTTGACGATATTCTAGACCACGACGCCACCACCCGTCTCACCAGCCTCAGCCGGCCAAAGTCGCCAGACAGTCATCTGACTAAGCCTCTCCTCCCTCTCCATCATCCCTGCTCGCTCATACCAGAATACCAGGATCGTTCTCTTTGGGCTCTGTATTGGCCCGGACACTCGCTGTGACATGCCTGCACATCATGCCCACGTCAAAGCACAGTCGGATCCTCTGGGACCAGACCGGGTTTAGATCGGCCAAGCAATTCCAAATCCAGGCATATCTTGTTGGATCTCGAGGCGAACCTTTAGGTTTGTAAAACATAAGCCATGATTGTCCAGAAGAGCTAGACCGGGGTCTGACCTGCGTCGAAACCGCAGTAATGGTGACTTTCTCTGGAGCTGATACGGCAATCTAGCCTCAACAACCCAAGCCCCAGCGCCGGACATCCGGTACTCTTACCGCATCTCGGCCCCTCCGAGTCCCGCAAGTGGCGGAGTGGACTCACCCTCACGCCGTGCTCTTCGTAGCAAGCCTCGATCGAGAACCTCTGAACCGATATCGCTGGATCGGGGCACATGGATTTTTTGTAATTGAGCCAAATAGAGCTGCGGCCCCCGGGCCTTCTGCTTCCCGGGGCGGGTTTTCGTCTCCCCTGGTACGCTACACGAGCTAGACGAGTCTCTCGTATTGCGGTACCCTTTTTGTCCTTGGCGATCGCATGTGATCAAGGGCGCCCCTTCAGCCTTCCAGCACGGTCACAGCCCCTTTGGGCTGGGAGCTGTGGACCAAGGTTGGCCCCGGTCATGGACGACATCCACACAGCAGGGGACGCAGTCCTTCTCCGGCGGCGCCAGGTCCTCGGATCTCCACTGGAACCACAGCAGCTAGAATGTAGCCCCGGAGCATGGTTTCCCTGTCGTTCCTTCCAGTTCTATGCTGTGCCCAGCCCGCCTAGTGAGAATGTGATGATTTCAACATGTATGACTCGGTGCTTATTCCATTGGGCTGGGAATCATGGCGAAACCCTCGCTCGTCCACGTGGCGAACAGGATATTCAATCCCTCATAAGCACTCCTTATCGAGCTGCCTTGCCCTGGGGGCCAGGGTGGGCGTGGTAAATGCTGACAATATCTTCAGTATCTCTGATATCTCTAACCGGAGACAGCACGGATCATGTCCGAGGTCACGTCAATGACCTGGAAGTACGGAACCTACTACTACAGTGTATGGCGTAGATAGATGTGGGTTTTTACTCTTATTGGCCTACCTATCCCGCCGAAGAAGAGCCTCATTTCGTCATCCTGAGCGAAGAGCCACATCGTTATGTCAGTATCACCTAAGCAACCGCAGGCAGAAGACATGTCTACGAGTGGTTTGATTTGGCTGCTCCCTTTACGTTGTAATCAGCTCACGCCTCAGCGGCTCAGCTTTGGAAAGGAGTTAGGTTCAGCGTCGGTGATGCATACGGGGCGAGTCAAGTTTCTGCCAGCCATGAACGCATTCAAGCTAACGCACCTACCCGGCCTCAACTCCAGTGGATCTAACCTCTGCTACTGCCTATATGCCAACCCGTTCCACTCCCCTTTTATAGCGTGTGGACACGCTTGATCAGGTCTTCTCGACTCCTGCCTCCCTGCCATCACCCAATCATCACGCATGTTACACTTTTGCCAAGGAAAAGGAGCCAAAGTAATGCAGGCTGACACGACTTTGTCAAGATCCGTCCGTCCTGAGGTGCTACTATTCCCTGTGAATGTAACGTGATAACATCTAGCCCCTTTTTGTCGAATCCCATGTCGTGAATTCGTGAAATCGCAAAATGCAGTCTTCAGCGCAATCACACAGGGGTAGACCCAGTTGCCATCACAACCAAACGGAAGAGGTTAGGAAGGAGTTGTCCACCAAAATCGCCCGCCCGGCCACGCCTAGATCAGGCGATGCGGGAACCCTTCTCGCCGCCTCATCTGCGGCGTAGTATTAGGCCCCCGTCACTGCATCGCGGTCCACTCATTTCCCGACCAGACAATTAACCACACTTGTACCTTGCGCAGGCAACCAACATCTCCGGCCTGACTACGAGATAAATAGTTCACGCATCCCCCAGAAATAGGGCGTACAGATATGGCCCTACAGCCGAGACTAGTCCATCTCCCGTGCTCACTCCGTGACCGCCCTCACCTCTTCCCAACCAGCAATTTGCGTAGCCGCGGACAATGCACGGTGATGTTGTCCACGAGCACCTCGACACAGCGTACCACCCATCTCCGGTCCCATTCCACAGCCTACCTAAGACGGCACGCCCTTGGGGGGTGGGGAAGGGGGGCGCAGACATCCATCCATCCATCCATCCATCCCCCAAGTCCAGCCTCAGCCGCTAGGGATGCGGGACTCGGCATGAGACTGGCATCCGGGCCCCCGTACTGGGCGATCCGGCTCTCCCGCCGATGACCTCTTCAGGACAGGGGCTTAGACCCCGCCCCAGTCTTGGACCTCGTACGATGGCGTCCCTTTCCTGCCCCAGTGACATGTAACCCTGCACTCCCTCCCCGCGAGTAGAATAAAGGGAGTGACAACTGTTTCCCCCCTTATTTTTTGGACGGCACAACGTCTACAGTGGAACCTTGGGACCACCTCTCCGTCTCTGGGTCGGTGCCGTTAGTCAACACAGGGATATAGGTATAGTACCGCCCGCCCGCGGCGGCCATCTCACGGCAGTAGGAGAAGAAAGAGATGATAAGGGAAAAGGATAGCTATAGAAAGGGTAGAAAATAGAGGGCACAGCATTATTCAGAGTCCTCCAAGGAAATTTGGAGTCGCCCTCTTTTCCTGCGGCCTGGAACATGCACCGCTCCGTGTCAAGTCTGCGTCGGGAGCGAGCGAGACAGTGGTCGCCAGCCATCCCAACCTCCGCCTAACCTGCCTACCCATAGCCAAGCAACCGCCGCACACCCGTGCCCAACCAGCGATGGTCGTGGTTGAGGCCCTGACCGGGGGCCCGCTGCTCGAAGACCCTGTTTTCTGTGGCTGGGATGTAGAGCCAGCGCGGCATATTGCGTAAGTTTGAGCGGTTTTTTGGGGCACCACCCAATGCCGGCGGGCGTAGTTGCTTTTGAAATGTGGAGGAGGAGGATGGCGAAGAGAAAGGGGGAAGTGTATTTTTTTCTTCTAGATTCCATCTTGGAGGTGATAGTTTCCCTTGTGGGTTTGAGCGGAAACCCGCCAATGCACAGTACCATACATGATATATATCGACCGGGTGACGCACACCGCACCATGTGGTTTCTTGTTGTCCTTATCGTTGATCCTTCTCTCTCTCTACCTACTCGAAGTTTCTCGCGTTAGTTATGAATATTCTTTCCTGATGTCTTTCGATACGACTGGTTATTTTGCCTTTGCCGTGCAAACACCCAGTTGTTTATGACACCCACGCCACTCCCATGCCATATTCTATATCCCATCGACACCAACAGTCAGCCTCGTTCACTCTTTTGGCTCTTGCCGCCTAGGTGGTAGCGCGGGCTGGGTGGTCCTCGCCCGTGGTCCCCCTTCCCACGAATGCATCACCATTCTCCCGATCTATCGTCCCCCGTCTGGCAAAGTGGCCGACCATAACCCACAAACCTGGCATATTCAGCATACCTTACGTTGCTTGGCACAAAGTCATCAGTCGGTTCAAGACTCATATATTTGCACCAGATTCACAGATGTCTCACACTCGTTTTATTCCCAGCGAGACATAGCTGACATATACACATATACACGAGCCTCAAATTACCCCAAGCACACCACCCCAATCCCCCCCACGCCTCCTTTTTGCAATTCATTTCTGCATACCCTCGTTTCTTCATGCACCATTTAACATCAGGCACACAAAATCATTCCCATTTCATTAACGTTACTGCTCACCAAACCACCCAAACCCCCCATCCAGTCTACACTTACAGCAGTCCAGACCATAGAGGAGGGGGGAAAAACCAGCAGAAAAGCTGGGCGAAAGAAATGCACCCCAAGAGCCGCGAAGCGAAGCGAGAGAGAAAAAAAAATAGACAAGGTCAATGCTTCCCCCGCCTTGGGCATGCCAGTTAGAAGAGAAAGGAAGGGAGGGAAGGAAATGCACGTCTCCACACGAGGGCAGGCCGGTTGGTTGGTTGGCTTGCAAGGAAGCCTACGGCTACAGATGCTTCCTCACGACGCGGGGCCGGGTGGGAGGGGCGAAATACAGGGCGCTGTTTTTTGGAGAAAGAAAGAAGACGAGTCAGTGGTGAGGTTCTGAAGACCGAAGAATGGTCAAACTCGGGAAAAGAAGGGGGGGCCGTCACTCACCCGTTATAAACCGGGTCCGGGTCCGTGTTGAAGCCGGAGAAGTTGGTGAAGTTGGCCGTGTTGCCCCCGGCGTTCCCGGAGAAGGGGATGCTCTGGATCTGGCAGTTGTTGATGTGGTCGGCCGGGAAGGCGAGGCCGCGGAGCTTCTCGGGGGCCTCGATGATGGTCGCGGTCAGGCCCATCTCGACGTGCCACTCGATGTGGCAGTGGAAGAGGAAGACGCCCGGGTTGGTGGCCCGGAACCGGAGCACGGCATACGAGTTGGCCATCACGTGGACCACGTCGCGTCTGGGCGGCTGCGCGTTGCCGGAGCCCCGGCCTGGCCAGATGCCGGTATCGCTGTGTGGCCTGTCCAGGACCTGGAATTGGTGTCCGTGCATGTGGAAGGGGTGGATGGCTGGGTCCTTGTTGTTGACCACAATCTGGACAACCTCGCCATAGGAGACAACGAAAGGGTTCACGTCGCCGTAGACTGCAGGGTTGGTGTTGGAATCTCCCGTGGTTGCCGCCGTGTAGAGTGTGGGCACCTTCTGAGGGATATAGGGCTTGCCGTTGAAGCAGGCGCTGGGACCTGTTAGCGGGAGGCGGCACGCGAGATTGCTCTGAGATGTAGGTAGTCAAGGAAAGTTGAAGGACATACCGAGGAATGCCGTTCTTGTCGAAACAGAACTCAAAGTCTAACACGATGGTTGTAGTCACTGGCTCATACCTTGCCACTCCATCAAGGGGTTGAAAGTGCGCATCGTCAACCGGTCTCCAGACACTGACTACGTCAGTGGTAAACGGCTTGTTAGGATCCATCACCAGTTGACCGGTGAAATTATGTGGGAAGACAGGGTCCGGCTTCGTGTAGTCCCTGTTGATATCCAAAGACACAAGGTACGGATAATTCCGGTTGTCCCGGTCAATGGCAGAAATGAGGACATCATACCGCTGCGCAGGAGATATACGCAGCTGGTATGCCTGCGTCTGCTGAACATACGAGCCATCGTTCATAATGACTTGCATCGTGTGAGAGTCAAAGTGGAGGAAGGCCGATGCGAAAGCACTGAAGCTGATGATGCGGATGCGGTAGTTCTTGCCCTTGACAAAGTTGATCTTGCCATCTCCCCCCTCGTTCACAAGGATCGTATCCGGAAACGGAGGGAGGAAGATGGTGTTGTTTGGCTGTAGCATGTTCCGGACAAGGAAGATGGATTCGCTATGATACCTTCACTGCTGTCAGAGTGCGATGTCCTTGTCAGACCTCATCCATGAATTCGAAGCCTTACCAGTCGGAGATGGTAAGAATCACTTCCTCGTCGTATTGCCCCTTGTATGGATCGTTGGGATCGTGCACGATTAACGGGCCACGGAGGCCATCGGGGTATTGGCCCATGTTATGGGAATGATCTGCAGTTGCGTCCATGGTCAACACACACCCAGTTTTGCCAGACTAAGGACAGAGCAAGCCTACACCAATATGTTCCTGGAGAATCGGCCTGTTGTTATTGGAGACCTTGTCAGCTTGAAGCTCGCCCCTGGACTGTTGAACCCAGAACAGCATACCACAAAGCTGTAAGTGACGGATGAACCGGGAGGGACGGGGCACTGGGTGACACCACTAGGTCCGTCCATGTCCGCGGTGTTTATCTGGTCGATACCGTGGAAATGAAGACCGGTGGTCTCATTGCCGAGATGGTTGTTCAAGTTGACGACGACTGTATCTCCGGCGTCGACGATGATAGGCGGGCAGGGCCATTTTCCATTGATACCGATGACGGGCCTGGCGAAGCCATCGGGCGCAGCTCTAACCCATGAGACATCCCAGTTGTAGCTGACCGTCTTGGCCACGGATATGGAAGCCACAGACAGTAGCAAGAGCGAAAGGGAGGTTGAGGTCAGCATCGTTTCGAACCGCGATCTCGGTAGAGGGCGACGGAGATCTAATCCAAGGCGTGAAGAAGCAAAAGGTAGCAATGAGAGAAGCGACGACACATCAAAGCCAGGGATAAACGCACACCAAGTCAAACGAGAGATACCGTTCTGTCTCTGGCCTGAAGGTGGGAGAGGGGGATCGTCATCTGTTATAGCGAGTGCAGAAGGCGATGCTATGAAAGGGGACCCGAGGCTGGAATATGCGCCCTGTTGAACATTGCCAAGCCTACCGAGCCAAGGCACCAGAGCTGAGATGACAGGACGCTGCGCTCTAGAAACGAGACCCGACACTAGATCCAGAAACGAGCTATTGGGTGCGAGGCTTGGTATTGAGTGGCTGCAGGCCGGAACTCCGTCGCGTGAGCTGCTCGCAAGTGTGTGCCTATTGCCCAAACAGGCCATTTGTATTGGCTATTACCTCGCTCTTTGCCAGTACAGCGACTGGGATAGACCAGCTAAGGTAGGGTAGCGCACCCACGCGAGAAGGCCCACTAGAGGTTCGCCGCATCCTATCCTCCGAGACACGGACGCAGCCTCATCTGCACCGCCGAGATACATGGCTACTCATGTTGGTGTGCCAGACCCTGGAGCTAACCATCAGCCCTCGCGATGAGGTAGTGCTGTGCAGGGGGTAGAAATATGTCCGCGATGAACGGTGGGCCAAAAGGGGAAATAAGGGGAAAAGGGGGAACCGGGGGAAACGGGGGGAAAGAGAAAGAAAGACGCCGTGGCAAGATTTCATATTCGTTCAATGATTCCAGAAGGAGCTTCATACTCACCCAACTGCTTAGATGTGACGAAGCTTGGCAGGGGGGAATTATTGACATAATGGGGATCATAACGACCCTGACTTTGTTGCCCAGTGGCTGCTCAGACCCAGTTTGGACAAGCACCACGTGGTAGCAAAGCCTAGCCATGATGATCCACAGCCCCGATATCTTCCCAATCCAATGGTTAACAGAGGTCGTACCAGCAATACGGCCGCTCTAGGCATGCGAGAATAGAAGCTGCAACGCCAACATCTCAAAATAGAAAAATAAAAGACGAGGAAGGCCCTAGTCGGCAGTGAGGGGCACAAGGCGGTGTCTGAGATGACCGCATTGGAAAATAGCGCCCAATTATTTCCCCTTATTACCTTGTCCTGGTGGAATCCATTAGCTCGGAGTGGTCCTATGAACCGAGTCCATGGCACTAGCGACTTCGCTCTGATACTGACAGCCGAACTAGTGGACCACGTTTGCAACCCAGCAACTGTCTCATAAAATGAGTCCCAGCAGAGCCGAGAGCTTATCATTGAACAGACTGCAGGCAAAGGAACTATTGGAATGTTGGCGGCCATGTATGTAGATACCGAGGTGCGAGGTGCGAGGTGCGAGATGCCATTTGTCTCCCAGGTTGTCAAATCCCAGGATTCGAAAGGATCGACAGCTGTACAATGCATACAAAACAAGCAACTTCTTCTCACGTTAACTGCATACTCCTGTGGCTTGCGTCATCAACCTATTTGTCAAAATCAGAATCTGGGCTGCCGTTGGAAGCGCGCTGTAAAGTCGTACACAACGGGAGAGGTGAGGTGAGGTTGAAAGAAGGTCGCGGGTATGCGGGCCCCGGTAATGGGAATGCCGGAAATAGCAATGCGGCTTACTGGGATCGGCGCCACATTTCTGCATCCGAAGAACCAATGTGGAGCGTGGCCTGGTCCGCGCTAGTGCACAAGATCGGCCTAAGCTAGCCCGACCCCCTGTCTGCGCTTCGACGTACACCGTCCATCGGCAAGGCATCGGATCGGGCGACCGTATCCCTGGCCTCTGCCCAATTCTGCACTAATTTCCAACAGCGCCGGGCATCTATCGGGGCTGATAGCATGGTCGAGCAGTATGGGAGTCTAGAGACTTTCGGAGCTGGAAATATTGGAGCGCCGCCCCCCCCCCCCCCCAAAGCCACCCGGCAGGGGTTACACAAGCCCCGAAAACGGCATGCATCGTTATCGCCCACTCACGGCGATTGTTCCTTCAGCTGGCTGCCGGCCGTGTGACATCATTGCTTCTTCCCTGCGAGGACTCGGTTTTGAGCCCTTGGGCTGACTCTCGTCACCTTGGTTGCCCGGGGACATTCTTACGTGGAGCCACTCGGTGCGTTGTCGCCTGTGTCTTCGGCGGCCGAGTCCAATTTTTCGCTGCAAGCCGGCATCTTGAAGCCAAGTTATTCGGGAATACAACACGCCACGACCGTTCCGAGCACATCCGGGAAGAAGGAAATCCCCCAACGGCCCAACCAGGACGAACGCGTCCCGCAGTGGCTGCTCCTTCGCCAAATGCAACCAATATTTTCACAGGAACTTGCAGTCTAATAATACGAGATGCCGATCAATGGGTCGCTTTCTGGCCAGAATGGACGTAGGTCAACCTGCTTCACCTTCCCTGTCGTGCGAGTCCATTCGCTGCCTGATCTCTGCGAGCGAGGCTAATCGCCATCGGTCTGGACGATTGCAAAAAGCGGTGACCTTCTAGGGCGTCAGCCCTGCTGTTGGATGAGCGGCTTACATACATGGCATATGCCTGTAAGCATGCTTGTGCTCACCTCCAACCCCAGGATCCCGTTCCCGCGAATACGGTCAGGCTGCCGTGCGAGTAAGGAACGGGAAGCTTGGCTAATCTTCTGACACCTATGGTTATGAAGTCGATTGCATCAAAAGCAAAATTGAATATGCTGGCTTCTGAGCTTGTCTACAATTGCCAACATTGTCAGCGTGGCATTACTTGAACCGGTTTCGGAAGAGACGGCTCACCTTCTTTTTTCCCAAGGCAATTAGCTTTTGTTCTCGTCGGGGTGAGGGCGGATCGAGTTGGTTATCCCAGCGTCCCAGGCAGAGGGTTGTTGGATCCCGACCATAGTCACAGCATTCGTGATACACAACCACAACATTCAAGTCAATGGGTTTCCCATTTATTTATTTACCATAGGCTCACCGTATTTTCGTCCAGTTTTCCCGACATGCCACAAAGTGGTCACTGTCGTGTCGGGAGTCACATTGATTCGACGCCGTACGAGGCGCCATCCAACTGGTTGTGTGTTACGTGAGCATGTCCCGCGCTTGCTCCTAATGCGGAACGATGCTTCCAAATACCCGGTAAGACAATGTCTGGTATACTCCCAGGCCACCCTTTTTATACTCAGAAGACACCTTGACGCTGAGTTATATCGTCCTCTTAGACCGTATACTTCCATACTCGACTCTTGTTTCGTATGTTTTCGCCTCAAGAAAAATGCGTATTTCACATACCGCACCTGGGAACTAGATAGCAAAGGGGAAGACAGCGAGAAGTTGTGTGAAACCATTCCGCCTAGGCTTGTTCCCGTCTCCCGGGGTTTGAAATCGCCGTGTCAAATTTGGTTGACTCAGCGCCAGCTCAGCGCCATGTCGACTCCATTAAGATTGTAATGCTGTAACTTGTCATCATCTCAAAGATTGCGATAACTGATGTCTAAGAGCGTAGTATTACAATACCGAGATTGAGATGATATACAACTCAGAGGGACTGGGATGAAGTTCCGGAGGACAAGAAATCTACGTCCTCCGGAACTTTTCTCGACCCTGAGCCGCCTCCACACTCGTGTTGAAAAAGTGGATGGACCCGACCGCCAGCTGTCACGGCCCGGTAGAGCCCGATTCGGCTAGGTATGGTGCATAGTTTATCCGAAAAGCTAGCTTCCGCCTATCAGATGCCTCCATAGTCTAACCCAGTTTTCATGCAGAGTGCGGATTTGAATACTGATTATCGCGTCAACTTTCGCAAACAAGCCATCGTGGTGGTAATTGTCCAGCTCCCCGGTGCTTCCAAAGACGTCGATCGAGATGGCTACTCGGCGCGACTTCCTCAGCCAGCCCGCGCCAGAGAACTACGTGGCCGGTCTCGGCCGAGGCGCAACAGGATTCACAACGCGGTCGGATCTTGGCCCGGCGCGCGAAGGTCCCAGCGAGGACCAGATCAAGGCGGCGGTCGCAAAACGCTCGGCACAGCTCGGGCTCACGGAAGCCAAAGAAGGGGACGATAACGAGGACGATAGTAGATATCAGGACCCCGACAACGAAGTCGGTCTTTTCGCTGGAGGCATCTACGAGAAGGATGACGAGGAGGCCGATCAGATATGGAAGGAGGTGGACGACAAGATGGCAAGGCGCCGTCAGAGGCAAAGGTTAGTGACCCCCATTTCTATTCAGCACATTTCGTCCCCTCGCGCCCCTCGCACAACCATCGTTTTCGACGCCAAGCATCTGGTTTATCGGTTCAAATTGATGAACAGAGTACCGACCAGCCTATTACGTACAGGGAAGCACGAGAGAAAGCCGAGACAGACGAGTACGAACGCAAGAACCCCAAGATCCAGCAGCAGTTTGCCGATCTGAAGCGCGCCCTCGGAACCGTCACCGACGAGGAATGGGCAAGTCTACCCGACGTCAAAGATCTCACCGGAAGGACCAAGAGGGCCCGACAGGCCCGGCATGAGAAGTTCTACGCCGTACCCGACAGCGTACTCGCCGCCGCCCGGGACTCGTCCGAGTTTGGGACAACCGTGGCGGACGATGGCGGAAACACAGAGGCCCAAAAGGGCGGTACGACGACGGATTTCGCAAAGATTGGCGCCGCCAGAGACAAGGTCCTCCAGGCGAGACTTGACCAGGCTTCGCACAGCAGCGGCAGAGATTCGGTAGTCGGTAGCTCTACCAGCATCGACCCGAAGGGCTACCTGACGTCACTCTCGAAGCGTGAGGGTGCCGAGCAGAGCATTGGAGACATCGACCAATTCCGGAGGATGCTTAAATCGGCCGTTGATACGAATCCTACCCATGCTCCGGCCTGGGTTGCAGCGGCAAGGTTAGAAGAGTATGCGGGCAAGCCTGGTGCCGCGCGTGCCATGATTGCATCGGGCTGCAAGCACTGCCCGAAGAGCGAGGACATCTGGATCGAAAACATCCGCCTCAACGAGAACCGAAACGCAAAGGTCGTCGCAGCGGAGGCCATCAAGGCCAACCCCAGGTCGGTGCGGCTCTGGGTCGAGGCGATGACGCTCGAGACCGATGCCCGGTCGAAAAAGAAAGTCATCCGCCTGGCCTTGGACCAGATCCCCGAGTCCGAGGCGCTCTGGAAAGAGGCCGTCAACCTCGAGGAGGATCCCGAAGATGCGCGGCTCCTCCTTGCCAAGGCGACCGAACTCATTCCCGGATCCGTGGATCTCTGGCTGGCCCTCGCCCGCCTCGAGGCGCCAGCAAATGCCCGGAAGGTGCTCAACAAGGCAGGCAAGGCCATCCCGTCTTCGCACGAGATCTGGATTGCCGCGGCGCGGCTGGAGGAGCAGCTGGGCGACGGCGGCAACACGTCGGTAATGAAGAACGCCGTGAGGTTCCTCGCCAAGAGGTCGGCGATGCCGAAGCGGGAAGAGTGGATCGCCGAGGCGGAGAAGTGCGAGGACGAGGGCGCCGTCGTCACCTGCGGCAACATCGTCCGGGAAACCCTGGGCTGGGGTCTGGACGAAGACGACGACCGCAAGGACGTATGGATGGAAGACGCCAAGAGCAGCATCGCCAGGGACAAGTTCGAGACTGCCAGGGCGATATATGCCTACGCTCTGCGAGTCTTTGTCACTAGCAAGACGCTGTGGCTGGCGGCGGTGGATCTCGAGAGAAATCACGGCACGAAGGAGGCCCTATGCCAGGTTCTGGAGAAGGCGGTGGAAGCCTGCCCACATAGCGAGGTTATGTGGTTAATGCTTGCCAAGGAGAGGTGGCAGTCCGGGGATCTGGACGAGTCGAGACGAGTCCTCGGCAGAGCCTTCACCCAGAATCCAGACAACGAAGACATCTGGCTGGCCGCGGTCAAGCTAGAGTCTGACAACGGATTCACCGACCAGGCAAGGGAACTCCTAAAGACAGCTCGCCAGAATGCCCCGACCGACAGGGTATGGATGAGGAGCGTCGCCTTCGAGCGTCAGCAGGGCGACAGCGAGGCGGCCTTGGACCTGGTACAGGACGCGCTGCAGCTCTTCCCCGCGGCCGCGAAGCTGTGGATGATGAAGGGACAGATCTACGAAGACCTGGGCAAGGTCCCGCAAGCCCGGGAAGCCTACAGCACGGGCGTGAAGGCGGTGCCGTCGTCGATCCCGCTGTGGCTCCTGTACTCGCGGCTCGAGGAGCGCAACGGCCTCATCGTCAAGGCGCGCAGCGTCCTCGACCGGGCGCGCCAGGCGGTGCCCAAGTCGCCCGAGCTGTGGTGCGAGCTCATCCGGGTCGAGCGGCGGGCGGGCAACGCCAACCAGGCCAAGGCGCTCATGGCCACGGCGCTGCAGCAGATGCCCAAGAGCGGGCTGCTCTGGAGCGAGCGCATCCTGCACCTCGAGCCGCGCACGCAGCGGCGTACCCTCAGCGTCGAGGCCGTCAAGCAGGCCGAGGCCGACCCGACCGTGTCGGTGACGGTGGCGCGGTGCTTCTGGGGCGACCGCCGCCTGGAGAAGGCGCAGAACTGGTTCGAGCGGGCGCTGGTGCTCGACAGCGGCGTCGGCGACACGTGGGCTTGGTACTACAAGTTCCTGCTGCAGCACGGCACCGACGAGAAGCGCGAGGAGCTGCTCTCCAAGCTGCGCATGGTCGAGCCCAGGCACGGCGAGTACTGGGCAGCCGTGGCGAAGGACCCCAAGAACGCGAAGAAGAAGCCCGAGGAGGTGCTGCGCTTGGTCGCGGCTTCGCTGCAGTGATACGGGGACGGTCGGTCGGGCCGGTGGGCACTACCGGGGTGATGATGTATTAGGTAGTCTGTACTTGCGTGATATCCTGGGAAGAGAATCCTAATTCCCTTGTTTGCTACATGTTCTCTAACACGAATTCGTGAATGATGTACGCATGGATACCATTAGCATACATACGGACTTGGCCTGAACAGTTGAGACGTGGTGATATTTCAAAGTTACAAGTCATCCCAACCCCGAGTTGAAAGCAGAGAGTTTGCTACTCCAAAAATTCCATGTCCATTCTGCCGAAGCGAAATTCAATTGCACAATTACACAACCCAGAGAACCTAACTATCCATCCATCCATCACCTTAAGGAAACCGAAACGACGCAACAAATCATTTCCCTCCGAACCAGCCCGAGATCCCGCTCTTAGCCTTGGAGGTGCCTTCCTCCACCTTGCGGTCAAATTCATCAATCTTCTTCATCGTGTCGGCCTTGGTCTCCTTGGCGTACGACTCTGCCTCGCTCTTTGCTTTCGAGTACTCCTTGTTCGCGGCGGCAACCTTGTTGAGCCCAGAGTGTTAGATATAAGGTAAAGGCGACTTCTACCTCCGATGGCAATGCTGGCAGGGCCGCAATGGGACGGGACAGAACTTACTGCGTTGTCGAACTTGGCGCCGGCCTCCTGGCCGAGCTTCTTGCCCTCCTTCTCGGCATCGGCGCCGCGGTGGGGGAGGACTTCCTTCGCCTTTGCTGTGGCCTTGTGGACGTCGCCTGCGTGGAGGAGTTAGACTGCGAAAAGCTCAGGCAGTTCGGGGGGCCGCGTCGGGGAGGGAAGAGAGGGGAGGTGGAGGAAACTGACTCTCGAATTGCTTCTCGGCGACCTTGGGCCGGCCACCGGATGTGTACAGGTAGTAGCCGACGCCGCCGGCTGCGGTGAGGCCGAGAAGGATGGGGGCTCGCGATCTGGACATGGTGGCTGATGGATATGAGTGGTGTTGACTGGTTAAGTGTTCGGATTCAGCGACTCAGGCGGGTTGAAGTTGGATTGATTGTCGATGAAGATTTGGAGATGGAGGAAGGTCGTTGGGTGATATAGCCTGGACGAAGCTGGAGGGGCAAGAGGGGTCATGGCGAATTAAATGCTATGGCATGATCTGCTGTGGTACGGTACCCAACCTTGGTGGAGGTACCTCATACTGGTGAATGTCCCTTTGCTCATTGAATGACGTAGTGCGGAGGAGGAGCTCTTGGGCTGTCCCCACATTTGCCAGAACATAGCTGGGCTGCTAGCCTCCAGCGTGCTAGGTGCCTAGGTACTGTACCTGCCTAGGTACCTTCGCAAATTTGGTGATCTGAGATCTATTAGGAAGATCATCCTGCAGACCTACAACATATGATTCTGTTACGAGGAACAGATTCTTGGCGATACTGACCTACCTCTTTGCCTCTGTAGGTGCTTATAGGCCAGGCGGTCGGTTGATGGCAGTCGGGGCTGCCGTTTCGTGAAGCTGGCGCTATCTACCTATTGCACCAAGCAGGTACCGACCCTTAGCTCTATGCGTACATATAGCCGTAACAGCTTGGAACCGCCCGCAAGAAGGTAGCTTTGCGACCCATTACATCATTCCCATTGCCCGGACCCAGGCATCTAGTTCGAGCTTCACATCCACTACTAGGAACGCATTCTTCGATCGGGTTAGGCTGTCATTCTGAGCATCCTTGTCTTGTCTTGTTTTGCTTTGGTCTTGGTAGCTGCATTGGCCTGTTCAGAGTGTCAGGGGTCCGAAGCTGAAATCACCCTCGCAAGGCTGCCAAGATTCTGGCCAAGTTCGCGACACATCTTCCAACATAATCGCGGACGTCGCCGTCATCACTCAATGGCAATCTTGTTGTAGTTTGGCTTGACCGACACACTGTTGTGGCGCTTCAGGAGCAATTCGCCATGGTGAGGCACATGTCCAGCAGCAATATCAAGGATGAAGCCTCGCAGCTCGCGCCGAGCTCCACCCCTCAAGGATAGCGACTTTGATCACGAAATCAACCTCGTTGACCATTCAACGTCAGACCTTGGGGCGCCGAGTTTGGAAGAAGGAGCCCTCCGCTCATCTACGTCTGAGCCCGGTATCGTTGCGGGTCCTTCGTCGTCCGGCCTGGATTCTCCACCAGCCGTTGACAATGCCACCGCGGGTCATGATGGGCCAACCCAGGGCGGTGGCCAAGCTGACAATAGCGGCCAGCCGACTGCTATTAAAAACCCTCTTGTCGAGATAGAAGGTGAGTTTCAAATTCTTCCTGGCGCCGAAATGTTCTTTCTAATCTCCGTAACAGAGCCAACGCCTGCCGCGGAGGACAATCAGCCAAAGGGTGGGAATCAAACCGTCAAAGTCAAGCCGAAGTCCCCCGAATCTGCAATCGATATCCTCTACGAGAACCAGCGCGGCGGCTTCCTATGCGGCATACCCCTTTTCTCATCTAAAGCCCTCGGAAACCTCGATCCGGCGGCATGGACAAACTCTGCCCATAGGCATAGCCCGACAGATACCCAGACAGCTCAAGTGCCAGACCCGAGCTGGGAATGGGCATGGCCGGAGTGGAAGATCAACCACGACGACGGCGTCGATGAAGACGGATGGGAATACTCGTTCATGTTCACCAAGAATTTCTCCTGGCACGGCCCAAGTTGGTGGAATTCCTTTGTCCGGAGACGCGCATGGATTCGGAGACGGGTCAAGAAAGGCACATCATACACGCCGCAAGACCCCCTTAGGCTCAACCCGGAATACTTCACAATCCGGCCTGCCTCGGCCGCTAGCCACAGCCGAAGTCCAAGCAGGGCGACGGCAAGCCGCCGCGGGAGCATCATAAGCACGGGCACCAGCCAGGCAGCCGAGACCGAGGAGCTGGAGAGACCAGACATCGAGGACATGGAGTCGCTTCTCTCGGCTCTGCGCGTATCGAGAATCGACAGGGAGAAAATCGAGGCCGTGGACAACTATCTAGAGCATGGGCAGCATGATGACCTCATCCACCTACAAGAAGAGATGCACGATATCATGGCCCTCTTCGTGTTCCAGGCTTCGAGGAAAGTGCTCCTTGCAAGACTGACGGAAGTGCACGATGAGACGCAAAAGAAACTGGAAGAAGATGACTCGGACACCCTCAGACGCAGAGCTGCAGACCTGGCAGCGGCAGTCAAGCAAGCAGACGAAGAGGTCAAGAAACTGGAATACTGGAGCGATGTAAAAGCAATGGCCGAGGAGGGCAAGTCCAAGGGTGCCGTTGACGGTGGCGAGGGATGGGACGACGCATGGCGAGGGTTGGATAAGAGCGGACCCGCAGGCCCTGATCCGAAGAGAGCTCAGCCTTAGCACGAGACCCCTTCTGTCTGTCTAACTTATTGTGTATACCCTGGCCTTACATTGCAACTCTAACGCTTCATGATATCCCCGTACATAGTACAAAATACAGTTTGGCGCCGGATTCGCACTGTGGGGGAGCGGGCATGTGCTTCCCGACCTCCGACGCAATTATCAAAAATGGATCTTGCCCCCAAGCAAATCCATGATGATCTCGCAAGTCTTAACCAGACGATGCTTCAGTTATAGCAAATGTCCCTGGGAGTCAAATCGATATGGAGAGCCCGAATTGGTGTTCGTGGGCTCTCCTTGATTCCCAGGGCCCATCCTATCCCGTTCGTCCCTTACCAGCGTATGCGCCTACTGTCCTCACGGAGACGCGACAATAGTCTTGATAACGAACCAGGCGCAGCCGCAGATGCAGATGCAGCTTCCAGGGATGGGAGGCCATCACCGTCGAAAGGCGTCGTGTCGCCGGTCACGCTGGTCGACCGGCTCGTAACCCTCCCCGTCCGCCAGCATGGGCCCCGAGAATCGGTCCTCGTCGAGCCCCGGATCGAGTACCCCCATCGTCGCGAAACCCAGCGGAGCGAGCGCAGAAACCACCAGGGCATAACGGCGCAGCTGCGGCTCGAGCGCATCCGCGCCGCCCAGTCCGCGCCGCCGCCGAACTGGCGGGCCGTCCTGCATACCCTCACCGTCTGGACACCCAAGTACTCCGAGGATACCGTCGAGGTCGTCCTTCCCGAAGATGCTGCCAGCCTGCTCTTTTCGGACGCGGTGGACAATATCTGGGACATTCAGTCGAGGACTGGGGTGACGATGAAAATCGAGTCTGGGGCTGCAAAGGATGGGCCTCAGACGCTGCTACTCTCGGGCGATCGACGTGCCATTGACAAGGCGATCGAGGATATTCTCAGCGTGACAAAGAAGATTACAAGCGTTCTCTTGTCGAGACCTGTTGACCGCAGCGGCAGCCTCTATCCACTAGAGGGTCAAGAGACGAGCTCAACCCCTCCCGTATCTATCTGGGACGGCCAGACCAGCTTTGCGAGGCCATATGCCCTCACAAGAAGAGCAGAGGACATCCCTCGACCGAGCAGTTGGACAAAAAGGTCGCTTGAGGAGTACGTAATCGCCCTGACGATGGGCCGCCTCCCTCCAACCCTTGCCTCAACCATCTATCCGAAGGGGATGAGCCACGACGAAGCCGTCATCCAACAGCTGCACCAAACCTTCAACGACCCAACAGCCCGACCAGCGCTGTCAAGCTCGGCGTTCAAGATGGCCCTCGCCTTCATGGCTCGGAAGGGCCACACCTTCCGGCCCCACTCCCGGGCGCTGTTCGTCCGCATGGAGATGTTTGGCATGCGAATGGACACCGAGGTCTTCAACCTCCTGGCCGAGTCCGCAGTCAAGGCCCGCGACCTGCGGAGCTTCTCGATGACCACGAACCTCATGGTCAAGCGCGGGCACCGGCCGAACCTCCGGACCTGGATTCTCTTCCTGCGCCTGATCAAGAGCGAGGAGGTCAAGCGGTACATCCTCCACGCCATGAACCACACGGAGCTGCTCGACAGCCCCTCGGCCGCCAGAGAGGTCGCCAAGGAGATGGCATCCCACGACATCGACCGCGCCATCCAGCAGGGCAAGGACCTGCAGACTTTTCTTACGGACCAAGACGCCCTCTACGGTTCAGACTGGCTCAGCCGTGACGCCGGCAACAAGATCATCGAGATCCTCGGCCGGCACGGCCGGTTCGACGACTGCGGCGACTTCCTCGACGTCATGTCCCGTAGCATACCCGGTGGCCCCGACGTCGTCGCCCTCAACACGGCCCTGACGCACTGCAAGGTCCAGAACGACCTCCACCGAGCCGTCGACCTGCTCGAGCGATTTGATAACAGCAACAACAGCAACAACACCGCCGAACAACAACAAAGAGGGGCCGCCGTCCCGGACGCAATCACCTACCACCTCCTCTCCGAGCTGGGCTGGCGCCACAAGCTGCCCCACGTCACCGGCCTCGTCTGGCGCTACAGCTGCCTCGTCAACAAGACCAGCTACCGCATGCGCCGCCGCGCCGCCGACCTCCTGCGGAAGGGCGCCGGGGCGGCGACGGCGTCGTCGTCGTCAACCGCCACAGCCGGCGACGGCAACGGCGATGGCGACGACGACGCGCATACCATACAAGCCCTGCTCGTCAACGAGGTGACGAGCGACTACGCCGAAGCCGGATCCGACCCCGCGGTGCGGGATAACCCGGACGCCGACGCCGACGCCGACGACCCCATGCGCCAGATGATGCAGTGGTACAGGCGCCGACACCGCGACTGGGAGCCCGCCGCCCCGCTGAGCGCCCTGCTGAGGGAGGCGCTGGCCCGCGACGCCCGGCTGCTGCGGGTGCGACGGCGCCGCCGCCTGGGCGCCTCCTCCTCGGCGGGGGCGGAGGGCGGCGAGGAGGAGGAAGAAGAAGAACAAGACATCGTTGTGGGGCCCGTGGCGCTGCCGACGCGGAGGCGGAGGCGGGTGTGGGGGGGAGGCGGCGACGCTGACGCTTCGGTTCGGGGATGAGGATTGGGACGAGGACGGTTCGGACGAGGGGGGAATGTCTGTTGTCTAGATAGATGCCTGGGTTGTCCGATTCAAAGGGGAAATAATCACCATCGTAGAAAGTGGACCTACGGAGTACGGGCGGGCGGCGGGTATCCCTGGGAATGATATAGATCTATATGTGTAGATTTTTGTGTACATTACAAACCATGGTGTGTCTTGATATACCTATAGAGAGACGTGTTGAACTCGCCGTCTACATATTGTCATCTGAGAACGAAAAACCATGAAACAGCAATCTGAGTACCGGGATCGATCCCCCTGCTCCTCCGCTAGTACGCAGTGTACGTGTGTGTGTGTCTGCTCCAATACCTATGCCCGAGAGATAACTTACGATGACCTAGCACCGAAGAAACTGCAAGACTCGAAAAGAGTCAAAAATAGTAAACCTAACTTCAAAGTTCAGTGTATATGCGCAGGTAGGCAGGTTAAGGTTTCGATGTCTAAAAAAGTCGGTCCGTCCAACACATCACATGGCCACGCAAACAAAACTACATGATCCCCCCGAAATCACATGCATTTGCTAAAACAAACCCGTCGCTGCAGTTATCAAATCCCCAGCGTTTCTTTTCCCTAGCAGAACCCCCCTCCGCGCAGCCTATACCCCGCCCAGGGGCCCTTCTCGCCTCCGGACGCATGCATCGCCTCCCAGGCCCCTCGTGGAGTGCGTGGGGAGGGGTGTCAGTTCGGAGCTGTCGCAACTTTTCCGATTTGTATGTCGGTGTGGGTGTTGTGGCGTCAAATAGAGAAAAGGAAAGGTGGAGGAGGGACGAGACAAGCGGATATTCGTTTCGTTCAACTTGGAATTCGGACCCCAATGCGGGGGCCAGGCCGGAAAGGGGAGGTATATGCAGCTATCGACACCAGTACACCGGCGGCAAGACAGCGGCAAACATCGACGCCTGCCCGGCGGTGGCAGCAGAGAGTGAGAGAGCGAGTGAGAGCGAGAGAGAGAGAGAGATAATGTAGAGAAACACGCAAAAACAACAGGGCCCTTCCCCTCCATCGAGTTCTGCCAGCGCCGACTTTCCCTGTCCCCCCTTTCCACGACCCGTCTTGAACCGTCATTCATGAGTACCCAGGTCATTGCAGTGCCAGTCATTCGTCCTTCTTGGCCTCCCCAGAGACCTTTGCCTCGTCGGATTTGGTCTCGGGTTTCGGCTCGGAGTCAGGGGCAGACTGACTCGTCGCCGTCTTCCCATCCTCACTCGGCTTCTCCTGCTGGCTGGCTCCCTTGGCCTCGCCCTCCGCGCCCTCGGCAGCATCATCTTCCGAACCGGAAGTCGAGCCCTTTGACACCTGACTTGCAAGGTCTTTGTCTTCCTCCGAGTTGTCAAACATCTCGGTATCGTCCGAGTCGGTAAGGATTTCAGTGCCATCACCCAAGAAGATGATGCGGCCCTTGTATCCACCAATCCCGAAAGTCTTGCCACTCTTCTGCTCCGAGTCGACATCGTATCCGCTGTCACTGTCATCAAAGTTATGATGTACCCCGGGACCTCGGAATTCGGCTACGGTCAGACAGCATATTAGCGTTTATTGCCCTCCTAAAAAGGAGAGGGGTAGAGCCCATCACAGGCGTAAACTAATTGGGAGGGACAGAAATGTGATGCGGAAGGGCCAATCAAGCTGATTGAAGTCGCTGCTCACCGTATTCCGGGGGGGCGCAAGGGCCGTCCCCATTGGCAACCCGTCTAGCAATCTCCTCATACCACTCCTCCTTACTCCGACCCCTGAGGAAGCCAACAATGATCATGGTCATGTTGTCACAGCCGACGCCACCAGTCTCAGAGTTTGAAGCCAGGCAGTTGTCCATCATGTTCTCACAGATCTTCTCCAATTCCTGTTTGGCAGCAATACCCCGTCGAACGAACTCGATAACTGCCTGAGAGGACTGGCAGTCCCAGATGCCTGAAGAGGATCAGAGGGTTAATAATCAGTGTAACATTGGAACAAGGTTAGAGAGCTCACCATCGCAGGCAAGGACAAGGAACTCGTCATCCTCTCCCAAATCATGTACCACAACATCAGGGTAAGCAGTGACAATCTGTTGCTCCGGTGCTAGGTCGGCGCTCTTCTTGAATTCAAAGTCTCCAATGGCCCTTGAGAGGGCAAGGTTGCCATTGACCCGGCCGAAGTCGACAAACCCGCCGGCAGCTGTAATCCGCGCTTTCTCCCCTTCACACAAGACATAAGTTAGCATCAGGGGAGATTTTCGCAGTAGAGCAAGAGTTGGAGATAATAAGTACCTTCGTTTTGTGGTTTATGGTCAAATGACAGGGGCTTCGCACGGCCTTTGACACCCAAGACGCTTCTCGAGTCTCCAGCGTTTGCCTGGGGACCTCTCATTAACAAATGCAGGCGGGCAAACTTGGGAGCAGGAGGTGACCAACAATGTAGATCTTGTCTCCCGTGATGAGGCCAACACAAGCTGTGCAGCCGGATACTTCCTCTTCGTACTTGGGGTCTGTTCACATCACTTCATCAGCCGACTGGTTCCCAAAAAGGCAAGGTTTCTTGCCAGCCGTGGCAGCAGGAAAGATCCCATCGCAACTCCCAGTGACATATCACAGCATATCATACCATTCAGTATCGCTCGGTCGGTTGCCAGGAATCCATCCTTCATGGCTTGCTCATAATCACCAGCCTTGAATGTCTCCTGCTTTGCGATGATGTGATGGATGTTCTCGCCGGCGAAATGGGCAACCTTATCTCCGCCGTGACCGTCGTAGACACCGAAGAAGGAGAGCCTGCTCGCGTGTGACTTTTCAGCGTCCTTGTTGGAGGCTAGGAGGTTGAGGACTGTAGTATGCGCGTCTTCCATGCTGATGCGCCAGCCTTGCATGGCCGACACGCCATAGATCAACCGGTCGTCTTCGCCATTTGCGGAGGTCTGAGGATTGTGTCACTTGGTTAGCGCTTAGGTCTGAGGAGTCTTGCATAGAAAATACGAGGTGTGATATCCGCTCGGTCGAGGGAGTTGTTGTGGACAGAACCTCGGACAAGCGGATCATGGTCGCGTGGCCCAACACAGGTTGGTAGGCCACCGTCGTCAGAGGGGTAGTCGGGATCTCGCGGGAATGCTGGGAAAATAAGACAGGAACTGGATCGCACATACCTTTTCAACAACGGGCTCAGAGAGTGTCTGACCCATGGTGAAGGAAGGGTGGGTTTGGCAGCAATGCGGCTGCCGTGGGGGAAGGTGGGCTGGAGGTTATGTCGGACGGGAGAACAAGTCGGGCCAGAGTCAGAATTTGCCTAGGGTAATGTATTGGCCTGACAGGCCAGGTTTGACAATGACGTTGCTGAAGTTAGATTGGCCAAGGCTTGAAGTTTCCAGTCGCAGCCCCAGGTTGCGAGTTTGCGGGTTGGCGGTTTTGCGGCGGGTGCTGCCTCCCTGGTACGTCGAGCGAATTGGAATTGGGTGGTGGAAGCGGGGTTAGTGTAGACAGGCGACAGAGACTGGTAGTGCACCTAGGTGACAAGGCGCGACGAGGCTTGAGAAGGGAGCTTGGGCCAAGCGGAGGCAACAACAGAGAGGGATGCAGGCACAGGCGCCTAAGGAGGGATAGGTAGTCAGGCGATAGCCAAGCACTGAAGACCTAGATGTTACTCTTGAGATTTGAGGCTATTCACGCGCATCAGCAATAATTGTTTCTTCGCCGTGTTGCTCAGCCAAGGCGTGGTGGGCGTGGATCTGTGGGCGTAGATCTGTGTGGGGGACCTTGGGAGGTGCACTGCGGATAATCAATAGTGCGAGGCAGGAAGAGTTTTTCTTAGTTAGGTGAGGTTGCCTTGGGTGATGTGATAAGGCCCGGTGAACCAAATTTCTTTGTGCCTCGCGGCACGCTTACTTATTTGGTTGGCAAGGCAGAAAGAAAGCCCTATCTTACTTTTCTCCTTGAAAATGCCTCTACCATACCTAGTTACCTATTCAGGTTCTAGATCCTGGCCTGGCCCTTGCTCTCTCTCTCGGTCTCCCCTCCTTTTACAGAGTACACAAAGGCACTCTCTCCTGCACTTGGTTGCCTAGGCGGGGCACGTGCTATGCTAGGCCAACATCCCTAGTGGTAGGAATGTGCTGTACCTAGGTAGGTAGGCAGTTATCTTTTACATAATCTGGTCGCATAAAACGCATGGGAAGACCAGTCACTCACTATAGGGACACCTTTGTCTACGACTAGACGATCTTGGATGCAGGGCCCAGTCTATGAATTGAGTAGATGCCGCTTATGGATCTTCCTTCCATGCTTCCTGCACAATCCAAATAGGCTCCAGGGTTGTGAGCGCTAATCCCCGACTTCCATTATGAATCAAAGACTGGTTCCCAGGTTCTCCTGGAGAGCCTCTTGTGGAACGGATATCCAACCCCGACTCTCTCCAGCAACGCAATCGCATACACAGTAATCCAGGCCACAAGTGGTGCAAAGTTAGATAAAAACCATATAGTCATCCTCGGACCCCGTCGTAGCCGATCCCACGGTCCTCTCCCGCCCCAACCCCCCCGCCGAGGATGGCCCGCTGTGTGTCCCCATCCCGGCGAATCTCGAAGACGGCCTTCTGGAGTGTCTGGAGCCGGCTGTGCCGAGCAGCCCGCGGTGTCTCGACGGCGGCCTCGACCCGAAATCCGGCGCTGTGTCCGACGCCTCGCTCAGGGGCTCAATTGTCGTCCTCGGGCGCTGCGGCCACCGGGTGTTGTCCGTCCTGACCGATACGTCGTCCATCCAGATGCTCGGGTTCGGCGATTCCCGTATGATTGCCCAGTTGGGCTGCGGGCTGCTGGCAGTCGACGAGTATGACATGCCCGGCGGGAGGCTGGTCGTTTTCGACTTGCCGCCTGCACTCCTTCCCCCTTGCTCTGGGGTCTTCGTCTCGTCCCTTATGGCCGAGTACACGGTTGACCACGTCCTGGAGGGGACGGTAGGCGGCGGAGCAGCTGTGTGGTCGCATGGAATGCCCAGAGGGTCACAGGCGACCTGTTCCTGCGCTGCTTCTTGTGACAGTTTCCGAGTATTGGCCCTTGGCCCCACTGCCATCGCAGGGGTCATATTTGGCGGGCTCCCTTCTTCGTCCTGAGACCTCTCTCGCTTGGTAGCGTAGGTTCCCGGATCCGGCCCCCGCCGGGTTACTGGTCGATCGTCTAACACTGGCCGAGGTGGGACCAATGGAGCGGATATCTGTAAATTCGCCGCTACACCCCTTTCTGGCGTTTTCACCCCTGCCTCCTTCTTCTTCCTAAAGCGTTCTACGAACCTAGACACATTCCCCGCCGCCCATGCCCTAGTGGTGGAAGTCTTAACAAGAGGCTCTGGTGCATGGTTTTCCGACGGTCGTGCCAGGTTCAAAATAGATGTGTGTGCACTTGATCCGACGGTCGTGAATTCGTCGTAATCGGTTGTCCTGTAGGACCCCCAGGTCTCTGAATTGGTTTCAAGGTTGTGCCGGTTGGAGTAGACGAAGTCGGGGGTCATCGGGATGCTCGTATCCGGGGTTGGTATGTCGGCTTCGAATGTGTCTCTAGAAAGCGATCTGTTATCATTGCGAGGTGCTGGTAGCGAATTGGCCTCCAGAACCCCCCCCGGCTTCTCTTCGTGGAATGCTGTCCGGGTTGGGTAACCCTTGCCTGGTCGTTTGATAAATATCTTCCGGGCCACGACGGCTAGCCAAGAGTCGGAACGCAGAAGTGGATGAGTCTCAGGATCAGTCTCAAAACCCTTTAGGCTTCCTATGGCTGCCTCTGCGTAGCTCTTCTGCCGCGATTTCCGGTTCCTCGGTGACGACTTGTCCACGCCACGCCTCCCTATGAGAGACTGGAACGAATCTTTGCCCTTGGTGCTAATCCTCGTCGCCAGGCTTCCACAAAGTGGCCATGACATGTTTCTGCTGCTGTCCCCGGTTGACTGCCTCCGGCGACGGCGGATGCAGCACAAGATGACGCATGCGAGAACGAAGAGCAAGAAAAATATGGGTATAAGTGTGGCCATGAGAATCTGTTTCAGGGACGCCTTTCGGCGAGCGCCCGAGTCCGGGTCCGCACTCGGGGAAGACGTAGATGCCGGAGTCGATCCTGAAGTGCTCGCAGAGGATGTGGACCGATGGTTCGCTGCTTGTATACGAACAGGCAAGGCTTGGGAGAACTCCAGGCCCGAGCTTCTGGACTTTGCGTGAACCTCGATCGTGATAGGAGATGTGGACAGCTTTTCCGGTGCGTCGCCGAATATTGTCTTCCGGGTCGAGTCGAACTGTATCCAGGTTGACAGGGGAGTTACGTCAATCCGCAACTCTGTGTCTGAAGGGTTGGAGAGGTATGGGCCAAGGCCGAATTCGAAGTTCTTCCCGGCTGTAATTCTCATCTCCGGTAGACTACCCTTAAACAGCCCATTCGTTATGTTTAACGAGACGGTCAAGTTGAGGGTATTGGAGAACGTGTCCGCCAACATGATTGTGAAGTTGGATGACTTTGCTGTGGCTGGCGGTGTCCCACTGATTTCCCATGTATCTTTGTCCACGGATAACCAAGGGGGAATGTTGGGTGTGGAAATAACCGATACGTTGCCTGATTTGACATCTTGCCCGTCAAACTTGATATCGGACTGTAGTTCCGTGTAAGACAATGGAGTCCCAGCCGTTGCGCTCAGGACGATGGAACTGCTGTCTGCCGTGATCCTGTGGTTTCCAATCACGATCGAGAAGGGGAGGGATGCTGCAGAGAATCCGACCACGTCGCTAGCGACGAACCGAAAAGAAAACGACTGCGGGATCTGCATTAAAGTACCCAGCGCAGGCGTCGTGCCCAAGAACGACAGCTTGCCGGAATCGAATGATACCCACGAAGGCAGCGGTGTGTTATCTTCCATGACAGCATAGTAACTCAGCCCTTTCCCCATCGGATTAGAGAAGGTATCGGGCGCGAAGTTGAGTGTGAATGCCTGTTGCGGTCCCATGACGATCGACGAAGGCTGAGAGAATGATCCAAATTCGGGAATCTGCCTCGAAAGAGGGAGGGCGACACTGGGTGACGGATTTCGAGACACGACGAGGGTTGCGTCGAAAGAGGTAGACCCGGAGTCATCCGCGGCCACGAGTTCGAATTGCACCCCAACCACGTCGCCGGGCGCGACATCTGCTTCTTCCGGGGTTCCATAGATGCGCCGGGACTCGCTATCGATCGAGAGCCAGGCTGGAGCGTTCGCAAGAGTATACGTGAGTGGCCCACTGGGCGAGAAGGTTGAGGAGGAGAAGACAAAAGAGAACGGCTGGCCAACCCGGGCAACCGGCGGCACCTGCGAGTTGATAGGGAAGGATAGAGTAGGGGCAGCAGCGCAGAGCGCAGAAAGAAAAACGACCGCCCGGAGCACCGGTGAGATTGTCATGATATCGCGATAACCTGACACCATCGGTTGCTGGATTGATACTTTTGCGGCAAACCACCGGCGAACCAAGACACAAACAGGAATCAAGAAAGAAGGAAGTGCGAAGGCAGACCGGTGCGAAGAAGAACGAAAGTGAAGAGTACCAATTCTTCAAGGGCGCGAGGTCCAAGAGAACCTTCAACCACCCCTTGCGTGCCAGCCATTGTTCGATGGCAGGGTTTGTGGATCCAAGGGGCATCGAGTCAACGCTGTCCCTTGGAGAGAAGGATGAGCGAAGCAGAGAGTAACAGCTGGCGTCAGCCATCTTCAATTGGCCGAGTTTAGCATCAAACCACGAGGTTGGAGTCGTCTAAGCATTCCTCATCGCGGCGGGGCGATGGGGCTAGGCTTTGGCAGATCATGAGGAGAGCTTGGGCAATGGGCATGACCGAATCTCAGCCAGACCGAGGGGACTATTCTCCCATTGCCTGGACACTTTAATTGATGGTTTTCCTCGACAATGTCCATCTTCGGTGTTCTTCCTCACGATGGCAGTGGATGGGGGGCGACGTGACGTGGTCTCCAAGCTAGCGAAAATAGGTGCGAAGTTCGGAGGGCAACAGCGAAAGGGAACCAGAGGAACTTCCGAAGGGATTTTGTTTCACTCCCAACATCCCACGATCTGCAATTCTGCATATCTATCTGCTACTAGCGTACAGTTTTAACTCCCCGCGCTCTCGTCTCCCAGCGCATGTCTTTCGATCCCGCCTGCCCGGCTCAGATGACCGACTCTGATCGCTCGCTGTCGCTGTCGCCCGAATTTTCGCCGCTTGACATGGGCAGAGACTTGACACCGCTTCCCGAGTACAAGGCCGCGGGAAACACAGCAGTAGACTTCTCGGGACTCCTGGAGAACCCCATCAAGCTGCATGAGGATCTCAAGTCAGGATGTGGAGGGCAGCTGTGGCCCGCGGGCATTGTGCTAGCAAAACACATGCTCCGGTACCATCGGAACAAGCTTGGGAAGGCCAGAATGTCCGTAACCACCCCTCCCCTCTCTTGGAACTGACGAGGTCGCTCTCACAGAGATGCATGGTGCATGGCATAACACGCACAGAGGGAACCAAGCGGGGATGCAGAGATGCGCCCGCCGTGAGTATTCGGGACTGACCTACCTGGCGAAATAGTCTAGAAATAGGAGCGGGCAGCGGTCTGGTTGGTCTTGGGGTTGCGCGTGGATGCAGCATCGAGATACCTCTGTACATCACGGATCAGGTCGAGATGGAGGCCCTCATGGAGCACAACATCGCCTTGAACGGACTCCACGAGAGAGTCAGGCCCGCCGTGTTGAACTGGTTAGTGCATCCTCTCTCCACTCAACTGCACTCCTGTTCCCATGACTCGGGATCAGGTTTCAACCGCCGACGCCATCCTCGGATTTCTCCGCTGCTCGTTGCCTACGATGAGCGGTTTTTATTTTTATTTTTTTTATTCTAACAACGCCTGCCGAAACGTCAGGGGCGAGCCACTCACACAGGAGGTTATCGATTTCCGACCCGACACCATCCTTGCCGCCGATTGCGTGTACTTCGAGCCGGCCTTCCCACTCCTCCTGCAAACATTGCGAGATTTTCTAGCGCTCTGCCCTTCGGCCACCATCTATTTCTGTTTCAAAAAACGACGCCGTGCTGACATGCACTTCCTCGCAAAGGCGAAGAAGATGTTTCACGTGACTGAGATCGAGGACGACGACCGGCCCAACTTCAGCCGAGAAGGATTGTTCCTCTACACCTTCACAGCCAGGGCAACGGCAATAGCAAGCATTCTCCCGGCTGTCATCTGAGAAATCGGGGAACGCTAGCGCCGGAAGGCCACATGCCTGCGGTTGTCTCCTACTGCTGCTGGTGCTGCTGGTACTAACATGGCAGGCAGTGAGGGGGAGCAGAGTTCCATGTTAACACACGGCAGTCCACCTGCGGAGTTAACATCTGTACTTCCTGCAGAGTGCGGACTGGAAGGACACCGGCCAATCACTACTGACTCAACTCACATGTACAGCGACACTTACTGTCAAACCAAACAGCTGGAGAAGTCAATGACAAACTATGTGCCCTGTGGTCTCGAATATCCCTCATGTATGGATGGTGCCCCGCCTGGTTCCAAAACGTGGCTGCGGTACTGACCCGCGAGACGCATTTGTTGGCAAGTTGTGCCTTGGGGCCTTGAGCAACCCACCCCTTCCTGCTTCTATCCAATCAAATAATCCATATATATGTGTGCCTGTGTGTGCAAGACGTTGGTGCGAATGGGTTTTGCACTTCAGCCTGAAAACCCATCGAGGCCGAACCCGGCCCATTGCCGAGTACCCAGTTTATTTAATCGAGCATCCGCCTGCCCAGCCTAGGCATCCATCTGCCTGCGCAGAACGTGGCGTAACTTAAAAAAGAACACAAAGTTGCTGGGACATGATTTCCCAAACGCGGGGGGCAAACTGATTCAGCCGATAAATAAACGCAAAGTCCCTTACCAAGGTAGGTAATGACGACCTAGATGACGACCTGGATGACGACTTGAATGGCGACCTGAGTCACGACAGAGCGGTCCTCGACACCTTCCCCCAGAGGGCAGGCAGCCAAGGCCCAGAACAAGTGCGGCGGGTCCTCTTTCGTCTCGACCATCGACTCGAAAAACTTCGTGATTCTAGATGTGCCCAAAAGCGGAGAGATGTGAGTGACAAGTTGGAACAGTGGAGCTGATGAAGGAAGGCACTGGCTGACTGGCAACGCAACGGTGGACAGGGCAAACTTAGTGGGTGGGGTGGAGCGCTCAGGGCCAACAGCGATCAACATCAAGGCGCTCCTTTTGATTCGCTAGGATCTTCGCTAACCTGGGATAGCAGCGCGGATTTTCCAGGAGCGACCGGGATCCTTTCCGTCGAGTACCAAGTACAGTTCTGTACCTGCAGTCAGCCCGGAGGCTGGGCGGGAGCTGCAAGGGACTGCCGGCCCTCCACAAATCAAAACTTGTTTATGGTCCCATTTTTCCCAACACCCCACCCTAGTGCATCTCAGAAACAGCCAGGGCCCTCATGAATCGGGCAGTTGGCCGCCTCTGCTACCAAAAGCATTATGGATGGGGCCAACCAGCACTGCCTTGCGCTGCCTCACGCTGCCTTACAATCCATGGAGGGTTTGAGAAGGAGTAGCCCAATCGGGGAAAGTCAGATCAAGAGTCACCCAATCACAAAAATCGCTGGTAGAAAAAATCAACAATAGGGGCTCTAGTCGGAGGAAAGAACGAAAATGGCCCAGGCAAGACCACACAACCTTGGTACCTACCCATCCATCTATTTATCACCCCGGCCTGCACCTTGCTCTTTTTCCCGTTCTTCTCCCTCACAATTCACCAACTCGAGATTCATTCCTTCAACATCGAGCAGGCTCACAGGCTCACTGCACACATTCATTTTCTGCACATCAAGACGACCAAAGCAGGACCTGAACGTCTTCAACCACATTCCTTTTGCCATTCCAGACAGTGGTGACCCAACCAACTATCCAACCAACTACCCAACCGACTACCCAGCCCACCACACAACCTTTCCAAACATTCCAACCCCAGCACTCGCACGGTAAACCAGACTCGAACATACTCATTCAACCTGCCTCGTCACCAACTCCGGCTCTGTCTTTCCCAAGAGATTCATCATGAGGTCCGCTGCCATCTTTGTCGGTGTTCTGGCCTCGGCCGCCATTGCTCAGCCCCATGGCCACAGTCATGGTCGACGCCAGCACCTCCACGGCCATCCGAAGCGTGATCTTGTTACGGAGTGGACCACCGAGATCCAGACCATCACCGTGACGGAGTGGATTGATGAGACGACCACCGAATGGATTACTCCTGGCGTCACCCCGACCAATGCCGAATCTTCCGCTGCGCCCACCACCAACGTCCCGGGTCAGTTTTTCGAAGGTTCCAGCCAGGCCGCCCCCTCGACTCCCACGTTCGTCCCAAAGCCTACCTCGGAAGCTCCCGAGACACAAGCTTACGTGCCTCCTCCGGCAAGCACATCTGTCGTTGCACCTCCGGTCCAGGTGGCTCCGACAACTGCTGCCCTCGCGGCTTCTCCGGCTCCAAGTGGCTCCTCCGGCGTCAGTTCGGCTACATCCGAACACACTGGCGACCTGACCTACTATGCCCTGGGCATGGGGGCATGCGGCTTCGATGATAGCGGCAAGGATATGACCGAGAACATTGTCGCTCTCTCCTATCTGGTGATGGGTGAGCAATCCAACGGCAACCCCATGTGCGGCAAGACCATTTCGATTAGCTACGGCGGCAAGACGATTACTGCTACCGTTCGCGACAAGTGCATGGGCTGCGCTGCTGACGCCATTGACGGTACGTTTTCCCTACTTTGTGCATATGATCGTCTCTTACTAATAGTACCTGCAGTGAGCGAAGCAGCCTTCGTTTCGTTGCTGGGCTCAACCGGCGTCGGACGCAAGGCTGTCAACTGGTGGTTTAACTAAACGGCCATCTTCGCACCCCATGACTCGTCGCTATGCGTTACCTTCACTTCTTATTCAAACCCCTATTTTTGGCTTGGAATGGTTGTGTGGACCGGCTCCCAGGCGAGAGCCGTGAGAGTTCACACCCATTCTGTTTTTTTGATGTTTGCCAGTCGAGGCATGGCCGGTTCATGGAATGAGCTCATCGCAAGCGATGTAGCAACGAATCTCCTTGCTCTTTACGTACATGTCAACATGTGGCTCCTGAAAAGGGATAAATGCTCTGGCGCATGTACCTCCGCCAATGGTTGGCGCGTTTGGTACGGTACACTGGGAAAGGGTTAGAGGATATTCATGATACCTTGCAAGGAATTTTCAGCCTCGGTCATGTTTGAGCTGACGGACACCATTTTTAGATTTTTGATGCTCGAACTTCTCTGTACATACTTAGGGCTACTCAGGAACAAATCAAGGACTGATCATGGATGACACTTGTCATATAGATACAGAGTCTATAAGCTTCGTTTGCTCTGTGATAGCTCGATCGCGCATCACGAATGGGCATCACGAATAGGCACCATGCGACAATAGCGAGGAATGCGGCATAGCGGTGGCCTGCCATTGCCCTTCTGATTACCAGCTAATAAGGGGCATGATTTCGGAAAAAGGAGCAAACTCAAAGCTCGTCAATCCGGCATCAATACGGACGGATACATAGGTAGTAATTCTACTACTACATACTGGTAGTGCCGCAGCAGGGCGAGACCCACGCATCAAATGATGACGATCCGATCGTCATGTTTCCCGTCCCGAGCCCTCCCGTGGAATCAATGCATGGGATATACCGCCAAGAGTATTAGCTCCACCAAGAGGCTCTCAGCCTGCAATATCTTCGGCGACGGCCGAAATTACTGCTCCCTTCTCCCCAAATCTCCCGTATTATCTTTCGATCCACATCCACACTTTTCCCAAGATTGGAATTTGCGAGTGTGGCCCCTTCATTCCGCGCTCCAAACAAAGGCGCCGGCGTCATCCTCCCTACTTGTTGATAAAAACCCCGAGCTTGATCCCGCACTGCATACAGGCTATTCGGTAACACATGGTGCAGACGATCCCCTGGGCCGCATCTATGTCGGCGGGCGGCGTTTGCTTCGAGGATGACGATGATGCTGCCGAACTGCTATTGTTGTCTGGCGGTTTGGCCACCGCCTTCTTGCACCATTGGCAGATGATCGGTTCCTTCTGGTGCCAGTAGGAGGCCTGGGGGCTGATCTTCGACCATGTCCTGTGTTGGCATTGGTAGGGTTGCAGCTCGTCCGGGTCCAATCCTAGGTCTAGGATTGAGGAATTCTCGAAAAGGTCGAGATCGACGTCGTCGGGGATGGCAGATGGCTGCAGGAAGGCAGGCAGCGGGTCAAGAGAGAATAGAGCTTCAATGGCCCCAACAACGGGCGGAGATGGGGTGTTGTTAAGGAAGGCTATGCTCATGCGATCGGCAGGCGTGGTGTGGTTCGTACGATGAGGAGTACCATTTTCCGCTTGCGGACGTGAGACTCCTTGATTAGGGCCAGATTGGTCGTCAGCAGACGCATCATTAGCACCTCCGTTTCCTTCGCCGTCTTCATTTCCTTTGTTTCCTTCGTCGTCTTTGCTAAATGGATAGGGTTCGTCTGGGCCATATTCGTCACCATCATCGTCGTCGTATCCATCGTCCTCCTCGTCGTCATCTTCATCGTCGTCTCCGTCCTCGTCGTCTCCAATCGTCGCAGGATCCTCCAGACACTCCTCGCTACCGGGACAGTCTACGAGGGACTGCCCGCAATTATAGCAAAAGTGAACGCCACAAGGGCATCGAATGTGCGAGCAGCCGCTCATGAGCCTCACAGCCCTGTGGCAACGGGGGCAGTTCTTGCAGCCGGTTTTCTTGAGCTTCTCTAGAGTCAGGGGGTCCATCTCCGGATCACGGCTGCGGGTGCATCGTCGGTTCTGATCCAAGTCTTCCTCATGGGCTTCCTTCCGGCAGTTTGTGCAGATGTTGAGAGCACACTCCGGGCAAGAAACTGTGGGGTCGTATTTGCTAGGATCATACTCGTTGTCCTTGGCTGACCACTCGATGAGATTGGCGCGGAAAGGCTGGGCGTGCTTGGACAGGGCATAGAGTCGAGGGGCGATGAAGGCCGAGCATGTCGGCTTCGGGCAGTAGAGTCGGTCGCCGGTCGCCCACTCTTCCAGCTTTCTCTTGAACTCCTCTATCTGTATCTCCCTGTCAGCATTTTATAACCCTCTGGCGCCATCGGCCCAACCGGGTGCAAATACTGCCCCTGGGCTCGGACACCTCTGGGATGAGCTCCTTAGATAGCCGTGCAACGGAGACCTATCTTGCTTACCTGCTCAGTGGACAAGGTGTCTTTAACGGCATCCACGGAGATTTGACGACGGCAGCCACAGTTAACGGGCATTTCACTCTCGTCGTGGGTGGCCCTAAGGAAGAGCGTCGCCAAACACCCGGCGCAGTAGGTGCCAAAGTAGCAACCATGGCACTGGTATGCCAGCGGTTTTTCGTCCGGTAGCTTGTCCATGCAGACGCAACAGATTTTAGGCTTGACGACCTCTTCACGCCTCGCTTTCGCCCTGCGAGGCCGCTTAGCCGGCGGTGGGATATCCCCCAAAACCGGGCCGTCGCTGGCTGGGCGGGACGTCATGGTGTTGCCGTGAAGATTGCTTGGGCCGGCAGCATCAGCGACAGAGATGTGGCTGTGGGCTGTTGTTTTTTCACGTGGGTTGGTGGCACGAACTCGGGCGGGTGTCGTTACTGGACGGGGCCCTTCGTTGTGCCTGATTTGTCGGTCTTCAATTGCTATTTTCCCCGAGTTACGCGGAAGCTTGAGACGCGTGGACTTCGGCTTGGTAGAAAGTGAGCAGAGGTTGAGTGAGCGAGCGACGGGAGTGAATGAGAACGCGGGATATTGACCATCCAACCGATAACTTTTTTGATAAAAAAAGAAGCGCAGGATGGTTAGAAGCAAAGTCGGAGGTAAACGAGGTTTGTTAGGTTGGACAGGAACGAGGCTCGGGAAGCATTACGGCTGCCTCGTTGAAGATGTCGAAGTCTGGGTTGCACTTTCCCGCCGGAGATAGCTTCTGCACAGGAAGAACGACTCGGGATACCTAGGTACCTTTTTATCCTGTGCTATAGCCAAGGGCTGCACGGGCGAGTCACCAACTTCACTGAATAGGTAAGCTCTCACATTATCATCACTTCAGAGTTCATTTTACACGTGTCCCGGGAACCGGCAGCAGCTGGTTTCGGTGGCTTGTACCACTGCGCAAACGCAAACATTCGTAAAAAAGTTGACCTGTCATCTGCAGCCATCCTTTGCTACCCTTGACTTGATATCTTATAACTTGTTGCTTATTCCAGAGCTAAGTAGCTATCTAATAAGGGGCAATTGTGGACATCCACGCCCCATGGCGTTCTGTTGGTTTACACGGTTGCCTGCTGTTCCCGTTTTATCGGGAGACATGGGACTTGGGCCCAAATAGCCACGGAATCCCGAAGGCGTGGCTGCCTATGGCGCCGTACTCCTATTCAACCGTCTTTGTTTGCAAGGTGGCGCAGGCAGCGAGGGGCTGGGCCAACAGGACGGCCCGTATCCTTCCTGGCATCTTCGGCATGCACTAGCGGTTCAGACTCAACAATCCCTCGATGTACTTCCTTGTGTCGATACCAATCCCCTGGGCAAGGCGGCTTGCCCCATCCGCCCACCCTCCACCGCCCCCCGTGACATACGAACCACTGACGCCTCTCATAGCGCCAGACGAGCCGCGGTCTCCGGCCTTGCGGATGAGGAAGATCTCCTTGCTGGTGACCACGCCGTGCACCTCTCCCTCACCACCCTCGCCGTCCTCGCAGAACGAGTCTGCATCGGAACGCCGCCTCTCGGATCCTTCGGAGGACGGCGGCCTGGCGGCGGGGCGGGTTTTGCGTTGGATGATCCGGCTCCAGACAATCCACCATCCGCGGGTCGTCTTGGCCGTCCGCTCGAGCTCCGAGTCGTCCGCCCGCGTAGCCGCCAGCATGTTCAGGATCTGCGTGTGCGTGCTGAGTGCCTCCGCCCGAGTCCATATCTGCGCTCCGGCTGCCTGCGCCGAGGGCACCGGGTCGGGGATGTTTGGGATCGTCGAGTGTACCGTCATAGCTCTCGGGTCCCAGACGAGATCGTATATTTGCACTGCTGGCGAGCCTATGTCAGGCCTCCCAGGCCTGTAGGCGGTAGAGTTGATCAGGTGTTTCCTTAGGGGAGCTACTTGATAATGGAGAGATCGGTATAGACCTTCGGAGGCTAGGGATTGGGTGCCAGGCTGAAATAGGAATGTGAAAATGAAAGGCCTATTGACGTAGACCACGGCTTGCAATTTCGTTTTGTTCCCACCCTGGCTGTTCAAGACCGGATCGTCGGTTTCCATGGTATCTCCCCGGCCATCGCCCCGCCGTTTGTCATGCTCCGTAACCTGGCTCTCCGAGTCTTTTGTGTCTTGAGACTCTGGAGGGTCTTCTCTGCTCTTGAGCTCGACTGTCAATGTTCGAAGATGAGTTTGGCGGTTAGATCCTTGCCCAGAGCGGCCGTGGACCTGGACGTCTTCCGTATCACTTCCCGTCCCGTCCTCGTCAACATCGCCCACTAGGCCGACGAGATAGTGCCCGGCAGCATCATCCTTGGAGGCCTGTTGTGCATCGTCCGCTTTTGCCACGCCACCACCTCCCTTCGCCGTGGGGTTGTGCTGTTCTCCCGACGGGGAACTCCCGAGTGTCCAATATGTGCCATATCCCATCTTTAGGTAATTGACCAATTTGTCCATTCCTCCACCGCCTTCTCCGCCTTCAGGTCCCGCTTCGGGACTTCTTTGCGTCTGGCTAGGCTCTGCAGAGTCTGTGATAGCAGACCGTCCGGGCCCGATTAGAGGCGGCGGAGGGCCGAATACTGTAACTTCGCCAGCAGGTGGCTGCGAAGTCGGTCGGGTCGAACTCGGTTGTGGTGGTGGTGGGGGAGAAGGAGGACGAGGAGAAGACGGAAACCGCCTGCTTTTGGTCTTCTTCCGCCTCGCCGGCTTCGTAGTCGCCGCACTGTCAATAACACCGTACGCATTCTCACCCCAGACGTACAGATCCTCCATCCAGTAGGTGACGTCTCTCAGCGAACGTCGCGAGAGCGCCCCGACGCCCAGAAAGATGGCACCGTCCTCGGCCCCAGGCTCACTCCCCATCCCGAGCCATCTCTTAGCAGCAGCGTCCTGCTCCCCTCCCCCCCCCTTACCCTTCGCCCCTGCCCCCCCGTCATCCCCGCCATCCCCGCCCTCCCCAAACTTGCTCACGACAAGATCAACGAGCCCCTCGACGCGCCCCACAAACCCCTCCAGGACCTCCCTCTCCCCGCTCCCGCGCTCCTCCTCGCCGACCCCGACGCCGAGCTCGCCGCACGCCGCCATCCGGATCCCGCCCAGTGCGTCGCGCGCCGGGTTCGCGCGCATCCCCACATTCCACGTCGCCAGGAAGAGATCCCAGTACCGGGCCAGGCGGGTCGCGAGCCGGGCCCTGCCGCCGCCGCCGCCGCCGCCGCCGCCGCCGGCCCGGTCCAGCCCCGTGCCCAGGCTGCCGCCGTGGTGGAGCAGGAAGACGGCGTGTGCGCGCAGCAGGTCCTGCGCCAGGAGCTCCGCCGGCTTGACCTCGCGGGACGAGTACTCGACGCCGGTGCACCGCTCGCCATGGTCTACGGGGACGCCGCCGGGAGCGGATGCAGTGGCTGGTGAGGGTAGGCGGGTGAGGTCGATGGACTAACACGGCATGTCAGCATTTTCGTCGCGCCTTATTTGCCAGCAAATAACGGTCCAAGGATCTCCCGAACGTGAAGTAGGGTAGCCAGTGTCCAAAAGTCAAAAGACGAAGAAGAAGAAGAAGAGCAGCACAAGAGAGGAAAAACAAAACAGGACAAGCCCTCCAAAAGAAGGGCAAGAAAAAAAACCCACCGCCAGAATCCACCACCCATCCTCCAGCTCCCGCAGCACGACCCTGCTCCTCTCCGTGTCGACGGCGTCGACGGCGCTCCCGCCCGAGAAGCCGCGCCCGAACTCGACCATGCCCTGCGCCAGCCCGATCTGCCGGAGCCGCTCGTTGCGCCCTCCGTCGCCGTCGCCGTCGCCTTCCCCGGACCGGGAGTGTTGGCGGTGGCGCGGGGACGGGGACGGGTTGGCAGTGGCGGCAGACGCAGAGGATGAGTAGTAATACAGGATCTGGTCGTCGATGGTCTCGTCCGTCACGCCCAGGCTCGGGTTATAGATGGCGAGGAAGGCGAGCCGCGCGGGGATGACCCCGGTCGTGGTGGTGGTGGCGGTGCCGGGTGCTGGGGACGGGGCCATCGCTGGTGTCACGCGTGAACAGGCCGAGGGGGTTTTTGGTTTCAAGAAAGGCTGCCCGGCCCCCGCCGAGTTGGATGTATTGCCCGGTTTTTTTCTCCTAGGTATGTGCCGGTGATCAGGTACCTTGCTATGGAAGTTGGGAATTGATTTGGTCTGGGACGGGATGTCATTTCTGTTGAGTGACAAACCCTCCAGTCACAAGCGTCAGTGGGGCAGCACTTATGGACTTGCTCAAGAGCAAAAAAAGAAGAGGGAGACGGCCGATTCAATTATGCCGGCCACGTTTGCTGTATGAATCAGATGGCCTATTTATTGGTTCTGATATATCTGAAAGCGTTGCCTCGAGGCTGCTCGGAATGTTAGGTCGGTAGGTACTAGGGTCGGCTGAGATGGGGCGACGCTGATCTGCCCCTTCCTTCCCTTACCATACCTGGGCCGCATCAGATTATCCATCCTCAAGATGGCTTCTATGGCCAACATTGGATGCACTAGCGATTTAATGGGGTGATATAGCTGATGCAATACGCTAGACTTGAGAACAGTCTGGGAGTAGTCAAAGTCTTCCAAGGACTTTCAGAGTCTGCGATGTTCACGCGGTTACGTATGTGAATTTGTGTATCTCACTGCAGGATACCCCCGTATATGGGTACCTGACCCGTCCGTTCCCGATCCAACGAGCCTCTCTCACCGGCCTTGAATCCCCATTGAAACCCCGAAGCCAACAACCAAAGCCAAACGCCAAATTATCACCATATCCCATTCCCATCATTGCCCGTCAGATCCCGGGCCGTGATTCCCTTGTTCCCCTTGTTCATCCGTTTCCACCAGGACTGGCCGGCTACCAGGGTATGCCCGATGGGGCCGCCTTCATCCCCAAACTCCGACACTCCAACCGAGTCCTGTTGACGCAGCGGAGGGTCTCTTCGCACGGAGAGGAATAACCCGTACAAGAGATATACAGACAATCCGGAAGCAGAAGGGGTACCTATAAAGCATGAAAACAAAAAATGCAGAACTGCTGTTGAAACAACGGGGCGGAGGTAGTAGTGTAAGAAACGGACCAATTCCAGTTCGGTAAGGTTGAAGAAAATAGAAAAAAAAGCAAAACGTGTGTGGAAACTGCCATTGAATCCCATGGTGTGTAATGGCGTAAGGGATGACTTTGTAGAAATAAAAGACTTGTTGAGAACCTTGGAATCTCTTAGTTTCGAAGCGTGGCCCGGTGGGGAAGGGAGGAGGGGGTTCAGGTCTCGATGTCCATTCTGGCCGCAATGTCCTCGCTCATACCACGGACAGGACTCCTGTGCATGCGGTCGTCGTCGCTCTCCTCGGATCCCTCGTCGATGATCTCCGACTCGTCGTCGTCGTCATCATCGTCGGGGTATTTCAGATCTCCGTCAGAACCACGATTCCACTCCAGGTCGTCGTCGTCGTCCATATCGTCGTCGCTAACGGCGACGCGCTCCCCTGCCCTGTCACCGAGCCAGAACCTGGCCCTCTTGTTGGCGGCGGAGAACATAAGTCCCTGGCCTCGACGCTTCGACGACAAGGAAAAGTCGGCGCTGAGCTTTCGTCCAACGGCGGAAGCCCTGAGGCTGGGACTGTGACTCATGACGGGGACGCCGCGGACGTAGAAGTAGCACACCCGCTTGAGGGCCTTGTTGAAGAAAAAGTAATGCAGCGACCAGATTGCGCCTTCTTCTTCTTCAAAAGGATCATCCGCAGGTTGGTACGAGAAGACGTTGCAGTCCTTGAGCGACATCTCCTTGTCAATCAAGGCCCACATTTGCGGACCCCATGCAGGGGTCATCGACAAGCCCGGCGGCGAGTTGCGCGCAATGGCGACATCGAGAAAGCTCGAGTTCGGGCGCACGCTGTTCAGAGTGCTGTCGAGGTTGTTCATGACTTGGCGAAGGTTACGCTCGCGCTTGAAGTCAGCCGGGCGAAGGATGTGACTGAAGTCATAGTCCGGATGCGACGCGTTCAGTGTCGCGATGAGATAGGCGAAGGTGCGGCGCGATGACACCTCGGACAGCGGGCCAAATGGTGATGAGCGGCTGAGGTTGAGGCTCGCTTCCAACGAGTCGCGCTGCGGCGGGGAGAGAGATGCGCCGAACTTGAGTAGCGCGGCATGTTGCGACTCGAGTGATTTATCGATGGATTTGTAGAGTTTCTTATCTCCGCCTGCTGCTTTGGTGGTGTAGAGATCGCAGCCGCCTGTGACATGGCAATCCGGCGTGTTGAAGTTGAGCGCGCTGGTGATAACGTCGAAATCGGGGAGTGAGAGGAACTGTTTTCCGTGAGCCCATTGTGTCTCCAACCCATTTTGCCACAGGATAGAGAGAGAAGGGGATGTTGCGCATATGGCCGTACCTTCATCTTGACTTTCTTGACTTGATCTCCGTCCTTAAATGCGCTATGAGGCGTTTTGAGTAGATGACGTGGTTTGCCTGGGTCGAGGGGCACAGGTGCAGTGAGTATGGCTAAAGTGCGTCGCTGAAGGTGCTTCTGTTCTCCGAAGATATTTGGGAGGTGACGGCGTCATGCGATCGCGCGCGAATGCGAGAAGATTAGGAGAGAATGGTCAGAGTGATTCCCGTTCGAACGGCAGGTCTTGTCCAGTCAGATTCGGACACGGCGGTTCGGGCCTGTTTGTCAGTCCAAGTAATGAACAAAGCCAGACGCCAAAAGCGCCTAGAATGCAAACAGGGTCGGGGTAGGCATAATATTTTGGCTGCTTGTGTCGAGTAGTTTGATGGCGATGAACGGATATTGGAAATGTAACAGAGGAAGGAGGCAAGGAGGGGAGGTGGTGGCCGTGGCAATCAGGAAGTTGGAATGCCCGGGCCAAGGTTCTTGGCGTGGTCTGCTGAGATCGGCGCGGGGATGGTGTCGGCTGTTTCTCCACCTTTGCGCAACCATGGAAGTATGTTCCTCACCAAACGTGTCTTGAACACCAATTGCGGTTGGTCGCGGGGCTGAAAGATAAACCACGGCGAAAAATAAAGGTCATGGTGACTCGATTCTGTGCTGCATGCCCGTGGGTAGGGAGGATTGGATCAAGGTCTCTCAGGTCCAATTCACACCAGTTCCGGATACGTACGTTGCGACTGCCTCAGATTCCGTCATCACGGACGGCGTAGAGGGCCGCATCCGGAGCGATCTGGTTCTGTTTCGCGAACCAGATCTAGAAATATCTAGGTACATCATGCCCATGTCTAAAGCTCAAAGGATGGAGTTTGCTCCTTCCTAATGGGAATATGTAGCCCACCGTTCCTTCCCTGCTCTGCCGTGAGGTCGCCATAGGGAGGTACCCATCAGCTTGTCCGCACGGCCCGCGTCCTTGTAAGGGTATCGTTCGAGGGCAGCCTGTTCACTCAAATAAAATCCAGACTCCTTGTGCGCCTTCTCCATGTTCTCCGAGTCCGGCCCCGAATAAGAGTGGCAATGGATTAGGTGCCTAGGTAGGTAGCTGTTTCTCAAACTACGAAACAGTGCGCCCGTGATATGTCCGACCTGGGGATCGATTCGTCGCTAGCAAACAGGTAGGTAGGTAGGTAGGTAGGTTTGGTTGGCTACATTATTTTCGTGACTTCGTCCTCGACCTAGGGAGTAGCAAAATGTGTCAGCGAGAAAGGTGGCAGTTTATACGAAGATGACCCCGAGCAGTGTAGTGAGACAACCGGGCCGGCTTGCTTACCTCCATGTCCTCAAGCGAGTCCTGTTGAGAGATACATCTTAATACATTCTTCTTACTGCTCTCCTGGAGCTCGCCTGCCAGCAGGAGCTCGTCTAGGATGTAGTAGGCTTTCGTGAAGGAGAAGATAATATCGAGTTCGCAGACGTTGCCATAGTATTTGTCCATTTGTTCGACGTAGCGGTGGATGATCTCGAGAGTGATCAACTCGTTGTCGTCGGAGGAGCAGCCGGCGATGAAGAACAAGGATGCATATCGGCGGTAGACAATCTTTGTATCTGCTCATGCCGTTAGCGGTGTGGGCCATAGATTGGCAGGCAGCCCACAGAGATACTTGCCCTTGTATTCTAGAAAGTTGCACATTCGAGTTCGGCGAGCCAAGACGAGCTGGGATACGTCCTTGACAATCTTGGCCTTCTCCCTAGGAGATAGGGTGGTGAACCATTTCGCTAGGCGCTGCGTTGGTGAGCTTCCTGTCAGTGTCTTTTTCTAGCAACGTGGAGGCGAGGGAGGCAGATGCCGTACCACTTTGCCTTGGCGTGAAAGGAGGATCAGATAGCTAAGAGAGCTTTAGTATCATCAATATCGCTGGACATCAAGGTAAGATGGGCGTACTTGATAGCCATGATGACGGCTTCAGCGGTCACGAGGGGAACAGGGCGGGTTGGGAAAGCTTTGCAGTTACGTGGTGGGGATATTCCGTCAAAAAGAAGGGTTGGCCACGATTGTCGAATTCTGGCCCAAGTAATTAAACCCCTGGATGAGGAGGGGCATTGGGCACCTAGTCAGCTGTAATAAATTGGCTATATGGACAAAACTGACCAATTTAGCGTCAACATTATAGCACGTGTTTCTGGAGGGGGAGTAGACTCCGTACAGATTGGGTGAACCTGTACGTGGAGTAGAGCTGAATAGTCATTTATCTCGGCTGATTAGCCTGGTCTGTGATTAGGCGGTCCCCTGCCATTTCCTGGCCCAACTTCACCGCACCCCTCGCCCTCAAACCCTTCTGAATGCAACTTCAGGAGATGTGAGTGCCTCGCAGTAGATTCATGTTCAGGTCCAACGACTTTCTACTCATACCTTCCTTAACCATCTCCATCTCGTCCCCCCACCTGTTCTACACCCCCAGACCCATCTATGGAAGGTCATTCAGGTTACCCCCAAGATCAATTAAGATGCCGTGTGCAATCTGCTACCAGAATGACTAAAGCCGTCTGACTTTCTCATCCCAATCCCACGCTCGCCCCCCATCCCGCATCCCCGTCCACATGTGTCTTGACCTTTTTGGGGGAGCCACACATCTGGCTCTTCCTCTAGGTAGAAACCGTTCGGAAAGCCATTTCTACTACTTGTACCCCCAAGTCCTCGACTCCCAAGTCCACTTGACTCGGGGCTGATTCCCAAACGTGAAGCATAGTGTTGATAGTGGGGTTCCAACGAGCGACTACGATCCATTAATAATCCGCGCTTCAACCCCACAGTGAGGAGCGATCGGGCGGCACTTATTAACTTCGTCTCGTCGGAGTTTATTAGACTGCTCCAGAGCAGAAATTGCCTGTTTTGTACCGATACCAGAGAGCAATTACCTCCCTCAGTCCAACATCCCATCCGGGCGCCATGTCCAAGTTAATCCTGTCCACCGGGTACGCACTCTGACCCCTCATGCGGCGGTCCTGCCGTTGACATCAGGTTGAAAGCTAATTGCGTGATTAGCAACATCGTCTCGGGCGGCCCCTCCATCATCCGCAAACCCGGCTCTTACCGGTCAAATCTAGAACTCACCAACTCGCTCAGGAGCAACTTCATCGCCGCCCAGCAGGACTACGCCGCTCTGGACGGCCTGAATGGTAATGGAACAGCCGTAAATGGGAACGGGAACGGGAACGTCAGGCACTTGGAAAAGCCCCCGGTGTCCCTGTGGACCGCGCAGGAGGGGCAGACCCTGTACGTGCCGCGCATAGACTGGGATGCCGCGGGGCTGCAGGAGGAGCCGTCGCAGTACGACATCACCGTGAAGCTGTTCTTCCTCACAAATGCGCCGGCCTCGGAGCGCGCACAACACGCCCGGGAGGCGCTCGACCTTACCCTGAAGGAGCTGCGTGTCCCCAGTGTTAGCCTGCTCATCGTGTCCTACCCGGGCATGTCCTTTGACGGCGACTGCGAATGGGAGGCCGACAAGAAGAATGCGGAGCAGGGGGACGACGAGGGAGAGTACGCGACCTGGTCGGCCGTCGAGGATCTCCATCGGCAGGGCTTAGTCAAGAACCTAGGCATCGCCGAGTTTGGCAGCGACAAGTTGGCCACGCTTCTCAAACGCGTGCAAGTCCGGCCGACCGTCGACCAGATCAACATCAAGAACTGCTGCAATGTCCCGCCTCCGCTTGTCAAGTTGGCAAAGGAGCAGGGCATCGAGTTGCTGGTCCACGGCGATTGCACAGATATCCTCCCGAAAGGCACCCTGCGAGAACTTCTAGGCCAGGGCATCCAGGGCGCCGGGGTCCTCGCCGACCCAGGCACGGGGACTGGGGGCTTGCAAGGCAATCTGGCCCCCCAGTGGGTCATCAAATATACGGCGGTCGTCCGAGATAGAGGGGTCATTGAGAACAAGGGATACTTTGCCGCGGCTGAGCTGAAACAGTGAAGCGAGAGATGCTTCATCGTTATCTAGAGATGGACATGGAGTTTTTGGTTACTGCACTATTCTGTCCCCTTTGATACCACGATTTCCTTCACGCCAGGTTCACGGCCGAGCGCCGCTATTGCTGCACTCGGTAACCAGTCCCAGTTTCGCGTTATGTTTCCATAGCAGGCATGTTCGACATCATCGGTAGCAGAGATCCAAGCATTACGCAATACACGCCACTACTCTTGGGTATCTTCCCAGCATCAACCAATCATGCTCCTCTTCCGGCCTCGCATCCGCACGTCTTCTAGCCTCCTCAGCACCGGCCCGGCCTGCTTGAACGTCTCCTTGTAAGCGAGGAGCACCTCGTTAAACAGACTCTCCGCTCTCGGGTGTGTGCTTCCAAAGGCCCTCTCGAGGACATATAAATCGACGGCCCGGTCCTCCTCCGATGTAGTCTGTGTCGCGAGGCCAAAGTCGATGAGGACGATATCGCCATCCAAGATCCCGTCTCCCGTAGCAGTATGCCCGTCTGCCCCGTCTCCCACCCACGGCCGCAGCATCATGTTGCTAGTCGTAAGGTCCCCGTGGACAATCGACACGTGGTGCATCCTCCCTATGGCAGTCCCTATCCGCCTCATCAGGCCCACCAGCGGCGCCTGGTCCCTCGCGCTCTCAACCGCCGCGGGCTCGACCCCGGCTCCCCCGGCCCCGGGCCGCTCCCCGAGCCACTCGTTGATGGCGGCCCTGACGGGCACGCCCTCGATCCACTCCATCATCATCCAGCCGGCGGCCTCGTCGAGGGCGTAGACGGCGGGGACGGCGACGCCCTCGCGCCGGCACCGGGCCAGCACGCGCGCCTCGGCCAGGATCCGCGCCCGCGTCAGCCGGGCGTCGAGGGTCGGGTGTCGGTACGCTTTGGCGGGCCGGTGCTTGAGCGCCGCGGGGCGCCCGGGCGTCTCGAGGTACGTCGTCCTGTATAGCCGGCCCTCGGCCCCCTGCGTTATCAGCGTCGGCGGGGTCGACGCGGGGTAGGTGAGGACCTTTGGTGGGGGGAACTGCGGTTCTGCCGCCATGGTTTTTTTCATTTTGGCTGCTTCGCTTTCGTGAGATTTGGGGCAAAGAGATTTGCTGGGGGATGATTGGTATTTTGTTGGATGCGCTTCTCAGCAAAAAGTGAGTATTGAATATGCACTTTTATTGGTGCCAGGTAGGAGCCCGATTGGACGTTGTATATGCAGATAATGTGCTGCGCAGTATGATGCTTTGCGCAAGCTCCGCAAAAAGAGCGCTGTATTTGGCGGGACGTGCCAGCTGCCGTCCACTGAGATCGGGTTATGCTTCGTAACGACGGGACCGTCTGCAGACGGGATGCCTATCGGCCTATATCGAGCGGGAGATAATGCGTGCAGCAGTGCCCAACGGCACGATGGCCAGCAGCAGCCTCAGAAAGCATAAAAGCATCCCCTCCTGTCCCGTTCTCTCTCCTCAGCTTCCTCCATTTCTCCTCTCTTCCACCTCACCCAGGTTTTAGTGCCGAGGGCTGGTTGGCAATGCTAACAAGCACCAGAGTCTGAATAAAATCGCCACTTTACAGGATAACACAAGAAAACGCTCTTGTGGCTAAGCCTTGCCAACGGTAGCAACTGAGGGAGAGAGACGACTTTGCTGCTCAGATGCAGAGGAGGCAAAGACTTATTCCTTCCCTCGCAGACAAGATCAGCGACGAAGACCTCCAATACTTACTCTGATGAGATGGAAAGCTAGAATGAGGAATTTACAAGCCGCCGGAAGAGCATCCCTCCACACTTGACGGCATGTATAACATAGCCCTGCGAGTGGAGCAAACTGCCTCTACACGCGGAGGCATCCTCTCCTCTAAGTCCTTTTATATGCTTCTTGCCTTCCAGATTAGGCGAAAGCGAGACATGCAGCCAACTTTCACATGGCCAAGTGACCAATTAACGCCGTGGCGGTGGGAGGAAGGTGCTCCAGGGGTCTAACACCACAAACCACGGCGCTTGTACCCACCCACAACCTCTCTCATATCACCTTCGTCATCACTTTTGCCTCCCATAACACATGTCCTCACAACCATTTTGCTGGGGCGACTGAGGATATGAGTTCAGTGACGATTGCTTATCCTGAACCCTCATTGCTTTTCTCTCCAAATGTTATAGCAATCACACCGCCATGACCAACTCCTCCACCAGCCAGTGGATCCTGCTCCTGTCCCTCACCGCCCTTCTCCTCTCCCTCGCCGTCCTCTCGCAGATAGCCTCGCGCTACGCAACGGCATACCTCGCTGCCCCGCGCGAGATCTCGAGCTTCATCGACGCCGTCGACTCCTCCGTCGCCGAGAACGAGTCCTACGACCGCGACGTCGCAAAGGTGCCCCGCCTGGAGGACAAGCTCCGCCTCGGCCGCCTCCTCCGCGAGATCCAGAAGGGCGGCGACGACCTGAGGGAGGGGCTCAACGATCTGCTGGTGGGCGGCGGCGATGGCGCCGACGGCGACGACGGAAGCAGCGACGAGGGTGGCCGCCTGCGGACCGCGGCCAGGATACTCTGGGCGGGCAAGAGAGTCGAGCTGGAGGAGCGGCTGCGCCGGCTGGACCTGCTGAGGATGCGCTTCCTGGTCATCTATATGGGAATCGTCGCAGGCACGGCCACAGAGGCGGCAGCCAAGCAGCAGCAGCAGCAGCAGCAGCAGCAGCAGCAGCAGGCCACCCCGAAGGATCCGGAGAAGGCCGCCGCGGCCCGCCGCGAGCCCGGACACCTTTCGCAGTCCCTGACCGACGGCATCATCAGGGAGAAACCCCCGTTGCGACGGCTGACGACCCTGGCGATTGGGCACGGGGATTCCGTTGAGACACCGCACAGGGTGGGCTGGGCGGGCGTCGTTAAGGAGCTTCAGAGGAGTCCCTTGCTACACAAGCGGCATGCGAGCATCGAGACGGCCATGTCGCGAACCCCGTAAGAACGACGGACGGTATTTGGCGTCTATCCCTCGTCGCGGGAATATTTAAACCCGCGTACGACAATCACGAGGCACTGTATTTGGTTGGACGTGTTTCCATTGATCACTTTGGGAGTTTGACAGCTTCCTGACGATGGCGTCCTGACGAGCTTATGTCATATATGACTTCTACGACTGCGAGCTGATCCGGGAGTTTTTATGCTTGATGAGAAGATGAGGGACGAGTGATAAAGCATTCAAGATTTGGAGCATTTACCTAGCAGTCAGTATCTGGCGGAGTTCTGGTCACTTCACATTTCGATACCCCTAATTTCATGGCATTATTGCCTTTCGGTTCTGCATCACCCTGTTCATCACCCACAATATTCCCATTGCTGCGGATATTACATGTTTCCTAGGGTATCACACTGCACATTTCTGCCTTCTGTTAGACACCTCACCGCTCAGGACAGTTTCCTGGGGCCTTATCATGTGCTAGACGGACATGGGGTTTACACTGCATCAGCACCTTAGCATAAGAAAGAGTTCATGGCTTGATTCAATCTACAGAGCTTTTCCATGTGCAAATATTTTGAAGATATAGTCAGCCAGATGTAATTATTGAACGAACTAGAGAAGCCTGATCAAGCATTCTGATGGCTATCTGACTCAGTGCGCCGCCATTGCCGCATCCGGACCGAGTCCGTTCTTCTCGCCAACTATAGAACCATTAGCCATCTTGTTGTCCTCGAGTAGAGCGATGTGAAAGCAGGGGGGGATACATACCATCCAAGGCAACGAGGAATCGGCTCACGCAGTTGTAGCACGCAACCTGTTTCCACCACGAGGTTAGCACAGGGAGTTCTATCGCCGCGATGCTCTCGCCAGCCATATCCACCAGTTCATCCGGAGCGGAGTATGCCTCACCGTAGCCGTAATCTCCACCACCTCCTTCTCACTAAACAGCCCCTTGAGCCTCGCAAACGTCTCCTCCCGCACCTGCACATTCCGCGTCATCTCATCCGCATAAACCAGCACAGCCCACTGCCTCTCACTGAACCCCTCACTCGCCTCCCCATCCCCCAACTCCAACGGTCCCTCCCTCCCGACCACCCCCCCGGGCCCGTACACCAGGCCCTCGTCCACGCCCGCCGCGACCGCCAGCGGCGCGTGGTGGGCCCACTCGTACCACGCGCGGTTGACGGCCGCGACGCGCGACACGGCCAGCTCGCGCAGGTCGGCCGCCAGCGACGCGCGCGTCCGCACCGCGCCCAGGAACGAGTTCCACCCGTCCGCCACCGCGGGGCTGTGCAGGAGCGCCAGGTCCAGCGGCTGCAGGGGGCGCGGCGCGCGCCGGGCCCGGATCCGCGCCACGGTCGCGGCCTCCTCCGGCGAGGCTGTCGGGGGGGGGTCGGGGACGTAGGGGATGCGCATTTTTGTTTTGGTTTTTCCTAACTGGAGCTCTTTGGCTTCTTGGGGTGGGGTGGTGGTGGGGGTGATGTAATGAAATGGTGCGGGGAGAGTGAGATGTTCTTGAAATCTTGGGGTATCCGTAAACTGACACGGAGCTGAGGAGAGGAAAAGCGTATATAGTCGAGGATCGGGAGAAGAAGGAAAGGGAACCGTTCTCTGAATAGAAAGAAAAGAAGTGAGGGCGGGATGAATTTCGGTGTTGTCCGGGCAAGCACCCCGGTCCGATGGCGGATTGCCCCGGCGCCGCTCCAGTCGGGTGGATCTGGGAGGGGGAGGGGGCGGGAGTGGGCCTCGGTAAATGAAGAAACAGACGAAAACTTGGAGCCGGAGAAAGGCTGGACTTGCTCGGGATGATGTGACTTAGGAAAGACCTTTTTGTACTTGGTTTTCTCTGGATTGGTTTCCACTCACCCAGCAGAGCATTGATAGGAAGGCAGTTCTAGAAGCTACACGTATTGCGGCAGAAATGAGGCTACAGATCAGCCCGATTCCAGCGTAGAACCACAATCAGGATTTCTGAAGACAACCAACTGCCATTTCACAGAAGCCGCGCTGAAGAAGAGTCCACATGTTCCGATGAGCCACTGAAGCACGAGAGAAACAGCTGTAAATCAGGACTCCTCAACCCGCTCAAAGCTTCTCACTTGCTTCTACCTCTCAAGCTACTCTCAAACGCTTGGTCGTCTATATCAGCCCTCGGCCTGCCTCGTTGCTCTAGAGTCCAACAGCGCTCCCACTCTTCCTCCCCAACAACCATCTCCTTGGCCATAGGCCTTCTAAGGTTACCCCCTCCAGACTGGGATCGGTATCAATTAAGCTGTATTCTCCTTTTCCAAGCAGGACTGGCATCCTGTCATGTGGACTCCCGTATCATGAAAAAGTATACAAGTCAGATTGACAACAAGAGCATGCTCTTCCTGCAGTGTGCTTTCCAAGAAACGAGACAAAGGGTACAAAAATATATGAATAGATAGATAAATAGAAAATAGATAGAAAAGGATAAGGACAAACTCGCTCGAAATATTTTATAACCCCCAACACCTTGTATATTGCTGACTGCCCCAAACAAGATTAACGCCTGCCCTCGGGGTGATGGTTACGGTCCGTGTGAAACGCCTGACACGCCGCACCATAACAAATATATCGCTGACATTGCCTATTCTTTCACGATTCGGGGGACTGAGGAAAGTTGTTCCCGGTGAGACCGTCACGGTTGACAGTCGGCAGTTCGAAAGAGATAGCCATGGAAGCCGGAACGGAGCACAACCCACTGAACGCACGGTACCGAGGGTTCTGTCGCCGAGGATGCTCCTCTGTGACGAAGAGATGTGTTCCCAAAGTAGATGGTGCAATATGTGAGTGTGGTAATACCAAATTCCTCGCACAACATTCCATTGGTAGGCATCATCAACTGTTCGGTGCTTTTCCGTCGCCATTGGCTTCGGTCAACCCCACCAAGCCTGGTTGCTTATCCCGACCCTCCGCGCTATCCGGCGTCGTCTTCCTCGTCAGGCTTGCCGTCTCGGGCTCCTCGGGTATCGTCGCGAACTTCTTCAGCACCTGCTTCAGCGCCGGACGTCGTATGGGCTTAGCCAGGAACTCGTCCATTCCCGACTCTATGCACTCCTTGACGTTGCTCTCCTCGGAGAAGGCCGTGAGAGCGACGATGGGCGCCGAGTAGCCCATCTTGCGGATGAGGCGGGTCGACTGCAAGCCATCCAAGTTTGGCATTTGAATGTCCATGAAGATGACGTCGAAACGTTGGTTCTTCTCCATGTTCGCCTTCACCAGGTCATATGCTTCCTGGCCGTCCGTCGCAATAGTGACATCGTACACATCCTCGAGCTTGAGCATCTTGCTGACAACTTCGATGTTGGTCGAGTTATCATCGGCGACTAAGACGCGGAGCTTGCCGTCGCTCTTATTGGCTATTGCCCTGTTTATGGCAGCCATCTGATCTTCCTTGCTCAGTACCGGACTGGGGTTCGAAGCGAAGAACGGTTGACTTAAGCCGATGAGACGCGGTCGTTTATCCATGACGGGGGCAGACTTTTGATCAGCCGAAGCCTTGGCCAGTGAGTTGCCCTGACCATCACCATCCGCAGACCCTATGCTTGGAGGCCGGGAGGTCATGCTGCTCGACGCAGTGCTCGACGCGCTGAATGAAGGAAGGATGGTTAGCTACCTTACTCGCGTGCAGCGTGGCGGGGGAAAAGGGGGGGTGGGGTAGTTGTGGGGGAGACTCACCGGTCCCTCACGTATTTCAGAGGAATCTGCATTTTGAAGGTAGTGCCCACGCCAACGACGCTCTTGAGGGTGATCGATCCTCCCATCAATTTGGCCAGTTGCGAGCAGATACTCAGACCAAGACCAGTGCCGCCGAACTTCTTGCTCAGCCCCGGATCACCCTGTACAAACGGCTCGAAGATCTTGTCATGCATGTGCTCGGCGATACCGGGACCCGAGTCCTCGACCTCGAACTCGAACATGAAGGGCTTGGCACTGACTGGTGGAGGCGTCGGTGACCTCTCCCAAATGTGCACCTGCGGCGTGGCCTTCGGATCCAGGGGGTTGATCGAGAGCGCCGTACCTCCCTTGACAGGCGTCACTGATGTTGTTTGCGCCTTCGAGCTACCCGAGTGCGTGGATCCGGATCCCACCCTGTGACGAGAGCGGCCTCCTCTATTTGAACCGCTCTTGGAAAACGACGATGACCTGCTCTCATCACTCGGTTGCTCGATTTCCCCGAGGCATCGTATCCTGAGCTGGACCTTGCCTCCCGCCGGTGTAAACTTGAGACTGTTGCTCACCAAGTTGATGATAACTTGGAGAATCCGGTGCTGGTCGCCCCAGAGACACATGTCCTTTAGTCGACCTGCTCCTGGGGGTCCCAGTGCTGGCAGCCTCCTATCCATGCTAGTCCTGTCGGGCCCCGGATTCGAATCGGTATTCTCGGCACCGACGAAGCTGACGGTGAAGGTGATATCGTGCTCCCGCACCTGCTTGTCGAAGATGGACACCATCTGCGACCTAATATCGCCCAGTCGGAACTCCTTCTCCTCGAGACTGATCTGCTGGCCTATCTGGTTCTTCGAGAAGCTGAGGAGGTCCTCGAGGAGGTGGAGGAGGAGGTCACCTGCATCAGTCAGTTTAGTACTTCATCACCCATCCCCTCATCACCCACGCGTTTATGCAGCATACCTGATTTGTAGAGAGTCTTGAGAGACTGTTTTATCCGGACAATGTCATCCTCTTCCATGCAGACGGCGCACATGCCCATGATGCCGTTGAGCGGCGTCTTAAGCTCGTGCGAAATGTTGGCGATGAACAGCGTTTTGCTCTCGTTCGCCGCCTCTGCGGCCTTCTTGCTGATTTCCAACTCCTTAGTCCTCTCGGCAACCTTCTGGTCCAGTGACGTGTACTGCTTAAACAATTCCTCGGTCATCTCGTTGAACGTCTGGGTCAGCTCTGTCAGCTCATCGGTGATGAAATGCTTCCGATCGTCGACTCTCCCGGGTATCTTGAATACCCGGCGATGAGAGTCCCCGTCTTGCTCCATTCTCGCCCTCGCTTTCCGTTTCCTTATCCGCCGCTTGATCTTCCCAAAGAAGCCCTTTTCCGATGCGTGGGACACAGTGCCACCAGAGCTTGGGTCCTCATCGTCATAATCGTCCCCGTACTCGGTCTCGTATCCTGGAGGAGCGATTGACTTTTCCGTCGCCGCCTTTAGCTTCCGAATCGGCAAGACGCTCAGGTGGGCGCAAGGGATGATGAGAACCAAGATGAGCCCGGCGGTGCCAAACACGCAGCCAAGCAGGATCTTCCTCAGCTTTGAGATTGGCGCGTAGGCCTCCTTCTTGTCTTGCTCTACGATCACGGCCCAGCTAACGAGGGTTGTCTGTGGACGTGCCACGCCAACAGCTACCGACTTGCCTTGCTCGTTCTTGGTGGACAGCGTCGATGTGGCGTTGTTTACTTTGGAGTTGTTGGCGTAAAAGACTTTCAAAGCGGCCGGGTAGTCCTTGAGGGGGAAGTTGTCGTAGAAGTCGCCCGAGCCAAAGCTATGCGACGTATGCCGGTCCGGCTGGCCAGGGGCCGGGACGGGGGGAAGGACGAAGCGCACATCGGAATTCGCAAAGGGTTCCAGGGGAGGGGTATATGAGCCATTGCTCACAGATAAGGAGGAATTGAAGCGGTTGAAGGGGTTGATGGAGCTTATCATGAGCACCATGCCCGTGTTGCCCAGCCCCTCGCGGGACATCTGAATGCTGACCAACGACTCGGCAGACGCGACCAATGTCATATACCCGAGGATGAACTCGCGTATTTTGTTGGACCTGATGGGAATGGTGATGGATATCAAGGCGTATGACTCGTTGATCACCAGGGGACCCAGGAGGAGGCCGCCATTGTTGCTCAGCCGGACGTCGGGGAAGGCGTTCGCAGCGAAAGCAGGCGTGTCGGGCATGGAAGGATTCGCATATCCCAGGTCCTGGTACGTGATGTTGGGGTAGAGCATGGGCGGGTATCCGTACGAGGTATCGCTGAGGTTGGCCCTGACTCCATCCGGGGTCAGGTAGGGAAGCTGGATGTTCAGCGTCTGGTTCCCAATCCCGCTGCCCGTCACGTTGAGGAGGCCCCCAGGGTTGCCGGTCGTGTTTCGAGAGTAGAGCCTTGCCTGCAGTAGTCCTGAGAGGCCGCCTGATGTGAGGGCAGTCTGTAGATCCTTGTGAGCTTCCACGAATGGCTCCTCGCCGCCTGCTTCATAGAAAGTCGAGAGACCATTTTGGATTAGTAGCCGTGACGCAATGGACTGGCAGGTTGTCTGGACCAATTCTATCTCGGAGGAGATTCTCGCCGCCTTCAGCGACGCAGTCAAGGCGAGCCCGTCAGATTCGACGTCGACGACAAAGTTGTGCACAAATATCCACGTCGGGATCGAGACGATAGCCAAGGCTACTAGGACTGCGAATATCACGAGGGCCGCAAGCTGCTCGCGGATTGCAACCCTCATCTTCATCGGACGGTAAGCGGGGGTCCCAGCGACGGGGGACACGATATATGCATTATTCTGGGGAAGAGGACTCGGCGGGGCTTCTTTCGCATCTGTCTGGACGGTCTGGACGGTCGAAGAGGCCACTGTGGAGTGCTGCGTTCGCGTGCCGGGGCCGCGAAAGTTCCAGGCGGGTAGGATCCGACGGCTCAGCTCTCCAGTCGCCTCTTGAAAGGAGGCAGGCACCTCGTTTCAATTGTCACGTTCACGGCGGCGTCAACGCGGAGGTTAAAGCCTGGTCGACGCAGGAACGGACGCAGGAACGAGGTCGTGGTCAGCCTTGCGTGTAGACCGTGCAAAGTTCTTGCGCGCCGGGAAATTGCTTATTTTGAAGGCATGGATGCACGCAGGCTAGACTTGTCGGCGTTTGCGGAGGCTGAGGGTCGAAAAGGGCCAGTGACTTGTCGGTGGGACGAGAGACTGCCCTTGGGACGAGAGAGTGTCCCCTTGCGATGCGATCCGTTCGTTGGATTATCGCGACCCAGCTCAGGTGAAAAAGAGCTGGAGACTAAGGTCGATCGGACGGGATTTGACAAGAGATCGACGGTTGGGGCAACATCGAATTGGATCGAATTGGCAGCGAGCTTATTACTTTTGGCACTACCTAGTAATCCCACACCCAAAAGCATCGGCTGAAGGTCCAGCCGCCAGCGGGTCTGCTTGAATCCGTGAGATTGGCCCGGGCAACACACGAGGCCCAGACCCGGCGGGGCGCCCTTTTGCCAAGAAAGGTGGGATTTCGCCCCGCCGAACCAGGAGTGCGAATCTCGAACAATCCGATTCAACCAACAACCTAGGGTGGAACAGCATTAGTGCTACAATCCACCACATCTTGGATATGGGGATTCTGCGAAGCAATCGCCACTGAAGACCACCCAACAGACGACAAGGATTAGGCCATTACTGCATATTGAGAGGAGCATGATTAGTTTAAAGTGAAGGTCAGGGACATGTATGCGGAGCACCGCAAAATAGGTACAACTTTTGGACAAGTACCTATATGGATATAAGCCCACCTAAGGTCTCTTCCTATCATGCAATGGATCTCAGCAAGCTTTTTGGACACGAGCCACAGGACAAGGAGAGGAGAAAGATGAGTGGATGTCGAAGGTCAGCCTAGCGGCCCCACTCTCAAAACCCCCCCAATTTTAGCTGTGGGTGCGTGGTAGGTAGGTAGGTACCTACCCCTGGCACTTTTATGTAGGTGTAGGTAAGCAAGCATTGGGGATTGTGAGCCGTTAACGGATTCCTGCTATGCTATACATACTCCGTACAGATGCCTCCTAAAAAGGCGGAAGAAATGCAAGAGTTTAATCCGGAGCGTTTTATTGAGAGGAAAGGGCTTGTCCCCATGCGAATTGCGGAGGCTGCGGAGGCAGGGAGGAGTGTGGAGCTGATTCTGAAGCTTGGACTGCCAACGAAAACGAACGCGCGGTAAGGCAAGGATCAGCAGCGGCGTGAAACCAATTATCCGTACGTGCAATGCAGCGTCTCTGCAGCCAAAACTTCCTACTCAGCTCCATTGCGCCATCGAGGTGAACAAGATTTGAGAATCCGCCAGAATTCGCCTGATGGTCGCTGAGAGTCTCTGCCTAGTTGCGCTCTTTGTCCGCCTGCCGTGCCGCGAGCTAATGACAGTGATGCTGACGAACAAGTCATTTATGGAGCCAACCGGCCAGGCGGGACTTGTCTGGTTTATTGCTGGGATGGCCGGAGGTTATTTACCTAACCATCATATTACTTACCTAACCAGTCATGTTATTTACCTAACCGTCATGCAGCAATTCCACCTTGCCACTACAGCATCAAATTTTCAGCCTTGTGCTCAGTACGAGCAGATTCGGATAGCTTCATATTGATCATAAACACATGAGTTAATAAAACAAAAGAGAAAAGGGGGAAATAATGGATGATGACAAAAATGGCATTACAAATCGTAAAAAACCAGACCAGGTCTTCTTCCCCCAAGATCCCAGCAAACATAGCCGACCCCAGCCAATGCATTCCCCACCGCTTGCGCCGTTCCGAGTCCTCAGCACCGCCGGAGGCCCCCCTCAGTACCGGCTGAAAATCAACGGAACCAGCGCCGTCTGGCTCTCCATACTCCGATGATCCGCCTGCACGGAACTCACATGCGCCACGCTCCTCCCAAACAGCCCCTCCCGAAACCCAGACCCAAACCGGCTCCCGAAACCCCCTCCGCGCCCCGCAACCGCCGCCCCCCCGCAACCGACGCCCGTCCCAAGGTTCATCCCCGGCAGCCCCATCACGGCGGCCGATCCACCAACACCCCCGGCACCCGCCGCGGCCCTGCGCTTGCAGAACTCGCGCGACAGCTTCGCCAGCACCGTCTCCTTGGCCCGCCGCAGCGCCGACGACCGCGCCGCCGCCTCCTCCGCCTCCGCCAGCAGCTCCGCCTCGATCGACAGCTGCACCGCGCTGAGCCCGCTCTCCGCGCCGGTCCTCTCTTCTGCCGCCGCCGCCGCCCTGGCCGCTGCTAGTGACGACGACGACGACGAGGCCATGGACCCCTTGGATGGTGTCTTTGTCAGCGGCGCCTGCGGCTGAGGCTGGACGGTCCTGGCAGCGGAAGACGGGTCGTAGACGGTCGGCTGCAGGAGGACGGGAAGCGGGTCCGGGTTGAGGATCGGTGCCGAGATGTTTGCGTCCGGGTCCGGGTAGTGGCGGGGACTGGGGGCCCTGCGCGACGGCGGGGCGGGGATGGCGGCCTCGTCATCCGAGGAGAGCACCTCCGCGATGAAGGTGACGGGCATGTCAGGCAGCTCGGGCTCCTCCTCCTCCGAGTGGCGTCGCCGACGGTCGTGGTGGTGGTGGTGGCCGTGCCGAGAGCGCGACCTGTGACGGCTGCGATCGCGGTCGTGCGTCTCGTCGCTGCGAGAGTGCTTGTGCCGGCTCCCGCTGCGGTGGCGCCGCCCGCCGCGCCGCTCGTCCGCCGTCTCCGTCGCGGCGGCGTCGGATTCGGCCCCGTCCTTGCGGTGGTGCTTCCGAGACTTCTTCTTGCGGACGCGGCGCTTCTTCAGTTTCGCGCTGAAGCCGACGACCGCCTTCTTTTTGGCAACAGCCTCGGCGTCCTCCGCGGGACCGCCGTCGTCGGCAGTCCCAGCCACGGGAAGCGTCGGGTCGTCCTGCTGCTGCGCCGCGTCGGTGACGCCGCGTGCCCACTCCTGGACACCCGCCTCGAAGGCGTCGACGTCGTTTACACCACCGAACACCATGCCCTCGAGGTCGACGTCAAACAGCTCCTTGCTAGCCGCAGCAGCTGCAGCAGACGAGACCGGCAGCCGTTCATCCTCGTGCGTGCTCGCCACGCCGGAGCCAGAGCCTGAACCAGAGCCCGAGCCAGACCGAGAGCGCGACAGGGTGGGCACAGCCCGGAAACCCGCGCTGCTGCCGCCGACCGAGCGGCGGGACCAGACGTCGCCGGTCCCGGCAGCCGTCAGGGGTTCCAGGGCGTCGTCCCAGCTCCCGCCGTCGGACAGCACGACGTTCTCGAGATCAAACTCGCGCACCGATGCCGCGTGGGCGGCGACGAGGCCGCGCAGCTGCGGCGCGTTCATCTCGGCGTTGCGCACCTGCATGTACCGCAGGCGCGGCATGTGCAAGGGCCGGCGCGACGGCCGCGCCGGCAGCGGCGACATGGGCGACGTCACCTCGGCGAACAGCTTCCTGCAGGCGCGCGGGGGCGAGAACAGCGGGTCGGCCGAGAGGGCGAGCGGGCACGGGCCCCGGCGGCCCAGCCAGGTGAAGCCGAACTTGTCCAGCCCCGGCGCGAAGAGGCGGATGTAGTCATCGATGATTTTGAGGTGGTCCAGTCCCGGAGACGGGCCGTGGAAGTCCCAGGCCTCGACCGAGATGTACAGCTTCCGGATCAGGCGCCACCGGCGGGTGCTGGCCGGTGATGGGCCGAAGCCCGGCGACGGCCGTAGGTAGTTGAACGCGGACGGGTGGACGGCGGAGAGGGTGAGCTTGGTTAGCTTGACGAGGGGTGTCCGCTCGACCGCGATGCGCAGGCTGATGAGCGCATAGTCCACGACGTCGCGCCGGTAGCGCTCCTTGGGTTGCTGCCCAGGGGTCTTGATGGTGAGGTGCCTCATGTTGGGGATGTGTTTCATCGCATTGATGAAGCTGGGCACATTTGTGGCCGCGTGGAAGAGCGGCGGGTACTGCTGCATCAGGATATCGCCCAACTCCGTGTTGCCGTACTTGGGCCGGGCTAGGACGGATGCCATGGATGTGTGAGGAGTGTACAGGTAGGAGATCTCACGTCCGGTCGAGGGGTGGATCAGCGGGGGGAGGAAGGTGGCATCAGAGTGGGCGAAGTGGAAGGTTAGGTGTTCGATGTGATGTCCGATCCTGGTCAAGGCCTGGATCCTACTAGGTTTTGTGAATGTGTTTGCCGTGAAAGTCAGGTTGGTTCGTAGGAAGAGGCGCTTCGTAACAAGGTTGCAGCATGCTGAATTTGCGACCCTGAGGGAGCAGATATCCTCCTTGGGTAGGAGCTCAAACAGTCTGTCGGCGATTGATTTGTTCTGCCACAGGCAGTAGAATGCTTGTGGTGCGGTCGCCATAGCTGTCGCATGTCGCTGAGAGTCGGCCAAGATGATCGCTGTCTTTGTTCAAGGGTCTGGTCTGCGAACCGATGCTTCTCAGACTCTTCACAGCAGGGGAGGAGACAGCTGGATTATAACTGTAGATTGGGATAACAATGGGCCAATAGGGCAAAAGCAGGCCAACAACGAGGCGACTTCGGAGAAATGGAGGTGCGGATTGGAGAGACAGAGAGAGGGTGAGGGGTGAGGTGGTTAATCGGCCTTGATGAGTGGGTAGACCATGAGCTTAAGATTTATTATCGAGACAACGATACCGAGTCAAATTCGAGTGGGATCACAAGATACAGGCCATTGACGCCGAGCGAGGAGGGACGAGGGAAGAATTGGATTGATTTCTGATCCAAAGATGGCCGACGGCAGTTATACCCAGCCGACTCGCATCCACGACCTCCTCCCCCTTCTCTGCCCATCCATTCTGATTTAGCGCATCACGTCGCTCAACAACGGCCAAAATCGAGATTGACTGGCGATGAGTGACTCATTCATGGCAGCCGATGCAGCAGCAGCATGCAGGAGGGAGCGGTGGGTTAAGTAGGGTCTTCGCGGTCGCGAAGGGGGACTCGAACCGCGCCAGGCCGATTGAGTGGCCCGCAATGCAGGTCTCCCGCATGGCCCCAATGCAGCCGTCTGCAACCGTCTCATGGCCAGGTGTTCGCAGCCAGTCAAGATTTCAGGAGGCCTGTTAGCTGCGGAGGGATGAGCTGCAAGCTGCAGGACAAGCGCTGTCGATAAAGAGTGGGGTGCGACGCGGTAGAAGGTGGCAGGGACTTGGTGCCCAAACAGCCAATGGCAGGCCACTGGTGTGTCGAAAATGATGTGGCTGGGGGGTTGTATCGCGTCTGTTTCGTGTTGTCGTGGCGCAACGCGCGCCAGACGTTCTGCGACTTGACGCGGTCGATTCCCCCGCCCTGCGACGCCAGCTGGCAGTATAAAAGGGTCTTGCAGGCGCCCTTAGGCGGAAATTCTGTCTGGCTTCTAGGTCAGGGGAAAATGGGAAAACCTGGGGAAATGAGAGGGCAGGTCTCTCCTGCGAGGCGACGGGATAGAAGCTGCCCACGTTGTCGCGAGAGTGAGTTGTTTGTCATGCGAATGTGGGTGTGTCAGTCAGGTCGGGACGAGGACGAGTGTCCCTGGCTCAGGCGTGCGTGATTCGCAACTGACGAGCAAGTCATGATCGACCGCCCTCACATCATTCCTCGTGGGAAATCTCCGTAGGGAGCCGCGAAATGCACGCGCGGATTCCCCCCCCGCAACCCATGCGCGCGGAGGGGGAAGTCTCCTCCCGCAACCAGACTCCGCACTTGGATGCAACCTCAGCATGCAGCATGCTCATAGGAGAGAGGGTTTATTTCGAAACACCTCCTATCCATGTGCTTGGCTCTAGCCACTGAGCGAATGACAAGGGCTATTTCCGATCCTGGCCAACCTACGTTGTACACCGTCAACGGCTTGTGACTAATCACCAATCCCTCTACTTCAAAGAACTTCACTGTCTCTTAAGCTTATACCTCTAGAACTCCTGTTGATCCTCCGAAGCAGACCGTGGGTCTGATATGATATGCTGCTATTCGGCAGGACGACCGCGGCGATTAAACAGTGATGGCCTGCTCTATGGCTGGACTGAGTAGTCTCGGTTTTGACCCTACAGCAGCGAGGAAGGTGGCCTGCTTCCTTGTCTGAGAACCGGGTATTGTTGATTGGCCGCGATCTATTTTCATGAAGGCCTTTCATGAATGTCATAAACTCCGGATCAACTTGACCCACCGTCAAAGCTTGCTAGTAGCAAGGAAAGCTTATCCTGCACCTTGAGCTCATCTCTCTCCTTGCCTTGCCTGCTACTGTCAGTCTGTTTGCTATCCATAGTGATGCCGAGTCGGGCTGAACTGCGAGTCGGGTGGTATGCATGTGACACCAAGCTGGGTGGCTAGGGCTATCACCAGAAGAGGCCCGGCCAAGGATATAGTAGGGTCAATCATCTAAGGAGCTGCCGCCGCTTGCCCTGATTTTCTCGCTTGCCTAACACTCGATCCTTATTTCACACACCAGATATCTTCGCAAGTACTCTGTTATGGGCGCCCCATTACATGCTCTCATATACCTCTGATGATGGCTTGGCTCCTATTTTTCTGCTGTTTGCTTATGGGCTCTCCGTGCTTTTGCGGCTGCCGCCCCATCTCATGCGCGGAATTCCGAGCCTTTCTCTACTCCAGGGAACCCTGAGCTACCACTCTGCAAGTTCCATGCTGCTCCGTGGTCCGAGGTACCGTTATAGTTTCGGGGCTGCAGACTTTCTCCAAACCTTCCTGGTCTCCTCGCTCCAGAGCCCTCATCTTCAAACTCCAAACCACCACCCACAATCCTAGTTCCGTGCCAGTCGACTCCCCATTCCGTCTTCGATCCATAGCCATGGCCACGGCAATCTCAGCGCCAACGATGAGTTCGGAACCAGAGTGCTTGATCTGCACAAGGCGTAGGCATCTCTGCCGACTGCCATGTGGCCACCACCAATGTTAGGACTGTCTGCGCAGGGGCATGAGGCTGGCGGTCGCCCTCAAGCCCTTCTCCCCGTTGCGGTGCTGCTACACCATCGACCTCGAGATCCCAAAGGAGGTCGTCCGGTCCCGCAAACTCAGCGTCTACGCCAAGTTGCTCGTCGAGTACGAGACCCCGCTCCAGCCGTACTGCTACGTGCCGACACGTCGCACCTTCATGCCCATGGGCAATCGGTCGCCCGGGCTCGCGACTTACCCCGAGTGCCAGGCGAGGACCTGCAGGGCGTGCAATATCGCAGCGCACACAGGACCGTGCGCGTGCCGGCCCGCCGCCCGCCGCGAGCTCGAGGCCGAGGGGCAGCTTCTGAAGTTCGCCAAGTCCAAGGACTGGCGACGATGTCCCAGGTGCTGCGAAGTAGTGAAGCATATAATGTGAGAAAAGCAGCACAAATTGCGTCAAGGGAGACTCTGTATTAGATGCAAGTGTGGCCTCGCACCATATGCCGGTCACCACTGCGAGAGATCGTGGGCTGGACTGCATGGTTGATAGAGCAGTATCGGCATCGGAGAAGTGGGTTATCTGAGTAGCATGCAGGGGGATGGACGAAGTCAGCCTGGAAAATCCCATGGCAATTACAACGAGCATGTTACTTATGTTTGAACGGATAACGGCAGCTCTCTATTCCAGGGTAGAAGAAAGTTGAAAATCAAAGCTAGATTGAGCCATAAACGCCGTGGGAATAACCAGCAAAGCAACCCATGGGTCCGAGTCTGTTCCCGCAAGATAAACATCCTTCCCTTCAGTACAACAATTACTCCCGCCCCAAAGCCCCCTTCCCCAAACCGCATGCCCTCGAATGAACCAACACCTCCCTACCGATCTCCACCTAGCAATCATAAGTGACAAACAGCCCCGCCCCCTCGACCTCAGTGAACGCAACGCTCCCCTCCGCCCCCGCAATCTGCAGCCGGAAAGACAACTCGGGCCTACACGAGAAGCTATTGACCGTCCTCACGATAGCCTCCCCAGGCAGGCTCGCCAGCGCCACGGTGCCCACGACGGCGCCGGCGGCGGGCCCGTCGAGCGCCACGACGTCGACCTGGGAGCTGCCGGTCGTCGCGACCGGGTACCCGGCGGGGAACGCGAGGACGAGGCTGCACGGGCCGCGGGCCCCGGCCGGGATCGAGAAGGACACGGTCGCCGGCTGCGACGACGGCGGCGTCGCCGTCCGGGAGACGGAGATGGGCAGCGGGAGGCCGGCGACCGGGTAGGTTGTCTGGCAGGCGCGCTTGGCGAGTGGGGTGGCTGTGGCGGAGAGGGCGGCCGTCAGGGCGGCGAGGATGGTGATGGGGAGCTGCATCTTGGGTTGGTGGTGGTGTTGGTGGTGGGTTGGTGTGTATTCTTCTTTTTTAAGGAGGTTTGGAGTGATGATGCTGGAAGCAGAGGTACCTCTGAAGAAGTAGGAGTGCAAGAAGCCGGTCTAAAGGAGCTCGTGTGGTTTTCAGAGAGAGAAGCCGCTGATGCTGATGAGAAGAGGCAGACCATCATAAACGGAGACCATCAGGTGCTTTTTATACACAACCATCACGGAGAGATTGTCGATCACGGTGCAACCTCGTATTGTCGAGGCTCAGCATCCACACCAGCAGGCCATCAAGAAGATGGTGGAAAGGCTGACTGTGTCACGACAATGCAATATCCAGGCCAAAGGAACAACCTCAGCCAAATTTAGCCACAGTAAGCAGGCCAGCCCTAAGGGGCTATATTCGGCCGATGAGTTGATTCTCTCGTGGAGGAACGGCAACGGAATGTGTTAGTTGAGGCACATGGCTAAACTGTTGGTGAGAAAACAAGACACGCATGCGACCACGAGGCCAGGTTCAGCTCATCAGCCCAGCACGAGCTACCTTTCTTACCAAAATACAGCGTGGTACCTACATGCTCAACATGTCTGCATTGAAGAAGGCATGGCTATGGAATCCAATGCCCGCATTCTTGCGCAGCTCAAGTCCATGATGGAGGAGCAGCGAAATATCCCACCCCGCCCGACAATGCTGCAGGCGTAGCCAACGTGGATGACGGGCCTACATTGCACCAACGGCTTCCGGAAAAGGCGTTTGGAGCCCGTTCAGGACCGTACACGACTTCCACAGAGAGCTGCGCGGCGGACTCGAAGTCGGAGACGGTAAGTAAGCTCTCCCTAGCCTACGAGTACTTGTCTCTTTCCACAACCAGCCGTGGCCCAGGCCCAAGCAGTCTGAATATCATGGCGCGGGGTGACGAAGGTAACCGCCATTGTCGAGTCAATCCGCGCAACAGACGAAGTGGACAAGCTCCTGACGCCCTCTGCCGTATGAGCTGGAGATAGAGAATATCCGACCCTGGTATTTCGGAGAGGTCTAGAAAAGGCACAAGTAGAATTGAGATTTGTTTTGCGCCAAATCTAGCTAGAATCTAATCCCGGGAACAGTTAAGCAGGCTGCGTCTAAAATAAGCACTTCCCGTGCCGCCCACCCAGCGGCCACACCAACATGGCCAGAGTTTCTGTTGGTGAGGCGCAGTTGTGGGGGGAGGATGGTTGTGTGAGGCTTGGCAAAGCATGTGGGATTCCTACTCTACACCACACCACATGAGCTGAACCATTCTCACCCCGTCATGTCAGACAACACCACCCACACCCTTGGCCCTGCTCGCCCGAGTCCCGGCCTTGGGGCCTAACACTAACTAGCCTGCGCCCCAGTTCAGCTCGACGCGGCTGTAACTGGACATATCTTACGCGACCAAGTCGTCAGTTATGCCGCCTGTATCACCACATCCCCACGCCTCTCCCCACAGCTGACCAATATCTCGGAAACAACCGGCCGCTCAGCTATCCACAGGACGGGATCACGGAATCGGCTCGGATTAGTCCTCATTCGGCGTGGATACGCACCATCAATCCCTTGTCGGCGCCGGTATGTCATGCAACTTTCAACATGATCTCATGTCCCCAGATTTCCATTATATAGCTAGGAGTGGTATGGTATCTTGCGCCGTATTTACTAACCCAAGAAACTATCGATGGGGTATGACAAGAGGGACGCATCATTCCAGCTGCCCATCACCTCTCTCTCTCTTCCTCTCTCCCTCTCTCTCCCTCTCTCTCCCTGCCTTCCTCCTCCTTCCGTCTCTCTCTCTCTCTCTCTCTTGACCCTCGGCCTCGCTCTCTCGCGGCCAGCTCTGTAATCTTGGAGGGGGTATAAGCCTAGCATAACATGTTTTGATACACATCCGACAAAGGAAAAATAAAGTTGTCTGTAGCATGATCCATAGCCCAGTTACTGGGTTACCTTAGATTCCTTCGTTCGATTTGGTATGGGGGCGGGGGGGGAAAGAGCAAAAACCCGAAAGCGTAATCTCATCAACGCATAGCATGTCCTTCAAACCTACCCATTAAGAGGCATCCATCTTCTATAAATCCAGTCCAGGCCCCCCACCAGGGGAGGGCCCTCGCCCGGTCACCGGCGACCGCCGCCCACGATATAGTCGTCATCGTCGTCTCCTCCGTGCGGGCTCGCAGCCCCGCTCCCGGCGCCGCCGCTCGCGCTCGACGAGACAAAGCTCTGGTCGATCCGGAAGATCCAGTCGAGCTTCTCGCGCTCGCTCCGCGCCGCGAACAGCCACGTGTTGTCCGTCCCGTAGATGGCGAACACGCCGGCCTGGAGGCGGTCGCTCAGCCGCGCGAGCCCCCCCGCGCGGCCCGACCCGTTCGTACTGCTGCCGCTGCCGCCCCCGCCACCCCCCGTCCCCGTCCAGATGGTCGAGATGAGGCGCCCGGAAGAGGTCCTCCTGTGGCTCGGCGAGAAATCGGCGGTGGTGGTGCTGCCGCCGTTTTCGGGACCCATCTCGGAGTAATCGCCGTTCTGCGAGTCCCCGCCGTCCAGGAGGCCGAGGATCCCCGGTTGGCTGTCGACCCGTGAGTTTCTTAGGCTCACAATGGCAACCTCGTCCCCATCTGTTACGTTATGAATGTGCAGATACGGCCTCCGAAGCTCGACGAAGCGCTTGATCCACCTGGTAGACTCGCTATTGGGGACCAGTAGGTATCCGCCCTTCAGCACTGTGGGGTTCTTGGAAACCCCGATGATCGTCGTGACAAACGAGGGCGGCATTGGCGCATCCGGCGTGATCCCATTGGACGGAGGGTCGGTGTTGGCCGGGCCTAGGATCTTGGTCATGGGGTCCGGATATCGCGTCCACAACTTCAGACATTTCCTCAGCAGCATCTCCTCGCGCTCCGCATATCCTGATTGTGACACTTCTGGCTCTTCTCCGTCCGGCCCCGCTGCCTGCCCTTCTCCCTGGGGCTCCCCCGCTTGCTCTTCGGGAAGCTGTGACGCCTCTTCTGGACTCGCTGCCTCGGAGCCTTCGGGGGTGTCGTTGAGCAGGTCCGCGATAGAATCATCCAGATGCAACGAGGGCGGGGGCTCCTCGTCCGAGTCGTCGTGTTTGTCCTCGGCACCGCCGTCTTCGTCGGACGGGAGGTGGCCGGTCCTCCTGAGAAGGTCCTGCATAGACCCGAGCTCCGAGAGCCGCCGCCGCTTCTTCCTGGCGTTGATGTAGTCGCTGACAAGCGAGACGCCGCGCGGCGCCCACGCGGCCAGGTTCTCCTCCCCCTTGACGTAGTCGTGCTGGCTGCTCATCCGCCACAGCTCACCGACGCGCTTGATCGGCGCAGGGCGCATCTGCAGGGTGAAGATGGCAGTGGAGGACTTGACGATCCTCACGTTCTGCCACAGCGCGGAGAACATGGAGGTCTGCCGGACAAAGGACCGGGACAGAATCTGGCAGTAGAGCTTCGCCGAGAACTTCATCGGCTCGGCAAGCTTCTTTGAGCTTATCTCCCACGACACGGTCATCTGTACGCGGTACTTGTCCGCTGTGACCCTGTCCAAGAGCAGGGAGTCGTGCAAGCTCGAATCCCACTGGCCAAATAGAGTAATACTGCGAGTTCCGTTGGCGTTGGTCCGGAAGTGTGGCTTCGACGTCAGCTTCATGGAGATGTCGGGAGATACCGAACCCATGTCGGGGGTCTTCCCCGCAGGGTCGACGAGCTGGATCTTCCCAACACGGAACGAAGTTACATCATCCCACGGCAACGCATCGCCAGAGCTGTGAGAGAGGTTGACAGCAATTCGTCGCTGCAATCCCTGGTGGAGCTGGAAAGTGCCACTGTCCAGTTCGCTTGTCTGCGTAACCTCGACGGGGACATACTCTCCGTTCTCGCTGAGCTCGAGAATCTGGACCCGGGAAAGGAGATCATGCTTCTCCTCCCTGAAGAACTGGGACTCGTTGATCCTAGCACCCTTGGGCTTGCTCTGCGAGTTCGGCACAGCTTCCCGCATCTCGTCCCAGCTGAGCAGCTTGTCCAGATGCATGGCAGACACCTTTGCGAATATTGCCACTCTCAGAGTCGTGTCCTGGGGCGCGAAGAGGGGGACGCTCATGCTATGAACGCTCTCGAACCGGATCGAGCCTTCGTCAAAGTCCTTGATCATCTGTGTGGTCGTGATGCCGTCCGCCGAGATCTGTGGGATGAAGAGTTGGGCATGCACCTCGGTGCCTTCTCTCTCGGCGAAGCCGATCATCTCGTGCATGACGACGTTGAACTTCAACGTATTCGACGGTGCGCGCGCACTCGAAGGCTCCAGAGACAGCTTGATGATGCCGGTTGCGTGCGACGTATGCGGCGATACCACGTCTAGGGTGAAGTCCTGGACCCGACATTCGAAGACAGCAGCGAGAGGAACGTCGGTCTCGCCAACCAGGGTGTACTGCGGCATGCATGTCTCGATGAACGGGTTGTCGAGGCTCAGATGCTGGGCGTAGTCCGGTTGGTCCAGGTATTGGTACATCTGCCGCATCTGCCTGACACGATCCTGGAGCTTCTCCAGGCTCCAGAGGTGGACCACGCTCTGCTTGTAGTCGATGACGCGAACGCCGATGCACGGCTTCTGTGCCTCCTCCAGGGCGATATCGTCTCCTTCACCAGATAGCCCATTAAGAACCATGTCGTAGGATGAGCAGAGGGTGTGGCCAACGTCAACCACGGCGAACTGGAATACCACACTTTCGTCCAGCTCCTGGCTCATGATCTGGGCCTCCTTCATGGTCGACGCGTGCTGCAAGACCGCCTCGGCCATCTGGACGTATCTGCGGCCCCTCCAGTGCCTGACGACAGATCTCGCCCTCTCCATCTCCTCTTCGGAGAGTCTCGGGTTGGCCTTTGGCCGCTTCAGCGGATCGAGCTTCTCGATTTTCTCCTCGAATACCTGCCGCTGCACCTCGAGCTGCTTCTGCATATCCGCTTTCAGCTGCGCCAGCGTCTCCTCCATCTTGGCCTTCTCCTTCTTGATTTCTTCCACCTCGACATTCGCCGCCTCTGCGCTCTTGAGCTGGTCCTGGTACTCCTCCTTCTGCTTGTCGAGCTGGGTTTGCATCTCCTCCCGGACCTCCTTTAGCTTGTCTTCGACCTCGCCCTGCTTGGGCGTCGACGGCATCGTCAGCGCCGTGTCCAGCGAGAAGTTGTCGAGCGTGCCAGTCGACATGTACTTCTCCCTGATCGGGTACGATGCCATGGACTCCATGTCCTCGTCCCCGTCTCGACCGTTGACACGCTCCGCCCTCGCTCGTTGCACGTCCTCGAAGAGAGCGTTCAGTTCCTCGTCGCTCAAGCTTGCGATTTTCTGATCGGTTCCCAGGATAGCAGGGGCGGCCTCTCTCCGCGCTAGAGACCAGTCCGAATCCCTCCCATGGAAAGCTGCGGGGGACTCGGGTCGGCTGTCGCCCCAGTCCGAATTGGTCTTGCTTACTGTGCGCTCGTGTCCATACCTCGGGCTCGGGAGGGGCGATGTCTTGTCGAGAGCCTGCAGCTGGCTGGCCGTGATGGATTGACGGAGCAGATTCTGCTCGGCGCGCTCAGCCCTCGCCTCCATCGGGTGGTTGAACCGGAAGATGTGGAAGTCCCCAAGGATGAGCCGGTATCCAGAGTGAAGCCGCTTTTGCTCCGTAATTCGCTTGCCATTCACCATGACGGCGGCGCCTTCGCCCGGAATCAGCGTCACAACGCCGTCCGGCGCGTTCTCGAAGACGCAGTGCTCGTGCAGGATCCTTGAGCCATTGAGTCGGATATTCGCCTGGTGATCCGCGTTCGACTCCACGTTACCGACAGTCGTGATTCCCGGCTTCAGGTTGTAGACAAGGCACTCGGCAAGCAGGGGGTCGTCCGAGAGGTTGACAAGATGTGGCATCTTCTTCGGCGTGGAGAGCCCAACGAAGCCTTTCTCAATGCTGATCCCCAGCTCCTCCAACGCGGCTTCACGCTCCTTGTGGATTTCCTCGGTCTTGGCCAGTTTCTGTTCCCAAGTCTGGTTAAGATCCTGCAGCAGCTTCTCGCTCTGATCGAGTTGTTCCGCAATCTCAGCCTTAGACACCTTCTTCACCGTCCCGTCCGCCTGTGTGATGCTGACAATCTGCTTTTCTAGGGGCGTTCCTTCGGCGTAGACTTCTTCGGCCGGCACCGGAATCCCTCCGCTCCCCCCGCCAAGCTTGCCCCTGAGCAGTGCCAGCTCTTCTTTGAGCTCTCTGATCATGCGCGCATTGGCGTCCTCGTTGATAACGGCGTGATTCTTGATCCGCTTGGCAGAATCGGCGTATCGAAGGGTGCTCAGGGTCTCGTCGTAATTGATATCAGCAGGACTGATAGCTGCTATCATTGCAGTCATACTGTTTCCACCCAGAGAATCCTTGAGCAGCCATGTCAGAACGCTGTCTCTGTAGGGCACCTGCGATGCCGCGCCCTTCTTCTTCTTTCCAGTCGACAGATCTGCCAGGGCCGCGATCACACGACCGAGCGTGGATAGGGACCTGTTAATCTCAGCACCTTCCTTCAGTCGAGCTCCGGTTGCGCCAGTCGATGTTGCTCTCTCGGAACCCGCTAGATCAACCAGACTGATCTTCGCCGCCTTCTCCATCTCCATCTTCGTTTCCGGGTCGAAGCGCTTCTGAGTAAGCATGAGGGTAAAGACGGCATGACTTCGGCTAGATGTCTCGTTCATGTTCGTTGCCGCGACCGTCCGCGCTTTGTTTCCCTCATCCATAAGGTGCTCGATCTCCTGGAAGCTACCGACCACCAGCTTGGCCAGATCCTCGACATATGGACCGGTGGATGGATGCTCTCGGACCTTCAGGTTTCCTTTTGTCGCCGGGTTTAGAAGATCCCTTACTTTTTCGTTGTAGATTTCGAGGTACGACACCTCGACCGTACACCTCAGGTTCTTGTCCTTTTGCATTTCATCGATGCGCAAGAACATATCTTGGCAAATGTTCGGGATGATACCTGCTTCCTTGCCGTATCCCATCATCGAGTATGACTTTCCCGAGCCGGTCTGACCGTAGGCAAAGATACAGTTGTTGTAGCCCTGGAAGGCATTGTCCAGCAGCGGCTTGCCCAGGTCATCGTGTACGCTCGACTGCCCTGCATAATTCGAGTCGTTCCTGTCAAAGGACCAGTATGATTTGTCGAATGCGAACACTTTCTGGGCTTGTTCTTTGGGTCCTTTGCCGGTTCGGTCGGCAGAATCGGCGGGAGGGGTAAGTATCGTCTGGTTGTCGCGCATTTCAACAATGCTCTTTGCGTTCCTGTCGATTTCTGTTTGAGGACAAGTCCGTTAGCCCCTTTTCTGCATACCTCCGTATATCCTACGGGTCAGCGACGGCCACCAGAAGATACGAACCTCGTCCGTTGAAAGGCCTCACTCGGACCACGACCTTGATGTTGCCGCCGCCGGCGGGGGGCCCGGTCGGCGCCATGATTGCAGATATTCCGGGGCGCACTCGGCAATTCCTTCGGTGCGAGAAAGGGGTCCAGATTCCGCAGGTCGCTGAGTATTGCGGACTCCCGCCCGGTCACCGCCGTAAGCACCCGGCAAGCAGGCCGGGGCCGTCGTTCTTCGGAGCCGACCGTCTAGAGCGCTCGTTTGATCCGAAAAACGCCTTGCATATGATACCCGCCGCGTAGTGAGGCGCAGGAGCTCATCCTATCCCAAAGCGGGCGTCTCCGTTGCGAGTTTAAAGAGGGGGGGTTGCACGTCAAATTCGGGATCAGAGGTTAAAGGGATGAGGTGCAAAGGCCACCGTGGGCCTACCGAAGTTTGGTTGTGGTCGCAGTCCAGTTACGTTCGGATATCAGTCTAGGGTCAGGTGGCAGGCCGTGGAGGGGGGCCTAGGTGGTTTGAATCCAGAGTTTGTGAGGTTCGAGATCATCACCAGAGGCGAAATCCAGATGGTAGACATTCATCCCCCGTGTCAATAGATCCCGTCCCGTTGGATTTTGGGGGACGCGACCGCGAATCCACACCTGCACAATCCACTCTCAGGCCAAAACCTCATTGGTGGCAGGTGACTTCGTCATAACTGCCTAGCATAGTGGCGGACAGGGGTGGGAAATTAAGGCTTTTTCACGTGCTAGGCTGTTGGGATTTACTCCCTACACCACGCGCGATTCAACTTATGGTCTCAGACGTGCAAGTAAAACACTGTAGCCTGGGAATGACTACGGATCCGTACAGCAGTCCAAATTGTTGAATATTCCTTAGAACTTGAATATATGGGGTCTACCTATTCTGCAAGTGAGGGCAGGCTCACTTGCAACAAGTGATGTCCCTTGAAGTCCCAAAATCAAGTGAAAGTGATTGACTGCCTCCTAAGGCAGAGCGCAAAGTCTAGTTGAATTTCGCCGCCTGGACATGCACACAAAAGTAATTAGAAACCGAGAAAGCCAACTGCAACAGGCTGCGACTTGGTGCATGTTACCCCTACTTTTCTCTGGGCCCCTTGTGACATTGTCAACCGGCCTCACCAACATTGAGTATCACTCCATCTCCAGCGCCCCGAAGAGAGAGGGCGCCGCCTCAGCTCGAATCTCAGACTCGCTTTCCTCGAACTCCTCGATTGGATCGCCGTTATACACCGGGATCCCCTTGATGTCTGCCCTTCCGTCCCGGTTCCTTTTCTTTGGCCTCCCTCGTTTCCTCTTGGTCATGGTCACCGGGTTTATAGCTCTAGCGGGCCGTTCCACCGCTGTAGGATCGGATAGCTTGCCAACAAACAGTTTCGGCCGAGCGAACCTGAAGCTCTCGCCAACAACCGGATCCGCCGTAGATTGCGAGGCTTCCACGGCAAAGGATCCTGGCTCGGACATCATCTCGCTCGGCTCCATTGTTGCCCGGGTCGTCCTGTCCTTATCTTTCCGGTTATGCAGCTCTGGAGTCCCAAGTTCAGTCCCAGGATCCACCATGACACTGTCGCATGATGACTTGTACTCCCCCTCCTGATTGTCAGACTTCAGGTCCGACGTCAATTCGGTCGACGAAGATCCAAAAGCCGCTTTGTGGCTTGCCCAGCAGTCATGCAGGTCAGACGGTTCATTCGATGCGCAAACAACTGTGCCCACAGTAGAGACGTAACAGCTCCATTTCCTCAAAGGGTGCTCGTCGATGGAGCCGTCGTCGTCGGGGAGCTGTAGACCTCGAGGTGGTTCTCCTTGCCCTTCATGCAAGGCTGCCGTCAGGAGTTTCTCGCTGTCATCGTCCGAGAAAACAAATCTCATCCACACGGCGTCAGGATCTTCCGCGGCAGTTTTCTCTACAGCAGCTGCCTGTGTTGTCTCCACAGGTGTTGGCTCCAGTGGCTCGTATGAACGGATTTCTCTCTCCTCGGCTACCATCACGTTGTTTTCGCCTGGCACATCGCGGTATTCAGTATGCCGGGACTGGTTTGTCCCTTTCCCATATGCACTCAGAGCTGGCTCGCCGGAATGACTTGTGGATTGGCCCAAACTGTGCAATGGATACTCGCTCTCAAGCAAAGGTTGCGGAAGGGTGAGAGACTCCTGAAGGGAATCAACATCAGACTGAACCTGAGATGATTTGTCGGTCGGGTTTGAGACCAAATTGTGATCACCTAGCCAGTCGTTGACTAGCTGTTCAGGGATTGGTGAGAGAGAGTTTGGCTGGTGTTCACGAGTGTTGTAAGTTGAAACCGCGCGTTCGCTACAGGAAGACGACGCGACACGACGGGGACCTGCCGTAACATCTTGGTTATCAGTCTGAGCTAGAAGGTTCCTGCATATCTCGCTAATGCCTGGACTGATTCGAGGCTCGGTAGTCGTTTCCTGAATTCTTGGTAGTGAGCAGTCAGTAGTGCTAAGGCTCTCCGATGGCGCGACCCATTGCCTCCATAGTTCGTTCTCTTCTTTCCCCGAGGGATCGGGAGCGTTCGGTTGGCCAACTTGTGCGAGCTTGCTGTCAGCAATATCAGAGCTAAACGACGTCAAAGTGAGGAGTCGAGTATGGACAGAACGCTGGGGAACTGGATGCAGGATGGGAGGCGGCTTTCGTTTCCTTCGGCTCGTGTTTTTCTGCGGGCGATCGCTGCTCGTTTCTGAGATCGTCGTCAGGGAGGAGCGTCTCTGATTCACCCGATGGCTGCTGGCATTCCTCCCTTCTCTAGGGTCCGTGACTGATTGTTGCATTAGACACATAATATCACCGTGTTGGTGGGCAACCTCTGGAAACTTACGACTTGAAGTGGATTCCAACAAAGTGCCTGCGTCATGGAACCCAGGGTTCGCAGGGGCAGTCCCGAGGTTGGCGGGGAGACGACTCGGATCAATGATGCTGGGCTGATTCCCAAGCCGCATTTCCTGGCTTCCTATTTGGATTCTGATATCCCGAGCTCGGGTGCTGGTTGGCATTGGCTCATGCTTGAGCTTCATCTGATCGTATCTCGACCCAAGGAGGTGGCGAGTTTTTGAATGGGCGGACCTGTGATGTCTGCTCCATTTTCGACTCTCCGAGTGTTTGCTGGAGAACTTGACTGGGATGGGCTTTTGCATGCCAATTCCAACCCAGTCTCCTTTCAGCAGCAACTTTCTCCGCTTTTCGTGTAGTGCATCTCTGTCAAGGGGAATGGTAGACGATGCTGCTTGCTTTCCATCGGGACTGGCCGCGAAATAATGGCTAAGAACAGGCAGGCTAGCCACATCATTCCCGGGGCTAGGAGGATCACGAGAACGCTTCCTGGTCGAGGTGTCGTCTTGGCCTGCGCCGGTCAATATCTTTGTTTGCAGAGACCTCGGGTTCTGAGAAAGGCGAGAATGATGAGGTGAAAAGGAAGAATTCTGACGAAGAAATGATATCGACGTAGACGGTGGACTCTTCCTGGATGCACTGGGAAGGAGGCCGGCACGAGCCTTCGCGAAGTACTCTTTCTGGCGGAGGATGACTTCTTTGGCCTGCCTACCGCGAGAGTGGCGGGCGAGATTACCTTCTGTCCAGTTCATCGATACAGAGAAATATGACCGAAGGACCGCGTAATTGGTGAATTAGATCGAGAATCTTATCAGTATCAGACCTATTCACGGAGACGCAGAATAATAAGAGAACAGTTATCAATAATGGCCTGCAAATGTATGCTGTTGACGAATATGTTCTAGAACATATTGGGCCATATTGGGTGTCAGTAGGATATAGCAACATTGTGAGAGATTCTGGTCCACCGGATGAAGTGGCCTGGGGTTCAATTTGGTGTTGAGCCCGTCAAGGAAAGCACGACTGAGTGTCGAAGTCAGCTCGTGGTGATCACACAGGGCAATATACCGTGTTATGAAGCTGGAGACCACTGTGTGGGCGTCAAGCTACCTAGGTACTGTACCCCGCCAAATGCGAAAGCTCCGACCCCACCCCGAGAAGATGCCGATGTCGATGGGGTAAAACGATGGTGATTGAAGATACCACAGCCCTCCGCTGATGACAATGTTGAGGACCTTCCGAGCATTCGCCCACACTCTTCCCTCACTATCGCCGCGAGTCGTACGGGAACCCCTCCGACCCCTGGTCCGCAAGATGGCCGCCTCGACCCACGCCCCGGTCCTCAAGCAGCCGGTCAAGCTCGCCTGCATCCAGCTCGCCAGCGGGCCCGACAAGGCGGCAAACCTCGCGCGAGCGCGGGACAAGGTCATCGAGGCAGCCCGGTCGGGCGCCAAGGTCATCGTCTTACCCGAGTGCTTCAACTCGCCCTACGGCTGCGACTACTTCCCCTCGTACGCTGAGCAGCTGCACCCCCTGCCGCCGCCGCCGGAGCGGAGCCCCAGCTTCGCCGCCCTCTCGGCCATGGCGCGCGATACGAGCACTTACTTGATCGGGGGCTCGATACCGGAGGTCGTCACGACGACGACGGCGGCGGCGGCGGGGGGCGCTGCCGGATCGACGACGACGACGACGACATACTACAACACGTCGCTGGTGTTCGGCCCCGACGGCAACCTGCTAGCCACGCACCGTAAGGTGCACCTCTTCGACATCGACATCCCGGGCCGGATCCGGTTCCAGGAGTCCGACGTCCTGTCGCCTGGCAACAAGGTCACGGTCGTGGACCTTCCGGGCTACGGGCTGATCGGGCTCGGCGTCTGCTACGACATCCGCTTCCCCGAGCTGGCGACCATCGCCGCCCGGCGCGGCTGCTTCGCCCTCGTGTACCCGGGCGCCTTCAACCTGACGACGGGCCCGCTGCACTGGCGCCTGCTGGGCCAGGCCCGCGCCGTGGACAACCAGCTGTACGTGGTCCTGTGCAGCCCCGCCAGGGACATGAGCGCCACGTACCACGCGTGGGGCCACAGCTTGATCGTCGACCCCATGGCGCAGGTGCTGGTGGAGGCGGAGGAGGGGGAGGCTATCGTGAGTGTGGAGATCGACGGAGCGAAGATCGAGGAGGCGAGGAGTGGGATCCCGCTCAGGGATCAAAGACGGTTTGACGTCTATCCGGATATAAGTAATGGAGAGGGGGTCAAATTTGAGGATGAGGGTCAGGTATGACAGTGAGGTTGTGTAAATAAAAGATGAACCGAGGGTCAATAGTGTTTGTACTTGGGCTGTTTTTTTCAAGGCTGTAGGTAGATTATAGCTTCTCTACCAAGCTGCCACCCCAAAAACAGATGGTTTGGTCGTGATGGTTCTATAGGACCTAGGTATGGGTTGTTTCCTTGATATTCCTTCACAGCGTATTAACCCCCACGGTCCCGACAAGTGATCCCTTTTGGCCCTGGTAGCTCCTATAAGAGCTCAACCAAGTCGCCGGCCCTTCCCGGCCAAGAACCCCTCGGGCAAACCGAGCATTTCAGCATTTGGTAGCCCTCTACTTATTCAGGGCCTGGTGGGCGAAGGTGGGCAGGATGAAGCTGGCCTTGTGGATCTCCGAGTTGTAGTACCTGCACAACTTGGCCTCCTCCTCCTTGGACCAGGACCGCAGCGGAACCCTCACGTCAACGCTGGCGTCCTTGCCGCAGACCATGAAGCCGATCTGGCCCGACGGGTAGGTCGGGATGGTGGTGTAGGCATACTCAGCCACGGGGAAGATCTCCTTGCAATCCTTCTTCAGCTTGGTGATCAGCGGCAGGTGGAGCCATTGGTTCTCAGCTGGTACGCAGTAAGGTTAGCGCCTTGGTCTTCATTGCTTTGGAGATTTATCAAATAGGAGAAGGAGAACCTATAGAGATGAGAAGGCCTCAACTTAAGCCAAGAAGGGAAAGGAAAGGGGGGAGAAAAAGCTTTACTGAAGATAAGAAGAGAGAAGAAAGGGGGAGGGAAAGGGAGAAGGAGAAGGAGCGTAGGGCTGGGAAAAACAAGAGCGGTGACAGTAATGATTCAAACCAGGGAAGTTGAGTGTCGGCCTAGAACCCAACACCTAGGACTCGCAAACTTTTTTCCTGATTGTAAGGAGAACATACAACCTTGGGTAGTGATGACGCCGCCTGGCCGAAGCGCGTTATGGAGGAGCTGGAAGTAAGATTTCTGGAAGAGGCTCTCGGCCGGACCATCCGGGTCAGACGAGTCGGTGATGATGACGTCGAAGGCGTTCTTGTACTCGTCGAGGAACTTGAAGCCGTCGCCAACATGGACCTTGACCTTGGGGTGCTTGAAGCCCGCAGCCATTCCAGGAAGGTACTCCTTGGACAGACGGATGACAGCCTGGGCTAGGTGTAAGTCACCACTGTGTGGCTACCAGGGGAACTGGTTGGGGTTTGGGGTCTTATCCACCTCGTCAATGTCACAGAGAATGGCCTCCTCGAGGCACTCATGCTTGACGACCTCCCGCAGGACGCCACCGTCGCCGCCACCGATGACCAGCACCTTCTTCGGCGCGGGGTGGGAGTTCATGGCCAGATGGGTGATCATCTCCTGGTACGCGAACTCGTCACGCTCGGTGCACTGGATGACATTGTCCAGAACGAGGACATTGCCGTAGTCGGTAGACTCAAAGATGAGCACGTCTTGGTACTTGCTCTTCTCGTGATGGAGCACCTTCTTGACCTTCAGGGTCATGGCCTGGCCTGTGTGCACGGATTAGTGCCTCATCCTGTCTTCGGACTCTGTCGGTCTTTGGGGTAACTAACCAGGCCACATGTCTGAGATTTCGCGGAACCATCCATCTGCAAGCCGGAAATACCCGTATTAGTAAAATTCCGTCTGGGAGAGTTCGAAAAAGAGAGCGAATTGGACATTCTGGGCAGGGGTTGTTGAAGTGAGCAGGGGGCAGAGCAGGGGCACCAGGGGCACAGGAAGTAACGCCACTTGACGTTGCTCCTGGACCATCTTCCATGGAATATTGACGTCGTGACGTCCTTGCCATCTTGATAGCCTCACAGCATCGCTCGAGCAGACAGGGCTGAACCAGCATAATCCGAGCGGTGTTTGTGATCTAGCGCCATACCTTGAATGGTGGGATGTGGGACGTCACCCATGTTGGTCGGATGGCGGTGGCGGATTTGTTGGCTTGCTTTGGGAGTGCTCAGGAGGCGGGCTGGAGGACAAAATAGACCTGATGGTTGAGGTGAAACGGTCAATCGCACATGTAAACCACCTTTACTTTTAACGAAACGGGAGCTCAGTATGGTTTGAGTCGGGGCCTGAGAATATTTGGTGCGCGAAAATTTTCTAACTTTTTGTCCAACCCGCCTATGGGAAGAGCCAATTGTCTTGGTCACCCAAACGAGCATGTGGAGTTTTGTAGTAACTCACCCAAGCTGCGTCAGAAACTCAGCAGATAACAAGAGGGAGGTCAAATTTGAAAGTAATGACACTACAAAGGCAACAGCTGTGGCGACCGCCATCCAATAAACATGAAATCTAGAGGTAGGTAATTAGCACCTACTGATATAGAATAAAGGTATTTTCCAAGTTAGGTAGTCTACCTAACGGGGAACCTACCTAAATCTTGGTCTACTGTTGAATCTGTGCCTGACTGTGTAGGTACCTAGTTGATATGCATCCGTACTTCTTTATTTTGCCCTGCTTCCAGATGCCGAGTCAGGGTTGAGACGTGAGTGAGGCGGGTTCTCAGAGAACAGCATTATGTAATTGTTTCTGTGTGACCTTTGCTTTTTACATCTATTGTTGGTGACACACTCACGACACTGCCCGCCAAGGGATCGGCGTGCTTGAATAGTGGGGATCGGGAATGGAGGAGAACGGCCGGGCAGTCTACCCGGCCCCACCCGGCGGCCACGACAATGTGAATGGAATCTGAACGCCCACTTATGCAAGCCACAAGATCCAACAGTTGTTGGTTCCTAGTACACCTTTTCAGTCTCGGACTCCCCCCATATATCGGCCAACAGGCCCCAGTCTTGCACTCGTACATTATGGCATCGGTGTCAGAGGGAGTCCATGATCCTTGTGGAATGAGGAGAGATTGCCCAACCAGAATGAACGAAGGCTTGAAGAAGTCAATATGGCCAAACGCAAGCCTGTCTTCACCCTTGCGGAGATGGAGAAGGAACTGGGATACAAAATAGAGCCACTGACACGATCCAACATGGCCGCCAAGCGCTTCTTCTCCGATCTCAGTCCCGTTTCTGATGGAGTTTATGGGCGTACCAAAGAGAATATGAATATTTGAAATACAGCAAAGGACTTGAGGGGATGGGATGCGACATCCTGCCAGACTAGGTGAAAGCAAGGTAAGCATCCTCTTCGAGTTTCCATTTCTTGATCTGACTCCTTTTAGACTGTTGAGACTGGCGAAGGCAAAATCACACTTACACGAACGAGCCGTGTAGGCCTGTACAGCTTCTCTGTCGGTGTCTACTACAAATTCGGGTTTAACTTGCCTCTTCTATTCACCGAAGCTGAAGCATCTCGAACTATGTTGGTTGCAAAGGTACATCAGGTCACGGAACGAACTTATAGCACGCGAGACTGAACCATGGCATAGCTTCAACCCAGAACACCTCCCAATATTACATCGCCATTTTTCCATCTTCCCCGAAAGCTCCGTGACAAGATCTACGCCTTTGCATTCCCCAGAGGATATTGGAAACATCAAAGACATCAACCAATTCGATCAAGACAGCTTCCCGCGGGGCATAGGGGATCCTAGCGGATTCTACTTTCCTCTCAGCAAGGATGTTGGGATCTTAAGGGTCAACAGGCAGATGCGCCAGGAGGCACTTCCATTTGCATATCGCACGACGATTTTTCACCTCGATGACATGGACGACCTCGCCAAGCTTCTCATTGCAGTTGGCCGCATCGGCCGCGACAATATCGAGTCACTACAGTTCCCTTGGGAGAGCAGAACCGATTCCGCATGCAAATGGGACGAATTCCCAGATTCCGAAGACAACTATTTGAAGTTGCCAAGACTCCATGTGTCAGGATGCATCCAGCTGCTCCAACAATGCAAGAGGCTCAAGCAGTTGCGTCTACACTTTGAGAGCGAGCTGATGCTGAATATCCCACCTGCCGACTTCATGGCCGACCCTGGCATCCAAGGGCTTTGTTCGATTGGAGGCATCAGGCGGCTTCAACTACGCGGATTGGGTGACGAGTCTCTTGAGCAATGCTACCTCGCCAAGTGGCTGAAAGAAACGATGGCATGCCCCACAGAGGAAGAAGAGCTGGAGGATGAGGTGGCACAAGAGTGCAAGGATGAAAAAGCAAATAAGCCGAAGGATGCAATGGAACAGGCCGAAGTATGATCACAAACGGATGGCGGAGAGTCACTTCCAAGTACAGCAGGCTCAAGGAGTCTAGTGCGATCACTTAAAATGCAAAGTTCAATCAGAAGTCTGCAGCATCACTCGTTGTCCTTGACCAGGGAGGGCGGAGCTGGGATGACCCGTCTCTGGTTTTCCAGAAGCGTATGCAGCGCTTTCCGTATCCTCATCGCCGCCAGATCCCGGATTCGACTTTATCCTCCGCTACGGCGCCCAGACGACGCTGGCTCTACATACGAACTCGTTTCTCCCAGAGAATTGCTCCGCAGTAGGTGTCCACCCGTGTATGTCACAGGTGCCAAAGGCCGTTTCCGTTGCTGTTGCTGTTGCCGTCAGTCGTCGTCCACACAGATTCTTCCTGCTGGCCAGGTAGATGGCGAAGTTTCCTGCGGCATACTGGCACAAGTCAGGCAACCGATGGAGTTGGAACGGAGCAAATCACGGTAAAGAAGCGCGTCAATTAATATGAGAGTGGTGTCTAAATATTCTAAGAGTTCAGGTGACTCTTTCCTAAGAGTCGTGGCATGCCATCGAGATCCAAACGCGCTACCCAGTCATGCAAGCGGTTATTGCAGAAATATATACATATATGGCGGTATCAGATCAGGAAAGCAATTCTGGTTGCAGCGCATACATCCTTACAGGGAGCAAAACCGGATCAAAGCCTCTCTGGATCTCCGTCCTAACGACTCGCAAACCCGCCTGTTTGAAGAGGGCTTCAAACTTGGCTTCCTCCCTGTCGCCGTATTAGCCGCCTCGTCCATGGTGTTGCAGGAAGAACGTCTGTTTATTGGCGGGATATCACCGGCTGGCATAGGCTTGAGTGCTTGACTTACCTGGTGACAGTGCTATCCATGTCGTCGAAGACGTCAACGCCACTTGTGCTCATGTTCTCCTTAAGAACTATGATGCCGCTCTCTGGGTTGAGCACGACCTTGCACCGCTCTAGGTATCGTACCAACTGCTCGTCGGTCAGGTGGCCCACGCACCACTGCGTCCAGACGAGGTCATACTGGACACCCTCAACAGGCTGCCACTCCTCCAGGCCGACATTGGAGATATTCCGCACGCCCCTCTTGCCACGCAACGCGGCCGTAAACTTGGCTACAGGTTCGATTACGTCGACCTGTTTCGCCACGTCAACCAGGAGACCTTGGGTGATCCTCCCTATCCTGTGCCGCCCAAGCAGGGCCTGTTGTTAGCGACTATTCCCCAACGCTTTCCCAGCCTGGCTAATATCCGTTAGGACCATCGTTGAGATGTTGCCCACCCTGCTCCGCCCTCGATTGCGTTGTCCACAATGCGTTGGCCGTGTTTTGTTCCGATGCCCAGCTTGGCGAGGAAGTTGCGCGAGCCCTGGAGGTCCACCTTAGAGATGTAGGGAAACCCTCCAAGCATGCCGTTGACGTTGGCGTCAATGCCCTCCCAGTACTTCCTCCCCTCGTCATTGCTGACCAAGGCATCCGGATGCGTAGTGCTGTCTGGGTCCGGCATATTTGGTTTGCAGCTTGTTGAAACAGATCCAGACTGCAGGGTTCTCTAGTGCGGCCAGCTGTAGTTGCGCCATCTTCTCAGGGGCATATGGTCTGTGCGTAGCAGGTGCCAGCGGGCCGGGAGATCTCTGACAGGTGGATCCAAAGTACCGAGCGGCGCATCGCCGTAGCTATTTTCATTCTCATTGCTGTTGCTGTTGGTATTAATAGCAATAGTGGCAGCAATAGTGGCAGTGACTGACGGTGACAGAAATAGCAATGTCGACGGCAATGGCGACAACGACAACGGCAACGATGGCGACAGGCTGTTCGCCAGTACAAAACTCGTGCCACCTGGTCAAAAATTCCGTCACCTGTTACGCACAAATCACAGGCCACCAGCCGAGGGGGGATTATTTATCCGAGGACTCCAAGCACCCTGCCCCGCCTACTGTGCGGCTGGGATGGACCCGGACCGGGCATAGTCTCCGAAACAACCTTAATGGAATCTGATCGAGCAAAACATCCATCTTATCTTAAAATCCACCTATGGAAGCAACTTCAACAAACAGACAGGAACCGACAGAACGCAGCATTCCAGTTTCTGTCATCAAAGGTCGATTAACTTCACTTCACACACTACCATACAGACCACCCATTAGTGTACGTAGTTGTTAAAGCTTAGTTCCTCTAGCTTGAGGGCCGTTGGCTAAGGTCTGGTATTTGATTGCATAGGTCCCTCTCCTCTATGAGAACAGGTCATAAATGATTTGTATGTTGACTTTATCGCTGTGCGACTTTGCAAGCTACATATCATATCAAACCAATCCATCCTGTCGTCTGTTACTGTACTGGACGCTTGGCAGGCACTGCCTGGGCCTTGGCGTGGCGTGACTTCTGCTGGGGAAAGAAGAAAGAAAAGAAGAAACCACCAGCAATGGTGCTCCACGCCTCTGTGAAAGTCAATTGGTGATTTGCCACATCATATAGCTAACAGCAAACGCAGGAGAAGAGACCGAGAGTTTTAATTCAAGAGACTCAAAAGTGGAGACTCTTTTCGAGGCTGACGAGATTAAGGGCTCCGCGGGGATGCGCTTTGGCCGCACCAGGTCCCAACCTGGTTTCCCACATGGCGTTCAAGGTAACCGCTCTGGTAACTAGCGTCGCGCCGGGGCTGCAACACAAGGCTTCCTGTTTAATAGTACGACGTACTGTGCGTCCGGTGTCTGTGCGCTGAGCCAATTACCCAATCGACGGCGATCTGACAATGCATGATATTTGACCAAGCGTGCAGAAAATCGTCATGGAGATTCAAGCCTTGTGAGATTTCTTCACCCCAATTGCATTAAAGTCGGGGCCAGAGAGATTTGCAGTTCGCACCGCTTCGATCCACGCTAAATCGGAAATATATGCATACATCTAAAGCATTAGAAGTGTTCCGTACTTACCTAAGTAGGTAGGTAGGTAGGGAAGTCAGCTTCGGGTAGTTACCCCGAGGGGCAAAGTGCCCGCAACTCCCGCCATTCATTACCTTACCGACGTAGGTCAGCGAGGATCTGGAGCAAACTTATTAGTCTTGTGAGTTAGTTTGTTCTAGATCAGCACTTCTAGATCAATACTGTTGGCAGATCATGGCTACCGTCGCTCTGTTAGCCCTTCACTTGCTTACAGACGTTGGTGGTGGTGGTGGTGGTGGTGGTGGTGGTGGTGGCGAAATAAAGGGGAAAACTTTCTGCTCCGCTGCAGAAAAGCCTAGGAAAAGGTAGCTGTCATCCTGTGGAGCGCGGTGGTTTTGGGGTCGCTCACACTATTCGTGCCAATGCCGCCATTATGCTACCATTGAATCACGGGACTTGCGGGAACGCCTCGCCGCCCTCACTGGCTTCATATTTTAACTTTTCGTCAACTTAGCGACCCAACTGCCATTGGAATACGACGGAATGACGGAAAGTGTACTCTTGGCAGTCCCCTTCTCTCTGGTTCCCCCCCTTGGCTAGATGGCGATGCGCAATACTATGCAGATAAAAAGGGTGATGTCGAAAAGTCAATCCACTACTACCTCAATATGTAGGTAAATAATCGAGATAAAATACCAGGGAAAAGGAAATGATTAGGGGGAGGAAATGCCCATTGAGCAGGGGGACATGGGGCCGGCGGCAGGGAGCAGGGGCCCAGAGAGTAGGGAGGTATCGTTCCGTGTGGGGACTGTTGCTGGATCATCCCCTTGACGAAATACCCTTTTTTTCTGCTTGGTTTCCTCGGTATCCATACTCCTCCACGGCAAAACCATGGATCTCCTAGTGCAGCTCATGTCCTCTGGAGTGGATGTGGTTTTGCTGATGGTAGCTACGGAGGTACTTCCTTAGATCCACAAGAGGGTCCGTGTCGCCGCCGTCTTGCCTCTGAACCAGATCCTACGTTCCAGTGTTTCTTCATTCGACTTGTCTGAAGCATAATAACTTCCCACGAACCCATCTGCAGCGTTGCACATACCTGCACCGCCAATCTCTGATTTCCTGCAGCACGCAAGCAACCGCAATACCCCTGTGTAACTCGTACAGGTATCAACGTAGGTACCTCTGTAGGTACTGTACACACTCCGCCTCATGCTTTACCCGTGCGGTTTCGTCTGATCGTCCAGAGCTCTGACCAACATCCAAGAGGTAGGCGATGAACGTTTGAGCCTACGTTCGAGACATCCTCCTTAGACTTGACGCCTCTCTCGCTCTGAGACATTCACTCCATCTTTGTCTTTCGGCTTGTTTTTATCTAGACCTCGAACCACCATCGTTGCCGTCGCCGTCGCAGGTGCCGTCGGTCCATATTTCAACCCTCGAACCTCCGCCGAACTCCCCCTTTTTCGCCCCCCTGCCGCGTTAGAGCACGCGAAACCGAACTTCCCTCGGTCGCACGACCCCAATTCTTCCCAATCATCGGAGCAGCAAGATGTGTTTCGGTGGCCGAGACAAAGGAGATGGTGCCGGGGCGGCCCGGTCACACGAGCTCGACAAGATGATTCGCGCCGACGAGAAGCGGATGGCCAAGGAAGTGAAGCTACTGCTACTCGGTATGGACACCCCTTATAGCCCTACGGGGCGTCGAGCCCACATTCCTCCTGCACACTCCCGCTTGCGGCCATCGCTCTCCAATGGCTGACTCTCCTTTGCGTATTAGGTGCCGGCGAGTCGGGCAAGTCGACGATTCTAAAGCAGATGAGGTTGATCTATTCACAAGGATTCAGCAAGAACGAGAGGCTGGAGTGGAAACCCGTCGTGTTCAACAATGTCGTTCAAGCATTTCGCCTAATCTCGGATGCTATGAACGAGCTGGGCATCAAGTTCGAGAACGAGGATAACGAGGCAAGTCCAACCGTCCTAAACCACAAATGGCCCTGGCTGGTTCCTCGGGTCAGGGGTGAGGCAAGAAGCGGGGTCTAACTGAGCCCTATAGAAGAACATGGCGCACATCATGGTCGACTACGAGATGAACCCAAACGAACCCCTCCCCCTGGATTATCTGGAGCCTATCAAGAACCTGTGGGTCGACAGCGGTGTCAAGGCTGCTATCGCGAAGGGTAACGAATTTGCGCTCCATGATAACCTGGACTAGTGAGTGCCCTGCCCTATATCCCGGATGCGAAACGAACGATCCCGGCTGACACGATGAAGCTTCTGCGAGGACATAGACCGTCTTTGGGACAGAGGATATGTGCCCACAGACCAAGATCTTCTGCGGTCAAGGTTGCGGACGACTGGCATCACAGAGACCATCTTTGACCTCGGCCAGTTGTCATACCGGATGTTTGACGTTGGCGGCCAACGGTCAGAGAGAAAGAAGTGGATTCATTGCTTCGAGAATGTCAACTGTCTTCTCTTCCTCGTCGCCATATCCGGCTATGACCAATGCCTCGTTGAGGATAAGGATGGCGTAAGTTGTCTTGGTGGGGCGTATGCAAGTGAGAGACTCTGGAAGCTGACCGCTGCCGGCATCAGAACCAAATGAACGAGGCCCTCATGCTCTGGGAGTCGATCGCCAACTCCCATTGGTTCGCCAAATCCGCCCTCATCATCTTCCTCAACAAGATGGATCTCTTCAAGGAGAAACTTCCAAGGAGTCCCATAACGCAATATGGGTTCACCGACTACCACGGCCCGCCCGACGACTGGAAGCAGGCGAGCAAGTACTTCATGGACAAGTTCCGAGCCCTCAACCGGAATCCAGACAAGGAGATATACGGCCACTTCACGAATGCGACGGACACGAATTTGCTGAAGATCACCATGGGATCGGTCCAGGATATGATCATTCAGCGCAACCTCAAGCAGCTCATCCTTTGAGTACCCGGAGGTTCCGTCGAAGAGTGGACTAGTATCTGCAATGCGATTTTGGGTACGAGCACTGGAGGCACGGCCAGGCGACTCCGCCCCGATATTTCCACCTCTGCTCCGCTCCTCTTGATGCCGAGATTTTCCCACATCTCGGTCCAATGCGCCGGCTGTCGATCTGATTTAGATCGCATGCATGCCCCCGACAGCACACCTTAGAAGCTACCATTGGGCCCTTGCCTTCGTTCTCGTATATATTCACACACCAGCGGAGCGATTCCTTGCTGAGCGCACATTACCACGCTATATTCGTGTTTTCCTTGTTCACATATTTATTACGGCACCTCCGGGCCACCACCGCCTGAACCCCAAGTTATGCGCCCAATGAGCCACCTTCTCCCGCCTGCTTTTCCTACCTCGGACAAAGTGTCTTGGTTGAGAGGGGCTCGGGAGTGGCGCAGCAGCCATTGACTTTGCCTTCCCTAGTGGGCTGATTTTTGTGGACCAAGTTCGTTATGGACAACAGGTACGGACACTCGTTGGCATCGATATTGTCCTCGAAAGGTTATGGATGGATCGCATCAGGTCGAATTGGTATTTGTGAGGGCTAGGAAGGGCACTACTGTTCCTGCCTCAGCCGAGGAAAGAAAGATATACCCCAAACTCCCATTTCATTACGGCAGAGGCTGGGGATGATGTAATGAATCTCGCATGCTGGCATTTACCAGCAGACATAGAACCAAAGTCTTCGGAAGCGTATGTACTGTACCTAAGGCAGATGAAAAATCCACAAATGATGCAAACGGCGTTGAGCTGTGATCCCGCCATTCTGGGTGTGGCTTCCTACAGGGGTTGTTCCACCCAATGCCTAGGCTTGGCTGACTCTCTGCGTCACACAATCGGTTGGTTCCTCTCCCTTGGTCCGTAGCCATCCATTCCCCCTAGTTAGATCAACGGAGGACGCCGACTCGGATTTCCAAGGGAGTTCCAGGAATGCGGGAGTGGCTTTCGGGAAAGGCTTCTACTATCGATTGCCGCCCTAGCTCCCGTTATCGTGTATTTGATGGCTGGCATGGATAGAAACGGGCACCTTTTAGCCAGAAGGTGGTACCAGGATCGGTCTGACAAGGTTCGGCCCTAACGTCCCGACGTTTTATCCTGTGCATCACAAAGACGACGAAGACGGGATAGCTTCCACTTCATTTATTATGAGGCGGCCAGTTCTGAGCCTCACCCTCCCCTCTGTCTCCCCTACCCACACACCCCCACCCCCGCCACCGACGTGGCACGAAAAAAAGACAAGTGGATACATGCATGCAAAGGTCTGGAAGCTGCATAGCGGGAGATGGTGGTAATGAGAATGGGGGCCGTTGTCAATCAGTCCTGCCTCCGACGAAGGTTTAACTCAGCATCTGGCCCATGATGCAACTGGTAATGTATGGATGACGCTTCAGCCAATCAAAAGAGGCCATCAGTCCCGACCTTTTGCCGGCCCTGGGCCACCACGGCCAGGTCAGGGATATTTGCTGGAGCAACGAGCATCAAACAAGCGCTTAATTAAAGCAATTACTTGAACTTACACACCATAATATCTGATCGACATTCCTGCCTCTGCATCTCTCTTGATTGACATAGCATTTCGTCTCTTATAACGTACAGAGCTTTGGTCTCGAACATAGACTCTCGGCTTGGGTCATTGTATCCTTCTAACGCGGCAGCTCTCTTGTTGTTGTCTTTATACTAGCTACTCTCACGCTCTCAACGCTCTTACTCTGCGGCTGGCCACACGTCCACAACCAAGTCCACAACTTTGACGTTTTCTTGCGGCAACAACGCTATTCACGCTTCTCCGCTCTGGTGTCTACGCACCTACCTGACCTTTCTCCCCTCTTCCCTTGACCCACTTTCCATCAAGCAAGGAAGGCCCGAGTATCCCCTTCCAAAGGGTCGAGGTTTCCTGCTGATCATCGAGGGCCCCGGAACACGGCATATCGAGGGGTGCGACCCAGCTCGCGAGCTACCATGGCTGGAGATGCTACATCCGCGCGCCTCTCCCCCAGCAACACTGCTGGAAAGCCGCCAGTCCTGGCGGACAAATCCAGTTGACTATCTCGGGTCACGCAGCGCTTCCCCTTTCTCAAGACCAAGCGAGGCGTTGCCCTTCTCGTCATCATGCTTCTTGTCATCATCGGCGGCGGCCTTGCCGGCCTTGCTGCCCTACCCCATGGAAAGGCCTGCTCTTCTGCAAACTGCGCCCGCCAAGAGCCCGCTGGTAACATCTCAAGCGATACTTACTTCTACGGCCAGTCTCCCCCGGTCTATCCCTCACGTAAGTCAGAATGGTTCAGAGGGGAGATCCGGTGTAAATGTTGACATTGAAATCGCTGACTGGTTTCGGCTGCACCATAGCCAATATCAGTGGCCTGGCAACCTGGGCCGATGCGTTTACCAAAGCCCAGGATTTGGTAGGACAGATGACCCTGGAGGAGAAGGTAAATGGCTTGCGAGGTCATGTCCCTGCCACTTGTCGGGATGTTGTCTGATGGCCTAAACAGATCGACCTGACGAGCGGTATCTCCGCGAGTAATGGATGCAACGGGAACATCCCCCCAATCCGACGCCTCAAGTTCCCCGGCCTCTGCTTAAGCGATGCTGGGAATGGCCTTCGTTCGACCGACTTTGTTAGCTCCTGGCCAAGCGGGCTTCATGTTGGTGCTAGGTGAGGATGCCATTTTCACATTTGCTGGGCTCAACGTCAGGCTTGCTGATTATTCGTGACCATTGATAGCTGGAACAAAGAGCTGGCGGCCAAACGTGGGTTCGGAATGGGCTCGGAGTTCAAGAAGAAGGGTGTTAACGTCCTGCTGGGTCCCGTCGTTGGGCCCCTTGGACGGGTTGCACTCGGGGGCCGAAACTGGGAAGGTAAGGCCCCTCTCTTGCTAGAAGGGGAGCTTTCTCTCACGGCTAGAACTAATCGGAAATAGGTTTCTCCAACGATCCCTACCTTTCGGGTGCCCTCGTCCATGAGACAGTCTCGGCCATACAGGGGGTTGGTGTCATCACCAGTACGAAGGTGGGTGCCTACTATCTCATGCGTCGTTGGGGCCCCTTGGCTGATTTCTGCGAAGCACTATATCGCCAACGAGCAAGAGTCATACCGCAATCCCTCCGGCGACATTCAAGCTTCATCGTCCAATATTGATGACCGGACCCTTCATGAATTGTACTTATGGTAAGCTATACTCCTGTTGACATGTGGTATATCGGAAGGGCCCTGCTAACGGAGAGCCTAGGCCATTCCAAGACGCTATCCATGCGGGTAGCGGTAACATCATGTGTTCGTACAATCGCGTGAACAACTCTTATGGATGTGCCAACAGCAAGACCTTGAATGGCATCCTCAAGACGGAACTCGGCTTCCAGGTAAGCACCAGCTTGTAAGCCCGCTTCCGACCTCTAGCTCACCGGTATCTTAGGGGTTTGTTGTCACCGACTGGGGTGCTCAGCATGCCGGTGTTGCCACTGCCCTGGCTGGCCTGGACATGGCCATGCCGGTTGGTGGTCCCTTCTGGGGTGCCGAACTATCCAAGGCTGTGTCCAATGGCTCCGTTCCCGAGTCCCGCATCACTGATATGGCTACAAGGTAAGCGATATGGCCTTTCTGGTCAAGTCAGGTATCCGGGCTAACCCTGAGAAAGGATCATTGCATCTTGGTACCAAATGGGCCAAGATCAAGGTTTTCCAGAGCCAGGTATTGGCATGCCCGCCTCCCTCACCAAGCCGCACAAAATCGTAGATGCGCGGAACGAATCGTCTAGATCCGTTTTATTCGACGGCGCCGTTGAGGGCCACGTGTTGCTCAAAAATGAAAAGAAAGCCCTGCCCCTTAAAAAGCCCAACCTGCTCTCCATATTCGGCTTTTCAGCCAAGGCGCCCGATAACAACAACGTGGGCAGCGGCGTATCGCCATGGAATCTCGGGGCCGAATCGTTCAACTTTGAGGATTTGCTCTCGGGGTTTATAGCAGGGGATGTGAGCGAGCGCCCAGCCATTGCCTTCAACGGAACGATCGTCTCCGGAGGCGGTTCTGGGGCTACCTCACAGTCACGGATCATCTCTCCCTTTGATGCAATAACCCAACAGGCATACGAGGACGATACGGCTCTGTTTTGGGACTTTACCAGTGGTGACCCCGAAATCAATCCCGCCTCGGATGCCTGCCTCGTCATTGTCAACGCCTTCGCTTCAGAAGGCTTTGACCGCCCGAACTTGCATGATGACTATACGGACGGCCTGATCAAAAACGTGGCTGACAAATGCAACAACACCGTCGTCGTCTTCCACAACGCTGGCATCCGGCTCGTCGATCAGTGGATCGACCATCCCAACGTCACGTCGCTGATATTCGCACACCTGCCGGGGCAAGATTCGGGCAAGGCGTTGGTCTCCATCCTCTACGGCAAGTCCAATCCCTCGGGCAAGCTGCCCTACACGGTCGCACGCAACGAATCAGACTACGGCCAACTCGTGGGGCCAGACATGCCGGAGGACATCTTCGCCGCCTTCCCACAGAGCAACTATTCGGAGGGCGTGTTTATCGACTACCGGCACTTCGACGCCAAAAACATCACTCCGCGGTTCGAGTTCGGGTTCGGCCTCAGCTACACGACCTTCGAGTACTCCAACCTGTCCGTCACGAAGACGTCCAACGACACGGCGGAATTCCCCACGGGAGCGACGGTCGAGGGGGGGCCCGCCGACCTGTGGGACGTCATCGCGCGCGCGACGGCGGACGTGCGCAACACGGGCGCCGTCGGCGGCGCCGAGGTGGCGCAGCTGTACGTCGGGGTGCCGGGCGAGGGGGCGCCGGCGCGGCAGCTGCGCGGGTTCGAGAAGCCCTTCGTCAACGCGTCCGGGACGGCGGCGGTGGGGTTCGCGCTGACGAGGCGCGACCTCAGCGTCTGGGACGTGGTGGCGCAGAAGTGGAGGCTGCGGCGCGGCGAGTACGGCGTGTGGGTCGGGGCGAGTAGCAGGGACTTGAGGCTGGAGGGGAAGCTGGTGATTTGAACAGAGCGGGCTCCCGCGGCGTTGGGGGCTGGCAGAGAAATCGGGTGGAAATACGGGAAAGGGGTTCAAGGTTGTGTTTGATTCGAATGGCTTTGGGGTCCTGAATCCTGCGGGACCATTCACGGTGTTGTGAATGTGAAAAGCCGAGTGAGAGCTCAACAAGCTCCAGGTTGTCATGAGTATGAAGGGAACGAGGCCATCACCCCAGAGCCCAAGTGGGCAAGGGGTGTTTCTATTGTCAAGATAGTTATATAGGTACATGTACATAATGTTAATAGCAGAAGCTTATGCTCAGAGCCCAAGGGCCAAATCACACGCTCTGCGGCCCCATCAATTAGTCGAGTCAGGGTTTGAAACATCTGTTAGCAAACATGGGGATCAACAGCAGCGTGGCGAGAATGCCGGTCCCTTTACCAAGGCCCAACTTTCTGCAGGGTTGATTCCCGAAGGCGTGGTCCCGAAGGGCATGGATGGCACGGAACAGAGGGGACGCCGATATTAGGAAGCCGCGTCTGTTTCGTGACCGCCTCTCGCTTACAGGGGCCATCCTGAACCTCAACTGATCTGCAGCGGGCGCCAGATGGCGCGAGACATTTTTCGGCGAGGATCTTTGGGCTATCCAAAAACCCCCCCCCACTTGGGGCGCGCGCCCGCGCGGCCCGGTGCCCTACGGGCCGTACCGACATTCCAGCCGGCGGCCGATCGGCCGGACCCACTCTCGGATTCTAGCTGGTGTAATCCGTAGGTAGGTAGGTACCGAGTTCCCATCTGTCGCCGCCAAAGTTCGCCTCGATGGTCTTGCTGAATATTCTATTAACTTACGGCCCCAGACTGGGTGCTTTACGAGCGTCATGATGTGCGCGCACAGAATTGTCTGGTCGGCCTGATGGAACTCAATGATGTCTTGTACGGCTGGGCTGTACTATGAGATATGTATTACCCAGAGGAGAGGAGCCAAGGCTGAACGACCACATCCAATGGCAATAACTAAAAGAAAAAGGCATCTACTTAGCACTTACCTATCCTTCTAACATTCAGGACTACCGGCCCAGCCGCAGACAGAATTCGTACAAGCGCCCCCCATTTCCCCCGATCCAGGACTCGGTGGACATACGCGGTCCGAGGCCCTCCTACGACGAAGCTGCCTGTTTATGCGTGATGGCCCCTCGGAAGTCTAGTCAATAACAGTCGATAAACCCTTGCCATACTTCGGTCCTGCCCGAGACCCACCTTCGCCACCTGCTCGGGTCACCCAGACAACGAACACTACGAATCTGAGAGAGACGAATCTACCCAGCCTTATCCGGACTCATCGTCCCGTCCGCTTCAGCTTCGTCAATGCCGTGGGAAGTAAGTGTCTTTTTGCCACTCTCCAGGGTCGCCGGCGGGGACGGAGCGACCCAGAGACGTACGTAGTCGGTAGGCCTCTTTTCAGCGGCAGAGCCCTGAAGGATCGTACACGGCATGTGAGTAATAGACGCTGTTCCCCTGTTTACCGGGGGTTGTTCCCCCGAGGCGAGGTGGAAACGTCTTCGGTGAATTTGGGGCAATCGTCACCCATTGCTTTGATACGAGGGCGGGGAGGTGGGCGGGGGGAGGGGGGGGGCGAGAAGCGGTGAAGGTTTGATGCAGGGCAGCGGAGGATTGACAAGCACGTGGCATGAATCTGCCGGCAGCGCATCACGGAGAAAAGGGCAACAACCATGCAGGGGAGAGAGGCATATCCAGCCGCATGATAAGGTTTCTAGGCAGGGCTGGGCGGGGTACACTAGATGTACAGGGGCCGGGGCGAAACGAGCAGAGAAACAACCCATTGTGGCGAGTCTTTTTTCTTTGCTTTTTGACGATCGCCGTTCCACTGCTTCATGCGATGTCCCGACGTGGGGCGAGATGTCGAACATCCGTAACTTGCAGGCACAAGCATATGACTGGGCAGACGTTTTCTGCATACAAGAGGGCTGGGCACCTGAGAGGTGTTGCATTGACACGGTGGCAAACTGGAGGGGTGCCGTTTCACAACAATAGGACCAGCGGGATATATCACGTGTAAACAAGGTAGCAAGGGGCTATAGTGATCGACGACGAGTACCGATCTTATTGAATCTGAATGCCTGTCTTTCCCAAGCTATTATTATACATGGGTCAAGGGAGGGCAGCCTTAAACAAACAGCCCGCTCTCGTCGATCTCGAAAGAGCCGTGGCTCAATCGCCTCCAAGTCTTGCATCCCGAGTGGCAATTGTGACGCCATCTCCTCTTCTCCGACTCAATGTGTCTCAGTTTGGATGCTTCCATGAGCTCATGCTTCCCCTTCCTGCTTCCAGCAGAGAATGCATTTTTGGTGGCTAATGATGAGGAGCTAAGGAAGAAAACGCCTTTTTGTGTAATGCAGATGAGTAAGTAACGGTGGTTGTAGAATGGTAGCAATGCAAATCCATTTGCCAGTGCATGTATGGATGCAATGAACAGAAGGAGAAAAGGGTGAAGCAAAAGAGAGGTAGAATGAATGCATTATGCAGATGCAAGTCGAATAACAAGCAATTTTGATGAAGGCCGTTAGTTTTTGCGCAGTATGTCGGCTCGGCCGTGACGGCATGAGAGAGGAACCCAAAGACAATCTTCCAAAACTCTCATATAATCAAAACTTTTACAATAGTATTAAGATTGAAAGAAGCGAAATGGCTAGGGATGGCCATGGCATCTGAGAGCCAATATGCCAAATGCAGTGAAAATGCAAGATAAACAGCGGTTAATGATCGTCAAGAATGGGTATCATAGATGGAAGAAACAGTCAAACAGAACGACTGTAGGTGGGTCGGCCGTGGTAGCGTGCTTCGATGGTCGTGTTATAAGACATTGAGAAGTCATAGTGGTGACGGATGGCCAGTGGATGGAGATAGATGGACAGATAGAACCATCATCAGGCTTAGAGAACAGCAATCAGCTTGTTGGGTTTGAAGACGGCGTTCGTAAGGAAGATGTTGTCCCTAGTGGCCTCCTGTTTGGTTGGAGAAGGCGGCGCAGGCGACTCAGCGGCCGGTGACTTCCTCACCGGTGAACCATTGAGAAGCTCCTGGCTGTGAGCCCGGTGGAGCTCTCTGCGTTCATCATCCGAGAGTGACGGTTCCTTGGGAGGGTCACCGGCGCTCATCTTGGTGATCTGGTCCTCGACGTCGGCGAGGAGAGCGTAGACATCGTTATCGGCATAAATACGAATAGTCTCCGCTCGGCGAAGAGGAGCGACATCGCCCTCCTTGTTGCCGGTGAGACTAAAATCTGCGGTGGCAGCTTCTTCAAAGAGAGGCTGCTCAAGGATGGTCGAAGGTACCTGGGCAACAACGCGTTGGGGGGAGGGGGAGGAAGACTGGGAGTGGGCAGAAAAGGATGCCTTAGTTGGGCTTCGTGGAGGTGTGGAGATGTTTGCAGGTGGGGTCGAGCCAGGGGGCAGAATACCCATAGCTAGCTGCAGGCTATGGCTTACGCCAGCGATGCCCGGGGAGAGAGGAAGAGTCGCAGCGGCCGCAACGTGTTCGAGCAGCTTTTGGCGTACTCGAGTGCGGCGGTTCTCAGCCTGCTCGAGTTTCGTGACCCAGTCGTCAATGGAAGTGTCTAGCTCCGCCAGAGCCTCTTCCTGCTTAAGAATCGAATCGTGGCTGAACTTGGCAGTTCGAGGGGAGCGGAGATACTGGCAGATCCTCGAGTGCAGGTTGCGCCGGCCAGCCCTGAGAGACGTGTAAGTCCGTCGAAGATACTCGGTACGTTCATCGAGATGTCGAAGCTCCTATTCATTGCTGTTAGACATGCTCTGTCAAAACTCAGAAGTGGGCAATACAAGGCTTACCCTCGAGAGATTGTCGACATCGTCCTTCCTCAGAACCTCGAACCTCGCGGCCTGCTGCAAGGCTTGCTTCTGGATAGCGACGACTTCGGATTGATTTAGCATGCTCGCAGCCTCGCTGACCTTCCATCCCTTGGGCAGCTGCTCGAAAGCCCGGCGCTCTGCACTATTGTTTCTCTTCGACGCTGTACGCTTCAGAGACGTGCATCCGGTAGTCTCACTTCGCTTCCGTGGCCGTCCTCGCTCCATGACGCTCGCAGACTCAGATTGATTCCTCCTGTGACCCATAGCTGCAACGGGCCGCGGCTCAGGGTCGGCTTTAGGAGTCGAGTTCGACTCGGTGGAGCCTTCCCTGGGCGTTGTGACGACGGCGTAGTTGGTCGGTTTCTCCCAGGGCCTGGGCGAGGATCGCGACTCCGTGGGTGCAGAGATAGGAGTCGGGAGGGTGGACGCATTCATTGTTGACAGGGCAGCCGATCTTGGCGTGTTTAGAGCTGTCGAGCCTGACAAGGGCGTAAAAGGTGTTCGAGACTTGGGCGAATCGTCAGTCCGGGCTGAGCGGATTGTAGGTTCTACTGGCGTGCTTCCGGACCGAAGACGGCTGAGAGACGATTGCTTTTTTAGGCGCGGAACAGGAGAGGCTGTGGTTGGGATGACGAGGGGTGCCAGGCTCTTTGGTGACAAGGGCGGTCTAGCTTCGAGGGCGAGTCGCCGAGAGCCAGCGTTGCTCATACCGAGAGCCTCCAACTCAGCCTTCTCGTCGGGCGTCTGGGCATCAGGGAATGCGATGGTCTCGGAGAGGTTGTGTTGCTTCCATGAGCTGCCGGGGGCGCTGATGGATCGCTCATGAAGAGGTGGACGGCCGGGAATTGTAGCTGTCCCGTGTTAGCGAGCCTCAAGGGAAGGCCGGGGAGCTAACTTACGAGAGTCCATAGCAACTTCCTGCACAGTCGTCATGGGCCCCAGCTCGGGGACGCTGACTTTTCGGCGACGGATAAGGTTGTGCTCCTTGATCCGTATGCGCAGCCCGCTTCCGGCCGTCTTGTCCGTCTTGTCTCCATTCTGCCCCATGGCTAGGGCGAAAGCCTGCTCGGGATCCAGAGCCTTCCCCGGGGAGGCAGCAGGCTGCCTATCCTTGGGGAAGAGCTGATACTTCCGCTCCGGTTGGTGCATCCTCCAGACGAAGGGCTTCTCGCAGCCCTGTGCAGACGCTTTCTCCAGTAACTACGGTAAACAAGGGCGCAAGTTAGAGCTGGCCAGCGACAATGACGAGTGGAGGGGCAAAAAAGGTTTAAGTGCTTGCATTACTTACCGAGTCATTGGAAGCTTGTGGGGAGACAGCCTTTGCTATATAATTATTAAGGCTAAGATCAAGATTGTCCGTATCGGTATCCAGCATGCAGCTGACAATGTGAGCCATTGGGCTGGATGCAGGGACTCAGGTGTAAGAGGTAAATGGCCAGAACTGGCTCGGAAGAAGTGGTGCGGCTAGGACGAATAGAGCCTTCGGAATATAGGCGGGTGGGAGAGACGGATGGGATGGAGACGAGGCTATATGTAATCGCAGGCCGCCCAAGCAGGTAGCTTCCCTGTCCAGCTCTCGAGATGGAAGAAATGGCACAACAGGGGGGAAAGGGGAGAGATAGAAGCAAGGGCAGGGCATGAAGGTGGGACAGGATTATTATGATTTTTGTCAATCTCGATTCCTTGCATCGAGGCGACTATAAGAAAAAGAGACGAAAACGCACGGAAAACGCTTGTTTCCTGCGATAAGACTCATAACAATGACCACTCATCACCCCTGGGCACCGCCAATGCAGGTCTGGTGCTGCGCAGTAGATGATCCCTCCCTCATGGCAACGGGGGTTCGAATGTACCTTTGCGCACCACATCGGCACGATGGTGACAGCGAAGGGTCTGAGACAGACCATTCGCTTGCAATTGCTCCTCCTCCTCCTCCTCTCGGACACCCTGGGGGGCACGGGGCTGGGCCTCGAGGTAGTCGGAAAAGGCTCGAGAGGAGTGAAACAGCTATGGCGTTCAGGCCCCCGCACCCACAGCTGCAGCAGGGGTGCTAGTGTACGCTAGGCGTTGCCCCACTACCACAAGGCGGTGTTTCCTGTCGAATACGGTAAGAGTGCTTTCTATACACCATCATGCTTGCCTATAGCAGACACTGGTCAGACCAATGGCTCGTCCTTGGCTAAATTGGAGGGTGCTTTGGTACAGCTGGGGTGCAGCTGCAGCACCTTGCAGCACCTGCAGAACAGCAGTGCTGGCTTGGATACCGCGTAGCTCGGCCGGTCACGGGTAGAACTAAGGCAAGTCTGCTGCGAAAAGAAACAAGCGCTTGAAGAAGAAGCTGCCGGAGGCGGGAAGGTGCGGCTGCGAGACACCTGGAATATGTTCTGTACCTATGAAGACGGCAGAGGCACGCACGCAATGACATGCAGGGCAGGAACGGAGGGGCAGGCACAGAATAGCTGCTGGCTGTTAGTGAGGGGCCGGAGGTCCTCTCCTTCCGCGACTCCCGTTCTTCTTTCCGCCTCTCCGTTTCTCCCAACCGCCTCTTGCAAATTTCCACCCTGGCACACGGATACCTTAGAATCCAAACAGCTCGCTGTGATGGTCCTTTGAATGGATGGTAGTAGCTGCCCGCGGCAGCTTCCCGCAGCATCATCTACCTAGCCGTTAGTCGTAGTCTCGCCCGTTTCCTTGCTGCCCTGCCTTAACTCCCCGCTTATGTGGATTCCCCAGGAGGCTCGAGAGTCGACTGGCTCTACGAATACCTAGATATATGCGTAAGCGAGTCCCTTATTCGGCAAGTGGAGATCTAGAGCCTTGTAAGTTGTCAGCCAGCTTATGTGTACAACGTAGGTACATACATTAGCACGGCTACCCACCTCTCTGAGGCGGGCAGGTGTCAAAGATGTGTATCCGTAGGTAGGTACAGTATGTATTTATCCACGCGTAGGGATGATCCATCCATCGCCCGTATGCGGAACCTAGCTCACGTTGTAGCCTGCGCATGCGTAGAGCAGTAAACACTCCGCGAGTGCCCGTAGGAGATGCTTGCAGATGTTCGGACGAAAATGAAGCAGAGCGACATCGCCACCGACGATTCCGCACGGACCGTTCAGTTCAATCACAATTCATAATGCACTGATGCAGTGATAGTAATCCGCTAGGATGTCGCCGCCATAGAAGGGCGAATCGGAGGACAGGCGTTTCGGACCAAACCGCTTCGGGTCATGCATGTTGCCTACTGCAGAGCACTAGACATATCCTAACCTAACAAGCCTAGGTAGCACAAGAAACAAGCGCGATCCGCCAACCTGAGACAGAACGTCAAAGAATCTTTTTATTAGGTTTGGAAACTCTTGACTTGAACTTGAAGAACAATCATCCTCTTGAGCCAACCCACGGTCCGTCCCTACTTCGTAGTTCGCAGTAGGTTCGTATTAGGTGCATTACTGCACGTGGGGCGAAGGGCGACTTGGAGCGAGTTGCATGAACCATACCAGGTCGATCATTTCGACGAAGGCAAATACATACCTAGGTACCTACGCCAGTCGGATATTACTGGCATGGGTGCTTCCTCGTTTTCTTTTCATGCTCTCTGCCTAGGCACATTCGAGCAAGACGGACATTGCAACCTCATGCCGCTGTGGAAACAGTGGCGAGAGGCAACAGTGATAACAACGGTCTTCAACCTTCGCTATATCGATCAATAGCATGCCCGCCAGGTTGCCCCGGGCAGGGATTTGGGTACATATCTGCATACAACGTACTGCATAGGTAGGCAGTAGGTAGGTGCTCACCAAACCCCTCTATCGAATGCAACCTCGACCATGTCAAGGAAGCAGCTCCTGTCCCTCCATGGGTTGGGAGAAGCAACTTTGAAGGGCCAGTGTTGCATTTGGTAGTGGAACCAGCGTAAGTAGGGTGTTCTTAGTTGGAGTGTTAAAGGTGCTAAGTAGGTAGGGATTTACATTGATCGACCCCTTCAACCAGGTTTTAACCGTTGGCCATGGCTACGCCATTCCATTGCGACGCCCAAAGAGCATAACGTTGTCAAGCAACTGCCGGCCATCAGAACAGAGCTGCCGGTGAAGAGAAATGCATTAGATAGTTATTGCTGAGGAGGCTCGAAACGAACAGCATCGAGGGTTTGACCGGTTTGGCTGGACCTACAAGATGGGAATACCTGGGTCATCAAAACCCACCTCTAACAGGATTGAGGGGGCCGCGATTTGATCGAGGACTCGTGGGAACTTCCCCCGGGTCTTATCCGGTTTCTTCCTTGAGTTCCTGCTTGCTCCAACATGCTTGTTTCGCTTGGACAACCTGCCATCGCACTCACTTCTCTGCTGCAAGCATGGGCCATTGCAAGCTTCGACATCGGACGAACCTGTCCACATTTTGGTGGATGCTGTCAGGGGGAAGGCAGCTTGGCGCAAGTGCTTCTGTTCATTAGCCGAGTGTCAAAACGCCGAAAGGGACAGAAGTTCATGCAACCATTTAGATTGAGATTTGCAACCGCAGTAGCTAACTATGCAAGAGATACAGGCCACCATGCGGCATGCCAGATGATCTAAAAACTGTGGGTTCACGACGTTGTTGCTCCATGATGTGCAGCTGCCAGGCACAATCATTACACTCTAGCTACGCAGTAGTTCTACTACACCACATGCACCTGCTTGCGCACACACACATGCTTGCGCACACACATGCCCTCGTGGCCTAGAGATGAGCCGCAAAGATTGGTTGCTAGCCCCAGCCCAGGAAGCTCTCTATGAGAGTGCCATCCGAGGGTGATGACAAACTTGAATAAACAGACGGGATACGGATATAGTCCTCGTTGGACCCCCAGCCTCCTGGGCGGGAGACAATTAAAAAAAAGCCTGTCAAAAATACTGGTAGGATCTTCCCAGCCGCGATCTCTCCGAGATCCTCAAGGATCTGGCCCATATACACGGCTAATATTGACCAGGGCCCGTGGCTCGTTTCGACTTCTTCGGCTTTGAACCGACCCAGCGAAGGTTTCTCACCTTCGCATGGGGGTGGTCGAAGAGCTTTCCCCTGAACACAGCAGTCCAACACAATGGCGAGCTGTGACGGATGGCATCGTTGCAATCACAGTTCCATTTTCTTGTTCCCGCATAGAACCCCAGTTGTGACACAGGTGCGAAATAATAAAATACTGGAAGAAAATAAATAAAATTTCCAGCCTCAACCTCGAAACCGCTAGTGCGGGGTATAAATGGTGTTTCACACACGGCACGCAATGCCCCATCCAGCCTCCCACTGTGATTCGCCAATGGAGAGCTCTTTCCCCGCAGGCCCCTGCTTTGCCGGGCCCCGTGCGACATCAGACTCTAAAAAAAGGGGATGTTTTTCGTTTTCTTATTTCACCCGAAAGCGCAACATAGTTGAGTAGATTTGTGCTGCGAAAAGGATAGATGGTAGGCCATGCCCAATAGGGAGAATGGTGAGGGGAGAGGGGAGAGGGGAGAGGTCGAGACACTGACAGTCCCAAGTCTGGACGGGCGTGGTTGGATCTCCGATTAGATCTTCCAAGTGACATTCTTTGGACGAATCGAGTGTTCCAATTCCAAGTCTCCATTTCATATATGTAGGCACTATAAAATGTCACTGCATGATTGCTACCTCGACTTCGAGGACGGAAACAGATCGTACGATACTGACGATAGTGGAGAACCCATTGGATTCCTCACCGCACCCTTCATTGGCGGGGCCACATTTTCAGTTACAACGTACGCTGCTCCCATGATCCTCATGCTCAGACTGGGAGTCTGAGCTCCAATTAGGTTGTGGGTCGCCTTCCCAACGTCAAGCTCCTTATGGCTGTTCTCCTCTTCTCCAGCGAGTCCAGACTCCGGACTCCTGTCAGCACTGCACCTTCTTCACACCGACGGGCCAACATCAAACTGCCACTAACATCCATACCCTGACACTCATGGCACGTCCGGATAGCTCCCTCCCTCCCCCCGGTACACACAAAGTGACGAAAGAAATCCTACACTACACTACACTTCGAACCGCCCTCTGGGAGCAGGTCTCACGTTCTGTGTGGTGTGGCAATCTACGGAATATACTGCACGCTAATGTGAGGGGGTGAATAGCTTCAAGTCTTGGGAGGCCTGTGCGCCTTTGACGACCGTTTGGATGTTCGCTATCTTCTACGCAGCACTCAATTTAACAAACTACTTCTAATTCGGCCGACCTCTGCAAGCCTGCCCGCGAACTACGTAGTATTAATGCACCAGAGATCTGATTGATGGACTGTGCGGGTAATAGCCACGTGAATATGAAAATCATCGACATGGTGGCCCTCCCCTTCAATTTACCTCCCGCGCGGGGTCGAGGATGGGGAGATGGTCAATGTTAAGTCACTTAGGTGGCGTCCGTCAATCCAAGGCCCTGGGACTGTAATCATTAACAATCCCTATCCAAACAAAATCCCCACCCGGCGAACGGGCTCCCTTCAGCACTTAAGGGATGCATACTATGGGTGAGGTCTCCTTCTCCACGATGCCTCGAGAGAACCTCATGTCTGGAAGTTATGGAGGGAGTCCCGCCCCCGCGCGGCCTTCCCCTGATAGGCGTGCCTGTGTCTTCCGCTTCGCAGATGCCAATACTTGTAATTACAACCAACGTAACCCGTAACACGCCATGACACCTACGACACTCTTGTGTATAACACCTTGTGTTGGGATCCGGGTGGGTGTGCGAGAAGTCGTAGGAAACCCCTATTTTCCAGATGAGGAAGAGATTGTGCAGAATCTCCTGCAAGCCACCTGTGCATGGAACTTCACCTTCAACAGAGAGTGTGAGCGAGGCACAGCGTGGGGCAGGCAAAAATAGCCGTGGCTCTCCGAACAACCCCTCCGAGAGTCCTGCCCCGCTTGGGAGGTAAAGGTTCCTTTTCTGCTCCTAGTTCTTTCGTCCATTCATTCCGTCGTGGCGGAACAACCGCGGAATCGTCGCCAGTGCCGGGGGACTAATTAAATGGATCAATGCCGTCCCTTGAGTTATTGACGAGGATCTAGTCCCTAGAACAAATTTTAATACGCCAACGGTTCGCATAACGCAGAGAAGCTTCCAAAAGAGGACCCCCGGTGTGGATCGGCCAGGGAAGGGGGGCCAGGATAGAGCACGGCCTGTTTCTCGGCCGATTTCGCTAGCAGCAATGTGCGTTTCACCTTGTTCATAGTTCGTCCTTTGAGGGCAACGGGTTCAAGATCCATGTCCGTTTCTGACCCGGAGGGGACCCACCTTGATTCCGGAGCGGGAGCGGGAGTGAGGGTGGGAACGGAGATTGAAACATGTTTCGTCCCTACTGTTTCGTTTCGAGAGAAGCAAAAGGCTGAATTGGATGGAGAATCGTGAGCTTCAACAAAGCTTTTGGATCGTGATTCGAAGAGATCGTGATGGCAAACTCAGTCCCTGCTGTTTTGATTCAAAATTTCTTGTCCTCGTCGAAATCCCGTGCAATCTCACGTGATTAAGCCAACCACCATTACCTAGATAAGGCACTATATTTATGCCTGAGGCTGCCACAGACTAAAGAACTTCCCTTTTGGGATGCTCCAACGTCGACAGCTCGCAGCCTATCAAATGAAGGTATTCGTGAACTTAAGACGAAGAGGGAAGGCAGCAAACTTGTGAAATTTCAGACAACTAGGTCATTTTGAAAGCCCCCAAGCTCGTGAACCCGTTTTTCTATGCGGGGTTTTCTGTCCTTCAGTCGGCTCAGGCTCGTCAAACAAGCATCATCATCACCAGGTCTCTTCAGCTCCTCAGTCCGGCGATTCAGCATCACAGCCGTCGCCATGGCCGGGATTCGCGATCCAAGCACCCTCTCCAACTATGACGCCTGGCGCACCCGGCACACCACGGCCAACCTGACCATCGACTTCGCGGACAAGTGTCTGCGGGGCTCCGTCATCCTCGAGCTCGTCTCGCAGACCGACGGCGCCAGCAAGGAGATCGTCCTCGACTCCAGCCATGTGGCGGTGTCGTCTGTCAAGCTGGACGCCAGCCCATCGACGCGGTGGGAGGTGAGGCCGCGGGTGGGGCCCGGCGGGTCTCCGCTGCACGTCGAGGTGCCCGGCGGCGCGGCCCGCGGCGAGACGGTCCGGCTGGAGATTGAGCTGGCCACCACGGCCGAGTGCACCGCCCTCCAGTGGCTGACGCCAGCGCAGACCGGCAACAAGAAGGCCCCCTTCATGTTCAGCCAGGCCCAGGCCATCCACGCCCGCAGCCTGTTTCCCTGCCAGGACACCCCGGACGTGAAGAGCACGTACGACTTCAACATCACCAGCCCCTACGTGGTCGTGGCGAGCGGCCTGCCCGTTCCCGCGTCCGAGGCTGGCAGCGCCGAGGCCGAGACCGGGCCGGCCGGGAAGGTGTACCGGTTCCGGCAGGGGGTGCCGATCCCGTCGTACCTGTTCGCCTTGGCGTCGGGAGACATGGTCACGGCGCCGATCGGGCGGCGGTCGGTTGTGGCTACGGGGCCGAACGAGCTGGAGGCGTCACAGTGGGAGCTGCAGGAGAGCATGGACAAGTTCATGGACGCGGCGGAGAAGATCGTCTTTCCCTACCAGTGGGGCGAGTACAACGTCTTGGTCTTGCCGCCGAGCTTCCCCTATGGAGGTGGGCTGCGCCATGCCCCACACCCTGACTTGAGGTTGGTTTACTGACTGTAGTACTGTCTAGGCATGGAGAACCCGATCTTCACTTTTGCGACGCCGACGATCATCAGTGGCGATCGCCAAAACGTGGATGTTATTGCACACGAGCTGAGCCATAGCTGGAGCGGGAACCTGGTTACCAGCTGTAGCTGGGAGCATTAGTGAGTTTTTACCCCTATTCGACCCCGTGAATGGTTTATCTGTCGCATTTTCTTTGCCTTTGCCCACAGTGCCTTTTGGAAGTTACCCATAGGCTTGCTTGTGGATTTTTTGGGAGCAAAAAGTGGCAAACCTTGTTCTAGAAAGCTAACAGGCAACAATAGCTGGCTAAACGAAGGCTGGACCATGTATCTCGAGAGACGGATCATCGCAGCTGTCTATGGTTCCAACGCCCATTTTGACTTTTCTGCCATCATGGGGTGGAAACACCTTGGTACGTCATTTCGCATTTCCTGGACATTCTCAGTTGCTCACACAGGCTGGCAGAGGAGGCAATCGAGGAATTTGGCAAGGACCATGAGTTCACCAAGCTGTGCATCAGCCACAAAGGCATCGACCCAGATGATGCGTTTAGTACCGTTCCCTATGAGAAGGGCTTCCACTTCGTCTACTATCTCGACCGTCTGGTTGGGCGGGAGAACTTTGACAAGTTCATTCCGTATTACTTCAGAAAGTGGGAAAACAAGTCCCTCGACTCGTACGAGTTCAAGGATACATTCCTAGAGTTCTTCAACGGCCCTGAATATGCCAGCCTGAAGGACAAGATCGCATCCATCGACTGGGAAGGCCGGTTCTACAGCACCGGGCTCCCGCCGAAGCCGGAATTCGACACGTCCCTCGCCGACGTCTGCTACGAACTAGCGGAGAAGTGGAAGTCCATAGGCTTCTCGCCCAGCCCGGCAGACGTCAAGGCTTGGACCGGCAACCAGAAGCTCGTCTTCCTGAACGCCGTCCAGTCCTTCAAGGAGCCCCTTACAGTGACGCAATCAGCGGCCCTCGGCGAGGCATACGGCCTCCTCGACTCCAAGAACGTGGAGCTGAAGACGGCGTACTACCAGATAGCCCTGCGGGCCGAGCACAAGGCCACCTACCCCGGCGTCGCCGACCTGCTCGGCCAGGTTGGCAGGATGAAGTTCGTCCGGCCCCTGTTCAGGAGCCTGAACAAGGCCGACCGCTCCCTAGCTCTGCAGACGTTTGAGAAGAACCGCGATTTCTATCACCCCATCTGCCGCCAGATGTTGGAGAAGGACCTCGGGCTGTCGGAGGCCAAGGTCGCCGCCTAGGTGTCTTGTCCGGGTTTGGATGCGTGGAGGCTCCCAGCCCATCTGCCTGTAACTATAATGAATATGTGAGGGCGGAGTGACATGGCGAAAGGATACAGGGGTGTGTAATGCTAAGGCTGAAGGCTTTCTCCTACGTCCATATTGTGGTGAAGGCATTGTGTACTTGGTCTCATAACAAAATGCATTGGTCATCGTCAAAACAAAGGGGTGCTCACCTGAGATAATATCACAGGGAGGAGTTGGGGCTCGATATGCTCCCCGTCACTTGCGCCAGGACAGGGTAGATAAATATTTTTAAGTGACATGTTACAATAACAACAGACGGTGTGGCGATTGAGCGCGATTCCGTACGACCTACCCTCTGGCAATCAACGCTGGCTCAGATTGACAACCAGTTTCTAAGAAGCAACTGATCGGAGTGCTCCCGACCACGATTATTTAAACGATGGACAGATTGAAACTAGAAGTCATAATAGTAAGTGAATCTGTTGTCGGTGTTAAAATCTTGCTATGAATCCTAAACTTACATGTTCCAACATTATAAGCCTCACAACGGCGTAGGTGGCTGGAGTTAGGAGGAATGGCAAGTGACACCTACACGGCACCCACCACTAGGGGCAACCACTCGAATATCAGAAATACAGAGTTAGATCAAGGGGCTGCTAACCCCAGGAACTGACTCATATGTGACAACGTTGACAAACTGGAGGTTTGCAAGATCCTCATGCGCACATTGCTTCTCGCAATCATCAAGAAATATGGGTTGGGAAAATACAATTTCCCACTGCAGTAACAGGGGCCATTATTACTGCAGCGTTGAAGTCTTGGTAAACAATTCGGAGTGATATGCTGTGCGAGACGAAATATATATACCAGAAGTGCCAGCTATCTGACATTGCGATGAGGGGAGACATCAAATCCCCTTTTAGCCTCCCTCGGCCCCAATCCCAGTCGCCTTTTCAGGACGGTGATGACTCTTCAGCGGCCCTTCTAGCTCCTGGCACGCCGATCTCCTCTACGCCCCTGGGCTGCATGATAGGCTCAACGGGACCGCATGAAAGACAAGTAAATCATAGTTTTGTAGCCTGCTCGTTGACAGCGCTACGCGCAGGGTTACACAGCATTACTGTTGTGTGATACACACTTCCTTTCCCACTCTGCCGCTGATGCCCCGAGCTGGCCCATTGGAGAAAGAAAAGAAGAAATATAGATAACACCAAAGGCCTTCGAATGCAAATCAACAGTGGAAGAATCAAATCGGCGCAGTAACTCTCTCTCTTGTCCGAAACGAATATGCCATCCATGTCCAATAACGCCTTTCGCTGTGTGCCAGTTGGAGCTGCCCTTGTCCTGTATCCGTACCCCCATATCCGTGACTTGTTTTCGTGCCGAACGCAGCAAGCCTTATCTAAAGAAAAGCCTTGCTCCCCAGAAAGTGAACACCCTCCCATGTCGGCAAGACGATGGAAGGGTTCCCATCCGACTCGCCAGTGAATTATTCACAATCAACCAACCTCCTGTCGCATTCTGTCCGGCCTCTGAATCCCCTAAAACCTTGGAAATTCATGTGGGTATCTCTGTGAGACGTTCCGTGCCTGCGACTCCCCGATATCCGTCCCTAGGACTCGGCTGTTGGTCAAGAACGGCCCGACCGCTCGAATTTTGTGGCGGTCTAATCCGTCTTCCAATGGCCTCCCAGCCCCGCATCTCCGTCGCCCCCCAGGTAAAGCTCCACGGAATACAATCCCATTGTAGCCGCCACGTTTATCCACCTCCACATGTTCCCGCCAGAATCACCACCTCTTAACGTCCAGCCCAGGTCATCCCCGTCATTCGATACGGTAAAGTGTTGGAGCAGTAAGCTCGTGTAGACGGCGATGAGCACCGACGGCGAGAACCAGCCCAGAAACCCGAGAAGCCGCGAGGCTGCGTCGCTATCCTCTAGCGATGGGTCCTGCGAGAGTGCCCTTGCCCCTGACTCTCTCACTGCAGGGATGATTCGCGTGGCGCAGTAGAAGACGATGATGCGGTAGGTGAGCGAGATGATGACGCTCGGGGTTATTGTTTGGAATGCGGCGTAGAGGAACTGGAAGGAGGAGCTCACGGCATAAGGGAGGTTGCTGAGCATGTGCATTAGTGTGGAGTATGAAGCCATGATTATAGGTGGCAACGGTGGGAATTCGGGCTGGTTGGCGGCATGCTGTTCTGCCGCCGCCGCCGCGTCCGCCGCCGAGGACGGCATATAGTCGGTGAATATCTGATAGACGCAAAGGACAATATAGGCGAATAGCAGTGAGGATTCAACAGGGTTCCCTCTCCCACTGCCGATGCCCAGGGCGCAGAGGAAGACGGCTGATGTCATTGTCACGCCGATGAGCGTGGCATCGAGGTTGCTGATCTGTGGGAATCGTGCGACTCTCCAGAGGAAGTAGACGGCGCTTGATATAACCGAGCCGGAGAAGACGAGAAGGACAATCTGGGGGGCTGTCAATATTTGCTTGCAAGAGCCAGAATGGGGGGAAGGCCATCGGCAAGACAGACGGGGCACTTACCAGCCATGTATCGCTCCGCCCACGGTTCACCAGCCACCTGGTGATCTGACCCGCAGCCTGAATGACCAAGAGACTGCAGAAACCTTCCAGCAGTTGGAAGACTGGACTCGAATACCTCAGCGTCTTATCCCATCCACCCAGTGTCACGCTCTCTAGGATGCCCCCTTGCCCAAAGAACCACTCATGCCAAGTGCTAGGTTTCGCGTGTGATGTGACGTGCGCAACTGTGCGCGAGACCCAATCCGTGCTACCAGCATCCACCGAGAATCGATTCAGAGCCCATATAAGCAGGATCGGCATGACGAGGCCCTGGGAGAAGCGGACCAGGTTTGTGAAGGCCCATCTTACGCGCGACGAATCCGGGGTAAGGAGGTTGATGGTGCTGTAGAAGAAGTAGAAAAGGAAGAGCGATAGGGAGTAGGCGAGGCCGGCATCGCGGCCACCGACGTCGAAGGCGATGGGTATCGATAAAACGATGCTTAGGAGGAAGATGGCGCTCGACAAGGCGCGGAATAGCCACCACATGGCAGACGCGTGCTCGCCCGCTGCCGCTCCCAGCTAACGCGCGGGGAGGCGGAACCGCGGCGAGTATCGGAGGGTTTGGAGGGGAGTCGGAGCCACCGTTTAAAGTGGTGCTCGGACGTGAGGCGGCGAAGAGGCAGACGGGGGTTGTATCAAGAGGCAACGCGGCCTTGAGCGGAGGTTTCTGGGCGGTTGCGCGTTGAAATGACGTCTTGACAACCGCAGATAGCGTACCTGACTCGACCAACTAAGGGATCTGGAAGAAATGAGGCGGTGGGGATTAGGTTAAGGAATAGGTGGTAGAGATGCAGGAGAATTTGGCTGCTTGGGAGGTGGCAGGTCAGAAGGCAAATTTTGGCCTTATCTTCACGTGTCCAGATACGGGTGCGCTTGTTTTTTTTTATTTTGGGGAGGGGGGTGTCATGCTACCTAGATTCCTAAGGGGCCATCCCCCCGCCCGCACCCCTGTGATTGCCATCGAAAATTGTACCTGCCGGAAGCATGACCAAGTGACCTCGATGAGATCATCCAACGGGAAATGGTGGAAGATAGCTGGGTTGTGGGGAAGCGGCACCAAGCCTTATCGCGGCTCTGTCGTGTGCCCAATGCAGGCAGGCCTCGTTAACCCCCAGCTTGGTAACTGGAGAACATCCATACGAATGGCCCAGAGGTCGTGTATATGTTGGAGTACCGGCACGTAGCGTTCACGCAAGGCACCATCTACTGCATAGTACGCATTTTGACAGCCCAATCAACTGCTCATATCGACACCTTCGATAAGTGGCCGCCAACAACAAAACTTAACAACAAAACTTGGTTTTGAGTATTAAGAGGTCGTCATTACTAGTATCGATGCCTCTTGTAGTACATAATAACTTAAATCGGTACCTTGATCTACCGGTTTAGTGTTGACGAACAACTTAAAGACTTGGTATTTGATTCTCGGCCAGTTCGATGTTTACAAACTTGTAGGTACCTAGGCAGTACACCCTGTGGACAGTTTGGCGGGACCAGCTTCCTGGCTCACTTGGAGTGGCCCGTGCATTATGAACTGGTGCACGCGCATCGCAAACTTGAGTCTGCCTGCCTGGCGTGCATCAACCGCTTCCAACGTAGCTTCCCGCGACTTTGAAGACCTGTGAAAACTCACGTATAAGGTTCTTCCAATGATACTCTCCTCAGTTTTTTTGCCAATAACTCTGAGTGCTTCATTTCCCAGGTTACCAGGTTTGCATCTATGAGTGTCTAACCCACTCTGTATCTGCTCAGGCTTGCCCTCTGCAAACCAACGGTTCACATTGCGGTCTGAATTTGCTCATCTTACATTTGACCATTTGCTCTCTCATTTGATCTTGATCGACTGCCATGTCGACCCCGACACCCATGAAGCATGCGCCATCGCAACAGGGGAAAACCCCTTCACAGTCTCAACATGGAGCTGCCGCTAGCCCACCGGTATCAACGCCTTTCTCGGCCTCGGCTGTTCATGCTGCGTTCTCTCCTCATGGCCCTCGCTCGTCACCGCAGCAGTTTAAGAAGTCGCCTGCAACATCGACAAGCCTGACGGCTCACCCAGCGAATGGCGCGATGAATTTTGACAGCCCGTCGGCTGCCGCCGCCTTTGGAGTTTTGGGTATGGGTGGCAGCCTCGACCTCGGCCTCGACAACGTTGATGTTGGTGCACTCGGCGGCCTGGGTGCTATGGGAAAGATCAACGATGATGAGAAAGCCAGACGACTTGAGGCTGTCATCGAGATTCTCAGTGTAAGCCTGTCCTCCTCGTGGACATGGCGAAGAAACAGCTAACCCAGGTACAGCAAAGCAAAGGCGTGGTCAGCGAGGCGGGCTTGGAGAGGCTTGCGAAGAGGCTCGGGCTGGAATGTCTCTGGGAGGATGATATGGGGAGCGATCCCAAGTCGAGAACCCTTATTGTGGCGGGCTCGGCGCTCGAACTTCTGATCATCCTATCCAACAACATCGTCCAGTCCGTCTCACTAGCATTCCCTGATTCACCCGAGATCGTCACCAAACACGCGGAAAAGGCTGGCAAGATATTGCTTGATGATCTGATGCTCCTTCCTGGCCAGTCTCCTTTGACCAAGAGGCTCGACAAATTCGCAGCAAACTTCGAGCGCTTGGCTACTCTGGACAAACTAAGCATCAACCCGGGACTGAATCTCTACGAGGCTGTTGCCGGAATATATGAGAGCCTGGAGAGGCTTCATCAGTGGGACCTTCGGAAGATCCGCGAGGACCCCGCACTTGTTGGAAAGAGCGACGAATACCTTGCCAACATGGTCCTCTGCACGAGGAATGGTACGCCGGTAATGCACGCAAGGAATCGGGTAGGCTTGAGTCTCGATTACTGGAAGGAAAAACGACTCATTCCCTCGTCGAGCGAGAGCATGGCCTCTTACATGGCAAAATACGAGGAAACGTGGGGCATGCTCATCAGTGTCGCGCTTCTTGGAGACATGGCAATTCCCCCAGTAAGGATCTCGGATAAGTGGGTATCTGCTGATGACGAGAAAGTCAACCTCGGCGATGATCTTCAGCTTGGGCCGCCTGCTACACTGGACTGGCTACAGCCCGACAACACCATAATTCAGGCCCAAGATGCCGTTAAAGTCGCGGCAGACGCGGACTCCCTGAAGGGAAACGGGGAGATGATGGGCCCGAAGCTCCCGGAAGTCATGTTCATGGCCACTCTCGACCCTCCTCTGAACGTCCCCCTTCTCATCTGGCAGGAGATACGCCAGCTCGGCGGGGACCTGGAACAGCCGGAGCTGGTATACACTACCTTGGACAGCCTAATGTTCCCAATCCCGCCGGGCAGCCAGAACGACCCTAGCGAGCTGCGAACCATCAGCTGCATCAAGGAGGTGGAGTTCAAGCCGCCAGGCGGCGGGGAGGTATCCCTGAAGACTCACAGGAATACCCTCTACATCCACAAGCCTGTATATGGCAAGACCCTTAAAGAGATTCCGTTCTCCCACCCACAGCAGCTGATCGCCATGTTGCCCTTCCTCCGGCAGTACGCTTTACTCTCAAAAGTCCTAGACAATAGCTTTGGGCACAAGGCGGATACGCCGGATACGCCAGAGCCTCATCCCTCTTCCAAAAGCACAACAACCACCACGGCCACCACCACCAATCAGGATAACTTTGGGGCATTCATGGCCGGTTCAAATAAAGTGGCGGCGAAGCAAGTCATTGGCAATTTAGACGGCAGCCCGCAGCCTCTCTCGGTGGATGTGACCTTGAGCGCACATCCGGTCCCCCGATTACAGATTGTTTTCCCGTTCCGGTCGGCAACTGCTAATGTCGTGCTCGAGGTTCGACCAAATGGACAGCTCCACGTGGAATCTCAAAACGTCCTTGACGAGACCAACTCGACAGCACCGAACGGGAGACAGAGACGGCCAGAAGACATCGGCAAGGTCCTCGAGACCCTCGAGCATATTGGCAAGTGGTGTGAGTTCATCCGGTCAAGGTGGGCATGAGTATGCGTATAATTTGACGACAGGCTGTGGCTTTATACGCTACTGCCTCGCGCCAATACTGATGAAGATGCGGGAAGAATGGACTAGGTGCGCTAGTCGTATGACAGTTTCAGTTACGACCCGAGACCCGTCGCAAAACAAAGAAGCCTTTCTTTCCTGGATGTATCCATAGTGTAGTGTAAATAAATAGTGTAGAATTAGGGTGGATTAGAGTACAATCAATCGAAGATGCAACCTACTCGTATTTCGGCGGGAGATGTTTCGACAATACCGGTACAATGCGTACGGAACGGATATGGAGAAGACTCAGAAGAGGAAATAGGACCATCGCAGAGATGCAAGGTGAGTGCAGACGAGGAGGCTCCAGACCCCGGAGGCTCCGGGCAGGGGAAACGGGCCACCAGGTGGAGCATCCATGAGTCGAAGCGAAATAACCAGAGAGCATAAATGTTCAATATTGGATCTAATCTCCTGATATTGAAGCAAATACGAAGCATGACGCGACTGACGCGGCATTGTTTTTGTTTTGATCGGGACGACAACAGTCCCCGAGTACGTACTTCGCAAATCAGAGAGGCTCGAGTTGAAATTGGGACTGTACCTACCTAGAGTTGGTGCTTCTTGATTCTCAGGATGGCTGAGACTGAGACAAAAAAAAATAGAAAATAAAAAAAGGAACTAGCCCCAAGGTCAATTTAATGAAATACCTAGGCCCCCTTTTGCGGCCTGAGCGTTGCGCTGCAGCCCCTCAAGCCCAGATCTCCATTGATTCTTGGGGATGGGACGAAAAAGCGGCGCGGCACGCAGCAACCCCTGCTGCTAGTTGTGATTCGCCCAGGGACCTGCCTGCGATCGACCCAGCGCCGCGGAAAGCCGGCACCTGCCAAACAATTGGAACTGGCTGAACGGAAACCTTCAAGATTAGCGAGCCTCTCTCTCTCTTTGTCTCTGTCCAGTCAGGAGTTTGGCCATTGTTAGACCAAACGGACGACTCCATGTCTCGCGACAGGAGCACAAATAGAAAGGGGAAATGAGAGGGAGGTTTTGCTGCAGTAGGCCTGCATCACCAGCAGTGATTTTTCCTTTATTAGCTTGCTTCGTGACTGAAGGTGCAGGAAACAGCTGCAGAAGAAAGGGAGTTTGTTGGGCTTCCCAGCCACCAGAACCAACCCTCTCTCCTTTTGTAGACTTTGTACCTGGGACTGCACAATGCGCTAAGGCAGGGTGACAGGGGTGACCTCACTAGGTCCCCACCTTCCCCACCATAAAAGCGCCACAAAAAGCGCGTGCGACACGCGAAGAGCACTTCCATATTAGGTAAGTGTGTAAACAACACGACATCACCCATTAAATCGCCACCGCCGCTTCATGGTGCCTTCCAAAACCTCCAACCTGGAATCTACTGCCAGAACTTCCGTTTCCCCCTGACCGGCCTCGCCCTCTCAAGACTTCTTGTGGCCTCGCGCCTCCCTCCTGCTGACTGCCTCGCTATCACGAAACTTGTTTTGGGCGGACTATCATCAAGCCCTCCACTTCACCTGCTTGAAACTGTGGTGAATGCGGTGACGGGCGTCGAAACTCTTACCGATCTCTCAACCTAGCTGAGAAGTGCCTGGTACTCCATTCTCTCTTTTACCACCTCGCCGGTCGACATGTGCACGCCTTGGTCATCCTAGGAACCTAGATGCTGTGGGGGAATGGAAGCACACATATGGAAATCAATATGGTCTGATTCTGAATGACCAACTTGCCCACCCTTTCGGTGCGAAACTACCTCGACTCGACTCAGATCACCTCACCTCACACCTGCCACACCTAGTCGCCTCACCCTGAAATCGTGGCCTTACTTTCTCTGTTTGCATTCACTTCCCACTCAGAGTGACGCGCCAACTCTTTATTGCTATTCTTCATCCCACCCAATTAAATTTGCGCAAGTCGCCCGCATCATCCAGAGAGAGCTGAGCTGCTCTGACTTGGTGCCACAAACATCTGCTATCGCATCCTCACAAGCGACTTCCAGAATCACGCCCACATTTACTAGATCTGCAGAGCAGCTCAAGGTGGCTTGTTGGCTACGCTGATAGGCGCCAACTGCCAGACGACTCTAGCATGTCGTACTCAAGCAGCAGTGGGGGCACCTTAACCCTTCCATCCCCGACTCACGTCCACCATGTCGATGTGAATGCGGCTGTGCGGTCATTGCGACGATCCATGTCAAGGTCCCCCTCCAAGTTCAGCTTAGTCCGAACAGCTTCATCAGCCTCCAGCTCTGAGGGCTCATCAGCAGACTTGCCCCGATCCCCCTCACAGCTGGCAGGCCGATGTCCCACAACTTCGCAAATAAATACACCTACACCAGAATCATCCTCTTCCTTTTTCCAGCAAACAACCACCCAGACACCTTTCCAACCCAGTGTCAAGCTCTCGGTGCGATCAGCAAGGCCCAAGTCTGTGGCACCGCGGTCTTTATCTCGGACGCGCGCCTCGCCCAAAAGCCCTTTGAAGCGCGTCTTTGGCTTTTCTCCGGATTCTGGTAATCCGGCTGCACCAACCTCGTCGCCCCTGGAGGCCTGGGGCCAAGAGAACAACAGCCTCAGCGACTCTACTCTCACTTTGAGCCCTGCGTCGCGCCGCGGCCTCGAGAAACCCTCGCGCCATTCTATGCACCTTGATATTTCGGGAGCCTCGAAGCATTCCCTCTCCAAGTTCCTCGACATCAAATTGGACACGTTTCCCGTCGCGTCGGTCAGCCCGCTCAAGAGAAGTGACGCCATCATGAATCCGGATCAGACCAGCTTCGGCAGCCCGGTCGCGAAGCGGCGCAGCCTGCACGGGATCTCGAGTCTCGGCAACGACTTCAACGTATTCGACCACCCACCTTCGCCCCAGCCGAATAATTTCGACATCCACGAGGATGGGAGCCACGAGTATCAGCTGACTGGGTCTATGACCGTCGGTTTACGTGACTCATTCCCTCCTCCAACGCCGACCGCGATGCCGCGGCGCACATCGTCATTGCGCAAGACTACCCTGCAGCAGCGACATGGCGAGAGCAGATCCTCCCTGGGCAGGCGCCAAGGCGAGAAACATCTGGCTCAGCTATCACAGGAAGCTACCTCGCCAATTTCGAGAAATCGGCCGCGGCTGTCACTGGATCAGTACCTGCCCCCCGAGCCTCGAGGAACCCCCTTCTCGGCGCAGGGAGCTCTGCCAAATCCGTCGCTGCACGTGGTCGAGGGGAAGCCTCCCCAACCTGCACAGCCTCCCCAACCTCACCAACCCCATCCCCTCTCGCGAAGTCTTACCCAGTCATCCTCGAATTCCACTCTCCCGGATGACTCCCCAACACATGTCCCTACTCATCTTAGCGGAAGACCTCGAGTTATCATGAACTTCTCAAAGTCTCTTCCTGTGGGCGCACGACCACCGGCGCGAGAGCCTGTCGCAACTCCCCGTTACAAGTCGGCAGTCCCATTCCAGGCGGCGTTTATGTCCACCGGGCTTGTGTCCAAGATGAACCGCAATCCGGAACGTGAATCTCCAAAGACTCTCATGCCAGATACGCCTTGCAAGAAACACCCGTACGCGTCAAATACCTTTCCCCCGCAGGTGGGAAGTGGTAGACGACAGGCACGGCCATCATTCGGCAGCCCCTCTACGCCGTTCAGCACTTTCCACCAGTCTCGTGGTAGTGCCTTTGGGAATCCCGAGAAGATTGGAAGTCTCTTCAAACCGGTTCGCACGGGGCATAGTCGGAGAGCCAGTCTTCTGAGCCTGGACGGAGACGATGCTTTGGGGAATTTTGATGCCGACCTCCCTCCCACACCGACCAAGAATATTCTTTTCAGACCTCTTGGCACGTCCAGTCGGGTCAACGCGACCCCAAACCCGCCTCGCACCCTCCCTGTTCCAACCTCTGCTATCGGCCTCAGTCTTGGGTCACAGGCCGCACTCTCCAGCTGTAAGTCCAAGAGTTTGATATCTCCCGGAGAGACGAGCGAGACATGGAGTGCTGGTCAGCTGTCCGATGCAGTCAAGCCTCTCCACATGCTCGCGAGTGCGCCCTCTCCACGGTTGCCACCGTCGTTCTCATCGGTCTCTCGAGGCCGACCGAGGCGCGGAGCGATCTCCACCCCCAGTCCACTCACTGTGGCCGTGACAGTGCCCCTCACGGGTGCTTCGAAGAATGGGCTTGCTAACTCAAGCTGTCTCGCCCCAGCGAGTCCGTTGGAACATGCAGGGACCCCCGGAGGATCGTCCCCCCGGACCCCTCAAGATAGTATGGGGCCGCCCGATGCAGGCCGCTTGTCCCTGTCCAATCCTCTTGACGATCAAGCATCAGCTGGAGAGGAAATGAAATCCATCCGGCCGCCGGCCACGCCGACGACACGGGGTCGCGAGGCGTTGACTGCATTCGGGGAGCGACGAGCCATCACGCCTGTGCATGGTCCTGGACTAAGTGCCGTGGATGAAGGTTTAATCCTCAGATTTGACAAGGCGGAGGCCGTCGGCAAGGGCGAGTTCTCCCAGGTATTCCGAGTCACCAAGTACTCCGCTCCAGTCTTGTTCGCAGCGTCCTTTGTGACCACTCCTAGTCGACGAACCCCCCAAAGCGAAAAGACGTCGGAGGTGTACGCTGTCAAGAAGACTCGATTCCCATACCATGGACCGAAGGATCGCGAGTCGAAACTACGCGAGGTTAACGTGCTCAAGGCTCTGAGTCACTGTGACCACGTGGTCCGCTACGTGAATAGCTGGGAATATAACTGCCACCTCTACATCCAAACGGAATACTGCGACGAAGGCAGCCTCGACGGATTCTTGAAAAAGATAGGCACCACTGGGAGGCTGGACGATTTCAGGATCTGGAAGATCATGCTAGAGCTCTGTCGGGTAAGTTGTTGTCCATATATACGCCGAGTGTATAAGCTTGTTGTGCCTAACATACGTCCCCAGGGATTGAAAAATATTCACGATAATGGCTTCATTCACCTTGATCTGAAACCTGCGAATGTCTTTGTCACTTACGAGGGAAATCTCAAGATTGGCGATTTTGGTATGGCAGCAAGGTGGCCTGCCGAGAAGGGGATCGAAGGCGAAGGCGACCGCGAGTACATTGGACCGGAGATCCTCCTCGGCCAGTTCGACAAACCCGCCGACATATACTCGCTGGGTCTCATCATACTAGAGATTGCCTGCAATGTCTTCCTTCCCGAAAATGGCCCGACCTGGTTGGCACTCCGGGAGGGCAACATGAGCGTCGTGCCGAGCCTCACCTGGGTTGGAGCCAGCACGGTCGTACGGGATGCTACGGGATGCCCGATTGGCCACGGCTCTGGCATTTCCTCCCTGCTGGCGGAAGAAGATGTCGGATCCCACGTGACCCTCTCAACGAGCGGTCGCTATCGTAGCTTCCCCATGACCCACGATGCCAGCAATCTATTCGGCGCACCGAAGCGAGCCGAGTTGCGACAACCCCCCGCTTTCATGGTTGAGGCAGGCGACCCCAACTCGCTCGACAGCATCGTTTCCTCAATGATCCGCCCAGACCCTGGAAGTCGGCCAACCGCCGAGCAGCTCCTCGACCTGGAGGCTCTGTGCTGGGTTGCGTCGCATCGACGAGCTGGTGCCACCGTCTTCGAAGGCAACTGGGGTCCTGAGCAAGGGCAGCTCGACTACGGGTCTCCCGATACCGAGATGACAGATGTCTGAATCGGACAATCTGCTCAGTCTCGCAAAGGGCATGTCTTTATGCCCAACGCACCGTCGGATTATCTCGCTCAAATACTGGATGTGGCTCCGCTTGGGCGCGCACATGCCAGGGGCACATATGTGTATTGATTTCTGTCCCAACTTGAATGAGTCGGCCTCTACAACTGGATATCCACCACGGATCGGATATTTGAAGCCATTTGGGACTCCATGAATCGAGGAGGAGGCCCTTCTCCAACCGGACTGTTGTTAACACTGTATCCGCCTATTTTCCAAGACTACTCGGTCGATGATCGGTTCAGCAAAGGGTGCGCCTACCAACCACGAAATATCATCACCCGGTAGACTTTATGCGCTACTTTCGTTCTTGACGTTTCAGAGACATCCATACCAAGCTGACCTAATGGTCCCTGATGATCGGAGGCGTCAGTTTTTGGGACACTGTCACCAGATTTGGTTGACACCGCTTTGGAAGATGTTGACCTTCCAATATATCAATCAGCATGGGATATCGTGCCGATTAAGGTTGGGAGAGAAAGTCAACCAGTCCAAAGCTTTCCGACAGCTCGCACACGTTTGCGGCGCAGTGGGATATTGTACGACTTCCTCACGATATTCGGAGAGAAAGATTTCCCAGCATTTTCGCTGGAAGGGGATCGTAATCGGATAGGTCCAGATTACGAGATGTGAGGATTCAACAGTTGTTAGATTTGCTTCGCCGCCGGACTTGATCTGATTTTTTTCTGAGGGAAAAATGGGGAAAAAGAATCCTAGATATAGACCGAGCACATCTGATGCTCTCTGCCTGGCTGGGTTGGTCGTTGTTTGTTTGGTGGCTAAATCATGGGCTTAGACATCGACTCTTGGGCGCGAAGAGCCTAATTACGATGTAATGAATGAATGAATGACTGGAACAATAATAACATTTATTGCCTGCACCACTAGCTATCCTGACCGTGATACGTAAGTAATGTGTGCGAAGGCAAAGACGTGTGTGCTCATTGACTTTTTGAAGAGTTTCGCTATATCCTGAGCAATCCTCTCATGGCTGGTCAGAAGAGTCGATCATACATAGTGGATATAGAGGGCTTCATGGCTAGCCCCTGAACGCCGTGACCCTGCGAACCGTAAGGAGAGACGTACAATACATACATGGTCATGTAGAATCATCGCCCGGCAGGTATGGTCTCTATGCCATCTCCAAAAGTATCCCGTTAAAAAGAAAGGAAAAACAGAGTGACACGCGCCAAATCCCGGCCTTCCTCGATTCCAATTTTCCATCAAGCCTGGCATCTTTTCCCGCAGCCCCTCTTCCTACCCGCAAGAGTTCAACCGCACGGGTCACCCCGAGACAATGCCGGTGTCCCCCCCTCCAACCCCCTTCCATGCAAAGCCTGTTTGTAGGCCGGTGGACGCACTGCGGGACTCTTAACAAGACAGCCAGCGCCACGCCCCGCGCCCGCCCCAAACGAACAAAACAAAGCTACCCCTTGACCTTCTCGCCCGTCGACAGCGCCGCAGCGGCAGCAGCGGCAGCAAAGGAGGAGGAGGAGGACTTCGTCTTCCTCCTGACGGGCTGGTAGACATCGTTGAAGTTCATGGCGACGCCGAGGAAGCGCATGTCCACGTCGGGCTGGTAGGCGAGGTCGCCGAGGAGGACCTGCAGGCGGGCGCGGAAGCTGGAGCCGAGCTGGGCGAGGCGGGCGCGCAGGGCGGGGAACTCGGAGCGGACGGCCGTCGACTTGGACGTGAAGGGGTCGTCGTCGCCGCCGCCGGAGGGCGGAGGGGTGGAGAGGGAGCGGTGGTGGTGGTGGTTGTTGTTCCGGAGCAGGCCGGCCGCGTCGGCCTCCTGGCGGCTGGTGAAGTCGGAGACGGACCACGAGTAGAGCCCGTCGACGCTGTCGCGGTAGGCGAGCATGTCGCGCAGCAGGCCGCCCAGCTGCACCATGTAGCTGTTGCGGTCCTCGACGTCGGCGACGGGGGTGGCCGAGGTGGCGGCGGCGGCTTCCCTCATGGCATCGTAGTGCTGGCGGCGCTTGGCGCCCAGGAGGCCCTTGTGGGTGATGTTCTTGAGGTACTTCTCGTGGGCCTGGATGAGGTCGTCGAGGGTGCAGTCGTCCTTGCGTATGTTCTTCTGCAGCTCGGTCCAGCTGGACTCGATGACCTCGAACAGGACGTAGTACTGCAGCTGGCCGATGAAGTGCACCATCTCGGCGAGGACGCCGCGCGTGCTCTTCCACGTCTGCAGGACCGTGTCGTCGTCGGTCTGGAGCACGCCGCGGCTGCCCGTCATGCACTTGCGCCAGGTGGAGGCGAGCGCAAATTCGACGCGCTTGATGCGCCACAGGAAGTTGAAGACCTTGAGGTACTGGCGGTTGCCCCACTCGGTGACGACCACGTCCACGGGCGCGTCGACCTTGTACTCGAGCGTGAAGCAGTCCCAGCCGATGTCGCCGTGCGACAGCTGCAGCATGCGCGCGTCGAGGCGCCGCAGGACCTCGGGCGAGTCGTACTGCGCGTTGCTCCCGCGGATCGCGTGCTCAAGCTGCGCCGTAAGCGTGTGCCGGTACTGGGCACCTGCGGGTCGGTCGAGGTTCGCCGCCAGGGATTCCATGAGCAGTGCGATGAAGTCCCCCTGTCCGAGCAGGATGTAGTGCTTCAGGGCTTGGAGGTGGTCGAAGACGTGGAACTTGGACGACATGAGCTGCATGAGCCTCTGCATCGTCGTCTTGTAGGCTTCGTCGATCCACGCCTCCAGCGTTGCCGTGTCGCCGTAGCGGAGCTCCTTACTGGACGTCTTGCTGTAGGCCTCGACCCATTGGCTGTCACCGCAGCTGTGCCGGATGAAATTCAGCGACTTCCCGATCAGGAACACCTTACGTGCGAAATCGGCGGTGATGATACTGGGCACCATTGCGTCATCCACCTCGTACTTGGAGTTCCATACGCTCATGAGGCCCTTGGCCTTCTGTTCCTTCCGCTCTTCGTCATTGCCCCTTTGTTCGTGGACGAAGAACTCGAGATACGGATCTGAGAGCTCGCCGTCGTAGATCCACCGCCTTAGGATGTCGTAAAAGGGGCGGCTTACGTGGGCTAGCAGTCGTTCGGCAAAAACAGCGACAATGGGGTCGCCGTGGGAGGCGGAGAAACCGTGGATGAGACTGATCAGCTGTCCACCGCGCTTGCTCTTGCTCTCCTCTGCGATCAGGCTCATGAGGCGGAGGCCCATTGTCGCCTCGCGGGTCCATACGACACATCGCTTCAGCGTCACGCCGGATTTCCCGATGCCACCCCGCGGAGCGGATTCGTCGAGGGAGGACAGGGCGCGGCGAATCTGCCCCTCAAGGGTAGCAACCAGGCTGAGGTATGAGCGAAGTTCATTGTTGATGGCGGCGCGGAGGCTCTGGCCTAGCAGCCCACCAGCTGGACTCTTCACAAAGTTGCCCAGACCCCGGTACAACAGAGACGGTTCTGCCAAGGTGTGGAGGAGGGACACTATGGGGGATGGGACTGTCGGCGGAAGCTTGAGGCTGGTCTCTTTTGCGAAGGGCAACGTTGCCGACGAGAGCCCCTGTAGCGTGAAGGGTAAATCCCTGAGAAGAGCGGTCTCCGAAGGGTCCATCTGGACATAATTATCGGCGAGGAGTGTGGACTTGAGAGAGACATCCCTGGAATCCTTCTTTGGGCCAAGCTCTGCATCTTGGGCGACTTGCTTTTCATCGCCCAGGCCCCGCTTCGTCTTCTCGGGCGGGAACTTCTTCAGTCCAGTGGGGGCGAACGCGTCCTTGAAAGCCTCTTCTTCCTGGCTCACAGCTGGAGTCGAGGACTTTGATGGTCTGTCTTTCTCGTGGCGGCGCGGAGGCTCCCGCTGAACCGGCTGCCTGAGAGGACTCAGCGGCAGCGGCTCGTTCGGATCTGGCGAGTCGGAGAGTTGGTAGAGCAGATAGAGTATAGCCCATTTCTGGTTGAGGACGGGCAGTGACAGGAGTCGCGTATAAAGGTTCGAAAACCGCAGTGCTTGGCTCGGGTTGCTCTGTATAAGTTTCCTCTTGATCAAGTCTGAGGCATGGTTGACGTCGGATGAGATAGCGGGAGAGCCAGGCCTGTGACACCGTCGGACACCGTCAGCGGGGGGGGCCTCACTCCTATCTCTACTGCCTGTACGGCGCGTGCACCAGGGGGGAAATGCTGCATCTCACGTTTCTAGTATAGACCTAACCAGCTCAAAGCAGTTGTCGTGCCTTGCTTGGGCGGTTTCCTCGTCATCGTGGGGATCGGTGGGAATCAAGTGGGCGATCAGGCTGTCAATAGCACTCGAGATGCGATGATTCCGGTCTTGGGACATGGTTGCATCTTTGCGGGATGCGGCTCTCCTCTCGAAATAAGCAAGAAAAGCACCCTATTTACAGACCTGCGCCCTGAACCCGTCGTATTTGGGAGTAGATGCCGCGAAAAACTAGGTATGTAGGTAGGTAGTTGGGAGTTGACGGGGGACGCGCTGGACGCGACTGCGACCGAGCCGATCAGCATTTAACCTAAAAGGAACTTCCCTTGAACGGAGGGGTGGCAGAAACAGGCCAGGAAAAGTACTAGCTACCTTCAATTAGCTGTGAATATAGTGGTAATAGAAGTAGCTGAAACCTTTACAGGGCCCGTGTGGGGTGGCCCGTGTTTAGGTCGTCGCTGGAGAGCGCTGGGGCTCCGCAAAACTCGACGACAACCGACAACCCCAAATAACAAGAGGTCGAACTCTCCGCCGGGAGCGAACACCATCCATTTGGCCGCCCCGACATGCGAAATCCATCAATCTGAATCCGGTTTCACGATCGCATACGCACTGGCTACCAGCCCATGCGCCCATGATTGCAATTTCATCTGGCGCTGTGCTGCTTCCCGCACGCGACTGGCTCTGACGACGCCTCACAGCCAACTCCAACCCCCGACCCCCCGTCCGCCGCAATGCCCGACTTTGATATCAACCCCGCCGCCCTCAGTCGGCCATCCATCAGCCTCTCGACTCCCATCCTCTCAAACAAGTCGATAACCGTCTCGGCCCCATCAGCACAGAAACCTTCCAAGATCAGTCAATTGATACCCACCCGCATCGATTTGGAGCCCATCTACACCAAGCTAAAGGCGCATATCGATCCCGAGAAATGGCCTGTATACAAGGAGGCCACCACCCAATTTCTTATTGGTCAGTCCCATGCTGCAATTCATCAACGCTTCAATGCTTCCATGCTTCCTGCCTGCTAACCGGTGATGACACAGGGCGCCTTAACCAAGCCGAGTACAGCGAGCGGATAGACCCCATTCTTTCTTCACCAACCGGTGAGAAATTACACTACCACAACCAGCTCATCGCTTCCATATATGGCAATGTCACCAGGGAGATGCCCGATCAGGGCCTGGCCCCCTGGGTCAGTGCCAACGACAAGCCATCCACCGGCGCCGGCAACAAACCTGTCTCTGGTGATGCGACAGAACGGAGGTTAAAAGGGGATGTGATGCAGCTTCCCAGTCGAGATCGGAGGCGAATAAAGGACCTTGTGCACAACGACGTAGGTCATATTCAGGCCATGAGGAGCCGGGAGGCTGGGCGATCCTGCATGCTAATCATCATCTTCGCAGTTTGACCCGTACGATTCACTCGCCAACATCTTCACCGATCATTTGAGGTCGAGGACATCGAGGCCTGCCGACGTTCCAGCTAGCGCCGGGGGCCTGAGCAGAATGAGTATGTGTTCCTCCATTCCCCGGGCATCCTCCGCCTGCCCTGGGCAGCATTTGCTAATCTTGTCCCCAGATTTCGATTTGGAAATCCGGAAGCGGTTTGCCCAGCCGTTGGCGGTTGAGTCGGGCGAGTTTCCAGATATCAGCAACATCGAAGCGCGGATGCTCCCCTTCTGCTATGAGGCGGGGCTTGTCTCGGGGCACTCATCAGATGCAGCGCATTTCATGTCGGTCGCCACAGAAACGTTTATTAGAGAGGTCATGTCGACAGTCTTCAGTCGCACGAGGACCAATGGCCCTGGAGATTCGGGCAATGCTGGGCTTGGACCAGGCAGCGGCTGGATCCAGACACACAAATACAAGCGGCAACTGGCTAAAGAAGAGGAGGCCCTCTCGCGGGGCGAGGTGCAGCGCGATAAGAGCGGGCTGTTACCGATCGAAGCGAAGGCCGCGAGCGAACGGGGCCCGCTGGGCATGGAGGATATGCGCATCGCACTGGAGATAGGCGACTGCGGAATGGCCAACTTCCCCATCGTTACTCAGTCGATCCTATACAACTACCGGGAAGGCGAGCTTGAGGATTGGGAGGATTACACATGGCTGGATGGCTATGTGCCGCCGCCCGAGCAGAAGGACGTCGAAATGTTTGACGTTAACGGACAGGGAAGCGACGCGCTGCTAAATGGGCTCGGCCATGACGATGCCATGGAGATCGACAATGACATGGAGTGGCAAGGGGCTGATCCCACGGACGGGGACTTGCTCGATTCTGTGTTAGACGTGTGTCTTGCCGTTGGATGATGAATGGCCTTCTTACTTTTTGGCGTGCTGGGTCGGTGGGAGGGAGGCAGATTCTCGGATTGAAGGCGGCGTTGGCGAAAGGGGGAACCTCACATTTGCATCGCATTGGTTTGGGCTATCCCCCCCATCTTTTTTCCACGGCGTATGATGGGTGTCGATTCTACACTACGGTATGCCCCTGTATAGGTGCGAATGTACAGACTACAAAAGGGGGAGCGGGCGTCGGGATGCTTTTAGTTTTCTCGTTTCTATGATCGTGGGGTTGGCGAGGAGGGCCTTGTACACTTTACGAACGATACCCGATAGGTCCCTAGAGGCAGATACTCCAACAGTTCAAGTTCATGGCTGTATCCGCAAAGGTTCGTTCATGGCAAAACCCGCCATTTACCAAGTTTCATGTTGTCTGCCCGGTTTGTCTGGCTTATCGGGTGCGCACGGTCACTGATAAGCGGCGCGTCTCGCGTCGCGTCGAGACCCGCCCAAGCCACCACTCAACACGCCTCCCCCCATAATGTGTCCCTACCATTTCTCCTCCATAATCCAGGACACTCCCATACTAGTAATTACGACTCGATTCTAGAGTAGCTTCTAGCTTTCACATCTTGTTCTACCATCAATACTTCCATTTAGGATGCCCAATGGCTTCCTCACGCTCGCCATCGCCCTCTGAGGGCTCCTCCCCTCCTGGCACGCCGCTTACACCCCAATCAAAGATAAGGGCACTCCTCGCCACGGTCGACAGTAGTTCCGATGAGGATTCCGGACGAGAGGGGAAGGAAACTTCACAGCCAAAACCTTCTGCAGGAACGAAATTGGCACCTATTCAGTCGACAGACTCCTCGAGTGATGACGAAAACATTCTGCGCCCGCGGGGTAAGTTCGCCGCACGAATGCACGCAGCAGCGAATGCCCGACAACAATCGTCCTCGAATCCGAAGGAAGACGCGCGAGAACGCGTTAGAAAACTTCTGCAGGCCGAGAGGGCAAAGTCAAGTCCGGCTGATAAGAGCTCTGGGGAAGAGCATGGAGCAGCCGACGACGAGGAGGAAGTCGTAACAGCTCGGCCGCGTAAGCTCAAGCCGCGGCGGCAACCCAGCAAGACCCCGGAAACCGAGATGCCCGAGCTGTCCCGGTCGCCAGGTCTCTTCGTCTCCCCTGATGCCGTCCGGTCGCGATCACCCGGCCTCTTCGTGTCGCCTGCAAAACCAGCCTCCCCCTCTGCTAGGAGCAATGCCGCACGCTCGGGCAGCGATTCCGACATGCCTAATATCAGGAATGAGAGGTTTTTGGCCCTTGTTACTAAGAAGCGGAAAGAACGACTTGCAAGGGAGGCAGAGGAGGACCGGAAAAGGGCAGCCCGCCTTGCAGCGCAACAAGCAGCTACCGACGACAGGATGTCAGACGAGGGAGACGACTCCAACGTCACTGATGATGAGGGAGGCAGGAGGCTCACTCAGGATGCCCGTCCTACACGGAAGGCGAGCAGGAAAGCCCTCGAGGAGATGAACCGTGAGACGCAGCGTCTAAGTCGCAGCCTGCAGCTTGCACACGAGGCGAAGACGAAAAAGAAGATATCCAAGTCGACTCTATTCGAGAGATTCAACTTCAAACCAAATAAGGAATTGGCCGAGGACAAGAAGCTGTCGAGCTCAAGTCGACCAACCTCACCTGCCTCGCCACATCCCACAGATACTGAAATGAGAGATGCGGAGACGCCTCCAAGCTCTCCTCCCAGCATCGGAAAGGGCCTTGATCTCGGGGAACCTGTTCAAATCATGAACGACAATCCCGAAGCAGCCGCCGAGAACCGACTGGACAAGGGGAAAGGAAAAGCAACAGCGAGGGTTGACCTCGAAGACCTGGCCAAGCCTCTTCAGAAAGTCAAACGAAGCGTACGCGTCAAGCTTCCTGCCATCTTGTCCAATTTCGTGATTCTCGGCTCGGATGACGAATTGGACATGCAACCGACTCGGAAGTCGAGGATTGATGCCATCTTCGACCGAATTCCCGCCAACAAGGCCGCTGAGAGCCGATCTCTGCATGCTCTTCGTCGACTGGCTCAAGTAGACGACCCCGAGAAGAAAGCAGCACCCATTGGCAAGAACGCCAAGCCCGGAATGACAGTTGGCGAGCTCCAGATCTCTTTACAGCAACGCGCGCGGCTGCAGGCGAAGCTAGAGCGGGACCGCCGACTAGAACTTCTGAAGTCCAAGGGCATTCACATCCAGACCGAGGAGGAGCGCGAGCAAGAGATGGCCGAGGTCGAGGATATTGTCGCTCGCGCAAGGGCGGAGGCCGAGGAGATCATGACGCGGGAACGCGAGGCTGCCAAGAAGGAAAAGAAGGCGAAGAGAGCTGCTGGCGAGCTCGATCCGCTAGCTTGGGATGACAGCAGCGACGACGAGGACTATCAAGACCGGGGTGTGGAGGAAGAAATTGACTTATCTGGCTCCGAGGACGAGCAGGAAGAGGAGCAGGCGAAGTCGGATGACGAGGAAGAGGCAGACGAGAATGCGTCGGTCAACGGGGCGTTGATTGACGGCGAGGCCGAGTCTGCGGGGGAATCCGAGGATGGCGAGCGCGATGATATGGACGAAGCGGCCGATTCTGATACTGACGCGGCGCTGGTCCCAAAGGAGGGTCGTCGACCAAGGAAACACGTAACCATCATCTCCGACGATGAGAGCGACGATCCGATCGAAGCCACGCCTAGGCCAAAGGCTCTCTGCCCCAAGTCCCCCTCAGGGCCCAACACTGCTTCTCCCAAGGTCCCCACTTCAGTGTTGAGGTCCGCAACGAAGACTTTCATCCCCGGCCTTCCAGTTGCTGGACCTGCTGGCTTGGGCCTCACCCAGATTTTTGCAGGGACAATGGATGACAGCCAGGCTGGCCTGGGAGGTGCATCTCCGTCCCAGATGATGCCAAGTTTCGACAACTTTCCGGACTCGAATTTCTCCCAGACGGCTCAAGAGCCGGCAGATGACATGATCCTCGATAGCCAGCCCACTCAGAACGCCACTACCCAGGATCAAGCGACCCAGGGCGTTCATATCCGGTTTTCGCAGTCTCAGATGCACGGGTTCGACAGCCTACTCCAGGACAACGCCGCTTCTCAGTTCTCTCAACTCATCGAAGCTACCCAGGACGGGGGCTTCCGAAAATTCACGCCCCTGAAGCAACGGTTTGTCGAACCGCCAGTGTCGACCATCGAGACCGTTGCCCTGGGAAGCCAACCAGATGAGATGCCCAACGACTCTCCTCTCGTGCGGAGGGTCGGCAAGCTCCGACGGCGAGCCGACCTAGCCGCAGCGCCAGCTTCAGCCTCGTCAGACGAAGACGAGGCCGAAGCAATGGAGGGTGTTGAGCTTGACGAGTTCGGATTCGGGACTAGCGCCTTCAGCGTAATGAAGGATGCTGCCGCTAAGGAGAAGAGGAGGAAGACGATGGAGGCCTTTGACAAGAAGAAGAGCAAGGCGAAGGAGATGGTCGACGACCAAGCCGAAGAGTCTGAAGACGAATACGCCGGGCTCGGCGGTGCCGATGGTGAAGACAGCAATGACGAAGACGCCGCCTCGGTTCACGAGATGATCGATGATGAAAGCAAGGGCAACGAGGTTGATGATGCTAAGCTGGCTGCATTCTACGCGTAAGTTTTCCGGCTCGCAGCCCTTCTCGCATATATATATACACATGTCTTGAGCATGCTTCGAACTATGGCTAACCCCAAGCATAGCGACCGCGAGCGCGCCAGCGACGAGAAGCAGGTCGAGAAGCTCTTCCGCGACGTCACGTCGGGCATGCTTCGCCGCAAGCGCGGGGCCGACTACGACCTCTCGGACTCGGACGACGGGGGCGAGGCGCGCCGCCGCATGAAGCGCCGCCAGTTCGCCAAGATGCAGAAGGCCCTGCTCGCCGACGAGCGCGTCAGCAAGGTGGCCGAGAACCCGCGCAACCAGGCCTTCCTCCGCACCATCGAGGACCGCGGGAGTGATGACGACATGGACTTCATCTTCGAGCCGGCCCCGGCACCGGGCCGCGGAAATCCGCCCAGAGATGGCAGCGGGGACGCCGCTCCCGAATCGCAGAGCCGATCTCACGCCTCAGCGATCCCCGACAGCCAGCCCGGCCGCACGGAGACGACGCGACCCGGGCCGCAACGACGAGTCCGAGACGGCAAGAAACCCTCCACCATCGGCGAGATCCGCGAGTCGCTCTCCAGCCTCCTGGAGGAGCCGAACCCTTCTTCCGTCATTCCAGCCACGGACCTCGGCTCCGACAGCGAAGACGGCGACGAGCACCACCCACGCCAGGAGAGCGGCGCCCGTGGCAAGGAGAACCGCAACCCCCGGCGCGGCCGCGCCGTCGCGGTCGTGGACCGCATCACCCTCAAGCGCAACGCCTCGTCATCATCCGCCTCCACCAAGACCAGCACAACCACCGCCGCCGCCGCCGCCGCCACCAACAACAACAATAACAACGGCCGCCTGGCCTTCGCCACCTCGTCGTCCGCCGCCGGCTCGGGCCCCTTCAAGGTCCCCGCGCTCCTCAGACGCGCCACCACCAACTCGTCGCTCATGTCGGGCGGGAGCGGCACCACCAACGCCAGCACCGGCTCCGCCGTCAACGGCGGGGACGCGGACGCGGACGGTCCCGGCAAGGTACACAGGGGCGCGGGGCGGCGGTCCGGCGTCAACTACTTTGCGCGCGAGACGGAGCGGCGGGCGGCGGTGGCGGAGAGCGAGAGGCGAAAGGAGGCGAGGAGGTGGAAGGGGGCCGAGGGGCGCGGGAGGGTCGTCGGGGGGCTGTTTGGTGGGGGCACGTTTGAGTGAGCTAGAGTGATTCCCGTCCCTCCCTCCCTGTGCTGCCTGCTTCTCTCTATTTCCCTTTTTCTTTTTTTTCTTTTTTTTTTTGCCACCTTGATGTCGGTTTCGTGTTGAGTGGTTGGGTTGTGAGTTAGGGTGATACAGAAGGCGTCTGGGAATAGTAAACTGATATTTTGTTATGGTCTGGATACATGGAGACGGTCATGTCATGATTCACTCAACTGAGCTGTGAGATCTGTATCTCACTCGATATTGTTTGCACCACTACTTAGACATGTCCTCAAATAAGGTACTATTCTGCATCTTTCATTCTGTCTCCGTCCTTCTAGACTTGATTGCCCTGTCATCTACTTTACAAAAAGGACAAAAGTTATCATGCTCCAAACCACAATGCCATTTCCCCTATGTCGGGTGCCTATTTCAAAAACTAGCGATGTCCAGAGCCGCAGATGTATCAAATGGTATCAAGTCAAGTCAAAGACCACACCGTAATGAGTGTTCGGGGGGCAAAAGGCAACATTGAGTGGGAAAATTGAAGAAAATATCCCATTCCATCTGCTGCTGCGGCAGTGTAAAAGCAATTCCGCCAAAGAAAACACTTTGATAATTCCGCGTAAAAAAAGACGAGTTGCTTTTGGATTTTTAATAAACCATGGTATACAACATCCGTTCTTTGATAGAAAGAAAACGTGGCGCATGTCCCAATAAGAGAGGCGCGTAAGTAATGAAAACATGATTATACACAAGAAGTGTTGCTAAATAAGGGGCGAAAAGCCGGCCATCAGATCGAAGCCTTGAGGTCAAGCAAAGCTCGTTTTCTTGCGGCTCGCAAATACCCTCGAGAAACCGTTCGCGTCATCCCGGCCGCCTTTGCTTGGATATACCTCGGAGGCCATTGCGCCTGGTGGGGGTTCCGAGTTGCGAAGGAAATCCGCCAGGTCAGATGTCCCGCTACGTGACGGGACGGAGACGGCCTCTCGCGGCTCAAACTTCATGCGCACTCTGCCAGTGCTACCTGGAGCCCCTCCGCCCATGGAAGGCATGGCCTTTGGAGCACCGTAGCTCGGGTTATACCTGTCGACGCCAGGGGGTATGTTAACTTGGATTGGGATGTAGCCCCGGCCGCCACTGGATCGGATGCTCGGGCTTCGTGGTGCATCAGGGAGCGCCTTGGGACTTCTGGGGCTTCTGGGGCCGCCCATATTCCCGCTCGTCTGGGTACCGTCCCTTCGCGTGAACCGTGATATCAAGCTCTGAGCGCTCGACTTCTTCTTCGGTCGGTTCTGCAGCTGGCTGATTGCCAACGGCTGCACGGGAGTCTCAGACGGTGGAGCATAATTCTTCAAGAAGTCGGCAAGGCTCTCCTCCTTCTGAGGAGCGTTCCTGGTAGGACGGGGTCCGCTGTCCACGTCTTCCTCGTCGTCACTGAAGTCGATAGCATACGGGTCCCGGGCGCGTCGGGACTTGCGCTGGGGAATAGGCATGTCAGCGTCGAGAGCCCCCTGGCGGTTAATACCCTGGACGGGCAGAGCCTTGTTTCTGAGGAGGCCCGTTTGCGAGTTGATGGATGATGAATGCACCGAAGGCATCGAGTACTCCGTCACCGTCGTCGAGGTCTCGCTCCCGCGGACGTCGATGTCGCGGATCTGTGCGTCGACAGCCCTGCCACCAACTGCACCAGCCATTTGATCCGAGTCCATGGTGGTGCGGAACGGAGCGACAGTCCGAGGAATGCGGTTCACTGTCGCGCTCGGGGGTCCACGGCGGATGAAATCGATGAGGTCAGAATTGTCGTCTCTGTTGGCGACGGCGGCCTCGCGAGCTTGAAGGCGAATGCGAGTCGAATTGGTCGTCATGGAAGCCCGGCTTGACTCCATGCTCTCCTTTGGCACCGGCAGAGGACCACCGGCATTGCGCACTGCGGTTGGCCCCGCAGCGCGCGTGAACGCATTGCCACCAGCACTGCCGCCCTCGCCAGGAGGGCCGGTCGATCGAATAAACTCAGCAAAGTCAGCCAGCGATTCACGAGGAAGCCTGGCGTCCCTAGCTTGAGGGGCATTGACGCGTGACTTGGGGGCTACTGAGGGAGCGGATCGTGGAATCGGCCCATTAGGCTTGCTGTCATTGACCGGGGACTCGGTGACTGAATGCGAGCGGAGGCCGGATGGATGCGATAGTGAAGGCGACCTCGGGACTTCGTTCGACTGATTTAGGGATGATGAGCGAGACCGATCTCCCGCCAGCCGGGCGTCCTCGCTCCTCCGAGACTTGACAGGGACCATGGGGCTGCCATTGCTCAGAGACTTTGATGATTGTGCCTTAACGGCGTTAGCATGGTGCGTCATTTCGAGTGCCGGCAAACAACCTACCTCAATATCCCTCATGTTCTCGGGAGTAAGGGTATACTGAATAGTTTGGTCGCTCTGGATGAGCTCCTCAAAATTGCGAAGAACGTCCGCCTTGGTGTTCGAACTATCCTCCGAAGTCCGAATAGGTCTCAATCTGTTGGTAGAGGTTGTCGACGACGATCCCGATGTGTGGAGCTGCCTGGTCACTGCGCCCGATTGATCGTGCAACCCCGAGCCGGAAGCTTCTGAAACCGTACGGGCACGAGACCGTTCCACCGAGACTATACCGATCGAGGCCGACTGCGAGATGGTCTGGTGGTGACCTGGCGTAGCGCTCCCCCCATTAGAGTGTCGATTAGGACTCCGCTCGGGAGCCCTTGGGGAGGGGACAGAAGCTTGGGTTCTAGAGTGAGACGATACTTTCTCCGGCACCTTTGGTCTATCGTCAACAAAGAAGGTACCAGACGAAGTCGATGATTGCAGAATGGTGACCTTGGTGGTCGTAGGCTTTGCAGGTGACGGAGGCTGAGAGTTGTAGCGGATCGCGGAGCCGAAGATGGGTGGCGCTTCTGATTCGAATTCATCGTATGGATCGGAAGCCTTGGGCTTCGGGGTAGAGTCCACTGCTGATGTCACTGGCGTTTGCGAAACGCCTCGAACATCAGCTGCCTCTTCAACCCTAGAAATTGGCGAGCTCGTATTGGCTCCCAGTTCTGGGGACGGCTGCCCAATTTCAGTCTCAACAGCCACAAAGACTGGACTGGCCGGTGTGCGCGATTCCTCTACGATCGGGGGAGTGCTGGCGCTGTTCGTCGCCGAAAACGGGCCAGTACGACCGTAGTCGTTCCCATCAGGCGAGCTGGCCCAAGACCTGGTGCTTGGGCTCCGCAGGCCCGATACCTCGATCAGTCGGAGAGAGTGCACACTCGGAGGCCTGACAGGCAAACTGAAATTTGTCGGTGTCAGCTTCCCATGCTCCGACACTGCTGGAGATGCGCTTCGGCCGGAGATAGATATTCTCGACGAGGTAAGAATCTGGGGTTCTTCAACGAAATCATCATCTTCGCCATCTTCATTATCCGAGGGCTCCAGTTCGGTCTCCAACGCAGGAGATTTGGCGATGCCTGCCACACCAACGACGGCCGTACTTCCGATTGCTACAGCGCCCGTCATGATATCCGACACCCTGTTCGACCGGCGTCGATGGGACGTCCTAGTCTCAGAGTATTCCTCTATTTCTTCAGTGGTTGGCGATACCAGGGTTGCGCCCTCAGACAACTCGGCGTCATGGTTCTGCGGGCTCTCGTCTTCATCGATCTCCTCAGTTGGGTCTTCTAGGGCAGACGGGCCCTCTTCAACTTCGCCAGTAGACGTTTGTACCGTAAGGCTAAGATCTGCGGCCCGCATCTTCGCCCGGTAATGAGACGGGAGAGAATTCGAGCGCTTCCGGGGGGTTGGGATCGCTGGGGACAGGGTCGGGGTGGCCGTACGAGGGAGGATTATCAAGCTCTTGGGTCTTGGTGGAGCAGTCTCCTCTTCGAGTTCGTCTTCGTCATCTTCGTCGTCGCTATAAGCAACGAGCCAGGGTATCTCGATTTCCTCGACATCATTGTCGCCCATCGGGAGGGGGATGTTGGCAGCCAGTATATACTCTTCGGTGGGTTCTTCTTCGACCAGCTCTTCCGTCAATTCTTTAACGTCGGCTTCCGACTCGGGCCCCGGCTCCGGTACCGTCGGCGGCACGAAGCTCTCGGCAGTAAAACTGGACTGTCTCATATGCCCAGTAATGCCGCGCATCGAGTCCCGAGAGAATGAGCGGGACATAGTCTTGTCGAGGCCAGGCGATCGGATCTTCTTTTTCCAGGCCCTCCATAACCTTCCCAGGGTTCTGTCAAGTGCCACGCGTTCCATATCGAGCTCTTCAACAACGACTCTGTCGGCCACTTCTCCCGGGCTTCGAGCGCCTTCCTTCAACTCCTTCTCGTACTTGACGCGCAGCCGGTGATAGGCAGCCTGTCCAGAGATAATGAGGGCCTGCTCACCCATGAACTCCAAAATAGACGTGAGGAAGATTGCGACTGCGGGGGAGACAACACCGGCAAGGCGGTCCTCTAGGCCTGCATCGAGGTGCTCCTGCTCCATGTAATAGTCCTCGTCTTCCTCCTCCATGTCGCCAAGCGAGGAGTAGACCATGCATCTTAGCCTCGCGCGCTTCCAGACCAACTCCAGGTCCCAGTCCCTGGGAGAGGCAGAGCCTGGGTTCGACATGGTATCCTCGTCGTCGCCTCCACCGAGATACTCGCGTAGTTCCTCGTCTGCTTGATTGACGGCGTCCTTGGCCAGCTTAGGCTTCAGCACTTCGGAAACGGCAGGGCGTAGAGCCGAGAGGTTGGTGGATCGGGAGATACAGAGGAAGTTGAACAGGAGCTGGTCGAGAAAGCCGTTGACTAGGTGCAGAGCGCCGGGGGACACGAGTGCCGTCTCACCCGAGGGCTCGATGCCATTCTGATCGTACCAGGTGTCGGCGTGGCTATCGTGATCATTGGTGACGATTTGCGAGGCGGCCGAGGCGGCGATGAAGCAAGCCTCGGGGGATACGGCCAGCGGAGGAGACATTAGGCTGTAGCTGATGGTGGACGGTCTGTCGCTGGATATACTTTGGGTCCTTGATCGCATCTTGCGGGGAGAGGCGATGCCCGAGGAAGGTCGAGACATGGCCTGCTCGAAAGTGGGAAACGACATGGTAAACTCTGTCGGAGGGCCGACCTGAATGCAGGCCCCCTCTCTTGTAAGACGGCAAGGTGCTACTAGCGCGGATGGCTGTTGGGAGGTAAGGAAGGCCGAGCGAGCAGCACGTTGGAAGAGTTGCTGAAAAGAGACGGGCCGGCGAGATTGGATGGGGCTATTGGGAAAGTATGATTGCGCGTAGGGCAGGCTGGACGGCAGGCTGGACGGCAGACTGCTTCATTAGCGGAGTCTTATCAAGTGAGGGCGGCCGGAGCTGAAACGAAGAGACCAAACAAGCATGGCAGAAAAGGTTCGGTGTATGATGAGCGAGGTGTGGCGGTAGGGCGGGAGGGGACTTTCATGCGGCACTGTTCCAAACGAGGAATTGGTGTGCAACACAACACAGAAGGGTAAAGGATGGGTAGCCAGCATGCAGGCCCCAATTCGATACTCTGAGGGTGGGTGATGTGGGTGTGGTGGTATGTTGCTGACTGCGCGCGGCGCCGTGCATCGCCAGCTTGTGGACCAGACGCAGCACGCCGCGCAGGGGATCAATGTTGGATTGCACAATACAGACGACAGCGAAACACTTGCTTCTGCTGTCGCCGCCACCGACGGTTGGAGCAAAGGGGCGGAGACGCGTGATGCAATGGCTGCTCTGTTGGACGTACCCGCGCAGATATTAAGCTGAAGAGGCTTGAGCTCGCCTCACGGGGAGGTGCAAACAGAGAGAGGAGGTTGCTAGTTGGCGGACCGAACGTTGAGTACGAGCAACTGCTGAGCGAGGAAGCAAGGAGAGGTGGTTGCCCTGGGCGGCAAGGCACATAACACACATACGACTTAAGCGGACAGGCGCGCGAGATGAGGATTCCCGTCCCCGCTTCAGGGGTACAGTAAGGTGGATGGATGATGATGGGCGGAGATTATATTAATGAGCAATGAACTTGAGGATGAGAGAATGGACACCAGCAAGACGGAAGGGGATAGAGTTTCCAGGTAAGTTTGAAGGGCACGGTACCTAACAAAGGATAAGCAGGTGCATATTGATTTAACCTCTGCCATCCATTTTTTTGGCCTTTTCCTTTTTTTTTTCTTCTTGTCCCTGTCCTTTTTGCACTTTCTTTTACTCCCTACCCCTCGCTTTAGGTCGTCGCCAATCCTGGGTCAGGGGTCTGGGTGTCTGCCGGTTGACCAGAAGAGCTAGATCAACGAAACACCCCAGCGCGACCCAGAAAGACCCCCAAACTATCGGGCAGACCCTGTCTCCCCGTCCACAGACCAGCCTAAGTTTGATTAGATACCCGTAGTACAGAAGATCTGGGTCTATTTCGCTGGATACGCTAATCCGTGCACATTACTCTTCACTAGATTCTTCCATCCAGCTCAAAAATGATGAAGGGGTTTTCTGGCGTTGCGGTTACTTTTTAGGGTGCCCCTTTCCAGGTTACCCACATGCGAGGAAATGGCATGGTAAGGTGACAGCAAGCGTAACTCTGCCCAGCAGTGGGTGTACATAGTGTACCGTCGTCAGTTTCAAAAATGGCTGGGCATGGGATCCCTGCTAAGCAGCCAGATGCCCCTCGGTCAGTTCATGCCAGCTTGGGAAGACGGCCGACAAGGGTTTGTTTCTCGGCGGCATGGTATGTATCCACTTGCCACGATCTGGAGAAGACCTACGGTATGGATTAGAGTGCAAACAGGTCTTCTGCAAGGTACCGCCCATCCACCCACCGCCTTTTGAGAAAGGTACAGGTAAGGTAGGTATATTCCTTTTCCATTCCATTGTATAACAACTGTCAACCACCTGCATCGATGAGAGCGAAAGGTCGAGTATCGCGGCAACATGCACACGCTGGGTACCTACCTATGCGTAATAAGGCCCGGGAGATTGCACTTTGTTCGCTACTTCCCTGATGCTGGCTAGTGCGCTCGAGCAACACGCCACCAGAGCTCTTCTTGCGCATTTCGAATGGCCGAGTCAAAGAGAGTTTCCATTTTAGAAGGCTTGCTTCTCACTTCTCCAGGGCACCCTCCGAAACTGAGACTAGAGACTAGTCATCCTCCTCTTCCCTTTTTGCCATGCTTTTCCTTTCTTGCCTTCACTCGAGTCCACTGCCGGTTTTTGATGTCTTACATCCAAGGATCGAATTATCAAGGTACCCAAGGTAGGGATATACCAGGGACTAATGGCCACGGCATATAAGCTTCGGTCTACGGGCGGATAAAGTAGGATCTGTATGTGATGCATCTCGCCTGGTGAATTCTCCTGCTGGAGATGGAAGAAACCAAAGAAATCTCCGGCCCAGGAGAGTCGATCCCACCCCGGAATCAGGAATCAGGAGTCAGGAGAAGGCAGTGATTCCCAACTCAACACCTGCCGTGTAAATTCCACGACAGTGTACATACAGGCAGTTGAGCAACGTTGACGCCCAGTCCATCCCGTTTCTGGCGATCTCGGTTTTAGAGACGGCAGATCTAACTAGTAAAGTACCTCCTACCGTAGACCCTTTTGAGTACCGACTGCGTGTATGTAGGTCTCAAGGCACAAGTTGAGAGTTTCCACTTGGAGCGCGCATCAACTAACTACCACTTTTGGACTGTCTCAGTTGATCTTGATCTGCATACTTATCAGAAGGGTCTTCGTACATAGCCAGATCATCATCTGTGGCTACCTACCCCCAGCCTCCAACCCCCTCGGCGGCGGCCCTCTCTCTAGAGCAGTACTACGCAGTAGGTATTTGTGCAGGCTATGTATTGTACAGTACATTACAAACAAACCCCAGAACTAATCCGTACAAGTAAAGCAACGCCATGACATGCGTCACGTATAAATAGGTGGCTAAATTATTTGCAGAAAGACTGTGCGTGAGCTCTTACCAGCCTCAACTTTAAACTTCATCCAATGTCAGGGAGTCACGCGGCAGTCCGAGCCCATTACCTGCATCCCCCTCATGGTCCCCGGCCGACAATCTTGTCCCCATTCTGACCCATCCCTCCGGGTACATCGACATTGGCGCGCAGCACGCCAGTTCCCTTTGACTCCCGGGCGCAGTAGCTCTCCTCACTGGGCAATGACCCATCGATATCCGTTCGAGAAGGGCGGGGGAGAGGGGAAGAACAAGGTGGGTTGTGATCGACACTTCTCTTTTTAGTTTCCAATGCAGCCTTCCGCCAATCATCCACCAGCCCCCTCTAGCCAAGGGAAGTGGCATATCCGAGTGACTGCGCCGGATGCAGTTGAGCGCGAAGGAAAGAAAAAGGGAAGACAATGGGACACTTCTCGACGCCAGCTCCTCCGTTTCATCTCATTTGAGCCTTCCCATTTACCCCGCAGATCACCGTGCCGTCGTGTTAGATGGGTAGGATATACGCAATATTCCATAGTAGTGAGTAGTATGGTTGGTGATCGACGGTAGGGCCCCACTACCCCGGCTGGGGGGTCAGTGCGAGCCTCCCACAGTTGTGCTTGGACGGGGGCCTTCCATCGGAGAGGCCGTGTCCTGGCCCGAGATCTCGCCCTAGTGGTTGGATTTGTTCGGCGCAATGTGGCCCGTGAGGTCGCAGAATTGGCCCAGCGGGATCCTTTTGCATGGGCGCAATCCAATCCGAAGACTTGGGAGCAAGAACTGGTGCTTCGTTTGGAAGGAAGTCTTCTCTCAGGGGGCGAGTACAACCTCACAGCCGCGACTTTCGTGGTAAACATAGCACGCAAATTTTGGAAACGACGGTGCAAGCCACATGTGTATCGGAACTTTGATTCAACAGCTCTTCCGTCGGCTATGTTACGATATCATGGATTTACTCCGTGGACGACAAAGGAGTATTTGTATTCCAGTCATGCCTATTCAAGTGAATAGGCATAGACTCTTAACGAGAGTGGATGCGTTCATTACAACTATTACACCATTTCAGTATCGGGCAAGCAACCTACCTTCAAGTGAGGGATCTTATCGACGGGCAACGGGTGGATGAGTAGTTCACCATACAGTCAGCATCGTTGCTTGCAACTAACCTCGCGGAAGGAGACAACTCACATGGGTTTTCTTGCCATTGCATCCCCAACCCTTTTCCTCTTCCCTTGTGTGCAGGCGCCTGCCCCATCCATCTTGGCATATTATGGATTAGACGCCAACGGGACGCCAGCCATGTTGCAAAAAGCGAGTGTGTGTGATACTTCCCTTGGTGTTGGCGAGGGAAGTATCAGGGCGGTGGTCGACCCCGACCCCTGAATCAGGAGGCAAGGCCGGTCCTCAAAAGACTCCTCCGGCGCAGCAGAGCCAGTTGCCAACAATGTCCAACCCCCACGACTGAACCCGCAGTTTCCTGACACCCGACTCTTTTCCTGGCGGCCGGCTGCGCGGGGTGGTGGTTCGCTCGTCGATTAGTCGTGGCCCTTGCGGGCAGTCTTCTTCTTTTTCTTCGTCATCTGCTGCTTCTCCGTCTGCTTCTCCCCCCCCTCCTCCCCCCTTCCTCATCAAATAGACTTGGCCTTCCTGTGCCCGCGGTCCGTCTTGAGCCTGAGCTCGGCGATCAGCGCGCGGCACGGGTCCGGCTCGCCGTGGCGGCGCCGCTGGTCCTCGCGGCCGCGGCAGCTGGCGCAGAGCGTCTCCTCCTGCCGCGCGCCCTGGTCCTCGCGCCGGTCGTGGCAGTGGCCCCCGCCGGCGGCCTCCCCGACGGGGCACGCGTGTACCAGCGACTGCGAGAAGTGGCCGCAGTTGCCGTGCCGGACGGCTTGATAGTGGCACATCCTGTCTTTTTTTTCGTTCCGGCCCTTTTCCTTTTTTCTTCTTTCGTCTTCTTCACGAAGTTCTCGTGAGTGTGTGTTCTGCGGCTTTGGCGAGGTGACGGCAGGGAGTAGACCTTCAACTGATCCGGCAGTTGTCGTTCGCGCTGCGGGTCGTGGGTCTCGAGGTCGGGGTCGTCAACAGCAGACAACAGCAGACAACAGCAGAGAGTCGATAGGGCCATGGGGTGAATAGGACGGCGCAGCGAGGCACCTCTTCCCGGAAGGCCGAATATATACTAGCCAAGGGCAACATTGTCGTCTCTCGACATTGGGGTCGATAAAGGGTCTGTTTACAAACAAATAAAGGGTGTCCAATACAGTCCGGTTGTTCCAACCCCTGGGACTGACTAGAAGGAGCCCGCGTGAGCCCACAGTTAGCCCGTGCTCCGACTTTCAAGGCCGTGGAGCTCGCACACAAGGGCATTGATTTCTACATCGATATCCTTTGTTGACAACGCGTGCCTATCCATTCATTGGACAATTGCTTCCTTCCAGCACCCGAGGGAGAATCCGAGAAGGTGGCGCTGCCGTAGGTCGTTCTCGTCTGGAACTCCATCCGCAGGCCTGAAACTGAGGTATTCTTGTACCGGATTGGTCCCCAGCAAAGGTCAGGCCAGGGGCTGAGTCCACATGACTGACCAGGAGGCGAGAGATAAAGCAATTGGAGAGCAAAATACGTCGTAACAACAGCTTTTACAGTTCATTTCCACTCTTTTCTCCACCAGGCGGCCATCATATATGGCCTGGACAGCCTTGAGATGGCATTGAGAGATGGAAGAGTCACTTCTCAAAACCCCTGAGATCTCCTGTCAATATCAAAGACTCGGAGTTCAAGAGCTATACTTCTTTTTCTACATTGAACTAGTGATTATGAGAAGTACCTTAATAGAATCTCTTCTTGGTCTGCCATCAAATTCTCAGCCTCCTCGTGTTAGCCAGGTGCCACCAGCCTTGTCCTCTCTTTGTCTGCAATGTTATAGGTCACTTTGAGCAAGGCTCTCTTCAGGAACAGACACAATCAAATTGAGCCTACAAGAATAACAAAAGCCGATTGGTTCTAACATGAGAATAGCGAGCCTTTGTTACCGATGCATCAATTGGCAATATTGCTATTCTGTCTGCGCCCTCTAGCCAGCAGAGCAAGCAACCCCGACCAGGATTGCCAGTCACGAAACCCCTTAATCCCGAAGTCTGCCCAGCGCGACCCCGTCAAACAGGGGCACCAGCCAGGCGTCAATCCGGTCATTCTTCGCCAGCTCCGTGTTGAATTGATCAAGCGCCTCCAGGTCCGTAGTCTTCCAATACGTTGCGCGGTCCTCCTTCTCGACTGTTTCCCCCCATCACGAGTTAGTAACCTACTCTTCAGTTATGAGGAAAACGACACAAGCTCAAATAATACGAGCTGTATCTTTTTCCAAACGCGCACTCACCCACCCGCAGACACTTTAAAGAACTGGAAGTTTCGGGCTTGGGGGAATATCACTCACTCTTGCTCCAGGGGTTAGCGTTGCTTCTGTCGGCCACTAGGCCCTTCCGTAGGACATTGTCAGCGACGATGAGTCCACCGGGCTTCAGGATACGATGAGCCTGGCCCGGTTGGGAACGGGATAGGATCTTCTGTAGGTAGTTGGGGTAGCCGGATTTGTCGGCATCGATAAAGACTATGTCGTACGGCTCTGCGGGTTCTAGACTCTCGAGGCTAGCGGGAGTTAAGTTAGAAACTTGAGTCACGGTTTCGGAAAGGAGAACAAGATAAAGTTTGGCATGATAACGACGGAGAGAGGCCTGGAGGGGCTGTTGCACTTACGAGTCGCTGGCGGACCCGACTTTGAACTCGACGTTCTTAATGCCCAAACCCGCCAGTTTAGTTTGGGCAGTTTGGACATATTCCTCGCTGAACTCGAGCCCAGTCACGGCTCCATCAGGGCCGACCGCGTGGGACAAGACTGCAGCCGAGAAGCCGAGGTAGCATCCGATCTCGAGGGCTGAGATTTGATTAGCCCTCTGTTTGACAGAACTAGGTGATGATTGGGAGGCAATCCGCCCGACGTTGGGATACAACCAGGGTGAGAGATCTGAGCTGTGAATGGCGAGCAATAATCAGACACTTACCACGTTTGGCTCTCACCAACCGAGTCAGGAAGACAAGACTCTTCGCTTGGAAGGTCGAGATGGTGTAGTTGGAATTCTCTTGGGTCTCGCATATCCAGGCATGGTAATCTGCAATCTCCTTGGGCAGTTCCAAACTCCGAGACTCGGAATACGCCGTGACAGAGTCGGCAACCTGCTGGTTGGGGTACAGGATGGTGGTTGAAGTCTTCATGTTGACAGGACTGGACACTTGGGCAGTCCGAGGTCGAGGAAGTGGGTCAAGCTCAGAACAAGCTGAATACCTAGATGGAGAGGGGCAATGTATTATATAGGTACCTAGGTGGAAGTAGTCGAACTTGGTTGAAAGGAGGCAAGAATGACCACGACTTACGGGACGCGGACCTTCCCTCGGTGGTTAGGATGGAGGCGACGAATGGTTAGATCGCAACTGGATACACTGTGAAGTATCTAAGTACCTACATGGATTGAATGACTGTGACTCAGGTCTGTCGATAAAGCCGCATACCTACTTAGGTAGCGGATGGCATATTAGATCAGTGTACGTTGTACTGTGGTAGTCATATGATCACGTCTTTCAATGACGGGAGCGGCTGGGCCCGTATCTCCGCTCCGACCTCCGGGAGGAGCTCTCTCTTGGTGACTGATGGACGCCGATCCCGTCGGGAAAACAAGCGGAGTTACGACGGGACCCAAGTATTTGTGCCACCCTACTGTTAGAATTCAGCATACAGCCCGGTTGTCGGTGATGATACTCGTTTTGTAACCCCACGGCCAAAGCCTAGTGATATATTGGCGAACTCGGCCTGGTAGCGAGCCAGGGTAGCCAGCCGGGGAACTCCAGTCTTACAAAGTTGATTGTGGATGCTATTGAGTTAAGTATATCCGTACAAGAGTTGTAAAAGCGACGCTGACATGAGGATAATTCTCGCTTCGTCGACACGCTAGTGGGCTTCACCCCCCTGGGTCAGGCTTCTGCAGGAACCTTCCCTGGCAATGCCTGAATGCCCGCGCTTTCCATAGCATCACGACACTTCCCGGATTGTTGGTGCATCTCCAAGACACCAAAACTCCACGAGAGGAGAGGTTGACAAAAGGCGGTCTCGTTTTCCCACCTGCCTCGTTACAGCACGATGCACAATAGACACGGGCCGGCCAGCTCGACTGCCGTTTCAAAATAGCTTCCACCTCAGCAGCCCGTCTCTTTTCCTGTCCTAACAAGACAAATGTCGATTACACCGGGTGGCACTAGTAACTCCACCCCAAACAGACTATCTTCGTCTTTTGACAGTATGGAGATGGTTCAGTTGCAAATGGTGGCCCCTCATCCTTGCTGCATGCCAAAATCTCTCGACCACTGCTGTTACATGGCGCATGCTGATTTACCCTCTGACAACTCCAGTCTTTCCCAAATGACAAGCCTCAACGCCGATGCGAAACAGTCCAGATGCAACGTAATCCTCGGGAACGTAATCCTCACGGAACCTAATCCTCACGGAACCTAATCCTCACGGAACCTAATCCTTGGGAACTAATCTTCAGGGACGCCCGAGAATAGACCGACGCGCATGCGGTGGCTCTAACGAGATGATCAGTAGACTGCCTTGGGGTATGAATACGGACACTTGAAAGCCGGCAACTTACAAAGGGCAGCTTCGGTATGACGACAGCCAGAACAGCCAGGAAGTTGATTGTAAAATATGTTAAATCGTAGTGGGTGTAGTGGGTGCTGAGCAAGAACAACACAATGGGGACGCTGAGGAGGAACTTCTTGGCCGGAGTATACTGGGCGCCATCGTCGATTTGCTCCCACATGTTGAGGTTGTCGTACGCCCCGCTGTTGAATTCAAAGGGCACGCCCCGGACGTAGTGGAACATGATGTAGGAACCGAACATGTAGGTGATGTTGGTCAAGGTCCAAGATGTCTCCTGCGAGACGCCGGGGATGATGTCGTAGATGATCTTGAGACACACAATCAGAACCAGGTGGATGGTCCATGCCCCTGGAAGCAAACATGTCAGTCTGAGAGCGAACAATAGCCCTTCGACAGGCAGCTGTAACTTGATTGCCCCTGAAGCTCGCGCCGACGGCATTGGGAGAGCCGGTTGCTCGAGGAGTAGCTCACCTTTGGCATTGACCCAATTTGCATTGAGGTTGGGCAGGACCGACTGGTCGCTGAGCTGCTCAATGGGCTCCGGCGGCTCATGATAAACCTGGAGGATGCTGCTCGACCTCCTCCGTCGGCCACCTTGATCGTCCATGGTTTTGTACATGCTCCCACGGCGCGGGCGCGGGGGGGTTGCTTCCGCGTCGTAAGAGACGGTGCGCGGGAGGAGGATTGGGGAAGACAGTTTGAAGGTATTGAAGTGGTTTTATCGGGGAGATGCGAGGAGTTCGTTGTTGGCGGGACTGCTGTCAAGAGGCGCAGCTCCGGATGATGTCACACACGCCTGAAAAGGGGTATCTTTTGTTATTCCACGGCAGCCACGATGATCCAAGAGATGTCCAGGTGAGGATGATTGGGGATGGGAAGGATGCTGAATCCCTCGGTAAAGCTCTATTGGGAGGCAGCAGGTCCGCAAGATCGTTGCCGTTCCACGTGGCTGGTTGACACCGGCACGAAGCACTGGCAATTCTCGATCAGGGACGGAAAGAAGCAGGCGAGGGCGCAGCTTTCGACCACGGAGCTCTGTAGGGGGGGAATAAGAAAAAGCGGCTCGAAAGTTGTGGACGCTCGATCAGCAAGTGCCACACTGCGTTGAACGAGAGACAAAGAATGGAAAAGTAAAGGGAACCGTGGCGCTGCTCCTGCTTCAAAGCCTGGTGTGCTGGGTGTTGTTTGTGGAGAGCTGACCGAGGCCAGGTCGAGAGTCTTCAGAGGTTCGGAAGGCCGTGGTTCGGCTGATGGCGTAAGCAATAGAGTACTTTTAGGTGCATACTAGACAGTACTAGGGCATTGGTACCTCCAGGGTCAACAGTAACAGCCCATACCGACAAGATTATCGAACGTGGCCATTCAATATTGGGGGCATTTCATTGGTTCAAGCTGAGAGATGCCCACTTGGTGGGATTGCGTACCTCCACTGCTACGACTGCTGGGGTTGTCATACTCCATACCTCGTATTCTTTCAACTTGCCTCCCTTAGCAGTCGTACTGGGCCCATGATAGTGCTGGTACCTATATGGCCCATTCTTCCAGCAACCCTTCGTATCTCTAGGCTCTTATTTGAAGAGCCTGGGTTTTCTGCTGTGCCTGAGCTAGGAGACTCCCAGGTTGCAAGGTAGGTGCTCTCTGAGCCAATCAGTGGCGTTCGGCAAAACTTCGGTAGTCTAGCGGCCCATAGCTCTACCCGACCTCGAGACTCCAGAAATTTTGCATCGAAGTAGACCTTGAATGCTGGGTGTGGCACCAAAATTTAACCACATTTTACATCGCAGTCACTTGGACCAGTGATTGAATCTTTTGGATTTCGAGTGGTATCCTCGGCGTGTATTCTGGGGAAGCCAAAATATCGACCTGCGTTGGGCGGTGCTCCTTGTGAGAGCGACCTTCTCATCAAACGGCATCGTGTCTTTTACCTGTCTTGAAGACCGCATCTCACCTCCAAGCATCAACTTCAACATAAGTCGGGGAAAGTGAAGCCAACTATCGCCTCCGCACCACTTCAGGAGCAGGTCTCTCATGCGCCCCGTTGGAAGAGCGAATCGCTATGCCGGGGGCAAAGGCACCCCGTCCTCCTAAAAAGGCATCACGGAAACGTAAAATCAGTGACGAAAGTTTCGAGCTAGCTTCTGGGGACTCGGGGGCAGGTGGAACGTCCAACCCGCCATCCAAGAGACGACGCTCTCGTCGACTCATTGCACGGGGACGTGACGAGGTCGAGGAGGGCGAAACAGCAGGCACAGATCCAAGTGCCAACCCTACAGGAGATGATATGGCTACCGGCCAGGATCCCCAAGGAGGGCGCCGCGGATGGAACGGGGGCGTCGGCGGCAAACTTCGCACCACCTTCAGCTCATTCAGCTCATTCAGCTCATTCAGCTCTACTGCCAAGGTAGCGCCCCCTCAGGCGCCTTCGAGATCCGCTCTAGAAAATCGGCAACCTACCAAGACGCAGCCTCCTAAGACGCAGCATCCGAAGGGAGTCGAAATTGCCAACGAGCCAGCTGCTACTCTGCCAGACCCGGTTGAAGCAGCTGGAGATGACGGCCAGGGAGCAAGGGCGAGGGTTGCAACTGTGTCGAAAGGGCCCGGTAATGGAGCACGGCTGGTATTCCAGAAGCAAGGCCATGAGTGGGCATTGCCACCTCTCACAGATTCAGAAAGCAGCATCACGGATGCAGGATCGTGGCTGACACGGTTTTGCAAATGGTGTGGAGCCTTTATCACTCTGAATGAGACCTGCTCCTTCAGCGATGCAGATCGTGCCCTGATGGTGGAAGCATACGCTCACTGGACTGATTCGACACAGTGCCTGACGAGAAAACAGCGGAGAGCTGCCAAATCTGCAGCACTTCAAACGAAGAAACAAGGCAACTTCCGTCAGCTCGTCATGACAGCACAGAACGGCCCAGGCGGGTTAAAACCCAGCGGGCCGGGGGCCGAGGGAGGCCCAAAGCCAAACGGGTCAGCAGCATCACTGCTGCAAGATGTTGGGATGGGTACACTGGTGGCCAATCTGCCTGCGGGACAAATTCCTCGAGCATATGGGCCAGGTGAGGAGGGCGTGGCGCACATGCAACGATACTTCCCTGGCATATCCGGCGATGCCATATTCTGCGTCTTGTGCGCCTCGTCAGGGCACCGACAGGACTCCTGCCCGAGCGCGATCTGCCGATTTTGCCAGACGCTGGACCATCCATCTTACAGTTGTCCAACGAGGAGACGATGCTCGAAGTGCAAGCAGCTTGGCCATATCGCAGATGATTGCCGGGAGAAACTGGCGTTGGCGCCAGGAGAAGGCGTTGAGTGTGCTTTCTGCCAAGCCCAGGACCACACAGAGGTCGACTGTGTCGAGTTCAAACGCACTTATTGGCCAGACGAAAACAATATTCGGAAGATCAAGGACGTACCTGTCTACTGCTATTGTTGCGGCGCCAAAGGGCACTACGGTACTCAGTGCGGCCTCAATCCTGGTGCCTCGAGGCCGGCCCTTCACGAGACGTGGAGCAGGACGAATAGCCAGAAGTACGTCGATCAAGACAGTGCCGAATTTGCCATCATTTGGGATGCCGCATCTGGCGCGGTTTCCAACAGCCGAGCTGCCGACGAGGGACCACCCACATTTGGCGGGAAGGGCATCGCACGGCGCACCCATATCATCTTTGAGGATGACGACGATGACGACGACGGGGGGTTTATCCGTCCCCCGGTCCAGAAACCACCTCCGCCTGGCAAAATCAAGATCCAGGCGACCAATAGGGGTGGTCCTCCCCAGAAGGCCAACGGGCACCAAGGCGGAGGGAAGAACCTGCGCAATGGTGGTGGGCCTCCCAAGGCCCCGGTCAATCCTCCATTGCCCCCTGGACCTCCCCCGCCGCTGCCACCGCAGGCGTCGCAGAACATGCCGAAACCTTCACAGAGTCGGAAAAGGAAACAAAAAGCCCGGGACAATAATCCGCAGAATCACCAGCAACCTCGAAAGGCGAAGAGGCAGGGTCAGGAACCCCCAGGACGCAGCCGGGATCGCTATTCTCGGGACGGAGGAAAACGCGGAAAGGCTTGATTTTCTGAGCATCGCTGCGTCGGTTTTTTCGCGCAGCTCTCCGTATCGCCCATCACAAAGGCATAGTTTTGCTCGTGGATCAACACCACTATAGAAAGCGAGACTTTTGGGCTTGTTTAATAAGTATTACCGACTCACTACTCGGATTTCGAGACGGTCATCTTGGCGCTGGGGAAGATAGACATACATACGATACACATACACACATACATGGTAGCGGGCCGGCCTTGATAGGAGCATACTAGTCCGCTATTGTAGGGGTCAGTGGCAACCCTAACGTTGCTTCTGGCTCACAATTACTTTGGTATTACCAAACGCTAAATATCACTGAGCTCCCTGGTGGAACTTCCAACTTCGCGATCCCAAGTTTGAGTTGTGACTGAGCTGTCGCCGTAACCGACCCGGATCCCCGACTGCTTGACATTGGACGTCCTACCTCAGGCTGCTGGACACCGGGGATAGCAATCCGTAGAAGGACTTATTTCTAACCGCTGTGGCCTTGGGAAGTCCATTTTGTCTAGCATGGGATATTTGGCCCCAAGGAAAGAAGTGTTGACGAGGAGTGACATAAAATTGGCACTCCTAGTGAATAACTGAAAGCGCTCTTGAGTTAACTGAGAAGATTGAGACTTCCGAATAGTGACTACCCATCGATACGTTTCCCAGGGTTGCATCATGCCATCTTTCCCTGAGTACCACTGCTGTACGGAACAGGGTGTGTGGAACATTACATGAGGAATCTCTGTGTGAGGTCACCGTCGATCGTCTGTGACACCAAGAGAAGCAGGTGGTAGATTCATTGAAGGATAGAATTGCACTTCGCAGTGAGGCTCCAGGATGGGGAAATCGAAGGCGTACGACGTGGCATACATGCAAGATAAGGTGTCCGTACGACATGCCCACATCGCCGGCGAACGGAGCCGTCCATCAGAAGTATGCGGTACGTTGCTCGGGACCTGCACTGGAAACGACCGTTTCGATGTATCGGCAGAGCGCCTGGCATGCACAAGTACCCTGTGTCTTGAGGCCTGCATGGCGGATACACGCCGATGAAAGTTCTGGACTACCTACCTAAGTGGACGTGGCAGGGACTTGCTAAGATAGCTGTCACCAATATCTCGGAGGATCTTCCCAAGGCACGCGACCAATTGCAAATACTCCTTCATGGGATGCGAAGGGGCCCAGATCGATCGATTAGGCTTATCAGCAACCATCCTGGCGGCCCTGTCGCACCGCGTTGATGGAATCGATGATAAAGCAGCCGCAGGCACCTTCGATAGAAACTTGGCAGCGGATAGGGCCGTCGTCGGACGCGCAACTCTATGGCTTTAGCAGGTGGAGAAAAGTCCGATTTAAAGGGCAAGCAGAGCCCAGGCGGCCGACACTGATTCCCAGATGTTGGAATTTGAGATGCTGAGTTGGCTCTTATCACGGATCTTATCTTCCTTACCCCTGAGTCTACGTCATCAGCTGCGCCTTGAATTACTGGGTCCTGAACGGCAAAGCAAGCTTCTGACTGGCTACCCACCGAGTTCGGAGGTCGGAGCTCGGGGTGTTTTGGGATCCCACCCAAAACGCCTCGTCAACGTGTGCCAAAAGAACATCGCTCCAAGTTGCTCCCATTCTCCCTCCAATCCATAGACCGGTCCCTGGTTGCCGATAACTCACAAACCATGGCGAACTACACCGGCGGCTCCGCAGAGGCCGAACATCTCTGCGTTTTGGTTCATGGGGTGAGACAAAGTGTGCCCCTCGTTTCCAGGTTCGAGCGCTCATACAGAAAATAGTTATGGGGTAACCCCAACCATATGGCCAATATTGCCAAGGGGCTACGCGAGCAGTACTCGGACGACAAGCTGCACATTCTCATCGCCAAGCGGAACTCGGGATCCTTTACCTACGATGGCATCGAGCTTGGAGGGGAGCGGGTCTGCCTGGAGATCGAGGAGGAGCTGCAGATTATCGAGAGCAAGGGCGGCAAGATCAAGAAACTCAGCATCGTCGGATACTCCCTCGGGGGACTGGTTGCGCGATATGCAATCGGCCTACTGTATGCGAAGGGCGTCCTTGACCAGCTCGAGTGCATGGTATATTTGCCCATAGTTCCTTTTGCCATCGTTAGAGTCCCTCGCTAGGGCCTAAATGGCTACACTTGAACCGAGACTGACCGTGGATTGAATGCCCCAGAACGTCACCGCGTTCGCCAGCCCATTCCTGGGTGTACGCACGCCTCTCCGCGGCTGGGCGAATCAAGTGTGGAACGTCCTCGGCGCACGCACGCTCTCCGAGTCCGGCCGGCAGCTCTTCACGATCGACAGTTTCCGCGATACCGGGAGGCCGCTCCTCGCCGTGCTGGCCGACCCCAACTCCATCTTCATGTCTGGGCTGGCCAAGTTCAAGCGCCGCACCTTATACTCCAACATTGTCAACGACAGGAGCGCCGTCTACTACACCACGGGCATCGCCAAGACGGACCCATACACGGACCTATCCAAGATTAAGGTAAACTACGTCAAGGGCTACGAAGACGTCGTCCTCGACCCGGTAAACCCCGTCTCGCCGCGCCCGGCAGTCGAGACGCAGCCCCTCGCCGCCCGGCTGCGCGGGTGGGTCTCGAAAGTCCCCTTCATCCTGGCCCTGACGGTGCTCCTGCCCATCGCGACGGTCGGGTTCCTGATAACGTCCCTCGTCCAGACAGTCCGCAGCTCCAAGCGCATCCGGCTGCACGAGAAGGGCCTGGCGGGCATCAACACCGAGACCTACCGCGTGCCCCTGCTGATCAAGGAGATCCGCGGCGCCGTGGAGGACGCGTACGGCAACCTCAACAGCTCCCAGAACCAGGAGTATCTCGGGCTCTCCGACATTGAAGAGACAGATGCGGACGCAGACGCAGACGCAGACGGCAGCGGCAGCCGACCCGCAGACGAGGAGGAGGCCCGGAACCCCGACCCCGACCCCGACTCTGGGGCCGGGGTCGGGGTCGGTGCGGGGGGCAAATGCGCCTCCAGGATGATCCTCGCCCGCGAGCGCAGGCAGTCGCAGCCGGAGCAGCCGACGCTCGCGCTGACGCCGCACCAGTTCGCCATGGTCGAGGCGCTTGACCGCGTCGGCTGGCGCAAGTACCCGGTCTGGATCCACGGGCACCGCCATAGCCACGCCGCCATCATCGTGCGCATGGACAAGGCCGCCTTCGCCGAGGGGAAGGTCGTGCTCCGGCACTGGCTGGGCGAGGAGTTCCTGTTCTGATTCGCGATTGCCCGCACCCGCTTACTTAATAATACGGGTGTTTGTTGACGTAGTCCCCGTCTCGGGAGGGGGGTTTTCTTTCTTTTGTCCTTGGGGAGTCATAGAGGGGGCGGGGTGTTTGGGCTGGCTTTCCCTTTGGTTGACGAATAATAGATAGGTAATTACCCATGGCTGTGTAGATTTGTAGGCTGTATAGTAGCGAGGTTGGATCCATGGTAAAGGCGTGTGTGGATGGTGGCAATTGAATAGAGCTCTTACTTAGCGGAGTCCCCATCCCCCTTTTACACTGGTTCTCGAAGCGATGAGCCAAACCATTTCTCAATTCGGTGTTGAGGCTCTGCCGGCATATGCGTATTTGGTACTTACGTTGTATGCTCGTCATACTTTACATAGTAGGTAGGTTGGTCTATACTTAGCCTGATCATCGCCAGCTCCCCGGCCGGATAATGCGTATGATAGTGTAAATACCAAGCATTAGCAAAGTTACCTAAACTGCGACGTCACGACGCGTGACATAATTGGGGATTTTTGTCCAGGCGAGCTCCCGAGCATCCCGGGCCAATTCGTATCCACGCTGCAAAGCTGCGTAGCGCCTTGGTATCCCCCAGTGCTCTGGAATTCAATGAAAAAGGTCGCGAGATTGCAAGTCTGAAAATGTATGTTTATTGTAAAGGAGGGCTGAAGGAATTGTTTAATTGGGTATCGCGATTATTAGTAAACTAATCCGTCCCCGAGGCGGCCGTTCTGAAACTGAGAGCAAAAAGAACCACTCCTCGATTAAGACGGCACGCAGAAACCACCAAAGAAATCAAAAAGAAAAGGAAAAGTCAATCGACGGCCGTCAATATAGGTCGTACGAGAAGATGCCGTAGGGCCCCCCGGCGCCATTAGAAGCGCAGTTTGTGAAGCCGAACCACACCCTTTACCCCAAAGGTCGCAATCTCCCCCGAGCATTCCAGCTCTCAATGCCTGGTCCGCCCCCCCGATACCGTGCCACGGCTCAACGGGGCAACATTTCGTGGACTTCATCGGTTCGGCCCTTCTAGTACTTCAGGATGATATACAGGGCGTGGATGATGCCGGGAATGTAACCTGACGGGGAATTGCGTTAGCGGAGGGTAGTTCCCAGGGATAAAGCACCAGAAAGGAAGCAGGATAACTCACCGAGGATAGTCAGGAGGATGTTGATGAGCAAGTCGGCGCCGCAGCCGCGCTCGAGGAAGACGCCGAGCGGGGGCAAGATGATGGCAAAGATGATCTTGCAGATGTCGCTGTGCCGCACGAGAGTTGGTTAGTGATCGCCAATCGGAAGTGCGGGAAAACAGTAGACTCTTACCTAGCGGTGAAAGCCATTGTAGCGGAGGTTTTCTTGAGCTTGGTGCTGGACACAGGTTGAGTTTGTGGAGGTAGATGAGCAGAGAATGTTTTGTACGGAAAACGGAAGTCGCAAGCTTTGTGGTTTGAATGTAGAATGACGGCGGGTGCAAGAAAGAGTGGGCTTGAAGGGGTTTAAATCAATGCGCTTTAAAAAAAAAACAATCCGGACCACTCTGGAGTTGGAGCTTGGTTTGCAGATGAGAACAGGGCGCAAACTGCGTCATACAAACTGCCAAGCTTCTACTTCCAGGCTCTCCCGTCATTCGCTGACACACCGAGATCCACCCACCTATCAACTGATTCGACTCCCCTGACCCCACTAGGTATTTATTCGCACAGGTGCGCTCAGAACGAGAAGATGCGCAAGCTTAATCTTCGATTGTACCGAATCATCCCTGCGTGTGGTGTTTCCAAAGGGATCCAGGCAGGATACAGGGAGCGGTTACGCGGAATTAGTTCGAGAGAGGCCTACATCTGCCCTTGCAGCTGGCTGTGCTTCTTGCGCCACAGCAGTGATGTCATCGGATGCCTCGGCAACTCCGGACTCTTCGTGCCCGTATGCATACAGATGGACGCAATTACAGTGGCTGACGCCATGCGCCTCCGTCTTCCCCCGTGGCTTGGCGTAGCTTTCCGATGGTCCCATCAGGCATCAAGTCCATCATGATCATGAGGCCAAGGGATTAACCGCCCCTACCCTGCATGCCAGACGACCTTAATCAAGGATAGAGAGCCTTGCCACATCTATTCCTGGCGCATAGAAACGGGCTAAGCAGGCGGTAGAGCAACGATTCGAAATGCGAAGGTGAGGAGGCCAACTTGCCGAATCTCTCGGAGCCATTTGAGCAGACTTGTACCACGGCTTGAGGGATAGTACAACAAATTATAGATCATCGTTGACGAAGTCCAATGGTGATTGATTGACGAGGGTGACGCAGGGAGCGGCCCCACCTCGGGTGATGCGGGCCCGGGCGTGGGCCCCAAGGACCCCGCCGTCGCATTATTGATATGCCGAAAGCCCTAAAATTTATCGACATTTTGGCGCCCACAACAGCCGGATTCTCACCAACAACCGCAGATCAAAAGCTCACTTTCACGAACTCCCAAACGACACAGGCGCAGGATATCAACCTCTTTGCGTCCCTAAAATCCAGAAGCAATGGCTCCCGTAGCAGCAGTATGTATATGACACCGCTTTGCTGTTGGCCCAGTCCCTCAGCCAATTTTTTTGCCTGAGAGATCATGGCGTGAAGCAGTAGGCTAAGTCAATTTTTTTTCTCGCGATTTAGAAGAAGGGCAAGGCACCCAAGGTGACCAAGAAGGTGAGTTCAATTCCCCAATGCCACCCCAAGCAGCGAAGGCCGGTGTCGTCTGACGATCCAATGTGTACAGTTCATCATCAATGCCTCCCAGCCGGCTAGCGACAAGATCTTCGACGTCTCGGCCTTCGAGAAGTTCCTGAACGAGAAGATCAAGGTCGAGGGCCGTGTCGGCAACCTTGGCGAGACCATCAAGATCAGCCAGCAGGGTGACGGCAAGATCGAGATCATTGCCCACAATGAGCTCTCCGGCCGGTACCTCAAGTACCTGTATGTTGCCATCCGCGAATCCCAAGTCGCCTGGAGGGGGTTTGTCGCTGACAGATTTCCGCCGCAGGACCAAGAAGTTCCTCAAGAAGCAGCAGCTCCGTGACTGGCTTCGCGTCGTCTCGACCTCGAAGGGAGTTTACGAGCTCAAGTTCTTCAACGTCGTTAACGACGAGGCTGAGGAGGATGACGAGTAAAGCATGCCCGCGTGTATGGAGTCTCGGGATGTTCTGGAAGGGATACCAAAATGGAAGGGGGAAAAGGGATAGACGGCCTGTGCATAGGGAATAGTGATCAACATGGGAACTTAGTTCCCCTTGTCATGAATTCAACGAGCCAAATGCCGTTCCGCAATTGCGAATGCTGGGTATATCTGCTTGCCCGTATATCTTTTCATCATGCCCTTCCCTCGTAGTCTTAATCATGGTAACGCGCGCATGACGCCTTCAAATGCAACCAGAGCCATGGCATTGGCTGGGAACGCCCTCAAGAAGCAGGGGAGGAAGCCTCTCCAGTAGCCCCTCGCACCGCCCTCCCTGTAGACTGCGGCGGCGGCATCTCGCCACCCCTTGAACCTCCTCTGGCCGTCGTTCAGGCCGCCGCCCAGCGGGTCCGTCATGATGCGCTGCTTGACGACGTCGCTCGGGTAGCTGGTCAGCCAGAAGACCTGGGCGCTCAGGCCGCCGGCCCAGAAGTTGACGGCCGGGGCGCTCAGGCTCGTGTGGCGGGTCAGCCACCGCGTGAAGACGTCGTAGCTGCCCCACCAGAAGAAGAAGAAGCTGCGGAACAGCAGCGTCGCCGACAGGCCGTGGTAGACGCCGCGGATGCCGTGGTGGCGGCGGATCTTGGCGAGGCAGTCGAGTGGCCCGCGGTACAGGCGCTCGGCCTTGCGGGCGGCGTACTGGACCTGCAGGCGGGCTTTGACGTGCTCGACGGGGGCGGCCACGAAGCTGACGGTGCAGCCGGCCAGGACCCCCGCGAGGCCGTGGCCGTGGGAGGGCAGCAGCGCCGCCGGGTCGTGCAGCGGGTGCCACGGCGGGTTGAAGAGGTTGTCGCGCAGCAGGCGCCGGTACACCGTCAGGCTGCCGAGCATGATGCTGTCCATGAACATCCACCCGACCAGCGGCGGCGACGCGCCCTTGTAGAGCGCCAGGACGCCCTCGTTGCGGACCGTCTGCATGACGCACTGCAGCGGGCCGCTGAACCGGGCCGCCGTCGTGGTCTGCAGGCGGACCTTGATCGTGTCGAACGGGTGGCCGACTACAAGAAGGATTGATTAGTTTTGATCGGTCAGACACGAGGGAGCCACGACCACATTGGACAAGCCGGAGGAGGGTCTGCGTACCTGAGAGCTTCGCGATACCGGAGAAGACGCCCGCTACGAAGCCTTTGTAGTTCTTCTGTTCAGGCTGCGCTGGGGCGGCCGAAGCCGGCGGTTTTGTCACGTCCGACGCCATTTCGTATTGGGGAGGCGAGGGGCCCCGGAGATATGAAAGAGGAACAAGACTTCCAGGAGTCGGAAGTTAGGGCAAGAGGCTGTTCTTCATATTGCAGCGATTGCCAACAGACGAGTCATCATTCGCAGGCTTGGTAAATGGATTTTTGGAGGCATGTGGAGCTCCCAAGCTCAAAAACCCCACCAAGCGCGAAAATGCCTAGGTGGCTGCGGGGGTTAATGCAAGGGACACCCGACACATGTAAGAGACGGGAGCTTCAGGCGCATAATTGGGTAGGTGTATAAACTTGTGATTTTAGGACCCCGAAGAGCCCAAAGTTGAAGTGCTCCATCGGCGACTGTCCTGCGGGAATATCTCATGTAATAACTCGACAGCTCAGGCCGGTGGGCCCGTCAAAACTCGTAACCTAGCGCATCGAGGGCAAGCTTCGTGCAGTCGTAACTCGAGAGGATGCGCATTCCTCCACGGAATCATGCGTGGCAATTGTCGAGCATGCATCGTTCTCCGAAGGTCCTCCTATTCCAGCTTTCCCAGCTATTCCAAACCGCCACCCACAGATATGCCGCCCCGTAGTGTCCCGATACTGTCCTGTGCTCTAAAATCGGGGTATCATAGTCTCCTCTGCCACGGCCGGATCCGGGACCATCAAAACGGCTGTCCGAGATCAGAACTTCTTCCCAAAGACCAAGCTTCCTCCGATAACCTTGCCGACGACGTAGCCGGCGTAGACCCCACAGAGAATAGGAACTGGCCACTTCTGCCACTCCCTGTCCCAGTCGAGCGGGATAGGAAACGCGCCTAACCATGCCCCTACCACCCCGCCGACCAGTCCCCCGAATGTCTCATCGAAGGGAGCGCGAAAGCTGGAGACGGCGAGCCAGGAAGGTGATTCGGAGCCGCGTACGTAGAAGACGGGGAAGAGAGTGAGGATCGATAGATGGAGGGCGCATAAGAAGGTATGCGGTATGTGGGTGAGCATAGGGGCCCCGCAGAGGACCATGGCCACGTGGAAGAGGGGCGAGATGAATATGGACAGGAGAAGGGAGAGGAAGGCGGCCTGCAGCGGCGGTTAGCATACGAAAACAACTCTCATATAGCATTTGGGCAGCCATGGAATATGGCAATTAAAGCAATTGGAGAAGGATCCTTACAACAAACATGTTCGACCTGGGGCCATCCGCACCGGTCTTCTTCTCTCCAGGCCGAGGCTTCCTAGAAGCCTTGGAGGCCTGGGAGCCTATCACAGGGAGGCAGAGAAAGGCATAGGCTGCTTGAACTACTATCGCAATAGGCAATGCACTCCTCATTGACGAGATTGGGTCGGAAACAAGGCTATCGAAGCCAAAGGCGAAGACAGCGAGGAGCAGCACAGGGTGGATGTGCCGGGCTGCCTGGGAAACAGGGGATGGGTTGGTGCGAATGGGTTGCAATGGCGACTGGCTGTGGTTGGAGTCCAAGGCTTCTTGTGCCTGTCTGGCATTTTGTGTTGAGGACGACATTGTATGGTATCTAAAGAGTCCAGGCACTGCCAGCAAAGCCAGAATATGTGCACCTACGTCGTCAAGTCGCGACTGTGGGACATCGTTGCGTGGAGCCTTGGAGGAGCACAGTCTGCGGCAGAAAACAGGGGCGGTCAAGACAAAGGTTGCATGTTTTCCTGCCCAAACAAAATTTTGTATGTGCGCACGGATCACTAGCACGTACGCACGGACTAACTACACCCACTATATATACCTGGCTCCCCACCCACCTTTTGCACTTCTTTTTCCTTTTTTCTTCTTTAGCTCTCTTTGCCTTTTGGCTTAGATCAAGTGTAGTATCTGTTCTTTTCAGTTTAATCTCTGAAACTACTCTACGGAGTAGAATCGTGATTATACCTATTTTTGTCACTGGGAGGACTTCCCTCTGGGCTTGCCCATGGTCGTCTTCCACTGTGTCCCTGGTATTACACTGCCTCCAGGCGACGCGACCTTCTTTTCATCACAATCGTGGGCTTGCCCGCGATGTGGGGAAGAGATCCAGGTCTATCCCATTGCCCTCTGTGCTAGTGTGAACAAAACTGTTGATGATGCGCAAGTAAAATTTTCCTCTCTTACGGCTTGGGCTTAGGCTCTGTCGTGATCAGGATTATATAGGCCGGGAGCAAGTCTCAAAAGTTTTAAGGCGAAATGTACGGACGTAATGATGGCCATTTAGGTATATTTGCCAGTATATCCGCTTCTACGTAGGTACAAACCTCCATCCTCAAAGTGTGAAGTTCTATCACTTGGAAATTTGATTCTCTCACTACCGACCGTCTTCACAATCGAGCCCCACCTTCTCGTTTGTAAGGGCGTAACAAGATGCCGCCCACCATGATCGACCCTCTGATCTTCGATCTCCTTAAATCCAAGCTTGAAGAGGAGACCAAAATTCGACAGGACCTGAGTCAGATCGTCGAGCAGCTGGAGAGACATGTTTCCTACGCCCAGGGCGTGCTCTCTCGCGTTCACTCGACACCGCGATCTGAATGTGCGTCATCGATTTGCGCTTCATCCATCCAGTAACTAACCATTTGGTAGACCCGACGTTTTTGGGCCAAGCTGAGGCCGCTATCAAGGATGAGCTCAAGACGGTAACCCAGCTGTCTGAGTTCGCCTCGAAATACCCATACTACAAGTGAGCACCCCGAACAGCTCTAAGCAGGCCGCCCGGCTGACAGTTCAAGGTACAATTTCAAGTGGACCCGCAACCTCCAGGATGCGATCTTCACCGTCATTTTCACTGCCTGGCTGGGTGGCCTGAGCAGCGCCACCAAGCAGGGGGAGCTGGGTCGTCTCTTGACGCTCGAAGAGGTCGGCGACGTATTCCAAGGTTGGTGTTTTGCCAGCGACGTTTCGCCGCCGGTGTCGTCGCGTCCTAGGCAACTGACATCTCACCTCATTTAGTCCCAGTCAACGTCAAGGACAGCGACGCCTTCCACATAACCATCGAGGAGTATCTGCTCGCCCTGACGAACGTGACCGAGGAGCTGAGCCGCCTGGCCACAAACGCTGTCACGCTGGGCGACCACGAGCTGGCCGTTCGCATCAGTAGCTTTGTCAAGGATATACATGCGGGCTTCCAGTTGCTGAATCTCAAGAACGACGTTCTGAGGAAGAAGGTCGACGGTGTCAAGTATCACGTCAAGAAGGTGGAGGACGTGGTCTATGACCTGTCGGTCCGCAACCTCATTCCCACGGGCCAGTCTGGTTGAGAAGGAGCAACGGGCATCATGGCGCTGACGGGTCACCCTCGGATGCTTTGGAGCAGAGTGGTTATTCTTTATCATTTGGGACAAACGGGTGGTGCTCGGCATGGATGATGGCGAGGTATGGATTGGCAGGGCAAAATAGAAGTTATATTCCAACGGAATTGAATTTGGCAGTTGCGTCAACAGACGGGGCAGGACAACTACAAAACTTGTCCAGCCATACTCGATCGCCCTAGGTAGCATGACGATCCTGGGAATCAACGCCCTGACGGCGGCGCTGGCTTCATCTTCGTGTCCGCCTCATCGTTATCCCTCGTGCATTACTATCATCGCAGGACCCAACACATTCGGGAGGAGCTGAGCTCGAGCAGCAAAGTTAGGAAAGTACATGTGCCAGTGGCAGGAATGGTTCTGGATCGTGGTCAAATTAGTTGTTACCTTCAGGGCGATACCTCGTCTGTTTCATGGGCCGTGGTCACCGTCAATAGTTGATATGGCACATTGGTGCGACATATTTCTATTTGGACTTACCCGCTAGGCCCTCGCCGCCGCAACCCGTACAGCTTCCATGAGTCACCTGCGACGAAGTCCCTTGCAGATGTGGAGCTTGATGGTGGACAGCGTGGGGGTCAGGAATGCCGACACCGTGAGCGTCTTCAAGAATGGAGGTGAGGAAAGATTGCCGTCGATGAAAGGCTTCATAGAGGCTTCAGGCGCTTGGCGAGTAGATGGCTATTGGTCACCACTGGGACCTTCTTCGGGGGAATTAGCTGGGAAGAAGCACAAGAGAGGGCATGATAGTTACCTAAATCCCAAGTATCAGAGAAGCGGCGAGTGGACGTGGCGACCTCCTTGACTGTTCGGGTTGTTCAAGATACGAAGGCCCGGAGCTCTGGATTCTCGCCAACATGCTGCCGCCTCGAGTTTTGTACTCTAGGCACAGGACGGGTTAGTTACACAACCGTCTCGCGGAAAGAGAGTCAGAGAGTTGCTGCAGAGCGGATAGGCCAATGGCAGACCAGAAGTCATCGCTGATATCGAGTTTCACAAGATCCCATAGGCTGAGGTGTCCCGATCGGGTGTCGCATCTCGCCCCGCCTGATGGTCCGTCATCTTACCGCCCTGACAGGTTGCATGTGGATCTTGGCTTACTTGCATGCGTATGTCTTACTGAATTGACCGTATTGTATTGTGCATACATACCGATCATCTTCCCTCAAGCTGGGCAGCTTGTGAGATCCACTCGAGTTGACCTTGGCAGTTGTGTATTACACACTGTGGCCATTGATATTTACTTAAAGCATTTATTTCGTCATTGGTCCCCTTCCGACACTCGGGGATGTAGTTAAAGCGAATTCCCCGGTACTTGCAACTCTTGACGTCAATGCTGGCGCACATACCTAACAGCTACCCCAATACCTACCCCGGCACCTCACGTTCCTCAACAACCTCAGCTGGCTGTCCTCAGGTCAATAATTTCAAGCCTATCGGAACCTCGCCCACTGCTATCTCGGTACCCCCACTCATTGTCTGGTTGAATCCCACCTGGAATTCGGATCTAAAGCCCTTGTCTTGCACCAATGCTTTAGCTTTATCTGAGGCCTGTCCCTGACCTTGAGCTGCTTTCGTTGCACTGCTTGCTCACTTTGAGTCCCCGGTGTTCAGACCTCTTCAGCCCCCACGCTCCCCTTATTACCTGCTCTTGGAAGGTAAAGCAAGCTCCATCGGCGACAGTAACTTCCAATATGTTACTCCGAGTTTCTTAGCTGACTATTCACCTGTATAGCCATATTGCCACCTCGTTGCCCTCAGATTCCGTTTCCTCCTTCACATGCCCCCCAACTGCTCTTCCTTCGTCCTAGTGTGGTAGCCTCTGTCCCTGTACCATATTTGGCTGCCGTGGGCGTGCGGAACTCATCGTCTACGCCGCCATAATGAACGTTCCCAGTCCTAGGAGCCGCGGTTCCGTTGACGACTCGAGTGTCTACGATGACGCCCGAACTTATTATGCCTCCGATGAACGCCACATCAATGTTCGGAGCGGTGCGAGGACTCGTACTTATTCCCAGGTGAGGATGCCGTGCTGGATCTTGTGAAAGCCGAGCTCAGCAGCTGACGATACCTGACAAACAGAACAGCCTGCTAAAGCAGATGGACCGCCTGGGATTGAAAGAGCCATTCAGGCGTGGCAGTCATGGTACGAAGCTCAGGACTCTATTCCCTTCTGCGAACCCAATTGTTTGCTGAGATCAATTCACCAGACGAATCCACTATCCCCCATTCTCGCCGCTTTCTCATCCAAGTTGAGCCGACCCTTCAGAGCCTACAATCGCAGGAGGACACCGATGGCAACATGCAGATCACTATCGAGGATAGCGGACCAAAGGTTTGAGCTGGAGAGGGTGTGTTGGTTATCCGAGTTGAGCTGATGTCCTGCATTCTAGGTCCTGACCCTTCGCACCGCGGCATCCAATGGCCACAACAGATTCGACATCCGAGGCACCTACATGCTCTCCAACCTGCTCCAGGAATTGTCGTTGGCGAAGGAGTACGGGCGCAAGCAGATTATCCTAGATGAGGCTCGGCTGAACGAGAACCCGGTAAATCGGCTATCACGATTGATTCGGGACCATTTCTGGGAGAGTCTGACTAGGCGAATCGACGCTTCGAGCATTGAGGTTGCGGCCAGAGATCCCAAGGACTGGACCGATGACCCACGGCCGCGTATCTACATCCCGAGAGGGGCTCCGGAGCAGTACGAATACTACACCAAGTTGGCCCAGGAAAGGCCCGAAATCCGGCTGGACGTCCAGCTCCTTCCCGAGAAGATCACACCCGAGTCTGTCCGGGCATTGAACTCGAAGCCGGGTCTCTTGGCCGTGGATATGGAAGAAGTTGACGACCCGAAGACGGGCGAGAGGGCACTTTCCGGGCGGCCCTTCGTCGTTCCTGGTGGCCGATTCAACGAGCTGTATGGGTGGGACAGTTACATGGAATCCCTGGGCCTCCTGGTCAACGACAAGGTATACTTGGCCAAGTCCATGGTCCTTAACTTCTGCTTCTGCATCAAACACTATGGCAAGATTCTCAACGCGACGAGATCTTACTACCTTTGCCGATCCCAGCCGCCCTTCCTCACCGACATGGCCCTCAGGGTGTACGACAAGATCAAGCACGAGCCTGGCGCCCTCGATTTCCTCCGCACAGCCATATTGGCCGCCATCAAGGAATACCACAGCGTCTGGGTTGCCGAGCCCAGACTGGACCCCGTCACTGGCTTGTCCAGGTACCGACCCGAAGGCCTTGGCGTGCCCCCAGAGACAGAGGCTGGCCACTTCGTACACATCCTTGAGCCGTACGCTAAAAAGCACAACATGTCCTTCGATGAGTTTGTGGAGGCGTACAACACAGACAAGGTCAACGAGCCTGAGCTGGACGAGTATTTCATGCACGACCGGGCCGTTCGCGAATCCGGCCATGATACTTCGTACCGCTTTGAGCGTGTATGCGCCAATCTGGCAACCATCGATCTCAACTCGCTCCTCTACAAGTACGAGACGGACATCGCCCGAACAATTCGCAACGTCTTCAACGACAAGCTGGTCATCCCTGAGGAGTACTGCGTCGGCAACTTGCAACCTGGCCAAGTCGAGACCTCGGCCATCTGGGACCGTCGCTCGAAGCGCCGCAAGCTCGCCATTGACAAGTACCTATGGAACGAAAAGGAGGGCATGTATTTCGACTACGACACTGTGAAGCGCGAGCAGTGTGTCTACGAGAGCTGCACTACCTTCTGGGCGCTCTGGGCTGGTGTCTCGAGCCCCAAGCAGGCGGCAGCCATGGTCACGAAGGCGCTGCCAAAGTTCGAGGCATTTGGAGGCTTGCTCTCCGGTACGAGGGAGAGCCGCGGCGAGGTCGGCTTGGAGCGCCCAAACCGCCAATGGGATTATCCATATGGCTGGGCTCCACAACAGATGCTGGCCTGGACCGGCCTGTACCGCTACAGCTTCACGGAAGAGGCCGAACGGCTGGCGTACAAGTGGCTTTTCATGATCACGAAGGCCTTTGTCGATTTCAACGGCGTGGTAGTCGAGAAATACGACGTGACTCGGCCGGTCGACCCGCACCGCGTCGATGCCGAGTACGGCAACCAGGGTCTGGATTTCAGGGGCGTCGCGAAGGAAGGGTACGAACCGTCTTTACCCTCTCGTATGACCTATGCGGGTATCGTTTACTGACTGACCCCTCTTAGCTTCGGATGGGTCAACGCCAGCTACATCTACGGCTTGCAGATCGTTAATGCCCATATGCGCCGTGCTCTAGGGACGCTGACCCCATACGACACCTTTATCAAGGCCATCGAAGAAAACCGCAACAAGGCGCTTGCGGAGCTGGTGTAGGGATTTGGTTTGCCATCTCTCTTTGCATTTTCCTCATTTGAATTGTCCCCTCTCGCATTTTCTTCTCTTGCATTTTCCCTATTGCATTTTCCCCCATTGTAACTGCTATCGAGTTCATACTGTAATCTCTTGGCGTTACCGGTGGCGCTGATGAGGGTTTCCAACGAGAGACGGAGAAGGCTGCATAAGGCTGCATCTATGGCTGATTTCATGGTTTGAGGCGAGTTGGAAGACGAGCTGACATTCGTGGCATTGGTTACTTTTTTACGGCAAGAACCAGCAAGAGTTGTTCTTGAAGGCAAGGGGAAAAGTGCAGAAGAGGCACTGGACATTGGGGGAGACACAAAACGAGACTGGACACAGACACCTGTAGAAATTGTAAGGGAACAACATCATAGCATGAATGCTCAGGCCGTAGTACGGCCACAATCAAAACCGTCTCTAGAGAAGACTCCCAAGTGACTGCCGCCGATACCGCGGCTTCTTCTCAGCACCATCACCATATAACAAGACGCGACTAGGCATGCATAGGTAAGCGAGACAGTAATGGCATCGATCTAGCCTGACGTTTCTCATTTCGGTCTCCCATCTAAACAACTACAGGCCCATGATACCTACCTACAATACACGGAGGGGAATTGAAATCCACCCCCTCCAAAAAACACCACAATCACCCACCCATCCTTTCAGATCTCGAAAATCTCACCGATGCCCTCCCCGCCGCCCCTCCGGCTCTCAACCAGGTCCAGCCTCCAGCCCCCCCAGTTCTTCAGCGACCGTTTGACCTCCCTGATGCGCTCGAGGCGCTTCTTGGCCTCCTCCTCGTGCGCCTTCCGGAAGGCGTCCTCGTCAAAGTCCAGGTCGCCGTCGTCGTCGGAGAGGAAGCCCTCGTGCTGCTGCTGCTGGTGGTGGTGGTCGCCGGCGGCGCCACCCCCCGTCAGGGCCGTCAGGCCGCTGGCGAGGAAGTCGCCGAACCCACCCCCGCCGCCGCCGCCGTGGTGATGGGAGAAGCCTCTACGGTGGGCGTGCGGCGACGCTCCGAGGTCCACGTCGGTGAACCGGCCGCCCGGACCGCCCGCGGCGCCGGCAGCAGCAGCAGCAGCAGCGTTGCCGTCGTCGGGCCCTGCCTGCATCTCCTTCCTCCGCTCGTGCCAGATGCCCCGGCGCAGGTCCGTGTTCTCGGCCTCGAGCGCGCGCACCCTGTCCTCGAGCCGGCGGCGGCCCTCGTCCTCGAGCTCGTCGACGGCCTCGTCGTCGCCGCCGCCCTCGGCCGCGTCGCGCTTCCGCAGCCGCACGTTCTCGGCCTCGGCCGCCTCCAGCCGGGCCCGCAGCTCGCCGGCCTCCTTGGCGGCCGCCTCCTTCTCCCTGCGCAGCGCCTGCGTACGGCCGTCCTGCTCACGGTGCAGCGTCGTCAGCGTGGCCACCTTGCGCTCGAGCGCGTCGGCCCTCGAGGCGGCGTCGTCGCGTCCAGAGCGCAGGTCGGCCGCCTCGCGCTCGAGCGCGCGCAGCTTGGTCTCGGCCGAGGCCCGCTCGGAGCCCGCGCGGACGGCGCCCTCGGACGTGCGCTCGAGGTTGCGCTTCAGGTCGTCGCGCTCGCGCTGCGCCAGCGCCGCCGCCCGCTCGGCCCGCGCGAGCTTCTCCTCCAGGGCCGCGATCTGGTCCGAGGGGGTGCTCGCCGACACCGAGAGGCGCTCGACCTGGGCGCGCAGGCGCGACATCTCCAGCTCCATCGTCTCGATGGTCGCTGATTTGGACTGCAGCTGAGCTTCCAGCTCGGCCGTCGGGGGGGTCGTTATCGAGACTGAGGGGGATGAACCATGTCTGCCACCGGTGCCGCCGCGGGCGAGCTGTGATTGGAGCTGGGAATTCTGGCGCTGGAGGGCGAGGATGTCGTTTCGCTGGAGTGGACTCTGAGTCAGTTACTGCTTGGGGCTATGATTATGATGGGCAGGAAGGGGTAAAATGGCTTACCAGCTTCTCAACCTCACCGGCCGACTTGCTAGACTTCTTCCCGGAACTTTCAGCATCTCCTTCCCGAAGGACAGCCAGCTCGTCCTCTGCCTTCTGCCAGCGCTTCTCGGAGTCGCCGGCCTCTTTCGCCAGGCGCTTGTTCTCTTTCTCCAACTCCTCTATTCTCGCGACATGTTTGCGGTAGATATCTGGGGCTGTCTCGCCTTCCGGACTGAACAGGCCGGGAGACAGAGGCCCGGATATCGAGGGCTGCCGGAACGAAGCAGACCTCGCCTTGGACTGCGCAGCCAGCGAGGGAGCGTTCCCTTGGGAGGGCGAGATCGGCGGCAGGTCATCTGTTGCCTCCTCGGACGCCCGTCCTTCCTCGGGTTCTGCCTTCTCCTCGGAAACAGGCTTATTATCTTCGGGGGCGGCCTCCGACTCGGATGCGGCGGGAGGTTTCTCTGGCTCTCCCTTTTCTCCCTTCTTCGCGCCGCCCTTCTCCTTTCCTCCCTTCTTCTTCTTCAATTCTTGGACCTGGCAAGCTAGAGTTAGCTTGGGGGCGGTAGAAAACGGCCGCGGGTCACATAACAAACCCTCTTCCTGGCTGCGGCCAGTTGCTTGGCCTTCTCCTCGGCGTCGGCCATTACTGATTCGCTGTGCAATACTCGGTGCTCCTAATGACGGATCGGATATCTATTGCGCAGGAGAATTCCATCCACAGCCTGCGTCATTCAAAGCTTGCCGGAGGTGTTGAACGCTCTATCGAGATTTGTTCCAAGTCCTGTTCTTATCGTTGGTTGAAGCTTGGATGGATGCTGGGGAAGCTTGTGAAGCTTGTGGAGCTTGGATGTCAACAGCTGGCATTTCCGCCGCACGAACCCTGTCCGTGCTCCCGCCCCCCTGTCACTGGCCAGCCTTGGGCCTTGGCAGCCCGCAGGGATTCCCTCAGTGACGACTTCGGACTGCCAGCCTGACCAACTGCCAAGCTTCCGGCGCGCAATTGCGAATTCGCCATGCCGCTTTGCGTGTTCAGAGTAAACCTCCTCAGCGAGTCTGCCAGGGGCTTGCTCGATACTGATTCTCGGTTTCCGACCGATCCGCCGCCCAAAGAGAGGATTCCCTCGCCGGCTGCGAGGCTTTCTATCCACAGCCTTCTTCATCTACCCTGAACCGACCCCTCCTCGACAAGCTTCGACCTCGGCCCCCCCCAAATAGCCCACCTCCCTTCTCAAACCTTCCTCACCGACTACGAGCACACATACACATACATGGGACACGCTCCTCCGTCACCCAACCCAGACTCACAATCCAATCCTCTCTCTCCGACCTCAACACAAAACCCCCCCCCCGGGTATTCCCCAAAAATGGCCTCCCTCCCAAACCTCCACCCCGCCCTGACGCTGCACCTCTTCGACCGTGCCCTGACGCCCATCATCTCCTCGGCGGACGTCTCCGAGCCCGGCAGCACCCGCTCCGCCGCCGTGGCCTCGCTCTCCCGCAGCGCCCTGGCCGCCTACGGCTCGGCCCAGCGCCTCGAGATGGGCAGCCCCGTGCGGATCATGGTGGAGTGCGAGTTCCCGCCCGGCGACGACGGCGGGGGCAGGGCAGGCGCAGGCGCAGGGGGTAAGGGCGGCGTTGGGCCTGTGGTTCTGAGCTCGTTTGTCGAGCCGGCTGGCGAGGGCGGAACAAGGGTGGCGACATCATCAGGAAGAAGGAGAACGGCAACAAGAACGAACACTACGACCACTACAGCGGGATCGGCAGGGGGTCCGGATTCGGACCCCGACGACGCCGACAATCGAAAGCTCAGTCCCAACAGCCACCGCCCGCCACCGACATCACCATCACCATCGCCGTCGCCAACACCATCACCACCACAGCACGGCCCCGGGCCCGGCTCAGGCAACCCCGCCAACGCGGCTCCCGTGCTGTTCGGTATCGTCGTGGCGCCGGACGCGGCGGAGCACGGCGGCGAGGCGCGCAGGGCGGCGGGGCGGCTGGAGCGGGTGGCGAGGGGGTTCCAGGCCGCGTGGGCGGAGGAGCAGGCGGGCGGCGGGGGGGGGTGAAGAGGAAGCTTAATTAACAAAAAGGGGTTAAAAAAGGTGGGGGGGCTACAAGGGTGTTGAGATGGGAGGCGTGAACGTCAGATGACTGCTTGGGGCAGGTCTGCCCGCCTAAAAGGGGGGTTGGTTTGGTCAGGGCGGGAGCCGAAAGGATACTCAGGTCCCCTGGAAGCGATTTCGCCAGAGAACGGCGGGTGGTTAGAACCCTCTCTCCTTGTCCCACCTACCGGGAACAAGGTTGGACATGTAGGGATGGCATGACTAGATGAAGAGGATATTGGCACCATAGCGAGGCCATTAGGTCGTTGCCGACCCAACGCCTCAATAAGGGGTTAATTGGCATGTCGGCTGAGAGGGGAGAAGGGCCTCAGCAGCGACTCGCCCATGCCAGAGACTTCGTTTTGGAGGAACCTCAAATCAGATGTCACAGGGCAGTGCCATGACGGAGATCTCGAAAAGAACTTGATTCGTCGCGCGTAATTTTACGGGGCCATTGACCAAACGTGCTGCTTTAATCCTTTTGATACCGTCATCCTTCTTATCAGATCTAAAGTCTGCATCATTTATTGATAGCAACTATTTTATCTCGGTAAACATGGAAGGCAACTCGAACCCAAATCTTGCGCTAGCTTTCTATCCCGCATTTCTTTTAGCCACGCCCCTAGATGAGCTGCTGGAAGGCGCGGTTGATCGGTGACCGGATGTTCGGGACATCCTTCCAGAAATCGATCGTGGCGACGGCACGCTTTGCGATGCCCTCAGGAGTGAACTCGAACTTCTGCAGCAAGGAAGGTCGTTAGTAAGATGAATTAAGACGAATTTAAGATGGTGGGAGACAACTAGGGGCGGGGGGGGGGGGGACTTGCCTTGTACACATCCTTGTAAGCGCCGGACGCGCCGAAGCGGTTGAGGCCGAACTGCTCGTGGGTATATCTCTCCCAGCCCATGGTGCTCATGACTTCAACAGACAGCGAGGGGATGCCGTCGGGGAGGACGCTCAGGCGGTACTCCTTGGTCTGAACATCGAAGACTTCGAAGCATGGCAGCGAGACCACGCGTGCCTTGATGTTGTGCTTCTCGGCGAGAAGCTTGACAGTGTCGATGCAGATGCAGACCTCGGAGCCGGTGGAGACGAGCGTGATGTCGGCACCCTCCTGCTCGTGGAGGACGTAACCGCCCTTGGCCGCCTTCTCGATGATGGAGCCCTCGAGCTGGGGAAGGTTCTGGCGAGAGAGGGCGATGATGCTGGGAGTGTGCTTGGAGGTGAGAGCAACATAGTAGGCAGCGCTGGTCTCGTTGCCATCAGCTGGCCGCCAGACCATCATGTTGGGCAGAGCACGGAAGTGGGCAAGAGTCTCAATCGGCTGATGGGTCGGCCCATCCTCTCCGAGGCCGATGGAGTCGTGGGTGGCAACCCAGATGACGCGGACCTGGGAGAGCGACGACAGACGGACGGCACCCGCCGCGTACGAGACGAAGTTGAGGAAGGTTCCCGAGTAGGGCAGGACGGTGCCGTAGGCAGCCAGACCGTTCATGATAGAGCCCATGGCGTGCTCGCGGACGCCGTATCGGATATACCGACCGGCATAGTCTCCCAGGCCGGTGGAAGGTGGCTGGAAGTCAACAGAGCCCTTCGTCCTTGTCAGGTTGGACCCGGTAAGATCAGCAGACCCGCCAAGAAGCTCGGGAACCGCATCGAAGATCTTGGTGAGGACGGTCTCGGACAGCTTTCGGGAGGCCACGGCGGGGTCGGCCGGGGTATAGACCGGGAGGTTCTTCTCCCAGCCCTCGGGGAGATCACCCTTCTGGCGGCGGACGAGGTCGTCGTGCTCGGCCTTGAACTGCTCACCGTACTTGGCAAACAGCTGGTTCCACTCCTGCTCCTGGGCGGCGCCCTGCGACGCCTGCTTGTGGCAGATATCATAGACCTCCTGGGGGACAGCGAAGCTCTGCTCGGGGTTGAAGCCGAACTTCTCCTTCAGCTGCTTGATATCGTCGGCCTTGAGGGGAGAGCCGTGGACGCCGTGGGTGCCCTGCTGGGTGGAGCCGAAGCCAATGATGGTTCGGAGCTTGATCAGGGTCGGCTTGTCCTTGACCTCCTGGGCCTTCTTGATGGCGGCCTCGATGCCATCGAGGTCGTGGTCGCCATCATGGACGTAGAGCACCTGCCAGCCATAGGACTCGTAGCGCTTGACAACGTCCTCGGTGAATGCCTGGTTGGTGTCGCCGTCAATGGAGATGTGGTTGTCGTCCCAGATGGCAATGAGGTTGCCAAGCTGGAGGTGACCAGCCAGAGAGCAAGCCTCGCTCGACACACCCTCCATCAAGCAGCCGTCGCCAAGGAAGCAGTATGTGTAATTGTCAACGATGTCGAAACCCGGCTTGTTGAACGATGCCGCGGTGTGGGCCTGAGCAATGGCGAGACCAACGGCATTGGAAATACCCTGACCCAGAGGGCCGGTAGTAACCTCGATACCGGGGGTATCATGAGCCTCTGGGTGGCCGGGGGTTATGCTGTCGACATGCTGCGACAGGATATTTGGTCAAAGAACGTCACAAGACTGATGAATCTGGAGCAAAGCTTACCCTGAAGGCCTTGAGATCGTCGATAGAGAGAGCATATCCATAAAGATGGAGGAGGGCATATTGAAGCATGCAACCGTGGCCATTTCTGTCACGCAAACGAGAAGTGTCAGTAAAGAGTCTGGAAAGCAGCCAAGTATTTCTGGAGCGTCGGGAAACTTACGAGAGGACGAATCGATCCCGGTTGAGCCACTTGGGGTTCTTGGGGTTGAACTTCAAGAACTTGTTCCAAAGAACATGGGCCACAGGTGCCATGCCCCTGTAAACGGTTGTCAGCTTCTAAAACAAGCTTGCGACAGAGATCCGAATCAATGGGACTTACATTGGGGCACCCGGATGGCCCGAGTTGGCATGGAAGGTGGCATCAGCCTACAACGACGAAAAATATGTCAGCAGGTTGTCACGCCGTGAGCTTCATCAACAATCGCAACAAGCATCATGGTGGGGCCAAAACATGTATTGCCATGGCGGGGGCGGGGAAACCAGATTGTTGAGAGGGGTCGTAATCCCAATTGCGGGCGAACTTACAGCCAGAACACGGATCGTGTTGATAGCGAGGCGGTCGACGTCGGTGTATCCCATGATTGCGGCTTGGCGAATCGACTTTCAAATGGGAGAATTGCAGAAGGAAGGATGGATTGAAAGAGAGAAGGGGTTTTCTAGAGGTAGTCGATGTTGAGGGGGGGTGGGGTGCTGGTTTTATTTGTGCGGCTGCGGAGGAGCTTCAGACACTTTTTGGCTCACCAAGGTGGGGTGATTGCCACCAGGCCACCAGGCCCAGCCGTGTATCGTTGGTTCGCTCGGGTCAAATGCTGGGTGGTCGAGAGGCTCTAAAGTTTTCCTTTACGGCTTTCTCACCTATCTCCTTTTCCTTCTTCTTTGCTGGGTAACCCCCCCTCCCCCACCCGCCTAGGCAAGGGACTTATTACTAAGATATGCGTATATCGCTCCTATGATCGGAGCTTTAGGTAAATTTCGTCGAAGATTTTTAACCTGATTTATGGACCTTCAGCGGGCGGTGATGTTATCTCTTACTCAGTCTCCCCCTTTGGGGTGGCAAGATACTTATGATATTCGTAGACCAGACACGCCCCAGGGATGATCAATCATCAATCATCAAGCCCCGTTGCGCTGGGTCTTGGTCAGCGTCAATGTTGTCCGGCCGGCTAATGGTTCACCTTCATCTCTTTCAGCTCTCAACTAGAGACTGTAGTCATCATGGTATAATTACGCAATGGTAGTCCAGGTTCCAGACTGTACGAATAGCTCACATTCCAGCAGCTGCCGGGTCAACAGCATCTTCAACGGGCATAATTTCTCCAGGCAGTCTTGGCAGCTCGACTTGTCCCACTAGGTCGCCCACTTATTCCATGCCCAGGCATAAAAACAGCAACACTTGATGAGTCGCAGACTGCCAGTGCCAGGCGAAAGTTGTCCATGCGTCATAGGCTGAGTTGCTAGTGCATGTCGGGACTTCATGCTGCGCGCATTGCGGAGCCATTGATGATGCCACCCACTCATCGTGAACCTAGTTGCAATAGGAAGACTCGTTTAGCGAGCCAGTTATTTATGAAGTGAGGGTATGGATCTTCAGGTTGAGCGTTAAGGGTTAGGGTTTCATAAGATTCTGCTTAGCCCATGGGCGCTATACCTCATAGTAGAGTTCGACCTAATCGACCTCTAACACATCTACAGATGCACAAGTAAGAGAAACAAAACCCCCCTTTAAAAAAAAAACCGCAAACCATGGTCCAGAAACCCTTTCCTAAAGCCCGGCAGCCAAAGAAGGTCGTGAAGGCGACCCCCAAGCCGGAACCCGCCCCGGCCGGGAGCCAAGCCGGCATCGCCAGCCAGCAGCTCATTCTGAACGTGTTCCAGCACGCCTTCAACGACCTGCTCCGCTCGGACACCCTCGCCGCCGCCCTGCAAGAGGTCAAGCAGGCGCTTTTCAACAGGGAGTTTGACAAGGCCTTCGGCAACGAGGCGAACCTCGAGGTCTACGCCGCGAGGTGGAGCCCGACCAGGGCGCTGTGCTACGAGTCTGTCCTGCGGATGATAAGGCCCCATCTGGACCCCATATGCCTGCCCGACCCGCCACCGGGCGATGACGACGGCGCAGCCACGCCGGGCCCACAAACCCTGCGGGTGGTCGCCATAGGTGGCGGCGCGGCCGAGCTGGTCGCACTAGGGGGCTTCCTCCGCCGGACAGGAGGGGGAGGCGACGACGACGACGACGACGGAGCGGACAGGGATTTCCCCCTCCGCGGCAGCATCCTCCTCCTGGACTCGGCTCCCTGGGCGGCCGTGGTGGCGCGCCTGCGCGAGTGTCTCACGACGCCGCCGCCGCTGTCCAGGTACGCCAGCGCGGCGGCCCGGGAGGCGAGCAGGCCAGCCGTCGAGGCGGACCGGCTGTCGACGGCGTTCGAGCAGGTCGACGTCCTAGCGCTCGGTAGGACCGGGCTGTCGGCGCACGTCGGAGGTGGCGGCCGGCCAGTGCTGGCGACGCTGTTGTTCACGCTTAACGAGCTGTTCACGGCCGGGGGCGTCGGCAAGACGGCCGCCTTCCTCCTCGACCTGACGGCCGCGCTGCCGGCCGGGTCGCTGCTCCTGGTCGTCGACAGCCCCGGGAGCTACTCCGAGGCCGAGGTCGGGAAGCAGGCCCGGCGATACCCGGCGCAGTGGCTGCTGGATAGGGTGCTGCTGCCCACCGGGGACGCCCCGGTCGTCGAGGGCCGCAGCTGGACGAAGCTCGAGTCTTGCGACTCGGTCTGGTTCCGGCTCTCCGGGGCATTGGACTACCCCATCCCGTTGGAGGACATGCGATATCAGATGCACCTCTATCGGGTCGACGGTACGGATGCTGAAAGCACCGAGTCGACAGATTAATGCCTATACACAAAAAAAAGTCGTTTCCCGTTATAGACATTATTGTATCCCTTACTTTGTATCCCTTACTTTGCACACCCTCCTCGCTCCTAGGGGTATTCTCCTTAAAACCAACAGAAAGAAAAGGATCCAAGAGGGGAAAGGCTAGCCGTGCAACCGATGCCATCACGCCCACACCAGCTTCTTGATCGAGTGGCCCAGCTGCTCCAGCAGCCCCGTGCTGCGCCTCGCCTCCGCCAGCGAGATGATATCGGCCTTCTCGACAAGGCCCCTGTCCTCGGCCTTCTTGCCCTCAAATCTCACCGGCTGGGCCTGCACGGCCAGGCGCTCGATCTCCGCCGCGACGGTGACCACCTGCTGGATCTCCGTCGGCCGGGCCGCTGCCCCGGCACCACCGCCACCACCACCACTACTACCACTCCCCGTGGCGGTGGCGCCCTCCTTCAGCGCCTGGTCCGCGATGGACGTCGTCGCGTAAAGAGCCTTGAGGGCGATCTTGCGGGGCGGCGGCGGTTGGGGCCGGCGGCCGAGCAGGCCTGCGAACCCCGAGGGGCCGTCGCTCGTGGTGGTCGAGCCCGAACCCTTGTTTGCCCGTGCCTTGAGCGGGCTAGACATGGAGGAGAGGGAGCGGGTGTTGATCCTCGTGATGTCGTTGCTACCCGGCGTGTACTCGACGACCAGGCCGACGTTGCGCAGCTCGTCGATCTGGGAGGGCGAGATGGTCGAGGTGATGTAGGTGCCGAAGCGGATGCGCTGCACGTGGGAGAGCTCGACGCGCTCGAAGGAGCTCACCTTGTCGAGGCTCCAGTCGAAGCGGCACAGGTACAGCGCCACGTCGGTCAGCAGCAGTACGGCCTCGTCAAAGGTCTGCGCCTTGACGCTGTCGGGCACCCCCGGCGTGAGCATCGCCCAGCCACCGATGAAGTCCTCGGACTCGTCCTCGACGACCCGCTTCTGGCAGAGTTCGATGGCCTGCTCGCGCAGCTTCTGCATCGACACGGCCGGGTCCTGGGTCATCATCGCGGCCTCAAACTCCTCAAACACCAGCGCCGTCACGTTGCCAAGTAGGAAGTCGATTGTCGCTTGGAGGAAGAAGTCGTTCACCATGCTCGGGGCCATGTTAGCGGATAATGTGCAGACGGGGGAGGGAGCTAGAAGGATAGATAGATCGATGTATAGACGAATAGATAGCTTACCCATTGAAGAACCGTGTTAGTGACAGACCTGCGTCCATCAAGGCGCCGCGGTAGTTCCTTTTTCTTGTACGGGTGTAGTCACCCTTCATCGCGCCAGTGGAGGCATATTGCTTCGAGATGGCATCGCCATTATCCGCCCAGAGCGTGTTGAACCATGCCGTCTCCTGGTCCAGCTGCACGCTCATGTCGAACCCCTGCGCCTTCAGCTGCATCTCCAGCATGTGCTTGGCGAAGGAGCTTTGGCAGACGTTCGTCCTGTCCAGACAATCCATGCAGTTCGTCCGTAATACCCCCTTCTGCCGGGCTATGACCTGGCCATCCACCGCCACGGTGCTTCCGAGGCTGTCCAGCTTTCCGCCCAGGGCTTCCAGGAGGAGGGCAACGTTCTCGAACTTCATGCCCCGGCAAGCCGAGTGGAAATCGAACCACTCAAAGGGGATCTTGTCCCTGCTGCCCTCCCCTTCGCTGTCACCACCCTCGACGTCCTCAACGTCCCCGGGCCCGGCTCTGGCCTCCTCGTTGAGACGTCGAACGCTACTCTCGTACACGTCCCCGATCGACGCCTCGATGCCATGCTTCTCCACCAGGTTGACAATCTGGAGAGATCCGTAGTGGCTCTCAAGCCGGTAGAAGTGCTTCTTCAGCGCCCGGAAGTTTGCCTCGGCAGAGTGCCGCAGCTCGGGCGCGGGCCGGAGGGAGTACGGCGACTGTCTGAAGAAGAGGGGGATGCTGCCCCTGATCTGGACGAACGAGAATACCTTTGCTGCCGGGTCCCATGTGGAGGGCGAGAGGATCTGCTCGGACTCGACCGAGTTCGCGACGAAGCCCTCGTCGTCCACGCCGCGCCGGAGGTACCGGAGCCCGGCTCTCTTCACGGACCGTCTGGAGATGAGGGTTATGTCGAACTGCTTCTGCGACGGCCGTAGCTCGCCCGAGACCCTCTCGCTGGGCGGCGGCGACGCCGGATTCGACGCCTCGAAGTTGCTGAGCTCCACCGAGTCCTTGGCCTCGTTGTCGATCTGTGGCGGTTGGCTGTCCACGATGAAGGTCTTCTGCCCAACGAAGCCTTGCATGAGTGGTAGGGTGAATGCGTACACGCCAGCATCAATAAACGGCCGGATCATGTGTCTGTTCCAGAAGTACATTGGGTCGGCCTGTTCGTGAAGCGGCGTGGAAGGGACTCCCGGGTTGGCCAAGCTCCGTGTGATATCGTAGTCGTAGGAGAAGAAGAAGCTTCGACTCGAGCCAAACAGTATCTGGGTCGTGCGCAGCAACTTGGGCAACAGACCACCCGCAGCAGGAAAGCTGTTATCCTCGTCGATCGCGGATTCCTGAAGGTTCGCGGCCCCGTCTCTCTTCAACGCTCCTCCCTCTTGTACCTCTACCTGTGCGGCTCCGGCACCTGCACCGGCACCCGCACCGCCTGCATCGGCGGTCTTAGTGCCCGCCGTATCGGTCAATCCCATCTGGCGCTTCTGGTCCAAGGCCCAGCCCGTCCGACTGAACCAGCGCTGGGCGAAGCGGCCATAGCTCCCCCTCCGACTGATAACGTCGCGCGCGATGCTGGACCTGCGCGCGGCGCCCGCATCCCGGCCCGCGGCGGCGGCGGCAGCGGCAGTGGTGGCGGGGTCAGCTTCGGCGGCGGAGTCCGGCTCGTCGACGACGTCGCAGTCAACCTCGTCGCTGTCCCCGGAGCGCACAGTGAGGTCCTCCTCGCCGGAGCTCTCGCCGCCGCTCGCCTCGGGGCTGTGGCCCTGCAGGCGGATGGCCGTCTGGGCGACGGCGGCGCTGGCGTCCTGAGGCGAGGTGCAGGGCGTGAGGGCCACCTCGGTTACGACGTAGACGGGCGAGCCGCGGATCTGGGCCACCTGCTGGCGGCGGGTTATCGATATGAGGTAGGTGAAGCGGGAGACGGTGATGAGTCCTGCAGGTTGGAAGTTGGTGTTAGCATACTGCTTGTTTGCGCAAGTGCTTCTTTCTGGGCATGACTAACCGACTACCCCGAAGGCCTCAAAGGATGAATTCGGGGTTGAGATATCTGGGGCATAATCGCGAGAGACGGGAGATATCGACACATCTCCATACTTGATCTTGACAGGCGGTGGCGGGCGTTGGTCTTTCCTAGAGTTGAGCGGTTGCAGTATTAGTCCGTCAACAGCAGCACAAATGACGAGTTTACGAGCAAGGCCAGGCATCCTGGATAGGGACAAGCAGTCTATACATAAGACAGGACAAAAACTGAAAAAGACAACAGATAGTGTATGGATATGCAAAACCGCGGCATACAGGCAATGAAACTATTATCGAGGGCGGTTGAGATCCGATTAGTGGAGTGGTAGCAGCTCCCATGCCATGCACCCCCCCACGTCATAGCAGGCCGGGCCGGAGCCGGAGACCAGGTACCCCTCCATTCCCGCGGTACCACTCAGTATCGGAATTAATTACCTATGTACCTGGACAGAAGATTACGCAACATATGCATATCAAGGGGCAAGGTATTCTTAGATACCATATACCAAGCTTGTTACATGTCGTAGGTAACGAGGCAATGAGGCATAGACGTGCGCCTTCTTGCTATGCAGAGATCGGTATATAGGTAGCTGTCTAAGGCACAAGGCACAATCAGAAGCCATCATCAGGGACGCCCTTCCCACCCTCGTCCTTCTTCCGCTCCTTATTGACGGCGGCCCACCACGAATCAGTCTCCTCGCTCGAGGTGCAGTTCCCTTCCTCATCCAGGGCGTCCCACGGCTTGGGGGTCAGGATGTAATGCACGTTCTTGACGCACTCATCCCTCCAGATGGGCGCATGGACATGCTCCCACCTCAACGTCTTGAGCGCGTTGTACACATACGGCAGCGGGACCCACCGGCCGCGGAACAGGCTGGACAGCAGGCTCTGGTCGGCAAAGTCCATGGCGCTGGCGTTATGCTCCATATGCTCGACGATCTGCCCAAACACCTCCCGCGAAGGGTTGACCACCTGCAGCCCGCCGTTCATGAAACCCAGCGGGCCCACGGCCGGGTCGGCCGCGACCGTCTGCGCCGCCTCGGGCTCCCCGTGCTGCGACGTGAAGGCGCAGTGTTCCGGCACCCAGTCCGCCGGGTAGTGCGGCTTCTTGAGCGGGTTGCAGACGCAGGCGTGCCCGGCCGCGAACACGCGCCGGCTGACGGGGCCACGCGCGGGATCGAGGTTGCCCGCCGCCGCGACGGCGGGGGGGTCCAGCTCCAGGGTCATCAGCTCGTCCATGTTGCGCAGTACGAGCATGTCGCTGTCGAGCTGGACGACGCGGTCATACTCGGTAAGAGAGAAGGGCGTCAGCTTGCTCCAGCAGTCGTAGAAGCGCGGGTCGTTGCTATAGTCCTTGCCCTTGGTGGGCAACAGGTACTCGATCCGCTGCTTGGGGATGCCACGGGCCTCGAGGGCGGCAAGGCCCTCCGCAGGGAAGGTGTCTGTGTAGAGGGCGACCAGCGGGTAGGCCGAGCCTACCTGCTTGAGGGAAAAGTCCAGGGTGAGGAGACCCGCCAGATAGTCTGTGTTGGTAATGAGGGTCGTCCAGACTGAGCGATTGTTAGTTTTTGGAGAATGCGAAAGGCATATTATTATGGGAATAGCTTCATGTGCCTTTTCTAGATTCTGTTGCCCGATTTGTCTCCGTCATGATGATCGCGATGGCTGCCGTCGGCTTGAGTGGTTTATTGCTGCTTTATTTTATGTGTGTGTGTGTGTGTGTGTGTGTTGCTTATCGGCACTTGCAGTCACTCACTTCAAGGTGCGAATAATCTCATGGGACATGACACTCGCCAGGAACCATGGTGAGAGTAGAAAGGACACAAGAGGAGAGCACTTTAACGAGGTATTTCACGTTGCCAACTTGACGGGATGATAAGTATCTCCCATCTCCATATGCATGGCGGGACGTAGCCAAGGGCTAGAAATTATCGCGACGGCGGCGCCTTCGGCTCGCGGCGCATATATGGCGTTATCAGGCACCTGTAACTGCAATTGGTAGCGCCTCGTTCCCGAAGACCTAGTGCCAAACGCTAATTATACGGGGCACTTACTACGTGGTAGGTGCCTAAGGTAGCACGGGTAGGTACCTACAGGTTGGCATGTATAGTGTACCGTGTACTCCGTACAGGACGTGGGAAATTCCGAATGCCGAAGGAGCCCAGTGCCGAATGGAGTTGGGTTGAGAATTGCAGAAGAGGTGAAGAAGATTGCCCGAGACATAATTTAAGCTGGGTGACAACAATAGGTCGAGTAAGGTTGAGAGACGGGCGGCATTCATGGTATGGCTGTAATAATAGTGAAACAACCTTTGGAATCTACCTAGGTAGCCAGGCAGTGGTACAGTAGGTAGGTACAGTTACGGATACTTACATAAACCTGAGGTTTCAGGCTCTCAGTGGACCGAATCAGGAACGACTGGACCACCTTGTCATCCAACAATAACATAAACGCCGTAATTCGAATCTCGCCTTACAAGATTACATGATTCTATTCTTAAGGCATATTCTTAAGGCAATTGTTTCCCCGAGCACCTCATTCTTGCCTTACCCTCGATAATCAAAGCCCGGTCTCAAGTCCACCAGTCCCAGCCGCTGCCTCCACCGGATCTTCCCCGACATATATCGACTGACCTCATATCCGCTGTTGGCGGAGAAACCCCGCCGCCGCCTATGTGGCTCGCGTTTTCAAGTTTTCAATTGCAATTGCCTGGCCTGGTGGTTTTGGCAAGGGTTTCAACCTGCTCTCACATCCCACTCTGAATTTCGACTTCCTATCCCCTTGGCACCAAGTAGAGAAGCGCCAAGATGGATGCTATGAACGCCGTGCTCAAAAACTTCAAGAATATCCCGTGTCCGGCAGGAGGCAAGTGTACTCAGTCAAACTGCCAATGGAAGCATGCATGGGATCAGGAACCCGCCGCAAGTAGCCGTGATGGAGAGGCGGATCAGCTTGGCCCTAGGAAGCGCCTCAAAGTCGGCCAAGGAGACGAGGCCTTGAAGGACGCGAATCAGACCAAGGCGGCCATCACCACTGCGAAGAAGCCAGTGTCACCACCGCCCTTAAAACGGAAGACACCGACGGCGACACATGACGGGGCCGCTTCCAAGGATTCCCCGTCATCGACCACTTCAAAGCCTCCGACTCACTCGAGCCGATCGTCAGTCAGTCGCACCCCTACGTCAGCTGCGGCGAGCCCAGCGAGTCCGCTCAAGAAGACGGCACCAAAAGCACCTCGTAAGCCTGAGGCTCTGAATCCCAGACATCTGAAGTCGTCGCCGGCAACCCACGAATTCCGGTTCAGGGCTCTTGCTATGCTGCACGAGCAATTTGTCCGGCTGAACAACGAGCTAAAGAGAGATGCCAGCAACGAGGAGGAGAAATTAGTCCTAACTGACCAACAACTCATATGGATCGCCCTGGATGAGGAGGAGAAGCTCGCTACTGACAAGCCTCCCATCTATACTAACGTCATCAAAAACCGTATCACGAGCTACAAGCGTTTGACCGTTGCAAAATGGAAGGAGGAACGTGAGGCTCAACGGAAAAAGGAACTCGCCGCTATGACGGGCAAGGTAGCGAACAAGCCAGTCCTCGGGCCGCCGAAGGTCATTCACACCGGCCTCACTCCCGAACAGGAAGTCGAGTTCCTCTCTCGTCTCCTTACTCCCATCAAAGATCTCGGGCAGTTCGGCTACGTCCCTTCCGTGCCTACTGAAGATGACGTCCGGGAAGCCCACAAGGCGGAGGAGGCCGCAAAGGGTTGGGAGGTGTGTGATCGATGCGCGACGCGCTTCCAAGTCTTCCCTGGTAGGCGGGAGGACGGAGCGCTCACGTCGGCTGGCAAGTGTACCTTCCATCCCGGTAAGCCATACTTTCCCGAGAAACAACTAGGCGATAAGTCCAGGGTCCAGAAGCGGTGGCGGTGCTGCAAGGAGGCCGTGGGAGACACGCCAGGCTGCACCAAGGCCGAAACACACGTCTTCAAGATAAGCCACCCCAAGAGGCTAGCCACTGTGCTGCCTTACGCCGAGACACCCCCGAACCCGCTCGCCCCCACTAACAGGGCCGTCTGCTTTGATTGCGAGATGGGCTACACGGTTCGGGGCCTTGAACTTATCCGCCTGACGGCAACGAGCTGGCCTGACGGCCAGGAGCTTCTGGACGTCCTCGTCCAACCCCTCGGCGAGATCCTGGATCTGAACTCGAGATATTCCGGCGTCTGGCCCGAGGATATCATCAACGCCGAGCCCTTCTCCCTGGCAAAGAGCGACGACGACCAGCCGCCTCTCCCGGGCCAAACCTCGGCAGAGGATAGAGAGGAGGGCGAACTCGAGGACGTCGGGCCTCCGAAAACGAAGAAGAAGAAGAAGATGCAGATCGTCTCCTCCCCCGCCGTGGCCCGTGACCTGCTCTTCTCCCTCATCTCTCCCGCGACCCCGCTGATCGGCCACGGCCTCGAGAACGACCTCAACGCCGTCCGCGCCGTCCACCCGACCCTCGTTGACACGGTGCTCCTCTACCCGCACAAGCGCGGCCTGCCGATCCGCCACGGCCTCAAGGCCCTGATGGAGGCGCTGCTGAACAGGGCCATCCAGGTCGAGCAGACGACGGACGACGGGAAGCCCATCGGCCACGACAGCGCAGAGGACGCGAGGGCCGCGGGCGAGCTCGTCCGCCTCAAGGTCCAGCAGGAGTGGGCCCGCTTGAAGGGGCTGGGGTGGACGCTGGTGGATGGTGAGTTCGTGCCGCCCGTGGGAGAGGGCGATGGGAAGGGTGGGGGGAGCCTGACCGAGGCATTTCTGGAGAAGCAGCAGCCTACTACTGCTGATGCGCCTGGTGCTGGCTCGTGAGCCCACGCCAGCTTGAGACTACGGGTTGCCGGGTTTTCTGGGGTACAGGCAGTTGCCGCCCAGGCCCGGAAGACCAGCGAGTTTCTTCAAGTGTTGGAACGAATCAAGGTGCAGAATTGGATCCCAAATCGGCGGAAAAGCATACAGTGATCTACCTAGTCATCAGCACATTTCAAGTGCTTAGATGGCTCCACCCGTTGGGAGAGGCTCATGATAGCCATTCACGTACCTAGGAGCGTTAATTGGCACATAGGAAACGTGGGCCAAAAACAAAAATCTACTCCTCTGCATCATGACCATATTTGGAAGAGGGGAAGATACAATGCTTGATATCAGCTAGTAGTACAAACGGGCAACCGATTTTTGGGCCCCCCTTTCGTCCCCCTTAAATGGCAGCCATTATGGGGGGGAGATGGATAGCAGTAGCCGCCCCCCTTTCTTCTGCACACGCCCGCACACGCCCGATATCCACCCCCCTACTTATGCCCGTCCCACGTTCATCAACAGATTGGCACCGCTCCCGCCGCCGGGCAAGTAGACGACGTTGGGGTTGTTCGCCAGCGTCTGGGCGATCTCGCGGCTGGCCTCGATCTTCCGGATCTGGACGAGGCCGTCTCCGGACTTTGCGATGGCGCGGCTGATGGTCTCGGCGCTCTCGGCCTCGCCCTCGGCGCGGATGACGTTCGCCTGGCGCTCCTGCTCGGCGCGCTCGACGATAAAGCGGGCGCGCTCGGCGTCCTGCTGGGCGATCTGCTTCTGCTCGACGGCCTTTGTGAACTCCTTGCCAAAGGTCATGTGCGTGATGGACACGTCCTCGAGCGCGATGTTGAACTCGCTCGCCCGCTTCACAAGGTCGGCGCGGATGCGCTGCGAGACGGCCTCGCGCTGCGTGATCAGCTCCGCCGCGTCGAACTGCGCGACGATCGACTTGAGGACCTCGTTGCCGATCGAGGGGAGGACTCGCTCGTCATAGTCCTGGCCTAGGTTCTGCGTGTGGGGGGTGGGATGTCAGATGGGATGGGACAGATGGGAAGGGGATTCGACTTTTGCTTGTAAAGTCTGCGTATGGGTGATAGTTCGACGGCTTTGGGAGAACGTACTTGGTATATCTTGGGCAGTGCCTTAACTTCGGGCCGGTGCAACACTCTCAGCGTCAAGCTGACCATCTGCAAGTCCTTGCTCCCTGTTGTCGTGGCGATATTTCGCGGCTTCGTCCGCACGTCGAAGACGATGGCTCGTTGCAACCACGGCACCAAGAAGTGTGTTCCCTCGTTGATCACCGTCTCCTTGACTCCTGACACTCTGTCGAAGATGACAGCTCGTGAGCCGCCCTTCACATCGTAGAGGGAGGCTTGAAGGAAGCCGAGGCCAACGGCCGCCGGGATGGCCGCCCGATAAATAAAGCCGAGTCCGCTTGCCGCCATCTCGAACGACTATTTTCTCCGAATTGGCTCGTGAGCGTGTTATCAACTTTGAGCCGTCTTCGTTAGATCCCGAGGCAGGTAGGTAGCTGAGCTTAGAACTTGAAGAGATGATCCGATCAGAGCTATTCCATGCCCACACGGGATTGGTTGCGGGAAGCTCGGAGGCGGCTGAACTCTTCGGAGTGATGTTCCAATTTCCGCGCTAACCCCTTTTGGGGAAGCTTGCTCGGCATCTCGCTCGACTGATTTCGACTTCAAACTTGGTCCTCTTCCGACTGATTCCTAGAACCAATTGCGCCAATTGAGCCTCAACCCACAACGCCTTGAGCACCTCTGCAACATGCGGCCTACCCAGATTCTACGATCCGGGGGCGATGCCCCCCTGGGCAAATACAACAAGTCAGTACTCCCATTTGCCTGCGAGCAGACTCGCGATACCGCTTTCGACGAGCCCGACCTTTCCGTCTATGAGCAGCAACCCCTTATACATTCTCGTTCCTAACTAACTGTCTATTCTTCCAGATATGTTGGATATTGGGGAGAATTCGGTGAGTGATTCGATTCATGCTTCGCCGGGCGAATGCCTGTCCTCCAAGCCGAGCCCTGGATGGACGATCCAACGAAAGCGCCGAGGATACCACTGAGAGGGCAACGGGATGGGGAGTGACGGCGGGGCCCGATCACATGCGGATATCGACTGGTTGCAGCTCAAGGATTGCGTTCTAACCCGGGATATCATTCAGGTGGTCGACCACAGAAGGGAATCATCACCTACGGACTCAGTCCCAACCGGCAGAACCCGTTCGCCGGTGCGGCACACGACGCGATTTTCAACACATGGAGACGAGCCAGCGCCCAGGTGCTCTATATCGCTCCCCCCTTCATCGCTGCCTATTACCTCATGAACTGGGCCACCGAGCGGTACGATTCCCCCCCCCCCCCCCACCCGGTGAACAAAGGCCACGCCGGATTCTGACAGTGCGCAGGAATGAGTACCTCAACTCCAAGGCTGGACGTGCCGAGTTTGGCGGCGAGGCCGAGTAAATGGATGTGCAAGGGGAGTCAACAGGGGCGCTGTTCGATGACGTTTGTCGCATAGATGACGAGACTTGTATATCAGTTGATCACGGAGGCGGAATTGCAAGTGAATAGATCTCATAGCGTTCTCTGCTTGGCCGAGTGTTCCCAAATTGTGAGAAGCTTCCTTCGACAGCGGGAGGGAGTATAAATCCAATATGTGCTCCGTCACCCGTGCCATTTTCGATATGCAGTTACCCGGTATGGAGAAATTGTCCTATCACGGCCTTTGTATTTGGAAGCAATGATCAAATCGCGACTCAAAAATGGAACGCGTGAGATTCCGACAAATACTCAAACAACTCTTGGAAACGCTCGGTAGATCTAGAGTCCAGAACCTTCATGGAATTATAACTAATCAAGTCGGTGTTGCTGTGGGTGTCGCTATGGCTGGGGTTGCTGCTGACATTCTCCATTGCTGAGCCCTCAGCTGTGGAAAAGGCCCCGTCACCTGTCAAAAGCTTTGAAGCCGTGAGATCCGCCCCGAATTCTTCAACGGATGCGAAAGGTGCATCGTCTAGTTTTCGCAGATAATTCAACCTACGCCTTATGCAAGTGACTCGATGAGACCCTTAAAAGCCACACACATCTCTGTGTCTTTGTTCTATGGTTGCGGGCCGGGCACCTACCGAGGTGGCTTGAATCAAGGTTGCAGAAGTCCCAGCCCCAAGACGGCAGGCTACCTGCTAGAAGTACTTACCTATATCCGTCAATTCTGTGAGAGGTTGTCTGCGTGGGTTGTATAGTAGGAGCTTCTATGTCATAAACAGACGACCCAACACCTCAGTTTGAGAAGCTCTCAAGGCTGACTGACCATTGACTATCCTAGAGACTACATCCTAGCCTGCCGCCTTGCATTGAGGTAGGTGGTATTCATGACATCCGGTTGACGAGCCGAGAAGCGCTGTGTCCATGCAAGATGGAGACCCGGATTTACGGCACAGGCGAAACGGACCGATCCAAAAAGACGGTAGCATCAAGACTGCCGCGCCAAGACACAGTCAGCCCAAAATATGTACTCGCCTGCTCAGGACTACGGAACAAGCCTCCGCAAGGATCGGACAACACTATATGTAAATTAAAAGTGTCCCTAGGCCGTCGCACTCGCCAATTCGCATAGATCCTTCCAGTGATGGCCTCGCTCTAGAACAACGACATGCAGGTCGTTCACTCTCTTCAACAGCATGTAGCGCCACGGCCGCATCCAACCATCTACACAGCAGGCGCGGATGGGGGAAGATGACGCTGTAATTAACGGCTCGAAACTCGACAAGTGAAGTGAATCTGTCGAACCGAGATCCGGCGACCTTCGGCAAACGAGATGGTGTTTGCACATCTTTAGGAGCAACCGGACGGTGAATGACTAGCACTGGTTGCGGCCCGCGTCGCGGAGTATTCTTGGGGGTCAAGTCCACTCTCGCGTATTGATCCTTCGCCGATCGACCACTCGAATGACGGCATGAATATTCGAAGGATTCAGGAGAGCGACTGCGTCTGCATGAGTCGCTGGTGCCTGGACCGAGAACCGAGATGGGAACTCAGCGGTCATATCCCATGGTCCACCGAGAAGAAAGTCTATAAAGCGGCCATGGTCGTCGGAAAGTTAGTACCAGGAGAGAAACAACGAGCCTCGTTCAGCACCACAATCTTCAGAATCCTCTTGCCTTCTCGATATCTCCCAAGATGCACTTCAACCTCACCGCCCTTCTGGCCTTCGTAGGCATGGTCAGCTCCAGCGCCATCCCTCACTCCCACGAGGACTACGAGAGCTCTCCTGTCCCGAGGAGCATTCTCGAGGCCCGCGACAGCTATGATTGCAAGGGCAGCAGCATGTGCAGCAGTCTCAACGTTGCGGCTTGCGACGATGCCGTCAACAGCAAAATCATCCGCAACGACGTCGTGAACTATGGAGCTGATGGGTAAGCTTGCAGCCCGCCCGTGTCTCAGGGATAAATCCTCCTCGTAAACACGAACATGTGTGCTGACTTTCCGCTATAGGAGTGGGAGACCACATGGGGGAGCCTGCTCGGCAATCGCGTTTGGCTACGGCTGTGGTGTCTTCATCCAGGGGCAGAAGAACTGCGCTCGGACGGGTAACCAGATCTGGTGGGATTACCAGGACATTCGCAAGAACGGCTGCCAAAAATGCGGTACCAAGCACTGGGGTGACGGGTGTATGACAACCATCAACTACGTCTCCGGTTGCTAAATATCAGAGCCGACAAGCTGTCTGTGAGGGCAGGAGCAGCAGGGCATAGGGTGGCTCGAAGGTGGACCATTGAGTGGACAAGAAACGGGATGAGAGGTTTTTATGACGCTCAGGGTTGGCTCAGAAGATTGGCTCAGAGGGCGCTGTTGAAAAGGGGTAACGGAAGGGGGGGAGGTATATGTTTAGTCCAGACGGACACTTAGGGGAGGGGGGATCACTAGGGATCACTAGGGATCACTACATATTCGGAAATTGAGAATAACACCATTATTCTGCCTCTAGCGATGTTGCAGATTCATGGCATCAACTGATCAAAGTATTTTCTTCTTCGTGATGTGTAGCTTCACCTTTATTGGGTCTATTCCGTTTTTCTTACTCTCCCTCTCCCGTCAAACATGTTCGTTGCTGCCAGACTGGGAGGTGCTTCAGTGGCAGGAATTGATGGTCCCCGAATGTGCTAGGGGGAAGTGTGTAGTCCTGTACATGGTTTCCTTCTTGTGGAACGGTAAGTAATAGTCTTTGGAATTTAAAGATATAAGCCAACAGAGATTGAAGAAATAAAGAGGGAGTTGTGGGCTTGTAAGTAAAAATCTTGATATTAAAGATATAGTTACCTAGACAGAGATCTAATTAGAATAAATAGGAGAGCTAGATATCGATACAAGAGAGGGGATAGGTAAAGGTTTCTGAGGGAGCGATGATGAGTGTTTGATTTTCCTCATACTTATGCGAATACCAAGGCTACTTTAGTTTACTGGAGATAGGATTTGAGAGAGAGGTATAGCTGCGACAATGGAAACCGAAGACGATGACTTTTCCTTGCGCGGATACCATGAATGTGGGTGTCATTGGCGATGAAACTGTGAAAGAAGTTATCCTGTTTTACTAGTACAATGTTTCCAAATCTCGGCCATGTGCAGTTTTATCTTATGCGCGTTCACGGTGCTTTCCTCCTTTAAAACGCCTTTCCAGCGCCGCCAAATAGATCTTACGGCCCCTTTGCTATTGCTTAGCCCCCCCGTCTGCTAGTAAAGTCTAGTAAGATAGGATGTTCTTTCCTTATAGGTAGGATAGCATGTGATGAGGCACCTAATTATGTTTCTTTCCAAAAGGGGCAGGATCGTTCGTTGCCTTGATTCAGAGCGAAACCAATCAAATATCAAGTGCCAAAGTTTAAAATGCAGTTACTCACCTTTACTACCTAGCTAGGTAGGTTGGCATGTCCATCACCCCCAAGCTCACCTCTCCACCTCTCCAATAGACAAGCCCGAAAAGCCCAAAATGGCAATCACGGACATCTTATGGAATAATTATCTCGCCTTGTTGTGCGTTCTCCTTCTCTCCCCGGTCATATTGTACACCACCGGGCATTGGCGGGTCATTGTCATTGTCACCAGTGGTGCCGACTACGAGGATGGCCATATCGTCGAGTGGACCATACGCGAGCCGCGTCTTCGCATAGGCCCGACCGACTTGATCATTAGCAGGCATACGACAAGGTCTGTCGCATATGAAACCACCTGATGACTGGGATAGCCTAGTGGTATGGCATCGCATTGGGGAATTCGGAGTCTTTGGTAAGATTATACCTTATAATCCAAGATACTAGGCCACATCGACTGTGTAGATGTGTCCTATATCTGAAATAAGGAAGATGGACACAAACCGAGTCATTGTGCTGGGCATGACTTAATTACTGACTGTCCTCTAACCAGGACCTACCACTATCGTAGAAGAGCTGGTGCGCACCGGCACGCTCTGACGAACACCAAGGTTATCCCCTTCGAAGTTAACTATCATCTTGCTATGGTGATTGAGCTCCGCTCCAGAGCAGCCCCACCAGGGCCCTACAAGGTAGAATAAGAGTTGTCCGAGGCATGAGTGGCTGGCTAGTGCAATAACGCTTGGGAACTCTTGTTATTCGGTCTATTATTATAAATTTGATTCAAGTGCCGGCTCAAGATGAACACAGACGAAGTAAAGAGGGCTTCAGGAAACGGGAGACAGGATGAGCGTACAGATTAGTGCTGTTCGTTGTGTTTCCAGTCAGGTGGCAGGCGCACGTGAACAAGTCTTCCGGGGCTTTGTTCCCAGAGCCCCGGTTTTTGTTGAGCTCAAGCTACCGGGCGACAAAGAGCAGCCGATGAGACCTCCACCCGCCTCCACCCGCCTCCACCCGGACCTTATGGATATGGATAGCGCTGGTATTTTTTAGCGTTGAATTGAATCCTCTTGTCTTCGATCGTGGTGCTGCTGATGACCAACGCGACCGTCAATGGGCCCTGTAAATTGCATTGACTCGCGATAGCCGCTCCTCTGTTTGTCGCATTTTCGGGTACCGAGGCTGACGACATACCCTGTCACTCCCCCAATCCAACCCCCCCTGTCCTAAACCAGACCCAACACACTCGTTTCCATCAGGTGCGCAAAGACAAACAGAGCAAGGAACTGGAACAGCAAAGTCCCGCGCTGTTCGCGACAACCTCGACGGCGCGGCTTTCATTTCGTAGCTTGCCCTTTTGGATCTTGTTGGCTTTATTTTTGGTACTTTTGAACCCACCCGCCGCTGCCGACCTTCATGGCTCTCTCTCCCTCGACACAAAGATGAACTCGCTCAACATTATCTCCGCCCGAGTGTCCCCCACCTCAAGCCCGGTACCGTCGCGATCCAACTCCCTCGGCCCACTAGGCTTGGCCTTGACGTCCGAGAACGATAAGGAACAGAATGGCGAAAGCACACATGCCGTCAGCGACTCAGATACGTTGATTGCCGAGCCCGACGAATTCCCCACCCAGAAACCCGGCAACGAGCCCGACGGCGACCTCGACGAGAAGTCGCCGCTGCTCGCCCGCCACGGAGAATCCAAGGCATTCGGCGCTCGGTCGTCTCTGTGGCATCTCATCCCGAGGCGCACCGCGAGCGCCATCATAGACTCGATCCGCTGGGTCCTCTCCACCCTAGCCGCGCCTGGTGTTTACCTCATCGCTTGTCTGTACGACGAACATGGGAACTTTGCGCCGCTCCTACAGCTGAGAAAGGTGTTTGGTGTATACCAAGAGAGCCGAAACAGCCTGGGTGCAGATTACGAAGAACCGATGGCCGAGGACCAGAAGTCAGGGCGCGGGAAGTTTCCAGCCACGAACGTTGGGGAAAGTCATGGCGCGGCCGCTGGGCGGCGCTCTCGCTCTCCTGGCTCCTCGTCGTCAAGCTTATCATCCGAGTCCGAGTCCGACGAGGCCAGGAATGCGGAGGGCGGAAATCGAGCGTTGAGCAAGCACTCGCGTTCAAAGTCGCTCCACGACACCGAAGAGGTATCCTCCGGGCAGCGATCAATCCGAATAAAACTAAACTCGGACCACTCGCTACGGCAGAGGAAGCATAGGAAGACACAGTCTGCGAGTCCGCGCGGAAGCGGGGGTCCAGGTTCCACGACCAGCGATATCTCAGCGCACCTCAAATCTCCCACCTCTCCCGTAGGGGCTCTGACGAGATACCCCAAGACCCCAGCGCCCCCGAGGCCTCTAATACCACGCCGGCAGCCGTCGTACCTCAACTTGGAGCCGGTGGATCGGAAATACCAGAAGACACTAATTTTGGATCTAGACGAGACCCTAATACACAGCATGTCAAAAGGCGGCAGGATGAGTAGCGGGCATATGGTGGAGGTCCGACTGAATACAACCTATGTCGGTGTCGGTGGCCAGGCAAGCATCGGGCCCCAGCACCCGATCCTGTATTACGTGCACAAGCGACCTCACTGTGACGATTTCCTACGAAGGGTGGGCGCTCTCAAAGACCCTTTCTGGCTGGTGTTCGGCTTGCTGACGGATCATCTCAAGGTGTGCAAGTGGTATAACCTAGTCATATTCACGGCTTCGGTCCAGGAATACGCAGATCCCGTCATCGACTGGCTAGAGTCGGAGCGCAAGTTCTTCTCGGCGAGATACTACCGTCAACACTGCACCTTTAGACACGGGGCCTTCATCAAAGACCTGAGTTCGGTCGAGCCGGACCTGAGCAAGGTTTTGATCCTGGATAACAGCCCGCTAAGCTATATGTTCCACCAGGGTATGAGAATTCGCGCCCGAAACTGTCTGTTGGGAGGGATTGACTGCTGACTTGTTTACCCCCTTGTGAAGATAACGCCCTCCCAATCCAAGGATGGCTTAACGACCCTACCGATAATGATTTATTACACATCGTTCCGCTTCTAGAGGGTCTCCAGTACGTCTCGGATGTTCGGGCCCTCCTGGCTCTACGAGGCGGCGAGGATGGGCAGCATATGGCATGACCTGGGGGATAAAGGGGCGAAATTCATTGGGGACGATGTGCTCAAAGAGAGGGAGCGTCGTCGACTGGAGTTCCGAGTGTGTATTGTATGGGTGTAGATTATGTGGGTGTGCTTCTTTGGTTTGGTAGAAAGCGTGGTAGGCATTGCCATATTCGCGATATTCGCACATTCATGCCTCCGCCACCGGTTCTCAGCCGTTTGTGTGTCTGTCTGTATGCTAAGCACGGTGATGCTCCGCGCTCCAAGCTCGCGCCGTGTCAGCTACCGGGTATGTACCACAGTAATTGCAACTAGGTATGTAATTAACACTGAGACCCTTACATTTCCAAGGAATTCCCACGTCCCGAAAAAACCGGAGGATCCCGCCCATTAATGGCTACGAAGTGGGGTCCTTGAGTAATGCATTTCCTCTTTCCGATCCTTCCAGCTCTATTCCTTGAACGTAGTACATCCATGGAGACTACGCGCAAGGATGGGAGTTTTTGAACTACCTCGGCCAGGAGGTTGGCAGGACCAACTTCCATGCCAAAGGGCAATGGCAAGCAGGAGAGGCTCCAAGCACCAAGGTCAGACAAGTGGTCCCCACAGTTGGCCCGCTAAGCATATGAGGGGTCTCCGATGATTGGCTCTGGACTCTGCGATCGGCCGTGTCTTGGGTGGTGACATCATCATACGCAGCGACGGAAGGGAAGCTTGGGGAAGCTACGATGATGTTGCGTGGAACAGGCTATGAGGAGCTCCAGCTCCATAGGGTTGCCTCATTCCGTTGCTAGCCCGTGACGCAGCCAGTCCCTCACATAAAAGCCTGCGAGGCCCCCTAAACCTTCACTCCTCCATCAATTTGCCATATCACCAAATCGTATCTCCAATCAATCGACAACAGACGAGCTATATCTCCCAATCATCCCTCAAGAACTCTTCTTAACAGCCACATTTCACCATGTCTCTGCACTGTACGTCTTTTCTTTTGTACTCGCCAATCGATGACATAGTCGACAGAGCGGTGGGGTTGAGAATCAGATGGTTGTAGTTCGACGCTACAGAGAAACCAACCTCACCCAACCCGAGCTCGACTATCTATCTCTATCCACACCAGGGATAACGAGTTCTCGCTGACAATCAACTTCTGCTGCTCAGATCTTCCTCCCGTCAAGCCCTCGGCTATTGCTCTAGGGACCATCTTCAACCACACCGTAGAGTTGGCTGGTAAGTTCACTTGAACCCGTCCATCCGGCTCTGGAACCAGAGCACTGACACAAGTCCGATCCACAGTTCTCAGCCCACTCTTCGGCCAGACGTACCAGCGTGCCAAGGCTGCCGACACCAAGGAAGAGTTTGTCCGCTCCAAGGAGGCCACTTCCGCCGCCGTTGCATGGGGCACCTCACTCGTCGGCTCGGCCCTGCAGTCGTATGGCGTGGGAGCCCTCATCAACGCCACCGGCACCCTTAGTTACAAGGGCGCCGCTTACCTCGGCGGGCTGATCTTTGCGGCCACGAGTGGTCCTACCGTAAGTCCAAGCCGTGTCATCGTGACTGACAGGGAGCAGAACTAACTGACACCCGTTTAGTTCCTCACCCAGCTCTTCACCGAGAAGCGATCAGTCGAGACCGTGGGCATCAGCGCCCTCGCCAAACTCTTCGAGACTGTCGGCCTCTCTGTGTTCCTCACCTACTGGGGCACTCGCACCAACCCGTTTGACTAGGAAGCTGGACCCGTCGTTTTAGTGGCCGAGTTTGTTGTACTAACACCAAGTCCAGTTCTTCTAGCCGATCGGGGACTCCTCTGGGCCAGAACGCTTTCCGATCTGAGTAGGGTAGTTCGGGGCGTGGCTCGGGGCTCACGGGATTAGGATGCTTTGGGACACTTGTGCTATTGGATTGTGGTTCCGGTTTCCTTGGTTTGTAATTTTGTAGTCGAGGATTTATGGGAATTGTACGGCTTTTGAAATTTCGTATCATTGCTTCCATGACATCAACATCAGGGCGCCCAACTCTCCTGCCCTGCCCCGAGAATGCCCGACCCAACGCCGCGACAATGTTATCAACAACATGTGTAGTTAGCTGGGTATTTCCAAGTCTCAGAACCACAAGCCAGGTTTTTCATTGATGAAAGCCTGGACAGTAAACCCACGTTGGGCACCCCTCAGCTGTTTTAATTCTCCTGCTCCTAAGGGTTTTCGGCTCCTCCAACCCGTCTACCCTGCTTAGGTACCTATGCAAGAACAAAACCAACAAACGCCGTCCATATACAGAGAAAGAGCCAAAGTGAACCTGAGACGGAAAAGTGAAAACAAAAGATGGAAAAGTGCCGGAAGCAAGAGCTGACATGGCGACGAAAAAGCTCTTGATACTTCGCAAGAGCTCCTCATGTCGCGGACCTCCAAACAAAAGGCAGCACCGAGTCAGGCCCAGGAGGACGGACGAGCGCCCCTCAACCCCCAGAGAAGATCTCCTAGGCGACACCACCGTTCTCCCTCCCCGCCAGCTGCAGCGGATGCACGCCCTTGACCCACGGCTCGACCTGGACGGTCCACTGCTTCTCGGCGAGCTTGACGAGGTCGCGCCAAGCGCCGAGGTACTCCTCGGCGCTGACCTTCTTGTCCTCGCCCTCGGCCATCTCCTCGTCCTCGGCGGCGCCCTTCTTCGCGTTGGGGCCGGCCTTCTTGCCCTCGGGCCGGAGCATGACGACGCTGGTGGCGCGCTTGGTGCAGGCAGCGACGCCGAGGTCGGCGCGCGAGCGCACGAAGACGTAGGGGACGCCGTGCTCCTCGCACAGGATCGGGAAGTGCATGATCACGTCCATGGGGGAGATGTCGCCCGCGATGACGACGAGCCCCGGCGGCGACTGCCCCGCCGACGAGGCCTTCTTGAGTGGGCACTTCTTGATGGCCTTCTCGCACTCCTTGACGCCGCGGTGGATCGCCTTGAGCTTGGCGCCTGGGGAGGTAATTGGATGGTTAGCTGGGGTTTCTGGGGCGGGGGGAGAGAGCTGCAAGTGGGGAACGGGGTGCGACGGGCGGGAGAGCCAGGGACATACCCTTCTTGATCAGCTTGAAGATCTTCTTGTGCGCCTTCTCATCCGCGAGCGGCAGCGCAAATGGAACCAGCTCGTCGGCAGGCTTCACCAGGTCCTCGGGGTCGACGTCGTCCTTGAGGCCGGCCGAGGCAGCCACATCGGCCTGGAGGTGGGCGTCGAGGGCCTGAACGAGCCTGTCCTGCTTCTTCTTGTCCTTCTTCTTGTCCTTCTTGTCCTTGTGGACGCCCTCGGACTCGCTGCGCTTCTTGTCCTTCTTCTCCTTCCGGTCGGCCTTGTCTTTGCTCTTCTTCTCCTTCCTCAGCCGGTTCTCGTCGGCGACCTCGACCTTGTCGGACGCCATTGTGGGGAAGGGGATTAACGGGGGGGGTTGTGGGTGGGAAAGGTGATATTCGTGACAAAAATCCAAAACTACTATGAGGCGCAGCTAAGGAATATTGGAAAAGAAAGAAAGTTCTTTTGTCGATTTTCCTCGTAACGTCTTGGAGCTTGAGTGTTGTCAATACCTAATTGATGGTTCAAAATATCAAGCAGTTTTTCAGACTGGGCGAAATTTTGACGGCAAAAAGTTTCTCCATTCCGTCCCATCCTGAGTTGCTAGTACTTGTAGAAGTTCTGTGGTACGGTATATCTAAGCCAAATTTGCTTGCTTATGTACCTCATAATTTGTCTCTAGTACTTAGAAACGCTAGCTCCCTCTAGCTCCCACCCGGCGCAATGCCCCTCCAAAAAATTCGGGAGCAACACCAACTGGCCATGCACATTTGACTCACTTGCTACTTCGTTAAACACGGTTATGCCAGATTCCGCTTTCTCATAAATCCACATACCTCTGAACGACGTATCTTTTTCGCGACAGGCAAGCTGTATCTGGGCTGGGTTGTGAGAGATTCGCGTTCAGTGTGCAAAACTGTTTGGCAGGGGTTCTATTCAACACAGTTCCAGCAAGCATGGCGCCTTCACAGGCAAGCTATGCACCTAACCTGGAGAAGTTCCTCAAGTTTCTCAAGGGACAGTCACTAGAGACATCAGTTGAAGCATTGATATCGTCAGTAACATCTAACCTCAACTAACCCTACCGGCGCTGACTAGTCTGTACCAGATTGTTGAAACGGAAACAAATCAAGGGGTCTGAGGGATGTGCCACTGCCACAGCTCACATACTGTTGCAAGTTGTTGCAAAGTCAAGGTGGTCCGACGTCGACCAGCTTCTAGATAATGTCCAGAAGGTTGGCGCACGTCTTGCCCAAGCGGCGCCACGAGAGCTCGTAATCGGCAACATCATCCGTAGGGTCCTGGGCCTGATTCGCGATGAGGCCACCGAGGACCGAAATGGCAATGAGTTTGGCACAGACTCGGTATCCGACATCCAGAGCATATCAACGGACCATGGTCCTGCACTACCAAGACTTGGGACAGTCCCTATGCGGCCCCCTGCTGTGTCGACGGCGAGCTCTTTTCATATCTCAAAGTCTTTGTTCAACTTGCTCTCAGCAGCTGACCCGGCCGACTCGACAACTACCGGCTCGCCGACTACTCCCACCTTCCAGGGCCTGACTTCCAGTGTCCACTCTCTACGGTCAGAGGTCATCGACGGCATCGAAGAGATTATGGACGAGATCAGCCAAGTAGCCGACCAGATTGCGAGCTTTGCCGAAGTGCAAATCCATCCTGGCGACTATATCCTCGTCCATCGGCCATCGCCAACCGTGGAGAGGTTTCTCATCAGAGCGGCAGCAAAGAGGCTGTTCACCGTCCTAATCGCGAGCAGCACACCGCCGAAGGGAGGTTCTGATGCCCCTTATGCTTCCCTGAGGAAGAAGTTGAACTCTGCTAGAGTCAACACAATCAACGTCATGAGCAGTGGCCTCGTAGCATATATGCCCAGGGTCAGCAAGGTCATTATGGGCGCATCGGCAGTCCTCTCGAACGGAGCCATCATATCCGACGGGGGCTCCGGGCTTGTTGCGCGTGCTGCCCGTGAATTCTCCAAGCCAGTCATCGTCCTCTGCGGCGTCTACAAGCTGTGCCCGGAAGTCACATACGACCTGGAAGGCGCGATTGAGTTGGGAGACTCCTCGAGCTACGTCAGCTTCGCGGATGGACCTATTGTTAACGGCGTCGAAGTCGAGAACGCGGTCTCAGAGTTCGTCCCGCCGGACCTGATAGACTTATATATCACCAACCTGTAAGTGTTCGGGCTGGCAAGCCTCACTGGCAAGCCTCAGATGGCGGGGAATTCCACTGCTAATATGGCCCACAGCGGACCACACACAAGAGATCACCTGGATAGCATCATGGCCGACCATTACAAGCCAGAAGATGTCGACTTGACCCTGCAATGAGGCTGTAATTGACCCAGGCAATCAGGCGCAGGATACCTACTAAGTACACTACAACGTACTGTGCATACGTAGCGGGACGCGAAAGCTTGTTCGTGGTCCTGCATTGCACCTTGAAAAAACGGCGACCCCGGCGCTTCGCCACAGGGATTCCCAGGAATATCCAGGGATGCAACAAAGATGAGTCGTCAATGAACGGGTGTTACCTTGTGAGCCCGTGAGGCCGCGTCAGCACAAAGCTCAGGCTTGCGTGCCTGCGGGGAGACTTGGTGGGGCTTTTAAGGCGGATCGCTTTCGCTATTGATGGCCCACGACCAATGGAGAAGTATCCTGGTTCTGCAGGGCATCCCAATTAGGAATTTAAGCTTGATCCCCACTGTCAGCCCCTCGGTACGACGTACATACATTGGGCCGATGTGTATGACGGCTAACTGAGATGGGATGTTGACTGATGAAGTCCTCTTAAAATGCTCCTTCCACCCCACTCTTGTGCTATCCTTCTGAAAATATGTGTCGCTGGCCTTTTCGAAACCAGGTTTCGATCGCCTTTCCTCCCGCTGCTGCTGCCGCTCTTGGATCATCACTGAAGCTGCTGCAAGCAACCTTGTGAAGTACACGAAATATAGAGATCGTCCAATATGACTTCTCATGACGACATTCCGCCGCCGCCTTACACTGAGACTGATGTCTACTCGGCCTCGGGCGCCGCCCGATCGCGCACGGGTGACGATGCTGCCAGTTTACCTCCTTCGGCGACATCATCAACCGGAGATGTGATCTACACCCCGCCACTGACTCCTCGAAGCAGTCACCAATCCAACTTTGGCAACAGTGCTGACCACCTCACAACCTCATCCGCAGCCGCCTATTTCGAGTCGAGACCTGCGCATTCGTTCTATTCCGGGCAACAGCTCGTACACTCCATCACTGCCGGCAACGGCAGCTCCCCTGACGACTTCCCATACCCAAGCGAGTGGGCAAATCGAGACGTGAAGGTCGAGGACTGGCAGACGTTCATCAACTATCTCATCCCGCACCACGCGGCGCAGAGCAACTCGCGCATCGTCGACCGCAAGCTGCGCGCCGAGGGCGTCAGCGACGATGGCCGCTCCGAGAAGAGCGTCCGAAGCCACGCAGAGGCGCAGCTGAGCCAGATCCGCTCCCCATCCGAGGCCGCGAAGGGGAGGCAGAACCTCGAGGACACCGTCCGGGAATGGAACGACGGATTCTTCGCCATGCGCGGCATCACTATCAGGTTGAACCCCGTGACGGACGAGCCACACGTTCCGGGAGGTTGGGACCAGTCCTTCGACCAGCCAGCCGACGCCGCCGACGCCAGTGGTTCTCGAGACGGCCGCGGCCGCGGGCGATTTGGGCGGCTTAACCCCTTTGGCGGTGCGGAGAACCCCTCCGGCGGCTTCCGCTTTGGACCCTTCGCAGTAGATGGCGATCGCGTCTCCATCGGAAACAATTTCGTCGCCGACCGACACGGCGTGCGCTTAGGCGGACTGGTCGCGGATAACAACGGTATCAGCCGCGGGGGCGTCCCGTTCATCCCAGGGGCTTACCAGGACTCCCCCCGCGGCGGCCGCTCCGAGGGCCATCGGCGCTGCCAACCGGGCGGGCCCTTCGGGATGGGCTTCGGCCCAGGCGCATATGGCGACTGTGATATGAGAGGCGGACGGGGTCGCGGCAGGGGCCGACATTCGGATGACCACAAGCACCGAGTCCGGTCTCGCTCCTCGTCCAGCTCCTCCTCGGGCTCGTCGTCCTCCTCCGCCTCGTCCGTCGGCTCGCTGCCCGACTACGACGACCTGCGAGACACCCAGCTCCCCGTGACGAAGAACCTGCTCCAGAACTGGCTGAACCACCCGGACCAGCCGGCCACCAAGGAGAGCGTCAAGCAGGTGAAGCAGGAGATCAAGGCCGCCAAGAAGAAGCCAGCCAACGACCCCGCCAACCTTTCCTCCGCCGACAATGCCGCCCTCCGCCGCGAGGTCAAGGGCCTGATGCAGCAGTGGAAGGAGCTGAAGAGGCAGCAGAGGCAGTTGAAGCGCCAGCTGAAGCGCGAGCGCCGCGAGGCCAAGAGGGCCGCCAAGCGCGAGCGCCGCAAGGCCAGGCGCGAGACGAAAGAGTCCCGCCGCCGCGCCAAGAGAGGCGAGCCCGCAGCACCCGCGGCCGGGAACGCACCCTACGGCGGCGGCGGCGGCTCGTGGTGGAATTCTCAGGGTGGCCCGGCCACCAACCGCGGCGGATCCTGGTGGACCTCCCCCGGACCGCAAAACCCTCCCGGCGTGCCTGGCGTACCCGGCGTGCCGGGCGTGTCGCCACCGCATGCCGGTCCCGGCGGCTTGCCGGGCCCGCTGGGCGGACTCTTTGCGCGCTTCGGCGGACCGCCCGGCCGTGGGGGCGGGTTCGGTGGGCCCCCAGGCGGGTTCGGCGGGCCCCGAGGCGGGTTCGGCGGGCCCTCCGGATATGGTCCGTTCGGGCGGTTCCCCGGGGCGTGGCCCGGCGGCGCGGAGGAGGGCGTCCACGACCAGGAGGGGTCGGTGTCGGGGGCCAAGTTCAGGGCCGCGGAGGAACTGGAGCGGAAGATTGTAGCGAAGGAGGCCGAGCTTGAGAGGGCGCACGAGGAGATCTCCAGGGAGGAGGAAGCGAAGGCTCGGGAGGGTGGTCGGTGGGAGGACGTGAAGACGCAGTCGAAGGCGCAGCTGGCTGCGCAGAGGATCGAGCTGGAGGTGGACGCGCTCCAGGCGGACATGGAGAGGCTCCGGTTGGAGGCTGACGCGGAGCTGGCGAGGGAAATCGCCGAGCAGGACGCGAGAGGTTATTAAATACGGCTGTTGGTGGCGGGAGCCCACCTTTCTAATGGTTTTTTTCGGTCATGTGTATGTACGTTCGATGATGGGCGTTAGAGTTTGAGCGGTCTCTAGTTCCAGATATCCTTGCTTTTAGTTGAATCAAGATTCCCCCCTGCTTTTCTTTTCTAAACCGACAAATGCTCCCACAGTTGCTCCTGCCTTCTAAATGTGCTTGAAAGTCCACCCGCCATTTACCATGGAGTGAACCGCGTGGCAGGTCCAGATCTATTCGAGTGACAAATACCCCGATACTCCCATCTTCCTCGCCACGATGACGAGGAAGACGGACTTCAAACTGGACACCGCTGGTGGGAACTCCGAGAACTTTGGGCGGATCAAATGTCGCAAACCAATAGCCAATCCCTCTATCCGTATTACGAGTGCTTGCTCTCATCCCTCTCCACCAACTCCCCCACCCCCAACCCCCTCCCGACCTTGACCTTTCTCTTCTTTTCCTTGTCCGCCGCCGCCGCCGCCGCCGCCGCCGCATCCGCCGAGTTCACCGCAGGCTTTGCATTGGCACTCCTCCTCGACTTGGGCTTCTCAGCCGGGTCGGTCGCCCTGCCGACGTCGCCGACGGCGTCGCCCTCGTCGACGTTGTCCTCGCGGGCGGCGTCATCATGGTCCTTTTCCCGGTCCTCCTGCACCTGCTCCCAGGTGGGGCCCAGGTCCAGGCGCATGCAGAAGGCGTCCTCGCCGTCGGCGTAGTACTTGGACTCGGTCTTCTCCGTCTTGAAGCCCAGCGTGTCGCGGTACAGGTGGATGGCGGCCTGGTTGGAGACGCGCACGTGCAGCGAGACGTAGTGCCCGCCGAAGGTCTCGACCATGGCGAGTTCTGTGTTGGACCGGAGGAAGTTAGTTGGTGGCTTCGGTTTTTTTGGCGGGGGTGCAATTGCAGTGGGAGTTGGGGGCGGATAAGGGGGAGAGAAGAACGGGAGGAAAGGGTAGGTAAGGGAAAGGAAACACCCACGGCTCTGCCTCATCAACTTCTCTGCAATGCCCAGCCGCCGGTGCGTCCGCATGACCGACAGGCTGGTGATGTGCCCGTGCTGCACCCCGTCGGTCGGCTCCTCCTCCATCTTAGCGAGGACGTAGCCGACGATCTTGGGGTAGTCGTAGGGCGTCTTCTTGGGCCGCGATACGTCGACGGCGACGTAGCTTAGCTGGGGCCATGAGAGCGCGTGGTAGAGGTAGTATTTGAGGAAGTAGTTCTCGGGGAGGTTCTCCAGGTTGGCATGCTGGATGAGGGGGATGTCGGAGGGGCGAAGGATCCGGATATCCATATTTTCGAACTCGAAATCGGGGGGTGAGGGACTCGTGCGGTATTGGCCGTGTGGGCACTTGTAATGGCTCGTTTTCAGTTTTGCTGTACCGTACCGTCAATTGTCAAGACTATCGCCAAGTAGTCTTGCTGGGTTTAGGTGCTAGGATTGATAGGCGTCGGCTATCGGAAGACATTCCGCCGAGGCCAGGTGCTATAGGTACGGATGCACTGCGTAACATACCTAAGCTTTACCCCACTACAACTATCAACCTACTGGCGGGGCAAGAAGTCGAGAGGTCCATTGCCGCATGGAGAAACGCCGTATATATAATGCTGAGGCGTTCTGCTTCTCGTCCCAATCCGTTGTATAAGCATAAGTTCTCTAAAGCTGACACACAATATCTGCCGTGAAGCTCTCTGTGTCCATTTGTGTCTGTTCTCTCGGCTCGGACAGCTTCGTCCCGCCTAACCCTAGACCAACTATAAGACTCGTGCCCGAGAAAGGTGCCCGACAAAGCAGCTAGCCAGGATCAACATGACTCGTCCCCTGGAAGGCAAGGTTGGAATCATAACGGGGGCATCGAGAGGTACGAGAGTGAAGTCGCCGAAGGGGGACCATCCAAACCACCAGGAGCTTTCCTATCAGTTCATTATAGCATAGCTGACGCGGGTTCGCAGGCATCGGCGCCGCCATCGCCGAGAACCTAGCGTCAAAGGGATGCAACCTGGTTCTGAACTACACCTCCCCGAGCTCGGCCTCTCTCGCCAATGAACTTGCCAACTCCTTGGTGAACAGGCACTCGATCCGCATCGTCGTCGTCCAAGCCGATATCGGCACGACGGCCGGTCCCGCGCAGATCATCGACGCTGCCAAGGGGCCCTTCTCGCGGGATGATGGGGACGGCACGATGCGGCTGCAGGTCGACATCATCGTCAACAACGCGGGGATCGCGCTGAACGCCCCCCTCGCGGACGTGACGGTAGGCCAGTTCGACGAGACGTACCGTGTCAACGTGTTGGGCCCGCTTCTGCTCGTGCAGGCGGTGGAGCCGTACCTGCCGCTGGACCGGTCGGGCCGGATCGTCAACCTGTCGTCCGTGTCGAGCAGCACCGGGTTCGTGGGGCAGTCGGTGTACGGCGGGACCAAGGCCGCCCTCGAGGCCATGACGCGCACCTGGGCCCGCGAGCTGGCCGAGAGGGCCACCGTCAACTCCATCAACCCGGGCCCCGTCCAGGGGCCCATGTACGCGGCCAACACGGAGGAGTTCAAGGCTGGCATCAAGGGCTGGATCCAGCACACGCCGCTGATGGCGGCGCGGCCTGGCCTCGACAGCGATGAGTTGGTCGAGGATGCAAAGGAGAACGGCGGGAGGCCGGCTTACACGCGCGAGGTCGCGGGGATCGTGGGCATGCTGTGCAGCGAGGATGCGGCGTGGTGTACGGGGCAGGTTGTCTGCGCCAATGGAGGGATGCTGATGCTGCATTAGATGGGAAGTCGACGGTGTCTCAGCGTCTAGGTACAAGTGATCAAGAAACAGCGTGTAAATCTCCCTTGGAAGGCTACTCCATAATATAACTAAGCCACTCGCCTTGATATTCCTGCGTTTGGGAGAATAGGTGCTCAATCCCAAGCCCTGAACGACTCTCACATAATCAACTCCCTGCGAGTCTGTTATGGAGAATCAGTCACGAAACCACCGAGCTCTTCAATGGCCTGAGATTACACATGCTCGCTCGACCTTGGCGAGAACAGACGAATATGATATTGATTAGAGACTATATCTGAGGAGGACAGGTTCCATTGCTGGAGTCTATGATTTCGATCAGGCGCCTTTAGCTAACCCAGTCCTTCCCTTACGGCGTTCACCTTTCCATAAGGCGTGAGTACAGGCTTGCCTCTCTCACAGTCTACAGTTTTATAAGCCACGCTAGGAGCTTTTGTCCACACAAACCGCAGCATGGAGCTGGAATCTCCCAAAGCTCCCCAACGATGTTCATCGAGGTCTCTCGTGTGAGGGTTAGAGCATCATAAGGCTTCATCAAGATGCCAGCTTTCCTCAAAGCAGATTCGGCTGCGGGTTTGTATTCTTCCTCGTCTTTTTTTTAACCTGGTAGTCGTTTTCAGGGCCATGTTGGAGGTATGCTTGGGACAGACTCTTGAAGGGGAGGCCTCGATGCCAAGGGCATGTCGGGGCCTTCTCCTCGTCGATATAGACGATCGCCATTTCAACATTGAGGTTGTGGTTTCTCACCAATGACACACGGAGGAGAGCAAGTGTGGGGGCGCCAAAATCGGTCCTCGGCCGGCGCCGATAACACCGGGTGGGGGTCCAGTACCGGCCCGCACGTGACCCAAAACGGCGTCCGGCTTAGCTGATTTTATTCCTGGGTCCTCCTAGACCCTATTAGGTACCTAGCATAAGCACATGCACACCCCGCCAAACCCAGCGCAAGAATCTTGACCATATTGTACCATTGCAGAACTTAGAGAAGGTTCCTGTCCGACGCCCTCCCGTCATCTAAACCTTTGCCGTTGGAACCCAGCTGGGGAGACCAGAGCCGGAACCCCAGCATGGCAGACGACCCCTTCGACGGTGTGCTCAACCTGGAGGAACAGTTCTATCAGGAGGGATACAAGCAAGGCCTGGAGGACGGGATAAAAGCCGGGCGGATAGAAGGCCGCTCGTTCGGGCTCGAGAAAGGGTTCGAGAAGTTCCTGGAGAGCGGGAGGCTGCACGGAAAGGCAGTGATATGGGCGAATCGTCTGCCTAATCTGAAGGCGAAGTCGGCGACCCAGCCCGAGTCGCATCAGATGGCTAGTGGCCAACCGGAAAGCAGCGGGAGAAGTCAGCAACCGGAGCGGCATTCACTGCCGCTCTTGCCGAGAAATCCAAGACTGGAGAAAAATGTCACGGTTCTGTACGCCCTTGTTGAGCCCGAGACCCTATCTACAGAGAACACCGATGAGGCGGTCGACGACTTCGACGACAGGATAAAAAGGGCTCAAGGAAAGGCGAAGATAATCGAGAGAACGATAGGGGAGGATTCGGGTCGGAGCCGCCCTCAAGAGAGCACCAGCCCCGCAAGACGATGACGACAGACAGTCACGGACTCAAGTGTGAACGCAATCTCTTTGCAGCCGGAATGGCCAAGACATTTCCACGGCACGGTTGAGCGGCCAGAGATGAGAATAAGGGGTTGGCCTGGCCTGACAATCCCTCTCGTGCCATGGGTTATCACGGCGGACTGTATATCCTGATAGGGGATAGGTGTTTGGCGAGATGGTCGCCTTGGCCAAGTAACATTGCAGGGACGGTAGATATTGTCCATCGTCTACAGGCAGGATAGAAGACAGAGCGCTTGGACATCCGATATGGGTCTTCGAGCAGCAAGTCTATTGTTCACAGCCACCTTAAATATATACATTCCATGTGCCTGTCCTCTCATCTATCACTGAAAAGATCTGCACGGATAGCTGCAAAAGTAGTTAGCAAACCGTTTCTCCTTCCAATATAGCTCCGGGATGCAAAGAACTTACGTATCCGGGTACGACTGCTCCTCATCGATCTCATATCTGTGGACATCCCACTTCCCGCTCGAGAGGCTCTCCCCGCTGGGCAGGGGCGGAAGCCCATTCTCGCCGAGGACCAGCTTGCCAGCCTCGGTGCCGGTCTTCTCAAAGTAGGCGGCCAGACCGCCCTGCCTCCCCGCATCCTCGGCCGCGACCAGCGCCTTGGAGCCCTCCTCGCCGATCAGCTCGACGCGCGGCTGGGCGGCACTGCCGACGGTCAGCAGGGCGACCTGGTCGGCCTGCCCGATCACGCTGTGGCGCGAGTAGTTGCGCCGGGCGTCGCGCTTCCAGTACGGGTTGTCGGCGATGTCGCCGGCCGGCAGGGTCACCGGGTCGTCGAACAGCAGCGGATCGATGCTGCCCGGGGTCGGGTTCCGGAAGTAGGGGTTGAGGGGCACGCCGTTGGACCTGTTCGGGTCGATGGCCACGGCCCGGCGGAGAAATTCCCAGATTCCGGTCGATTGTACGGTTTGTTTCTGCCACGGCGTCAGTCAGCTTGGGTTTTCTCGAAGGGTGCCTCTGCGTAGAGAGCCCCCGGCCGTCGGTGGGGGAGAAGCAAATCTCGCAGGGACTGGGGAACCAATTGGCGTCTGCTTTCGGGGGTAAATACCGTAGTGATACTCATGACACCGCCTGCAGCTTTCGCTACCACTTTAGAAGCCATGGTGGCGGCAATGAATGTGAACGTGTGCTGTAGATTGGAGGTCGAATGCGTCGATTCCAAGCGGAAAGGCTTCGAGGTGAGCTGCTGCCAGTCCGGTTGGAAGGTGATGACAAATTGCCGAGATTTTGCCGTTGATATAAAACATCAATCCAACTTTTGGGGAATTCGGATCTCACAGAACTACAGATTACCTACGAACCGATAGGGATCCTTCAATCCTACGGATGTACGGGTTGCAGACGGCCTTTTCCAAGCAAGTTTTGCTGCATGCCATCAGTTGGCAGATATAAAATCTATACGCAGATTGGGACGCATCATTCGTGGGGAGAAGAGCTTGAACTGTCTGTTCACCATGTTGTGCCTAGAGAAACCGGGGGCAATTTGTCATCCATTACCTGCTGTTTGACGATACTCCCCCGGGTGGCTTTGGCAGGAGGGTACCCAAGTCACTCTTACCAAATATCAAACTAGAATGCGCATTGCGGAGGGGGCCTGTCCTTGCCAGAGCTTCGAACTTGCGCACGCTATGATTGGCCAGATACCTGCCCGACCTACAACTCAACCTCTTGTTTATACTTCGAACCTCAGCCAGCTCCCAATCCACTTCCATTTCCATCCAACCTTGTCTCAAATATTCTTTCCAGTTTGTGACCTGAATTATCTCGACCCTCACTCGTTTTTCCTCACTTATTGTAAATCCGACCACCCGTTACAGCCTTGCAACCGCAATGCCAGTCGTACTTCGCAAGCGCAAGGCGGCTCAGCTTCCCGCAGAGCCTCCAGCCAAGAAGGTCGCCAAAGTCGCCAAAGCTGCGACCAAGTCTGCTCCCAAAGCTGCCCCCAAAGCTGCTCCCAAGGCTGCTACCAAGTCTGCGACCAAGGCCAAAGATGCCGCCCCCGCGAAGAGCTCTAAGCCGGCGGCCAAGGTCAATGGCAAGAGCGAACCGCCGAAGCGCACGGCAGTCAAACCCGTCATCGGCGACGTGATCACCCTTGAGGGCTTCGGCGGCGCGATCGAGACCAATGACGGCGAGAAGACCACACTCAAGGCCCTTGTCGACAAGAGCAAGGCCGGCGTTGTGCTGTTCACCTACCCCAAGGCCTCGACTCCTGGATGTAGGTTCAATATTTCCTTGCTTTTTCGATGACTTACACCGATGGGAAACATGAGAAACATCAGATCTATACTACTCACTGTTCTTCCCCCACCCCTCCTCCCCCATCACCCCGCTTCCATCCCAGCCCATCCGTTTTCCTTTCCATCATACTAAACGCCCTCTCCCACCCAACAGGCACCGCCCAGGCCTGCCTCTTCCGCGACTCGTACGCGACGCTCACGGCCGGCGGCCTGGCCATCTACGGCCTGTCGGCCGACTCGCCGCGCGCGAACACGACCTTCAAGGACAAGCAGGCGCTGCCCTACCCGCTGCTGTGCGACCCGGCCGCGACCCTGATCGCCGCCATAGGCCTGGCGAAGTCGCCGCGCGGCACCGCCCGCGGCATCTTCGCCGTCGACAGGGCCGGCAAGGTCCTCGCCGCCCAGGTCGGCAGCCCCGTCGGCACCGTCGACGTCGCGAGGAAGCTGGCCGCCGAGCTGGCGGCGGCTGCTGCTGATGGCGGTGCTGATGATGATGCCGCTAACGGGGTGGCGGAGAAGGTGGAGGCGGAGAAGGTAGAGGCGGAGGAGGGGGAGGGGGAGAAGGTGGATGGCGATGCGGCTGCCGGGACCGAGGATCAGGCGAAGATTGTTGATGCTGAAAAGGCGGGGGAGTAGGTAGTTCACACAGCCTACTGTCTGTGCCGGCTCCGGCTTGATTCATGGAGGAGAATCTGATCTGCTCGTACCAGTGGCCCTCGGAGGCGCGAGGCATAGCAGTTGAAGTTGAGGCATCGTTTGTGCGAGTCCATCCACAGTGTGTTTTTGTGTGGGCGTAAGGGGAAGGGTGTCTGGACTTGGGACGATGGCTGGGGTTTCAACTGGCTACGTGTATTGTTTTCGGTTGTTTCTTTTTTTGGGACAGGAAATGACAGGCCAGAGAGGAACGAACCAGTCTGTTTGAGAAGCAAGTTTGCTATAATGCACTATAAGATAGTCCCACACAATAATAAATCTTCGTTATGCGATAACATGTCTCCCCATCGCTGTATGTTCTTCGCAACTCTCCCACTGGACAAATGTGCCAACCCTTAAGGGGTTCTACTATTGTCCTGGTCGCCGCCGTACATGGTCCTCCCTCCCGTCCTACATGATCAGAGTTGACTCTGGGAGTTAGGCTTATTGTCCAGGACGATGGGAGGTACCAAAAGCCTGGCGGCGCACTACGCGGCGAAGCTCCGGCTGAGACGTATCCGGGGCCGGGTTCCGGGTGTATGAGTCGTGGGTAGAAAGCGCTGCGGCAACATTCTTGGCGACGGAGCTGGCCTGCTCCCACCCAAGTTGAGAAGGGAGAGAGGAGCTGGGAAAGGCGCCATCACCAAGGTAGCCACTAATCAGTAACCAGTAACCAGTTGTCAGATCGGTCTGTATTTATGTATGTTCCACTGATACCCTGTAAGTACACATACTCCTATACACATGCAACCCCTCCCCACCCAACCCCCTCCATGCAGAAGCAGATCATAAGCCTGGACTCCTCCGCCTTGCAAGTAAAAAACCAAAAAGCATGCGCGTCCCTCGATTCTACAGTTGGGAGAGGGAGGGGGAGAAACCGATTTCAATGCCTGGAGGAAGCCGATCGAAGGAAAACTTAAAAAGAGAACAGCACAAGAGAGGAAGGAAACCATGGTCAGTACAGATGATGAGGGTCCGAACCAAGTAAAAAATCTATGCATATAACGTAGCAAGGGTATCGTGTTTAGATGTCCGAGCCAGATGTCCTTTCTTTTGCCTTTGTATCAATCCCCTATACCCGAAGCCACAGCCGCTCTGTCCTTTGAGGGTTGCTTGTGTGGATGAATGAGTTTGATTTTATGAACATTGTGCACAGAATGTGCACAGAGGCCAATGTGCTGTAAAACCTAGGACTCCAAAGGAAGGAGGTGCTTTCTCATTCTATGAGAAGCTCACATCGGGGTTGCTCTGCTCAAGCTTGTGCCTGGCGTTGTGGCGCGTCTTCTTCAGCTGCTCCATTACATATTCGTAGGTGCACATGGTGACTGTCGCAGCAGGCACAGCACGCATCATGTTGGTGCCCATGCCGGCGTAGAATGCTCGCCAGCCTTCCTCAAGAAAAATTGTGCGGACGGTCATGACGATACCCCTGTACCGACGGGGTTGCGGCTGCTGCTGGTTCAGAGCAGCAGGACTTGAGGCACCGTTATTGCCAGCACCCTGTGCCACGCCTCCTAGGTACTCGTGTCCCGGTGCTGGTCGGCGCTGTGTCTGCAGCCTTGTGCGGATCACCTCGTGTGGGTAGGTGGCACTGCTGGCCAGGATCTTGGAGAGGATGGAGGCTGAGAGGACACCAAACCAGTGTGCCTCACCGTCGCCCGCACCCTCGGGTGATCCTCCCATTCCCTGGCCAGTAAATCTCGTCTTGAGGTACTCATATGCAGGGAACTGCACTGCAACATGAGTTAGGCCAAGGAGTGCTGGGGTGAGGCCAGAATAGAAGGAAAGGATGCCCTCAGTGGTGTACATCTTGCGCGCAGCATCAAGAGTTGACCGATAGTGCCAGGGAGCATGTAATGTCGGCCGGGAAGTAGGTGTATTTGATCCCTTAGGGAAGACAGAAAACCGTGGTCGGCTATGATGGCCGGTTTGTGACATCAGCCTGGTCTTTATCACCCAGATGGGGTTGGTGACAATGGTGCTGCTGGCTCCTGCGATGATGGACGACCAGAAGTTGATCACGAATCTGTTTTCTATTTGGCCAAGTTAGCATTGCGTTTGGCAATGGGACTGCGCAGGCTTGGGTTGCAGGCACGCTAGCTTAGCAGGGGGGGGTGGATGCCTACCGTGATGTTGAGCCAGGACAACCTTGCTCTTGTTGTAGACGGTAAACCAGACAGCCCAGGTGGGCAGGTAACCCAATATTATCGGGCCCAGCCCCCGGTACATGCCACGCAGCCCCTCTTCTCTCCATATCACCCGTCCAGTTCCGAGCAAGCCTTCATACACCTTATGATGACCGACATGGCGCCCCTTCTGGATGGCAGCAAATCCTCCCTGGGCCTGAAGCTTTGTCTTGATAACATCCAGTGGGCAGGTGACGATACCCGAGGTGAAGCCACCAATTGCACCAGAGAGGGCATTGAACTGTGAGTCCGAGGCGCGTACTGCCCATCGTTCGAAGTGCGACAGCTGGTGGGGGTTCGACATGTTTGGGACCGGTACGGCGGGGGATGGGGCGCTGCTAGCTCTTATGGGTTCCCCTGTGGGATAATAGTAGGAGGGGGCAGAGGAAGGCAATGGCACAACATGTTCTGCATGTTCTGCTTGCAATGCTGTTGTGGTTGACCGTTCAGGGTCGGAGTGCTGGTCGTCGTGGGGCATGCCTCTTCCTCAACTTTTTGTCTTTCAAAAAAGTGACTCTGTCGCACGGGGTCTCTGGAGCAGGACAGAGACCCCGGTAGGCAGAGGGTCCGCTCTGCTCTCTGTCGACTGAAATTCTGGCTGGCTGGTGCTGTCCCTGGTCCTGGAGTCGAGGTCCTGGGGACAATGGGAATCGATTTCCTGACGTGCTGGGGGTGCGGGGAAAAGCTCCCTCGCCTGCAGCGACAAAGCGCCTATCACGCACGACAGGACATTGACCGCAGGTCGGATATTTGTCGAGTTTGGGAAACGGTAATCTTGTGGGGTTCTCGCCCTGTTCCTGTAAGCGGAGGAACGTTTCGGAGGAGTGTGGGCTTGAAATTGGTGAGTGGAAGTTGAGAGGAAGATTTTCGGAACTGGATATCAAGTCGGGGGTAGGTGCTTAGTGGATCGGCTAGAGTGACGAACTGGTGGACTACGCAAGATCAGGTACCCTGTCTAAGATGACGACCTATATTGGAATGAAACACCTGTCGTCGTTGTGGTTGCGTTCTCTTGTCTTGAAGTATTGAGGAACCTAGCACTACAGAAGATTACACTACTTACTATGGAGCTCTTGGTCGGGAATAGGAAAACTTTCACATTGCACCATACCTAAACTTTAGAATAGGTAGTTTCAACAGTCAGGAAATCCATACCTATTGTACGCAGTAGCGCTTGTCGGCGAGTCTGCCAGCCGATTACCTCATAGTTTAGATACCTAGGTACCTACCTGGGCCTCGGTGTCAGGGAAAGGGAAGCTTCACGTGATCAATCATTCCGACCACTCGGGTGCCTCGAAAATCAACCTCGACTGATTCCGGCGCGGCAATTTGCTTTGCACCTGTGTCGGACAACTCCAGCCCTCAGTCCCCCCAAAAGAAAACCACCACCACCAACATGTCTGCTCCCAGTTTTGCGCCCTTTGTCCTCAAGCGGCCGTGGCTGCGAAACATGCTGCGGCCCCTGGCCAATTGGTACGCCAATGCTGCCAGCTACCGCCAGATGGGCCTCCGGTAAGTTCCCATCCTCTTTTGCTTCCCCGGGGGCGCATACCATAGCCATTCGAGCGATGCAATTGAACCAGGCTGACCTTGTGGGCCCTTCCCTCTCCTCCTACAGAGCCGACGACCTCATCTCCGAGGAGAACGAGACCGTCGCCCTGGCCCTCAAGCGCCTCGGGCCCGAGGAGAACTATGACCGCGTCTTCCGCATCCGCCGTGCGGTGCAATGCTCCATCACCCACAAGCTGCTGCCCAAGTCGGAGTGGACGAAAGCCGAGGACGATAAGCCCTACCTGGGCCCCCTCATTGCACAGATCGAGGCCGAAGCGAAGGAGAGGAAGGACCTGGATGCCTTGACCGTCATCAAGAACCACTGAATGCCAATTCGCCCTATGCCTGCGGCATGGAGGCCTGGTACCCTCCCCCGGAGTGGGATACGGTGTTCCTGGCTCGATGTCGACGGGAACCAAGGAGCGCGAAATGCGAACTGTATGCTACGAGTTTAGATGGCTATGGGTGGGAAGTCGTTGGGGCGCCAGCAGCGTTACGAGGCAGGCGAAAACTTGTACACGAGTATAGACCACGGGTTTGTTCTAGGAATTTAGACGATCCACTCGCCTAACAAAGCCCTTTGCCTCCCTTGTCTAGGTAACCATCTCTTTGAAGGGTTGCTTAGCATCGACTATGTGAAGCCAACCTAGAAGTGGCTCTTAGACGAAGCTTGGTCGTTTGTCAGAAGGCCATTCACGTCCTTTGCTCTTTCCGTACCCGTGATCTCTGACATATTGTATGGTTTCCAGAATATACAGGCTAGCCCAAGGGTCTATACGAACAACAGTATATATTACGCTTAGCCATCTGTCATTTCCTTTGCCCCGAAATTCTGTTCACAAGATTCCCCTATCACCTTCAGACCACCAGGTCTGCTGAACTCTAGCACCAACTTAGTCCGGTGGGTGATGTATGTAAAGTAGAAGCACGCTAACCTCCCGCATTAGGCAACCAAACTCTATGTTAGTTACTGGCAAAAAAAACATCATTCTCCCTCCAGATCGCTCTGCTCGGGAAGCAGCGCCGTAGCCCTCCCTATCCTCTCAAATTAGAGATTCGCCGACAAGGCTAGGGGGGTCGCAAACGCTGTCTGTGTTGACAGAGATGCTTTCAATGGTAAGAGAAGATTAGAAAAAGAAAGATGAAAAAAAAAAAAAAAAAGATAGAAAAAGGAACCCCGTCCTGTTTCCCCTTCCCAAAACGCCGGTTAAGCTGGCGAAACCAAAGGTGGTGTGGCTGGTTGTATCGTGGGTTTTCATGCGGAGCGTTGCGATTCTAGCCGCGCAGCGAGGCTCGACTCTTCGCAAGTCTAGGTAGGTAGTTGAAAAGACGGCTGGCCGAAAGCCAGGAGTCGGTGGCGGAAACATGGGGTTCTTATAGGTTGCCGCCCTTTTCTTCCGTATCGATATGCCATACGACATAATTCGGAAGGCCGTAGACCTCGTAACCCGCTCTCTTGGCCATCTTTGCAAATCCCTCGGTCTCTGCTTGGTTTTCGAAGGCATAGCATGGGAAGTTGATTCCTGGGGGGAAATGTCAATTCCCGTCTTGGGAGTGGCGAGTGAGCAAAACGTACCTGATCTGTGGACATCCGCTTTTACGAGAATGTTCACACCGCCGATGCCGTCCAGCTCTATCTCTTCGTCCTGGTCCTTCCGCCAGTCGCCCATCTTGGCCATGTAATTCCGACCAGTGTCATACTGCTTATAACCTGGAGAAGTGAGTTAGCGAGCTTGTTCGTGGCTTGAGACTGAGGCCTAGGCCTGAAATGAAGGTGAACTAACCTTCGGCAAGGACAACGTCTTTGTCCAGGCTGGCCGCCAACTTCCGCCCCTTGTCAGATTCAACCCACGAGTTGTAATCGACTGCCCCTTTAGTTAGCTTGGCTCATCATCGCTCCCTGAGAGTGTTGTCAAACTCACATCGCCCCTCAATATCGCGGCCGTCCTTGTATCGGTGGAACCAAATGTCTTTGACACAATAGTTAGCTTACGATCTCTTCCAGAATTAGCAAAGGGATCCCATACTCGGCACCAGAATATCCCTATCGTGGGCAATGAATTCCTCCAGGATCTTCCGGGGGCTGTCCACAATGTCGACATCTCTCCAGTACACCCAAGAGTGGTCCGGTTTCAGTGCAGTTGACAGGAGATAGTTTCTCGCCTTGCCCATTGCCTTTCGACGCGGCCCTTGGGCTTCGAAACTGTGCCGGTCCTGGACGTCCTGACTGAGCTTGAAGCCAAAGTCCTTCTCAACAATCATGGCGCTGTGGAAGGGAATCTTGTCTGGGCGCTTCTGGATTCGATCGAGCTCGGCCGCGAGGACGACAAGGGTTTCATCAGTGGTGTCGCCCACGAGGAACGCGAGATCGATCAAATGGTGAGGGTAGGTCAGCTCTGCGATCAGCTCAAAATACTTGGAGAGATATCGCTCGGCATCTTTGAGTGGGGTGAGGATGAGGACTCGTTCTTCGTTCGCGACCGCCTTGGTCGTGGACTTGATAGGGTTGAGGTCGACGTGCTGAATGTCCGACGAGTTGACTTCTAAGGGGGCATGGTGGTTGAAGATTACGGGTGTCTTGTGGTGAGCGTTCCAGGACTGCTGATCATTGAGACTCATCTCCATTGGGGGTGTTGCCGGACCCCAACAGTAGAATCTAGGTTTGGGAAGACGAGAGGTTAGCTCCAGGGCGCGGCCGTCAAGGAAGGGGGACTCCAACTTTTGCATCTCGGAGGCAGAGGTGCTGATACCGCGCCATAGTAATATTACGGCGCCGGTGACTGCGACGAGAAGAAGAAAGCGGGTTTTGGTGAGGAAAGCCCATATTGCCCTTGTCGGGGGAAGCGTGGCTCTTGCAGCTTTCCAGTTGATGCCGCCTTTGGGAAGAAGCATCTCGAGCTCTTCGGGTGGCCCTTAGCACCACCCCGGACCATTCAATATGCAATTGCTCGGAGGAAGGCCCGGTCTGCTATCGGGCGCAACGGTCGGTGCTTAGGAGCGGCGTCCAACGCGAGAATTTTCGTATAAGAGCCGCTAAATAGTAAAGAATGATGTGACCTAGGAGCTTGCCCTGTACCTGAGGTTTGACCGGAAATACGCAACAAACCTCCTCGCCAGGCAATGAGGGAGTGGGAAAAGGAGCCGCCGTCGGTCGTTGATAACGTCGAGTGGATGCACGTATTCCGTTCCTGGAGATTGGTCGATGGAGTGGGAGCTGGGTGTTGAAGGATGGGTGAGAGATAGTGAAAATTACATAGTTTAAGGGGATGTCGCGGCCTATCAGAGGCCTTGTCAAGGGCCTGGAATACGAAGCGGCGGTTCCAGTCGCGCTGGCTTCTGGCTTTTGGCACGGGCAGGTGGATCCGCAGCATCCGCCTGCATAATTAGTGTAATACACCTCTCTGTAGGATCCGTAGCGTACAACTAAAGCTCCGCAGGGGCGAGATAAAATATCCCTATGTTTAACTTTCTTGGGAAGTAGTCGAGCTGGCGTCATCACTACTCGTCCTTTAGGCACCTACTTGCTGAAGGACTCGTCCTCCAGCGACCATGACCATTTGTCCAGTTCAGGAGGAACCCATCTGATGTAATCCATAATCCATATCACGCTGCATAGCCATCTGCATAGCCCTAGTGTAGTACTCTGAATGCACACACCTTTTGCGACCCCCGTTTTTAGCCAAATTGGATTCTCAATTTTAAACCAGCAATTCTTCAATTCTTGGCAACCTAGATCTTGTGTAAGTGCTTGGCGCGGCTATCTTCACGTGGCCGCCCGTGCCTTTGTGTCAATCCCACGGTCACTCCACGATTCCGCCTCCCATAGAAATAGGTAGGTCGGTAATTGATACAGCACGTTAACAAAAAGCAGATACATAATAGGCGACGCATTTTAAGATCTATTGAATTGTGTGAGGAAGAAATACGGATGTGCTTCGATGCCATCTGACAGATTTGACCAAAACAGGAACGCACAAGACCCGGCATGCTTTTATTCCAATACTACTTAGGATATATGCCACAGTACTATGTAAGTCTATGTAAGTCGGGTCAGTGTTTTCCAGGTTGGCTACAGTAGCAGCAGCGCATTCGAATTGCTTGTTTCTCAAGACGAGTCTACCCACGCAGGTAGATATGGCAGGGGTCGAAGTTAAATGGCTCTACTAGATCATGTGACTTGGCGACGGAGTCGCATTGCTCCGCGGGATGACATGCCGAAATGCGCGTTTCAACTTAAGGCCCCTCTTACATAGTAGATAGTTTTCCCCTTCTTCTCCAGACATTTCTGTCTCTCAGCCTTGCGAGCCCACTTTGCAATATTATGTTGGTTATAACCTAGAGCACGCTATATTCCTCAAGCTCGTCCAATTGTCCAAATTGAAGTTGCCACTTTGTTGCAAACCACCTACTTGTTCGATGAATTGAGTCCTCTAATAGTGGGATTCTGGACGAGCGATCATCGCGATCTCTTGCTACACTCTTGCTTGCTTACCAACGTATCTCTTCTCTCTGTACGTCATTCTCTCTTTCAAGAGCCGGAGACCCGATACCTACCACCCCCGATCGGATAGATCTCTCATCAACCGGTATCAACTACGTTATGGCGGCTCGGAGGTCAGCTCGCTTGGGTGCTTTGGCCGCAAATACGAATGTGGCCAAATCCATGGCGCCACCGGCACCTATATCGCGACCTCGCAAAAGAAAGATAGGAGTGGAGGAGATCGTCCCAGCCGACGGAGATGCCGGCTTGGCGTCCGCACCCTCAACCCCCCAGAAGCGGCGAGCAAAGAAAGACACCGCCCCTCCACCAGCGACCCCAACCCCTAGTGTAGTTGGCCTCATGGGCGAGAGCGCCGGCAGCATGACTCCGTCTCGAAAGCCCAGGCCATCGGCAGTGAACCGTCTGGCTGATCCTACCTTGACCAACGCGGTTCTCCTATCTCCAGAGACGTCGCGCGTGGTGGCATCGAAGACGGCCGAGCCGATCTCCCCCTCAAAAGTCGACTCCGCAGGGGCCACAACAACAGCCACCATCCTCGAGCAGGCCTGCGCCCACATCATCAAGATCGACGCGCGCATGAAGCCGCTGATCGACGCGCACCACTGCCGCATCTTCAGCCCCGAAGGCCTGGCCGAGCAGATCGACCCCTTCGAGAGCCTCGCCAGCGGCATCATAAGCCAGCAGGTCAGCGGCGCGGCGGCCAAGGCCATCAAGGGCCGCTTCGTGGCGCTGTTCGCCGACGACGACGGCGCCCCGGCGGCGCAGGGCACCCACCGCTTCCCCCACCCGTCGCAGGTGGCGGCGACGTCGCTCGAGCGGCTGCGCACAGCGGGGCTTTCGCAGCGGAAGGCGGAGTACCTCGTGGGGCTGGCGGAGAAGTTCACGGCCGGGGAGCTCTCGGCGCATATGCTCGCGGATGCGCCGTATGAGGAGATTGTGGAGAAGCTGACGGCGGTGCGGGGCCTGGGCCGCTGGAGCGTCGAGATGTTTGCGTGCTTCGGGCTGAAGCGCATGGACGTCTTCTCGCTTGGCGACCTGGGGGTACAGAGGGGCATGGCAGCGTTCGTCGGGCGGGACGTGGCCAAGCTGAAGGGCAAGGGGGGCAAGTGGAAGTACATGGGCGAGAAGGAGATGGTGGAGATTAGCGAACGGTTTAGGCCGTATAGGAGCCTGTTCATGTGGTATATGTGGAGGGTCGAGGAGACTGATATCAGCACGATGGAGTGACCGTCATGATTTGTTCGTTGCCATGTGTGGGGTGAGAAGCAAGGGTTCGAACTGGGGAGCCGAAGAAGCCTCTTTGGTCACCTCCGGGCTCTGTGTGCCTCGCGATGTACGGCCGGGTCAGACGCAAAAGACGACCTCGAGGCTCGTGGCCACAATGGGAATCGACAGGCCTTGCGCTGGTTGCGTTATCGTCAATGAAGAACATCGGGACACGGGAACAGAAACTCGTCAGCTGCCTTCTCTGATTGCCGAAACAAGATATGGTTCCGTGGCCATTGTTGATTTATCTATCTCTGGATTGTATTCATGTCTGGTTCCTCCCATCCTGGTTGGTGAGAATTGCATCTCGGCATGTGCGTCTGGTATAATAATACTTAAGTTTATTACTCCTCAACTCTGCCGTTTCTTTGCAGAACGCGTCGCGGGAGACTGTGCTGGAAATCACTTCCTTATTTATCTTGGGTCGTAGGTACATACATACGGTACCTACGTAATCAGGCAGCTAGCATGCGCTGTATGCGCTGTACCTAGCTGTTGGCAAAATTGTTTGGATACCTGACTTTCAGGCACGGCCAGATGCGATCTTCAGGCGGGATCCGGGCTGTGGAGCGGACCATGCATGATATTTAGCCTCACACCCTCAGGACAGTCCCGGGACGGTTCTGCTTGATGAGATCATGAATGCGCGGACCCGATCACAAGCGGGGGCGGTCGTCTCACGAAAACGGGTCCCATTGGGACGGTAACCTCAAGCAGGCTTTTCCCCCTCGACCCAGGGGCGCCTCGGAGGCATGGGCAGTTCTGAAAATCGTCTCAACCAAACCAGGCCCGCGATCTCCGAAACAGGGTTACGGTCAGTCCCATGCCAAGCTTCGCGGGTTTGATGTCTGCCGGAGGATAAGACGAGGTTAAATGGGCGTCGACGGTGTTGTTATAGTAGGCTAAACTATTCCGCATCAAACACAGAAACACGCCCAGCAGAAACACGCCCCATGAGGCGCAGCAGCTTACGAGTTCCAGGCGTTTCTGGAATTTCCTTTTCGGATACCGTGTCTTGTCGTAATCCGTGCAGAAGATCATCTATAGCGCCACTGAAGGTGTGGGATGTGAAATCTCTGGTTTGGATCCCTTGGATGTTTGACATTGACAGATTTCGCAGGAACCCGCAACCAACGATGCGGATGGTGTACTATGTAAACAAGCATGCATCCAGGTGTCTGTCCCGCAGCAAGGATCCATGGATGCTTCATGGACCTGCACATACTACGTTCATACCCATGCAAGGTATCCAGAGGTGCATCCCAAAAAGCGATCACCAGGAGTTAGCGAAACATAAATTTTGGGTTCACATGGGGGCGGGGGATGGAGTGACGACAGCATGTTCCGCGGATTGGCCAATCTGGGCCAGAAGCTACGAACAAGTGCCTGACCTGGTGTCCTGGTCTGATCACCACACTAGCTAGGATAGGTAAGTCCTCAGCAATACGGATGCTCGACTTCGTGTTCTGGGCGTTCTATCCCAAACGGGCGTCCGCTCTGGAAAGCTGCAAATGCACAGGAAAAAGGTACCTAATTGTCGGGGACGGATACTACGTGTGTAGGACAGACGAGGGTAGCCTGAAACATCGGGTCTCAACGCAACGACTATCGATTGACGTTTCTGATTCTCCCTCTAGGGTTTAAGTGACGAGAGAAGCTCCTCGGACCTGCAGAATACCTTCTGCACAGGACGTCGTTGGTCCGGCACGCAGTAATTACACCATGTACTCGCCGCTTGTTCCGGCGGAGAAATTCCAAGACGATAATACCTAGTTAGGTACGGATAGTTGTAGGAAAGAGTCAAGAGATTGGTCTGGAGTGTGATCCGAGATTGCGATTCCCTGCCTAGCAAGCCTCCCGCCGCCAACTCGGCTGTGGCAAGGATTGCCATGCATGGGCTTGGAGGCCCAGTGAAGCACTAGGTACACCTGGGAGTACGTCTACGGAGTCAGTCATCAAGCCATGCCGCCCTTGACTGAGTGCCATTCCAATACAGCCTCCAAAAACTATAGGTAGCCCTCAGCTGTGGCCTCCTGGGCACCTAAGGCAAGTTCCGGAGCAGAGCAGTAGCGTTCTCTTAGTCGGATATCAGGGACTTCCGTCCGTGGCAAAAACCTGACCAGGCACGAGGCAGAGCCGAACTATTCATGTGCCAACATCCTGCCAACTTTTTTCGCAACAAGAAACGGTACCTAAGTGGTGTGGAGCCTCGGCAGGAAGCTATGGATGCCAATCAGGGGGAAGAGGGAGGGGGTGTGGCAATAGGCCAGGTTCACCAGGATTAACAGCCCTTGGCTTGATATTAGCTTGAATTGCCCCTTCCTCGCTGTTGCTCTTTCCATTTTCCTCGGACTATTCCTCAAGCCACACCACCATCGAGTTTGTTTGACATTTTCTTCCTTTTCGATTTGATTCAATTCATTCGTTACCTACCGTCTTCTCATCCTGCAGTGTTCTCAGGAAAGAAGTGTCGAGAAACCCGCCCCCATTAATATCCTTCCCCTTGTCAACAAACCCAAATCGTCACGTCGTTATCCGCGAAGAGAAAGAGAAAATAAGCAACAATCGCCAACCGTTGCCGTTTTCCGCAAGGCAGTTTCCTTGCTAGGCATTTCCATTAGATCCTAAACAACACAGAAGGTACGTTGGTGGTATTTTCTACTCGCTCACCCTCTTGATTCGGCGCATTCGGGCAGTGGCAGGTGCGCAGCAGCCAGCTTTGGAATGGGCATGGGCGGCATGCCAACCGGTCTGGGGCCGCCGAGCTCCCCAAGTTGTCGTGGAGACGGAATGACAGTAGCTACCGACACCAAGCAACCAACTGGCCCGCTCTCATCTCACCATTCCGGCCACATTATCCTCACGTCGTCCTTTCTTGCACCGCCAGTCTGCAGCTTGAAAACTACATGATTTTACCCCGGACTCCCTCAGTTGAACAGGACTTCTACATTGCTCCGTCTATTAACCCTCTCTGCCTGGACACCTGCCACTGCCACTGACCCCCACTACAATCAATTGGTAACTCGTTCGCAAGTTACGTCTTGCTAACCACCTGGCAGCTCCTCCAGAATGATTGCCAAATATTTTCTTCCGGCTGTCGCCGTCATCGGCTCTGCCGCTGGTAAGTCAATCCTGCGGGGACCCATTTGCTCGAGCTTCCAACCGTAACTTCAGTCTGACCTGATATCTTTACAGCCCAAAACCAATGCACGAAGGCCACGGCCACCATCGCTTCCCAGGCGGAGGCTACGCAGCTGTCGGAATGCAGTACCTTTAAGGGATCCATCCTGCTGAACACGGCGGCCCCAGGAGACATCGATATCTCGGGCATCCAGAGAATCACCGGCGATCTTATCTGCGAGAACAACGGTGCAATTACCAGCCTCCAGAGCACGTCTCTCACGTCCATCGATGGTGCCTTCACGTTGACCAACCTGACTCTCTTGTCCAACCTCGGGTTCCAGGCCTTGAACAGCGTCGGCAGCATCGGCTGGAGGTCGCTTCCTGCCCTTGGCCAGCTCAACTTTGGAGATGTTGGCGTCACCACGGCCAAGACGGTCGAGATCAGCGACACTTTCCTGAGCACCTTGGACGGTATTGACCTCCGAACCGTTGAGACCCTGAACATCAACAACAACAACCGCTTGACCGAGTTCACCAGCCAGCTCGGCAACCTGAGCAACATCCTCAACATCCAGGCCAATGGACGTTTTCTGAAGGTTAACCTGCCGAACCTGATCTGGATCGCCAACATGACTATTGCCAACGTCTCGAGCTTCGAGGTGCCATCGCTGCAGGTCGTCAACGGCTCTGCGCGGTTCGACTCGAACTTTTTCAGTTCGTTCTTTGCTCCTAACCTGACGGCGACGAAGTCTGGAGACGTCTCGTTCGTTGGCAATGCCAACCTGACCAACATCACGGCCCCGGTCATGACCTCGATTGGTGGTGGTCTCCTGATTGCTAACAACACTGCCCTGTCGCGCATCGACGGCTTCCCGAAGGTCAAGACCATCTTCGGCGCGGTCAAACTTAGGGGCAACTTCACATCGTAAGTTATTGCTGAGCGGGCATCGTATATGTTTTGTGATGCACTTGCTAATGGACTACAGTGTCGACTTCCCTGCGCTCAACGATGTCCGTGGTGCCTTCGATGTGTCCAGCACCAGTGATATCGACAAGTCTTGCGACAACTTCAAGACCCTTGCTCCTAGCAAGCAGGGTGGCGGCGGCCAGATCCAGGGTACGTTCTCGTGCACTAGCAACAATGAGAACGCCAACGAAGACACGGGCCGCAACACGACTGGTGGTGGCCGCGGTAAGGGCAATGGTGACGGGAACGCAGCCGCTGGCCTCGGCATCAACACTGCCATCCTTAGCCTGGCCATGGTTGGTGGTCTCGTTGCCCTGTTGTAAGGGATGCCATACCAGGCCTGTGCTGGGTCGCATGCGATAAAGTCAATGGAAACCCGAGGGGCAGACTTCCCTCCACTGCCATCGCCGTACACAGATGCACTATCACGTCGTTCCCTTTTATTTTCCCCCGGGTTGAAGAGTTCGCCTAGACTGCTACTATCGTTCTTTCCAAGCTGCTACATGTCATGTGGAAAACTATGGAGGCATTCTTCCCACAAGTTTCGCTAGGCTTAATATCTCACTCCCCCCACCTCTTCCCTTTCTGTTAAACTTGGTCGTCGATAGCATATGGTGGTGACAACTGTCGGAACCCAGGGACCACGGAGAGGGTGTACGCATTCGAACATCCAGGACACTACCGTCCATACGTCAGGTCCAAAATTGGTTGGCTGGCTTCGGATGATGGTGTTGGCTTTTGTCTTTATTTATGGAGGGTTGGACCAAGGGGAACTGTGTTTCGGTATCTTTTTTTTTCCTCAACGTGGTTGTAATGCGCTGGACTAGAAACGTTCATTGGACGGGCCCAATTTTGGGCCCTTTGTATTCCGCAGTCTAGTCTCGAGAACAAAAAATAATATCTTGCCCACTCGGTGTGTATTTCATTTTTTTTTTATGATACGCAGCCAAAAAGCTTCCCAGGCACCGCCGCCTATACTCAGGTCATGCATACACCCTCTCACTTGTAGACGCCGTGCTCGAACTTGTCCGAGTCGTAGAACCTAGGCATGATAGTGTTGCCGTTGAAGATGCGGCCCTCGAGGGCATTTACGGCCTGAAAATAGGGGTTGATAATGTCAGCTAGCTCTCCCTCGACTCGCGACAGGTGCAGAATGGGAGGAGGATTGGAAGAGTTTGGCGGGTGCGGATGTTAAAAAGCTTCTTACCCTCAGCGCCGAGACCTGGTCTGTGAACTTGATGAAAACCTGCCTGTCCTCGACATCGATGAACAGCCTCTCGACGCGGCCGTACCTCTCGCCGCACTCCTCGCCAATCTCCTGCGCCAGGCCAGCCTCCATCTCGGCCATGAGGTCCGGCATGCCCTCCAGCATGTTCCGCAGGACGACGACCTCGCTCATGCGCCCGAACCCGCCGTCGGCCTCGTCTCCTTCTTCTTCTTCTTCCGCACCCCCGCGGCTCTCGCCATCCTTGTTCCCCTTCCCCTTCTTCTTGCTTTTGCTGTTACCCCCCCCTTCGATGATGCGACCCCGGCCCCCCGGCTCCGCGAACCCGCCCCCCTCGGCGTCGGGCCGTCGGCGCCGCTTCTCGACCTGGACGCGCAGCGCGGACGTGATGCCGGCCTCACCCGCGCCGAGACCCGAGCCCCGCGTCCAGCCGTACTTGGACATGAGCCGCTCCGCGAAGCCAGCTTGCCCGGGCCGCTTGGTCCGCTGCTCGACCTCGCCCTCGCCAGGCGGTGGCGGCGCGGCGGCGCCCAAGTCCATGGCCATGGCTGCGTCGTCGTCGGCTGCTGGAAGTTCGGGAGGGGGTGGAGGCTGCGGCGGCGGCTCGTATCGCACTGGGGCGCGCGAGATGACGGCGCCGTGGCTGGCGGCTGCGGGTGGTGGAGATGGTGGCGGTGGCGGCTGTGGAATGGAAGGGGCGGAAGCGTGGGGGGCTGGCGGCGTCGGCGAGGTCGGGAGAGGAGGCGCCGCGCCGGAGAGAGCAAGCCGGCGGGCGTACGCGTCGTCACCTGTTGGGTCGTCGTGCATGGGCGCGGCGGCTTCGCGTGGGGGTGACGCCGGGGGCGGCGGCGCGAAGGAGTAGGCTGGTGGAGGGGCGAATTGGTCTGCTTGTAGGTTTAGTGGACTGTTGTCAGATTGGGGACTGGTGGGAGAAGACGGTTGAAGATGGCAAACAGTAAAAATAACTCACTTGACATGGCCGGCCGCCTGTCCTCCTCGTCGCTCCCCATCTCGCTGTCGTAGCTCGGTTCTCTCCGTCTCCGGTGGGCATAGAGGACCGCCTTCCAGTCCTGTATCTCCCTTATACGCTCGTCGCTCCGCAGATATTCCTCGACGTTCGTCGGGCGAGCCGGGTCGTAGAGCTCGTCCCAGTCTGTCTCAATGGGCTGGTTGTCGAACTTCTTCTTTTTCCTTCGCCCGCCTCGCTGCCGCTTCTCGCCTGCCGCCGCGTTGTAGATGTACTCATCCTCCTCGATGGCAGCCCAGTCGGCGAGGGTGCTTTTCGGCTGCTGGGTCGGAGGGACAGTGGCCGGAGCGGCGGGAGTCGGTGCCGGCGCTGCACCTCTTACACCTGCCGGTAATGCCTTGGGAAATCCGGTCTTGGCCTTGGCCTGCTTGACTTGTGGCCGGCGAATGGGCTGGAAGCGGAGAGCTAGGAGAAGACGGTCAACATTGGGAACGCTGACAAGTGTATGGCAAGAGGAGCACCTGGATCCACAGGCTTCTTAGTTGCAGCATCATCCTTTGCCTCGTCCGATTGGCTGAAGAGTACGGGGGCGCGAGATATCGAAGTTGTCGCGTCGGCCTTCGGGTCTAGAAGGTTGGCATACAATGACATGCCGCCGCGCGGGGGAGCGGGGGGGCCTGCCATGATGGCTGCTTGATGATCTTGGCCCTCGGGTAAGGTTCACATGAAATCTGGGGATTCGAGGGTGTAAAGGAAGCTGGCCGGAAGTTAACGGGTAACTTTAGGGATGGTGGATGCAGCCTTGTTCGCGAGGCCGATGAAGAGTGCCCTTAGCTTAGACAGGTGGGATAAGGGGGGCCAAGATAAGAAAAACACTATAAAAATAAAATAAAACTACCTTACACCAAATATGATTATGAGTAAGAAACGCTGAATATTGGGTACTTTGCTCATCCCCTCCCCAAGTTTCCTCGGTTTGCCTTTTCATCGTCTTGTTTTCCCTCGCTTTACCCCTTACTTCTACGCTCTGAATCTCGATGGTACTTGAAAAGTAGGGTAATACGATTCTATTACCGAACCAAGGTGGCAAGATGTGCCGCCAGAGTCAATGTCCGTCGCAACTTCCCAAGGCTCTAGTCCGTAAAAACCCGCCCATGGTCAAGATGGCGCCTTGCAGATACCCGTTGACCCCTGTCCACGACCCACCTGGTGCCAGTCTCAAGTCGCTGGCGATCCGACATTGACAAAAGCTTTGACATGTGCATTTTATTTATTAAATATTAGCCGATTCTCGTCAAGTTCTCGTCGGAGTCACACTTGCCCATGTGCTTGCTCGCTCGCCCGCTCGCTTGTTTGCTATCTGTTTCCAATAGAACGACATAGACTATAGATGCTTTCGAGTCTGGAGCTAGCATCCGGTGATCAGTTCTGCTAATCATCGCCAGTCGATGATCCATGCATGCATAGCCATGGCTACCTTGCAAACAGCCATTCAGGGCGCTAGCAAAGCCGCCGCTGTCATAATTCCTTCGAGGCCAGATGCCCTGACGATCAGCTATGAGACCCTCCTGTCCGAGGTGGCATCCTTCCAGGCCAAGCTAGCCGCCATTGGCATCTGTCGGGGATCTGCCGTCTCCATTGCGACGGTCAACTCGTACGAATTCATCGTCTCCTTCCTGGCCACCTCTTGGCAACGGGGCATAGCTGCTCCGCTGAACCCGGCCTATAAGCAGGACGAGTTCGAGTTTTACATTGACGATGTCAAGTCGGCGATCGTCCTGGTTCCCAGGGGTGCCTTCCAGGCCGCCAGTCCTGCCGTGAAAGCTGCCAGGAGGTTCAATGCTGCGATTGCCGAGTGTTACTGGGACCATGACAAGGGGGAGGTTGCGCTTGATGTGAAGGACCTTGGCCAGCTCAATGGGAAAGCCAAGCAGCCCATCCTGAAGCCAGAGCCAGATGATGTCGCGCTGGTGCTGCATACAAGGTGAGTTGCCATATTCTACGCCTTGTTCAGACGCAATGTGACAACCTTGCTAACGTCGTCAAAGTGGGACAACATCGAGGCCGAAAGTGGTGCGTTTCTCAAGGCCTTGGTGATTCCTTCCTCAGGGTGATGCTAATTTCCTTCTAGGTCCCACTTTCGCATCGCAACTTGACCAGAACGATGAGTACGTGATGATCGACGGCGTTCTGCTTAGCTTTGCTGACGTTGAGTTCAGATAACATCCAAGCTACTTACCAACTCACAGCCAAGGATCGCACCATGCTTGTCATGCCGCTCTTCCATGTCCATGGGCTTCTGTGTGCGCTGCTTGCCACGTTGTACTCGGGGGGCTCCATGATTGTGCCTACCAAGTTCTCTGTGTCCGATTTCTGGAAGGATTTCATCACACACAAGGCCAACTGGTATACCGCCGTGCCGACGATACATCAGATTCTCCTCAAGAGCCCCCCGCCGAACCCGGCGCCATACATCCGCTTCATCAGATCATGCTCGTCCCCGCTTTCTCCCACTGTCTTCCATCAGCTAGAAGAGGCATTCAACGCCCCGGTCCTCGAGGCGTATGCCATGACGGAGGCTGCTCACCAGATGACGTCCAACCCACTGCCCCCCGGAAAGCGGAAGCCTGGCAGCGTCGGCATTGGCCAGGGAGTGGAAGTAGCCATCCTCGACGAGGACGGCAACGACGTCCCACAGGGCAAGGAAGGGGAGATTTGCATTCGCGGCGAGAACGTCACGAAGGGGTACCTCAACAACCCTTCGGCCAATGCCTCGGCCTTCACCAAGGGCGGCTTCTTCCGCACCGGAGACCAGGGCACCAAGGACGAGGACGGCTATATCATCATCACCGGCCGCATCAAGGAGCTGATCAACAAGGGCGGGGAGAAGATCTCCCCCATCGAGCTGGATAACGTGCTCACGACGCACGCAGCCGTGTCCGAGGCGGTGAGCTTCGCCATCCCCGACGAGTTGTACGGTCAGGACATTGGCGTTGCCATTGTCCTGAAGGCGGGAGCGAAGCTTGGACAGGACGACCTCAGGGGATGGATTGCGGAGAAGTTGGCCAAGTTCAAGGTTCCCAAGAAGGTAGGTCATATATATATGCCAGCAGAGGGACGGGTGCGTGTTTCTGGTGTGGACCATGCTGATCATCGCAGATCTATTTTACAGAAGTCATGCCGAAAACGGCAACGGGCAAGATCCAGCGTCGGATCGTGGCGGAGACGATGCAGAAACAGGACACGAAGGCGAAGTTGTAAAGTTGGCTCGGCATGGGTTGCCATCGGTAAGCCCTATACTGTCGATGCGGTATGGAATATCCAGTTTTCGTATATTCCAAACCGTGGGATCGTCAGAGCTTTGAAGTGCGATGTTGACATAGATGTGGGGTACTTCGGGACGGATATGAAAGGCTAGAGAGAGCCGGGGAAGAATAGAATATAGACTTCTCAATATCTTATTGCAAAGGGGAGAGTGTGTGTGTGTGTTTCAAATTCAGGGGTAGGAGCGAGTAAATAGACGTGTTGTTTAATATTTGATGCCGGTTATTGCTTTTTCTGGAGCAGATCAGCGCCCGATGCATGATACCGCAGTACATGCACGCTGAGCCGCACTACATGTCTCTGGCAGGGCGTTGTGGAACGGCTAACATACACATAGCACAAAGGAACCTCCCAGTCCCATTCCCTCTGTGCGGACACCGCCATTTCGCTGGCAGGGCGTATTTGAACCCAGGATAAGGTAAGGTTGTTGTCGCTTCCCAAGCCCAAGTGCTGGTCTGGGAATAATGGCCCCGCTCTCGGCCGATAAACATGCCGAAGCCCCCTCCTCCTTCCTCGCCCATCTCCAAGCTCCCCAACCAATATACTATACACAAAACCCCTCCATCACAGGCTCACAGACAACCCTCGCAGTCTCCCCATTAACATTCCTGACGGCGCATGGCCCTCCGTTTAACTACACTCCGTCTCCCGACCCATCCAATCTGGCCCACCGCCCTTGTTCCCCGCATCCTCCTCCCCCGCATCCCCGCACCGTCCAGGTTCCGAGCCATGTCGTCGTCCGCCGCCCCGGCAAGGAAGTACGAGTGGCTAGTCGTCGTGCCCGACCACCCGGGCATGCAGCAGAAGCGGATAGAAGTCAGGTCGTAAGCATTCAGAACCCCCGCCCCGGCTGTTTGGGTTGGGGGACCATGGTATCTGATCTGTCTTGTCTTGGGGGGTGTGATAGTCAGCACTTGACCAACATGAAGCCGTTCGTCGAGTCCGGGCAGTGGAAGATGGGGGGTATGTCATGTCTCTCCTCCATTCCACCCCTTCCGGGGCTAGGCCACGTCTGTCGTGCTGACTTTCCCTCGTCACCTTGCCAAAGGCGCCGTCCTCACCGAGGTTCCTGCGGACGATGAGCCTACCAGCCTGAAGTTTGCCGGCAGCACTGTGGTTGTGATCGCCGAGTCCAAGGAGGAGATCATCACCATGATGAAGAATGACATCTACGGGAAGACGGGTGTCTGGGATATTGAGAATGTAAGTTATGAGCAACGACAGCTTGGAAGAGCGTCGACTAACAGGTTGGTCGGTCTAGGCTCAGATGTGGCCGTTCAAGTGCGCATTCAGGAATCCGTAATGGGGCAAGGTGATTGATATCAAATCTCAGCGATATTAGGGGTCTTAGTAAAATAACCCCTCTAGATTGCAAGATTTTGCTCTGTTTCACCGTAGATAATAGACTCCAAAGCACACTCACCCAAGCAGTCCGAAAGCATGCTGATATAAACACAAGCCTGAACCCCCATCCAACCTAGATCGTACATGTATCGCGAGACGCCGGACCTCTTGGCGAACGGCTTCTCTGTACCAGAAGCCCCTGGTTATCCGGGATTCTTCAGGACTCATTGGGTCCTTGTTCCTCCACAGCAACCCTCAGCTCGTAATTAAGTTCAAAGCATTCGGCCAAGAGTTCACTAACACTACCCTGGCCTTCCGGGATGTCGTTTCCAACCATGAACTTCCCATCCATCCGCATATTATCGATGGAGTTCAGCTAGCGATGCTGGTCAGCACATCGCCGTGAAGCGAAGGGAGAAGAAGAAGCATGGCATACCTTCATACTGTACGGATACAAGTCCCTCGCCGAGCTAACGCCGCCTTGTTTTTTGACCTCGAGTAGACATCGCTTGAGTGTCTGTAGTTGATTGTAGATCGGGAGCAGGGCCTCCGAGACAGGTTCGGAAGATATCATGAGGTGGTAGATGTATCCATAGCTTCTCCTGGTCAGGTACAGGAGAGTCTAGTCCAGGTCGTTAGCAAGCATATCAAGATAGCACGGGGGGAAATCATGGCTCAGCTAACCCGTTGCACATAAAGCTCTGCCGGCCTGCCCTCGTCATCAAGCCAATTTCCGTCAACCCTGCTTTCGTCGATCCTGTCCAGTTGGCGTTGGAAATCGTATAGGTCGGCCTCTCGAAGCGACCATGCCGGGGTGATGGACAGCTTGTCGAGCTCATTCCGAATCCCAATCAGGACTTTGTAGATTGGCTGGAAAGGTTCGGGTATTTCCCCTTTCCTGTGAGATGGTCAGTATCGCTGCTGTGTAGAGCATGAATCACCAAGGGGGGCACCTGCCTCTCGAGCACTATCTCAGACCAGCGCAAACACCGCTGCAGGAGCTCCGATACCTCATCGCTCCCTCTTGCAGCATTGCCATCCGGCCCGAGAAACTTACCCTCCACCCTCGAATCGTCGATCTCCTTTAATTGATCTCGGTACTTCTCTACCTCGCTTGTGGAAAACTGTAATTCTCGTTAGCAAACGGTCACGGGGATATATGCATCGCCTGGTTTGTTTTGAAGTGCGCCAACCTTTGCTTTAGTGTTCGCCAGAGAGGTTGACCGCAGTATAGATATCATCTTCTCGTGGACGGCTGGCAGAGGATCGCCCAAGCTATCCAGCTTCCCCTGTAGGTTCGCGATAGACTCCTCGCAGAGCTGGATTCGATTCGAGAGTAGCTCAACAAGATATGGTGAGTGCTTCGAGTCCGTGTGCCTCACGATGGCTTCGATCTTCTCGAGCGTGCTAGACATGCTATCAAGGTCCTTGGCCGAGAATAGGGCCGCCTCGGTGAGATGATCGAGTAGTCGCTTGATGGTCGACGTAAGGGCATATGCTGCCGGTGCCTCGCTGGTGCGGCCAATAGTCATAAAGAACAGCGACAGGAGCTGGAAGCAGCCCTCGAGGACCTTGTCAACTGAGAAGGGGCAGTTAGTACACGGACCTCGGGAAAGCCGGATGCTTCGTTTCTTACCTCTGTTTTCCGTCTTGTCTTGTCCTTTCCTGAGTTCGTTGAGGAGCCGGACTTGCTCGATCGTTTGATTGTAGAGGACGAAGACATCTTGGCTGCGGATATAGTTTGCCCGATCTTGCTTTAACAGCAGAAGCCGGTCGCGGATGAGCGTGAGCTGCTCCAATATCTCCCTCTCCCCCGAATCCTTCGGCATCGGAATCATCGGCGTATCCATTGCGGGATGGGCGGCTTCTCAGCCGAGGACTTAATAAACAAGGTGTAAGAGCGGACAGCCAGGAAGATAAAGACGGGTCTGCAAAGTGGTGTTTAAGTTGGGAGAGCTTCCCTAGTTGGGAGTCTTATCTTGGGGCTATCAACTCAACCCCGCCCGAATCTAGTGTCAGCTCCCGCGTTAGTTGCTGATTATCGCCAGGTGATCACACCTTTGGATGCTGGGGCTGAAGCGGCCGCCGATTGACAAATATTTAAATGAATTTGCAAAGGAAGAATTCGAGGTCAGTCTGCCTTGTCCTGTTGCGGTTCCGGTCTTCTATTTCCCCAAGGCCTCGTTGAATGGCAGGCAGTGCATGTGCAGGAGGAGCCACGATACGTCAGTGGGGTCGGCTTGGTGGGGGAAGTGGAGACATAAGTTACGGGACAACAGTTACCTAATTGGCTGCTATTGGCCGCCCCCGGCAGCCAATAGGAGCTCCCTGGACAATTTATTATTCCTTTCCGAACCTTGTCCGGTCGACAGTTGCCGAAGTTGAGTTCGGCGGGCCGGCACCTGCTTCTTATTCGGCCAATTGTGGTAGGGCTTCGGTTCGCCCACACAAAATAATTTCTAAGACCGAATTTCACGTTCACGACATCTTGAATTCGCAACACCACTCGAGTGCAGGTTTCCGATCGATCGCCCTCAACTGCACAACCACAGATATTCAAGATGTCTAACGCTGAGCTCGCAACGTCGTACGCGGCACTCATCCTCGCCGATGATGGCGTAGAGATTACGGTACGAAAATGCATCTTCCCCTCTCCTCCCCGCCTCTTGCACGGAGGAGATGGCGGCGGGTTTGACATTTTCGGTTGAACTCCTTTAGCTAATTGACCATGCGAAACCAGGCCGACAAGCTGCAAACCCTCATCAAGGCTGCCAACGTTCCCGAAGTCGAGCCCATCTGGGCCTCGCTATTCGCCAAGGTACGAGGTTGACGAACAGGATTGCGAGACCGGCAACCCCCCGCCCCTAAAGGACAATGTGACTGACTGGGAGTTCTTCCGGCACCACAGGCACTCGAGGGCAAGGACGTGAAGGACCTTCTCTCCAACGTCGGATCCGGCGGTGGCGCTGCCGCTCCCGCAGCCGGCGCTGCTGCCTCTGGTGGCGCGGCCGCCGCTGAGGAGACAAAGGCGGAGGAGAAGGTTGAGGGTCAGTTATTTCCCCTCTCCCACCGACGGCCATACCAGGCTTGGCCGCCACCCGCTGGCCCAGAAAACGTGCTAACCCGAATGATTGCTACAGAGAAGGAGGAGTCAGACGAGGACATGGGTTTCGGTCTCTTCGACTAGAGTGGCTTTCGGCGTCGACTCCTTTTCCATTTGTACTTCAAAAGCTTGCATGGATGGCGACGGGTTGTCTTACACTGGACCACGCGGGATGGAGGCTATGATATCTGGATGCCTGGGCCGCGGAGTAGCCTTTTCATGGAATAATATGAAGATGCGCTCTTGAAGCACCAGTCCGGTTCCTCGAGTCGGGCCGCTTGTGATGACGAAACGACATCCAACAAATTATTGGGACATTGGAGAAGTCGGGGTTTTCTAACTGACAGACCTACCCGACCGGTGGAGGTACTACCGTTTATCACCGTCGGGGACTGATGTGCGTGTCGTTTCTCGACGAGCGTCGGAGTCCGTGTCTGCCGTAGCAGTATGAATGCATCCATGTTAAATCATCTTGCTGATGAGTGGGCCGAGGAAATGCCACTGTACTCTCTCGGGCAACTCCCATCTATGCGCCGTCGGACCATATCTCGCCTTGCAAATTTGGATTAGGGATCCGGTTTGCATGGACTACTATGTAGGAGGTCGTCGTAGGTTCCCTGCCAAAACCTATACTTGGATACAAGTACGTCGAGCCCATTCGACGTTGTTCAAGGGGGATAATACGTTGTAAGAGACAACACCCAGGCTACCTAGAAACCACGACTCTTGTTGGCTGATCAATGTGTGCTCTCGATTTGGTATGCTATCCACCGACTAGGAGAATTTCCAGGAGTAGCTGGCCCAATATTCCGCAGCATCAATGCCATGATGCCCTACGACCCATGTCCTACCCACTACTTCACAATCAGGACTGCGCTGGGCACAAAGCCAGCCTCCTTCAGGGTCTTTCCAAAATCGACGCTTCCCTCATATGTCTTCGTCGGGAATGTTGTGGTGAAGCTCGTTGCGGTGATTCCATCCTCTGCTTGCAGCGCCTGGGCAACCTCGAAGAGGGTGGTATCGGCAGAGTATGTCTTCTGGACATTTCCAGCCGAGGTTTGCAGTCGTAGGCGCGCCTCGCTGTGGTTAACTGCCGGTCTTGACGCTGCCGGAGCTGCCGGAGGTGGTGCAGCCTCAACCGGGGGGGCTCGACCTTCCCGTGCGGCCTTGGCCTCCTCAGCCTTGCGGCGGCGCTCCTGCTTGTCGGCTTCAATCTTGGCCTTGATCCGCTTCTTTGCATCGAGGTCGTCCTGTTTCTCTTGCCGCTTCTTGGCAGCTTCCTTGATTTGCTCCTTGCGCTCAAGGTCCTCCTTCAAGTCTTGGGTCTCCTTGGTAGATTTCATACGGATTTTCTGGTCGCATATTTAGACTGATGTCCCCAGAGGGGATTCATGCAGAGGGGATTCGAGGGGATTCATACCTCGTTGCGCTTAGCCTCGTCCCGGTCAAGGTCGGCTTGGCTGGCCTTCTTCTCCTGAAGGCGTAGACGCAGTTCTTCCAGTCTAGCTTTCTTCTCCTCTTCAGTCAAGGGGGCAACCTCGTCTGTTGACTCGGAAAAGTCGGTGTGCTCACTACCAACAGTGTTAGAATGGGGTTTAGGAGGCGTGGCCATATCAGCAGGAGCTGGTTCTTGAATCCTACGTTTTGGAGGCATGGAAGGAGGCTGCGGCATGGCTGCGGAACTTCTTGCCGCACTCGTTGCAGACGAGCGAGTTGGCATTTTCACCACCTTCCAAAGGTGAAACGGACGTCTCAACCCCCTCCTCAGCAGCTTTTGGTTTGGCTGCCTTCAACTCATCCAGCGGCTTGTCTTGGTTATCTTCTAACCAAGCGAGGGCTCCCTGGACTATGAACATGGTGAGTGAGAATCGCCGTCGGAGTGGAGGGAGATCGCTTACGTCCTCCAGTTCTCTTGACGGCCAGTTCAGCACGTTCTTGCTCGAACCCCATTTCGAGCAAGAGATCCAAGTCTGTTTGCGCCATGTTCACGAATGAGCTACCTTTGGCGGGGTGGCGGGGTGGCGGGGTGACGAGGAGGGAGGGAAACGGTATTCTGCGATAAGAACTGGAGAAAATGGCCTGGAGTAGATAGAGATAGATCTAAGCCAGAGCAAATAGGTACTTAGGTACCTAGGTCGTTCACTTTGAGGCCGATGATGTGAATAGATATGGAAACGGATAGGCTGTCTCCTTCGAGCACTACATCATTGGTAATGGCGGGAGGCAGCTGCCGTACAGGAACCCACCAGCCCAGAAAGTAGCTGTGATTGGGTGGTGGGGGTTCTGGCCATGTCAAACGAAAGCTACTGGGAGTTTGTTAATCCGACACCGCCATTCTCCTGAAGCGGCAGCCCGGTTCCAGTGCATTACAAATATTATTGGAGAATGAGGGTCGGGTGTTTCTCGGGTACCAACGTGGGACTGCAGAGTAAAGAGGTACGTATCCGGCTGAGTGAAGCTCTCGCGTTTGATTAGTCCCATCGAAGTGGAAGCCATCCCAAGTGACTACGTAGTGGGGATCTGCGGTGCTTCAGCACGGGCCAGCATGGTCAGTTGAAACTTGGCCTGGTCTGTCCATGCTCACTTGCACCCAGCGCGTGGTCTCTTTTTTTATGATTGATCTTGCCCTTCGACAAAACAGCAAATCTAGCCTCGCTCTGCCCATTACGTACCATTTCTGTAAACCAGGTCTCCTTTGGTCTCCCAACTGGGTTATCGATTTCCAGCCCCAAAGCGTCGTCACCCGTTGGCCCGCTGGTTTGTGTTTCGGCTTCTGTCCTACTTGCACCTGAACCATACCTAGCATCGAATAGAGAACGCCCACCATGTCCGTCGAGATCGAACCTGCGGAGCTCGAATTCCGCAGTATGTCCCTTTTCAAACCCGACGCGAACTTCTGGCAGCTGGCTGACATTAGGTGGAGGACCTTTCACGGTCGAGGTCGGGCAGATCCTCAAGATCAAGAACATAAACACTGCGCCCGTGGCTTTTAAGGTACCAAGCACTGACTCCCTCCTCGTATCTACTTACCTACTTACTCACCCGGCGCCAACCAGGTCAAAACAACTGCCCCGAAACAGTGCGACCCCATATTCAGAGGAGATGGGTGGTAGAAAAGGAAGCTCACCATGCTCTCAGGTACTGCGTGCGGCCAAACTCAGGCCGTGTTGAGCCTGGCCATGAGGTGGAAGTTACCGGTCCGTCACAGCCCGATCCATACCCCTTGGCCATCGCTGGGCTACCGAGAACGTGGGGGCTAATTGCTGCGCAGTCCTTCTACAAGCGATGAAGTCTGAGCCGGCTCTTGATGCAAGATGTCGGGACAAGTTTCTTGTCCAGTCTGTGGCTATCACCGGCGACAAGGAGTTCACAAACGTGCAACAGATCGTATGTTCCAAATGCCCCAGTTTGGCACAACGGTTCGATGCTGATACCATATTCTTGCACAGTGGGATACGGTTGAAAAGGGTGCTGTTCAGGAAAGGAAGATAAGGGTGACCTGGCTTCCTGCATTGGAGGAAGGACTTCAGGCTCCAGCGACGACCCCTCTCCGCCGTTCCCTGGCAAACGGGGTTTGTTCCCTTGGCCTCACCACCCTGGAAGAGGTGCAAATGTTGACTTTTGTTCTTTTAGGAGGCGACTCCCGATACTACACTGCCGGCTTACTCGTCCCCAAGCGAAAACAGCAACTATGCTGGCACTGCAGCTGCCGCCGTCGAGCCAGAGAAGCGGGAGGCTAAGGCAGGGGATGATCCGGCCCGATCCACAACTTCGGCAACGGCGATGGCGGCTGCGAACTCTGCCTCCGAGTTCGCGTCAGATGAGGATAAGATCCCGGCCGGTTCGGGCCATGCCACCAGCAATTTGAACCAGGACACCGGCGGTCTGAGACAGCGCAAGACGGCTGGCTCGTCGTCAGACCAACCGCATTCTCGACACACAGTGCCAGAGCTTACCCAGGCTGTCCGGCAGGGTACCGAGGGTGTGCCCATCCATATTGTAGCACTCTTGTGCTTGCTCAGCTTCTTGCTGGCCTATTTCTTCTTCTAGGAACCCCCAATGGGATACGAAACATAATTTGTTGCGTTGCGGCGGTACCCTGACTGTGCTGCTAGGATATGTTATTACATATTAGCAGGATAGGCCCCCTTTTTATGACGGATCCGAGATGGTTGATGGGGAGGGGGCCAAGCTGGGGAGTCGGACAAAGTGTGGATGCCACGACCATCCGGTGAGACGGCTTATGAAATATTGACTCTGCTCTCTTGACTCGTCTCAGGCTGGCAGTGTTTCTCTTGTATTTTAGCTAACTGTATGCTGCCACTGATAACCGAATACATTTTTCCTTTGTCGACTTATGTTTTCGTCTGGCCTTGCGTGTGATATCATGGGACTGTGTGCCTGCGTCAGAGAGCCTGAAGCATGCAGGGACTAGCGGACTTGGATAAAACGGAACGGACGGAACGGAGGGGAACGGTGTGAAACGAAACGAAACGAAACTTCCCAAACCCGGGCCAGCATTAGCAATATCGCTGGACATCCAACCTAACTTCCTCTGACGTTCTTCGAGCTCCAAGCTTCCTCTGTACGCAGTACTACAGAGTTATTGTACCCAGCCGGCAAATTCAGTTCAATCGGGTTGCTCTCCACCGAATTACCAGGGATAACCATTGATCGACAAAGGACAGGATAGATAGGGCAAGCCAGAGAGGTCGAGTTTGTAGGTAGTAGAATAGATGTCACTGAACTAGTCTCGAGAGGATCATGCGGCTGAGGAAAGAGGAATTTATGCCCACCAAGAGCATTTCGGATCTTGATCATATCAAGACCACAAGCCGGTCCCGGCTGGATAAGTAAGGTTACAAAGACTACCCCAAAGTCAAGAATCGAATATAAAGTCCGAAGATCCCATCCCATCGAAGAAATTAACCACACCAAAATCTCGTTTGTCTCATCAGAACTGGACCGAGAAGAAGCACTCTAACACGCCAACTCCTCGGAGCAGTCGCCCGCAAGAATGGAACCCCCCCCCCGAATATCGATCGTACTTTGTGGCCGTGAGCTATCTAGTAAGCGCCGAACTTGGGGAAGTCGGCTTCCCTCTTGGTCGACAGCTCCTTGCTACGCTCCTTCAGGGTAACCGTGACGGGCACTGTTCAACAGACGGGTCAGCCCACACTGTATCACACAGATTCGACGATGTGCCTTTCGGCAAGGCGAGGGAGGTCCTTACATGTCAAGTTGGTATTACGAGCAACGTTGCCGTTGGGGTTCGCCGTGTTGTTGCGGAACTGCCGATTCCAGAAGGGCAGCCTGGGCAGATTGGCATGGCCAGAATCTCGAGCATGCATGCGAGGGGTATGGGGGACGGTCGCGTTGGTATCGTTGAAATCCCTGCTGGTATATTTCCAGGTAGGCTCGGCTGGAGCCGCGACGGCGGCACCAACCAGGAGGAGGGAGAAGATCGTGAGCTTCATGGTGCTCAGAGTCACAAATCTTATTTGTTCAGGCCGCGAGTTCAAAGGAAACAGTAGTCCTCGAGGTGACAGAGTAGAGGTTGTTCTTATAGGCTCGGGAGCCAGGCCAGGGGCCTCCTCTTCCTCCTCCTCCCACCTTTTCTAGACGGTTCTTGCGAATATCAGCGACAGATGAGCGGTATCTATTCTTTCTTGGTTACGTTAATAATGTTATATTAGGTCTCAAAGTGGTCACTTCTCATGTTGGACACAACATTGGCACGGATAGCCACCATCACCGGGACTTGCAGATGTCAGGCGTTTCTCCTAGGAGACTTGCTGACCGTTCCTGGCTTGGCGGAACCTGAAAGTGGACAGTATCGTCTGGTGCCGGCGCAAAGACAGATGGACACAGAACAACCGGAAGCAGAACCAGGGCCAGACTGAGAAGGTTGCTGCAGCTATTCACCCACCCGCACGAGCCTCATTTACCGCTGTCCGTCCATGACGAAAGAGCGGCACGCCCTGCTGGTGTTTAAATGATAACGGGATGAATTGTCGGAACTATTGGCGCTTATCAAGGTGCTCTTTGAAAAGCCCGGTATTGCCGTAGCTGCGAGATAGGATGAGGTAGAGTTGGGCGGCAAAAACGTCGGCTCCCGACCAGGTTCGCTGTATAGCCAGCTTGGGCTATATTTCTGCCCGTTGCATGCCGAAGCCCTTGTCCCTGACGAGTGACCTCATATGCACCGGTTCGCGCCTCTCAAGATCTGGGAGCAAGCTTCATCAGACCATGCCCTCCTGTGGCGGGCTGGCGGGAAGCAGAGCTGTAAAGTAGGAACCGAGATGAGGCAAGTGGGAAAGATCCAAGTGCAATGCCGAGGCCTGTTCGGATGTGACTCTCCATCTGCCGTATACCTCCTCACAAGGTCATGGCGTGCTATGCTTTCAGAATGGGGGTGATATGATGAGAATTGGTGATATAAAAGTGCAAAAGCCAAGACAAGAGGGGATTTCACCCGATGCAAGATGAATGAAGACGCCCACCGTAACCGGCAAGGATCGACCAGGACGTGAAGGTGGGACTTCGAGCCTCAGAAGTCCAGCTTTAGCCAATATCGGTCTTGGCACTCAATTGTCAAGAAAGACGAATGAGCGGAGACTGTTAATCCAACTACCATATGGATTGCCGAGCACCCGAATGGTGGAAGAATGTGCAAATAATCGCCAGTTACCACTGCACGAGGCGCTATTCCTCTGGGGGTCCAGAACAAAAGCACATCCAAGATGGTGACATGGCCACCACTGGCGTGATATGTCAGACCGAGACGACGCGAGACGGAGATGCAGCAACACGGTGTTGAGCCTCCCTAGCACAGCGCCGATCACAAGAAGATCTCGAGCAGGTCTTGTAGCAGCAAAAGACGATAAGCACTTCGTATGTGGATAGAAATGAGGCCAACCCAGGTAACAGGAAACATTCTCAATTCCAAGCCGTTCCCGGCGGAGAGTTGTGCTCAGAGCCAATCGGTTCAAGGGGTTGGACAGGTACCGTAGAACGACGGATAAATCCCTTGCCTTCCCTCCACTGCCGTTGTCTGCCCGGTGAAAACCGGAAATGGATCTTCTAAGCAGCCGAGTATACTGCGTATATGTGTAAGTTGGCATCTGAGAGTCCCGAGCCAGGTTGCTTCCCCGTCAGCGTAGTTCAGGGTTAGGGTTCGCGCTCTAGCTGTAAATAGGTAGAGGCAGGATGGGCGAGGCCGGTACCGAGGCCCAGGTATGTTCCGTCTCAGGGCTGGTGTAGCCGTGGCTAAATTATAAGTGATAAGCGCAACGCTCAAAGTCATCCTCACTGCCAACCCGCAGGCGCACTCGCGACGGACATTCTAGGCAAGGGGCATCCATCCGGCAATTGGGTGGGGCCTGGCTTCCCATCCGCAGGGCTGGATGGTGAGAGCAAGGAGCCGTTGCCGTGAGACGGGATCGATGGAAGGTTCTGGTGAACGGGACTGAAGGGGAAAAAACGGGGGCGGAAGAGCTTGGCTTCGCTGCGTCCAGTCATCACGCCCTGCCTTTGCCCCCCTGCCGTTTGCTGGACCAGGTCCTTGGTGCTAATATTAAGAACCAAAGTGCTTCGTCATTCTAACAGATCCCTGTCCCTGTTGTTCTAGACACGCCATGACGAAATGCGCACGTTTCTGGCGGGGTTCCTGTCGTACCTGTCCTGACCGAGGATCTACTGTGGTATTAGGTAGGTTTCTTGATCAATTACATGGGAACTGTGGAAGGGCCAGTATCCTAATAGAAGCCATAGAGAATGGCTATCGAGACAAGGACAAGAAACTGGGATATAAAGAACCTATAGCGAGAGCGGATATCGAGGCCGCCCGTTGTTGAGATGACGGAACGGTGGTTACCACTGGGCGCTCCCTTTGGGCTTCCACAAGGAGGGGGCCAGCGAAAGCGGGGTCCTCCAGGGGGCGGCAGGAATCCGTAAGATGTACGTAAATCAGCTGGTTGGGTGAGAGCTCACCTGTCATTGTCATCCCCAAGACACCACCTCATTCATTTATGTCCTCGACTTCCGTGCTGATCTGGTCACGAGGCTATGGAAGGTCTTGCCTCTGATGGTTATGTCTGACTCCACGTGAGGTGATAGGGCGGTTGGTTTCTTGTTCAGTCAGCTCAACAGGTGACACTGGTACCAGCCATAACTGGGGATCACGACAAGAGCGCTATCGGCGGGAAAGTTCTATGCGGGTACGAGGCTGCCCGGTGAGGTAACATGGAAGTGTCCCCACGGGTGCCACTCATTATCCGTACCAGCTTCTGCCCTACGAGGGCGGGCGTGGCTGCATGTGCAGTACAGTACACTAGAGGCCCCCTCTCTGCCTTGGCCTGCCCAGAGAAGGAGGCTCTCTCAGCCCAGAGACTTGATTTTCCTGCCGTCTGCCTCCATGCGCCGATTGTTAGTACTGCGTAATGCGTCAGAGTAGCTTGTTCCCTGTTCCCAGATTTACTGCGAAGTTTCAAATCCTGCCCTGAGGCCCATCCAGGAGGCCACACTTAGCCCTCATCTGCCACCAACGGCGACGCAAAAAAGGGACTGGACCGATCCGTTGCTGCCACCCGCCATCCCAAAGGCCCACAGGCTAACAAATCACCGGGCCCAACGGTCAGTCAGGGTCGACCTTCAGCTCCAGGGCAAGACTCGTCAGCAAGGCAGCCCAGCCCGGCTTCCAGCGTTGCAACGACCTGTCACCCCTCTCACCCACATTCCCAGCCACTTTCCTTTTCATAAACCATCACATCAGCCTTTCCCCTCTTCTTCCCAACTACGCCCCAACTGTCTTAGAGAGCTGTGCGACGCCGGTTAAATACCATACCCTTCAAGGTGCCCTGGAATATTCAGACAAGCACGTTAACGATGCCCGAGGTCTACCGCGAGTCCCGCACCTACACGCGGGGGCGGGACGACCCCTCGTCAGACGACGATGATAATTACAAGGGCCCGACGGTGCGCCGCTACAAGGTGACGCCCAACCGGGTCGAACGAGTCGAGCGAGTTGAGCGCGACTTCGAGGTCGATGACGACCGCCGCAGTCGTTACAGCTCGAACCTCTACCCTGGCCGCACCAGTGGTGACCTACTCGACGTCGATCGCCGGTCGTCTTACGTCCCCGAACGGGCACGGTCCGCCATCGACTCCTCCCCGAGGGACGACTACTACAATCGCAATGACCGACCCAGAAACAGCTACGTGGAGAAGGAGACAAAGGTAATCGAACGGGAAGACCCGTACGCCGACCCTCGCTCGCGCACCGTCGTCGAGCGCCAGGTCATTGAGCGAGACCGCGATGACGACTTCCGGGATGATCGAGAACGCTCCCGGACCGTTGTTTATGAGAAATCCAAGGAGATCGACAGGGTCGAGCGAGGCGAGCCTTACTCACCCCGCGACTGGGATCGTCATTCCCGGATGCCGTGGGATCGCGGCGATGACAGAGAGACTGACGTCCGCATCGAGCGTCGTGTTGAGGAACGCCGAGAGGACGGCGGTCACCATGGGGGCGGCGAGGTCGAGCGCTATCGCAAAGAGACCGAGTACTACGAGCCTGCACCTATCGCTGCACCCATAGTCATCCGCCAGCGTGCCCCAGAACAGAAGATCATTGTCCAGGAGGCACCAGCGGCGCCGCCCATTGTTTTCCGCGAGACCCGACCCGAAACTCGGGAAGACGAATACTATTATCGTCGGGAATCCCGGGAGGTCGGTCCTTACCGAGGTGATCGCCGCGAGGAAGATTACGCCATGGAGCGTTACGAGCGCCGCCGCGGGGACCGTCGCGACAGGCATTACAGCGACGGCGAGGGCTCAGAGGACGACTATTACGTCAAGCGGACCGTCACCCGCCGCCGTGACCGCAGCGGCTCGGGCAGCCCCGATCATCACCACAAGCGCCACCTCGCTGAGGGCGCCCTGGCTGGCGCCGGAATCTCGGCCCTTCTCGCCTCCCGACGCGGCGGGAACGGTGAGCTGCCTGAGAACAGAGGGCGTAAGGTCATAGCCGGTGCTGCCCTCGGCGCTCTTGGCACCGAGGCCGTCAGGCGCGCCCGCAGCGCCTACCAGGAGAGGTTTGGCGACGACGGCCATGGCCGGTCTCGGTCTCGGTCTCGGTCTCGCCACTCGAGAATCAAGACTGGTTTGGGCATCGCAGCCGTGGCCCTGGCGGCTGCCGGTGCTGCCAAGTATTACCAATCTAATAAGATTGATAAGGAGGAAATGAGTCGTGGCAGGAGTCGGCGCCGGTATAGTAACGACTATAGCCGTACTCCCAGCCGGACTCCCAGCCGGAAGCGGTCCAAGAGTCGTGTCGCGTCTGTAGCCAAGGCCGCCGTCGGCACTGCAGCCGTGGCCGGGTTAGTCAAGCATTTCCGGGACAAGAGCAAGGGCCGCAACAACTCCAAATCTCGCTCGCGCTCGCGGCTCCGCACCGGGGCCGAAATCGTGGCAGCTGGCCTGGCGGGCGCTGCCGGGAAGAAGCTCTACGACCGCCACCACGAGAAGAAGGAGCGCGAACGCGAGCTCGACTCGGAGGAAGAATATGAAAGGGAGGAAGAGAGGCGCAACCGGCATCGCTCGCGCAGCAGATCGCTTTCCCGGTCCGCAAGATCCCCGTTCCCGGAGGCAAGCACTGCTGATCCTGAGCTAGGCATGGTTGAGTACGGGACCCAACCTCTGTATGTGGAACCGCCGTACCCCCAACACGGCCACGGTTCCGGCGCTGGAGGGGCGAGGGATTACGATTCTGCGGCGGAGGAGAGCCGGTCGCATCGTCGACATCGAAACGGCCATCATCGATCGCGATCCTCGGACAGCGAGTCCAGTGATAAGGAGGTGGACAGGAAGCGGAGCAGGAGCCGCTTGCGGAATGTGGCTGCGGGTGCTGCTGCTGCGGGAGCTGCAGCCATCGGCATTAAGAAATATAGAGATAATAAGAAGGCAAAGGCGAGGGACGACGACGAGGATGAGGAAGAAGATAGGAGGAGAAAAAGGACCAAGTCCAGCTCACGGTCCAGGTCGAGGTCAAGGTCACGACAGCGCGAGCAACGCGGGGACCTGGGCCGAGACCGAGACCACGGCAGGGGGGACAGGGAGAGGGAAAGGGAAAGGGAGCGCAGACGTAAGTGACTTGTTACTTACTCCGTACACTCGGATCCCGGAGTCCGGGACGTCACTAACAGGTTCCAAGGCTACGAGGACGAGACGTCCGCAGACGGGTACGACCCCTATGACATACGCCGTACGCCGTCGCCTCCTCATGCGTCAGGCGGTGCCTATTACCCTCCTCCCGGAGCCTCTGCAGCAATGCCAGCTACCCACGGCTTCACCCAACATCCCAACGCAGCGACTACCAATCTCGCTGAACCACCCTACCCGCTCTACACCCCCGACTACACCGGATACCCGCCTCCACCACCAGGCCCGCCGCCAAACTCCGCAGCTACCGCCAGCGGGTTCCCGCCGCCACCCACTGGGCCTGATCATGTGAGTGCAGATTCTTCTCGTAGTGGTCGTCCACAAGATGTACGCCCCAAGAACGAGAATCAGGGTGCGTCTGCTCGTTGAGCATGCCCAGGTGCTCTGTATCATCTTTCCCCTTCGACTACTACATCTAGGTGCCTAGCAAAGGCTGACGAAGCAAAACCAGATGGTGTAGATCATGTCTCTCGCAGCCGCCGCCTATCCTCCGACTCGAATTCCGGCCCCCCAACCCCAACCGCCACCAAGTCCGTTGCGTTTATTCCTCTATCGCCCCAGTCATCCCGCACATTAAGACAGCACCGGCTGGAACAAGAAGCCCACGAGACAGACAAGTCCGGCGGCGAGGAAGCACCAAACCCCAACAACGACCCTGCCTACCACCACCACCGCCGCCGGCTCTCAGACCCTTCCTCAAACCGACCACTCTTGACTCGCCGCAGGCCGCACAACTCCTCCTCGCCGGACTCGGACCCCGAGGAAGAAGACGTGATCGAGGTGCTGCCGGACCGCTTCGACTCGCAAGGCCGGCCGCTCGGCCGCCACGCCTGGGAGGCGAGGAAGGGGTGGCACTCGCGGCGCGGCGACTTCGTCTATAACCGCGGGCGGGACGGCGACGTGCGGGGCCTGTGGAGCGTCGCGGGCACGGACGGCGAGGCCGTGGACCGCATCGTCCGCGACCTCGTTGGCGCCGTGGGGGAGGAGGGGGGAGGCCGGGGCGGATGGCTCGGGCTCGTCGGGGGCTTGCTCGGCGCGGGGAGGGGATTGCTGGAGGGGCGGGATGGGACTGCCGCGAAGGGAAGGGATGATGATGGTCGGGAATCGAGAGCTCGTCGGGGATAGATGCGCTGTGACGGTGGAGAAAGGGGCGGGCGGGAGTGGCTTGGCTTGGATCACGATTCTTATGACCTATGCTTCTTTTTTTTGCTTTTTCTGCTTTTCTTTTCCTGTCGGTTCCGTATTCTACTCTGATGCAGCAATTGTTGGGGGTTGGGAAAGACATGCTAGTGCTTTCAGTGTGGCCTAGGAGTTATGATTACTTCTTTCATATTTCATTTTACCTAGAAGCAAGTGCTTTTGTTCCTATATCCAGTGGCGAAGCGAGTTATTCCCCTTTCAAGATATTGGAGGAAACCAGGAGACTAGGAGATGAGGAGACGCAATGCGTTCGACAACCACTTTATGAGCCATGATCTTGTTTCTTTTGCTTGAGTTGAGCGGCATATTAGCTAGTTCGGTATGACTGAGAGATGCTTCGTTAGTTGACTGACATGTATGTGGACGAACCGACCTTGCCAGAACAGCAGTTATAATCCTAAATACCTTGGACCGGCTTCAACACGTACGTAAATCAATACGCAAAAGAAGGTCGCCAAGAGAAAACTCGGTATATTGAACGACATATTTACGATACATGATTCCATTTGGTATCTCGGGACCCCACTCATAACTCCTGATGAACACGCTCCTCTCCCGAATCGGGGAGGTCCGGACGGCCGCTGTCCTTGTGCAGGTCGACGCCGGTCTTCCCTCGCCACTTCTGCCAGACGGACCAGAACTCCTTCTCCATGCCGCTCTCCATCTGGTCGGGGAGGACGACGACGTACTCGACGAAGAGGTTCCCGTACTCGGTCTCGTGGTAGACGCTGTCGCCGTCCTCGTGCCACTTGGGCATGCCCTCGCCGACGATTGTGTCCACGTGGCCCGGCTGCACGACCTCGCCGCGCTTGCGGCCGATGCGCACGACGTGCCCGTCCAGGTGCGTCAGGTTGCGCGACCAGTCGCCCATCCAGGCCTCGCGCAGCGAGATGACCTCCTTCCAGACGAGGTCGTCGCCGCGGCGGTGGAAGAAGGCGCCGTCGACGCGGTCCGGGTTGCCCTCCTCGAGGTGGGGCGCCTTCTCGGCCAGGATGACGAACAGGTCGCCGGCGACGTAGTCCGGGCTCGCGTCGGCCTCGTTCTCGTAGGCCACGCGCGCGTCGCGCGCCACGCCCCGCGGCACCGTCAGCTGCACGGGCGTGCTCTTACGGACGACGCGCTCGCCGCCGCAGGCGGGGCAGCGGTTCTTGATGGTCTTGCCGCGGCCCCCGCAGGCGTGGCACTGCGCCTGCGTCTGCTGGTACATGCCGGGGGCCAGCATGATCTTCTGCAGCAGGATGCCCCGCCCGGCGCAGGTGTGGCACGTCTCGACGTCGCCATCGGCGGAGCCGGTGCCTTCGCACTCCTCGCAGATGTGCTGCTTCTCCCAGTGGAACTCGGTCGTGGCCCCGTTATAGAAGTCCCGTAGCGCGATCTCGACCTTGAGCTCGGCGTTGGGGCCCCGCCGGTGGCCCGGGTGGCTGCCATAGTGGCCTTTTCCGCCGAAGAACCGGCTGAACAGGTCGAAGGGGTCGTGTGTGTGGAAGCCGCCGCCCTGTTGTCGTTGCTTGAGGCCCTCGTGCCCGTACTGATCGTAGATGCGCCGGGACTCGGGGTCGATGAGAGCTTCGTAGGCTTCGGAGACCTCGACAAACTTGGACTCCGCAGTGCTATCACCTCTGCAGTATCTGGTTAGGTTTGGGCGAAAGCTCAGCACGGGGCGGGGGCACTTACGGGTTCTTATCGGGGTGGTATTTCTTGCTGAGCTGCCTGTAGGCCGACTTTAACTCTTTGTCTGTCGCTTGTTTTCCTAAGCCGAGGACCTGTACGCCTGTAAGAAGTGTGCCCTGACCGAGAAGTAGACACGAGCATTGACACACCTTGTAATAGTCTTCGGCACATAGCACCAGATGCACCAGCGACAACAGGAGCAGCAGCGCCCCTCCACGGAGCAACATCTTGCGCCCCTCGCTGATTCCAGCGCCGAATGGGGAGATCTGTTCAAATACTTCGCAGAAATTCCCCCCGATCTGTAATAAACAGGATTCGACAAAAGAGTGACGAGAAGGAGAGATCTTGCCAGCTCCAGTGCGAGTCTTTGCCAGCTCAGAGTTATCTTTTGCGTGTCTAGAAGACAGGTCACTTATACCGGAGCTGAGAGCCCACTAGTGAAAATACCAGCGTGTTAAAGTGACGGAATTGGCCACTTGTGTTCCTCCCTTTTGTTCCCCAGAGGGCATTTGATTGGTCTGTTGGTCGATTGGCTTATCCAACGAGGCCCGTTGGAACGGTCCCACTTAAATTAAGGTACGATAGTACAAGCGCTTAAGAACATAACATTCTTGATAAGATATGCACATAACCGTTTTACAGCGGAAATTCTCCGGGACGGCGTATTACAGTAGTAGCCTCAGCCTGGTTCGAACGGCGCAACGAGGTCACCATCCATTTTTACAGGGCCGAGGAGCATCCTCTCCTTTTGGTACCGGTGGCTGCTTCGCCAACTAGCCCAGCATGTCGTCAACACAGCGGTTCGCGTTCGTCCCTATGGACGATGACGAACCAGCCGCGCCCGCCAAGCCCGAGAAGAAGAGACGCCGCTCACGCTCGAGATCCCCGCGCCGTAACAAACGGCATCGTGATGACTCTCCTCCCAGGCGCTCACGGTCGCGATCGCGGTCACCTCGTCTAAGCAAGCGAGACGAGACCAAGAAGGCCCCGGACCCGGCCGTCGACGATCTACGTCTCAAGTCTCGCTATGCATACTTGGCCAAGCGCGAGGCTGAGAAACTTGCGCTGCTCCGGAAGCAGGTAGCGGAGGAAACGGCCGAGTTACGTTCCGGGGTGCGGTTGTCGGAGAAGGAGAAGGCCGAGTTTGCCAAGAACCGTGAGATCCTCAGCTTGGCAGAGGAGCGGGCGCGGATCGACGACTACCAGGATGGCTACCGGCTGCCGGAAAACTACCTCACCGAAAGTGGCAAGCTCGACGGTAAAAAGAAGCACGATGCGCTGTACAGGCGGCATGTTGAAAAGGACGAGTTTGGCCAAGAGAAACATGTTACGGAGTACGAAGAGTGGGAAAGGGAGCAGGCCGACAAGGCAAGAAGCCAAATACAGAGGGCGGAGAGGGAGAATGAAGGGGAATATGACTTTCTGCTGGATGAAGATGCCATCACGTTTGTCCGGGATGCGGCAAAGTATGCACAGCAGCAGCAGCAGGATGGCTTGACCCAGGAACAGAGGGTGCTGAAAGTGCAAATCGATGCCGCAGAGCAGGCTCAAAGAACCATCCAGGAGGTCAGGAAGTCACTCCCGACGTATCAGTACCGCGAGCAGTTCCTAGCTGCTATCAAGGAATACCAAGTCCTCATCCTAGTGGGAGAAACGGGCAGTGGTAAAACGACACAAATACCGCAATATCTCCACGAAGCCGGCTACACAGAGGGCGGCCTGAAAGTCGCTTGTACGCAGCCGCGAAGAGTCGCAGCCATGAGCGTCGCTGCTCGTGTTGCGGACGAAATGGGGGTTAAGGTGGGCAACGAAGTCGGCTACTCGATCCGCTTCGAGGACTGCACGAGCGACAAGACGATACTCAAGTACATGACTGACGGAATGCTTCTTCGAGAATTCGTTACGTCCCCTGAGCTAGCCGGATATTCGGCCATCATGATTGACGAAGCTCACGAGCGGACAGTCCATACGGATATCCTCCTGGCTCTAGTCAAGGACTTGGCTCGGGGAAGACCCGAGATGAAGATCATCATCTCTTCAGCTACAATGGATGCACAGAAGTTCTCCGGATATTTCGACGACGCACCAATCTTCAACATTCCGGGACGAAAGTACCCTGTCGACATTTATTACACGCCGTCTCCTGAGGCGAACTACCTCGAGGCCGCGATAGTTACAGTCTTTCAGATCCACACAAGTCAGGGAGACGGAGACGTCCTAGTGTTCCTGACTGGTCAAGAAGAGATCGAGAGGGCAGCAGAGCGGATCACAGAAATCAGGCGGAAACTCGGCTCAAGGGTGCGAGAGTTGATCGTCGCGCCCATCTACGCAAACATGCCCTCGGAACTGCAAGCCAAGATTTTCGAGCCCACACCGGCAAAGGCCCGGAAGGTTGTCCTCGCGACCAACATCGCCGAAACCAGTGTGACAATCGATGGCATCGTCTACGTTGTCGATTCTGGGTACGTCAAAGAAAACGTATTCACTCCCACGGGTACCACGGGCATGTCCACGCTCTCGGTGGTTCCATGCTCGAGGGCGGCTGCCAACCAGAGGAGTGGCCGTGCAGGCCGTGTACAGCCCGGAAAGTGCTTTAGGTTATATACAAAGCATGCCTACTTAAGCGAGATGGACGATTCCACGACGCCCGAGATTCAGCGGACAAATCTCTGTTCGGTGGTTCTTCAGCTTAAAGCGCTCGGGATTGAGGATCTCTTGGGCTTCGACTTCCTTGATCCTCCGCCGACGGAACTACTCATCAAGTCCCTCAACCAGCTCTACGCGCTGCAGGCGCTCAACAGCAACGGCCAACTGACAAAGGCCGGCCGGCAGATGGCCGAGTTCCCTGCCGACCCGATGTTGGCCAAGGCCCTCATTGCTGCCACCCAGGAGGGCTGCGTCGAGGAAATGCTCACAGTCGTCTCGATCCTGGGCGAGGTGTCGACCCTGTTCTTCCGGCCCAAGGACAAGAAAGTCCACGCCGACAGCGCGCGCGCGCGCTTCACCGTCAAGGATGGCGGGGACCACCTCACGCTCCTGAACATCTACAACCAGTGGGTCGACAGCGACTACTCGCCCATCTGGTCCAAGGAGAACTTCCTGCAGCAGCGGTCCCTGACGCGCACCCGCGACATCCGGGACCAGCTGGCCAAGCTCTGCGACCGGGTGCTCGAGGGCACGTCGACGTGCGGCGGCATCTCGAACATGCAGCCGGTGCAGCGGGCCATCACGGCGGCCTTCTTCCTCAACGCGGCGCGCCTGCAGCGCAGCGGCGACGGGTACCGCACGCTCAAGACGAGCACCACCGTCTATGTGCACCCGTCGTCGGTGGTCAGGTCGTACGACCCGCCGCCGAAGATCATTATCTACCACGAGCTCGTCGTCACGAGCAAGGAGTACGTCCGGTCCGTCATACCCATCGACCCCAAGTGGCTGTCCGAGTTTGGGTCGCACTACTACGACAAGAAGGATGTTGAGGCCCTTGAGGTCAAGAAGATGCCCAAGCAGAGGACCTATTAGGGGGGAGGCGGGAGAGATATAAACTATTGTGGGTGTGTCGCCAGCTAGTTCTGGCCTCCATTCCCGAATTACCAACTGTTGACAAGCTCGACAAGCTTTGGCCCGGGTTGTTAGGGTACAGATAGTAAAGAGCTGATAGTAGTGATGGTCAATGTCCGGTTGCGCTTAAGGAGTATAACTGGTGATTTCAGGTGCTCAACACAAGGAAACAAAGCATATAACTAGGCTCTATTACGATGAGTCGGCGAGAACGCACGGCGGGTGCGAAATAGACTGAGATGAAGATGAGGGACTGAGGCACTTAGGCAGGCACATGTTCCCCTGGTAGGCGTTCAGAGGGAGAGGGCTTTAGGCTTGACACACAAACCAAAGTGAGAGGGTAGTGAGAGGGTAGTCAAAACTACATAGGTACTGAACCTCCCAATAAATCCGACCCGAGGAATATAGTTCCTAATTCCGTCGTGTCATATCGCCGCTACACCAGAGACGGAGTCCTGGTGTAGTTGGTAGCCCCGGCGGCGCATGCCCTCTCCCCTTCCCTCCCCTTCTGCCCCCTACGTTCAGACCGCGCCCGGTGGGAAGTAAAACCCCTGTTTTCGTAGCCGGTGACCCCTCGGGGCACCACCGGTGAGCTTTTTGCCTTTTTGCCTTTTTGTTGATTTTTGTACTGATCTATGCTTTTTTTGCTTTTTGTTTTTGTCTGAGTCTGGACGAGGTCGTGGAGTCGTGGCACATTTTGCCCACATCATATATATGTATACAGGTTTGGATATTGATTGGGCAATGGCGACGAGAAACTCAGTACATTTCACTTGCAAGGTTTTGCTACAGGGCCGATTCATTGGTGATCACCGATATTATTGACGTGTCTTCTTGGATTATATACAAAGACCAGAGATCTCGGTGCTTCCCTCCCTCTAGTTAACGGGGGTTGGTTAACCCCCGTCCCTGAATGCTCCCAGAACCGGAAAAGTCAAAAACGTCCAGTCCGCTTCCATGATAACCCCTTATCAATTAGAACTCTTCTTTGATGCAGAAACCAGCCCAAACGCCGAAACATGCCTTTTCCCCGAGTTCGTGTTTGTAGCACCTCCTATCACACGCACCCTTGGGTCTAAAAACAACGCCCCTACCACGATCCAACACCCCCCCAACAGGAAGAGAAGGTACGAAAGCAAGCACACCCAGGTCGCAGAAACGACGCGTCCTGATGATGCGTTCTCGCTAGCCCGTGGTTGCCATGAGATCAAAAAACCGGATGTCAAAACCAAAACGGGATGCTGCTATGGACAGCCGGGGGTTTACAGTTCCCGGTAGTCGCTGGGACGGACCCGTCGTTGCCGGTTCTGGTGCCTGTGCGGGTTCACGGGCTTGCGGAAGTAGGCGTCGTCGTCGGCGGCGGGCTGGTTGGCGAAGTTGCGGTGCCGCATCTGCATCTGCATGTGCATCTGCTGCTGCTGCTGATGCTGGTGCTGGTGCGGGTTCTGGTTGTGGTTCTGGTTGAAGCCGGCTTGGGGGTTCATGGCGCCCATTCCCCCGCCGCCGTTCATGTTGTTCATCATGTTCATGTTGCCTCCGCCCATGCCGCCGCTCATGTCTCCTCCCCACATGTTGTTGGTATTTGCGCCGCCGCCCATGGCGGGGGGGAATCCGCCGTTCATGTTGTTCATGTTGAAGCCTGGCATGCCGCCCATCATGGGGTTCATCATGGGGTTCATCATGCCCATATTCATGTTGTTCATGCCCATGGCGCCGAAGCCGTTGGCCATCGGCATGGCGCCGAACGGCATCATGGGCATGTTGGGCATGTTGGGCATGTTGGGCATGTTGGGCATGTTGGGCATGTTGGGCATGTTCGGCATCCCGTTCATGCCGTTGACGGGCATTCCGTTCATCATCTGCATCATGGCCTGCTGCTGCTGGGCTTCTTGCGCCTTCTGCATTGCTTTTGGTGCTTTAGGGATCTTGGGGTTCTCCACCAAGTCGTCCGCAGGTCGCTTCTTCGGGTTCGAGTCGAGAATTGCGGGTGTTGATGTTAGTGCCGGTGCGGGGGTTGAGGTCTGAGCTATCTGTGATGGCGGCGACTTGGATGATGCTGGTGCGGGAGGAGGAGACTTTGACTGGGCTTGCTCGACCTTGGCTTCCGCGGGCTTAGCATCCCCAGCAACCGGGGATTTCGGTGATGTTGGTGCACTCGTGGAGCCCTCTTTTGCCTTGACATCCTTCTCCGCGAGGTATTCCTTGGTCTTTGTGACTGCTTCGTCGTCCGGCTTCAGATCATCGATCAGCACGCCTTCCGTCTGACAGGCTGGACAAACGAAGTCGCTCTCGATTAGAGCGTTAGTGATGCAATCGTTGCAATACGTCTTCTCACAACACGGTGTCTTCATTGGGTCTATAAACATTCTCCTGTCGATCGGGCACACCAAGCCACGCTCCTGTGCTTCTTTGTCTTGGTCGGAAGCGACCTTCTGGGCAGCAGAGGTTGACTTGGCCTTGGCTTGAAATTGCTCCCACGACGCCTTATCAGGCTCCGCAATCACAAACTCCCCATCTGCATTGACCATGATACCGGATGGTGTCTTGGAATCATCACCTTCACCGTGTTGCGCCAGAGCCGTTGCCTTGTCAACCGTTTTCAAGAACGACTTGGGAATTCCGGTCGTCCTCTTTACACGCGGACGGTTGTCATATTCCGGGTTGTCATTGGTCGGGCAGAGCTGAATCCAGTGCCCTTTCTCTCCACAGCGATAGCAAATGTAGCCTTGTGGAGGTTCATGATCCGGGACGTTGGCTGGCTTCTTGGAGCCGGGCTTGAAGACAGGCTGCTGACTGAATTGCAAGTTAGCATAATGCAAATAGAAACACACTGAACGTTGGGAGGGGGGCCGGGGGGGAAGGGGAGACAAACTGGGCCATCTCTTCTTGTTGGGCCGACCACTGTTCCGTTTGCGCCTGGAACATGGCTGCCATTTTCTCCTCCTCTGTCATGGCGTTGTTCATCTGAGCAATCGCATTGGAGGTGGCTTTTGTTGATGCCTTCACCATCTGCTCTTTTCGGGACGAGTTCTTGGCGTTGACTGGCATCTTGCCCGAGACATATCGAGCAGCTCGACCGGCACCCGGCTTCATGGGTGGTAGCCGGCGAGCGATAACCGTGGTGGATCGCGGGATGATTGTTGTGTCATCGTCGTATTCTGCATCCGAGTTAGCACCCTCCTCTATTCGCACATAGTTCGTAGGTACTGTACCGTCTCTGCCGTCATCGGTGTAGATAGCAAGGTCGAAGTCGGTGCCATCACCAAGGCCGCTCTTGATGATAATATCACGCTTGAGTTCAAAGACAGAGATGCCCGTTCCGTGGAACTCAACCCTGGTGGGCTCCTTTTGAGACTTGAATTTGAAGAACACTGACGACGCCATGTTGCTCGAGTGGTGATGAGGTTTATTTCTTACGTGGTCGATAGCCGTAAATAGGTGGAGAGCACGAGTGAGGCTCTTAACGATCAAAACCAAGAACCAAATGCGTGGGCGGGCGAGGGTCAAAGTGAAGATTGATGGGAGATGAGAGAGTGGCGACTCCTTTCGCACAACAATGCTGGAGAGCTGATGAGGGCTTTTTCTTTGTTTCTTTTGTTTTGATCCTGCCTTCTCTTGTTGCCTTCCAAGTTTCAGGAGATGAAGAATCAATTCTGATTGTATTCGAAGGAGAAAAAGGATTTCATGAATGGGGGTTATGCGGATGAATAGGAAGGAAACAGAAGTACAAAGACCCAGCGAGCTAGGCAACCTATTCAATAGAACGTTGCTGAATAGCACTCTACCCCCTGAATAGCAGCACCACGACACCTCAATAAGAAAACCTTCAGTTGGCCTGAATCTCCAAGTTCTGCATCTGATAGATAGGCAGGGAGGGCATGCAGATGATATGACGCGATGCGATGTTCGTTGCGATTAGGGTCAAGGGTCGGGTCGAGGACTGGCGGATTGCGCCCTGTCCGAGATTGCTAGTGTTCCTCCGAATCCGTGTGAGCAGTCGAGAGAGGGAGAGAGAGAAAAAAAACGAGTCTTGCCAACCAGGGGTCCCGCGCAATGATAGATGGAAGGTAAATAAATGGACGCGGCCAGAGTTGGCAGTATCGCGATGGATTCGAGGAAAAGGCGCTGGAGTTGGAAGGTGGAAATCGAAAGTGGAGGTATTCGGCAGGATGGATCGGATTTAAAGGACCTCGGAGGACAAAGAATCCGGCCGGGTTCGTGTACTGCCTAGAATCCCATGGATTGAATGCACGAATTAGGGAGTATACGTACTTCCGTATCTGACCTATCATTACCAATCCAATGCAGGCATTGCCCCGCTCCACGTGATTTGCCAGCAATTGATTGAAGGCAAATTCTCCAGAGACTGTCCACTCTGATGCGAGGAAAGTTGCTCCTGGGCCGATCGACAGCTTCCTGTCGTTCGAGCATCGTACATAGTACAGAGCTTGTTTGCCCACCCCCCGTGATATCCGCCTGGACGCCTTCCCCCGCCTTCATCAACCCACCGAAGACGTCCCACTGCTCACCCGCATCGAGACCATTTCTTCGACTCTCGAGCGTCGAAGCATCTTCCCGTCCTGATCAAAGAATTACTATAATTTGTCTGGGGACCTGACACCCGATGTCAACATTGCCACCCCTGGGATAGTGAGCCTCCAGCTTGCGCTGACGTCCCAATCGAAAACATAATCATTCAAACCTTCCGAGTTCATTCCAACCTCCGATTCAAAGTTGCCTTCTATTCATGCTGCCAAGATGGTTCTCACACATACAACCAATGATACCTATTCGCACCCCTTTCCGACCGTGACCCTCGCCTACTTCCTCCGCTACTGCTCACCCCAGCTCAATCCATTTGCCAAACATGTCTTGAGCACCGACACCATCTCCTCCCACCTCGACCCCGAGACGGGCCGGCTCCACACGACTCGCATCCATCTCAAGAAATCCCGTCTGCCGCCCACCATCTTCAAATTGCTGCCGACAAGCCTTACCGGCACGGCAGGCGACAAGGCATCGTACATACTCGAGAACAGCGTCGTGGACATACGAGAAGGGTGGATGCAGACCGAGAGCCGGAACCTCAACTTTGTCGGCGTCTTGTCCGTTGTCGAGAAGCAGCTCTACACGCTCCCGAAGGCGGCCCCAGCACCGAATACCGGGACGACAAACGTCACCACCACAGTCGTCTTCCGGTCGCGTCTCGGAGAACGCATCCGCGGGCGGCTGGGTCAGGCACAGGGACAGCAGCAGACGCAGCCGGACGAAGGCGGCTTCTTCTCCAGACTGGGGACCCGCGGCATCCAACGGAGCATCGAGTCCCTGGCGTCGACCAAGACGCAGGACCAGCTTGGCAAGAGTCGCGAAGGGATGCGCATCATCCTGGAGAGGCTCCGCCACAGCGGCGTCATGGACATCTTGGAGCTCAGGAGGAGGTCGATGGCGGGGGCCATGGAGGTGGCTTGAAGGAATTCCGTCACCCGCCTTGGCCCTGGCCCTGCTTGGTAACTTGGCAAAGCAACAGCGGATTGGACTCCTGGCTTCCCCGAAAACGCAGTCGACTGGCTTGAATCTTCTTTGTTGATCCGACTCTGCGCCATCCACCTCGCACCGCTCGTTGGCATGAATACATTGGAACCTTGGGAGCAGAAGTGGGAAAAGGGGAGGCATCACCATCTTTTTGTACAGTATTGTGTGAATGCTTCTAGCAAGGCGTTGAATCACGGGGGGAGGAAGCCTTGAGAGGCTCGCGTGCCACGGAGTTTTAGTGATGATTATTTTGGACATTTTTGTTTGAAGGAGGTATTCTTAGGGGCGTTATATTGATTCCACTCTCCTGTTGTATCAAATGGATCATGTTTCTACAGACTTGCTGAAAACGATAGCGGGCAGATTGAGAAATAAAAAAAGTAAAATTAAAGTAGTTACATGAAGCTATTCTCCACCTAGGTATCTTTCTCACTTATGCTAACGCGTCGGTCGGTTTGCTCGAGCCCGACTCTGCACCTGTCTTCACCAGGCATTCCGCCTTCGCTCTCGTGCTCCATCTTCTAACTACCTGAACCAACGACACTACTTCCTCAACCTCCTCATGCTATTACCCCTCTTCTTCTTGCAAGACCCCCCCTCCGTCAGGTCGCTCCACCCCTGCGGCGCGGTGCCCAGGCCGAGCGGGCCGGCGCTCTGGGCGGTGTGGGCGTCGGTGGTGAAGGGCTCGGTGCTGGCGAGGCTGTCGACGCGGCCGAGCAGGAACTCGAGGTGGCGGAAGGCGGCGGCGGGGGCGTACTGCGGGACCATGTGGCCGGCGAGGTCGACGTGGACGAAGGTGAGCCCCCGCTCGGTGTGGGCGGTGCCGAAGACGCCGGACCCGGCGATGGTGCCGAGCGAGGCCTCGGCGTGGTAGGGCACGTAGAAGGGCCCGTCCGGCCGCGACTGGAAGCCCGTCTGGTTGGCCCAGGTCATGTTCTGGATGCCCAGCAGGGTGCCGTTGGTGAGGAGGATCATGTCCAGGGCGCCCTGGCCGATGAGGACGTTGGAGGTGCGCTCGATGACGCTGGGGAGGACGGTTATGCCCGAGGGGAGGCTGCCGTCGACGCCGCCGACGAAGACGTCGTCGGACGAGCACTCCTCCCACTTCACCGGGGGCGCGTTGATGGCGGCCTTGACGTCGGCGCGGTCGAAGTAGACGGTCGCGTCATCGGGGAGGTAGGGCATCGAGCCGGGGAAGCCGAGGACGTCCCAGAGCAGCGGGCAGGTGGTGGCGACCTGGTAGATGTCGAAGCACGGGTTGATGGCGCTGATGGCGTCGAAAATGTCCCAGTAGAGGTTCCAGCACTCGTCCTTGGTGGTGCCGTTGGGGTGCGTGCCGGGCAGCGGCATCGGGATGTGGCCCTTGGGTGGGTAGACGAGGTACTCGTTCACCCAATCGGTGTAGCCGCAGGCCTTGTCCTGGGCGTGGATGTGTTCGCGGAAGGTGTCGTTGAAGGGGAAGAGGCCGCCCCAGTAGTCGACGAACGGCACGATGGTGATGGGCTCTTGGACCTCGTCCCATGTGATGACCGGGTCGTAGATCAGCATGCCCGACAGGTCAAAGTAAGTCGTGTCCTCCTCATCGAGGAAGCCGCTGGCTATGTACGGGCAGTACGCTCCACTGTTTGGGGTTTGCCCTCGTCTTAGCCACCATCACTGCCGCCTGCACCGCGAGGGGGGGAGGGGGGGGGGTTCTTACGCATATGACTCTCCGGCAATGTAGACCTTAAACCCCTGCATTTCGAACGTCTTGACGAAGTTCTTCCAGAAACCCTTGAACTGGGCGGCGATGTCTTCCTCGTTCCTAGCCGTAGGAGTCCCAGTAGAGAAGCCAGTGCCGACTGGTTGCTCAACCCAAATCACATTTGTGAGCTTATTCCAAGCCCATGGGTTCTCCACTGGCTTGTAGGTTCCGTATTGCCAAAGGAAGGGCCCGTTTTCTTGGAGCAAGCCCTCGAACGAGGAGCAACCAGGCTATTTCGAGATTGTCAGTACAGATACCTCTGATCTCTCAGGGAGCTCACTTACACCACCGTTGAGCCATATCAAGATCTCCTTCTCGGCCGCAGGATTGGTAGACGGGAAGAACCAGAAGAATAGCTTGTTCTCATCGTCCGGGTCGTCAGTGATGGGGAGCAGGCCCGCATACGACTCGCCAACGTCGAAGTCGACATCGGGGATGTTGGAGCCATTGACGGCGAATTCTAGGCAACCAAGGTGTGAGTCCCGTGTCTCGGCCTCACGAGCCGAACTTGCGTTTTCACTCACTCGAGGTGTTCGCGTTCAGGAACAAGGGCTCAACCACGTCGCGCTCCGAGTATTCGCGATGAAGTTGTTCTCCAATAGGCCTCGCATTCCTCTTTGCTCGCTCCTCGAACTGCTTGCCGGCATGGCGCAAGCTACGACCGGCAGCCGAGACAGCAGTCGCTGAGACGAGGGCCGTCAGTGCAAGCTCTCCCCAACGCATTGTGTCGGCCGTTGAAGTTCAATTGGCCTCGATGCGATAGCTTTTCACTTCCGAGGAGTTGAAGAGATGCTTTGGGGGAAGCTTCTCGTGACACAATGACAACCACCATCAAAGCCCGCAGCTCCCCAAGAATGGCGATCGTTTTAATATATTAAATTGCATTGAGACTCTACCTACCCTGGTTTCCTCACCCCCTCCAAAGTTGGGCCCCGTACCGCCCCCAAGAAGCAGGATATGACAACATAAACAGACCGAGGGATCCAATGGCAAGGTAGGACCGCCATCAAGTGCGACGTTGATCATGAGTAGCCAGGCGTAGCCTTGTTGGTGCCAGATCCGTGCACGCAAACACCTGCCAATACAGGAAGCTCTGAAATTAGCGAGGCCATTGCAACCGAGACCCCTCTTTGCGCGCTGCTGGATGGACAGCTCGGTGGCAGCCAAGTCGGATATCCATGGCGGCGGCGACTCGTGAGCTCATAAGACGGGGAAAGGCTTCCGCCGAAAGTGGGTTGTTGGGGTAATGCAATTTACGAACCTCCAGAGATACCGTTCCTAAGGTACGACGCATGGCTTTGGGTTGCACGGCTGTTACCGGCTGGCATTTCTCCTTTCTCGCCCCGGGTTGGCGTGTATATAGGGTATAGGGAGACCAGATGAGGAAAGTCGATAAACGAGACGACGATCGCCCAACCCAATTGTGGAGAACCCGCGCCCGGAAGGGAAGGCGGTTGAGTAGGTACCCCATACCCCATACCTGCACCTCGGCCGAGCCAAGGGGAACGCGCATATCTGGAGCAAGGGATCAGCCCCCGGATACTTGGGCAAGGGATGGAAGAGACCAATCACGACACTGGCAATTTCACGCATAATTCGTTACTTACTGAAAGTGAACCGCGACAGCGGTTGCGCATCGAGATGGATATTAACGGCCTCTTTGGTGTCAAGGTAAGCCGTGCCCTCGTGAAAGGCAGCCTCCTTCATTCTCCAATCCCCACCCCCCACTTACAAGTCAATAGGGCAAAGTCGTCCTCGTCACCGGCGGCGCCAAGGGCATCGGGCGCATGATCTCGGAAGGGTTCGTGGCCAACGGGGCGAAGGTGTACATCTCGTCCCGGGACGCCGGGACCTGCGACCGGGCGGCCGCCGAGCTGAGCGCCCTGCCGTCGGCGGTCGCCAGCTCGGGCTCCGCCGTCTCGCTCCCCGCAGACCTCAGCTCCGTCGACGAGTGCCAGCGCTTGGCGTCGGAGCTGGCCGCCCGCGAGCCGCGCCTGCACGTCCTGGTGCACAACTCGGGCGCCGCCTGGGGGGAGGACTACGACTCCTTCCCGGACGCCGCCTGGACCAAGCTGCTGACCCTCAACCTGCAGCGCGTCTTCACCCTCACCCAGCTCCTGACGCCCCTCCTCGAGGCGGCATCGGCGTCACCGGAGGTATCACCGTCCCCCGACACGGCCAGGGTCATCCACATCGGCAGCATCGACGCGCTGCGCGTGCCGTCGCTGCCCAACTTCGCCTACAGCGCCTCCAAGGCCGGGCTGCACCACCTGTCGCGCGCTCTGGCCGTCGAGCTGGGCCCGAGGGGCATCACCAGCAACACTCTCGCGTGCGGGCCCTTCCCCAGCAAGATGATGGCCGCCACGCTGGAGAACTTAGGCGACGAGATCAGGGGCGCCAGCCCGCTGGGCCGCATCGGCTCCCCGCAGGACGTCGCCGGAGCCTGCTTGTTCCTGGCAAGCCGGGCTGGGTGAGTGTGCCTCTGCTACCAACTTCTGTGGTGTTTTTTTCCCTTTTTTTCTTCTTTTTTAAAAAGAATCTATTCTGGATGGCCGCGTCCGCCATTCTCAACTCCCTCCCTTCTCTCGGGGAGAAAATATTTGCTGACTAGCTCCACTGGAAAGTGCATTTGTCAATGGTGCGACGATCACCTTGGACGGCGGTATCTCGCTACTGGCTAAACTATAGCCGCGAGGGAGACAGAGGCTCATCCAGGCGTTCTGGGTTTCGGAACTCGCTTGCCTTTTCTCCATGTAGCTCTCACGGAACCAGGCGGCGTACATCAGCATATAGATGGGGACTCATTTTGCCATTATTAATATCGAGGATTGTCGGCTCCTCTTGATATACATATATGTCAAACCACCCTTTCTTTCCTCCTGATGCAGCCAGCCATCAACCCTGGCGATCTGAACCTCTCTTATCTATCGTACTGTTTCCCACCAAGCTAGCAAAGGGCTACGTATTGATACAGGTTTATCCTATCATCAAAGGACAAAGAAGGAGAATTGACAAACAAGGAGAGAAACCCAATGAATGATGATACCAACTCCTCCGCCAAGCAAAAGCCGTTCCTATATCCTAAATCCCAATGCCAATCCCAGCCTCCCTTCCGTTTGCGCCGAAAGGGAAAAAAAAAGTTGCCCAGTTATCTGCCTGCGCAGGTTCGTTTCTTGTTGCCATCCGATTCCCCCCAACCAGTCTTTCCAATCCCCGGATTGATTCCCCCTGTATCGCCAGATGGGTATCCCGACCACGAGTCCCGTTTGGTCTCACGCACCCTTGATGGAAGTCGCTTGTATCCGTTTAAGAAAGGGGGACCTGTCCAACAGCGGCCTTCCACCCCTTGAATTATTCCCCCAACATCAAAAAGAACCCATTTTGACTCCGCATGGAACAAAATCAAAGCCCGTGAAATCTATAAGTCTCCCGTAAGGCTCTCACAGTCGACCAGATGCCCCAGCGAGGCCACGGCGTGTAAGTCGAAGTAGCGCCCCCGTTCACGGAGTAGTGAAGCCAGAACAGTCAAAAGACACAGCAAGCGAGCGGGGAGGGGGCCGAGGGGCTGGTCGGTCATGACGAGATGCCGACGCCCTCGAAGTCCCGCATCATGACGGCCATCTGGGCCCGTTTCGCGGCCTCGGCGACGAGGGTGAAGTCCTTGAGGAAGACGTCCGTGTTGGAAGACGCGCGGTTCTGCACCGGCGGAGGCGGCACAAACTGGCTCGTCGGTGACTGTCGCGTGGACGGGAGGAAGGAGCTCTGCTGAGTCTTCGGGGACGAGATCGGGGCGTTCATTGTGGATTTCTTTGTCTCCCCTTCTTCCTCTTATGGCCTTGTGTAAGAAGATGCAGGCGGCTGGTGGAGGCGTCGTCGATCTGGCTTGTTCGCCCCTTTTATACAGATTGATAGGGAAGGTAGAAGGGACGAGAGAAGGGGCCTTGATCGGATCGTGGGCAGGTGCCAAGATATATGGCGAGTCTGGAACTCTGCTGCTGCCAAGTTGGCCTTCTCGAACTAGGTTGGCCGCCAACAGGCTAAAAGGATGTCCCAATATGTCGTGATTGTCTGGCGAGTCGGGCTGCCGCAGTTGCTTCGCTCTTCTCTTTCTGCCAAGAAGAAAGACTGCAGAGACAAAGACTAGTAAGATCGCCACTGGCAACCGGTACGGTATGACCCGTAGGGGTTCGTCAGGAGGACAAGAGTAGCCGGTCAGAAGCCAACACGGGGCTGCATGGGGCAAGGCGACCAGGGATGGATGGGGAGGTGCGGTAGGTAGTCAAAGTAAAGGATATAATTGGGGGTAGGAGGCGTGGACCCTCGAGATATTGTATGGGACCTCGACGACCAGAAGGACAAACTTGTGAGATATAAAGATGTAAAGAGAGAGTAGCGGAAGAAGTCGAGTATGGCCGAGCCCTAGGCTCATATCTCTACGGCACTAGACTCGGCCGGATGTCAAGCGTCATACCCCTCCAAAGACGAAAACGGGGGACAGCGAAAGGGTCCGAGGTACGCGAGAGATACTTACGGGGTTGTGGCCCGCTGGGCCGCTTTGCCGAGGAACGATGATGTGATCGTTATCAACCCCAGGTATCTCCCAAGTACTCAATGCCGAGCACAAGGGCCAGGATAAAGTTGTGGGGGTTAACTATGGAAATCTACTCCGTGCATCAGTACGAATGTTCCATCCCGGGAATAGAGAAAAACCGTTGAAATGCCGGATTGAGAATTTGATCAAGAGGCAGTTCGATCTATCTACCTAGATAAGACGTGTCCTCGATTCCTCACAAGGCTCCTTTAGTTGGTATGTAATTAAAGATCAACTAAACCCAGTTCCTCTTCCCCAAGAAGAAGATAGAGACTTAACTGTAGACTGTTGAAGGTTGTGGACATGCCCACATCACACGTTAGATGCAGTTCTCCACCACCGTCAAGCGCGATTACGAGATTGAGCGAGTGGAGCATCGCCATTCCTTGGCTTGAAGATCGTGTAGGCTCATACAACTGCTCACGGGACATGTCGGGATTGGAACCTCCTTTCGCATGTCCATTATGGCGGCTCTAACCCAAAGTCCCCAAGTCAAAGGACAGGATTTAGTCACTAGTTGAAGACGCCATCAAGTTGGGTATCACCGTATCATCCTCTAGATTGGTGATGACTACGTACATGCAAAGCACTATGTGTTATCTCCGAAGCCCCGGCGGCAGCCAAGTTCCGAGCCTTATCATTATATGATCTCGCTGAGACAAGTCAGATAGCCTGGCCTAGGTCCCCGGAAAAGGAGGGCCAGAGATGGTTGAGCGCGAATACGCATCCGGTGACCATCTCGGGCCGAGACACAGGACAATGATAAAAATGAATAATGGGGGAAAAGCTTTGACCAATTCATTTATCATTTTAGCCTCACCATCCGTATTCTGCAGGACCTGCCGCCGGCGGCCCCACTATCCCGGGGCAATTCCCTGCGAAATTTTGGACGGAGGGACCCCTGGCACTGACAGCCAAGCTTGGTGTACCTTCCAAGAGCGGAACGAGAGACGCGACGCTTTAAGGAACCTCTGGCTCTCACAACCTAGATGGCGTGAAACGAACGCATTGAACGATCGATTAGACGAGAGAGAGAAATCAGACAGTCCCACTTCCCTCACGAGACCCGACCCTACGACAATCAATGATGGAGCCGAGACCCGGCTGGATGCCGCCCATCCCCGGCCCGCTGCAGCGGCTCTTCGACCTCTTCCCCTTGGTCACCTACCCCGCCAATGAGCTCCCCTCCAGGTCCCCAGGCCCCAGCAATCTTCCGACGCTGTATGTGTTTGCGTCCGAGGAGGGCGCGCGGAAGGGCAGCCCGAGCTTCAATCCCACGTGTCTGAAGTGGCAAGTGAGTTCTGATTCCGATTCCCCCAGGCGGGATGGCTTCTTCCCCAGCTCCCGATCTTGGGGCCACGTGCTGCTGCAGCGGCGGCTCAACACTAAGCCAGCACCCCGTCACCACCGAACTAACACCCGTTCCAGACCTTCCTCAAGATAGCCGGCGTCCAATTCCGCATCGTCCCCTCGACAAATCACGCTTCACCAACAGGAGCTCTACCCTTCCTCCTCCCGCCAAACCCCTCCCCTCCGCCTTCAACCCAGCCGCCCTCCTCCTCCTCCTCCTCCTCCTCGGCCCCCAGGCCTCCCCAACTCCCCATCCCCTCCACCTCCCTCCCCAAATACGCCCTCACCCACGGCCTCACCCCCTCCCCCCCCTCCCCCCCCCACCCCCGCCAACAAGCCTACCAATCCCTCCTCGACGGGCCCCTCCGCTCCGCCTGGCTGCACGCCCTGTACCTCACCCCATCCAACACCCCCCTCCTCCGCACCCTGTACGCCCACCCCGCGACCACCTCCACCCCAATCCAATCCCTCCTGCTACACCACCTCCGCCGCGCCGCCGCCGCCGAGCTCCCTTCTCACCACCAGGACCGCCCAGACGACCTCTACTCCGAAGCCGCATCCGCCCTCTCCGCCCTCGCCGCCCTCCTCGCCGACAGCGGGACGGGTTGGTTCTTCGGCCGCGCGGCGCCGGGCGAGTTCGACGCCGCCGTCTTCGCGTACACGCAGCTGCTGCTGGGCGGGGGGCTGGCGTGGGTGGATCGGCGGCTGGCGGACTTGGCTAGGGATGCCGGGGAGGGGGAGCTGGTTGGGCATAGGGGGAGGATATGGGATTTGTATTGGGGGGAGGATGGAGGGGAGGGGGAGAATGAAGGTTGAATACTTAGGTAGTCGTTGACTTGGAGGAAGAAGTACCCCGAGGATCGTCATGATGGGGAAAACCAATGTCGGCTTTGTAATAATAGAGGCCTCTGCTACCCCCCAGCTCAAGCTGCTTGGCCCGTGGCAGCAGGAAGGCATGTACTTGTACATGTACTATACAAATAGAGAGAACACACCCACATACCTATGCAAATACCAAACACGACAGTGTCTTTGGGCCCGTCTATTCCACTATCTGGTTATATGACAAAGGGAAGCCCCCCAGCTCTCTCCTCTCTCTCCCTTCATACCCTCCCAGCCCGACCTAAATGACCGCCACGAAGTAGTCAACCATGCCCACCCCTCCTAACCAGTTGAACGAAGGAAGAAGCAGAGTTGAGGGAAAAGAAGCCGACTACGCCCAGTAAACCTGCTCCTTTAACAATCCGTCCGACCGGTCCAACCTTTCCTTCCTTCGCTCCTTCCATCCCCGAGGTCCGGCCAAGCCCGCAGGTCAAACAGAACACAACATCACCCCAGAGGAACAGGATTGGAAATTGTTCCCAGCTGGGATGGACGTTCAAGGAGGGAGAGGGGTAAAAAAAGGCTGGGAATCAAATAAAAGACGGAACCAGACGCCGACTTGATGTATGCGCAGAGTCAAAAGAGAGAGAAAAGGGGAGGGCAGGGGCGGCCCCAAGGGGTTCGATAAAACGACAATAAGCACAAGAGCGGTAAGCAGAATCCAGACTGGGGGGTTTGGTGCAATTATACAAGGGCCACTCGGGCAGGGGTCACTGTAGCAGCTGAGACTTTGGGATGCCGTCAATGATTTCCTTCAACGTGACGAAGGCCCCATCGCCACCGCCTTCTCGGAGGTCCTCGAGCAGGACTTCCGTCTGTGCGTAGAGCGTTTCGAGGGCTGCGCGTGAAGACTTGCCGAGGGAGTCTAAGGGGTATTAGTTGTCAGCAATGTATTCCCTCGCTTCCGGAACGAGGGGTTATGGGCCGCCGATGGGCTATGTGGTACACAGAAATGGGGGGGACATACGGAGAATCGCAGAGTTCAATTCCTCCGCGACGGCAACCCGGCCAGTCCGATCGAGCAGATGCGAGACCTCCTTCACCTTAAGGGGGTTCGGATATGCGATCAGTGCGAAGATCTGGTCCAGCTGCTTGGCCATCTCCCGGTTCTGGTCGCTGTCGAACTCGGCCCGCAACTCCTGGCCGTACGCCAAGGCCTCCTCGAGCAGTTTCCCCACGACCGGGCTCGGACCCCTGTCGCCATCCTCCGTGTCCATATACTCGTCCCACTCCCCGGCTTCGTCTGCCTCCTTCATTTCTGCATCTTCGCCGTGGTAATGCCCTTGCCGGGTGGTGAATCCCTTGCGCTCCATCTCGGGGTTGCCTTCGAGCCTGATGTTCTCCAAGGCATCCTTTCGGATCATCTCGATAAACTTGCGGCAGCGCAGCCGGAAGTAGACTTGCTCGTGGTCCTTTAACACCTGCGGATAAAAGGTGCTGGTGCACTTGAGAGCCTGGTCAATTTTACCCTCCAGAACAGCCCGGCGGATTTCTAGGTCCGAGTTAGTGACATGACATGTTCTGGCAGACAAAGTAATTCGAGGGCTCACGTTGTCTCCTGTTTGCATCCTCGTCATCCTTGATGTTGATCCCCTCGACCTCTACATTCGAGTCCAGGCTAAGAGCACCTTCCTCGGTGTGGATTTCTTCAGCAAACGCGCGGGCCGTCTCAACATAGCCATCATGCTGGAGAAACTGAAGGACCTGTTTTCATGTATTGTCAGTGGTTTGTCTCTCTCTCACACTGACCGGGAGACATACAAGTTGCTGGATAAGCGCTGTTTCGTTCAAGGGTGGTGCAAGTCTCGACGTGCTATCAGTGACGTTAGAATAGGCCAATAATCGAAAGCATTTTGGGTTTGTGAGGTCATACTCTGCCTTGGTGATCTGGTCCAGGATGGCTAGTTTCTGCTTCTGTTTTGAGGGTCAGCATCAATCCAACCTCGGACGAAAAGGAATCGGATGAAAAGAAAACGGAGGATGTGCCACAACATTAATCTTTCGAGGCGCCATCGTCTCAACGCGCCGTGGTGGCAGTTATACGGATGACGCAAGATGCTACGGCGATAAGAGTGCAGGTGTAACAAGGATAGGGTACCGTAAACGGAACCGGATAAGAGACGGTGGAAGAGACGTTTGACGGGATATGGGGATGTGAATGGGCTAGACATACCTCCATGTATTCATCGATGTTGAATTGGAAAGGCAGTTGGCCAAAATTGGCCATGACATGATCGCCCGGCTTTTTCAACCCTATAATGGGAAAGAGCCTTCCCTTTGCATCTCGAAAGTTTGCATCACGGAAGGAGATATCTGCGACGGGTGAGCCTTCCATTTGAGTCACCATGGAACAGGGGCAGCAAGCAAGGACAGGGCCCGGGGGGAGGGGATGGGCCGGCGGTAGCTCGAGGTGCGTACCTGGTAGCTCTTGGCCATTCTTGGTGAACTTTGCAGTGCCTGTTCTGAAGTTCACCAGACAGCCCACTGTGTCCCCCTGGCCGAACTTGGGACCGTAAGCCTTTCCGACGTTCTGTGACGCGTAATACAGACCGTCGTCGCCATGATAGCCCCAAGATTCCGGTTCCCAGCCAGGCGCCCTTGACAGAGACACCGACTTGCTGGCGAAACCTATTACAATAGTCGTGCTGTGCGCCGCGCAACACCCCAGCAGTTAGAAACTTAGAAATAGAAGCCCGGCAGACATGGCTAGCCGGGGAAGGGGAGAGAACAAAGCTAGACATACTCTTCTGGTCGCCGGTTGAGAACTACGATCTCAAAATAATACACGCCGCACTGCGGCGGCATGTAGTGGTCCGCTCGTATAGCATACGCCTCGTGGTCCCTCTCGCTGGAGCTCCGGTTCCCTCTGTATTCCACCTCGCATCCGTCTCCTATGACCTCGATGCCCGAGTGCTTGTCTTCCTTGTTCCACCGCGACGGTAGCGGGCTGACGGTCTCGTCCTGCTCAAAGGCCGGGGGCTTCTCGACCACGTCGAAGGTGATGCCGCGATGTGACGCCGGTGACAGCTTGCTTCCCTGCAGATTGGCGCTGCTCCCGTTGCTCGGCAGACCTCCTCCAGGGGCATGGGGTTGTGTCAGATGCCCTTCCCTCTGGGTCAGGACCCTGGTCTTGTGTGACTCCTCCAGCTTCTGCAGGTATACCGAGCCCTTTAAATACGACGGCGAGAGGAAGCCTGTGCTGATACCGTTGTTGGCCGTCTGGGTGTAGTCGTCGCTTATCAGCGGATCCCTGCTCATGTACATCTCGAACGCCCGTGAGAACCAAGGGAGCCCGGATGGCCTTGGCGGCCATGACATCCCCGGTGCTTCGTCGCCAGCGATACCGTTCCTTGCCGTATCCAGCCCATAACTCCTTGCCGCCGCGTAGAGGCCGCTGGCCTGCATGTCTGCGCCGTCGGGCGGCGGGTTGAGGAGGTGTGAGACTGCCCCGGCACGGGGTGGACGCGGCAGGGTGGAGGGGCCTGAAACTATGGACGCGTAGGATGAGCGGCGCTGGCGGGCCCCGGGTGCTCCCGTGGGTGAGGATGAGTCCGGCAGGAAGCCCGACCCATGTTGGTATGGGTTCGTCATGATGGGGGTGGTGGGGAGTTGGTTTGTTCGCCGGGGAATTCGAAAGGAGAGGAGGGGTTGAGGGGTGGGGGAGAAGAGGAAGTGGGAGGATGTCGGAGGTTGTAAGTCCCGGGACGAGTTCTAAGCTGCCCGGGACCTTTGACCTTTTCGTTCTTGTATTGAAGATTCGACTATGGAGTCGTTGTAGGTCCGATGGTTTGGTCTCGGAGCAAATGGTGGTCAGAGATGGCGGGCGGAGAAATTGGCTGGGAGTTTCCAAGTCAAGCTCCGTCGACTTGACTGTGCCCAAGCCAGCGATGTCATCGATTCCTCAATGTAACGAACCGTCCCACAAGGAGTGCAAGACAGAGAGAGGGCGGATTTCCAGGCGTGCAGGTGTCGAGGTTCTTTACGCTTGCAGACGGCGGTAACTGGGGTGACCGTGCCGAAATGATGATGTCCCAGAGAGAAATGCTGGGCCGCTGTTGAAGATCAGTTTTGGCTATCAATCACGAGGTCGGGACGTCGGAGGTCGTCGTTCTAGGGAGCTGGTTGGAGAACGTGACCGGGGGCCCATAGATAGCGCCACTTGCGTGCTGCTCTTTAGTGCCTATTTACTACGGATTAGGTATCTACCTACACAGTAGCTGCTAGCCTAGCCCCAGAAAGCCACGGACGTGTTAATGCCTGGCGTCACAGGCGCTTTCCACTAAATTCTGTTGAGTTTCAGTGGGAAGATGCCGTGGGAGGGCCAGCCACCGAATTACAAGCATCCACAAGCCATACTTTTTGCTTGCCTTTACAACTGATACCAAATGATTGCTATCCTTCCGTCCTTCTGCCACTTTGAATCACAGGTAATATATCTTGGACCTTGCATGCACCGTGGCACATTGAAGGAGCAAATTTGTAAGGATAATGAGGAAAAGTAAATAGGTACCGAGGTAGGTAGCTATGGATTCTTATGCCCCTTAGCCTGGATGGTTAGGTACCTTTGACGAAGGCTCCAATATTGCAAAGTCAAAGAGGTGCGGCAAGCTGGTCAAACTGGTCTCTTGATGGGCTTCCAAGCAATGTCCCTAGCCGTCAGCCGCTCATGGGTGGCGTAACGCCGTTCACCACCGGCCACCGCTTAGGATCATGTAAGACGTCATGAAGAGAACCGTATTCATGCTTCCATCCAGCCGTACCAGCTACCTTGTGTCCCCTATTCCTTAGTAGTGTACAAATGCCCAGAACCGATGAAGCCAGACTCCGAATCCCCTACAGCTGCGAGGCTGCAATGCCATCCGAAAACGCCTCACGAGCCGGTCAGGGGGGTTCAAGACCTGCCCAGCCAAAGACAAATGCCTTGTCTTTTATTATCGCACAGCGGAGGATCACGCACAGGGAATGCCTGGACAACCCGAAGCGACCTGAACTCCAAAAAAGAACCCACGTTGTGAGAGAGAGACAGAAAAAAAAGAAGAAAAAAACAGCAACGGGAGACTGGGGTGTTGGCCAACAAGTCTATGCTGCAGGGATAGGCAGCGGCGTTGGGGAGTTTGCGGCAGCGACACTCGGGGCACTCTGCATCTCGACATCGGCGTCGTGATTGCTGTTGTCGCTCTTCATCTGGCTGTTCTCCTTGTTCTCCTTGCTGCTCCCTTCGGCCGATGTCGAGGTCGACTCCTCCGCGGCTGCCGGCTTTGGCTTGGGAGGGGCGGTCCACCGTGGAACCTCCCAGACGACACCGGTGAAGCTCTTTAGCGTAAATCCGCCCTTGTTCCACTTCCGGCAAGGCTTGCCTGAGCGGTCGAGTGCTCGGAGGCCCGCGTTGATAGCACCTTGATTCGCCTTGGGGCCAAGCCTATGGCCTGCACCTAGGCCGTTCGCTCTGCCGCCTTCGACTGCTCCGTCGTCCCTGCATCGAAAACCAAGATTAGTACAGGTTTTCCAGACACGGTGGAAGCGAGGCCAAAGGCATTGGTGTAAGACTCGATCAAGAGTGTGCACTGGTAGTAGAAATGAAAGACCATTGGGACGGAGAGAGGGAGAGGGAGCGAGACAGAGATAAAACCGGGGGCAGGAACTTACAACTTCCTCTTCTTCGGCCCGGGCTTGCCTCTCAACTTGGGCTCGCCATTGGCATTTGGAGCACTTCTCTTGGCTCCCTTCTTCTTTGGACCCTCGGTCGGGGGACCCATGGGCTGTGGGGCCGGTGTTCCGCTGGCAGCAGGAGTAGGCGGGTTCGAGTCGGAGGCATTCTCGCCGCCCGAGACAGTTGCGGCAGGAAGCGTTGTCGACGTGGCTGGGGAGTCTTTCGCGTCCTTTGTCGGCGTCTCTTCCTTCACGAGGGAGGCGGGGTCGACAATCGCTCTAAGCTTCTCGCCAGGCACGTGCAGAGTGACAGTGAGGCTGGGCTTGCCATTGCTAGGACTTGTGCTTCGGGGGGCGTTGCTGCCATTAGATTTTGTTGCCGACTTGCGGCGGTCCTTGGCCATGACGGCACTCTTGGCCGGGGTTCCCATGGGAGGAGGGTCGGAAGGCAATGAGAGAAAAAGGTGCAAGGCCCGGTTTGGTGGGCAGCAAAAATCGCCAGGGTGGGATTGTGGCAGGGACGGGGTCGGTGGTGATGATGATGATGCTAGGGGATGGAGGGAATGAGACAGGAGAAGAAATTTGCTTTGTCACGGAAGGGCTTTGATGGATCTCGTTGGTGTTTAGGGCCTGGGCTGTTGTCTGACGGAAGGGCGATCCACTGGTGGTCGGGATCTAAGGGGGCGGGAATCAACTGGGGTGAGGATTTATTATTGCGCGTCGGCGGAGGCGGGCATTTGGCTTGCACTCTGGCGATGGTGCGGTTTGGCGATGGTGATTAAATGGAAGAAAGTGGTGATGGGTTGTGGAATGGGAAGGGGAAAGTCTTTTTATTATGGGGGAATCATTCTGGTAAAAGTTTGGGGCCATCTTTGGCCTGCAACGTGCGCCATGGAGCGCGGGCGGCGTGTGAGTGACAAGAGTTGCTCTCATGCTGAAAGAATTGAGCTTCTTCGCGCGCAGTCCAGTCCCAGAAGCGAGGGGACTGCCCGTGTGTTTGATTTTTTTTTGGGTTGATGGGCGTCAGGGATGTGGATTCCTGCCTCAGGCCGGTCAAGACCCCAGCCGACCAGTGGCAGTCGAGTCCCAGCTGCGGGTACGTACCGGTTCTTGGTTACTTTCTTGGTCCGTGCCATCCATGTCACGTTGGCGATGTGCAATTAAACGGAGCCTGTTGTTGCCCAAAATGGCAAAGTCGTTAGTAGCGGCGTTGGCTCGAGATGATCTATTTGCTCCGCCGGCTGCACATGTGTGCGTCTGTTGGCGAGATGCAAAGTCCTGTGTGGCGTGTGATGTCTTCAACTTTACCTTTTATTGCTGGTTGCTTGTCCACAGTGCGGCAGCCCCCAAGATTGCCTTGAGACAAGCTTGCAACCCATCGAATCCAAATGCATCCGAGAAGGAACGAAGAGGATGATGGGATCAGATGCTCTTGGCTCATGGACCACCTGCTACAAAGTTGAAAGTACAGCCCAGTCCACCTCTGCCTTTCCGGGCATTCCAGGCATTCCATGCCGTCACGTACTAGTACAACCCGAATTATCGTGACGACTGGCGAGGCTAATAACTAATCCATTTTGTAAGCAACCAAGCGTCGAAGAGGGCAAATTTTCGTTCCCAGACGATCCTGTCTTGGCCGGAAAACGGAGACCGGCCTTGATGTCGGCAATGAAAGTAGCCTGCAACAACAAAATAGGCTACATACTAGAGTCGACAAAAGTGGATGATGCCACCTGACATACCTATCCGCCGATCCGTGTGCCACGTCTTATTACCTTTCCCGCTGCTGGGACTCGCGGACATCCTCTCCGTCCATGCTTGTGAGGAATTGAGTGCAGCCCGTGGATGATCGCGGTCCGCAACCTGTTTGAAGCTGTGCGGCGCCTTTAATGCTTGACAGGCCTGGCTGGCGTCTTGGGGAACCACAGTCTCTCTTACTTGAAAGTAAGTCTCACGAATATCTTCCATCTCTTTCCAAGGAGGTATTCAATGTTTCGCTGCCAAAGCCATATTTTGGTTTACGCTCCGCCAGGGAGAATCCAATGTGAACAAAGTGTTCGCATGCCTCCTCTCAGCAGATATCTCATTGCGTATCAAGCGCAAATATACCGCGATCTTCTCCTGGAATCGTCTTTACGATCAGAAAGTAATTCGACTGCGATACCCTTCTCTCTTTGCTGATCTCCGTGATGGGCAAACTGTCCCCTTGTCGACATGAGCTGTATCTTGTATAAGGGGCAATGACATTTGTCCGGCAAGATACCGGCCGGGTAGTACATCCCGAGATAAGATGCCGGGATATCCGCGGAGTGAGACTTTGAAGCAGCGACTTCCCATATCCCATCTACTGCCGTCCTGCGCATCGGTGAACCCGGAGCGAGCGATAGACTGCCCGACGTTAAACAACAACATTATGGCTGAATCCTCAAATTTCTGGACGCCTCCGCTGGATCAGGACTCCCATTGCTCTGTTGCAGAGCTACGCAGTCTGACCTAGATTCCAGCCGTGGCTCAGTGCTACCGCGATCGAGCGGCACCCGAGCCGAAATATCATGTCCTCTCCTTCTAGGTTGAGCTCCATATCGCAGATGGCCTCGCCTTACTGTCTCGTTGGGATGAAGGCGTCGATAAAGTGTCCTCGATAACTACCCAAGAACATGCAACCCGCCTTGTCATTCTACTCGCTAGCAACTTGACTCCGTCGGAGGAAATCATACAAGGCCTTCGCGATGTCTTGGCAATAGTAAGCCAATACACGGGACAGCGTAGGACTTCCAATTCCAGAAAAGGCCCAATCTCTGACCACCAACTGTCATTGCAGAGAAAGGTCGTCAGGCATTTTGCCAGTCGCTGTTGGATAAAGTGCTCCAGCTCAGTGAAAAGCAGAGTCTCGCTCGAATCTGAGTACCGTGGATGCCACAACCTTCATATATCAAGGAACGGCAACCCTTCTTAAGAGACAAGCTGCTGGAGTCTGCGAAGCAGCTAAGGCAACGGCTCGGGCAGGTCCGGCAACTTACTGCAACTTGAAATCTCCTTAAAAGAGCCAACGAGCTTGCCAAGTCTCTGAAGTCTTTTGAACAAGAGGTTGACAGCACTGAAACGAGCAAAATCATCGACAAGCTCGCACGATACTTCTTCCTTTGCGAAGATCTCATTTTGGTTGCAAGGAAGCCTGAGTATGCTGTTCTATTCTGGGATATTCACGTCACTCATTTAGCGGCCTTCCTAGGAATTTGCCGACTGGACGTCAACCAGACGTCGATTGGATGACCCAGATACAGGTCCTGACCTTCCGCAACAAGATTGGAGATATGATGCAACACTTAAGAGAGACAGTCAATCCTAACAGGACAACGCCCTGCTCAATGCGCTACCCTCCCGAAAGCATGGCGTGCTGTCCTTGTTGAGCGGCTCTACGGTGAACGAGGTGAGTCCCCCCAGGTCCGCCATTCACCCAAACATCATCTCTCGTTCAGATTACAAGCGACAGCTTGTCGTTCCCTCGCCAAGTCCATACCAGTCAAGCTAACGTCAAGCTCGACATGCTCTCACTGTTTTTCGAATTCGTGAGCATTTCAGCTGCGCAGCTATCTGCACCATCGATGTATTTGACATTCCCACGGGTACCGAGATGCAAGTAAGATACCCTTCAGGAGCCATCACGACTGAGCTTTCGACTGCAACACAGCCCGCACTTATCCGTTGGCATTGACTGTGTTTGGAAACAGGAGAGAATTGGACAGACTTGACCGAATCGCCTAGAACGTCCGGGCTGTTTGCGCGGCTTCCATCCGAACCATCCAGTAAAGGATGGTCCAGCCATACAACGCACGGGTTAACTTGTGCCAGGGTATGAGGCGTTAGATCCGTGTGCAGCCTGTCAAATAGTCCCACTAGCTCGCCTAGCCCGATGGTGCCCGGCCCAGGTAGTAGGCGCGGTTCACCGCTGAACGAGACATTTCACCTCGCAGTAATGACAAGACATCTTCACTCACTATCCAGCATCTTAGGTGTGCCGGCCGGTAGATATGGTCATCACGCCATGTAAGTGGTCATCAAGCTTCTCAAAACCGACTTGTGCACCGCAACGGTCGACCTTTACAAACCTATCAACCTTCTTCGGAGGGGCCTCTCTGGGACGAGCCAACTGGCCTAGGGAGAAGAACCACGGGTCGAGGGCAGGAATGCTGATAATGCCGAGTACCAAAGAGGAAGCCCGATTCGCTATGCGGAGGTGCGGAGGTGCAAGAGCCAAGAGGCCGGAAGGATTCCGGCCAAGGGGCCGGCTAGGGCCGGAGAAGAGTGGGGCAGCATGATATCTATTACTCAACGGTCCCACCCACCATCAACCGCCTCCTGGTTGGCAATCTTGAGGGCGACCGTCGGTCAGTGCAAAGACAAAGGGCAGAACCCAACTCTTTCAGGCAATTTGACCTGGCAAATAGGTATCCATGAAGCAGGCATTACGAAGCCGTCGACTCTTTTTAAATATGACTAAAATCTGCCATCACTACTCGTAAGTATGCGTGTAATACGGGCTGCTTGACCGATTCTGTCTGGTTCACGATGAAGGGCAGCAGGATACAACAACATGGCCTACCTGGGCATTCCTCCTGACCGAAGCTGTTTTGTCCAAGCGTGGACTTTTCCTCTCTTGGCGACAAAGGGAAACATCTGAGACTGGGCTAGGAGGGGATCTACGCAGAGTTCAGGATGGTAACTCCTCTTTCTGAGGCCGGAAGCAATTCCGGCCACGGCCTATATAGGCGGCGCGCTCGACGGTCAGGCAATCATACACTTTTTCCTCCTCTCAAGCCCGTAACCTGCTGCTCCTTTACGAATCACGTGCCAGTTCTACTTGGTGTATCAAAACTTCTCTTAATCAAGTTCAAACATGGGATCCCTTGCACACAACAGCAATAGATTCCCGGTCCTGGAGGACACTAGGCCGGATGACATGTCCCTCCCTGCATTCATGGTGTCGACAACCAGGGGCTTCCTGCCGAGGATGGACCCGATCGTGGACCTCCCCGCCGAGTTTGCGGCCCTCGAGTCCGTCCTCCAGAGAATGCCCATCAAGACGGCGTCAGGGGAACCCGGGCTGCTTGCCCACGGCGGTCTCGGCGACGTGGTCTCTAAGGAGCTGCCCGACCTCACCGAGTTCGTCGACACGTACAAGGCGAACCTGCCCCTCGTGAATGCCCTCTACAGGGACTACTCCTTCCTGGCGTCGGCGTACCTCCTCGAGCCCTGCCACCAGAGGTTCGTGCGTGGGGAGCCATATGGTCTGGGGCGCAACGTCTTACCGGCCAATATCGCAAGGCCCATTGCCCGGTGTGCCGCGATGTGAGTCTCCTTCTCCCCTTATATCAGCCCCGTCCCATGTCCCACGTTCTCATTTCTTTTCCCCCCTCCCAGATGTCAGTTCAAACCATTCATGGAGTACGCGGGATCGTACGCCCTGTTCAACTACCGCCTCGTCGACCCAGCCGCGGGTCTGGACTACTCCAATCTACGTCTGATCCGCGCCTTCGAGCACGGCCTGGACCCGACGTCGTCCGAGGCCGGCTTCGTGCTCGTCCACATCGACATGGTCAAGAACTCGGGCCCGCTCATCGCGGGGACCATGGCCTGCCTCGACGCCTGCACCGCCGCGGCCGCTGCTGCTGCTTCAGACGCCACCGCGGCCCTCGAGCACCGCCGATCCCTCAACGCCGGCCTGTCCACCACGCTGTCGGCGCTGCAGCGCATCAACGCCGTCATGGAGACCATGTGGGCCAAGTCGAAGCCGCGGTCGTACACGTCGTTCCGCACCTTCATCTTCGGGATCACGTCGCAGAGCATGTTCCCGGAGGGGGTCGTGTACGAGGGCGTCGGCGGTGAAGACGGGGAGAAGCCCCTGTCGTTCCGCGGCGAGTCGGGCGCAAACGACTCCATGGTCCCGCTCGTCGACAACCTGCTGCGCATCCCCATGCCGCACACGCCGCTGACAGAGATCCTCGAGGACTTCCGCCAGTACCGGCCCAGCAACCACCGCGACTTCCTGGCCTGGGTGAGGGAGACCAGCGGTGGGTTGGGGCTGAAGGGGTGGGCGCTCGCCACCCGGGGGGAGGAGAGGACGATGGTGGAAGAGGAGGAGGAGGTCAGGGAGTCGAGGAGGCTCTGGCTGCAGGTGCTGGACCAGGTCAGGGATTTCAGGTGGAGGCACTGGTGCTTTGCCCGGGAGTACATCCTCAAGATGACGAGCCACCCCACGGCCACGGGCGGTAGCCCCATCGTCACGTGGCTGCCGAACCAGCTGCAGGCTGTCTTGGAGGAGATGGTCAGCTTGTATGGCTCGTTTGGGGACTTGGGGGAGGAGTGTCGCGATATCATGGACCTGGTGCATCGACAGAAGGATACGCTGGCGAAGGAGGTGAAGAAGTACTGCGAGGAACGGGGGGTGCCGGCGGCTTAGGATGGGCTGGACATTGGTTGGTTGGTTGGTTGTCTGATGCTAGCTAGAGGTAGTCTTGGAATACCTAACAGAGAATGAAGTGAATGTGAGAGGACAGTCAAAACTACCCCTACCACCTGCCCAAGACATATAATGCCCAATACCGTCACGCAATATCGGTCAACATACACCAGGCTGGCCACCTGGTGTTGTTGGCCCCTCGGGCAGCACCGGGCTGCCCGTTGTAACCCCCCGTCCCGCGGTCGACTCCCCCCCGAAGTAAAACCCCACCGGGGTTTTCGTAGCCGGTGACCCCCCCAGGGTTCACCGGTGAGCTTTTTGCTACTCTCTCTATTTCTTTTCCCTTTTTTCTTCTCCCTTTGTTTATTATTTATTCGTGTGTACGCCTGGACGCACGCCTACGCCGTGCTGGCGGGCGTCTTCATCGGGCTCGAGGGCTAGATGTACGCCGCCAACCGGGTCGAGGGCTGGGCCGGGTGGCGCCAAGTTCCGCATCGTGCGCAAGATCGCCGAGAGCGAGACCATCACGACCTTCTACCTCGCGGGCAAGAGTTAGGTGTAATTGGTCTTGGTTTTCAAGGAAAACGACCAGACTAGCCCACGGCTCGAAAAGTGTCACTTGGTTTACCACGTAGTGAAGCCCGTGATTTCTATTTTCTTTTCCCTAGACTCCAAACTAGACAGCTCAGAGACGGCTGGAATACTCCCCTCGTCCCCACTTCCATGCTTTTGCCCTGGGCCCTACCCTCGACAACCCCCTATACTAGACACCCTCGAATCTAACCTCATCTGGCATGTATGGCGCTCGCTCCCTGTCTCACCAGGAAATCTCTATTCCTTCGTCTCCTTCCCCTTCTTGGCCCCCTTCTGATTGAGCGCCTTGGGATCCAGACCTCTCCGCCGCATAGCATTGCGCCTAGCGCGATCCATGTATTCGCGATCCTCATCATCGTCGAACCCGCCAAACCCGTCCTCCTCCCCGCCCTCCTCGTCGTCCGCAGCGATCGGCGTCCTGTCCACGATCTCGTCCTCGTCCTCGTCTCTATCGCCGGCGCCGGCGGAGCCGCCGCCAGCCCTCTTGACGCCGTTGCTCTTCTTGTCCGCGGCGCTGTTCACCTTGACGGCGTTGGCCGGCGTGGCGCGGAGCTTCTGGAACTTGGCCACGTAGAAGCCGTCCACTGTTGGCGGGTGTTAGTTCGGGATCACTTGCCGTGGCCGGAGCTTCGATCCTTGAGACTTACTGTTGTACGTGTGGGGGTAGTAGCGGCGCGTCAACTTGAGGCTTGGGGGGAACTCTTTGCCCATGTAACTTGTGAACCCTTCCTTGCCGAAGGGCAGACCGGTCTTCAGCGCCAGGAGTCAGCATTTTGCTTTGAATAACATCGTACGGGAACAGAATTAAGCCAGTTGTTTGGGCAGAAAACTTGTACTACAAGGGGTGGGACAAGGGGTGGGACAAGGGGTGGGGTGGGTTCCGGAAGCTGCTTACCTCGACAAGTTTGACATTAGGACGACGGCTGAGGGCGTAGGCAACGACTTGCTCACTGTGAAAAGGATATGGAGTTAGCATCTTGTCAAACTAAAAGGGGCAAGCCGGAAAGAAAGCCTCAGAAAGGACGGCATGACTTACTTCTCCTCAACAGTGACGCTACACGTCGAATAGACGACATAGCCGCCCGTCTTGCTGGCGTGATTAACCGAGTCGATGGCTGCCAGAAGCAACTGCTTCTGCGTATGCGGCAATACCATGAAGTCCTTCTCGTCTTTGTTGGTCTTGACGGAAGGGTCCTTGGCAATAACTCCGGTGCCTGAGCACGGCGCGTCCAGCAGCACCCTGTCGAAACCGCCCATCACTCCAGGGAACTCGCGGGCGTCGTAGTTGCACACGATTGTGTTCTATGAGTCTAGGCGTCAGCTGTGTTCTCTCGGAACGAGTAGTGAGCCTCCCAAGGAGGGACACGGGAAGCAACAGGCTGCCAAGAATCACGTACCGCAGCGCCGAGTCTGTGAATATTGCCTATCAGACCCTTGGAACGCGCCTTGTTCGCGTCGTTGGCGAAGATGACGCCCGTGTTCTTCATGAGCGCCGCCATATGCGTCGTCTTGCCTCCCGGAGCAGCAGCCATCTTTGCAAGAACAGTGTCAGTATATCAACCGCAAAAGTTACGAGTTGGCCAGTCACTTACATCGAGAACACGCTCGTTCTCCTGTGGGCACAGCGCCATGACGGGCAGGAAGGACGACGCGGCTTGCAGGATGTAGTGGCCCGCCAAATACTCGGGGGTGGCACCCAAAGGAACGCTGCAATATAGAGTTAACATCTCCTAGAAGTGCTGAAACAAGTCCCTGGCTTTGATCTCTGTCCAGTTTCCCGAGACATGGCCAGAATAAAGTAAAATACGTACTTGGAATCGAAGATCTGCAGGCCGACTTTCGACCATTTGCCTACCGGTTCCAGCGTGACGCCGCGGTTGACTTTGATGGCATTAGTTTGGTCCTAGATGTCGGGGACGGTAATGGTATGAGTGTGGGATGGTAACTCACTGAGTGCCTGCGCAAGGTCACGACGATGTGTCCGGAGGGTATTCGTGCGGATGACGACGGGACGGGCAGACTAAGTCGGAGTCAGTCTCTACCATGAAGGACAAGGTTGTAGAGAGTTTGGCGTCGCAATGCCGGTCCATAGGATGATGGGCTTCAGGGGGACAGCTATTTTGGGAGCTTACCTCGTTAGCCTCGAAAAAGGCGAATGCCTCTTTGACCGAGAAGAGATTCCTAGAAATTGGTCAGTAGTTGCTTCAAATATGGTATCAATAGTGAATCCTGCGTAGAACAAGCCACTGCCTCAGGAGCAAGACGCTTTTCATAGCTCAGGAAACATCGCCAGGGGTGATACTGAGCATCTAAAGACGTACATAAGCTTCTCTGCCAAGAATTCACTGTAACCGTAGTCTGTCCATTCCGTAGTCAGCAACTGTCTTACAAACAATAAGGGGGTAGACGTACAGCTGCAGAAGTCCTTCAGGAGCTGGCTGGTGTACTCGACCCTGCTCCGGCCTTCCTCCGCCAGGTTTGAGAAGTCTTCGAGCACGCGGATCGTCTCTGTTATCCTGGTCCGCAGCATCTGGAGGTCAGGGGCTAGCAGAGTCTTCGCCTTGGACGAGAGCTCGTCGTCATCGTCGTCACCGCCCAGCACCTGCGGCTTGTCGCCGTCGATGTTGGTTTGGAGAGCTTCCTCACGGAGCTCTGCCTCGTTCTCTGCCGCTTCTTCTTCCAACTGTTTATCCAGTTTCCTCGAGAGACCTTCGATGTTGGCAACTGTCAACTTCTCTTCTCTGTCCTCGTCGTCGTCCTCGTCGTCGGAGAAGACGAAGGTCTCCTTCCTATGTCCCTGTTCTTGATCCGAGTCGTAAACCGAGTCGTCCGAGCCGAGGAAGTCGTCTCCCAGCTTTTCCCCGTTCAGTTCACTCTCATCGGCCTCATCCTCCAAGTCCGATGCGCCAAACTCGTCGTCCATCTCCTCATCAGACTCGGGAAGGGGCGTCTTCTTAGCCTTGGAATTCCCAACTCTCTTTCCATCTTTCGGGGCACCCGGAGCGCTCTTCTCGCTACCGGCCTGCTTCCTAGCCGGCTTTGAGGTTGCGCCCTTCGTATTGGCCCTGCCGTCGCCCTTGGGCGATTGTTCCGACTTCTTGGAAGTTCTTCGCTTCTTGTACGAGGGTGCCTCTGCGGGGGTATCGTCGACTGGGATACCCTTCTTGCGCTTCAGTTTGTCGAAATGTGCCTCTGACAAGGGTGCAGGGGGACCCTGCTTCTTCATGCGACGCCCGACGCCCATTTTAGCGGCTTGAAAGTAATATCTCGAGGCTGTCGACTTGTTCGACGGAGGGGAACCCACAGATGGACTTTTGGTTGATTTTCTTTTCTACAGGCGATAAGATAAGAAGCTTCTTTTTCTTTTCAGATGACTAATCGAGCCCGCTGCTTTCATTGGTTCAGGTTCAATAAATTAGAGCCTTGATGTGATTGGCGGCGCTGTATCATCAACTTTCCATGTCACGTGCACAGAACCTTGGGTGAGATGAATGTTGGCAACCAGCTTCATCAGTTTCCAGTCTGCAATTTCCCTTTTTGACTGCTTCTAGTTTAGTTCGAAGGCGGGCTGGCACAAGAGAAGCTCGGATGAATGAGCCGTGGAACCAATGTCAACTTTAAAGCCAAATCGCCAAGGGCCATTGGGAAGGGGAGGTAATGTAGGTCTGAGGCAGCATCTCAGCTCGAGAGCCTTGCATCATATGCAGATGCACGAAGTCAAGTTTCAATTCACTAAAATTCTGCGATACAATGCCCATGTGGTCCTGTGATTTTGAGATATGCCAAAGACCGTCAGTTCGTACACTCGGCGAATGCGTACGTGCAACCGCCATCTATACTCCACCCATCTTCAACACACGAATTTCATAGCTGCCCTAAGTGGGAGGTTGGTTTGGGTCTTCAACCTCACCGCATCTACTTGCCAATAAGTTGTGTATTTGGCAGGATGCAGATGCCTATGATCCTGCGGCTCGGGAGGCCGAAGGACGTGAGCTGACAGCACTGATCGAGAAGATCAACACTCCTGCTCTTGTGGCCCGAGCCAGTCATTTACGCCAAGGGATTCCCTGCTCTATCCCTCCGCTTCAGTATGACAGAGCCACACGAATTTCCGTGATGGGTGGCATGAATTACCATGTCGAAGTTTGTTTTGACGACGGAGTCAAATGGATCGCCCGTATCCGCAGGTTCAACGCCACATCCCCTCCAGCCGCACTGCGAGCTTGTATCATCCAAAGCGAGGTTGCAACCCTCAAGTTTCTGGAGCGGACTCGTGTGTTCCTGCTCCAAGAGTATTCGATTTTGCGCTAGAACAGGCTGGCAATCCTGTGGGAGTTGGTTATATTCTGATGGAGAAGTTGCCCGGAAATTCTCTGAGATGGGCCATTGCAACCCAGGAACAGAGGAGAAAGCTCATGGATCAGCTTGCGGATACATTCATCGAACTTCGCCGATACCCATTCAACCTTTTTGGCTCCCTCGACCGCCCGGGCGACTCTCATGTCGGCCCATTTGCTCGAGAATCACTCACCGACTTTACGCAATCCGAAATGCGCACCACTGGCCCATTCTCCTTTCTGGGGGAGTATCACAAGTCGTCACTTCAACTCATGTTGGATCTAATCCTGCGCGAGGAGATATACTCGCAGCAAGCAGTGGATGCCTACCTCATCCATAGATTTCTTATCGACTTAGTCCCGTCTGTGCTGCCGTCACCAGGTCAGGATGACGAGAAGAAATACTACTTGAAGCATGCGGATGATAAGGGAGATCATATCCTGGTGGATGATGACTTCAACATGACTGGAATTATCGACTGGGAGTGGGCTCACACCGAGCCGCCAGCGCATGCATTCAACTCTCCAGTCGGCCTTCTTCCAGTTGCAGACTTCTACAGTGGTGCGAATGATCTGGGTGAAGATGAAATCGTCTTTGCACGCCTGCCTGAGGGGAAGGGCCGCCAGGATCTGGCAGATTTTGTCTGGAATGGCCGGTTGCAACATAGGTTCGCTTTTTGTTGCGGCTATGACCTCGTAGACTGGGATGGATTCCTGGGCCTTTTTCGAGGGCTCCGAGATGTAGTGAAGGTAGACGATGGCCTGGATTGGGATGACTGGAAATCTTTGGCGTTGCACCGCTACAAGGAGGATGCAGGGTTGCAGTTGCTGTTGTCTAAACATGGAGGCACTGGTTCAACGCCCTGGGCACGTAAGGTATGAAGATGAGTCCGCACAATATTTTGACCGTCGCTACAGAGGTATAACAGACCAGCGTCTCTGCCCGTTCAGCAAATTGTACTGTTGGAGGCAGTACCGTCTTTGATACGCATTAATAGACATCGGGCATCAAAACCAGCTACCCTTCAATAACTCTTCTCGAGACGCAACCGAAGGGCTTACACCTCCCGATGGGGATTAGGGGGAAGGCGGTCTGGCAATAAGGAAGCTTGGATGAGGAGGTGTGGTTGACCGATATCAACACGGCCCAGTCTGCCATACAAAACCATCCCACCAGATTCCGCCATTTCTGTGCTTCCACAGTATGGGGGTAACCCTGGAGGAACGGGTGGTGTGTGGCTAGACGCACGTTTTCAGCTCGAGACCCTTGCATGGCATGCAGATGCACGAAGTTGGGCTTTGTCTGTAATTGGTCTCCTGGATCCCGAGTTGCATTTCTTTGACATGGAACCATCCTGGAGATCAGCGCAACGTGAAAAAGTGGCGGCTCTGGGCCCTGTGGCCTTCTCCTGTCAGTTTCTTTATTTGTTGGGGTTTGTGGACTAGGTAGCCTCGTGGGCCTCTCATATCAAATTGATTTCCAGGATATTTGGACAGACTCGGCCATTTACTTCTTGATTCCCCTTTTCATGTCTGCATCACGTTTTCCCCCGTGGGCTGCTGGTGCTTCCTTGGCTCGTTCTGCGAAGTTGTGTTGTGTCACACTACCTACTAAGTTTATGAGGAGCATCGTCTTTCTTCGACCGTCCCTTGGTCCTTGAGCTTGGATTCCAGCCATGGATGACCTTGCAAGGCTGCTGGCCCTCGGATGGCTGTTGGCCACCGTTGTTCTTGCTCAACGCTTCGCCGCCATCGAAGCGACGCCAACCTTGTCGCTCCGATATTACCAGGCTGCGTCGAAGCTCAGCCCGCTGGGGAAGCGACAGGCGCTGTGCACCCAGGGTCAACATCCTTGTGAGACCTACTATATTCCGCTAAAGTTGCGACTCTAACGATGAGGCAGGCCTGGATATCGGGCCTCTTGGCGCAACATCGTGCTGCCCCGACGATACCTAGTCAGCATCCGCCTCTCTTCGTTGCTCCTCACCTTGCCTTTGCACCCCCTTTTCCCCCTCCCTCCTCCCTCGAGCCAGAGCCGCTGACCATCCACTCACCATCCCAACAGCTGCATCGTGAACCCCACCACCGGCAACAAAGCAGCATGCTGCGCCATCGGCTCCGACTGCGGCAGTCCCTGCCCAGCGAACCAGTACCAATGCAACTCAACCACAACCCTGACCTCCCCATCCCCAACAGTCACCACCGTCCCCGCCTGCTGCCCCCGCCCCTGCACCCAAACCTCCATGTTCCTCTGCCCCTCCGCCCTGGGTGGCGGCTGCTGCTCCTACGGCCAGACCTGCGGCAGCAGCCGCAAGTGCCTGTGGACTAGCACGGCGGGCCCAACCTCGGTCGTCGGCGAGATCCCCGCCGGCTGCACCACCAGCCAGATTGCGTGCCCGGCCTCCATGGGCGGCGGCTGCTGCGCCCTCTCCCAGAGCTGCACCTCGGCCGACGGCAAGGCGCAATGCGCCGCCGCGACGGCGCCCGTGCCCACCGGTAGCGGGGTCTCCGCCGTGGCGCAGGAGAAGGGAGGGTTGGGCGCCGGCGGAAAGGCGGGTGTTGCGGTGGGGGCGGTCGTGGGTAGCGGCCTCGTGGTTGGGGCAGTGACCTGGGTTTGTCTCCGCCGACGCCGCCGCAGGAGGAGGAGGAGGAGGCGGAGGAGTGACGAGGGGTCCGGGACTGGCACCGGCACCCGGACTGGTGGGGGCAGTGTGGATGGGCCGGCGATGCGGATGGCTGAGGGCCGGGGCGGATGGCGGACCGAGGGTGTCCATGGTTCCGGGGGCGGTAGAGCCGGTGAGACGTCGGAGAGCCACTCGGATGTCGTGTCTCACGGGGGGAGGCTTAGGGGTCTGACGCAGGACTACTTCGGCCCGGATGCTGTGGCTGGGCCATTCACGGAGGCAGAGCACGGTACCTCCTCACCCCACGGGGCGTCGCCCGGTCGGAATCGGGCGGTGCCGACGGAACCACAGAGCCCGGATGACATCACCGCGGCTGTGGAAATCGACTCGCGGTCCCGGGAGCCGACTGTCGATGGGTCTGGCAATGGCGGGTCGAATGTGCCTGCAGTACGTCCCCAGCAGGTGTCTGATACCATCGAGGGCCGGTTCGAGTTGTACGGTTCCGAACTGTCCCCACCGTCAGACCCTGTATCGCCATTCACGCCGCAGTCTTCCGGGGCCGAAACGGTAACACCGGCAGATCAGCACACGAACCCACACGTCGCATAAGTGCTGCAGCGAGCGGCTAACACCTCACGCGACCATGGGCAAGTTCCGGGATGTTTGCCGTGAGAACGGTAGTCTTCTATTAGTGGGTTGACTTCTTAAAAAATGCCGGAACTCCTATCCGTCTATGAACAAAACTCGCATGACCATTCATTCCCCGGACGGGAACAGGGCATTTGCGGTCAGAACCTCCTTGAATGCAAATGAGCTAAAAAAAAAAAAACATCCCGAGATGGCGCTCTGACAAGGTGGAACGCGACCCGAGACCGAGATATTATCTTCCCTTCCGATCAAACAAACCATATTCTGGGAAAGAACGCCATGCTGAACAAATGCGATGTAAGTAAGTACGACAACCTGCCGGACGGAGTGTAGCGGCGAGGCTCCCGAAGAGAAGCCCAAAGAAAAGCAAGCGGGACAAAAAGCCCACGAAAGGAGCCACACTCCCTTCCAAGTCACACCCTTCCTTTCGTCTCTGCAGTTCAGACCACGACGCCCCCAAACGGCGCGCTATTCCTCAGGTCCTTGACCAGGTCCTCGACGGTGGGGAGGTGCTGCGCCAGGAACGCCTGCTTCTCCTCCGTCGTCCTAGTCGAGCCGTCGTCGTCGTCGTCGTCACCACTGTCAGCCCTCCTCCGCCTCGCCGCCGCGGGGGATCCGACGTCGCCGGCGAAGGCCCTGGCGAGCTTGCTGGGGCTGCGCTGCAGCATGGCCGGGGTGGCGGAGTTGGCGCGGGCCTCGGCGCGCGGGATGCTGGGGGTCTCGGGCATGAGGTAGAAGTAGAGGAACTCGACGAGCTTGAGCTTGACGTCGCGTGACGTTGAGCGGCTGCGGAACAGCGACGTGATGGTCAGGAGGCCGTCTTGGGACTCGAAGGTGCGTGTGTTGCGCGGCGCGCCGATCAGCGCGACGACGAGGGTGAGGAGCGTGGCGCACTGGATGGCCGGGCAGTTGACCGGCTCGACGAGGTCTAGGAGGAGCTGGTTGGGGGAGATATGTTAGTCGTTGTCTAGATTTTGGAGGGATTGCACCTTTTTTTTGTCTTTCACTGGGCGGGAGAGACGGGCGCAAGGGGAAAGGGGAAAGAAGAATGAGGGAGGGCGTGACTGACATCCATGTAGACCTCTCGCGAGAAGAGCGCCTTACTCGGAGGGTGGAGCAGTAGGACGCCCTGGATGAGATCGAGCGCATTCAGGATCAGCAGATCGTTCTGGCCGTCGCCGCCCCGGGCAACCAGGCGGTCGAGCGTCGTCAGCAGACGCTGAGCGACATTCCACTCGAAGCCCTGCTGCAGCTTGAAGAACTCGCGGAAGGCCGGGTCGTCGGACAGGTCAGAGAGCGCCTTATGCGGCGAGGGCGGCGAGTCTCCGTCTTTAGTCGGGCTGCTCGATGGCTTCCTGGGGGACTTGCTTGCTCCAGCTGGCGAGGAGAGGCAGATTTGCGCGAGGAGACCCTCTACCTGCTTGAGGCCCTTGTTGATCTTGAGGCCGTCGTAGGAGGACAGGTTGTCGAATGCGAGGGAGAGGAGAGCTTCCATTGCGGACTGTGGGCGGAACTCTGTATGGATGGAGAGGGCGATGGGTGTGTAGAGAGACTGATGGGGGTATCAAGAAGAACAGCGCAGCTTTTGTCTCTGGTATTATAACGCCGTACGATAGAGAAATTGTGCTCTTGATGCCGCGCCGATGATACAAAGCCCGCAGGACAAGATCACAGATTCCAGAAAGCAAGAAAACACAAATAACTCCCGAGGCGGCTCGATTTGGAGAGGACGGACCGTGGGAGGCAAAGGAGGGCGCCACCAGGATGGCAGTGGTTGGCCCTTGATATTGGAATAATACAATTAGAGAGAAGGTAAAATAGACTCGGGACGGGTATCAATGAAAGAAAATTTGGAGTCTCGGGCGAAGAAGAATTCTAATTAGACATATCGGCGGCGCATTTCCTTTTCTGTCTCTTGGATCGTGGTGGGGAATTCAATGACCCTTGCGATGTTTAGTTGTTGGTCAGGGCGGCCTGGGTGCCACAGCAACCAGCCAGACCAAAGATGCTGGTTTGGAGTACATATTATTTTTGGGGTTTAGCGGGGTTTACGTGACCTGGGTTTGCTTGTCGCACCACCACCTGCAGATCCAAACCCTGAACCTTGCTCGAGGATCAGTCCATAAAGCAAAAACATCCTTCAACCAAGCTTCACAGACTTGTTGCCCAGCCCAGGCGCAGGTGAAAGAGCAATGCGACTTGCATGTCCTGAAACCGGCTCCACAAACGCAATTCAGCGGGTCAGCGCATGAATGATGGGGCCAACTTCTAGAAGCTGAATCACGAATCACCAATCACCAATCACCAATCACCAATCACCAATCACGGATGGAAGCTGGGAACTGAGGAAGGGCATCAACAAGGCTGGGATGGATTTCAGGGGCTCCAGTTGCTGGTTCCATCCTGGCCTTCCGCACGGAATATGTGATTGACAGGTCCTGACGGACTGGATTGGGTGCTCCGCATGGGTTGGCAGGTTGGAAGACGAGTTTCTATTCTCTAATACCTTGGTATGTGACTACACACCACGGGATTCAATTAAACTCCGTACCACGGATCGACTCCCGTCTGTACGTAGTGCGATTCTAAGCCCGGGTATCCCTTCATGTGGCAGCCCAGGTTCCCCGCCGCCGGGTACAAGCCGCAACAGACGACAATGCGTTAAAGCACGAAACGCCCGGCCTCCTATGAAATGCCCGGTAGACAGTTTTCACTGCCCCAATCAGTAGGATTCCAAGGTGGAATTTTATATCATCCTCCCATAGTTTTTATCTTTGCTGCTTTTGTCTCCTGTCTTCTATCTCTTTTCCTCTCATGATTCCTAGCCAAAGGTGAGTTCTGATGTCTCTTATTAGCGTGGTATGTGTTTCACGTGCTTTTTACACCAACCAATTCAAGCTTTCCCCCCAATAAAGCTGCACCTGCCTTAGCTTTAACCCCGCCATCACTCGGCTTGGGCTGGGCATCTGGAGCCCTTCACCGGATTCCCCAACAGCTCGCCACCAGCATTGAATTCACCGCAGCTGGGCGAGATGGCTAACCTGGTCGTCTCTGTCATCTAGACGCCTGTATACTAGGGCAGAGTGAAAAACCCGTGTACTCTCCGCTTTTCACTGCAGTCCGAGGATAGCTTTTGCACGATTGCTGCTGCCTTATCTACAGGCAATCACTCAACCTCCACGTCCCCACCGGCCAACACTTGCTGCTCCGAAGTAAAGTTTGCGCGTCCGTCCGGCCGCTCCCTCCCATGTTTATATATAGGAGATCCCAGAAGCATCTCTCGACCATGGCTGTACCTTCCTCCTCAGCAAACCCGACTCCGGACCACAACACTTTCCTCCCGTCCCCAAACATAATTCCACCTCGCACCTCTTCGACCAACCAGTTTGCTGCTCCGTCGAAACCCATCCTCCATTCTGTACCCGAAGGCGACTGGATCGGTAAAACTCGTGGCAGTAGCCAAGCTCAGGCTCAGGTTCTCGGCCATCAGCGCAGCCGCAGTCGAAAAGCGTCCAACTCTTCGAGCTTCACCTCCCCGTCGACATCCCTGCCCATCGCCATGGCCCAGGATACCCCGCCCCCGCCGCCCGACCCGAACCGGTTTGCCACCGAAGACCTCAACGCCACAGTCAAGCGGTGGACCGATTACAAGGAGAAGATCGTGACAGCTCCCTTCACCTACCTCTATGAGCACCCTGGGAAGGACTTCCGGTCGCAGCTCATCAACGCCTTCGATTTGTGGCTCGAGGTTCCGCGCGACAGCCTCGATGTCATTACCAAGGTTGTGGGTATGCTCCATACGGCCAGCCTGCTCGTTGACGACGTAGAGGATAGCAGCCTGCTGCGCCGGGGCTTTCCTGTGGCACACAACATTTACGGCGTCCCGCAGGTCATCAACAGCTCCAACTATATCTACTTCTGCGCCCTGCAGGAGCTGCAGAAACTCAAGAGCCAGAAGGCTATCAGCATCTTTGCCGAAGAGTTGGTGAACCTGCACCGCGGCCAGGGCATGGATCTCCACTGGCGTGACACCCTCACTTGCCCGACCGAGGACGACTATCTCGAGATGGTGGGGAACAAGACGGGCGGCCTGTTCCGGCTGGGCATCAAGCTGATGCAAGCCGAGTCGCGAAGCCTCATCGACTGCGTGCCTCTTGTTAACATCATCGGCCTCATCTTCCAGATCGCCGACGACTACCTCAACCTGGCTAGCAAACAGTACAGCGACAACAAGGGCATGTGCGAGGACCTGACCGAGGGGAAGTTCAGCTTCCCTGTCATCCACAGCATCCGTGCCGATCCGTCCAACCTGCAGTTGCTTAACATCCTCAGGCAGAAGACCACCAACGAAGAGGTCAAGCTCTACGCCGTCAACTGCATGACCAAGACGGGGTCCTTCGACTACACCCGCAAGGTGGTGGCTGTGCTTATCGACCGCGCCAGAAAGATGACGGATGAGATCGACGACGGGCGAGGCAAGGCCGCAGGCATCCACAAGATTCTGGATAAGATGGTCATCTAATAACCATCACTTGGAAACAACTGTCCTCTTTTCTACTTCCCTTTCCTTTCCCCCCTGATATATCAACAAGGAGCATTCTTTGGATGGGATGCACGGGAGTGAAAGGGATTGGGATTGGCTGGCGCATCCACATACGGACGGGCGTTCGGGGCAGGAGGCTTGGTTTTCTTCTAGACGCTCTCGTTTTCCTTTCTGATACCCTCACCGGGCAAGGGCGATGACCATGGGATAGACTGAATTTTACCATGTGGGCTGGTGGCCAGGCTGTTTGAGGGGTTTTCTACTTTTAGCAGGGTTGGTTCTCTTGTGTTTTAACCCCCCGAGAGAGTGGCCTGTTTGGCATCCATGGACAGTTAAGTTTTTTTTAGAAGTACTAGCGGAATAGGTAGCGTTGTAGGCATAACTACATGACTATTTTTGCCAGAAAAGATACTGCCGTTCAGTGCGGTGTTCATGACTCTCGAATTTCCTTGGCTGCAGCGAGGCTCGCCGGATGGTAGGTATATATATGTGTGTGCCATGCTTTCTCGTCTGAATGATAGATATCTTCGTTGCCTCGATGCCACGCCCATTCTAGGGAGGCGGCCATTAGGGTAGGTTCGTAATCATGCCAGTCATGCTTGTAATATAATACAGAGGCAGGAGAATGAGGTCATGCCGGAACAAGTCCGTTCCAACTCAGCCCACAACGCCAACCTTCTTCCTCCTGACAAGGCGCACCCACCTCCTCCGCCTCCACTCGCCGCGCCTACCAGTGCCCTCCTCGCCCTCCTCCCAGCTCAGGCCGCCGGGGGGGCGTCGGCCGCCGGGCGGCGGCGATCCGGGCGGGTACTCGACAACGCCCGCGGTGACCTCGTGCTCGTTGTGTATGTCGTAGACCCACCGCTCGCCCTCGGTCTCGACCTCGACGCCCGTGATGATGCGCTCCTCGACCCACTCGCGGCTCCACAGGTCGAGGGCCCACTTCTTGCCGCTCCACTCCCAGCCGTCGGGCGGGAGGACGTCCTCGAAGAAGCGCGAGCCCGAGGGCCGGGAGCCGGCGATGCGGGCGGCCGAGAGCGGGTCGTAGGGCGACGGGCTGAACAGCCACGGCTCCCACTCGCCCGACCCCGAGGGGCTGAGGCGCTGCAGCTCGAAGATCTCGACCTCGCGGGCCTCGGGCGCCGAGTCCAGGATGATGTCGCGCCCCACCCAGGAGGCGAGGAGGGAGCGGGCGCGGGCGCCCTGGGCGCCGACGTAGCCGGGCGGGGCGGCGCGGCGGAGGAGGCGCGCGGCGGAGGGGTGGGAGGACCAGATGACGGCCCAGCCGGCGGCGAGGAGGAGCTGGCGCCAGGGGAGCAGGTGGGCGGCGATGGACATGGCGGCGGCGGCGGCGCAGAGGAGGACGAAGGCGGCGGAGGAGACGGCCTCGTCGGAGAAGTTGGTGCGGGGCACGACCAGCGAGACGATGCGGTCGTGCAGGACGGAGAAGTCCTCCATGCTGTTCTGGAGGTCGCCCATGTTGCGGAAGAAGTCGCGCGAGAGCTCCTTGACGGGCTTGACAGTGCGGGCCGGGGCGAGAGGGGGCCCGCGCGGGGAGTACGAGGACGGGGCCGCGGGCGAGGGCGCGGCCGGGTGGCGGGCGATGAAGGAGGGGATGAGCACGCCGAGGAGGACGGCGACGGGGGGCAGGGCGCAGAGCAGGTACGGGTCCAGGCAGACGAAGGTGTAGACGCCGAGCAGCGAGAGCGTCTGGCTGGGGTGGCGCCACGAGAGCAGGCGGATGACGCGCGCCTGGAACTTGAAGATGACGCCGATGCGCGCGTTGAACCGCCGGAAGTTGTTCGACATGGTCGTCACGGTGAAGCCCGGCCGCTCGGCGTAGGCCGGCATGTAGTCGTCATCGGAGGCGTCGGGATCGTGCATCTGCCCGCCGTCGACGGGGATCACCTCGGAGAGAAACCTAGGCCCCCGGGTTAGCACGTGATGGATGTTGCCGTTTTCATACGGCCCTCTCTTTCTCCCCTCTTTCTATCTAAATGAATAGAAGGAGGGGGACCAGAGAGGGAGAGAGTGTAAATCTGGTTGGTTACTTTTCCAAAAGCTTGTCTTGCATGTTCGCCGCCCCGAGGATCCCCCGCCGTAACACCCGGCTCCTCAGGCCGGGTTTGGCTTCGGGGGTGCCGGGCTCGGACTGTTGGTTCTCATCGCGCCCGTCCTTCTCATCCCGGCCGTCCTCCTCCTTCTGCACTTGGGCCGGCTCGTCCGCGGCGGTGAGGAAATCTAGCGCAAACTCGTCCATGATGTTGTAAGATCAAGCGCTCCCGCTCCCAGCTCTAGGGGGATGAGGTGGGCGCCTCAGTGAATTCACACCCCCGTCCAGCGATAATACCTTTCCGCAAACGTTCAGAGTGGGCCAATAGTTTTTGATTAAAGCTCGAGGGCACGAGGACGTGCGAGTGACGAGTTAATCATCGATATGACGGATACCTGATGAGATAGGTTGGGCAATTATGTTCGCTAATTCGCACCGTCACATGTAGGTACGGATACCATATGCTTTGGTAAGGCGCACATTGGCGGCAACTCCCGAGGCACTTTTTACCTGCATTCCGTCATAAAGTGGGCCTCTCATCTCAGACATAGGTGCCTTACCTGCCTCTTCAACTGCCTGGACGTGATGAACGCAACTGGCGTGGCTCTCACGCTTCCATTCATTCATCACTCATGAATCTGAACGACACGAACGGTCCTTCAACTGCAAGTAGTTTGAACTATAAATTTGAACGTCCCCAGTGTCTCTCCTCCCGGACGGACCGTCTCGTCCCCAAACTTACCATGATCGACAGTTCGACACCTGTTGATCTGCTGTAAGCCGGCATATTTTTATCTTCAATTATTCGTTAGGGTGGTCACGGTTTGAGCCATGGGCTGTGATAGAGGAGGCATGGACGACCTTGTCGCTCATCACACTGCGTCATCGACTTCGGTGTAGGGCTGAATAATAGGCACCTCTGGCGCCAGGATGACTCTGCTCCTCGGCCAGCCCGGGCCTGATAGCGTCAGGTAAAACGAAATAGACACATGTCAACCTGAAAAAATGTGTCGATACGCTCTGAGCGTCCCACCTGTTCCGGCCTTCCAAAGCTGAACAAGATGCGCAACGTGACACAATTGTCCTTGTGAGCGGTCCCAGTCGCACGCAGAGAGCGGACTTTGCAGAAAGCGAGGCAGCTGCCCACGGCCGGTAAGCGGCGAGGGAAGTCGATTCGATGAAATTGATTCGATTCCCAAGGAACCTGATCAACGGAAGCTTTGTTGTCTCTCCCCCCCTGGTTCATGCGTTCCCATCCTGGGCCATCCTGGATCTGGATTCTGGGGTCAGCCCAGCGTAAGGTGTGGATAACTGCATATACTTAAACGGATCACCCCCTTTTGCTGGTGTACGTTTCTAGATCCCGAGATCCCTGATGAATGGCCCCATAATACTAAACTCTTTCTCCCGGGCCGCTGCCACCGAAGCCCCGTTACGGAAAATAAATAAATAATACGTCAGTTATTGAAACGGCTGGGAAGAACCCGCTGATTCCCAAATTTGCGAACCTCGAGATGCCATCCTAGGTGAGATAGGTAGCAAAATGCGGTACTGTACGGATCCGTAGTATGTATGTACAGTACATCGAGTCAAAGACGGCCTGCATGATAATTACCTGGTACTCGACACTCGTGCAGCGAAATCTAAGCAGTCGTCCGCAGAAAGGGCGGAAACGGCGCCTGTGTCCGCTTATCAAAGAAAGGGTGATTAAGTACCCAGCGTTTGCGGAGTTCGGTTAGTTCGACCTTTCAAGCAGGGGACCTGTTAGCCTTACAAGAAGTTATTTCTTGGTCATGGAATCTTGCCATCTGAAACTTCTTCTAGGCGGGGGGAAACAATAACAATAACAACAACAGTAGCAGCAGCTGAGGTTGAGTCGCAAAATAGTACGGATACATGTCGGTACAAGATATATCTCTGTAACCATAGTGTCGTGCCAACATGGAGCTTACCAGGGTGGACTGTCTTTTACCCGCGCTTGTTTTCTCATATTAGTGTACGGTAGTTTCTTCGACAGGGAATTGGGAAGGACAAGAAAATGAAATTAAAAGAAAAGATGAACAAGCTCATAAGTCACAACGATGCTGCCTGTCATGCTCAGGGGGGCTGCCGAGTCAAATTTGCAGTTAAGAAATACTGCATAGTAAGTGCTCGATAGTGATTAGTTAGCCTGTTTCTTCCCCAAATTGACAGGCAGCGTGGACCCTTCGTTTCGCACCAAGAGTGGGCCGCGGGAGGCCATTTGCCTGTAACATTTCGTACCTTGAACACAGACCAGACCAGACTGGGGCATGCTTGTTGTGGTTTCCTCGACATCCAATTTCAACAACACCGCAGGTCCACAGCCATTTCCCTCCACCGCCCCGTCACGCCCCGACACGGTCCCCGACACGGTCGTCTAGAGTGTCGCGTCCCCGGAACGGAATGAGGCAGCCTCTCGAATGCCCTCAGTTCCTTGACCGGACTGAGTCTTGATGTTGTTGCTGTTGCTGTCGGGGGAGAGCCACTGCAACTCCAATCACGCCTCGGCGTCCACTCCGCTTCCCTCTGGCCGCCCCGTTGTCTAGGGCGCATCAATCTGCCAATCTCAGTCTTTGGTTGTCGGCGCCCGTCTTGGCCATCTCGACAACCTCCGGGAGCTTCTGAGCGTCTAGTTCCCTATGAACAGGGAGCACAAGATTCCTGCTGGCCCTCGACTGGCAATCCCGTCCACGTCCACCACCAGGTTGTCCCTCCCCCTCCACACCGCCCTCCTCTCCCAGGCCCTCCTCTCACAAGAGCGGCATGTCCCCCAGCCGGCCGAGGCATCTCGTCTTAGCACTTCGCTAACCTTGCCATGTCTTACGCGTAGGAACAGAATAACGGCTAGCCCTACGAAGAACGGTATCGCTCGGCGGCCGTCCCTCGATGCTCCAATGCTCAGTGCTTCGTCCTCGAATAATCACACTCTTTTCTCCTTTGGCGCGCGAGGTGGCGCCTCGGACGACGTGGGAGACACCAGTTCCTCTTTCGACTTCCTTCCCTCTGTCAGCTTCGACGACCTGCAAAGCAGCTTGGAATCGGCATCGTCCGATTTCAAGCTGACCCAATTTCCGTCGCCGACCGGTCAGGGCAGCATCCTCAGCGAAGGGGACCTGGTCGACAACATGGTCGAGCGACCTAACGTCACCCGTAACGGCGGGACTACCCGCGTCGCAATCCAGCAACCGGCGACACGGCCGTCGAGGACAGGCTCCATCCTCCGGAGACCGAGCATCTCCAATAGGCAGATCACCACATCCTCGACAGTACCTTCAGGACCCGCGATCTTGAATGCTCCAAATGCGCCTGCCGCAACGCGCCCACGTCGTCAGAGCCATTACCCTCCAGTCTCCAACAGCAACATAGCGAAGCCACCTAGGAAGTCGGTGGGACCCGGTGTGTTCGAATACGACCATGATAACCGGCCGGCGCAGCGGCGGCGGCCGAGCGTGGCATCATTGTCCGACAGACCGGGGGCTGCCGACTCGACTCGGTCATCCATCGATGGGGGATCCCGTATAGGAGCCGAGTCGACGCGCAATCTGACGGGTTCGCGGGCCTCCAAGGCGAGATCTGTTCAGCCACCTCCACCGCGATTAATTCAATCTACTCCCACGGCGGACAACAGCAGTCACGCCCTTGACCAAAGCAGGACATCAGTACCGTTCCCTCGGTCGCCGCAGCCGAGCATTCGCTCGAACCAACCAGCCTCGGGCGGGAAACGCGTCTCCGTCATGCCCGGTGTTCCTCATGCATCTCATGCCACTGGGCTTGGTGCGAGAACCATCAGTCCCACCGACACGAGGAGAATGAAGCGCCTTTCCATGCACCATTCCCACAGCCACCCTCGAGTGGCAGATATGCCGCCCCCGCCCCCGGCTTCCGATGTGCGCTCCTCCTCGAGATCTCCTTCCATGCTTCCTAGGAAGGCTTCTACTCCGTCCTCCTCACGGACGACTCCCGACTTGAACAGGAAGTCCTACAGCTCAGGTCTCTCCATTGGCTCAACTAATAGCTTCAACACCGTTCGAACATCAACTGGCTCCTTGCAACCGCGTCTGCCGCTGGGGAGCAGTTCCCGGTTGCCAGCGCCAAAGTCGCTTAATTTACACAACCCTGGGGCTGCCGATGACGAGGAAGATGTGCCGCCAGTCCCGGCGATTCCCAAAGTCTATGAATCCCCCAAGGAGTCGCCCGCCGAATTGTCGTTCATGGACAAGAGGAGGTCAAACCTGGCATTTGATGCAAGTAGCATCCACAGCAACTCTACGGGGAGCATATCCGGGCACACATCTACCGAAACCTCGTTCAAATCTCAGCGTAAGCCGAGCAACCGGAAGTCGGTCAATACCGCAAAACTGGATCTGGAGAAGAAGGCTTCAGGGCCCCAGTCCAGGAAGAACCTGCAGCCGTTGCGACTACCTCCCATCACTCTGGGACCCCTGAGTACACCAACGGCCGCGAGGATAGCCGCGCTCCAGGATCAGGGGCTCTCGGAGCGACATCTCAGCCCGCCTCCTACAAGGCAGGCAGCGAAGACACCTACGACCCCAATGACAGCTTCCAAGAGCAGCTTCTTCTCGAGACACAAGGTCGGTGAGAGGGCTGAATTGCCCAATCCCCGGAGCAGCAGCTCAATTCACCATGTTCGGCACGCCACCCCTCCAGCAGCTGATACCACAAGTTCCTCGGAATCAATCACGGTACCCGGGGCAAATAATGCACCCCAGCGGTCGGGCATGTCCCCCTTCTTGTCATCTTCACTGCCCAAGGGTGGGATGGAGTCGGCATTCATGAAGAGGTCAAAGACTGGAGGCGATCTCACCCTTCCGCTTGATACCACAATAGACTTCCCTGTGCACAAACCCTCTGGTCCACGAGCACCGATGCCGAGGACAAAGTCACCTCCACCTCTCTCCAGCCCAGAGGAACCACCAACTCCTTCATCCATGAGCTCCCTCAGGCGCAAACTGAGCCTGTCGTGGAAACGGAGCGCCTCCAAGAACAGCATCATCCAGCCCAACGGAGAGAAGTTGGAGAGCAACAGTGCCAGGCAGGATTCAATGCCACCTCCGCGACTCCCCGCGTCGGCTACAACCAGCAATTTCGGCTCGAAACCTTCGAGTCCCACTCCTTCGACCAGATCAAGCGCCACGGGTACGTATCTGGAGTCGAGACGACGCAAGAGCTCGACTTCCAGCCTCAACGCGGTCATTGCACAGCAGGAACGACACAGAGGTGACAGCCTGACAGGCGCGAAGAAGGAGACCGGCCTGGACACTGTTATGGAGCGCTCCAATCTCTCCCACAACGCGTCGGTGGTGCAGAAGATACTGAAGCCGAAAGCGTCGACAAGCACGATGCGACATATCGATGTGTGGACTGCCGATCTCGACAAGGATGACTTGCTAGCTGAGGAGGAAATGAAAAAGCTCGGGTCGCGCCGGAAGGAGACGGAGCAGGCTGCGAGGACACTGGATGCGCTCCGGAAACGCGCCACGCCCAAGGAGCGCGTGAGCGCGCCAGACGCCATCCGGATAGCCATGCTCAACATCTATGAGCGGGGCGAGATAGTGGATTATAAGGACATCTACTTCTGCGGCACCCAGAACGCGGCCAAGGTTGTCGGCGACCTGAAGGCCACCACGCCCAACTTCGGCTACGACGATGACCGAGGAGACTACAGCATCGTGCCGGGAGACCATCTCGCCTACCGGTACGAGATCATCGATGTGCTCGGGAAGGGGAGCTTCGGTCAGGTGGTCCGGTGCATTGACCACAAGACCGGCGTGCTCGTCGCTGTCAAGATCATCAGGAACAAGAAGAGATTCCATCAGCAGGCTCTCGTAGAAGTCAACATTCTTCAGAAGCTTCGCGAGTGGGTAAGTGGAACGGCAACAAACGCCCCTCCTGACCCTGCACGGTCCGGGAAGCTGACACAGTCACTATAGGATCCCAAAAACAAGCACAGCATGATCAATTTCACCCACAGCTTCTACTTCCGAGGCCATCTCTGTATCTCCACCGAGCTCCTCGACATGAATTTGTACGAGTTCATCAAATCCAACGGCTTCCGCGGCTTCACACCGAAGCTCATCCGCCGCTTCACCAAGCAGCTCCTCAGCTCCCTGATCCTGCTGAAGCAGCACAGAGTGATCCACTGCGACCTGAAGCCGGAGAATATCCTCTTGCGACACCCGCTCCACTCGGAAATCAAGGTTATCGATTTCGGCTCCAGCTGTTTTGAAAACGAGAAGGTCTATACTTACATCCAATCGCGCTTCTACCGCTCCCCGGAAGTCATCCTCGGCATGACCTACGGCATGCCGATCGACATGTGGTCGCTTGGCTGCATCCTCGCGGAGCTGTTCACCGGAGTGCCCATCTTCCCCGGCGAAAACGAGCAGGAGCAGCTCGCGTGCATAATGGAGATTTTCGGGCCGCCGGAGAAACACCTCATCGAGAAATCCACCCGGAAGAAGCTCTTCTTTGACAGCGTGGGCAAGCCGAGGCTGACTGTTTCATCCAAGGGACGTCGCCGCCGGCCGTCCTCGAAGACTCTGCAGCAGGTTCTCAGGTGCGACGACGAGCCATTCCTCGACTTCATAACTCGCTGTCTGCGCTGGGACCCCGACAGGCGAATGAAGCCCGACGAGGCGATCCGTCACGAGTTCATCACCGGCCAGAAGACGTCGGTCCCCGTGCCTCGCTCTTCCGTGGCGCGGGAGACGTCCCCCGTCAAGCGCAACAACACCATCTCGACGCCCCGACCTCTCCCAGAGCCACCGGGAGGCTTCAAGGGCGCCGCATCTCTCCGAACCAGGCACGCGTCTAGCATTACCAGCGTCAGTCCCCTCAAGCCTGGCGGAGTCTCGTCCCGTCGGACGTCGGGAGTGAGCACCCACTCGATGAGCACGGCCGGCGCCGCCGCCAAGCGCACAAGCACCGGTACTGGCGTGGGTTTCCTCCCGACCAATAGCGCGAGCAACCTCCCACGGGCTGCGGGCCGCAGTGTTAGCGCCAGACAAGACGCCGCCGCCGCCGGGGCAACAGCTGCCATGGGACGGCGCGCCTAGGAGCAGCGCGTGGGCGAGGCTGGGAGGGGCGGGGACGGGCGGCGGGCGGCGAGAGGTTGCGCTCGGAATCGATGACCAAGGGCTCATCGTCTTCTCTAGATGAGCCCCACGAGATCTGGCTTGCACGACTGGTATGATGCGATGGTTCCATTTTCGGCACGGAAACGCGTCGATGGGGGGAACATGGAAGGGGCTGGCACGATACTTTGAGCCGGCCCCAAAACTTGACGAGTCCTTGTTCGGCGTCACCCCTTGTTTCATCACGCGCTACTATTGCCATTCTTACGTTCCTCTCTGATGATGAAGCTCCTTCGCCTGCTTCACGTCTCTGCTAGTGAACAAAAATATTGGGTGGGGGGTTAGAGTTTCAAGGGAAGTTGTCTACTACAGCACAGCACGTGTGCGCGTATTTCGGTCGCGCCCCTACTGGGGTTGTGTAATGCATTCTTACCGCCGGGCTCGTTCCGGCGGGAGGTTCATATTCTGGGAGTGGGCGTTCTATAGAAGAGCAGAAATCCTGCGAACCAAAAGAGTGGTTTCTATAGAGATCAGTCAGTCTATAGCATGGAGATATGAATGGATGAGAGACCGCTTGGTCTTCCTTTTGTTAGATCTATGTCGCTGTATGGCTGTATCATGACGTGACATGTCTCCCGCCGTCGAATACATGCCATGTATGAAGACGAAGCTTTCCGTCTATTCGATCTCATACCCTAGATTTCAGATTCCGTCAATCGCAGGGGCGGTGAACGTAAGAACAACAGGCAAAAAAAGCAGCATAATCAAAGAGCCAATCGTGTCACCGCAGAGCGCCAAGCCAGCCTTGTGGGTCCATCAAGAACTGCCGGGCGGTGTAGCCACTTACCCAAGCCAACGGCGACGAAAATTGCTAGTCCCCGAGGGGTCGGCTCCAAAAAATTGTTCGACCAGCAAAAAGACGACCAGCCATGAAGAACGAAAAGAAAAACGCAACGATGGCGCCGGAGCGCAGGAAGAAGGACAAGTCTGACCGGAAGGAAAAGAAAGCCGCAGAAGTGACGGTGCCGAAACCCCAGAAGAAGGAAAAGGGCAAGCAGAAGAAGGAGAAGGAAACCCCAGCAACGATGCCGGAATCTCAACAGGAAGATAAAGGTAAGGAAGATAGACATCTTCCCTTGCTCCCGACCCGCCCCAATTGAAGGGTTACTAACCCAGGCCTCCCATTTTCTAGCCCTCATCCCAGCCCCCAGCACACAAGACGCCGACGCCGACGCCGCCACCGCCGTAGTCGCCGCCACCCCGGCGGGCGGCCAGCCGGGCGTGATCTACATCGGCGGGATCGTGTACGGCTTCTTCGAGCACCAGCTGCGTGAGTACCTGTCGCAGTTCTCGCGGGTGACGCGGCTGCGGCTGAGCCGCAACCCGCGCACGGGCGCGAGCCGGCACTACGCGTTCGCCGAGTTCGCCGACGCGGGCGCCGCTGAGGTCGTGGCCCGCGCCATGGACGGGTACCTGCTCATGGGCAACATCCTGCGGTGCCGCGTCGTCGACCCGGCCGCCGTCCACCCGGACGTCTGGAAGGGCGCCAACAGGCGGTTCAAGCGCGTGCCCTGGGCCAAGATGGCGGGCAGGCGCCTCGAGAGGGCGGCCACCGAGTCGGCTTGGCTGAGGAGGGCGGCTAAGGAGGAGAGGAGGAGGGCGGCGAGGGCGGATAAGCTGAAGGAGATTGGGTATGAGTTTGATGGGCCCGCGCTCAAGGCTGCGGAGGCGGTTGCGGCGGTGGAGGGGGCGGAGGCTGTCGGGGCGATCGAGGCGGCACCTGCTGGTGGGGAGGAGTAAGGAAGGTGTGGATGAGGGTTGGATTGGGTTGAGAAAGCGGGGGAAAAGGAAAAAGAAGGACGATGAGTCCTACAGCGCCTCATCCCTTCTCTTCCACGCTCCCGGTCGCGTGTCCTTGAGCGACAATCATAGAAATTGGGCTCTCGGGATGCAAGAGGCCATGAGGGCTGAGCGGGAGGTATGTGTCTGCTAGACTTCGACGACCCCGGAGCTTCCACTAGCATACGCACGCCCGTTTGGGAGAGTTGGGCCGGGAGCCATGACGGCGCAGCGGGAGCTGTCCGTCTGTCCGTCCGTTTGTCTATCTGTCATGCAACGAGGCGTTAGGTCAGGACTTTTACTAGATCATTTAACGCTACGGAAATCAGTCAGCTGTCTGAAGAATTTGAGACGGCTCTTTATAGGACACCTAGTGCTCGTATCCTCACACTTGGTAAAGCTGTTGAGAAGTCACCTTTGCAGATGATGTTTCTCATGTGGTTGAGAAGTCGGTGCCTTGGATTCCATAAAACCCCCATTTTCCTATCCTACGAGCTTCCTGGAGCTGGCCTGCTTATAAGACGCAGCGATATCACTGGGATATCAGACAAACACCACGGAGACAAGAGGCTGACACTGCTTAAACAGAAGCAGGAATCCCCTCATAAGAGAGTGTTTCTCTACCCTTTCGCTTTTTCCCCCGGCAAGCAGCGCTTCGGCCTCACAGCGAGGGAGATCTAACTATAGATTTGGTCTGGTCCTGCCCAGTTTTCATTACCTGACCCGCAAGTCCGACGAAAGTTTAGATAGTTATTGGGGTCACTTGAACACTGTCAACATCAGGCGGTTGGGTTGACAGAGTGACCTGGTATGGAACGGCAACCGACAAGGAATAGCAAGGTCGTTCTGTGGGATCGTAGCTAGACTGGAAACGGAACCCCCATCAACAACCCTATACGCAGTAAACAAAATCCCCAGCTCTCTGCCTGAGCGGGTATAAAGATCCCCCAATAAAAGCTCCATTCTCTCCTTGGAATACCCGGGGTTAATCGATAACCATCTTCGGGCCTGAAGCGAATATAGAATCAGAGATTCTGAAGAAAAAAAACCGGTGAACCTAAAGTATGTCTCGAGATAATTGGAACTCCTTCTTTCACCGCCCTCCCAGAAAACAATCATCCAAGGCGCGATTTCTTGTGGTTATCCATTTGATATTGACTTCACCCGTCCATCAAGACGAAATAACAGAGACAAAACAGAGACTTTGTTTGGTATTTAGAAGGAGGAAAAAAACCCAGCTTGAAACCCAACCAACCCGCGCCGATACGCCCAGAGCAAAAAAAAGAACCAAACGCAAAAGGATAAAAAAAAGGGGGGGTCGAAGCCCCAGAGAAGGAAAACAAACATCGACTCACCCCCACCAGCTAGCTCAACGACTCGGCCCCTCGATCGGACTGGTGGGCCCACTCCTGAAGCAGCTCATATCCCGGCTTCCCGTCCTCCTCAGGGCCTGGCTCATGGTTTCGACGTTGAGCTCCCCGCCGAGGGCGAGCGGGTAGTGGGCGCTGACGGGGCTGCCGAGCGGCCGCCTGGCCGGCGACAGGTCGAGGCCCTTGACGGAGCCGGACTTGCTCGTCGGCGGGCTCGTCCCGGGGCCGCCGCCGGCCGAGGACACGGGGCTGCGGATCGGGCTGGGCGACCGGTTGCGGTTGTTGTTGTTGTTGTTGTTGTTGTTGTTGGTGGTGGAAGTGGTGATGCCAACCGAGGCGAGGCTGGTCAGGCCCGCGAGGTGGATGCTGTCGCGCTGGGAGCCGGCCACGGCGGCGCCGGCGTGCTCGGCCTGCACGACGTCGGCGAAGGAGATGAAGCTCAGGCGGCGGACGTCGCTGGTGTCGAGGGAGCCGTAGTTGGAGGCCGAGTCGGTGGCGTCGCGGTCGGAGAAGCTGGCCAGCTCGTCGGCCCAGCTGCCGAAGACGGAGGCGTCGTTGGCCGGGGACTGGGGAACGCCCGTCACGGTGAAGGCGGCCGGCTGGTGCGAGGGGTGGGTGATGATCTCGACGCTGTCCGGGTCGAGGTGGTCGTCGGTGATGGCCTCGGACGAGGCGTCCAGCACGGACGGGATGTGGTTCTCCGTCTGGATGTGCGACGGGATTGCGGGCGAGTTGGGGATGGGGACGTTGCTCTCCTGCACGTCGCGCTCGAAGATCTGGCTGCCGGCCGGGGAGGAGAGGCGCGGCGAGGAGGAGAGGTTGCGGCTGGGCGACCTCGGCGTCATCGTGTTCGCAAAGTCGGTCTGGACCGGGGACCGGGCTACCCGTCTGTCTGGGGCCGGTGCTGACGTCGCCGAGGGCACGGCCCTGGCTGCCGATGTTTGCGGCCCATCTGCACCACCGTCGGATCTCTTCTTGCTGAAGCCAAACAGGCTTCGCTTCTTCTGCTTCTTTCCCGCCTCATCGGCCTGGTCGAGTTCGGCGGCAGGTCTCAGCTCGAGTGGCTCCGCTAACCTTGGGATTGCGGCGGATTGACCGCTTTGCAGCGTCGCCGACCCTGCCAGACTCATAATTGGAAGGACTGGCCTTGCTTTTGTTGGGGATGGCGGCGACTTAATGACGTGGGTTCCAGTCCAAACGACGAACTGGCTGCTGTTTTCGAGGTCGGAGGCGAGGGAGAGAAGCGGGAGCGGGAGGGTGACACCCTGTGGGTAAGGGTGCTTTTCGAATTTGATTTCTAGATGGACAAGCGGTAAGTTAAAATGGGGGTTTGCGTCACGAGGAGGGATTGGCAAAGGTAAAATGGGTATTATAGAGCGATTCGAGGTCACCCCAATCTCGGCTGAGAGACCATGCGACGCGGGGGCAAGCAGGCTTTATCGCGAAAATGGCCGGGCGTGTGACCCAGTGATAGTCTCCGCGATTCGCTATCGGTCATTGCCATACAAAGTGGCCCATTCATTCGGAAACAATTATTGAAAATCGAGCGCAGCACTTACCGTCTAGAACAGCCTCTCGGTGCAACGACCAGAAACGAAACCACAGAGCAGCTCGGGCTGTGAAGCTGCAACCTCGAAAGTAGCCGCAGCGTATGGGTAGTCGCAGGTTCGCAAGTGGTTTGTTGAGTTGAGTTTGGTGCTAACAGTCAATGAATGCCCTTGTTACTTGTTTGGCGTTGGTCTCGCGCTTTTAAGGCTGGCGATACCTGACTCGGAGGAACAGGCTAGAAGTGGAACAGGCTAGAAGTGGCTGTATACGCCGGCGTCGAGAGAGCGTGACTCGAGGAAGAGATAAGGCTCTTGTAATGGAAGAAGGTGCTTTCCTGCTGCCTTCTGGTAAACTACCTATACTATTAGTCCAGGAGGTAAGCTCCGTAAAGGATTGGTGCTACCAGGTTGAGTGTATTCTAACGTGCACCGCCGGAATCATGGGAAACAAGGCTCAACGAATGCGGCCCCTAAATGTGGTATGTTGGACCAAGCGCCACACAAGAGGTTCGCATGAACGACCGCAATCAAACTGAGGCGCGCGCCCGCCTGGCGGTGAGATCGAAAAATAGAAAAAACACAGCCTTGGAAGCCCGTACCCATGGGCAGAGCTCGCTGTCAAGATCGAACACAGCCGCAGAGAGGGAAGCAGGATTACTGAGATTGAGACGTCATGTTGCTAGTAATTATTCAACTTCGAGCTCCCTCGCTCCCTCCCACATTAGTGTAAAAGCCCGAAGCTCTGACAGGCTTGGATGCATTGAGTTTAGGAACAATCTCAATGTCAACGCCGCATCCGGTTGCCCACGGGGTTCCTAACACTCGGGCCATTCCTGAGAACTACCTCCACCGCCTGATCCCACGATGCTCAATCCTACAATAATCCACGCGGCTGTAGCCCCTCCGCACGACTATAGCACAGCTAATAACAGGAAGCCAAGAAGAACGAAATTGTAGCCAGATTGCAACCACGTACGCAGCTGAGTGGTGCCAGCATCAGCTACCTACCTGTTTGAGCTTGTAAAGCAAGACCATCATCTTGGAAGAGCTTCGTGCGCAAGCATCCACTTTATCTTAAGTAATCGAGCCAAGGAGCTGAAGGCACGCTAAACCCGGAATGAATATCCCCCACGTGACACAGACAGGTCCTGCCTCGAAAAAAAAATGATTCGAGATCAAAAGCTCAGGTCTCCTTTAGAGAGAGAGCTCGGAGGCAGGTTGAAGGATTGAAGGCGCCACGACCCAGTTCGGACGACAATCAACTCCAATTCGGAAAACCCTTCCTGGGGCAGTCAGTGTTCATATTCGCCGATCCCAATTCCTCGTTCTCTCCCCGAGTGTTCCGCCCCCGACTGTCACAATGGAGCTCCGGATGCTCACCAGACCAGCAGCGCAGTGCTGTCTTTCGTCGGCGAGGAGTAGCCCCCTTTTCCCACAGCCCATACATATGACCAGTCGCCGGGCAAAATCAACCGCGGGGCGGATGAAGCGCGCCCTCAACATCCAACCGCACCCATCCTTCCTCGTGGCCAGCGGCTCGTCCGACAAGGCCCCAGGCGGCCACATCATCTTCAACCCGCCCTCGTCGGCCCCGTCCATCTACCACACGCCCTTCAAATTCCTCCCCAAGAACGACCCCCGGCGGCGGGCCAACCTTCCGAGCCTATTCGACTCCTCGACCACCATCTCCTACTCCCGCAGCACCTCAAATCCAGCATCCTCCTCCTCTTCCTCACCACCCACCGACCTCCCCCCCGTCCTCCACCCCTCCTACGCCCACGCCGAGAAGCTCCACAACCTGACCGAATCCGACGTGGCCTCGATGCGCGCCCTGCGCGCCGCCGACCCGGCCGCCAACAGCGTCGCCGCCCTGGCCCGCCGCTTCGGCTGCAGCCACCTGTTTGTGCTCATGTGCTGCCAGGCGCCCGCCGACCACGCCGCCCGCCGCCGCGAGGGCCTCGAGCGCGTCAAGGCCCGCTGGGGCCCCGTGCGGGCGCGCGCGAGAGAGGACCGCCAGAGGAGGAGGGAGCTGCTCTTCAGGGGCGAGATATAGGGGGGATTCGGAGCTGGCGTGATGCCGGTGATGAATAGGGGGGAGAGGCAAAGGCAGGGCTGTATATGTATCATCGAATCGAGTGAAGGGGGTTTGTTTGTTGTACGTTATACGATGTGATAGAGCAATCCTGGCCGGCTAGTCATATAGATCGCAAAGGGGCACTTTGGGGATGGTCACTCAGCAGAGCCGGTTGGCAGTTCAGAAATCGGGAGCATATCTCCTGTCTTTGTGCAAATATTATCTCTCGTTATGTCATGTATTAAACGTTATTCCATGTGTCAACAAGCCCAGCTAGCAGTAAATGGACGGTCAAGTTCCGCTGCCTCCACCAAAGAGACCTACACCAACTGCGCTTAGGATCCGTTAGGAGGGCATAGTTGCAGTTGATGCCTTCCTATCTATTCTCATTACGTTGCATGGTCGCCTTGAAATGTATTCGTCCGACTACAAGGACGGTGTATGTCGTATAATGTTGGAGCGGGGATATATCTCCTCGTATCAGATCCACGCAAGTACCATAACCCCGAGACTGTCACCTCATGAGGGTGTGGCTCGATATCCCCTTTCGCCTCCCGCCCGAGAATGGCGTGCTTTGGCAGTCACCCCCCGTCATCTGCCGATCCGTCTCGTAGTCCTTCTTCCCCGGGATCACCCTCCAGCACCACCCGCACCAGCTCCTCAGGCTGCCGCTGACCTCCCTGCCCAGGACGTTCCTGGACGCGGTCTCGTCCTCCCACACGGGCACGCACGCCCCGACCCTGACCATCTGCACGAGCTTCGTCTTGACCACGCCGCCGATGCCCTCGATCTCGTGCCGCGCGTACCCGGGCCCCAGCGTCCCGGGGCTGGGCGTGCGCCGGCTCGCCGCCGACTCCGCTACCATGAGCTGCTGCGCGGGCGTCCCCGCAGGCAGGGGCGGCGTGTGGCCACCGCCGTGGCCCGTGGTGCTGCTGGAGAGGCTGTTCAGGCTGCTGAAACTGCCGGTGCTGCTCCCAGGTATGGTCCCAGGGGTTGATGCCAGGCTGGAGGTGCTACCGTGGCCGCCCGGCGCGGTCCAGGGGAACTGCACTGCCGGTATCGGGGCGGCGGGTTGCGGAGAGGGACTCGGGCTGGTTCCTAGCAGTTGCAGGAAACTCTCGGCTTCGCGGGCGTCGGCGGCGTCGCAGTCTGTCTCTTGTTCGCGCTCGCGGGCAGCGATGCATTCGCTATCGCGGCCACAGGTGACGCCTCGATCGCCTTCGCCGATGCCAGTACCCAGACCGCCTAATAATTCTCCATACTGATGGCGCCACTTCCAGATACTGAGGAGCGGATAAAATGGTAAGTAAGGACAGGCTAACAATGTCGGGGACCGAGAGGATTACCTTCGATAACCATAATCTTCGCCACGTATGGTTCGCCCACATGGCTGGCACAGCCAGACACCATCAGAATCGCACTTGCACATCGCCTGTTGCATAGCGTCTGAGTGTATTGACACATTTGACGGAAGCTCTGGCTTCACGAGGTAGCCGATCGGCACCCGAGTGCAAGCTAGGCAAAGACGCCGGTGTCTTTCTCGGAGGACAATGGGCGCAGGCGGTTTTATGGCACAGTTCTGGAGGAAAGATGCCATCAGCAGAGGTTCCCATTGGCCAGATATAGATACTGGGCGAGATGGACAGCACTCACACGGCAGACAACCGCCTTGCACCGCCGGCATTCAGCGACCATATCTCTGGCGCAGCGGCCGGATTTCCCATTGTAGCTCGTCCTCCCCGTGTCTTCCATGTAGTACCAATTCCCCGCCCTGGCCCGATACCGCAGTGTCTCCTCCCGCTCAACGGGGAGCTCCTCGTTGAGGCAATGGAGGGTCGAGAGCAGGAGGACCCTGCGATACTGGAGCAGGGCGTGGCGGATCTGGCGACAGGTCCGCGACAGGTTGTCGAGGGTGTTTAGGTCAATGGAAGACGCAATGGCCACGACGATACTGGGAGAGCTAGTCAGTGTTTCCCGCCACGGGAAATCCGAAGAGCCATAGATGCGGTCAAAGGGAGGCAAAATATCAAAAAGGAAGGATCAGTGTCCGCGTACGGATAGCATCCCAAAGCCTCCGTCACGGGGTTCCTGCTCGGATACTTCGTGACGGCGGGCTCGTGAGCCTCCATTCCTTCGTCTCCTGCCGGTCCCGTCCTGCCGCCTGGTGGCAAGTAGGTGTCTGTGCCTGCGACTTCATCTTGGGATTGCGTCCCTCCCCATACCAGCTTGCCGCCCTGAAGATGTGGTGGATCGCGCCCAACAACTTCGTCCAAGTCGACGAACAGAACCATTGTTGAGGAAAGAAGCGAAAGTGGAAGTCAGAGGACAAATCGAAGCAAAAAAGAAGAAGAAGAAAGAAAACTAAAGGGTGATTAGAAACACCATCCGTGCCAGGTATTGGATCGTCAGAGAAGCAGGTGAGGTTCTGCAATCATGCTTTCTGTTCTCGATAAGGCGGTCATCGATGCTGGATTGCCTTGGGGCGCTGAAAAAGGAGGGGTGACCTCACGTGCCCCTCAATTGAGTAGCAGTCACGTGGCTACCTTCATTTGCTGTATAACCTTGTGCTGCCTTAGGTGCTCGTCAACTCCTTCCTACCTAGGTGAAGGTGACCGGACTACGGGCCAACCAAGTTTGGCATTCGCAATGGAGAGAGTCTCCTACTTTCAAGGCATTTCGACATCTTTGAAATCATGGAAGTTCACTATTAGACTCAGCAGCCTTGAAAAATTTTGAGCAGTTGAGGGTAGAAAGATAGGGTCGGTAGATAAGAAGAAGCTTGGTCCATTTTAACGAGCGACAGGAGACAGGTATCAAGTATTAAACATGTTGGTGAGACTATCGGTACCTACTTGTCATACCTAGTCTGCAGGGGCCTTGACGATTTCACTTGAGGTATGTACTAGGGGCCCAGGCCATAGCAGCTACTCTCGGTTGGCACCCGGAAGAGCCGATGGAAAGGCAACGGCCGACAAGTTCCGAAATGCGCTCTTTGAACGCAAGCCTGGACAATCAGGTCTGGACTGTTCGAATTTCTGTGTTGGTCCTTTAGCCTCAGACCAACTAATTTTTTATAAGCATGCACTAGAGGGTCGATGCGTTGATGACAGGGGCTTTATCTCAGCTGAGTCTCAAGATCACCGGATTCCTGATTCGGCAAGCGAGATGATGTGTATTGCCTAGCTGTTGTGATGAATGGCTAGATGTGGCTTGTCGTGATATTTATTGCATGAGTGGCTATAAATTGCAGCTTGCAGATGCAGGCCGCCGCCATTGCCAGCAGCCAGACAGGTTCCACGGTTCCGCGGTTCCGCGGTTTTCCACGTTTCCGCGTTTCCAGCCTCCCAGCATGCCTCCGCCTGCAAAATCGACTAGTTTGTTCTGGCTGACGACAGTGACGACACTTGGACTGAACAGATCCGTATTCGAGCTGGAAAGAATATACCATGTACAGATAGTAGCTAAGCTTTGATAGCCCTAGGAACTAACAGCAGTAGCGCCCTTATAGTGCACTGTGCTAGTGGAGGTGGACAACCGTTCATCTGCCATGAGGTATTATGAGAAGACGGCAAATGGCGGTGTTGGCCACAGATGGTAGAAACACAACAGATGCCAACGCCACTCCATCAACTTCCCAACAAGAATATGGCTTGCAGTCTACACGGTATTCAGGTTGGGCAGCCAGATCTACAGATTCTGAGTGGGATGAAATGCATTGGCTGAAACGCGGAACCCAAATGAGAACAACGGGCCAAAGCGAAAGCTGAAAATCGAAGAGCCTCTCTAGCCGCATTCGGGCAAGTATCGAGAACTGCCCAGGGGTCGGATGGATGCCACGGCACACTAGTGTGTTCAGCACGCAACTAGCACTGAAGTACCGTGTCCAAGATACAACTAGCGCGGAGCATCCGTACCGGATGTTCACTAACGACCTCAGCTTCCAACCGTTCTATACCTCCACCGGGGTTTCAAGTGTTAGTGCGAGTGACCTGGGGGATCCATACAGCCACTGCTACTATTTTGTATCTAACCCCTTGCCGAACTAACACTTGAGACCCCGGTGGAGGTGTATACTTCACAGGCGCACAGATATGCGCGGTTGTGTCTATCCTGCCACGCAACCACGTCGTCGGTGGCTTGTTACTGTTCGTAATGGATGTAGTATGACTGCAGAAAAAGTACGCACCAGAGTATCTCGAATCTGGACCGCCGAGGATTCGATGCCGAGATACCGAATCTGCCACAAACGGGGCCGTGGAATTGAGCGCCCAGAAGTGGGAGCAGCGACCGTTTTTTGTCCAACTGTCACTGGCACTGGCGCTGGGACTAAGGAGTACTTGCAAGCGTCAAAAGAGATACGATCCAGGTACCACATTACGAGCCTGCGAATATCAAGCTGAGGATAAGACCAGGACCCCCTATCCAGGGCACGTCATTCGTGCTTGCCTACCTGTGGACCACTGTGGGTTTTCAGGATCATCAGTAACGTCGATCGGAGACCAGCAGTAAGATCGATTACTGAATAGCAATGTTGTTCCTGTCGACTTGATTTGCCATGCGGCCAAGACTTTGCTTACAATTGTACACAGCAGAGAGGATGGATGATGGATACGGTACTCCTGATATTCTCAGGAGTCTAGACCTCTTTTGTCTTTCTAGATCGTGCAGCTCTAGTTCAGGGCGGACCCCTCGAACATTGGCCTCCACGAACCAGGGGGGGTGCCTCTCATTTGCGCACAAACGCTGCGAATGCTTTGCCTTGAACGCCACATCTGTCGCAAGGGCAGCCATGTAGCCATGTGAAGATGCTCCAACAGCGGAACGGAACCACACGGCTAGCTGTCTGGTCTCTTCTGAACATGGCCCCCCAGTCAGAGGCTGCTAGTTGCCGAGTGGCGTTCCTCTCCACCACACGCTGGCCATGATGTACTTCTTTCAGCTCCAAGGCGAGTCTCCTGGAGCCTTTCTCTTATGCCTCCATGTCCCAACTTCTCGTTCCCATCCCATGTACACACCTACTGTCCGGCTTCCCAAGCCATGAAAGACACGCTTCAAAACATTGTATTCTCGACACTCGCTCTCCGCCAGCTTATCACGATCAATAAGGTTCTCTCTTGCGATAGATAGCGGGAGGAGGCTACTCTAAGGGGCCTGCCAGGGCCTATCGGCAACCTTCATAATGAAGGCGTTCAAGTCGTACTTCACGCCAGTCTCTAAACATGACGAGAATTCGCAGCAGCCGGAAGAGCATTCGATGGTGGAGAGGAAGGCAAGAGGAACGAAGGCAAACCCGCCCGTCGCTTCCCCTGAGCCACCACGGAATCTGGTTTCGCACAACAGCCCACAGCAGGCACCGGTGATAGCAAGCTCGCTCACTTCGCATCCTCCTTCACAGTCTGGCCTCCAGCCTCTTTCTTCTGTACCACAGTCTCTCAGATCATTCAACGGGTCTCGACCACAACTGCACGGGCGGAACCACTCGGCCACCAACTCCTATGCCGGATCAATCCCAGGACGCAAGAGCCCATCCTCGCCCCGACCGACGTCCTCGCGACATTCCCTATTTCCAGCTGGCGACCGCCGGAACTCGGACTATTCTCTAATGGATATCAAGAATGACATGATGGTGAACTGGCTCTACGAGCAGCAGCTCCGCAAGCAGTACGCCTCGGGTACGTACGCCTTTGAGGGTGTCGTCCTCAAGAAAGCCCGGGGCAACTTCACCTGCTGTCCCGCCGAGATGAGCTCCATCCCGGGCTCGCTGTACACCATGGTGGCTCGGATGAATGTCCGCTGCGCAATGACCGTCAACACGCCTGTCGTGCGGGCGATTCTCGGGTCTCTTCGCCGCAAGGAGGCGGGGATCGACTACGTACCTCTCGCCGAAGGACTGCGCGTCCAGATCCTTCAAACCATGGCAGACCTTCCAAGGTGTCAGTTGCATCAGTTCGCTGCATTCATCGAGGATGTCAGCATGCTGATCGTGTGGGACGACGAGCCCGAAAAGTTGCTGGGCCGGGCGCAAAATCTGGAGATGCGTTTTATGGAGATCATTTGGGGCCGTGATGGTGAAGGAGAGGAGGAGGCGCAGGATGAGAAGGCTCAAGCCGCTGCCACCACGAATGAGATTGACGCGAATCAACTGGAGGAAGCATTGGCTCGGGAGCATAGGCCCGTCCGACTGGAAAGTGCCACGGTGGTTGCTCTGACCCTGGCAATCTGCTTGGTATGCATTGGCCTGGGCTGGAGGTGGCTGGCACTAGAGGTCATGGTCGACGGCGACTACAAGAGACTGGCATTGATAGCGGCCGCGCCGGTTCAGATGTTCGCAAGCTTGGTGAGTATTTCTGGAGAGGCGAGAGCCGTCGACCTAGTACTGACAGTTCCACCCAGTTCTTCTTCCAGGCTCTCATCGGCAATCTGTTTCAGATCTTCGGGCCCATCTCCGCTGTCACCGCCAATAGCAAGTACTACTCGGGCAAGGCTCCGCGCCGGCTCAACCGCGACATCCACACTCTCCCGCACGTCACGATTCAGATGCCCGTGTACAAAGAAGGGCTCAACGCCGTCATCCGGCCGACGGTAGTGTCTCTCAAGACCGCGATCAGCACCTACGAGATGCAGGGCGGCACCGCGAACATCTTCGTCAACGACGACGGCATGCAGCTGCTCAAGGACGAGGAGGCCCAGGCGCGCCGGGACTTCTACGACGAGCACAACATCGGCTGGGTGGCACGGCCCGCCCACTGCCCGAAGCCGGACAGCGAGAAGGGCGAGAAGTACTTCCTCCGCCGCGGCAAGTTCAAGAAGGCCAGCAACATGAACTACGCACTGCACGTCAGCAACAGGGTCGAGGACATGCTTGCTCGCATTGAACGCCCCCAAGGCTGGACCCAGGATCAAGAGTCCAGCACTTACCAACAGTGTCTGGCGGCGGCGTTGGACGAGGATGAGGGAAGAACCTGGGCGGATGGGAACATTCGTGTGGGCGACTATATCCTGATCATCGATTCGGATACGCGGGTGCCCCATGACTGTCTGCTCGATGCTGTCAGCGAGATGGAACAAAGCCCAGAGGTTGCCATCATGCAGTACACGTCGGGCGTCATGAACGTGACGACATCGTTTTTCGAAAACGGGTAAGTTTCGTCCCCTCTAGACCTGCCTGGTCACTCATAGTATGAACTCGATACTAACCGGGACTCGCTACCTAGCGTGACTTGGTTCACCCGGTTGATCTACACTGCCATCACCTTCGCTGTCGCCTCGGGTGATGCCTGTCCGTTCGTCGGCCACAACGCCATCCTGCGGTGGCGAGCCCTCCAGGATGCCGCGTCGTACTTTGACGAGGACGGCTACGAGAAGTTCTGGTCGGAAAGCCACGTCTCCGAGGACTTCGACATGGCGCTCCGCCTCCAGGTGGCGGGATATTCGCTCCGGTACTCGACCTACACCGGCAGCGGGTTCAAGGAAGGCGTCAGCTTGACCGTCTACGACGAGCTGGCCCGGTGGCAGAAGTACGCCTACGGGTGCAACGAGCTCATCTTCCACCCGTTGCGGTTGTGGCCCGTACGCGGCCCGTTCACACCCCTCTTCCGAAAGTTCATCTTCTCGTCCATCCCCTTTCCCAAGAAGGTAACCATCTGCGCCTACATCGGGACGTACTACGCCATCTCGGCGGCGTGGAGCCTGTCGATCGCCAACTACTTCATCACGGGCTGGTACTACGGGCTGTACGACAAATACTACCTTGACTCGTTTGCCATCTACATTTCCATCATCGTTGTGTTTACTGGCCTCGGGAACGTCGCGTTGGCGGTGCTCCGGTACCGACTGAGCGAACAGTCCCTCCTGGGATCTTGTAAGCTTAACCCCTTGCTCCTTACGGCGTGAAAGAGAAGATAGTGAAAGCTAACCCCTGCACAGTCTTCGAGAACCTCAAATGGATACCCATGTTCACCATCTTCCTGGGCGGCATCTCGATCCACCTCAGCCAGGCGATCGTGTGCCACTTCTTCGAGATCGACATGTCGTGGAGCGCGACGTCCAAGGAGCTTGAGGAGGTCAACTTCGGCAAGGAGGCGCTCCAGATCCTGCGCAAGTTCAAGTGGACCTTCCTCTTCTGCTTCTCGTGCACCGCCCTCATGGTCTGCGGCTACTTTGCCTTCCCCTACAACTGGCGCATCACCACCTTCTTCTCCATCTACCCGCTCGCTTCCATCGTCATCTCGCACTTTGCCCTCCCGCTGCTGCTGAACCCGGCGCTGATGATGTTTACGTGGTGATTTTGGGTTGGGGGTTCGACAACTGGGGGGTGTCTTACGGCATAACGAGTAATTCTGTTATAATATTTCAAGTGTTTGTATTGGAGTTCGACGGGGATTGACTGACTGACTAACTACATCACAATGTTTTTATTGCTAGACCTGGAGATAATACGGGGTATAGATGGACGGATGCGGACACACGTTGGCTCAGAATCTTTTTGTTTCAGTTCCAAGGCATTCGAGTTAGCTAGCATAATCGAGACCGATGCACTTTAGCCCAGCCGAGTCTCTTATTGCTCTGCTCCCAGCTGATTTCTGCACTCCTCCGCCGAGATACGGCCCGTTCCTTACGGACGAATTCCGAGCCCCCCCACCAATCCGGCAGCATCCCCCGGCAACATTCCGGGGCCCCACATGGAATTTTCGGTCCGCTACCGGTTTTCGTCGGAGGATAGGTCGGTCGGTAATAAGACGGAAAACCTTTGCCGCGGTGGGCCCCCCCGGTCTATTCCCGATGAAGTAACGAGTCACCGCGCAGGACCATCATAGGGCAGGGTGTCCTGTCTCCACACTTCATCCCCGATACTCGGCCGTTGAAGCAGGGGAGAAGACGGGCCACTAAACAGGACGGTTTTTCCAATCGAAAGGGGGAAACCCACGACACAGGACGAAGAAGAAAAGCAGGGCGTATACCCACCTCGTCCCCTTCTTTCCCTGGCCGGTTCTACACTACTACTGCTACTACTGCCAAGGAAGGAATTGGTTTCTTAGCGCTGTCTTGGCCTGCGATGAACCCATCGCGAGCTCCTCGCCACAGAACCAGGACGCCCCCTTGCACCCGACCCCCTTGTTGGCTGGATTGCCATGTCCCCGCCACCGTCCCGCCCATCCCGCTCACCACCAAGACACCCCGGATATGCCTAAGCGCACCACCACCACCGCCGCCGCCTCCCCCGAGGACGTCGAGGCCGGGCGGGCGCCGACCCCGGAGGAGCAGCAGCGGGTGTCGACGATGACGCGGCACCCGTCGTCTCTCGGGGCCGACAACCCGATCGAGCACCACTACAGCAGGCGGTCGGCACGAGCAGCAGCAGGCGGCGACGACGACGACGGGCAAGAGGAAGAGGAAGAGGAGGACGAGTCCGTGTACGACCGGCTGGCGCCGCGGCGCAAGATGCTGGTGGTGGCGCTGCTGTCGTTCTGCTCGTTCCTGGCGCCCGTGTCGAGCACGTCGGTGCTGGCGGCGACGCCTGAGGTTGCGGCTGAGTACGGTAGCACGGGGACTGTCATCAACGCGTCTAATGCTGTGTACATGCTTATGATGGGGTTGTCGCCTATTGTGTGGGGGCCGCTGAGTGAGGTTTATGGGAGGAAGTTGGTGAGTGGATTCGTCTTCTGGCTTGCTTGTTCTGCTGCGAGAGGAAAGGAGGCAGAATTTGAGAGTTTTAGGAAGAGCGGAGATGGTTGACACCGATATGCAGATAAGCCAGATCGTGGCCGTGCTGTTCTTTGGGTGCAGCATTGGGACGGCACTCGCTCCGAACTTGGCGGCCTTCTTCATCTTCAGGGCCTTGACTGCCTTCGAAGGGACGGCCTTCATCCTCGTCGGCTCAGCATGCCTAGCGTAAGTACTCCCATCCTGCTCATCTACATAACCCGGATGTTCTACACTGCCCTTCAGAATACGGATGCTCACCCACTGCTCCCACACCAGTGATATATACCGCCCCGTCGAGCGCGCCACGGCCATGGGCTGGTTCCTCAGCGGCACGCTGATCGGGCCGGCCTTCGGGCCCTTCCTCGGCGGGATCATCGTGACGTACGCGTCGTGGCGGGACATCTTCTGGCTGCAGACGGCGCTGTCGGGGGTGGCGGCCGTGGGGACGCTCGCGCTGCTGCCGGAGACGATCCACCACCGCAAGATCGACGACCTGGCGGGCCACTCGGCGCGGCAGCGGGCCGGCATCCTGTGGGGGATGATCAACCCGATGCGCGTGCTGCGGCTGTACCGGTACCCGAACCTGATCATGGCTGGGCTGGCGTCGTCGGCCGTCGTCTGGAACATGTACAGCCTCCTGACGCCGATCCGCTACGTGCTCAACCCGCGCTTCAACCTCACCACCCCGATGCAGGGCGGCCTGTTCTACCTCGCGCCCGGTTGCGGCTACCTGACGGGGACGTTCATGGGCGGCCGGTACGCGGACTACGTCGTGCGGCGGTGGATCGTCAAGCGGGGAGGCGTCCGCGTGCCCGAGGACCGCATGCGCTCGGCGCTGCCCTTCATGGGCGGCGTGATCCCGGCATGCATGCTCGTCTACGGCTGGAGCGTCGAGAAGGAGGTCGGCGGCATACCGCTCCCCGTGGTCATGCTGTTCGTTCAGGGCGTGGCGCAGCTGTTCTGCTTCCCCAGCCTCAACACGTACTGCCTGGACGTCATGCAAGGGCGCGGCGCCGAGGTCATCGCGGGGAACTACTTTGTGCGGTACCTGTTCGCCTGCGCCGCGACGGCGTGCGTCTTGCCGGCCGTGGAGGCCATGGGTGTCGGCTGGTTCTCGACCATCAGCGCGGCCTTCCTGGTTGCCGCGACGGGGTGCATACTTGCGGCGATCTGGTGGGGGAAGGGGTGGAGGGACAACGTGGATCGGAAGAAGGATCGGAAGAGGCGGGCCAAGAGGGAGAAGGAAACACCCGCGAGCGGAGCGCCGGGCCAATTGGGCATGGAGATGGAACTTCGCGGCGATGGTGAGGACGGCGGAGAGCCGAAGACGACTTCAACTGATCCAACTGGGGGTGTCGGTGAAAAAAGGGGTTGACGATATATACTTTAGGTACAGTACATCAATAGGTCCATACAACATACAATGGATACCAACCTCGAGGCACGGACTCGTTCAAGCCAATTCGATTTTAAACTTTCTCAACACTTTGCCCGGATGAATCACACCCTGTCCGTTATTTTGAATCTTCTTGTTGTGTTATTTTGTTCTGTTCTTTTCTCCTCTCTCCCCCCATCTCTTTTTTGCTCCAAGATGGTTGCATACGAGATTGGCTACATAGTGGAGGTAGATACCACCATCCATCCCTCATTTCCAAGGCTTCTAGAACCTGTAGATCATGCCACAAATGATCGACCTGGGTTGTTGCTTGACGAATCGAGTCTTGGCATGAAACATGTTGTGTGTTGCTTCGCCACACAAGCACGCGCGAGTATGGTTTCGGTTTCATGCTCGATAACCCGACGCCCGCCAGAACCTAAATTGACTGGCTTCTGCTTATGTATGTACGGGGCCTCGTATCATTCAGCATTATTAGTATTCCAGACGAGCGACTAGGCGACTGGATGATCAAGGTTCCTTTTCATTGGGCGCTTCCAACCCTCTGATGTAGTACGCAGTACACTGTCACCCTCCCCCCCCCCAAGGAACCGGGAGGCTAGTAGGGACGGGAACTTGCGGGAATGTTCGTCATCCAGGACGGGAGGCATGAACCAATCCAGCGGCTCTGCAACTCGAAGAGTCCAGACCGTTGCTATCGGACAGGGATGATGCCCATCTTGGGCCTTTGGGACGGATGATACCTTGGCACCTCAAACGCTCCACTGATCTACACTGCTCCTGAGACAGCCGGAGCTCGAGGGCTTTTATTAGACTCTCGTTTCTGCGCCCTACGCCGATCGTCACCAGTCGCCCTGCCAGGAACCTGGCATATCACGCATCTCACGCACATTCTGGCGGACAAGCGAGGCAGATCAATCTTTCTGTATGCGCAAAGACCTACTAGGCGATCGTCGACCCATCGTCACAGGCACTCAGCAGCTCTCTCACATTTGGATCCCGAGTCGAAACCATGGCCGGCATGCAACCATCAATGGGGCTCTTGTGTGCTCTCTCACTTATGGCTGAATCATCTAAAACTGTATGCAGGCTCTGTTTCCTTGCCCCGGGAGGAGGAGACAGCACCCATGCCGGTCCCTCGACCATTTGGGACATTCGAGGCAAGATTTTAGTCAGGCTTTCTTGAAGGCGTTGTTTGGCCAGGCGTTGTTGGCCATGCGTTGTTAGCCTGCCGATCTGGGAATCTGAAGCATTGGATAAACAGGTGAGAGGGCAATGTGGGTGTCGCGGTGTCGCCGATCGACGTATACCTTGCCTTTCCAAAGCTTCTCTTTCCTCAACATCTACCTGTACATCGAGAGTGGCCCCCCCCACGGAAGATACAGTTCCTTGTGCGTCTTGACGTCCGACAAGTCCAAGGTTCTTTCTGCCTCCACACCACGTCTGCGAAGCAGCGTTCGTTACAAATTTACTTTTTTCCTTGAGCTTGTTCTGGAAAGTATTGCCTGTTTCTTGGTCTCTTCTCCTCCCCTGCTCTTCTGCCTTCCCGAACATCAAGAGGTCGGGTGCTGTTCTTTTTTGTCGTGTTTGGTTGGCTTCTACCTTCTCTGGCCAACTATCATTCAGGCTGTCTCCTCTTCACCTTCATGTCCAACTTCGCAGGCACTCGTTAGAGCTGGTTATCACCGATGTGGACAGCTGCGACCTTCCCCATATATATATATACCCCTTCCAGTTATGAAGCTAGTCCCGCGGTTAACAAGGAGTAAATCCTACACCTTCCCAGCCTTCTCGCCGGGCAAAGACTCATGCTTTCTTCTCTCACCAATGCATCAGAAGTCCGAGCTTCGAGTTCGAGCCTTGTTCACACACTGCTTATATCGGAGAGTCATATTATGGACCGCTACTGTGCTCGTCCTCGTCTTCCTAAGCCTGTTTTCCCACGGGCTACGTCCAGGGAGTGGAAGGATACTGGATCTGGTCAACTTCCGCAATGGAGGCCAAGATAAGGCGGCTGCAAGTGCACAGGACAGTCGCAAGGATGGCTTGGGCACAGAGGAGAAGCAGAACATGCCCCACTGGATCAAGTACAGGCAGTACGTCTCCAGTTTGACGCTCAGTGTACACCCAGAGATCTTCCAACTAATGCACTCAGTCTTGATGGCTACTTCACCGGACTGAAGGCGATAGTGCCTTTGTCGAACTACACGCCCGAGTTCCCGAGAGGAGGGGACGAGAAACCACCGCCCTCCATAATTATAACCAATAACGGTCTACCAACTCCGACGCCGTTCATTCCATATCCCGACTATAAGTCTTCAGAGTACACAAGTAAGCACCACAAGGTTCGTCCCTGCTACCTGGACCCGGACGAGACGATTCCCGCCCCAGATCTGTACGCCTACGACGGTGTCGTCCAGGGGCAGCCCGAGCCTGTGATCGGATCACACAGCGTCCTCGGCTTGAGAGATGATATATGCTTCGACCGCTTTGGCCGATATGGCCCGTATGGCCTGGGGTACAGCTATGATCAAGGTGGCCTGCAGGAAGGCATGGACACGGAGAGGAGAGGCAGCGAGATTGTCTGGTCGAAGACGGGTAAGATCGATTACGGCATCATCGACTGGGGCGATGCCCAGGAGAGATGCAACGAGGCCAACAAGGAACGCTTCAGCGCCCCGGACGAAGACGAGTCACTGTCGACGGTGCCCGCCCCGGTCTCCGAGAAGCAGCGCAAGGACGAGGAGCAGGCGCGACTGCAGCAGAACGGGAAGCAGAAGATCGACCGCATCGCCGTCGTCATCCGGTCGTACGTCGGCTTCAAGTGGACGCGGCACGCCATCCTCAACTTCCGCGCCATGATCTCGGAGCTGGCGCTGCGGTCGGGCGGCGAGTACACGGTGCACTTCCTGCTGCACGTGCGCGACAACAAGATCCCCATATGGGCGGACGCCGAGACGGCGCAGCGCGTGCTCGACGAGAGTGTGCCGGCTGAGTTCCACAGCAGCTGCACGCTGTGGTCCGAGGCGCAGATGCGGCTCATGTACCCGGGCGACTTCTCGCCGACCGTCGAGAACCCCAGCCGCGCCGACGTCCACGGCGTCTACCGGAGCGCCCACATGCCGCTGCAGCACTTCGCCCTGTCTCACCCGGAGTACAAGCACTTCTGGAACTGGGAGATGGACATGCGCTGGCTGGGCAACTACTACGAGCTGTTCGACCGCCTCGGCGCCTGGGCCCGCGACCAGAGCCGCGTGGGCATGTGGGAGCGCAACGAGAAGTACTACCTGCCGCACCTGCACGGATCCTGGGAGAACTTCACGGAGCAAGTGCACGTCGAGACGAGGGAGGCGGGCCGGCGGCCGGTGCTGGGGCCGGTGCTGTTCGCGGGCCGCAGCGGCGTCCGGGCCGAGGAGCAAGGGGCGACGTTCCTGCCGAGCGGCTGCGGGCGGGGCTCCGATCCGGAGGACATGATGCGGTGCGGCGTCGGCGAGGACGCCGACCTGATCACGCTCAATCCGCTGTTCGACGCCGAGGAGAGCGGCTGGGTGTTTGCGCGGGACGTGACGGGCTACGACGACAGCTACCCGCCGCCGCCGCGGCGGAGCGCCATCATCACGGCGAGCCGGCTGAGCAGGCGCCTGCTGGCGGTGATGCACGAGGAGACGTGGAGGCTGCGGCACAGCATGTTCAGCGAGATGTTCCCGGGGTCGATGGCGCTGCACCACGGGCTCAAGGCGCTCTACGCGCCGCACCCCGTGTTCCTCGACCGCGAGTGGGGGCTCGACACCGTCGACGCCAACTTCAACGGCGGCAGGGACCGCTCCACCGGCGGCCACGGCAGCCCCTTCGACCTGGCCAACGAGCACAACCACAAGGGCGCCAGCTGGTACTACAACAGCGAGTTCGCGGGCCTCCTGTGGAGGCGCTGGCTAGGGTACGCGCAGGCCGACGGCAGGGGCAGCGACGGCGGGCGCGCCGGCGAGGGGACGCCCAGGGGCGGGCGCGAGGAGGAGGAAGGGCCCGGGGGGACGGGCCGGATGTGCTTGAGGAGCATGCTGGTGCACCCGATCAAGTGGGAGAATCCTGGCGAGCGCCGTGCATAAGACATGAATAGCTAGGATTGGGATGGGATACTCGCACGCCGGGCGGGTTTGTGTGTTGGGTTGCTTGCCCGCCCTTGGTCTTGCTAAGAAGGGCGGGTTTGTCTGGGTTCTCTCAAGTATTGAGCTTGCACTCCGGTTTTCCTTCTCATGGTTTTAGATTTCCGTACAAAAAAAACGGGGGGGTGGGTAAGGGGGCTACACGGTTTATGGTTCTGGTTTGGGTGGCATTGGATTGTTGGCGCAGCTCATTATGTATCTAGGCAGGCTATACGGATATCAGCTGAGGTGTTAGATCAGACTGACCTTGCTCTTCCGGGCACTTGGAAAACGGAGTTTGGGAGGTCCGGTATTGTGGGTTGTATGTTAGGTTGCGTACGCCGAGAGGCTTTGTGTATCTATGCAATCCGAGCCCTTTGCTTCATTGCATTATGGACAGGAATACATATTATTTATACTTGATTGAATTCACGCTTGTGGTGCTATATTCCGCACCTGAACCCGGTGACAACCTTGTCATGATCTTGATAACATTCCATGTGAAAGCCAGGCTTTATTAGTAGGGAGACCTGTTGGAACCTGTAATCTTTCACAGACCACACGTTTTACGACGCTTTGCTTATTCGGACTTTTGCGATTGATACCCCCAGATTGGCACATGATTCACAGCTTTGAGCCTCCTCCCTGCAGCTCAACAGCCCCCCGGCCATACACAATAGCCTGGTCAACATCCAATCCCTCCACGGCCTTCTCATCCGAATCAGGACCAGCCAGACCTCTCTTGCGCAGATACCGCCGCGTCATAGTCCGCACCTCAGGACCATCGTCCGACTGCGCATCGACCACCAGCAGTGCAGCCATCAGAATCTCAGCAATGCGAAACGCAATATCCCCCGCCTCCGCCAGCAGCGCCTGCCCACCCCCCCCTTCAATCTGGGCCCTGACGCGCCGCCACTCGCGCCGCACCGCCTCCGGCGCGCCCCCACCCCCGCGCTCGACGACGAGCCAGGCCAGGGCGTCGAGGCTCCGGCGGCCGTCGCGCGGGTGGCGCAGGGCGCGCAGCGAGTCCGAGGCCAGGACGTCGGTGGTGCCCTCCCAGATGGGCAGGACGCAGGCGTCGCGGAAGATGCGCGCCACGTTGGCGTGCTCCGTCTCGGCGTTGACGAGGTACCCGACCCCGCCGAGCGCGGCCATGCAGGAGTGCAGGAGCGGGACGGCGCGCGAGCACGCGTACGCCTTGAGGAGCGAGGGGAGGACCCGGAGGAGCGGGGCGACGTGCTCGGGCGGCGGGGGATGGGAAGTCGAGAAGGCGCTGCTGCTGGGTGTGTGGGGGTCGGTTTCGTCGAGGCCCATGATGTGGATCGTGTAGAAGGTTAGGAGCATCAGGGCGTGGTACTCCCCCGTGATGGTGGCGAGGGTGCGCATGTGGAGCGCGTTCTTCCACAGCGGGATGCGCCGACCCTTGCCGGCGCCGACCTCGCGGACGAGGGCGTAGGATTTGGCGATGGCGAGCCCCCGGCCGAGGTATCCCAGCGACGAGATGGCCGAGTGCACTCGCGTGATGGTGAGCATCGTGCTGATCTCGTGGATCCCCCTGCCCTCCTCGCCGATCATCCAGCCTCGCATCCCCTGTAGCTCCAACTCGGCCGTCGGTAGCGACTGCGTGCCGAGCTTGCTTTTCAGCCGCTGGATGTTGATGCCGTTGAGCTCCGTCCCGCCCCTCCTCCCCGTGGCGGAGACGAGCGACGGGTTGTGCCGCCGCGTGGGCGCGAAGAAGGCGCTGAGGCCCTTGCCCGGCCGCGTCTTGGCGAGTAGGATCGTCATGGACGAGTCGGTCGCGCTGGAGAACCACTTGAAGCCGTCGATGGACCACGGGCCGAGCGGGATCCCGCCCTCGACGTCCGCGAGCGGCGCCGCCTGGCCGTCGGGGAACGGTGCGTACGTGGCCACCGTCTCGGTCTGCGAGACGTCGCTGCCGCCCGAGCGCTCTGTCATCCACTGGCCGCTTGTCCAGGCCCGGCTGGGGTCCCGCGAGGTTAGCCGGTCGAAGGCGTCCTGCATGACCCGCCTCTGGGTCGGTTCAAGGTCGTTCTTGGCGAGGTGAAGCTGGAGGAGGCGCGCGGCGCCGTCCTGCATCGCTGCTGGACAGAGGGTGTTTGCGCAGGAGGCTTCCCAGATGTGCAGCCTTTGTTTGGGGTATGTAGTGAGTTCCTGGATCCTGAGGATGGGCTGTCGGAGGGGTGCGATGGCTCACCTGAGGCACTGAATGGTCCTTGTGTATTGTGCATAGTCGCTGTCGTAGTTAAAAGCAATAACACTGATCACACGTTGAGTCCACGTCCCTCGGAGGTTGATATCGGTGGAGCTTCACTTACCCCTTTTCGATACCAAAGTCTTGGAGTTTCCTCCAGCCTTCAGTGACGACAAGCTCGCTCTTCGGCTTGCCAAATGCATCCCGGCCGTTCCCGCGTAGATAGGGCAAGTTCTTTTCGGCATCGGTTACGTAGTTGAAAATGTTGTCTGACAGGACATCGTCACCCAGTTTCGAGAGATCTGGTTCGACGGTCTTGAAGACGGAGGGTGGGAGGAACACTGAGCAGTTGTCAACTGATGCTCGCAGGACCTTTCTGCGAGGATTTCTGGTCTCAAGATAGTCTCATGGCTATGCTCACATTTGACGATTCGCTGGATGCTAACGTCGTCATATAGCTGGTTCTTCAGGATAGGCTGGTCCTGGAAGAACCCCTTGTTCGAGCTTGAAGCCTCCATCATGACAGCTGAAACGGACTTGCAAGTAGGGCAGGTTGTTGCAAGTAATGCAATACATAGTACATCACTCCATGATTTTCACGTATGATTACAGCTGACGGATCCATGGCCACTCACTCGTGAGGCAACACCACCACCAACCCACCCTGCCCTGTTTAGACCGAGGCATGTGGAGTCGAGGTGGAAGGAACATGCGGGGGCGGAAAGAAGCCGCTCTGATCCCTGCAATGCGGAGAACGACCCGGGGCATAAATTAACTAGATCACGTGCACACGCCCCAATGCGGGACCGTCGCGTCGCGAGATCATCTGCCTCAAGGTTTGTCTGTCTTCGGGACTCTTCAAGAATCTCCAGGTTGCCATTCACCGTCGCTACACATCAATGGTGAAAGACGTCATTGCCATTTCCGATGACGAGGATACCGCCTCTTCAGCCGACCTGGGACCATCGCGACCCAGCGCTAAAACACTGGGCAAACGGAGACTCAGCTTGTCCGAGGCGGAGGAGAAGGTCGAGTGGACCGATGATTCAGACGATGCCTACACAAACTTCAAGAATCGAGCAAAAAGGCGCTCGACTGGAAGGGGAAGGAAACCTGCGGGAAAATCCGGAGATGCGCGAAAGAAGGAGAAGAAGACAACTACCTCTGGCTCGAAATCCGCGGTGAAGGACGTGGGCAAGTCGGGCGCCGCCGTGGATGATTATGCCGATGCCGATATACCCGAGTACCTGCGACAACGACGTAGGGAGTTTGACCAGGCGCGGGATACCTTGAGAGAAGCCGGGTTGAAGCTGCCGCCCGATTTCGCCGACATTGATTTCTCAGACGACGAACGTCTCCAGACCTTGGACGAGCGGCCAAAGTTCGATGACAGCAGCGGCATCAAGCCCTCGCGGGAGCATAAAGAGATTGAGTTGGAATGCTCGGCTGGCTTGATACCCGCCTCTATTGCGCAGTACCTGCGTGACTACCAGATTGTCGGAGTCAGGTTCCTCCACCAGCTGTTCGTCTACCAGAAAGGCGGCGTCCTTGGGGATGACATGGGTCTGGGAAAGACTGTTCAAGTCGCCGCATTTCTTGCCGCGGCATTTGGCAAGAGCGGAGACGAGCGCGACGCCAAGAGGATGCGCAAGATGCGCCGTGCTGGTGACCATTGGTATCCTAGAGTGCTAATAGTCTGTCCCGGCTCATTGATTCGCAACTGGAAGAATGAGCTGAATCGCTGGGGCTGGTGGCATGTGGACTTGTACCATGGAGCTGACAAAGAGGACGTTCTGCAAACGGCTCGCGCGGGGAGACTCGAGATCATGATTACCACATACGTGACATACAAAAATAACCAAAGGGCCGTTAACGCTATCCAGTGGGATGCCGTGGTCGCAGACGAGTGCCATGTCATGAAGGACCGCCTATCGGAGACAACTCGGGCAATGAACGAGGTGAATGCTCTCTGCAGAATCGGACTCACCGGAACAGCTATCCAGAACAAGTACGAGGAACTCTGGACTCTCCTCAACTGGACCAACCCCGGGCATTTTGGGACGATCGCCGAATGGAGGCAGACTATTAGCAAGCCCCTGACCGTCGGCCAGTCACACGATGCCACCCTTCACCAGCTCAGTGTGGCACGGAAGACAGCGAAAAAGCTGGTGCAGAATCTGCTCCCGGAATTCTTCTTGCGCCGCATGAAGACCCTCATTGCGAACCAACTGCCCAAGAAGAGCGACAAGGTGGTCTTCTGTCCCCTCACCGATGGTCAGAGGGAGGCTTACGGGAATTTTCTTGAGGGATTTAATGTATCCCTCATCAATTCCGTGGCTGACCCATGCCCATGTGGCTCTGGCCGAAAAAGGGGGTGGTGCTGCTACTCGAACCTGCCGAATGGGAAGCCGTGGCAGGCGATCGTCTTTCCGACGGTCATCACGCTGCAGAAGCTCGCAAACCATCTTACCCTCCTTATCCCCTCGTCGAGCGACCCGACCGACAAACAGAAGTCGGAGCTAAACACACTGCAGACCTGCGTCCCAGACAACTGGGAGGAGCTTTACCGCAATCGAGACTCGATAATGAATCTTGCCAATCCCGAATTCTGTGGGAAGTGGAAGGTTCTGAAGAAGCTCCTCCGTTTCTGGCACGAGAATGGCGACAAGGTCCTCGTCTTCTCCCATAGCGTGCGACTGCTGCGCATACTGCAACATCTCTTTCACAACACCAGCTACACCGTCAGCTATCTGGACGGGTCCCTGGGTTACGAGGAACGCCAGAGGGTCGTAGATGACTTCAACTCGGATCCCGGCCAATTCGTCTTTCTTATATCCACCAAAGCTGGGGGCGTGGGACTGAATATCACGTCGGCGAATAAAGTTGTCATATTCGACCCGCACTGGAACCCGTCTTTCGATCTCCAGGCTCAAGATCGGGCCTACAGAATCGGCCAGGTCCGCGACGTTGATGTCTTCAGGCTGATCTCGGCCGGTACGATCGAGGAGATCGTCTACGCGCGACAGATATACAAGCAACAGCAGGCGAACATCGGCTACAATGCTTCAAACGAACGTCGTTATTTCAAGGGCGTCCAGCAAGACAGCGACCGGAAGGGGGAGATATTCGGCCTCTCCAACCTCTTCACCTTCCAGGCAGACCAGATCGTCCTCCGAGACATCGTCAACAAGACGAACATCGCCGAGGCGAAGGCGGGTGTCAACCTCACGGACATTGACATAGAGAAGATAGAGAAGATAGAGAAGATCGAGAAGATCGAGAAGGACGAGGATGACGCCCTCACACAGGTCAAGAAGGAAGAAGTTGACGACGACGACGGCCCCGGCGGACTGGGCCAGCTCGCCGAGCTCCTGACGGCGGAGAACAAGGAGGACCTTCTCGACGCGAAGAAGCAGGCCGGAAGGCCCCCCAAGAGCGACGCCATCGCCGCCATCCTCGCCTCGGCAGGCGTCGAGTACACGCACGAGAACTCGGAGGTCGTCGGGTCGAGCAGGGTCGAGGCGCAGCTGTCGCGGCGCGCCGAGATGGCCGGCGCAGACGGCAGCCAGTACGACCCCCGGGGCGACGACGGCGCGCTATTCGCGGACAGCCAGGTCGCCGGCGGGGCCGCGGGGGGGTCGGGGGGCGCCGGGTTCAGCTACAACCCGCCAGCCGGCGTGATGAGGCGCCAGTTCTGCTCCATGGCGAGGGAGTTTGGGTTCCTGAGCGCCACGGACTTTGCGCTGGTCGTCGAGAGCTGGACAGCGGAGCAGAGGAGGAACTGCCTCGAGACGTTCTACAAGCGGAGGGAGGCGAGGTTGCTCGAGCTGGAGTTGGAGTGCAGCACGGACTCGAGTTTATGATGTGGAGTTGTTACAGGAGTGGGTAGCTAGGTCGTTGGCTTTGGATTATCCCGAGGCTGCGACTGAAATAGGATAGGCAATTCTCAAAGATTCGATCTAATGCCGTGATCTATATGTCCAACATCTATCTTGGATAGCAACGAGAGAATCATGCTCGGGGGGGTGGAGTGAATCTGGGGAAACAGTGTGCTGCATCTTGCATAGGTGTCAATACTGCAACCACTCGACTTGAAGATGCGGGCTACCTTATTTCTATCCTGCCTCGGGCTGCTGTGCTACAGTCTACGCAGGAGGTCGAAGGATAAATAAAGCCACTTGCAGGGCTGCGAGTTTATCGCGCGAGACCAAGGGCTTGGCAGATATTGGACAGGACAAAAGATGCATGTAGGGAGTCAGGCACACCTGGGGCAATCCCATCCAGAAAATGAGGAGTGAGGCATATGCGGCTTGAACTCAGTGCCACAAGCCAAAACCAACAACATGTGACGAATGCCGCATCTCCATCAATTAATTTGAGCCGCAGTGGCCAACGGAAGTTGACCGAGGTACACCGGATCGTCCAATAAGCTGGGCTGTTCCGGGGGACGAATGATTCGAAGAACCGAAAAGCGGTTCGTTGTGTGGGGGAGCACGAGCCCTACATCTATGACGCATCTTTTCACATGTCACTGCCCACTCGTGACTGAAATTGGAATTGGAATGGAATGGCAATGCCTTCCACTCTAGAGATGAAATGCCCCGTATCCCGTCGCATTGGAGTGCCGGCCGCAGGCTGAGAGAGTCTAGTAGAGAGCAATTGGTAAACTTGTGGACTTCTATGTCACAAAAGACGATCAGCTCGCTCAGCCCTGAAAAGTCGCGAATCCGGACGAGGGGCATCCAGACCTTCTGTCGGCGTCCCGGCATTCGGGAAACTTAGCCAATGACGGCACAAATGTGGGGCCGCTGTCCCTTTAAGCCGAATCGCCTCTCTCCCTTTTAAGCGTGGGGAGGCGGCGCATGGGCTGGATCGAGGTCATGCAAGGGTTTTAAAGAGCCTCCCGAGGCAAAGATGACCATGGAGCCGCCCTGTTGCCAGAGTCATCGCGGGGGACCTCCAACGTATTGCCGCCCGACCGATCTGTCCCGAGATCTAGCCCACTCCAGCCAGGGATTAGACTCTGACTCTTCTGATTCACTTATTCGCTTCCCATGACATAAGGACACTGGATGATCCCTTACCCCTTACCCATTGCTCTGTCTTCTCTCTTCTTCTTCATCATCTCCTTACTTAGCCTCTCTGCTCTCCGTCCCCATAGAGCCAGCCTGCGAGACCTCCTCACAGCCTACCATCTTACCCCATTAGGTTAATTATTATATAAGCCCGTGAGACATTCACATTGCCCACCATGGCTGCCAACAACATGCTTAACCCGGCCGTGGAACCAAGCCAAGAGGATGAGCTCTTCGCCCAGGAGGTCGCCGAAGTCCAGAAATGGTGGAGTGATCCCAGGTGGAGATACACGAAGCGGCCGTTCACCGCGGAGCAGATCGCCTCCAAAAGAGGTAACTTGAAGATCGAGTACGCCAGCAATGCCCAGTCAAAGAAGCTATGGGATATCCTCGAGGGTCGCTTCAAGGTACGGTCCGCCTACTCACACAAGAGAGGTCGCCGCGAGCTAAACTGCAGTGCAGAATAAAGATGCGAGCTACACGTACGGCTGTCTGGAACCGACAATGGTAACTCAGATGGCCAAATACCTGGATACCGTCTATGTCTCTGGCTGGCAATCATCATCTACCGCTTCCTCTTCAGACGAGCCTGGTCCCGATCTGGCTGACTACCCATATGTAAGTCTAAGTCCCCATGCCACGGTTTTTGTGCCCACCCGCGCCGGACAACGGACTTACACAACCCACGCAGACAACCGTGCCCAACAAAGTCGGCCACCTCTTCATGGCACAGCTCTTCCACGACCGCAAACAGCGCCAAGAGCGCCTGTCAACACCGAAAGCTGAGCGCACCAAGCTGGCCAACGTCGACTACCTCCGTCCCATTATCGCGGATGCGGACACTGGGCATGGCGGTCTCACGGCCGTCATGAAGCTGACCAAGCTGTTCATCGAGAAGGGCGCAGCGGGTATCCATATCGAGGACCAGGCGCCGGGAACAAAAAAGTGCGGGCACATGGCCGGCAAGGTCTTGGTGCCTATCAGCGAGCACATCAACCGGCTGGTGGCGATCCGGGCACAGGCTGATATCATGGGTGAGTTGGAGCAGCTCCTCACCTTCAAGCACTGGTTATCATAAAGACACAATAGACTAACGATAGGGCTCTTCCCCACCACAGGCTCCGACCTCCTAGCCATCGCCCGTACCGACGCCGAGGCTGCAACACTGATCTCGACGACCATCGACCCGCGCGACCACGCCTTCATCATGGGCAGCACGAACGCGAACCAGCAGCCCCTGGCGGACCTAATGCTTGCGGCCGAGCGGGCGGGAAAGACCGGCCCGGAGCTGCAGGCCATCGAGGACAGCTGGCTGGAGCAGGCGAACCTCAAGCGGTTCGACGACGCCGTGCTGGACGCCATCAAGGCAGGCAGCTACCCGGACCCGGAGGGCCTGGCGGCGCGGTACCGGGCCGCGGTTACGGTGGCCGGCAAGCCGCCGCTGTCCAACGGCGAGGCGCGCGCGGTGGCGCGGTCGCTGCTCGGCGTCGACGTGCACTTCGACTGGGACGCGCCGCGGACCAGGGAGGGCTACTACCGCCTCAAGGGCGGGTGCGACTGCGCCATCAATAGGGCCGTCGCCTACGCGCCGTACTGCGACGCCATCTGGATGGAGAGCAAGCTGCCGGACTACGGGCAGGCCGAGGAGTTTGCCAAGGGCGTCCACGCCGTGTGGCCCGAGCAGAAGTGAGTGGTCAACCCTTTTTTTTTTTTTCTTTTCTATTTTTCTTTTCCCCCCTTCCCAGCCGAACCAAAACGGGCTCCAGGCTAACCAACGACCCCCCTCCCCCTCAAGACTCGCGTACAACCTCTCCCCCTCCTTCAACTGGAAGACGGCGATGCCGCGCACGGAGCAGGAGACCTTCATCCGGCGGCTGGCGGGGCTGGGCTACTGCTGGCAGTTTATCACGTTGGCGGGCCTGCACACGACGGCGCTGGCGAGCGACACGTTCGCGCGCGCCTACAGCCGCGTCGGGATGCGGGCGTACGGCGAGCTCGTCCAGGAGCCCGAGATGGAGGCCGGCGTCGACGTCGTCCGCCACCAGAAGTGGAGCGGCGCCGCCTACGTCGACGAGCTGCAGAAGATGGTCACGGGCGGCGTCAGCAGCACCGCTGCTATGGGGAAGGGGGTTACTGAGGATCAGTTCCGTTGAAGGGGGGGGGTGGGATTATACGGGTGTGAGAGATGACGGTGAAGGTAATTTGGCTTTTCGTTTCTTGAGGTATAAAAATACTTGGCTGGATGCCGAGCCTGTGTGGATCCAGGTATGGTGTTGTTGATTCGTTTGCATGTTCTTCAGACAGGCACAGTGCAAGAATGAGAAAGGGGAAAGTGCACTATGTTAAGCTCCCTCCATGTGGATGATCTCCCACTGTGATGGCTGCTCGCCCCCTTCCCCCTGCTCTTAGAGGCTGCCTCAGCCGATGAGCTCAAGCGTCCACGACTAGGTTTTGTATATGTCTCGGTCGCCGCATGCCAGGATCGATCTATCCGGCGGTTTGCCGGCACCGCAATTTCTTGGGGAGCCGCACACGCGCGACCTTCTGATATTGCTACCGGAGATGGGTAGCCAGAAAAGTTAGTCTGATACTGCTCCTAAGAACGGAAATGGCAGGAAAGGCAGAATCTCCTAGCCGCAGTCCTCAAACCGATGGTCGGCCTTAGGGTTTTCTTGATCTTTGCCATCAGAAGGAGCGGACCGTGGAGATAGACGGTAGTAGAGGCCACGCTGATGTTGACCCCATAGGTTTAAGACCAGACATGCTTGGGGCTATCGTGACTGATGAGAAAATCTTGACGATTGCAAGCAGACGACAGGCTAGAAAAACGCCCGGACGACATTGCTATCCCTTTCTGAAGGCAATTCTTGCTCGACAGGGCACTTGCCACCGTAGTTACACTTGTTTAGCTTCTTCATCCAGGCGAGCCGAGGCAAGCTCTAGCATTGAGGAACAGGCTCCTTGATCTTAGACCGTCGTCAACCGTACTCCACTAGGGACCAGAGTGACCGATTGCCCGACCTTTTCTGGAAACCTTCGACGGTTTACGGACTAGGTTTGGCCTCCTTGGGTCCCTGAAGAGTCAACGTGGCAAACCTTTGGGGAAACTTATCCTGCTCTTGCCTGAGCTTCGGCCCTATTCCCAAGGCAAATGAAGGAGCAAGCAAGCCTCGGTTTTGCTTCGACCATGCCGAGATCGCTGGTCTGGTGATGATGTTGCACTTGATACGTCACATGTGCAAGGTGGCTTGTCTCAAGCTGGACTCGGTGGAGCGGATATATTTCTGGACATTATATAGCCATCCCTGAGTAAAAGGTGTCCTCTCAGTATCGGTAGTACGAGTAGGTGGGAAGAAGGGGATGGTCAAAATCTGCAAGTATACTCAGTTCATGTTTCCAGCTGCAGTCAATGGCTATCACCCACCAGGACAGAGTTGAAAGAGCCTCCCCATATTCAGAATTGGAGCTTTAATGGAACATTCTCCGACTTAAGTTGGCTCCGATTCTCCAGTCGCACGCCACACGGTTACATCTCTTAGAGTCTCGCGGGAGAGCCGTGATACTCCAGCAAGTTTTGGCCTTACAAGTGCCAGGCAGGTAGGTCCCAGTCAGTTGGGTCGGCTCCACCACGCTGCCGAAAAGCGCAGGTTAGGACAAATTTTGCCTTTTGTCTGTAGAAGGAGCTCATATGCATCAGCAAACCGGCGTCTACCCGCGTGCAGCCTATTGCGGAGGCTCACACGCGCCTAAAGGTTGGACCAGAGGCATCCAACAACGACACATTCACTCGACAAAAAAAAAAGCAACAACAACAGCAAAGAGAAAAAGAAAGAAAATATTACCCTAGAATCGCGCAAACGCAATGAGCCTAGGAGGTGGTGTCAAGGCATGACGACGAGCGGACGTTTTCTTCTCGACAATAACGTTGGACTTTTGGTAGTGAATGGCAAGGCGCCGGGTCGTGATAGATAGGCAGCTCGGAGACGAGTCGGGATCGAACGAATCCTTTACACTGCCCCTCGACGCTCAGTTGCAACATGGCGTGCTCCGGGCATGATGTGAACGATGATTGGTAGATACAAGGTAGACAGATGCCCTTCGCCCATTTCGGGAGCGCCGAGGGAGCGCCGAGGGTGGTCCGGAGGAGGATATGGACGTTGTATCCTGGTTCGTCACCTCCCTCAAAAAAGTTGGGAAGTTTGCGGTCAAAAACTGCCTCCTCCGTTAGCGAAACTAGGTTGAGGCCGGTAGTAGCCTGTACACTCGTTTGTATCGGCACTTGACACGCTGTTCTCGGGATACCTTCATACCATCCATGGCCCCCACTTGTGGCATCCACGACAGTGGCACTGTCATGATTCCTCTCGTGCAAACTCTGCGGCCATATTTAGCCGCCCACACAGTGTCTGTCGATGCATCGGTCGAGGGAGCGGCACAGCCAGTACGCGTCGGGACGTGTGTGAATCACCACCAAGGCCACGTACTGAGGAACGCGTCCTCATGGATACGAACACGCTCACCCGTGGTGTTGAAGCCGCCAAGGGTGTTATGACCAAGCTCATCTCTCGCCGGATCTTCTTTGCTGCAGTCGATAAGCCTAATCATCCATGACAAAACCAAGGAGTCTTCTGGCATAGTTTGCCAGAACCTTCGTCCAAATCGGGGTCATTTCTGGACTGACGAAGTGATCGCAAGCTTCTGATCCTTCTCGGAGAAAGAGGCGCGGTCTTGAACTCTCTGTCAAAGTCAGAGCTTCTCCAGGCGGAAGTCGGAGTTGCTAGCGTGTGGGTCTGGCATAAGATGGACTCGCATACTCCTCGCCCCTCCCCAATGGCACTAGCTATGGGGGACAAGATATAGCTGAGGTAAACCTGGAAGCAAGACAACTCAAAAAGGACGCAGAGGATGCGATATACACCAGGTAGCCCCCTGTGGCGATACCCCCTTTATTTCAAAAAAAAAGGGGGGGGGGGGGTTCACAAACACAAATTTATTATTATTAGAGTGCTGATGCTTGCACGAAGTTCTTTGGAGCCTCAATTTTTTGTACACGTGCCTGTCATTCTGGCATCGGGGTCTGTGCGCAGCTGCGGCTCCTACGAAAAAATGGGAGGTCAAGTATGATGGATTTGGAGTTATATTGTACAGCTTTTGACTTTTAGTGCGGATGAAAATAGGTAGGTATTTGTGATCTTCACCGCTCCCCCATCCTGATCTTCTCCAAGGGCAGGCATTAAGCCTGAAGTCCTGTTGGACTAAAAATGCGTTCCTGGAACGTGTGGCTTCCAACCTGAGCTGGAACGCTCTTGGACCAGCTTTTGGGGCAAGTTCTTGTCTCAACACACAATCTACCCCTGCTTGTTAACCACCCCTGAAACAATGGATCGCCTTCGTCTTGGGCCAATCGCAAGCCACTATGCCCTTGCGCGGCAGAAGCGCGCCTACTTACCTCAGATCCTCAGATGTGGGGACCCATGCCCAACTGCTGGTTTCATCGTCAATCCCCGGGTCTCAGCTTGCAGATCCCCCCCCAGTTGCTGCGCCTCAGTGCCGTTCTCCTATCCTCACTCCCCGGTCATGGCTCCCCTGCTAGTGTCGCAGTCGCAAGGCTCTTTTTCTTCCAAATCACCCTACCGCAGAGCCCCCATACGAGAATAGGATACCGTACACTACAAGATCACAGGCACATGTACGAACGGTGCTCCACACGATTCAGATGAGCGTCTGACGCCATGATCTCCTGCAAGGATGGCTTCCAAAACGGCGGCATATCGACGTCCCACTCTGATATGCTGCCCGTGAAGAGTTCGCGCTCTCGAGCTCTCGCGGCCTCCCATTGGAGCTTTCAAGCCTCCCTAGAAGTCTAAGAAGGTTAGGCTCAAATCGAGGCTCGACCTTTTTTTTTTGCCTCACCAGGTCACGAGCAAGGATTATGGTCCATTGCCATCAAAACATGGTTTGCGACCTTTCTCCGACCCCTGGCTGTACGGAGTACATACAAAGGGTACAAACTTACCCGGATCTCACGCCGCCAGCTGCCATCCAACCCAAAACAAGCCTCCTCTCCAGACCTTGGCTACTTTTATGCGCCCCGTTGACACACCCAATTTTTCCCCTGTTGCTCCGCTCGGCGTACGCTGCATCGCTCGTTTAGTTTAGAACTCCGGAGAGGCTTTCGCTCTCGAGTTATGGTTTGGCAGATGGAAGGGGCGAGGGTCGGGGACGAGTTAAAGAGGAAGTGATTATAAGAGCAGAACAACTCTGCTCCTCAAGACTTAAGATGCTTGAACTGTTCTGGCACAGGCTCCCTCGCTTGACCCCAACAACTGAGTCAGTGCGCGTTGTGAAAGGCCCAAGATCCTAAGCTTTGAAGTCTCAAGGCCAGGCAAGGCTTGCTCGTTATTCGTTTCCTTCGGTTCCATCCAGGTCCGGTTGGGCTGGGGAACCCTAGTCCCATTGTTTCCTGGATCGTTGGCGTCTCGGCCGTTTCAATCAACTTTGGACTGTCGCTTCGAACCTCAAACGTCGATCCCCTCGATAGATCCGACCATCTCATCGTCCACATCTCACCGTACGTACACTTGCCCGTCCACCCTCCTTCCTCCACTCAGGAACCGAATTTCGACGATATATCTCATCTAACTCGAGCGCAGCGAGTCTGGACAGGAACTATTCGAACAGCAAAGGGCAGCTTTGTCATCCGCAAGGTGGCCACTGGAGCCAGGTAGAGGTGAGATAGCCATCCTTCCTCGCCCAAGGGAGTTCAATATGCTGACACTCGTCAAGACCAAGCACCTTGCAAGGTTAGACCTGTCTGGGAGTGTTTTGAGGGATAGCACGATCTCTCTGGGAGCGGTGTCAAGAAGTCAACGTCATTATCGTTGCGTTCTCAAGCCACTCGTGTGAAGGAGAAAGAGGGGAGGCACAGTGACCCACAAACGGTCACGACCTTGGCGAATCTCGGCTGGCGATTAAACCATGAACGTCAAATCCCTTTTAACCTTGCCGTCGGAGTCGGTGGACTCCACTGGCCAGGCGGGAGGCAAGACGGGTGGCCAGACGACACATTCATCAACCCCGGAGGCAACCAGGCCTTCTATGGTCGTCGATACAGGATCTCGACCACCAAGTCCGTCCCGACGCACAGGTGGATCGGGGACGCCTAACCAGAACAGGATCCCCTGGGACGGGGGCGGCTATTCATTGCCATTCCCAAGAGTGAACACATCGATTCATACCACGGCAGCTCCCGAGCCGGGACTCTACAGTGAATCCCGGATGGTCGACTTACCGCCGGGCAGCCCGAAGTCGCCCAAGCATAAATTATCGGATTCCAGGAGCAGTTCGTCCTCATCACGTCCCGATATCTGCAGCACCCCGCACTCTCGGATATCATCAACATCGACACTCAACGAGTTCCATGCCACGGCAAAGCCTGCTCCCGAACAGCAGCCGGTGGACGACAGAATGGCCACCGACCACGAAGTCAGACGCCCGATTGCCGACGAAGTAGTCGGCCACACCCAGTTGGGCGCGACTACGACGCAGACCAGCAGCAGCATCTACGCCACAATCCACCCGTTCGCCCTTGGAGGACCGTCCCGCGGGCCCGGATCTCCTTCGGATGCGCTGTTGATCATGCGTGGTGGCATCTCAAATCCTCCTAGGTATGTCAACTCCCCTCCGTCGCCACGCCCACCATTATTAGACCACTGCCCGGTCGAACTTTTTCAGAGTAATCACATGTTGCGGGCAGAATTGCTAACATGGATATCGAAAAGCCCGATGGAGCCACCGCCCGACGCCAACCTGCTTTCTGCGCCAAGCCCTTCTTCGCCTGGCGGAACCCACAAGCGCTCAATCTCTGCCCCTGGGGCATCTACAGGCTTTGGGGGACAGGGCGAGGGGCCACCTCCTCCCCTCCCTCCACCACAGCAACCGGAGCCATCATCTAGTCCCGACCAGGGAGTATACGGATGGAGCACGGAGACCAAGCCCGACCTTGAGGCTGATCTTAGGTGCATGTTCACGGATAATTGTCCCAACGACCAGGGCCAGCTGCGAAAGGCAATCTCGCACCTCTTCGGTAGGAATAAATCCTGCACCCGATCCATCCCCCCACAGGTGTGGGTCCACTTCTGCCGGAAACATTATCAGCGAAGTCGCTATCGCAATGGTTGTGGATATTCCAAGATGCAGTGCGAACTTGTTGGGGTCCAACTAGACAGGGTGGAATATTGGAGCGACAACAACAGGCGAAACAATCAGCCCGGTGTCGTTCGGGGTTGGGAACTGGCGATCCGAAAGCGTGAGAAGGAGCGCATCGATAAGGACCCATCCGGGAGCAAGAAACGGCCTCGCTCGGACGACTCGGAGGAGATGGGTGAAGAACCCGGACCCACGAATGGCTGTGTCGGTAACCCCGAGGTCGGCAACAACCCTCCCGTCGCCACGGACCCCGCAGTCGTCAGAGGGACTGCCGTGCCTGAATGGCTGCTGGATAATTGCAGGAAAGGCTACACCACGAAACAGATCAAAGATATCGTTAAACGCATCGGCGAAGCGCTCAAGTCGGGTGCTCTCACCCAAGTCCCAGACATTGAACTCCTTGCGGACATCACCGGCCCCGAAACCAACACCCCGAAGCCTTGCGCTAAGAGGAGGGCCACCCATGAGCGATCGCAGTCTGTTGGAAGTAGCACGCGGGCAGAAGGGCATTCTACGAAGCGTCGTGTCAGCCATCCAACAATCGTGGAATCGCCGCGATCCAACGTGCCCCCTCCACAGACCCGCGATCGATGGCCAGACGCCGTGTACCACCAGCAGCAGCCGTATATTCCAGTGAGACCATCAATTCCGGACCTTCCCTACCTTGGCAGCCAGAACCAAGGCCCCAATATGCAGCTACCAATGAACGAACTTCCGTATCGGCCTGCTCCTTACATGCGAGGAAACGAGCCCTCGCCGGCACAAGTGCTGCATCACCCCCCGCATGGCACCATGCGGGATGGCCCCCTGCCGGCGCCAGCGCCCCGGAGGACTGGGTTCCAAAGTGTGGCCCACCTTCTTGAACCCCGCAGCGGCCAACCGGACCCCACGGTGGTGACCCGCGACTCAGCTCCCTACAGCAATCCCCTTTCTCGCCCGTCTCACAACCGCTCTTATTCCGATGCCTTCCCTAGATATGGCAACCCGCCGGAAGCCTGGCACAGTCCCGCAGTTCCATATACTCCCGTGCCGGGCCTGTATAATCCCCCACCAGCGCATGAATACACGGACAGGTACGAGAATGGATACACATCAGCGGAGCGGCAACCATCCAACTATCAGGAGGTGCCACCTCCCCAGTCGCACCACTTCCAGCCGTCGCACCCCCTCCTGCCTCGGGTCTTGCTCAGATGCGGAAGATCCCCCACGGCCGGGCCAGGGCACTCGCGCCACCAGAGCACTCCCGTCGTCCCCTTCGACCCCCGGCCGCCGACGCCGATGGACGAATCCGGCCCCGGCCCCGGCCCCGGCCCCGGCCCCAGCCACACTCGCCGCCAGTCGCACGCCTTCGGCGCTGTGGCGCGGGTCATTGAGGAGGACCAACACCTGGGCGAGGGCCATATGCCGTACCACGAAGGGGGCGCTTCTTTCTTCGCACACCGTCCTCCCTGGGCCCCTCGTCGCTAAGAACTTGAGGGCGCGGATTCGATCAAGTCGGGGGTTATTTGTCTTTTCTTTTCCTTTTGGCTTAGTGTCATTGCGCCACTAACCAACCCCCAGACACACTGTGTGTGCCGAGTTTTTGTGTTGATTAATATTGCCTTTCGTTTGTGTTTAACTTGTCGTGTATTATTCTGGTGGGATCGTTCACTTGGGATCGTTTCCAAACCACCTCTCTTCGCCGTTCTCTCCTTCTTTTTGCTCTTCTTTTGGCAGCTCCCCCTCCCCGAAACACTCCTCTTCCACCAGCAGCAAAACTATGAAAAGGAGAAGGGCGGGGGGGGGTGGCGCGCGATTTCCTTTTCTTATCCTATTTTCCTTTCTCTTTGCCTATTTTTGTCTTTTTGGAGCAATGGTCGGATGGTCAGGGACAGTGGGATAGATGGGTGCCAGGGTTACTCTCAGGAGTTAGCAGACGACAGGAGGAAAAGCGTGGGAGGAGCAATGGCGTTTCGGTATGGAGTCTTTCTTGGGGTTTCATTTTGAGAGTATCCCAGGGCTACCCATCCACACATGATATCCATCCATCCCTGATGAAGCAAGGGTGATTTACAATAGCTAACTTAGAAAAACAAAAACAAAAAAAAAAAACCGATTATTTTTGTTCTTATCAACCTCCATGCTATCCTTTCGGTGATATATTGCGATAAATATGGGACTGTCTTGGCTCATTTCGGATGAACACCCCGAGCACAGATGGAAGCATCTATGTAGGTACAGTACCTGCCCAAAGCTTGCCCTTCCTTACCTGCCTACTAGGCGGTACGTAGGTAGGTATATATAGAGGCTTAGAGAACAGTACTGTCACATACGACCATACCCACTGGAGAACTCGGGATCCCGTCCGCTCTCCCATAGATAAGCCAGTGAGGGCCAGACTAGTAGTTGGGTCGGTGACGACCAGCGAATCCCTGGTGTTGTATGTTTTTTGCTCCATTGTTTTTGTTTTTGTTTCTTTTTGAACATCTGGAGAGCTCGATTGCATGTACGGAATACGATGGATTTAATTGGACAGGTAAGAGCCAATCGTCTCATTGGGAATTGAAAGGCCCCTCGACCAATGGCCAATGGGTTGGTGTGTAAATGGCCAAGGATATATCATAGCGCAACGGTGAGACGGGCATCTGAAACGATACACGGAGACCCGGCGTACGGAATACGGACACCTTGCCTGGTTTATGGCATTTTCTTCTGCGATATTGATATTGGTGAATCTGGCTGTAGATCGAAACCTCGTTGTTTCCGAGGCTTATTCGTTGGTCTACGGACTGTTACACACAAGTGACGTTGCTGCCATACCCCGCGGGCCAGTGGCTGGGCGGCTGAAGCACCTCTCATAATCTGTCCTTGTTCGGTTCTGCGAATAACTAAATAACCGAATAACTACTGCTTCGAAGCATGGTCTCTTCAGTATTTCTCTTGCTCGGCGCCGTCACGGCCTGGGCGGCGTATAGCGTCATCTTCGGGTTGCGAGCCAATCTTGCAAAGGCACGCAAGACAAATTTTCCGTGCATCGCTGTCCGTAAGTGCTTTCTGATCCTTCCAGGCCCCGTGAAGCAGGGAACCCCTATAGAGAACACGGGCAGCTCACACGTTGGACTTCCACAGCAATACACCCGCACAATCGACTATGGCAGCTCACATCCTTCATGTGGTTGCCCTTCCTGAGGCTCCTCCCAAAGTCATGGTGGGACTACTCGCTATTGTAAGAGAGATGGAGAGCTCATGCCTTGCTTGTTCGTGCCTACGTCATCAATACTGACGGGGACACTGAAATGTAGCTCCTTGGAGCCGGAGTGGTCGTTCCATAGCTCCCTCGCGCCGTTCGAGCGCCACGGTGATACCTTTATAGTATGTAGCCCCGGCGGGATGGTCATGTTCACCATGAACGCCGAGGCGATCCGGCAGTTCACCTCGCGGCGCGAGCACTTCCCCAAGCCGATGGAGAACTACGAGATCCTGTCCATCTTCGGCAAGAACGTGCTCGCGACCGAGGGCCCGCTGTGGCGGATGCACCGGCGGGTGACGGCGGCGAGCTTCAACGAGCGGAACGCGGCCCACACCTTCGCCGAGGCCGTCAACCAGGCGCAGGGCATGATCTCGTCGTGGCTCGGCCCGGACGGCCGGCCCGCGGGGACCATCGCCTCCCTCGAGCGCGACACCCTGACCCTGGCCCTCAACATCATCGGCTACGTCGGCTTCGGCCTGCGCCTGCTGTGGCCCGGCCAGACGCTGCCCGCCGACACGGACCCCCGGCTCGCCAAGTACGGCACCCGCGACCCGCCCCCGGGCCACACCATGAGCTTCACGGACGCGCTGGCCACGACCCTGGAGAAGCTCATTGCGCTGCTCATCGTGCCGTGGCCACTACTAAAGATCCTCCCATTCAAGTGGGCGCGGGTGGCGTGGGAGGCCAAGGAGAACTACGTGGGCTACATGGACGAGTTCCTGCGCGACAAGATCGACGAGGTGCGGTCGGGCGAGCGGGAGAAGGAGGGCATGGACATCATGGGCCAGCTGGTGCGGGCCAAGTACGGCGGCAAGTCCGGGGACGGCAGCGGCAGCGAGCTATCGGACAGCGACATCACCGGCAACGCCTTCATCATCATCGTGGCGGGCCACGAGACGACGGCGGGGACGCTGCACTTTGCGCTGCTCGAGCTGGCGGCGCACCCGCACGCGCAGCGCGCCCTGCAGGCCGATGTGGACGCCCTGCTCGGCGCCGACACCGACCCGGCCGCGTGGGCCTACGAGCAGAACATCGCCGCCCTGCTGGCCAGCCACCTGGGCGCCGCCATGAACGAGACCATGCGCCTCATGCCCGCCGCCATCGAGATCCCCAAGCACGTGTCGCCCGGCCACGACCGCGTCGTCGCCGTCGCCGGCGCGGAGCACCTGCTCCCCGCGGGCCTGTCCATCCTGCTCTGCGCCGCCTGCGTCCACCGCAGCCCGCGCTACTGGCCCACCCGCCCGAGCCGCGTCGTCCCCGGCGCGGCCGACGACGCCGAAGATTTCGAGCCCGAGCGCTGGTTCCGGACGATGGCGGGCGCCGCGGACGCGGCCGAGGCGGAGGCGGCGGCGGCGGAGGATGGCGTGGACACGGAGAACTACGGCGGGTTCCAGGGCCCCGACACGAGCGCGTCGCTGTTCAGGCCCGCGCGGGGCGCGTTCATACCCTTCAGCGACGGGCCGAGGTCGTGCCTGGGGCGGAGGATCGCGCAGGTGGAGATGCTGGCCACGCTGGCGGTGGTGTTCCAGAAGTACAGCGTCGAGCTGGCCGTGGACGACTGGGCGACCGACGCCGAGGTGGAGCGCATGGGGCCCGGGGAGAGGAGGGCGCTGTACAGGAAGGCGCAGGACCGGTGTCGCGCCGTCATCAAGTCGGCTACCTCCATCCTGACGATTAACCTGCATGGAAAGGCGCATGTGCCCGTACGGCTTGTCAGGAGAGGCGAGGAGCGGTTTGTCAATATTGTGGATTTGTATTGAGCGGTGTATTTTTGGGAATGGAGTCGTGGTTGGCAGTGTGGATATACGTAGAACATGTCATGTCATTTGTGCATCTCACGTCGGGTCTACAAGGTTCTTACATCTCGAGAAGTGACAGTAGCAAACTGGGCTTATACAAGTGTATTGAAGCCTTCCCTTGACCAGTATCACCAGATTAAATTTTTTACTCATAATGGGACTCACACTAGGTTGTGCTCGGCACACCCGAATGCAGTAGGTACCTAGGTACTTGTCCGCAGCCCCGAGAACATATGCAGTAAGTGATGATGCAGTGTTTACATAGCTCCCTCCCGCAGCTCAGACACCGGGCGCCCATTGGCTGCAAGCTTCCCTCCTCACAACCACCCCCACTCGCGCTGCCCAGTCACCCCAGCCCCCCCAGTATTTGTTTGACCCTCGTCCCGGTCCGCTGCTCCAACACGTAATAAGAAACATAAACAACCCGAAGGCTTGCTATCACGCACAATCCATCTCCCACTTTCCACCACACGATATCTCTCCTTCTGCTCCACTGACAAGGTCAGCATATCACGGACCACCACTTGTGTTGTCGCGCCCAAGCTCAGGTCCCATCGCATTTTGATTGCATACTCTTCGCGACCACAAACATTCCCGTTGAAACCCCCCGTCCGTCGTCATGTCTGGCGCAAACAGCTGGCTGCAGAGGCAGCGCAAGTCCGAGCTCGTCGAGATCGCGCAGAGCGTCGGCCTGAAAGAGTATGTGCATTCCCGAACGTTCGTCCCCGACCAACATGCGAATTCCCCGGCGCTTTGCGAAGGCGTTATCTTTCTGGAATGCCTGCCCAACTGCAAATCGCCGGGCCACGCGCTGCCACCTGCCAAGTCTTCAACGAACACGCGCCATCCACACCCGCATTTCATCGCAACGAACCTTTCGAGAGACGGAGACAGAATGCTAATTACGCGCCCATAGTTATGATGGCCTCAGGAAGTCGGACCTCGAGCTCCAGCTCGACGACTACCTCTCCGAGAACTCGTCCCGCTTCTCCACCGACTCCAAGCTCGCCGGATACTACAACAGCCGCGCCAGGATGGCGGGATCGCCCGTTAAGAAGGAGGCGCCCGAGGTCAAGGTTTCCAAGCGAAGGGCGACCAGAGCTGCCGACGAGATTGCTACCCCCGAGTGAGTTGTTCCCCCCCATGCACGCAGCTGGCGGCGCCATGCGCAGCCTTGCGCGCCCCGTAGTGGCACGATTACCGCAGCCAAACGACGCGATCTGGGTTGGTGGCTGACCATCTGTACCAGCGACGATGAGGAACCGTCGCGCGGAGCATCGAGCGCGTTGGTTCGCACCCCCGGTCGCGCCCTCTCCCTGGCCAGCAGAATCCCACTGCCAGCCACCCCCAACGATGTCGCGGAAGCTGTCGATCGCGGGACGCTAGCGGTGAGGGAGCGCGTCTCATCCCTCTACCACGACTCAGGCATCTCGGAAGGCACCCAGGCGGCGCGCACCGCGCTCTCCACCGTGAACACTATTCTCTTGCTCATCCACGGCTTCGAGCTGTTCTACCTGCGTCGCGAGGTCCTCCCCACCACATACGCGTTCACCATCCCGGCCATCCCCTTGCTTGGCCTCGATGACTATCCCGTCCATGTCTTGGACATGTTCCTGCTCCTCAGCTCGAGCTTCTGGTCCCCTATTTCGCTGTACATGCTCACCAGCGTCGTCGTCCCGAGCCTGTTCGGCTACTTCTTCAACCTGAGCGCTGCGCACCATAACCACCCCGCCCGTGGCCGACCTCGGGCTGGCCAGCCAGATCATGTCGTCGACCCGCTGACCTTCAGCATCGTCAAGGGCGTCCTCACCTACGTCGTCTACAACCAGGGCGCCACTTTCTATGGCTTGGTCAACGAGCAGTCGGTGGCGCGCATCAACTCGGCCCTCTACGGCGGCTGGAAGGGAGTCATTACTGGCTCTGCCATCACGGGGCTCGTGGCCATCTACGATGCGGTCCTGAGAAAGTAGGCGCCCGTTCATGCCCCGCCTCGGACAGGCGCTGCGCATCGAGACACGAGACCCGTGTCGCTTGACGCGCTGCATTCAGCCCTAAACGTCGTCGGACTTGGTCCTAAAAACCCCCCACCCGACAATAAGACGTAACCATGAAAACCCGGTAATCAGTCCATCAATTCCCGGGCTTACCCTTCTTTCCCACATTTTTTTTGGACTTCCTTTCACGCGGCCACGTCGCTCAACGAGGGAAAACGGAATGGCGTTCAGGGCGTTCTTGGCGTCGCGGCTCTTTTTCGCCTGATACCTTTCCCCCTTTTTCCTCTTGTTCCTTCATGCCCAACCGTCGTCCTTTTGGAGAGCTGTTTGGGTTCTCTTTGATGGCAGTAGGATACGGTGCCGGTCTGTATATGCCTTCATCCAGGAGAAGAATAGTTCGTTTTTTTTTTGCTTCCAGCCTTTTTTCTCGAGCCGGTATGCCGGACTCCTCCGGGACGGCCGATACCGCGCCTTTGCTCCAGTTATCAGTTATTCTGCAACGGTTTGTTTCATGATATATAGGTACTAGGTTGCGAGGGGAAGGAAAGAGGTTCACCGGCGGTACTCGTCCTTTTGGGATAGAGCAAAGTTGTCTTGGAGAGAGAGATGGGGTTCGAAAAGGGGGAAAGGGGCGCCGCCGGTAAGGGAAGCGTCGAGAAGGCATCGCTGGAGATCTCTCGACTACTGCGGCATGGTTTCTCGCGAGGATGGTCACGGCTGGTTCGACAGGAATATACTGCGTTTTCTCGTTCTTACATCTATGAATTTGCTCCATTGTGCTTGCCGCTGGAAGTTGAAATCCATGCTTTTTGAGTAGATGACTTGCAAGACAAGAGTCTAAACGGGGGGAGGGGTCACGGGGATTAAGCGTGATCCGAACAACGACATGGCGGGGTCAATCAACCACCAAGGAGAAACCAACCACTGATCCCCGAGTAATTCCTCCCCTGCCACCTTATATTCTGTAAGACAGCACCTAAGATTAGAAGTGCCTAGAAAATCCCCGTCAGCAGTAGTAGCTGTTCCTACCTTTGCCGTCTCCCCGCAAAAAAAAATGACGACACCCCCCACCAAACCCGACGGGCTCACCCCAGAACAGCTCTCGACCTTCAACCGAGACGGCTACCTCGTCATCCCGGACGCCCTCCCCGCAGCGACGGTGCAAGGCCTCCTAGCCGAGACGCGCGCCCTCCTGGCGGGGTTGGACCTGTCGTCGCACCCGCTCACGCGCTTCAGCACCGGTGACGGCGGCGGGGACGGGGACGGGGACGGCCGCGACCACGTCGGCGATGCGTACTTCCTGGGCTCGGGCGACAAGGTGCGCTTCTTCCTGGAGGAGGACGCCTTCGCGGACGGCGCGCTGGTGCGCCCCAAGGAGCAGGCCGTCAACAAGATCGGCCACTGCCTGCATGAGCTGAGCGAGCCGTTTCGGCGCCTGCTCGACAGTCCCGAACCCAACAGCAGCAGCAGCAACACCACCGCCCCGACCCCAACCCCGGCATCTATAGCCCGCTCCCTCGCCTTCGCCGACCCCCGCGTCCTGCAGAGCATGGTGATCTGCAAGCCGGCGGGCACGGGCGGGGCCGTGCCGCCGCACCAGGACAGCTGCTTCCTGTACACGTCGCCGCCGAGCGCCGTGGGGTTCTGGTACGCGCTCGAGGACGCGGCGCGCGAAAACGGGTGCCTGTGGTTCCTGCCGGGGTCGCACCGGCGCACCGCCGTCGAGCGGAGGCTCGTCAGGCGGGTCGCGGGCGTGGCGGACGAGGAGGCGGGGGGTACGGTCATGGTTGGGAATGAGGGGGCGGGGTTTCCGAGGGGGGAGGGGTATGGGGTTGGTGGGGAGGGGGAGGAGGAGGAGGAGGGGGAGTACGTGCCTGCTGAGGTCAAGGCTGGGACGCTGGTGCTGATCCATGGAAATTTGCTGCACAAGAGTGAGAAGAATCTCGGCCGGAAGGGGAGGATCATCTACACTTTCCATATCATCGAGGCGGAGGGGACGGTCTACGATGAAAGGAACTGGCTGCAGCCGCCCGCGGGGGGGTTCACTAGGTTATATAAGTAGGTAGCAACATGGTTCACGGGTCCTGGTCGGTTTGTCCTGGGAATGAGGAAACAAAATTTATTGAGTATTTCATGGCACCCATCAAGGCAGCGGCGGCTTCCGGCAGTTTAGAGTTCCCGAGCAAACCCCTAAGCTCCCCCTTCCCCCCCGGTATCGAGATGGCGGCCATAATTCCAGTCAGCAATAAAAATCAGGCCCTTTTTTTTGCAATTATCTTTTCCTTGTTGGTTTTCCAACGAGCGACTGGCTAACTCCTTGCGCAGTCCTGCCTCCCTCCTGTAACCCCCACCTCACTTACACACAGAGAAAACGAAGTTGATGTAGAATAGAGCAAACCCATGATGACCACCCTAGAAAGAGAAAAGAAAAGCAAAAGCTGCCAACCTCCGCGAAAGAAGAGTCCTCCGAGAATCAACATGAACGTATGGTAAATACAACGAGGTCCGGGAAGGAGCTCAGAAGTCAAAAATGGTTGAACTGGCACCTCCGCTGAAAATTGGCCGTTGCCTCGGTTGTTTGATAGGAGGCAGGTCGCATCGACTTATATTGCCATGCCAACCACAAAATCGCACACCTCCCCACTGTCCCGCCACGGAAAACCCGCATTTGAGTTTCTAGCCCCTAGAGTAGGGATGGAACCCCCTGGCCCCACCCCTTCCACCACCGCGGTAGTTTGCGCCCGGCTTGCCGGCGTTCTTGGGCCCGGTGGGGGCGTTTGCGGGCGGAGCATGGGCAGGATCCACGGGTCCTTGCTGCTGCTGTTGCTGCTGCTGTTGGTGATGGGCTCCCCTGTTCCTGTTGAAGCCTCCCCGACCGCCACCGCCGCCGGGTCCCTGGTGCATCATGGGCTGCGGCACATCGTCGTACATGCCCTCCCACGACGTCACACCACCACCCATGCCGTATCCGCCCTGGTTGCCGCCAACATACCCCTGCGGCTCGCGGCTGGCTCGGCCCTGTTGTTCCTGCTCGTACTTTTGCTGTTCATACTGCTGCTGTTCGAAGGCGTTATAGGCCGCGCGGTTCTCTTCGCCGCCGCCACCCTGCTGGGCTGCCACTGAGGCCGGGCTGCCTACGGGGGCCGGGCTGCCCTGGTTCATGCCGCCTGCCTGGTTCATCATCTGCTGCATCTGCTGCATCATCTGGGGATTCATGTTGGCCATGGCGGCCATGGGGCTGTTGGGCTGGCTCCCTCCGCGGCCCTGCTGAGCGGCCATCATCTGCTGCTGCATCTGCTGCATCTGCATCATCTGCATCATCTGCGGGTTCATGTTCATGCCGCGGTTCATGGCCATCTGCTGCTGCATCATGGCCAAGTACTGCTGCATGCGCTGCCAGTACTGGGCCATGATCTGGGGCGTCATACCGCCTGCACCAGCCATGCCGGCCATGGCTCCCTGATTCCCGGCCTGGGAGCCATCGTCCATTCCCGAGCCCGCACCGCCGCCGCCGCCGCCCGGACCGCCCTTACGGCCGAACTTCCCGCCGCCGCCGCGCCGCGCGGCCTCCTCCTCCTCGCGAACGTTGCCGCGCGGCTGCGCCTTCTTGACCTCGATGGGCTTGCCGTGGATCTCGAGGTTCGTGGTCAGGCATGCCTCGACCCCGGCCTCGCTCTCGAACGTCACGAAGCCGAAGCCCCGGGGCCGGCCCGTGTCCTTGTCCATCATAAGGGTTGCATCGACAACGCGGCCGAACTGGGCAAAGTATTCGCGGAATTCATGGTCGGTCGTTTCCTGGCTGACACCACCAACGAAGATCTTGGATGTCTTTTCCTGCTCGTCCCGGGGGATTGCGCGCTTCGGGTCGATCTGTAAGAGAGTTAGCCATCATGCTCGCGGGGGAAGAGGGGGGGGGCGGGGGTTGAGCCGCATAAACTCACAATCTTGCCATCCAAGTAGTGCTCCTTGACCATGACGATGTTCACCGTCTTCGGATCCTTGAAGGTCAGGAATCCAAAGCCTCGCGATCGGCCCGTGGCGCTGTCTCTCATCACAGTGCACTCGATCACTTCTCCGAACTGCGAAAAGTAGTCCCTAAGCGACTCTGCAAAAGGATGGGTCAGCAACGGGCAAGAGATCGAACACGTGGAGGAGTCTTACGATCTGTTGTCTCCCAGTTAAGGCCGCCAATGAACATTTTCCTGTAGAACACGGCATGTCAGTACAGTCACAGGACCACGAAGTGGACGGCAAATAAAACGGCAATAGAAGAATCATGGGCGAAATCTCCAGTGCAGCGTGCAGCGTGCAGCGTTGCCCACAGCGGCATTCCCCGAAGCCATCGGCCTGAGCAAGCACGCTTTTGGTTCCGGGTTCGACGGCAGAAAGGTGCGGATATCAAAGCCAAGCAAGTTGAGTAAGTTGAGCGCATCTGATCCGGCTCCGAGACCCAAGTTATGTCGAGTCCCACATCTTTCATTGTCTCCATCTCCATCTTCAGCGCGCCATGAGCCCCGATGTGTTTTCCTCGTTCGGAGCCAGCAGAGGGAGCAATTCGTAAGGGCGGATGAGCGTTCCACATTACTTGGCCACTCTTCATCGTCGCTCAGCAAGGGATGAAGTCCTGAGGAGCCTGAGATATCTGATAAGAGGTTGAGATGTCATGATCGTCGAGGGATTGAGGCGCGGTGATGGTGTTTGCTCTTCTTTGTGGAAAGGAGAACCTGGTGAGCTTCCGGTGGAACACGCTACAGCAGCTCTCGCAAGTGAGAAAGGCAGATGCAGCGCAGTAGTGATTTGCCTGAGATGATTCTGTGTCGAATTTTTTTTCCCTGTCTCGTCTCTTGCTACCGTGAAGCTAGGTACTGGCCAGGGCGCTATTCGCTGCCAAATCTTGTTACAGCTGTCGGAGGGACGGTTCTCAGGGAACCATCGACCTCTCGTGCTCTATAAGATTATCTGTGCGACCTGTGGGCTATAAAAGGCACGAGAGTGCTCCTGAGCTATCGTTTCGGTGCTTTGTTTCGGTGTCTTCAGGTAGGACTTTGTCCAGTTTCCTCCTCTTGCGCTCCAACTCGCCATTCCGAACATGTTTCTGTGTTATGTTTGCTTGCTTGCTTGCTTCGCTTTCTGTTCCACCGGGGAGATCAAAGACCTCGACGTTGGATCGCTGCCATCTCGCCCCCAACAGGCGCCTTGGCTGCCTGACGCCCAACTTATGGCCTGATCATTGCGCCCAGAAATCTCATGGCCCATCACCAATTGGCCGCCTTAGATGCGAGGGTCGTGTAGGTAGAGATGGCAGTGCAGCCAGATCGAGAAACTCCAAATGGGCGCTTCCTTCCTGCGCTGCGCTGGTCTCCACCAAGCCAGAAGAATCCCACAAAAGGAGTGTTACGCGTAAAATGCGGAGTCATGATTTACATGGTACTGAAAGGAAAGTTATCTTACCCATCTTCCTTGGCATTAGGCCCCTTCGTCGGAGGGGCTGCAGGCGGTGGCGCGTTGTAGGACGTTGGCGTCTCGCCATGGTGCGTGGTGGTTCCATTACCCAGGTTGAAATCAACTTCATCGTCATCATCATCGACTTCCTCATTGTTATTCATATAAGAATCTCCGCCATTTTGCTCGGGGTTATAGTGGTAATCGTTTGCCGCATCAGCTGTATCGGGCGCCGGAGCAGGAGCAGGTGCTGCTTGGCTTGGTACTTCGGGAGCTTTGGCAGCCGGCTCGTCGTCATTGTAGCTGCGCCGAAATCAGTCCAGCCCTGTACGAGGTTGACAGGCGAGCCTTACAGGTCTGCGAAGAGATCCTCTTCGAAGTTCTCATGATCCGCCATCACGATAAGGAAAACGCAGAGTGACAGTTGACCTTTGCAGGGATCAAGCTAGGTAGGCCATGCAATAACGAGAGGACGCGAAAGAATTGATGGGGATAATAGTCAAACAGGAAGGAAACAGTTGAGAGAAGATGACTGGATGTCGATGGTGATCGCTGAGAAAGAGGTCGGTTGGTTGGCCGGTTGCTCGATCGAAAGCGCCTCAGCCATCAAAAGATGTTCGTCTTTTGTTTTTCCTTTTCAGGTGGAGACGAGAATGGAAAATTCAGGCCTGAGGCACTCAAATCGCGGCTCCCACCCCAGGCGCCCCGCAATTCAGATGCAGTAAGGCAAGCGCGGCCGGCAATCAGTGCCCCGCCAGCTGGTCCCGCCCCAGGAGAACCGCCAAGCAGCCAAAACATCAGGCCGAAGTCGAGTCCGCCCTTTGTTGCTCGTAGGACAATCACGATGAGCATGCAATTCTCTTAATATTTACACATTATGTTCTCCTCTTCAGGAAGTGGCAAGAAGCCGCCTCTACAGGTAAGGCCGCCCCTGCTAGCTATAGGATTCCTCGTCTAATTTCGTGCGGTAGGAGATGGTTCAGGTCGGTATGTGACGCCCACTTTCATTGCCGAGTTGCATCCCTCTCGGAAGAGAACGTGCTGACAACACCATCGGCCGATATTAGACAGGTCCGAGTAAGCATTGCTTTCCATGTGCCCCACTGTCGTCTTATAGTCTCACAATTGTTATAGCTCAGCATCCCCGTTCTGGAGAGGCCCGCAGAGAGAGTCAAGTGTAACGGGGAAGAAGGCGAGCCGAGACCCGAGCCTTGTTGTCGGGTCAGCCTATTCGCATGCCGATGCTCTCAAAGTCGACTCGCTGTATGTTCCCCTGCGGCCCAGCTTGATCCCTTGGCTAATCTGTAATATGGGCAAAGGAACCTCTCAGGCTCGGGCTCTCGACCAAAGACCCCGCCGACCTCCGCCTCAGCACATGCCCGAAGCTCAACCGCCTCACCCCAAGCGAAGCCACCGGCCCGGCGGTCGTCTCCGCCGCTGAAGACCTACATGAACTTCCTATCCAACACCAACGATGACTGGAACGTCGATGACGCAGAGGACATGTATGGCTATGAAGATGACGACGGCGACGACTTTGGGCTTCCAAGCCTGTCGAACATGAAAAGGAGGACCAGGCGGATTGCAGCCCAGAACAGGCCGGGCGGCCCCAGTGGCGGCCTGTCGCCGATAGACGATGGATTTGGCCTCAAGACGCGGCGATACTCCGACAGCGCCGACATTGCCATCGAACGCCCAGCACCGGCCTATCCCGTGCCCAAGAAGAGCGAAGGGAAGATACTACGACCGCAGTACAAAGACATTCTTAGCGACCCCGCGAACGCATTACATCTCATAGACCACCCATCAGCCCCGGCTAACGCGACTCCCAAGGAGGTCGATGCTATAAATTCGAGGATAACCAGGATAAACAAGTTTAAGAAGATCCTCCAGGCCTCAACGATACCCCTACCCGAACTCAGAGCGCTGGCATGGTCCGGCGTGCCGGAAGAAGTCCGAGCGATAACGTGGCAGCTGCTTCTGAGCTACCTGCCGACCAGCAGCGAGAGGAGAGTTGCGACGCTGGAGCGGAAACGAAAGGAATACTTGGACGGGGTGCGGCAAGCCTTCGAAAGAGGAGGGAATGCGGCGAGCCCGAGCGGGAAGGCGAGAGGCCTGGACGAGGCTATCTGGCACCAGATCAGCATAGACGTTCCCCGAACCAGCCCCCACATCGAACTGTACAGCTACGAGGCAACCCAGCGCTCGCTGGAGCGGATATTGTACGTCTGGGCGGTGCGGCACCCGGCGAGCGGCTATGTCCAGGGGATCAACGACCTCGTCACCCCGTTTTGGCAGGTATTCCTGGGCATGTATATCACCGATCCGGACATCCAAAGTGGCATGGACCCCGGCCAGCTCCCTAAGGCGGTGCTGGATGCGGTCGAGGCCGACTCATTCTGGTGCCTGACAAAGCTCCTCGATGGGATCCAAGATCACTACATCGTTGCACAGCCGGGCATTCAGCGCCAGGTTGCTGCCCTGCGAGACCTCACAGCCAGGATAGACGAGGGGCTTGCTAGACACCTGGAGAGGGAAAATGTCGAGTTCATACAGTTCAGCTTCAGGTGGATGAACTGTCTCCTCATGAGGGAGATCAGCGTCAAGAATACTATCAGAATGTGGGACACTTATATGGTAAGCTTTCCTCCGATTCTCCGGTTGCCTGGGTATACTCGGCTAACGTGGGGCCCCCCTAAAGGCCGAAGAGCAAGGCTTCTCCGAATTCCATCTCTACGTCTGCGCGGCTTTCCTGGTGAAGTGGTCCGACAAGCTCGTCAAGATGGACTTCCAGGAGATTATGATGTTCCTCCAGTCACTGCCGACGCGCGACTGGACCGAGAAGGACATCGAGCTCCTGCTCAGCGAGGCCTACATCTGGCAGAGCCTCTTCAAAGGCTCGTCGGCGCATCTGCGTAGTCCCGCAAACAGGACCCCGTCCATGCACATGCAGCTATGACGAGCTGAACAGCCCATCTATCCGTTAAGGTGCAGCGTCCGGGAATTCTGTCCGAAAGAGCCATCACAGCACCCGACTCAATCCCCTGGGGCCTCCATCCCGAACACGGTCACCCCATGAGGGTTAGGGTTAACCTTTAACCCTAACCCGTAGATTGTCTTCCAGTCCTAACGGCATCTAGCTAGGGCTATTCCATAGGCAGCCTGGAATCCATCACCACCGCGCCATAGTTGTGAGCAATCAATTGCTCGCTTCTTTCCCCCGATGAGGACCTTGTCTCTTTCCACTCTCGCCCCACCTCCCCGAGAAGGCCGAAGACTAGCAATCCTAGACGTACTCGGTGTGCGGCAGATCCCGCAGCTCGCCTTTTCGCGGATCGATGTACTCATCGCCACCGTCCTGCTAAGCGTATCCATCTTGGCCTGCCGGACGACCAAACCTCTGACCAGCCGCCTGAGCTCGATTGCCAAGCGCCGATAGTTCGACATCTTAAGCTTGACCCTAGGATGAGTGCGTGCACGAGAGTACACCAAGTCGCCTGCTGAGATGCTCTGTCTTCCATAGCCTCTTCGCCCCTTCGCGGCGTCTCTCTACTCTATAGCTATGGATTGAGCTGCTTAGACGGCCTCTGGACTTCCGATAGTTAGCGTAGCACCTTCTCAAATAGCAGCAGCTATGCCACAAAGCAGACTATTAAATGGAGTTTACTCTCCCCTTGCGCAACCGACCGCTATCTGCATGACTAGCAAGGATAATCCGTATATAGAGAACTCACAACATTTTCAGGTTTATGGGAGGGAAGCTTATTGAAGGATCGAAAACTCTAGCTACAATGAATGTCTCTTGTAAGATTTTGACACTTGTAACATCGTGCCGGTGTCTGGGCACCAAAACCACAATGAGGGTAGGGATTGTTTCGAACTCAATCGAGCGAGGCTTTTAAACATAGGCATGTCTGTTGATGCTCTCCGACACAGATTTGTGCGCATAGGCCTCCCACTGTCCCAAATCAGCCATTGGCAGGCTAACCTCTAACCTAGATATCCATCATCATCCTCGACGAGAAGAGGAACGAGGGCGGCGAGCGATTTCTGAGTTGGGCGGGGGCGAGGGGGGATGTTTGCTCTTCTAGCCTCTTCTTCTAGATTTTGTGTTGGCCGACACCCTTTCACAGTTAGTACGTTTTCACTCTGAGTGTCAAGTGGTACATTCAGAATGTCGTAGGTTGCGCTTCGTGGGCTCGGTAACCCCGAGTGTACTTACTTCCATGATACCTCCCCTATTACAAATATTTGTTATTCATTCGAGCGAGGTTGACGCCCATGTCAGACTCTCAAGCCCGTGACAGCTCTGGAGAACCGAGAACCTTTTTGTGTCTTCCATTTTAACTCCTCAGAAGTCCCCCATTGTCCGTCATTTTCTAGTTCAAGTACACATGTATATACAGCAAAGACAAACCTAAACAGCTAAACTATTCCCATCACTTTATCTTCCCCCACTTTGCGCCCACATCCTTTCTCGTCAAAACCATCTCCAACCCCCACTTCACCTCCCCGCCCTCCCCAAACCCCTCAATCACCTCCGCCACCCCAACCTCCCCCGCCTCCCTGGCCACCTCGGCCGGCGTCCCCGCGGCCCCGAGCCCCTCGAACGCCACCGTCGACCTGAGCCCCTTGTCCGCCCCGTTGGCCAACAGCCACACCGCCATCTCCAGCCGGCCCGTCCGCGCCGCCACGTGCAGCGCCGTGTTCCCCTTCCGGTTGCGCCGGTCCGGGGCCGCGCCGCGCGCTACGAGCGCCGTCGCCGATAGCATGTCCCCCGCCATCGCGGCGCAGTAGAGCGCGTCGCACCCGGAGGCTGTGGTGCGGTGGATGTCGGCTGGCTTTTTGACCTTGGACCCGGTGCTGTCGCTGTTGTTGTTGTTGTTGTTGTTGTTGTTACTGGTGGTAGTGGTAGTATTGACTGTGAGAAGCAGGAGCGTGAGAGTCGGCCGCCCCGTCATGCAGGCCGTCATCAGCGGCGTCTCGTCCTTGGCGTTGACGCCGTCCGGGTCGGCGCCCGCGGCGAGGAGGCGTGCCGCGGCCGGGCGAGAGCCCGCGAGGATGGCGTGGTGGAGGGGCCTGTTCCCGTCTTTGGGGTCTTGGAGGTCTGGGTCGGCCCCGTGGGTGAGGAGGAGGTCGAGGGTGGCCCTGTTGGTGAGGGCCCAGGGCTTGTGGAGGAGGGATTGGCCCGAGGGGTCGCGGGCGTTGGGGTCGGCGCCGTGGGAGAGGAGGACGGCGGCGGATTCGAGGTGGCCGGCCTCGAGGGCTGCCCAGAGGGGTGTCGGGCAGTCTGGGTGGTCACAGCTGGTTGACGGGTTTGCTCCGTGGTCTAGGAGGATGTTGACCGAGTCGGTGTGTCCGTTCCTTGAGGCAAGCCAGAGTGGCGTCTCCGCAAACTGTTCGTTGGTCTTCAACTCGAGGGCCTCCTGTGTGGGCGGCTTTGTCGCTGCTGCCGCGAGCAGATACAGCTCTGCGGTCAGGTTGTTCGCGGCGGCGATGTGCAGTGGTGTCGATCCGGAATTGGTCCGGCCTATACAGGGGTTTGCCCCGCGTCCGAGCAGTAACCGGATGACGGCCGTATCGGCCGGCTTCTCTTCCCTGTCTTCCCTCCGCAGGGCATAGCTAAGCGGGGTTTCGCCGAGGTAGTCTCGCGCATCGGGATCTACGTCCTTGGCTAGAAGACAACGGACAACTCTCTCCAGGTTCTTTTCGGAAGCAATGTGTATGGCCCTCCTCCCGTCAAAATCGGCAAGATAGATGTCCGCTCCACGCTGGATGAGCATCATGGCCACTTCGCCCGCCCCTGCTTCTAGAGCTCTCATCAACGGGGTTGCACTATCTGAGTCCCGCGCGTCCATGCCGGCACGATGATCAAGTAGCATCTTCGACAGAGATAGAGCCGTCGCTCCGTGCTCGACCGCGATGTGGAGGGGCGTTGTTTCGATATCGTTCGTGGTGTAAGTACCTACATCTGCCCCCATTCCTAACAGCGTATCGACACGCTGAACTTCACCCATGCTGATGGCTGATATGAGCTCTTCTTGGAGCTTTCGAGGACCCATCGAACTTCTCGGTCGACGGAAGTGCGGTTGGGCTATCGTCTGGAGCTGTCTATAGCATCTAGCGCTTAATATGAATTTTGCAAGACATTGGGAGGCATTACTGACACCTGCAGGATCACAATTAGGAACCCTATGCTGGACCGTTGCTCTAGAATTTCACGCCTCATATCCTCAAAGTCTTCCTTCTTCCAGATGATGCGTAGCCTATACGCAGAAGTTATAGGTTTGCCCTAGTTGTTGCTTAGTCTTGGGCCAACCCACCTGATCACCACCGTGGTCTCGGAGGTATTAGATGGCATTTTAAAACTGTCAAGCTCTCTTAAATATCTTTCAAGCTGGGCGTCGAAAGCCCTTTGCTGTCCGCCGAAGGTATCAAGGACGGCTCGTTGCTCGAGGGGCATTCTCGAGAGAGGCCCCTTGTCGAGAACTATTTTCAGTTGCTGGAGGTGTTTTCGAGTGTCCTCGCAACTCGATATCAAGGAAGATATCAACTTCGGTGCCTTTTTCCAATTCTCTAAGAGGAATTTGATCTCCTTTGCTGCGGTGAAACAGCCGCCTCCAAAGCTCAGGGCACACGCCGCAATCTCCATGGTTCCGCGATGCGAGTCAAGGTAGCATATGAATTAATTATTGAGGCTCCCGATTTAGATCATGACCGCTCAAGGGTGGGCACAAAACGTGTATTAATAATAATTATTTGAACTAGGTGAACCCGACCATACGGTCCAACCAGTGATAGAGTGACTGAGTGGTTGCGTGAGAGGTAGCGGGTGATTGGGTGACGGGATCCCGGCATGCGTCCCCCAAATATAGACCTGCAGGTAGGTTAACCACTCCGACGGTCACAAGTTCCCAATGCGTTATCAGCTGGGTGCCCGACCTGCTACCGGAGTTGCTGCTAACGTCGGGGGCCGTGAGGCATTTTAGACTGTACGCATGTAGAGGCGTAGGGAAGGTCCAGTAAGAGAGCGTAACCAAGGGGGGAGGGGGGAGGGGCTGCGTATGTTTTCTTGTGTCTTGCAAGATGTGAGGCCGTTAAGAGTGGCCAGCTCGATTGTTAATAACATGATGCGAGGGAGAACATCGCTTCTTACCCTCTCTGCATAGTCCTCCACAAGGCTTCAGCTAACAAACAGGTGTGATAGCAGGGCCGGGCGTACTAGCCCCCGCTCTCCTCGTGTGATTGCGAAAATATGGGCGAATCAGTCTGGATAACTCCCAAGCCACGTTTTCTAGCCGACGTTGCTGCATCAGATACTACCCTGTCTGTTGTTCTAACATGCATCGCAGCCAGACTATTTGAATGCCAAGCTCTCTCGCAAGACTCTCAGTGCTGCACATCGTTGCACATGATTTATTATTATCAATCCTAGGCTCCCACGGATTCTGAGGGGCCTCCACAACGATGGCAAGTCACCAGCATATAGTCCCTAGGCCAGAAACACACCACTCGGCAGAGACAATACTGTGGAATTCGCGATGCACTTGTTGCTGGCAGTTATCTATCTCGCTTATAGCCCCGTTCCGATGATGGTGGAGGGGGCGGCAAGCTGTAATTTACCCACAGTCTCCCTGTCCGTGGGGAGCTGCAACCTGACCCTGCCGGACGGGCATGTCTACTCGTACGGCATCCGCATCGGCGTCAACGGCACCCAGCTGTGCGCCTCCCCGTCGACCGTGGTAGCGAACCCGTTGCTGGAGCACGTCGACGTCTGCACGAGCCAGAAGAAAATGACCCTGGGTGAGTGCCGCTCCCGGAGGGGCTCCTACTTGAATACGTCCAACATCCACACCGCGGCAGCCAGCGGGCTGGCCGAGAAGAACCCCAACTGGGTTACACTCATGGGCGATGACCAGCCCGCCTTCCAGCTGGCCACCGACTCGCCCATCCAGCTCCAGGCCGACATCCAAGCCGCGGTGCTATCGGGCTGCATCACACGGGGGGACCAACACACAAACTCGCACTTCCCCCTGAACGAGAACTCCCTGGTTATAAAGGAGCTCCAGATGAACGGCCTGATCGCGGGCAACTCTTGGGCCCTGGACGTCGGGGACACGAGCAGGCGGGGACGCTTGACACTGGGCGGCTACCAACCGGGTAGGGTGGACGGGCCGTTCCAAGAGTACGACATGCGGAAATACGACCAGAAGCTGAATGACCGCTATTGCCCACTGCAGGTCACCATCGCTCGGCTCGACTTTCGCGTCGGAAACCACTCGATTTCACTGGTCAGCCCGGACCTGAAGGTGCCAGCCTGCATAGAACCGTAAGTTCGGACCGATTCCTGCTTTTTGCTCTGACGTCTCTGAAAAACAATCCCCTAACTAACATGGGGGAACAAAAACAGCTACGACAAGCTCACCAGATTCCCCGAATCCCTGCTCCGCGACCTGCGCAACTTCACCACGGGCGAAACCGGCTGGACAGAGGAACCGAACGACGAGGAAGGCCGGTACGGCGACCTCCTCGACCTCGAGCCGGGCCTCATCTACCGCGTGGCGCCCAACTCGACCGTCGCCATGTCCATGGAGATCACCCTGGACGGCGGCCAGAGGTTCGTCATCCCGACGGACAGGCTCCTCGCCCCCCTGTCGGGCCTGGACCCGGACGGCGCCCCCGTGGTCAACGACGCGTTCCGAGAGGTCCAGGTGTACCGCGAGCCGGGGGTCGGGCTGGCCCCCGTCCTGGGCCGCTCGTTCCTGTCGCAGGCGTACCTCTTCGTCGACTACGGCGCGTTGACCTTCAAGCTGGGGCCGCTCTCGCCGGACGCGTCGGCGGCGGGCGGGGACGTGGCCTCGTCGGGGAGGTGCTCGGGAGGCGGCGGCGGCGGCGGCGGCGGAGGGAAGCTGGGCGGCGTCGCCATCGGGCTGATCGTGGTCGGGGTCGTGCTGCTAGCGGTGTGCATCTGGGTGGTCTACAGATGGGTAGCTGGGCGTCGCGAGTCGGGTGGGGAACCGACTGAGGCTCAGAAGCCCGGTCCTAATTCGCCTGCCGAGCCTCCTAGTGTGGATACTAACCCGCCTGCGGATACTCAAAGGAAGAGACCGACGATAGGGACAGAAATGGTTCTCTAGAGGGATAAATTCCTAGGTTTAGTTAGGCTTCACAGCTGGGCCTTAATTACGAAATAATTAATTACCGAATGCTTACCAAGGTAGGCACATCAGGTATTGTACAATACATCATCGTCCTCGTCACTGTCATTTAACACTCGTGTCTATCTATCGACGCTGCGTGAAGTCTCCCTGGGCGGTCAGCTCGGCAACGCGAGCCTTGATTCGGGCAACACGCTCCTCGATCGTGATCGTTTCTTCACTCTCGGCGGCTTCACCACTTTCATCTCGGTCCCGTTCCTCCTTCTCTCGCCGAGCTACGCGCTCGGCAGCATTCTTACGGATCTGTTCCCATCGATCTATTACAGACGAAGATGATTCTGGCTGCGTTTGCTCCGTCGGCCCGTCTGGATTCTTCGACTCGTCCTCCTGTCCCCCCGCCGTCTCCCCCAGGGAATAACCATCATCGAAATCTACAAGGTCTTCGATTGGGTAGGTCTCTTCTTCGTCAACGGAAGACTGGTCGAGAAGGACGAGGCCGTCGATGACGAGGGGCAGAGCCGTCAAGGCGAGCTGCTGGAGGTGGTTACCGAGGTGGCGGCAGAAGGTATCTGCATTATATGACTTGCCGGGTGGAGGCGCCCAGTCATCGCAGAGCGGACACGACGAGGAGTTGAAATCCCTGATGGGTCTCTCGCACGCTTTCAGTATCAGTGGCATTTGTGCCTCCGTTACGGATCCGTGGTGGACTGTGTCCAGGTGCTCTCGGAGACCGGCGGCTGACTTGAATCCATAATTCCGGCATTTATGGCACTGCCATTGTTTTCTGTGCGACTCCAGTTCGTGGTTGAACCATTCATGTCTCGTTGCGAAAAGAGGGGATGAGCAGCTTTCGAATGTGCAGACGTATGGCTGGAGATCGGTGAAGACATGCCTTCTGTAAATAAGTTAAGCATGCAGCTAATATTAGCGCGTGATAATTAATTAGATGATGTGGATTCAACTGACCTCCATTCCCGCTCCGAGCTTACCAATTGCATGGCCCGGCAGAAGGGACACTCGAATATGTCATTGTAATCTAACCGAATACCATTAAATACCAGACGAGTTAGGTCAGGGACTCGAAGTTCCCCGTCTTCGTCGCTGCCAAAAGCCGTGGCGAATGAAGTCGCTTGAGTCATGAGACTGACTCTCGCCAGTCTTTCCAGGTGGTCGTCGAGGCCACCATGGCTTTCATCATACGTAGTGGCAAGCGTGGATGCTGCCATCCTCGACTCCGTTTCGGCCCCTTCCGTAGAACCTTCGTTTTGGTCTGCCAGCCGTCGGTGGTGTGACTGCCGGTACAAGATCCACCATCTTCGCTTCGCAGTGGCCCGTCCAAGGCGCTCAGCCAGCCAGGGAGATTCTTTGACTTTGGCATACTTGTCCTTCACGTGCCTAATGTCGATGCTGGCGTCCTGTTCGGGGAGTTGGGCCTCCCCTGGCAGCCGTCCTCTGGGACGATGGCGGCGAATTAGCATCGAAAGTCTAAACAGGCGGTTTATGGAGGCCTCGAGGCCCAGAAGAAGTTCCCGTAGTTCTGAGGTCGGAGGCCGAGGTGTGTTTGATAACAGCGATGCTTGGCTGACATTGCTGGGAACATGCTGGAATTCCCCTTCGTTACTCCGATTGGGGAGATCACCAGTCAAGATTAACTTGGCTGTAAATAAAGACAGTGAGTAATTAATTCTACGAGCGATTGGTATCAATCCGAGTGGAAATAACTGACCTCGACTTGCAGACTCAGCAATATCTTGGAGTGCGGCCTTGACATTCGTCTGCATCTGATTCCCGTTTCGTAACCGGTAATCCAAGGAACTAGTGGAATTCGGGTCGCGAAAAGCTCCTAGATTTCTAGCCCAGACCATGAAGCGACCTAATGAATCTTCAACTCTTACGAGGTCTCCCGATGAGCCGTTAGGTCCGAACTGATGCAAGAGGCTTTCCAAGTGCTGTCGGCTCTTCTGCGCCATGGACGAAATGGAAACCTGTTCCTGGTTTTCATGGCTCGAGTCGATGGCGTCGGCCGGATCGGGCAAATTTGCCATTGTTAGGCGAGTCTTCTCACGGATCCATTTATATCGGCATCCTAAGGAGAAAGCATCCTCAGATTCTCATGCTGCTCATCTTTGCGCCGTCTTTGCGGGGTTGCGACAGAAGTAGTTATTGCGGCTGAAAATGCAGGATGGAAGAGGGCGTTTAATGGCGCAGAACTATTGGCCAGACCACTACCTATCCTGAGACGTCACGGCAAGCGTTCGGATTTCCTTCCCGTCGCTTTTCAGCTGATTCTTTTCGTTTCTCTCCATTGTAACTCTGTCGTGAACTTCGTTTCATCTTTGAGTCTATCCCTTGAGTGGAAATATGCGACGCGGGGCAATGGGCCAACATGTCTGGATTTGAAATTGCCGGGCTGGTACTGGGAGCCTTTCCGCTCCTCGTTGGGGCGGCGAAGCCCCTCTCGACTTACCTCCAGGGCTCACAGAGATGGTGGAGTTTTAAGAACGACTTCATGGGGTTCCTTACAACTATTGAAGACGAGTCAATTGCGTACTCACAGAACCTGGAGCTCCTTCTGTCGCCGCTCAATCTCGACTCCGACGTTCAAACCAGTCTTCAAGAAGATTCTGCGTCGCCGTTCTGGGGCGATGGCGCCATCCAGTCCCAACTCAGGCAACGTATAAAGGAGCAGTACTTCACATGGTTTACTGGTCAACTGAAGGAGATGAGAGCGACACTGGATGAGCTGTACAATATGTTGCCCATGGAGAATGGACAGGCAAGTAAACTCAAAGATCACCACAAACAGAAGTCAGGAAAAGAATTCGCGGGCAATGGTGCTAATGCCAACATCCTGCAGGTTTGCTATCCCAGGCCTGGCACAATGGACTACGAGAAACTAAGAGTGAAACTGAGTTTTTCCTCACGGAGACAACAACTCCTAGACAAGGTTGTTCGTATCAACGAGACCTTGTACAAATTCTTAAGCAAAGACTCGCAGATCAATGGCAGAACCCCCTACACCGAGACCGCCTGGATTCCCAAGTCCCGCGGCAGCAACTCGCCCGGGTCCAAAAAGGCCAGTGCCTTTATGAAGCTTCAATCCGAAGCCAGGGCACTATCACAAGCGTTTCAAGCGCAGTGGAGCTGCCGGTGTCCTCGAGCCCATCATTGCGGCATCACAACTGAGTGGCTTCAAGGCCGCTTCGAGTCGCATAAACCAAGTTTGAAGCTGCTATTCGGTTTCTGGGAAGGACGGGCCGAAGTAACGCAAGTGAGGGTGGGCTCGTTGACGGCAGACGAGTCCCTGGCGGACTCGAAGACCACTCCGTCTTCTCAAACTTCGCGAGAACAAGTATCGGAATTGCACCGAAGTTTACGGCAAGATATGACAGAGAAACAATTTGGCAAGATGGCAGAGAAACGAAGTGTTGCCTTTGCCGCCGTTTCCGTGTCATCTACTCTTGTTGACCCGACTCATTCCATCGAGCGGAAGAGGGAGAGCAGGAAGCTGACAAAAGTACGCGGGAGTATCATGAAGGCGATTGGCATTAGGTGAGTGCAAGAAATAACCCGCGTGTACTCGATGGAAGCTCATAATTCGCCCAGTTCCTTCAGTTCCTTCAGTTCTTTGGCGTCCAGCACGGGAACCACTACCGAATCCTCTACCTTGATCTCGACATCATCATCATCATCCACGGCCAAGTCTGTCCGCTTTTCCAACACGCCGATTTACGAGTCGATGAAATCCTCAAGGCAGGATAATATCGAGGACATCTGCGCATTCCTCAAAAGTACACCGACTTGGATTGACGCCCAGCACCCCACTGCGAACTACAAAACCCTGTCGTTCACACTCGACCCTCCCGATCGTTCCGAACTGACCAAGCTAGAGTTTGAGGATCTTCAGAGCCTCTCCCAGAGCACGCCACGGTTACCGGACCGTCTCTGGGTGGGACTGAACATCGCTCTCACGATCCTCGGACTCGGCACCTCGTGCTGGATCCCCCGCGGCTGGGACCGCCGGGAGGTATTCGTCATGAAGAGCAAGGTCCCCAACGCCAAAACCATCGGTCCCTACTTCCTACACGAGTCCCTCGCCGTCACGCTCACCGAGGAGATGAAGGACGCGCGGATCCACGCGGAGGCGGCGCTGTTCTCGCTCGGCGTCATATTGCTCGAACTCACCTACCAGGAGACCCTGGAGCAGCAGTCGTTCTGGGCCACGTATTGCGAGGAGGACGGGCGGCCCAACGACTGGACGCACCAATGCACGGCGATGGAGTGGCAGTCCAGGGTGGAGGCGTATTACGGCGATGACCTCTCCGAGCCGATACGGCTGTGCGTCGAGGGCAGGTTCTCTCGGGAGGCAGACCTTGGCGACTCGGGCTTTGTGCAGGAGGTCATCGATAATGTCGTGGTGCCGATTGAGCGGTTTCTGTCGTCGTGGAGAAAACTCTCTTGATTATTACTCTGTCTGGCATAGATCCCCTCGAAACATCATGCGGAGCCTATGAAAAAAGAATGGGATCGATCATTCACTGCTCTCTATCCACTACTCTAATGTTCCCCTCCCTCCCGGAGATGCATTGACCTGGCCACCCCTTAGGAATTTTTAGTGGTCGGTGCCCCTCAACGGTGCGGCGGCCGGCAGGGATGGCGGGGCGGGTCCGGAGAGGCGGCCGTTTCAATGTCGGCGAAAAACGGGTCTGCTTCTGAACTGCTAAGCAAAATAAATCGGAAAAAAAGGATAAAGCAAAATAAAACACCGAGGATGATCATCATGGAGTGGTAATTTCTCTCCTCCCCCTGTTTGCAAAATAAGTGGTTAGCATGTAATGAACTGCAACCGACTCATTCGCTTAGACTGAACAGATGGGAACGATGGGATGAATTGGTGGCAGGGCTTGTTGGCTAATGCGAACCGTTAATTGTCCCAGTTCGGCCTGGCGCTTCTGGCGGACCTTTTGGCTACAAGCTAGAACTGGATTTGCTTTAAGTGAGGGGTGACGACCGCACCTGGGTAGCAACAGCTTCAATATCCCTCGCCAGTAACAGCTTCATTCCCTCGGTCATTTGCCGCTGGTCGGTCAGCAGCACCATGGCGTCAGAGGCAGAGCGGACACTCCACAGATCACGCCCTAGGCAGTGGATAGCCGACTCATCAAGCTGGTCGGCAAACTCGCGCGTGGCGGCAAGGTCGGTGATCCGTCTGCGGCAGATGGGCTTATTCGCTTCGCTGGGGGGGAAGTTGGTTATAAGCGGAGCAAGAGAGGTGCTGTCCTCAGGGGTATCAGTGAGACATGTGCCGTCGTCGGGCGTATCGATGGTAATATCAGTCGACTTACGCAAGCTCTCCACGTCGATGTCCATTTCGATGGGCTGATGATTGAATGCGACTGTGGCAGGAAGAGAAACGGTTCTCGTCTCAGGTGCGTTGGTTGGCAAATAAATGCGTGCAGGGGGTCATGCGCTCGCAAGAAGGTGGCTCGGGTCCATGGCCGCCGATAAAGCTCAAGTTCCATACTCCGTACCAGCTTCCAGCCCAACGTACATTTTACAAGAACATACATTGGCCCGTGCGTATTGACTCCCACCTAAAATCAACACAGCTCACAACGTGGTAGAACCACGTCTTGCGCTGGTAAGCTTTATTATTCTGTACCCATTGCCTTGGATGATCGCGAGAGGCGGTTGCTGTTGGTGCCGGTGTTCTTGGTATAAATGCAGTTGAAATCGTTGGCAGTTCCAGGGGCGTCGCTGGAGATCGAACTTGAGAAAGGCAGGATGCTATTGGAGATGGCGATTACGTCGAGACGAGGAGGACGTCTAAAGTGAAGAGTTTAAGGCACGCCGCCGCACATGGGCTTGTCCTTGGCTGCTTCTCAGTGGCTAGGCGCCAACTTAACTACCTAGGCAGAAGCACGTAACAACCTTCTGACCGTGACACTTGCCGGCGGCCGGCAAGAGGGTTAGGTTAGCTAAGCAAAGAGACCAAGGTCCACAGGGTCAAGGATTACCAATGTGCACCGGTGACCCTGTTACTAGCCGTCAGCAGGCCGGTTGAGGAGCAAGAGGCTCGCTTCAAGGGTGCAGAATATGGATGGGTGTTGGCTCTCTCGATGTCTCCTGCCTCAGACAAGTAAAATAATGTTTGTTTCCTGTGCTGCCTGAGATTTCAGGAGTAGACTGCAAATTCAACGATGGAACTAGGTTACAGGGATGCGCTCTTGGACTCCAAATGCAGATAATCACTCTTCTGGTGCCAAAGAAGCCTCAGTTCCTCTGGTTGGAAAAAAGTAAAAAGGTTGTGTGTTGTGTGAGGGGAGATTTATTTTTCTCGTGGTCATTCTAGTTCCTATCACGTCTAACTCGGATGAAATGGAGTTTTGGGTGTGTCTTCTGTCTCTCCCCCCTTACCTAGTATAGTGGCACATAAACACCTTGAATGGCCTCTTGTGGCCGTGAAAAGATGCTCTGTCGGCGACCTAGCACGTCGTCCATTGTAGTCGCGGCTTGTGGGCTGGTGAGCATTCGGGAGGCGTTCCCGGAACCGAGGCCGAATCTGTGAGTGAATGATGGTCGAGAGGCCCGCGTCGGCAGCCCACGGGTTCCATTTACATGTTGTTCGACCAGCGTCCAGTAGATTCGGGGAACGTTTGTTGACCTTGATCGAGCCATGGCGAGTTCGGCTCGCTCCATGGCGAGTGCCGCTCGTTCCCTGGCGAGTGCCGCTCGCTCTTCGTAGACAATTCTTTCTTCGTGCAGTTTTCAAAGGGATTTTCAGTGGCTCAAAGTGAATGGAGAAAACTTGGAAGTGAAAGCGCTGTGTAGGGTTTTCCTTGGCTTCCCTCTCCTGTTACTTACCTATTCACTACAGGCATCTGGGATACAGCTGTTGACAAAAAGGGGAAAGGCCCCCAGGACCCAAAGGTCCCATGGCCGGGGTGTAGGGTTTCTATCGACATTTCCTACCACAAAGAGGACTTCGTAGAGACCAAATGGTGGAAAAACGAATGCACCAGCCATTTCCACGTCGATATACCACAAGACAAGACCAAAGCGTCACTTCTAGAAACCCCCAAGAACTTCGAGCGATTCATGTACCGCCAATACGACATCAAGATCTGTAAGATTGGCAGTGACGATGATAGGGCTAATCATGGCGGTCGATGAATGGCTTAGAAGTAACAGCCAACATGGAAGAGGCGAAACCGAGAGTGTTCGTCGCCTGCGTACCACGGTTAATCACGCCGAGTCGACCTCTTCCAAGAAGCATACATAGGAACATGTCACTGTCGCGTGTTGGGCGGCCTTGATACTGCCAACCTTGCCCTATGTCTTGGCAAACGCTTTGTTAAAGTCGACCGGTTTTTTTTTAAAAAAAAAAAAAACTTTTGTGGTCGCGCTGGTATCGATCCCGTCTCCCAAATAAATGAGCAGCCAAGTTTATGTTGCCCAGCCAACCAAACTCCTAAAGGTCCGCCGCTCTTCCGTACCTAGCGTTCTCCCTTTTTCTCGCCCGATAACCCTCCCACAACAACGCCCATTATTTACCCAACCCCTAATATTGACAGCGTGGTAGTTGGCTAACGTTGCCGGTATCCAGTAATATGCAGAGAAAAGAAATAGTTAAGCCAGCGCTCAATCCGCAAACCTGTATGTGCATAGTCTGTACATCGAATAATTACATTACAGTGCCATGATCCCTCCCTCTCGATCCACAAGGCCTCTCATGAAACCAAAGACTGTATGAAGATGCAGATGCCGGACCTTTCAAGGGTAATCTCGCCCCATCGTAACCTGCATTCAACGTTTGCCCGTTCCGGCGTCGAGGCGCAGCAGCGTTAGGTGCCATGGCTGATAAGGTCGTAGGCAATTGTCTGAGAACAACAGTAAGACCTGCTGCTTTCACAACTCTTCACAAGAAATGAAAGGATCTTGGGCTATAAGACGTATGCGTTCGATGGAGATCATTCAAGACACGAGGCCGGCCAGAGCGTGGCAAAGCTTTGGCAAAACTTTGGGTTTTGTAACGTTAATCATATTACAATTAATTAACAATTTATGTGACTGAGCTTCCACTTAGCGTCACACCCTCTTTCTTCCACAATGTCTGGCAGGAAGCTCAAAATGTGTATATCACTACAGTCCTAGCCTTTTTGTGAGGATTATATTCAGATTTTCGGAGTCAGAGCAGGCCTGGTCTTCTTTGAAAAAAGGGTGTGATGGCGGAAGAATTGTGAAATGCGACGCGTCGCAGGGCAAAAAAACACGCGGCATTGAGTCAGAACTTTTGTACAGTACCCCACCCCACTGTAAGTAACTATAACTAGAACTATTTAATGTCTTGGAGTCAAAAAGATGCCGAGAACAATTCTTACGATCTTGATCCTAACACTAATTAGCTGGTATTCGACAGTAATTAGGAAAGAAAGCTATGGAAATCCCAATGTAGAAGAAACAGCACGACACTTATTAACACGTGTGAAGAAGCCTCTTCTATATAACTAACAAGCTACCTCTACTCCTAATGCTTTTCATGCCTTAACCTTAATCTCAGCTAAATGCCCGAATACCCTTTCAAGCTCAGACAGTCCACCTCATTGAACTCGATAAACGCCGTGTCAACCTGCCATCCAAAGACATCTCCCAGCCCATCCAGCGTCAACGGCGGCATATTGGTCGACACCCTCGCCCGGACAGCCCTGGGCGCATAAGGCGGCGCGGAGAGAGACGAGTTGAACAGCCGGATCTGCTTGTCGCACACGGTGCCGTTCCCGAAAATCGGCTGGTTCGTCACGTTCTTGAACAACCCCAGCGGGTAATGGCGGGCATCGCAGCCTCCTCTCACCAGTCTCATGTCCAGGTTGGCGTATATGCCGGAGGTGTCGTTGGTCTGGACGTGGAAGTAGCTTGAGCCGTCGGGTCGCGAGCCGTAGGCGTCGCAGGGCGGGTCGAATGTTGCGGGATAGGTGGGCGTGCCGTACATCCTCGAGCCGTCGATGGCGAATTCCTTGTCCGCCTGGATCAGCATCGTTGCCGACCATGCGAAGGAGCTGTACCCATCACCGAGGAGGTCGATGAACGGAAACAACCAATTGATTTTCTACCACCCCGCCCCTGTCAGTTAATTACTTTGCGCTTTGCGGCTAAGGGCGAAAGCTTTCTTCGCCTACCGTGAAATCCGGAACCTGGATTCCCAGCGAGAGGAGCTGGATATCGTGATCCAACCCGGCTTGCAGAACCACGGGATACATGTTTCTGGGAAAATCGGGGAGGAGCGCGTGGTACGCGTGCTTGAGGATGCCCCATTGGGCGGGCACCATTTGCCTCGCGGTCTCGTATGGAATCGGTATGACCAACAGGGTGGTATTCAAGGTCCCGGTCGGCGCGTCCGGGTACTGCTCCGATATGGGATTGGGCCTGCTCTGGGAGGAACAGGAGTCCTGGGCTGCTGCCGCCCTGAAGAAAAGGGACAGCAGCAAGGCCGTAACAGCCGCAATGCTAGGAAGAGGCATTTTGGACGGAAACACTCGACTTGAGAAGAGATCCGCCTGCCTGGTTCGTGCTCGGGGGGGAGCGGGGGAGTCAATAAATATACATCCGTACGGCGAGTTGCCATCCCGGCAGAGCTGGGCCTAATTAGATTTGAAGGATCATACTCTTATTGATTTGATTCGCTGTGCTCCGTAGGGCTGCCATGGGCCGCATGCCGGCATATTCTAGGCCGCGCTTTGGTAACAACCTCCAAAGCGGGAACGGCATAAGCGCTAGGACGCATCCAGTATGGCCGGTCCCGTCGTGGCCGCCGTCCTAGGCTGCCGTACAACCTAGGTCCTTTTAGATCATGTCTATCCAGTGTTTATTGCATCTTTGGATTCCTCTCTCCCACGCTATGTCCGTTGTCAGTGAGCTTCGGTGATAAACTCGCCGAGTTGTAAATGTTCTGGAATGCGTTCTAAGACGCCCTTGGTCAGCTATGGTTGTTTTCCCTCAATCCCGCGTTCGGCACGCACTGGACCACTCTCCTTTGAACATGTTTTTCGTCTGCGCGGCTTCATAATATCTGATGAGCAAGACCCCATCCAAATCAGGTGCCCGCTCCCAGGTCTCGTGCCGATGAGAACGGAAGCACCGCGTTGGATTCGGCAAGCCAAGTGGGAAAAGGCTCGTTGAGTTGTCGGGGCCGATGGTGCGTGGAGCAAAGTACGCTCTATGGTATGATCTTACGACTCAACTTACTAACCACACCTCTTAGATTACGCAAGCAACTCCCCAATACACTGGGAAGAGCTTCCTATGTCTGAACTCGAGGACTACATCGCCACAGTGAGGGCGCGTGAGACCCAGACCTGGGGCTTTGCCATCTACAGAACCGCCTACGGCGCGACAACCGACATACCCTGGCAGTCACTTCTCGAGGCTATCCGTACCAACGTTCGGACGGAAGTGCTCGGCCTCCGGGTCCCGCGCGGGGGAAACCCGCCCCACTTTTCCGACGAGGAGACGCAGAGATGCGAAGAATTCTTGTCACTGCTCAAACTTGATGTCAAGGAGGACCAGAGCATTCTGGAACGCGTGTCTATGGACTGTGTACGGGAGATGATCAAAGAAACCGACCCGCGGCTGACGGACGACGAGCCCCTCGGCGGCACCTTGACAACACTACAAGGCGTCTTCCTGTATGTCGATGACGAGGTGTTGCAAGCAGCCCAGACTCCAACTGGCTGTCGTCCTCCGTGGGTGAAAATGGTGGAGCTTGACTACAAACCAGAGCAGCACAAGGGAAACAGACGAGTCGGCCCTCAAAGCTACTTCGGCTGGATGAAGCTGTCTACTGGGAGTTTTTTTCAACTGTGGCAGGACCTGGAAGGCCAGGATTTGTGGAAACTTGCACCACGGAACTCGGATGAGAGACTGCTGACGATATGGGATGGGGTAATGAACAACCAAATGTAAGGTCAGGATCTTGACAGGGACGGCAATCATGATCGAGTGTCGGATTAGATAAGGCTAGCGTGGCAGATTTGTCGCCCGGGACGACTGCCGCAGACTTCGAGATGCCCCGGTTGCGGCGCTGCCCTTTCAACCTGGGCAACATGGTCTGGGAAGCCCGCGTGGACGGCGGCGTAGATGGGTATGTCTGGAAGGTTCGCTTCGGGGCCCAGGGGCCTTTTGCGTTGAAGGTGGTAAGTGGTACTCAGGCTGCCTGACCCAAGACAAAACTCGCATCGCGTCATTAACCATCGCTTGCGTCCAGTTCTGGGATGCGAAGCCCGCCGACTATCCTACGTATTATGCCCCGCAGCGAGAATGCCAGAATGCCGCCCTCGTCCAGATGATGCAAACTGCGGTGGAGCAGGCGGCTGCAGCCTTTCATCCAATCTTGGTCAACGCCAAGCCAACCACTTGGGACGACGCGGTCGCCAACCTCGCCGCCTTTTCCGACGAGGCACGTCTGAAGCAGCCGTCGCCAGCCGATCACGGCTCAGTGCCGCCTCCAGGGCTCCGGCAAATATCGACCATGCCACGCATGAAGAGATGCTACGGCTGGCTGACCATCCCTGGCAAGGTATTCTGGAATCTGCACTCGTCACTCCGGCCGCCCCTGGTTGAGGTCGACAGGATCAAACGTTACCTAAGACCTGACCAAGAATACATAGCTATTGTCTACGAGTATGTCGAGGAAGGCGAAAACGACCCGGATAGGATGCAGAAAGCGATGGACTTCTTTTGGCTTGCCGGCTTCAGCCGCACCTTCTCGCCCCTCTTGGGGAACTGGAAAAGCTGAGTGCTCGTGGATCTGTCCGACATCGTTTCTCCCCGCGGGTATGGCTGGCAAGCAGGACTCTACGAAAACGGACCGGGGTCGGCATATATCCTGCAAAAACAACATGGAGGCCCGCTACAAGGAGAGCAAGCAAGTGCAGGGAGGCCATTTGGTGCCCGCCGGAGAATTGCAAGTCGTTCTTCCGGGCCTCGTGATTGGTGGACGTCTCCCCCACGCCCGCAGGTCGTGGAGTAACATGCGGGGTCGACGCATAGAGTGCCTTTTTAATATCCGTCGGTTCAAAATACACCGAGCGATTTTTGCAAAGCAGCAAATCACAAGAGACTTACACCAGCCACACATTTGCGCCCCATTTGACTTCTACACGCAGCCACTGCATGCTTCGAGAAAGCATAACAATTCCCCTATATCAATAAGAAATAGCGAGATAAGGGGTAGTACAATGAATATTCTATTGAGAATACTACTTGCGTAGCTAAAGACTTCTACAAGTAGCTAAGAGATATTAAAAAGCAAGGGGACAAAAGAACACGGAACCACCAACACTGCGGGTCGAACCCGTGCCTCTGCGACAACGCCTCCATCCATTCGAGATAGGCGTCTAGCGTGGATCTGCAGGCCGCGCCGAGCCTCCAGAGCCACACGAGCTACCTCCAAGAACTGCGTGTTACTGACTTTGAACGGCTACGCCGGTGCGCCAAGGCCAGGCAACCAGCAGTACGAGCTGGGTCACTGGATTAACATCGCACGACTGTGGCCTGTCTGCAAGGCTTGCAAGTGACTGGCATGAACATTTCATAATGACGAAAAGCAAAAGGCACCATCTAAGCTTTCATTCCCCCCTTGTCTGCCGACTTGCCTGGAACACAGGTTGTGACTCCACGCTTTGCCATCTCCTCGTTCCGTGCCAGAATTCTGGCTCTCTCCTCCTCCGTAAACTTCTTCGGAACATTCTCCGCATCGGGGTGGAACATGTCCCAACGGGACACGTTGCGGCCGTCGGCGGTGCGTAGTCTCTCGGGAAGCGGCAGACCATCGTAGTATTCTCTAATCTGGGCTGGGTTGAGGCCAACTGCGTCGAGAATATTACGTTCGGCGTCAAAAGTACGGAGCACGCCGTCGTAGCCCAACCCACTCATGCCCTGTCCGTCTGGATCCCTCTTCATCGATCTTATGATGTCGCTTAGAGACTTGTCGTCGCCTACAGGCTGTCGGTCTGTGGCGGCTTGGGGCGTAGTCGGGGGGTTCTGCAGTTGATTAACATGATAGTCAGCATAAGGTATATATACTGACAATTAAGAGAGTTTGAGGAGTACTTGCCGCCGGTTTGTCCGCCATATTGCCAGCAAGTTGATACAAGTGATAACGGCGCGGCTTGAGTGTTTCGAGCAAGAATTACGTTTTCCAAATGCGTGGTAATGTGATGGGGTAGCTAAAGGGGAGTATACAAGCTTGTGAAGCATGTAGTGATAGCAGAAGTGGTCGGATTAGAAGTAACTAGGTAGGCGCCGGAGGTGCGGGCGGTGCAGCGCGCAGATGAGAGCAGCGGAAAGTTGGAGCGTCGAAAGGTCGTGCTGATTATGATGATAATGATATTATAAATGAGTAAATGCTTTCGGCTCGAGGGTTTCCCGCGGATGACTCGAGTAGGGCGTGGCGGGAGACACGGGGACAGCACCAGCCGCAGCGGTAACGACCTCGACCAGCAGGCAAAGCGAGGGGTTGACGGAGTGGGGCGAGACGAACGAGGGGGAGAGACCCGGGAGTGTGTGGTGGCACTGGTGTGTTGGTTGGCAGCCCCCGGAACTGATCCCAATTGGACCGCGTTCACTAAGGACTCGTTGTAACCTGTTGCCAGTTGGCTCGGGGAGTCGGCGCTGTAGGCTGAATCCTACACGTGTAACGTCCCTACAGCCGGATAGTGGTTCTTTGATAGGCAAACTGTTGGCAGGCTCTTAACAGAGTTGATTAGCAGCTACCCCGATAATCGCCAGTTGTACCGGTGAAGCTCGTCATCAGTTTATCTACAGTCTATGAACTACCTGTTAACATCCTGTTGATGGTCTGTCACCGTCTGTTGTCTCTGTCTGGGCTAAGAGTCTCCGAATGAACCGCGGTGCCGCCGTATGGGTGCGACCCGGCAATGGACGGTAGTCGAATTAGAACGCGAACCATTCCGTTCTCCTGACCATCTCGCGTGTGACACTACCGTGACTACCTATGCTACGTAACAGTTTCCAAGTATAGACACTTTGAGCGCTACCAGGGACCCTGGTCAAATGTGGTATGTTAAGAGTGAATCAGACAGTCGGCCCGTGCCATCAGTTTGGGGGCCAGTTTTGCTCCAACCAGCATCTAGAATATATGAGTATCCACCATTTCTTAAGGCGAGGTAGGCACGGCCATCCTTCCCAAAAGTTTCACTGTTTGGCCCGTTGGTCCTCATGTATGTACGTCGAACAAGCAATCCGAATGCGCACACTAATGCGATTGGTAGAAAAACCATGAATCACGAGGATCGTTGCGCTGTGCCGTACAGACGCGGACCAACGTCCAGTTGCCTTATCAAAGCCAATCAAGAAAACCATGGATCCCTGGGGTCGTCAACGCTGTGCCGTACGAGACGCAGCCACTCCCCCAATGAAGCCGGACTATCGCATTCCTGAAGAAAGTCTTGCCTGGTTCAGTCCCTGCTCCAGCATCCTCCTTTCATCATGTTGACCCACGTTGCCTTAACAGGGACTCGATGTGTGATCCACTTCTATTTTGATTTCAACGATGTCGCGAAGCAATCTGTCGAGAGCGCCGTCCGTTCGCTTATTACGCAGCTCTATTATCAGCGCAGGGCAGCCTGCGCAGAGGTCGACGCCCTGTACTCATTATGCGACAGGGGGGCTCGCCAGCCTAGACAAGTGTCCTCGATCCGGCGTCTGTGCGAAGAGCATTGGCCGACCTTCCACGCACCTTGGATGACACATACGCCAGGATACTAAAAGACTGCTGCAGTTCCTGACGTACTCGGAACGGCCGCTCCGGCTCGGCGAAGCTGTAGATGCGGTCGCGCTGGACACTGGCAACCGGCCGCGGTTCGATTCGAAAAACCGAATGCCAATTCCGACGGAAGTCGTGCAGTACTGCTCTAGCCTTGTCACCCTGGTCAAGAAAGACGATAGCGGCAACGGAGCGGTGGAGATGGTGATCTAGCTTGCGCACTTTTTGGTGCAGGAATATCTTGTGTCGGACTGTGTCGAAGCGGACATAGCCGGCGACCTCTAGGCGATGGCGGCGAGAGCGGCTATTGTGGGTGTGTGTCTGTTGTACCTGCTGGATTTGGACTGCTCGTGCATGCCGGGGGAAGCAGTCGAGGCGTACCCCCTGGCAGAATACGCAGCGCGGTATTGGGCGCGGCATGCGGCAGTTGTCGAAGAGTCAACCGGAAGGGTCCTGCCAACCGAGGAAGAATACTTTTCATGCAGGAGTGTTTTTGAGTTTGGGTACCGACTCTACAGCCCAGATAATATCTGGCAACGGCCGGGCCAAGAAGCAACGCCTGTAGGCGGGTTGTACTATGTATGTTTCTGTGGTCTGCTGGGCTCGCGGTTACTGGGCACGATATACATCTGAACCCGCGTTACTGGACACATGGTCTCCCTGCAACCGCGTTACTGGACACATGGTCTAGGCGCGATCCCGTTACTGGAGTCTCGAACCCCAGTTTGCCCGTGAGTCCAGCTGCCTCTTGGTTCTGTTACTGGAGTCGCCGTGCCGCATTGGCCGTGGGTCTAGTAACTACAGCTGTCTCTGGATCCGTTACTGGAGTCGCCGCATGGCTCTAAATCTTTTACTGGAATAACCCACGTGGCTGTGGCACTGGATTGGGCCGCAAGGGACGTCAGACCAAGATCCAGTAGATGGATGCTGTACAGGAACCCGGATCCAGGATGGATGCGAAAGCCGGGATATGGGATGACTCGCCTACCACGCTCGAGTTTGGGTGCATTCGCTAGCGCCGCCATAATGGAGTCCATATCGCTAGAGATTCAACAGCTGATTTTAGTCCCACATGGTCCCGGAAATACGACAGCATTGCAGAGGCATCCTGTCTAAACAGCAGACAAGGCACTTTGTCGCCTTCGGATATCCAAGCCACGTCGTGGCCCAGAACTGGGTCGCTTTCCCACTCGTGGTGCCTTAACTGCCACCGATGCGTGCTCATGTATACGTCCTGAAGGTGGCGGCACCGGCAGTGCCATTGTGGCTGACGCTAGCTCCCACTGACTCCTCATTCAACCCTGGGGCAGCAATTGGGCGCGATACCAGGCGCAACAAGGCGCATCGATGCTGTGCCACACTCGCCTTGTCGATCACCAGGGGCCGGGCCGCCAGCGATCTTTCATATTGCCAAGTCGACAGCAGCTGAAATATTTCCGATGTTCATCAGCCTTTTTTTATTGGGCGGATATCGGGGTCCAAACCGTGAAGCTGCGGCAGAGCTATTCAAAAGTCCCAAAAGCCCCCCGAACACACCGCTAGCAATTAATTCATAATCACCATCTTACGCGCTGCCCGCGACGATTGCAAAATTGGAGGGAGCATCGATTAACTCACTTCAGGAAACCAAACAAGCCTCGGCGGCAGCATGTCCAACGATGGCAACGACGGCCCCGCGCGGCTCTCGCTGACGATGCGAGAGCAGGCCGCGGTGAAATACACCTGGATTCCCGGCTTCTTTGCCCGCTCGTCCAGCTTCAGCGACCTCCCATTCTTCGATGCGATGCCCGCGCGTCTTTCCAGCCAGCTCGCCGCGGCGTCCCGGCGGCAGCAGCTGCGTCTCGACTTCCGGCCGGGCGACTGCGAGACGGCGGCGGGACTCCGGAATTGCACCGAGGTGTGCTCCGATCCCACCGCGCTCTTCACGCCGCAAAACCTTCCCGCCTGCGTGCTGCTCGCCAGCGCGGCGCTGCTGGTCCAGAACGAGACCTACACGGTCGATCGGTCGGACGCGACGACGCTCCGGACCATCGAGGCGTGGCACGTGCCCGATCTCATCAGGTACAACGCCACCGGCGTGCTTACGAACGTGGCCAAATGCGTCTCCGAGTCTTGTGCCGTGTCGACGCTGGGGGAGTGCAAGGACGACGTACGGGCCCTGGAGGGCGTTCGTATCATCGCCAATAATCTGGTCAACATCTCTGCCAGGCTGGGACGCTATTGCAGCGGGACGAAACCTGACATAAACCCCGATATAGCCGGGCCCGGGGTAAGTTCTTCGCGCGACCATGGCAGACACCGAGAAGATGAGAGTGAAACTTGCTCAGTTTTTTTTTTATTACGGGGTTTGCTGACAGTGCCTTCGGCTAGGTCATGGTCTCCTACTTCTTCCAAGCGAGCCTTGCCCTCTTGTTCTTCGTGCTCACGAAGCTCCTGTCGACCTGGACTGGTAGGGCCGTCACTCTCTTCCGCCGCTGCGACGGCAGCCCGGACCCCCACAGGCAAGGCGCGCAACTCCAGAGCAGGCTTGCCTCGTCTAAGCCCGGCGCCGCCATCACCTCGTCACTGGTCGAGTTCCAGGAGGTGCAGATCTACTTCGTGGCCGTGGTGCAGATCGCCGCCCTCATCAGCTTCAACCCGGCCAACCCCAGTGCCGGCAGCTCCAACCAAAACTCCTTCAGCAGCGCCCTCCTCAATTCCATAGCTGTGAGCGATCTCGGCATCTACAGCACCTTCGGCACCCTCCTCACCCAGTGCTGCCTGCAACGCGCCAATATGCACTGGTGGTACACCTTCGTCATCATGTCTGTCACCTACGTGCTCGCGCTCACCATCTTCTCCCGCAACCCCAGCCTCTTGCCGCCTACTGACGGCCTGTGGACGAGCTTCAAGGCTAGCGCCCCACTAGCCCAGTGCGGTTTCAATCCCAGTCCCATGACGTACTGCAGCCTGTCCTACGATAGCTACAATAACCTCTTCAGTTCCGGAGGGAGTGCTGGTGGTATTGGGCTTGCGACGTTTGGCGCAGTCGCCTGGTGGACCTTACTGATCGACCAACTAGCCTTCAGTATCCGCGATAAGCTCCCGTACGTGGCCAGGAGACTGAGCAGCCTGGATCGGACAGGCATCTTCGGGAGGGTCTTGAAAAGCAGGACCTGGCCGTGGATGCTCTCCTTGTATTGGGGCTCAGTCCAGGGGTTCCTACTCTATGGGACGGCCGCTTACCTGGGTACGCTTGTCCGTGTGGTTTCGAGGACGAGCATCGGCGATACCGCGAACTGGACCTTCGGACAGTTCATTTCCGTCACCGTCTGGGCACCGACCATCATAAAATTCATCTATTTCAACATATGTAAGCTTCTCTTCCAGCCACCCACCTTTTTCTTTCCACCCCCAACTTCTTCCCTAGAAACCTTCTTGCTAACTCGTCGGGTGTTCGATTAGTCGGTGTCAAGGAAGGATTCGAGGAGCGGATCTCGAAGGACTACACGATCAGTCGAAATACAGAGGCGAGCGAGGCACCCGAGGCCCTTCCCCTTCACAAGTACGGTGTGGATTTGCGTCATGCTTCGACCTATCCGTTCCTCGGTCATGGGGACAGGCCATCGTCTCCGGCAAGCCAGGCAGCTGACGAGGCAACGGATAGCGAGCAAAGCAGGGTAGGTGGAACACAGCGACAGAAGTAGATCGGGAAATGTATCGGAGCACGTGTATACATAGCCGTCCTCTCCATGCATGCCAAACTCTTGTGCGCGTCCCGTCCCCTGAGCAGTTTAGGAGCGTGGGTGACTGGGGGTTGGTGAGGGCAACTCGTGCGTAAAAACAACAGTAAAAGGAAGGTGGAAAGACCGATTGTTTATATGAGAGACACGTTGATAATAACAATAAATTAAGTTAGCAAAGCCCAGTGCCCCTTGTCCCTTGTGATTGAAGTCTAATCGAAGGATAGATAGGCACACTTTGCATTTTCTACATAATATCAAGACCTTGAGGCTCCCGAGACTTTAACATGTCCTCTATATCGCCCCACGCGCTTTTCTCCATGTAACACTCGCCCACCAACCGGTGCAGGGTCGCGCGGCTCTGCTGCCGGTCTTGTGACCCAGAGCTTCTTTGCTGGCGCCGAAGGGCAAGTGGGATTGCCGCGCCGACACACATGTATATCTCATCCCCAAGGTCGGCTTCTTCAGGAGCAATACCCATGTATCCAGTGTCGGTGATAATGAAGCGCCGCGAATGGCAGTTTTGCAGGACAAACCGCACGTACGCCCCGTAGCTCGCAACCAAGTACTTCCCAGCCAGGTGGAACGGGATGTCGGCGAAGGGAACTTCACACCCCCTTTCGCGAGCCATTTCCCGAACAGTGCTTCCCCAGCTTGTTTTTGGCTTCTTGTCATCCCAGTTGTCCATCCGTTTCCGCTTCTGGCCGAGGGTAAAGCCACGTCCTCCAGATGCCTCACTCTCCGAAGGCCCCGCCCCTGATTCCGTGTCGGTGTCTGCGTTGCTTTCCGCTCCGACGAATTTCTGTATTGCCGATGGATACGCAAACCCTCTTGCTGCGATTACCTCGTAAAAGCTTTTATAGGAGAGGCCGTTGCGCTGCTTAATCAGCGAGTTCTCAATTCCGTCGAGCTTGCTCTCGGACTTGTCGGGTATCAGGCTCTTCCATTCATGCAAGGGGAATCGGCCTTGGCTGGCGATGTATGGAGCTCCCAGCCTCGTTATCTTGCCACAGGAGTATCCAAAAATTCGCAACAAAGGTCCAGGTTCTGCGTCCGTTGTGTTGCTGGACGAGGTTCTCCCGGCAGATATGAAAACCTGTGGTGTCCTCGAGATATTCCAATCCTTCTTAGCATTCCATACAGAGGTTATCTGAGATGTCCCCAGTGTTTTCCTTCTCGGTGCGACGCTCCAATCTGGCACCCATGATGGCAGTCCCTCTATTTTCGATCCGCCCTGGGCCGCGTACAGTATCTCGAAGCCACGGTCCGGTATTAGAGCGATGGCGCAGTCCACAAAGACTTTGGCAACCGAGTCACCGTATCTGGGGGTGATGCCCAGCTGCCTGTCGAACGAGTGCATCAGCGGCAACATGGCATACACCTTGTCCCGCGGGTCCGTTGCGCCGCAGTGCCGTGCCTGCAAGAGGGCCTTGAGCATTGCAGACTCGAGGTCGCCGTTCGTGAGAGAGCGCTTGGACGTCGACACAACGAACGGCAGCTTGGAGGTGAGCCACTTGTTGTTGTGGTTCCAGTCGTTGAAGTTCCGGATCGACGACCAGGGCAGTGATCTCTCACCACAGTATGCGACGCCGCTGCTCGACAAGACAACTTCCTGGATTACCCAGACTCGGGTAAACCATAGTCTGTGGAAGAAGTCGTCGAGGGCTTTGACGAGAGACGGCGATTTGGGGTAGCTCAGAGATGTGGTCTCGGGGCTAGGGCTGTCGCATTCGGCGATGAAGTCCATGGCTAAGTCGCTGTCTTCTGCAGCTTCGCCCAGGTAGATGACAACCTCGGCGGCTTTGGAGAAGATCTTTGACATGAGAGTCACTTGGTGGTTTCGCTCGCACCGATTTGACTGGTCGATGCATAGCGCGTCTATCCAGAGGGTTCGCGGCTTGTCCTTGAGCCGGAGCCGTCGGAGGGCGGAGAAGCAATTCAAGGTGACTGGAAATTCCACAACGCCTCCAGATGTCGTGGCCTTAATCGAAATCATCCGGCGATCCCGGGAGTCTCCCCACGTATACGACAAAGCTTCATAGCAAGGCATAGCTTGAAGCTCCGCAATCATGAGCTCGCCGGTGATGTGTTCGCCATCTCCCGGCAAGAGAACCAGGAGACGGACATGGTCCGAAGTTGGAAGAACCGGTCCCGGGTATGGCTGAGGGGGCAAAGCAGCGTGCACTTCAGTCATGGTTAAGACCCGATGGGAGGAGGGTAGTCGTGGTCCGGGTTTCCTTTGTTCGCCGCCTAGCTGAAGACGCGGTGGCCAGCGGTAGTTTACCGTCGCTAATTGATGGCTTCACAAACCGAATGGTTTTTTGGACTTGGATCTATGGAGAAGGGAAATGGGCTAGAGTTGGGTGCCTATTTTGTCGTCAGCCCCTCCCTCCTTGTCAGAGGCAGCCAATAAGACACATTGGGCAGCCTCACAAAACCTGCACGCACAGAAAGGGGATATACCAAGGCTATGCATAAGCTGAAACTGGGTCAAGCTCAGGCCTGAGCTAGCCTAAGCAAAAGCGGTGAGGGGTTACGTGAACTGAATGCAAGGGAGGTGACCATATTAGGGTCAAATACAAAATACAGAATAAAATGCTCCCTAAATCTTGCCCTTAGTCATTTCCTTCTTCATAAGTAGGCTAATGCTACTACTACTTTAACCTATGCAGCAGGTGTGCAGTAAGTATGCAATGGATATGCATAGTATGCTAATTAAGGCATAAACTTATACTACTACCCTAGCTATAGTCCTCCTGGTATCGTAAGGGAGATGGAATCCTGGCCCGGCTTGAGCCGATCGCTTCCCAGAAACCTCGCAGTGATGAGATGCAATCCGCCCGACAATTCGAGTGGTAGCGGAAACGTCGCGCTCCCCCCTTCCTCGGCAGTCAGCATGTGCTCTGCCTTCACCCCCGCGCCTTCTAAAGTCACAAGGCCTGCGACCGGCTCGTCCGGGCCCCCGGCGACGTTGACCGTCACCATTATCGGCTCGTCCCCCTGGCCGGCCGCAAACCCGGTTCTTACGATCGTGGGCCCCGTTGGCGGCTCCTGCCACCCGCTCCGCGTCAGGTTCCATTCCGGCTTGTCCTGGCACGGCACACAGCCCGGCCAGTACGAGTCCGGTACCCGTCCGGTGACGGGATTTCGGTATGCGAACCACATGCGCTGGATCTCGGGCCATGCGACATACCGCCCGCTACCGCCCATGAATCCTGTCTCGCGCGGGTCGCCCATGTCCGTCAGCAACAGGTCGGGCGGGTACTGCTTGATCAGGTCCCGCGGTGGCGGGTTGGGGGCGTTCTTGGCCCGCGGCGGCACCCCCGACCACCCGTCCTTCCAGTTCGATACACTCCAGTAGAATTCGTCAATGGTCACGCTCCACAGCCTCCAGATGCCGTCTTCGATGACCATCTGGTCGTGGTACATGGCGCCTCGGAGTATGCCTGCGCTGCTCTTGTTGGTCACCGGTTGTAGTAATCGTCCCCGGAAACTCGATGACCGCCCATCGTGCGAGACGTGGATGACCGGCTGCGGGCGCCAATGGAACGAGACGTCCGACCGGCTCTTTAGTTCCTCGGTGCCGTAGTACGTGGTACACGCTTCGAGAACCCGTTGGCGGGTCTGGTAAAAGCCAGCGAAGGGTGATTCCTTGTTACCGTTCCTGGCATGTATAGCGGCCATATTGAAACAACCTTTGCCATCAATGAAATCGATATAGAAACCGTAGCCGTTCGACACGTTCTCGGTACCGTCGTAGGCGGCCGAGCGGTTAAGCCGACGCTCTAGCTCGGATAAGTCTTCGTGAACGCTGATCGGGTCTGCCTTCCGGGAGCTGCGACCTGTGGCGGCTAGGAAAACAGGCTCAATGGTGCTCTTTGGCATGTTGCTACCCTTGCCCCAGCCAGTCGAGTAGTTGGCTACTAACAGGGGCGAGATGGTTATATTCGTCATCTTCCAGATACCGTTCTCCTTGATGAAGGTGTTCTGGAAGAAGCCGAACTGCCAAGACGCCGTGGTCTTGTTGGCGTCGCCAATAAGGGCCATCTCAATGCCTCGAGCATCCGCCATCTCGTCGGCCTGGTCAGCGGCTGGACGAATAGAGACGATAGTGTCGAAGATGAGGTGCTCGTTCAGGATGCCTTGGCTGAGCCCCGCTGGGCCCATCCACTTCTCTAGCGCTTCCTGGATGCCGTCGTCGCCTTGAAACGATCCGATATTGTCGATTGTTATCCCCGCCGAAGCACCACCGAAGAGCTCGCCCACGTCGGCCCACATTCGACGGTCGACGTAGTAACCGTAGGCGTGTTGGAGGTTCCGCACCTCATCCTCATCGTTCAAAATGTTGATTCGGTACTGTAAATCGTCCACCGTTGCCTTGGTCTCCGGTGCCTCGCCAACTGGCGGAGGGATAGGTATCCCTGCCTCATCAGGCGTGTAGTGAAAAGGGGGCACAGTGCCCAGATCTCCACCGCCAAAGTTGCGCCAACCATCGGCATACTTGCCACTGTACAGCGGGTAGTATCGCATCAACGAGATCCTCCACTGGCCATCGACGAGCGCATACTCGTTCTCGTAGATGCCGCCCTGGATCCTCGTCTCCCCGATTCCATTACCCTGGAAGCGCCAACCACTAAAGCGGCCTTTAGCTGTGCGTCCGTCGACCGCTAGGTTCACCAACGGAGTAGCGGCAACCAATGTGTCGAGCGATCCTGGTTTGATGCCGTCCATGTCGCCAGCATCGCTCCTCAGCCACTTCTCGATCGCCTCAGGTCCCTTCGCGCTCGCATTGCCCCACAACAGCGCACCATCATCGGTGAACAGCGCGGCCATGTCAGCATACCGGCCAAATTGAGCGAGCTGGGCAAATGTCGCCGTCACATCCTTCACTTCGCGGACCGACTCGACCCGTTCGACGTCCCGGGCGAGCGAGTTGAGTGTCGCCGCCTGGCCGAGTCCCGTGGTTGCATCGTTCGGCGACGGCGCCTGCAGGCTGATTGCAGCACCGCCTAGTAAGAGGCCTAACGACACTTTCATGCCTGATGCCTGAGGTCTCTCCCTTATATGGCGGCCTTTGTAGCAGATGATGATCCAAGCCGAGACGGTGTAAAGTGAGGGTCATGCACCACCAACAGCCATCGTCATCTGGTTGCAGCGAGACCCCAAGCCAAGATATACCCAGAACCAACCCCCCGGGGCATTTTCTCCAAAGTGAATAAGCCATCTAAATTTGAAGCCGCATGTATCCTAGCCGCCAAAGGCATCATGTATACATACTATCCTCCCGGAAATTGGCGTGTTTCAAACCGGTTCGCCAGCTCAACCCGTTAGTAAGGTATCCAGTCCGTAGAGCGTCGGGCCTGGGAATCATCTGCCGAACCCCGCCGCTGGTGCCCCATCGGCAAAACTCCCGACCCCCCAGCGGTAAACATATCCTGAGCCTCTCAGGTGCTGGGGCGAGACGGGTGCAATATCTGCGGAAAATTGGACGCCGAGGGCAATTTATCGACATTTCCAATTGTCTTTGGAGCTACAGGGATAAGTTTTGCTGGATAGCCCCCTCTCCCTGACATCAAGCCACTCATGTGCATCTAGTATTATCGGCTGTACCCGAGCCCAGTAAGGTTAGGTGTTGGAGCAACTACAGATCTATACTTAATTATATGCCAACTAAGCCTAGCTCTAGTTAAGCAATGCTGTGCTTGCCAGGTGCTGATTACATGGAATTACCCCAACACCACCGCGCCAGTAGTGCGTGAACTCTCTATATATCACGCCCTCATAGCTCGACATGCGTCTTGTCCCACGGTCCCCCCACCTTGAGGTACTGTGATTCAGCGCAACACTCGGCACTTGAACAATACCAGCGCCCCTCCAGAACCAGGCGCGACAAGAGGGCGGAGCCCCTCGCGGCAGCAAAGGCTGGATCGTCCAAGACAACGAGTTCGACGTCCGCCTTCACAGCAGTGCCCTGCTCGCACCCGACCTCGCCGTCGAAGCAGATCCTGTGAACCCTGGGAATGTCCCGCACAACGTCCCGCACGACGCCAAGGAAGTCCGGGTTGTCGGCCGCCTCGCCAGCCACGACGACGATCTCAACCGCTACGGTGATGGTGTAATGGCCATGCCTACGATGCTTGGTATGCTCGGCGACGCGGGAGGCCAGTCGCGCCCGAACGGCGTCCCAGAACTGCGCCGGCGTGGCCGCCTTGGCCATCTCGTCGAGGCCGTACTCGGCGTCTATGGCGCTCAACGACTGCCATGAGTGCTTATAAAAGCACCTGGCTCGCTGGAAGGAGGTGTACAGGGAGCGGTTTGTGAAGCTGCGTAGTGGGTGGTTTTGTCAAAGTTAGTAACCGAGATTTTGAAAACTTCTCTTTTTTTTTTTTTTTTAAAAAAAAAAAAAAAAAAAAAAAAAGGAATTTCAATAAGAGCCACACCAACCTGATAAAGAATACGCCCTGATACGTGTCGTCCTCGTCGGTGTCGCCGCACCCGTAGGGCTCGCATAGCCAGCGCCCGCTTGCGCCGAGCACGGTGTTGAGCTCGCCCATATAGACAGGCCCGCCGCCGAGGTCGAACGTCCACGGCTTCACACCGGCCAGCACAAGCGCGTCGTAAAGGTCGCTATCAAGGGTCCCGTCATCCCGCCACACATCCTGCCACGGCGCCGTTACAACGACCATTCCAAAGGGTGCCCCCAGTGCAGCCTTGGTCTCAGCCTTCAGATCGGCGACCATCTTGGCTAGGACGGCGATTTCGCGGTTCGCAGGTAGTCCGAGGGTCAGCATCGCCAACCTTGTCATTCTCCGCCAGAAGGGCCGCCGAAGCCCGCTTTCAAGCGGGGGGGTCCGCATGAGCCGCTCTGTGAGGGCCATGTACTTGGGGCTTCCGGCAACCTTGGCAAGGTTGATCGTTGTCCCATTGTCTAGGTAGGCAACAGATGTGCTAGGTAGATGAAATTCATGAGCATTATTCAGTAGCAACTTTTAGCCAAAAGTTGGAGCAGTGGCCTGGGGAGAGGGAGAGGGAGAGAGTCAGCGGGAACAAGTGACAAGCTTCACTCACCCGTATGATTGACCGAGGTCAAACCCGATCGCGGCCTGGTTCCTCACTGAGGTCGGGACACAGGCATGGCAGGCTTCTAGTCGCTGGGAAAGCGCGACATGGGGCAGCAAGATGCAGAGGAGTAGGAAGAGGAAGGCAAGAGACCGGGACGGGTCGTGTTTTCTTCGCGACATTTCCCAATTTCTCGAAATTTTCCAGTAGCGGCGCGAGTGCTCTTTTTGACGGAATCCTTTGGTTGTTGCAGGTATGTACATACCTGTTGGATGCATTGCAAGAAGACGATATGCTCCGTCTCTAACCCCCGTCGAATGTCGGCATCAGCCCACGCCATAGGAAAATACCACCAAAAATCGGGCCCCTCTCAGATGGCTGCTTCGTTTGACCAATCGGGGCGATACCTTTCCGTGAAAGTGGGCACTTATACGTCCGCCAGTACCAACACTACCATAGGTCTGCTAATGCTGATGTTTTCAGCCTTGGTATTGGCAAGTGAACTCCCTGTCCTCCAGCGTGTCCACTGGCTGATTGGGTGCAAGACAAGAAGCAAAAGCCTTTACGGCCGAACCGATTCCGTCGATTGGTGGATCAAGAAGGTGGCAGCCTCTTTAGCGGACCGAACCGAGGTTTTAAATGGAGAGTCCTAGCGCGCCTTATGCGGAACGGTTTTCCCAGACTCCACCATTGGCGCATATTATTAGCAGAAGCATGCATGTGGCAAGGGGACAAGATAAGATCCTTCTGATTAAGCGATGTTATAGGCGCCGAGTGGTGCTGGGTCTAGACCTCCCGACTTACATGTAACTATTGTCTATCACGACCCTCCAGGGTCGGCGTGTGCAAGGTACTTCTTCCTTTCCACCGGCCAACAGCACAATATATTTTGCTCAATTGAGCGTGTCTAATGCATGGGATGTCAGGATGGCAGCCTATGTGCTATGCTGCTACTCTGGGGACCGCCAACCGCATGTAGGATGTGAAAAACCTTGCCAACCAGCCAACCGGGCACCATTCCGTACCAGATTCGAGTCATTATGCAAGGTTGACGATGGAGGCACAATCGATATTACGGCCTCATCACGGTTGGACTTCCCTTGGCAGGTTACCTTGAGGCATACCCTTGCAGTTCAACACATCACGAGCCTGGATAACTCCTGGCGGGCCTGTCTGTCAATCCCAGGACGGGAAGTACTCGAGCCGATGCTTAAATATGATGGTTTGTGACAGAGGATTAATCCCCTGATAACTTTCTGGCAAAAAACCACGCCGCTTGGGGAGTAGAGGTTGCGAGACATATTGTTTAAGTGGCATTCTTTTACCTTAGACCTCTTTTTCTCTGTCGACTCGACTGTCGCCAGCTTTTGTCGGTTCATTTTTATCGCTTCGGTACTACTTCTACTTCTCATTGGATACCGTGGGAGATTCTGGGGCAGTCGCTGGTTTTTGGGGATCGGGGACACGACGGGAGTATCGTTGGTTTGGTCCCACTTTTGTTACGGACTACGGAGTGGATTGGCGGAATCGATCGGTCTTGGGGGCCTCGCGGCACGGACATCCAGTCGTTTATTTTCAATATTCCGGTGGTTTCCTGGAGCAATACTGAGAGCTGATCCAAATGCTTTGGAATGCCTTTTACTATGAAATTCCCGGTATTCCGGACTGGAACTGGCTCGGAGCTCAACCTCCGGACCCTCTTGATGGAAGTATTTATAACCCTTCCATCCACCCATAGCTAGATCTTTTGGCCTTACACTTCATTCAATATAACATCAGTCTTCCACTGCGCGCTGGGTATTTAAATACAAATTCGAACACCCCATGCGGCCACCCTGCCTATAGCGTGCTTGGAGGGGAGGCAGTCGACTCAACATCACAGTACTGACATCCGTAGCATTCCCCTGTACTCCGCACGCTGGTTATGCATCCATCAATATCAGTGGCGACTTTCTCGGGAAAGACAACCCGAGTTAACGTTTGCCCTGTCGGACACGGATATGGTGGCACTATGCAGCTGAAGGTGACGCGGCACCCCATAGTTGTAGATACTGTCGTATGACCGGATGGACAAGCTTCTGAGGTTGGACTCTGTTCGGCCGACGGTGCCATGCTTGCTGTGGTTGTTTGTTCCATCGTTATGCCTGGTATAGCTGTCGAAACTAGCGCCGAGCTAGGCATACGTTAGTTTTCCCCTGTCAATTAGAGAGTAGGCATGACAGAACATACCTTATATTGGCGGCTAAAATAAGCTGGGGTAACATTGTGGCAACAACGTTTTACTCTTTAGTAGTGAGAGCAAGTGCTGGAGACTGTGAACTTTGAGGAGGTTGAATAATTGATACTGATTGTGTAAGATTAATGCTTGTCTGCGAAAGCCACTTTCATTCCGACAACTATCGTGGTGATGCAAGTTGAAACGATATCCGTTCAAAATGTGGGGGGTTGCCTCGTTTTAAACCTGACGGCTTTGTACCCTGGGTCGTTTGTTGGTGCAGGGGGGGGGGGTGTCGCCAAGACTGCCAATCTCGCGCGCAATGCAAAAGGCAGGTAGGTTGCATGTATTCTGTAGACACATACATATACTTGTCAGTCTATTTCTGTCCTTGGCATATCCGAGTCATATGTAGCACCCCTTTTCTATCCTCAGTTCCGCATCTCCTTGAACTCGTAGGGGGCGTCTCTGGTCTTAACTGTCTGTCTGCAACCACGGTCCATTCTCAGTCCGGGCTTTCACCATGACACAGCAGCCTTAGCAAAATGGCTTGTCCACCCCCCCTTCGTCGAAATGCAGAGAGAATTAGTATAGGCGCGCTGAAAACGCTTGCATGACGAATATAACTGCATCATCCTCCCCTACCAAGAGGCAATCAAAAAGGCATATATCTCCAAGAAGCCGGCGGAGACGAAGTTTCTTAAATGGGTCACAGAGGTCTTTACACTGCGCAGCAAGTTGCATCTAGAAAGACGCGGAACTGGGGAAGCTTCCACAAGTTCCAGATCCGGTGAGCCCATCTGTTGTTAGCCACTTGGTTGACAGGCTGGTGTTGCTGGAAGAAGCGACCCCCCAAGGCGGTTGCAACAGCGAGTGAGCCCTTAAGGAGCTTACTTGGCGCCAGAGCAATGCCACCAAAGAGCAGCTGTCTTCTCAGGTTGACGGCCACGAAGCGACTTCTAGTTATCCAGGGCAGAACGGCGCATAAAGACAAGGTATCCTATGTGTAGGTGAGGACGATTATAGGAAACGAGGAGGTAAATGGGTAATTATTTCATATGTCTAATATTAGCTTGAGCCTTTCCAGGTTTTAGTCAGAATATTGCGAATACAGTCGTTTGTGCTTTCTCTCTACCTCCCCTATGTATCTCTTCCATCCACCCGTAGTTATATTTTTTAACCTTACGTGTCATTCTATATAACGTCAGTGAGGGGGAGAGTAACGTTCTCCTTTTGCCCGCAAATTGTTGATAATTGTGAGCACGGATTTCATTACCTGTAACATTTGCAGCAGGTGGAGAAAGAAATAGTTAAACCAGCGATTAATCCGCAACTCGTATATATTTACACATACATAATCTGTACATTGAAATATCGATAAGGGCTCTCATGGAACCAAAGACTTTAACAGTGCAGATACCGATTCCCGCGCGGTCACCAGAGGGCAGCCCTGAGTCAAAGGACTGGGCCGGTCTGCCGGGAGGATTACAAAGGGCAGGCTCTAATCCAAGTTTTGGCTGTGAGTGTTCGTCAAAACTATTCCGTGCCCAATTTGCTACTAGTATGGAGGTTGCTAGCAAAAGAGTCTATCACAATTGTTAGGGAGTTTGCGCCACCGAAGTTCCAGCAACCTCCAATTTAGGCAGGGGGCGGATCCTATTGGTAGAAACCTCCATGATTTAGTCCATGTCTATGTACATTCCAGTCGTAATGGTACTCATTGCATAAGTTAGTCGGACTGTTCACCTCTGTGCTACCGTCCAGCTGCCTATCAGGGTCCGGCCTGTCACAGTAGTCACATCCTCCACACAGCGGTTCAGTCAGCAAGGAGACAGTGCATTGCCTAGTAACAGTAACGACTCCCCCGCCAATGACATGCTGAGTTAACACTTGCCCTGTAGGACATGGATATGCTGGCAGTATGCAGCTGAAGTTGGGACACTCCACAGTTTCAGACACTGACACCGTCGTATAACCAGATGGACAAGCTTCCGAGGTTGGACTCTGGTTGGCCGGCGGTGCAGTGCTTGCTGTTGTTGTTTGTTCTATCGATGCACTTGGTATAGCTGTTGAAGCTAGCGCCGAGCTGAGTAGGTCAAGCACATGTTAGTTTTCCCTGTCAATTAGGGTGCGCATGACTGAACATACCCTAAATTGGCTAGAAGAAGTTGGGCTAACATTGTAGCAAATAATGTTTACTCTGTAGTAAACAAGGTAGAGTGCTGCATGGATTGTATTGTGTTGCGTTGCGTTGCGGGAAAGCTACTTCCATTCCGGTGGTGATGCAAGCTGAACGATCTCCCTTCAAAGTGTGGGGCAGTCGCCCCCTTTTAAAGGCGGCTCCATACCCCAGATCGGGCTGCCCGCCAAGACTGCTGTTCTCGCGTGTACCAACCAACAGCAGATTGAGAGATTACAAAAGGGGCAGAAAGGATGTGAAGCAAAATTTTGGGAGTTTCGGGTCAGGCAACTTTGAGCCTGCCCTGCGTTACTACGCGGTGAAAATTACAGTAATCCACTGTATTTTGATCTGATTTCCCCGGTTCCAGAAACAATCCGTTGCAGTATTTCCAATAAAACCCCTGTCGAAACCTCGACTGCTATCGCAATGCACGCTTGCCCAGGAGCAGCAGCAGCGGTCTCGCCAACCTCACTGTGATTGTCAAATAATGATATCAACAACAATATTCACAGTTGTTCGAAGGGCCCAGCCTGGAGGCAAGGAGAGACGCCCGCAGGGCTGCAAGAACCCGCCCCCCCACTTCCAAGGGTGTGATCAGAATTACCCCATAGGCGGTGCCGTCTTTGCTGAATCACTGTTCGGATGTCATGCGGGTGGTAGAATTATTGTCGAGGGAGGGGAGCAGCTCCTCGTGAGACGCCAGGAGGGTATTTGCCTACTCTCGGTTTTGCGTCAAATAAACCCCAAGGAGAACATTACTGAGGAAAATGGGACGCAACAGTGAGGAATCCATGCCAGCATTTGCGGTGGTGATGGAAATGGAAAGTCAGGGAAAAGTTCATTTGCGCCGTGATGAAAGTGTTCCCCCCTTCGTTCGAGAGCCAGAAATTAAACAAACAATCCCACCTTGCTCCCCATTATTGAGCGGAAGAAGCAAACGCGCGGAGATGCATATCGTACAAAACGGGGGGTCGCTCCTCCCAACTTGTTGTCCAGTTTTACCATCCCAGCCCCGAGTGAGAGGTTTTTTTTCACCTATTTAGCACCCCCGACCTCGACCTTGGGCCACGACGCAGCGCCCATTTCGGCAAAAAAGGCACCCTATCCGATGCAGAAAACACCAAACGAGCAAGGAAACCGAGAGTAAAAAAGGGGCAAATTGAAGAGAAGCCTCTTCACGCCTCCACAGCCTCCTCCACCTTCGCCTTCTTCGACTCGGCCTCGGGCGTGCCCTCGACAGGCTCCTCCGCCTTGCGCTTCCCGACGCCGCTGCCGTTGGTCCCGTGGCCGTTAGCCTTCTCGGCCTCGTCGGTCTTGGGCTTGGGCTGCTCGTCCTTGGCCTTCTTCCGGACGAGGCCCGTCAGGTCCGTGGCCGTCTTCTTGGCCTCCTCGATGCGCGACTCGGTCTGCGCCGCCGACTCGCCCAGCGCCGCGCCGAGGATGCCGCCCATGGCGTTGCCGGCCGCGCCGTAGAGGGCCGCGTTCACGTCGATGGGGGGCTTCTGGAGGTCGACGAGCTATTTCAAAGGGAAGGGCGGACGGTAAGCTTGAGCCAAATGGTTATGACAAGTGGGCGAGCATCCAAGACAACTTACTCTCTGCTCCATGTCCGCGATGATGTCCTTAACCTCGGCAATCTGCTTCCTGGTGGCATCGTTGTCCTCTGGCGAATGGAGGGTGGCGAGCTCGACCTCCTTGTTCTGCAGCTTGAGCTTCGTGCTTGCAATGGCGGCCTCGAGTTCCTTGGCCGCCTCGTCGCGCAGGTCCTGGTCGACCGGCTTCGGCCCGGACTTATCGGTGTCCTCTTCGGAGGATGTCGTGACGGACGCGAATTCGAGGGCGAGGGACAGCTTGAAGTGAGCCTCTGCGATGACCTCCGAGTCCTCCGAGTAGAGCTCCTGCTTGTACTTGAGGGAGGCGCGCGAGTCCGTGATGGCGTTGGGGTATCTACAAACCTGTCAGCGTATTGCGCTACGCTAGCTGACAGCGGTCTTTAGACACCTCTCGTTCTCCAAGGAGATCTCGGCCAACAGATCGTGCGTATCGGCCAACCGCTCCTTGATATGCTTGACAATGGGGGAGTCGCCGTCTGACGTCTCCACCTCCTTGCCTTTGCCATCTTCCTTTTCTGATTGGTTTGCCTCCAATCGTTTCGTAAAGAGCACGCGGGCGAGGTCCAGGATCTCGAAAGCCACCGCCAAGTCATCGTCCTCTTCCTCGTCGCCTTCAGCATCTTCCTCGGCACCCTATCCCAGCCAAGTTAGCATCCAACCTGTCCTCAATAATAATAGTTTAAAGGAAGGGGGGGATAATAAAAAAGACAAGAGAGTAAAGAAGCCGGGGGAAAGGGTGTATACAAACCTCCTCATCCGAATCGTCAAAGTTCTCATCCCCGGTAAACTGGAACAGCGCCTTATTCTCCGTCGACTCGTCCGTCTTCTTTGCACCATCCGCCTCACTAGCAATGATACCCACAGCCTCCTCAGCAACCCTATCCGCCTCGGCAGTTGCCTCCGTGGCAGGTGCAGCAGCATCAGCCGCCGGCCCAGCATCATCACCACCCTTCTTCTGCCTCTGCTTCTGACTCTTCTTCACGCCCTTCCCCTTCTTCTTCTCCCCCTCCGCCTCCCCGCCACCCGCCGGCGCCGCCGGCGCCCTCCCGCCCAAAACGTCGCTCTTGGCCTGCCCGACCCTGAACAGCGCGCGGCCGTACAGGAAGAGGATCTCGGCATTCTCGGGACTCGTCTCGCCGTTCATCTCGGCCTGCATCTCTGCGGCGCGCGCGTACGCCTCGGCGGCGCCCTCGTAGTCGCGGTGCGCGTACTGCGCGCCTGCCCGCGCCGTCAGGTCCGCCAGCGACACGCGCAGGCTCGCCTCGCGCTGCGTCGCGTCCAGCTCCAGGCCCGCCGGCGTCGACGTCCCCGTCGCCATGGTCGGCGTGGCGATGCCGGTCGGGGGAGGGGTTTCGTCTGCCATTTGGGGGAGGGAGGAGGAGTCGGATGCGGTTTTTGGTGAGAGTGGGGTGATGTGATTGTCGAGGTTGCTGGTTGGGAGCTTTTGGAGGTGGTAATTGGGAAGAGTAGGTAGATATGCGATGAAGACTGATCTGTATTGAAGATGGATGAAAGGTTAGATAGATGGGTATGGTTCTCAATTGATCTCCATCATAGGCTGCCTGGGGTAAGGTCAAAAGCCAGGTGAGGATGGGGTGGTGGGAAGGTGCGATATGGGGAGCCTGTGACGCGCCTAGACGCGTCTTATTGGCTGAAGCTCTCCGCAGTGACGTGCATATGTGCAAGGCAGGAATGGGGTGGGGACATACCTGTAAGAGCTTTGTGCCTATTGCTTGCAGGGGAAAAGAGCTGTTACTTTTTCCAGATATGCTTCCAGTTGCACTGCGTCTTTTGTAAAGGAAAAGCCGCAAATTATGGTCACCAGTTTGGGAACTTGGAATCAGAGGGACCAGAGGCCAGGCGGGCGACTCCCGTGTCAGAAGTCAGGCCATCTGAATATTGGATAATCCATCATGTGTTCCCCACCCACACCACATGTCGCCAAAACCGACTTGGATCGATCACGTTAGAATGAACCTGGAATTCTATGTCTGGTTGCAACTACCAAGGCGGCAACTTATCGCTTCTCTAACATCGCATCTCTAACCCAAGGCCATCTCTAGGTAAACTAGCCATCCTCCCAAGAGAATCAGGCATATGGATTGAAGCTCTCTTCTCACATTACATGTTCTTAGACAAACTAGCATCTAACCTAGGTATGTATGTATACGTATTCAAGAGCAAACTCCCCGCCCGCGAAGGGAAACAGGGTTTGAAAGGTGACAATCTTCCCCCGCATCATGATCTATCAACAATTCCCTTGCCGCCTACGCCAGTCTAGATGCAAAGGTCGTCATGGTTGATAGTCTCGTCTCGTCGAAGTCGTCGCATCTTCTGTACAGGACGGAAAGAAAAAGATCGGAGAGAAAAATAAAAATAAAAAGATGCGCTGTGCGAGTCCAACCATATTCCAGCCCTCGAGAGGCTGACCAACAAATCGTTGTCTGTCATGTGTAATAGGTAGATGGGTATATCCCCTCGAATATCCTTGTCTCTCCCCCTTCCTCTGCGCCAGAAATGCTGTCTTCTGCGTTTTCAATTTAATGCTTCTTGTATTTCTGTAAACCCAAATCAGCACATCGTCCCGCCAAAACAAGCTGCACCAAAAAGGCGAGCCAGGTATATAAAATAGGGGACAGAGCCAAACTTACCGCGTCCACCCTCCTCCTATTCTCGGGGTCCAGCGAGTTCGTCGCGCCGAGCAGCGTCTGCCCGATCGCCTTTGTGGCCCCGATGGCCGGCCTAAAGATGATGGTCGGCGCCCTCCTCAGCACCGCCTTGGCGGCCCCCTGCGCGCTCTGGCTCTCCATCACCTCGCCGGGCACCGCGATGACGGCGTCCCGGGCCATGTACAGGTCCCTGGTCAGACTCGAGTACGCGCCCCGGAGCCCCTGCATCATCCCCGTCGGCTGGTCCGCGTAGAGGCTGATCTGCTTCCTCTCCTCCTCCTCCCCGTCCGCGTACTCGTCGTCTTCCCAGCCCGCCCCCGCCGCCGCCGCCGCCGCCCCGGCTGCCGAGCCCCCTTGCCCTCCGTGGTGGTGCGGGTCCTTGACCAGCAGCCCTTCGGCCCCCTGGAGGGCGTACTGCGTGCCCACGGCGAGTTTCGCCCCGAGCTTGACCATCTCCGTCCCCGTGGTCCGTGCAAACGCCGCCGCCCCCTTGCCGATGCTCCGGACTATCCTTCCGTCCTTCTTGTACTCCCTGATCGGGATCTCGACAAGGTCCCTGATGCCGCTGCCGACGTTGACGAGCGACCGGACGGGCGCCAACCCGGCCAGGATGCCGGGGAGCTGCGTGCGCTTGATGTCGGGCATCCAGATGTCGTTCAGGGTCTTCCCGAGCCGGTCGAAACCGGAGGCGCCGTAGATGATCGTGTGGCGCAGGACCATGCGCGCGTTGTCGAGGATGAGGAAGTTCATAAACTCGGTCGTGTGGCCGGAGCGCAGGCCCGCGTAGTCGACCCGCTTTGGCTTGAAGTCGAGCTTGACGGGGATGGAGTTGACCTCGGCGCGCTGGATGAAGGGTATATCGCTTGGCGAGGCGTGCACGGGAGCCGCGTCGTCCTTGAACTCGAAGAAGCGTGTTATGAAGTCGAGCGCGTCTTGATCAACATGCAGCCGGAGTGGTAATACTGTCGCCTTGAGGACGATCTCGGTCGTGGGGAGTTGCGGCATCGGCCGGACATTGAGAATCTCGAGATGGACCATGCTAACCCCCATCTCTCGCTCGCCAGCGTCTTGGTCATACATGGCAAACTTCTTCCACGTCGAAGTTGGCACATGATCGAAGACGTCCAAGTCCTTGACGCGGACATCGATGGAGCTCTGAGTCTCTCCAGATCCCGGCGGGAAAGTGACGAGATCCACGTTCACCCCCTTGAGCTCGAAAGTGATCTTGTGACGCCTACTCCTGTTTAGTCTTAGTTTTTTGGACCTCGAACGATTGGCGCCCGGCCGGCTGTGAGTCGCAGTAAACGCCGTCGTCGCAACCGACTCCGTCTCCGTGGCGTTGTCATTCAGCTCCTGATTGATAGCCTGGGCCAGTTCCCTGGGGTCGCGGTTCGCCGGGATTCCGATGTAAATGGAATTGAAGAGGAAATCGCCGATCACTGTCTCTTGCTCGTCAAAGTCCTGTTCAAAGGCGCCTCCCCGTTCCGTGCGGGCCTTCTGCTCGTAGGCTTTCGTCTCGACCTCCTGAACGGCCTTCGTGATGACATCACGAGTGCGGACCCAGTCGTATCCATCAAAAAGGTTCCAGATGATGTGTACATCTCTGACACAGACTCTCAGTGGGCTCTTGAGCACCTTCCCGTCGTTTGACTGGTCATAGGTGTTCCTGGATGAATTCCACCTGTGTGCTGTGCCTTCGATGACCGACGCCGTTCCGAAATAGTTCTCCTGGACCACGAGCTCGTCACTGCTGTCATCGGCGACGTCGCTGGTGCTCAAGCTGGTGAGCAGGACCCCATCTTTGGTATCCTGGGCCGTTGTCAGGTCCGAGATCATGGACTGTCCGGCAACATCGAACAACTGCTCCTGCACGTCGCCATCCTCGTAGTACCTGGGATCGAATTCCAGCTGCCCTGAACCTTCTCCGTAGAAGTCTTCCTCGCTTCCGGTTTCGCCATCGAACTCTGGCGGCACGGCGAAGTCATAGTCGAAGTCGTAGTCACCTTCTGCTCTGCCGAACGCGTCTGCAGTCAGAGACGCCAGCAAGTCTTGGACCGGGACCACCGATGTCTTGTATCTAATCTCCTTGCTCGGCGGAGTCGGTGGCTTCAGAGCGTTGACCAGAGTAATGAGGGTCTGCGTCGAGTCCGCGCAGGTCTCGAGGACAAGGAGATCATCCCGCAAGTCAATATCGAGGTGCTGAAACCCCTCATCGCTCTTCGTGACCCGCGCCGTCGCCTTCGCCGAGGAGATCTGGCAAATGTCGACGAAGCCCTTGGAACAGAGGTCGACTATTAGAGGCGACGAAGCAGCCGATGGGCGCCTCCGCGATGTGACCGCGCCGTCCTTTTCGTCCAGAGCCGTAATGTCGTCGATGAGAAGGACCGACGACTTTCTCAGGTCTCCGACTATCGTGACATTGTTGTTCCTCGAAGGTGCGACATCCACGTGTGCATCAGTGAGGGCAAGCACAAGTTTGGAAGTCAGCCCGAGTGGGTTGAGGCCAACCAAGCAGTCTCGGAAAGCCATCTCGACGGTCATGGGTTTCGCCGACGACGACGTCTTGGCCTGATCCGAAATAGGGACTAGCTCTGGTTGCTTGCCTTTCAGAGCAGTGTGTGCCTGCTCCCCCAGGTTGACTACCGATGCTGCGAGGCTCGCCTCGAAGTCTTGGGGGGTAGCATCTGCGGCCAGCCCCAGGATATCCATGACTGCAGGGACACGGTACTCGACGATGAGGCCAATCATCTTGACCTTGAGGACAGGCTCCATATCGTCAATGATTCTCATCATCAAGACCGGCGGCCTCTGCGAGATTCCCGGTGTCTGGACCTTCGAGGTTGCCACCAACTCCTCGATCTTATTTCGGTTAACGGTGACCTCGCTGACAGCCACAGCGACCAACGACGGTATCGTGATGTGAGCAAGATCAAGGTCTTTCATGGAGATGTGGACGACGCCAAATCTGCCCCCAACGTCCAACGTGAAACCAAAGTCCTTGACGAGGGCCAGCGTTAAGAGGCCAGGCCTATCGTCTTCGGGAAGATACTTGGCCACGGTTGCAAGCTTTGCAATTTCTTCTCCCAGGTTTGGCAGACAGCCGAGTTGGTGCAACTTTCCGACCTGGACGTTCACCTTGTCGAGGGTAAGTCGCAGAACTGGGCCCTTTCTCCGCTGCCTTAGCAGAGTATCGACCATGATTTCGTCATCGCTCTCGTCAAACTTGACCTTCGAAGGCGTGATGAGTTCAAGTAGCCTCTCGAGGTCCGCATTTTGCGCCACACCGATAAACTCGAGTCTGGTACCCAGAATGTCTGTAACGATCGGGGGCTCTCCACGAGCGTGCCTGAGGTACGGACCGGAGAGCCTGATCCTGCTGAAATGGACTCCGATGGCCTCTTCCCGGCTGACAAGCTTGAGAGCACTGGTGTCCAAGGCGACGCTGCATTCCTTGCCAACGAGATCCAGCCGGAAGCCGTTGATTCTCATGGCAACTTTGTTTTCCTTTGCCGCAGACTGGTCATCGGGCCGAACAGGAGCCTCGAATCGGACGCCTCGGGGTTTCGGGGCAACCTTTACAGGGCTCCTGGTGCCTCGTGAAGCGTTTGATGTCATTGAGGAGCCCATGCTCAAAAAGCTACTCAGTCCGCCAAACCAGCTGAATGTCTCATCCAGTCTCTGGAGATCTAGCTTCACATGCAGCGGCAGGGTATCGATGTTGCATCTTACATCATCGGGAGACTGCGATATCTTGACGGATATGTCGTTCCCTGCAGAAGGGAACGTGTTCATGACCGATTCGAACATCTGGATTCGCCGATCAAACGAGAGGATATCATCATTGGCGTACCCGAACGTGAATTTCTCAATGTTTACCACCCTCTCCGTCTGCTGCCCGGATGCCGACATTGTTGCGCTTAGATTCTGGAGCCCGGACTTGAGGAGTATATCGTGACTGAAGTCAACTGTCGGCGTCGAGAAGATCCTCTCTGCAGTATCGGCAACCCCAGAAAGCTTCTCAAGGAAAAGCAGGGATATATGCTCAGCCATTATCTTGATCTCGGGGAATGGTGAGCCGGCGCCAGGTGTCTTGCCTTCCGCGTCGGCCGCGCGAGCATCGGGCTGTCCCCTCACGGCTTCGAGCAGCTTGGATACCACCATCGCCAAGAGGAACCCGATGGAGGCGTCGAATCGAACTTCCATCGGTGCCAGAACGATCTCGAGAGCCTTATCCTCCGGTTGTCTTTCTTCGGTAACGACTTGAGGGTGGATATTGGGGCTTGTCGGCGCTTCAGAGTGAACCGAGAACGCGCCAGGCAGGTGTGGAGAGACCGACTTGTCGAGTACTGAAGGTGGTACTTGCAAATGCTTGTGATTGGAAGGCACATATATCGAGATAGATGCCAGGGACAGAATCTCCTTCACCAGGCGAGTAGGTCCGCGGGGTGTAGGAACGTCATCCTGAGGTTCTACCTCTGGTGTCTCGCTCTCTGTATCCGATGCCGTGGTTTCATCTGGCGTAGCTACATCCCCGGGGACTACCTCCTCTGCTGCTGCGCCCCTTTTCGTCTTTGATTCTTGCTCTCGCACCTCAGCTGCGGCAATCTCTTCTTCGGGGCGCACCGGGGAAGGGGTTCGCTGCACATTGGGTGTGGCAGCGCGTTTGGGCTGTGGGGACGTTTCGGGACTCGGCCTGTCTTCTTCATCCCATGCACCAGGCATAGCACTTCTTAGACGGCTGGACTCTGCCTGAGAGAACGCGCTCATATACATGCTCTCGGCATCCTCGTGGCTGTAGAGGTGAGATTTGGTCAGGTCTTCCGGTGGTTGAGAACCGACACCGGAACTTGTAGACTCGGACCCAGACAAGGGCTCTGGGGAAGCCACTCTAGGATCCAATAGATCGCTTCCAAGGGATTGAAGATAGGGTTCTGATTGTGCGTCGCGTGAGAAGGTGCCCCAGGGGGCCAACCCCGGCTCCATAATCTCTGATTGGGCAAGAAGCCCCTCTCGCCGCGCAGTAAAGTCTTGGTATATCGATGCCCGCGGTGTAGAGACAGACGAAGCAGGTTCCTGGGGATCCATCTCGTCGGGATCAGTCCCAAAATCGTAAGGGATATTGAAAGCGTCTTCGCTATCCCGAGCGAGTTCGTCGGAGAAGGACATTAGATGCTCGCTTGCAGTCATGTCCGGAGCATTAGAGTGGCGAGAAAGGGGCGATTGGTGTTCCGTAAGAACCGGAGACTGTGAAGCGAGAGACGAAGCCACCGACGGAGATCTTGCCAGAGTCGAGAAGACGTTTGCTTCGGATATCAGGAACGCTCTGATGTTGTCCAACGTGATGTGCCGCTTCCCCTCTTTGGGAACAATCTTGGGAGTTCCATCCCCCTCCAAAGTTGGAGTCGTGACGCCTTCCACGTTGATGCCTTCCAACGCTAGCTGGAAGGTGACCAAATCAGGAGTCGTCGTATTCAGATCCACCGGAAGCTCAACATCGAGTTGGAAGGTGACTCCTCGAATACAGATCTGAGTCCTGTCGACGACGCCTTGAAGGAAGTCGGTAAGGAAGGCGGGCAAGGACAGCGCCTGTCCGGTGCCGTAGCCAAGATCCTCGTCGCTTCCGGCGTCACTTATAGTCATGGATGACCCCATCTCTTGAGTTTCAGCAGCCAGCGCCTCCTCCAGCTCCTTCTTCTCCGCCGATTCCTGCCCTTGTAGGAATGATTGCGCCAGATCGGCAGCGGTCGGTAACACGTCGGAATCCTCTTTTCTTTTGCCCCTCCTCCTAGGACGGTCCTCGCGGTGCTCCTTTGACGAGACCTTCAGCCGAACGTCGACGCCGTCAACCTCGACGGTGATAGGACTCGTGTAGAAGTCCATAGGAACCGTCACGCGGAGTAGGAGGACTTTTGCCTTCTGTAGTGTAAAGGCCGGGGGCAGTTTGAGGAGTCTCTCGAGCTTCTATTTCATGGTTACTGGGTCAGCCTAGGTCAAGAAACGCTAACAGTAAGGAGGAGTCAGGGGCGCACCTGGAGCTTGATTCCGACATCACGAAACTCGAGGACGGTATTCCGACCGAGGGCGAAGTCGAGGTGCTCCAAGTCCAGCGCGTCGGCGTCCAAGAGTTCCAGCCGCGATAGCGCATACCGGAGCAGGCGCTTGGGCATCGCCGAGCTGCGGAAGGACTGGAAGAAAGTGGCCATCTTGGTGGTTGGTTGTAGCTGGTTAGGCAGGAGACAAGGAGGTCCGAGGGATGGGCGATGAACCACCCGGTAGGTTATCTATCCTTCGCTGGGTGCGGGGTGGAAGGTCATGGCTGGGACGGCATGGCGTGCTAACACTGGATCAAGGAAAGCTGCCTGTTGTTCAGCAAGTTCAACAACCCGAGATGGGACGTTATGGGGTTATGGAGTAGTTGAAAGTCGCAAGAAAAGGGAAATCGTATGGGTGCCAGCACTTGGGCTGCCTTGAAGGGGGCGTGTAAAGCAGTGCACCGACCTGTTTGGCCAGGCCGACTCGTGACGAGTTACGCAGTATTATGGAGTCACCGTTCCCCAATCATTTGACACCAGGGCGGCGGCTTATCGATAGCAATGCCGGAACCTAGTGTAAATGCGGGCAGCTAGGGAACCTAAACTGCAAAGGGCCCCACTCTGAGACAGCCTACCTTGCCCGCCTGGGCTGCCATAGGTGCACACCTGGACCATACACACGTACCTTCGTACCTAGGTACCCAGACGCCTCTTTTCAGACAAGAGCTTCTACTAGGAAGGTAATAATAGTACAGAAGTATCATGCTAGTAAGTTGCATTCAGACGCTCATCTATGCCTCTGGATAATCTCAAAGTGACTGCTGGGAAAAGCCAACAACACCTACCTTAAATAACTAAATGAACAACGCCTTGTCCCCGCCTCTCCCATGCACCCCCGCTATCCTCCGGCCGACCGACTCGCCGCTCCAGTAGGCCCCCGTCACGGTCCCGAGCGCCACAAAGGGTGCCGTGTGCTCGCCGGCCAGCCAGACGCCCTCGGCCGGCACCCCCTCGCGCATGGCGCGGATGTCGCCGTCGCCCTCCCGCAGGCCGACCTGGAAGTTGCCGTAGCTGCCGTTGCCCGCGAGGTCGTCGTGCAGCCAGTCCGTCGCGAGGCAGCCCGTCGGCCGGCATCGGGGGTCGCCCTCCGAGAAGTGCGGGAGGCGGGAGTAGTAGGGCCGGAAGAAGGAGTAGAGGAAGTCGTCCCTCTTCTCCTTTGTCGCCAGCGAGCGGACCGTCGAGGTGATGTGCTGCGACTGGACCCCGTAGGTGTAGAAGAGGAGCGTCGGGTGGGACGTGGATGGCGTCAGCGACGCCAGCTCCACTATCTCGTGGGTCCAGCGTTCGGGATTCGAGTCCATGGCATAGTTGGGTGAGAGCCACTGGCAGAAGCCTTGGACTGTTCGCCCGTCAGCATCTGGCCTGAGCCAGAACGCTTCTGGGAACGAGATGTAGACCTGTGACAGTTCAGCTCAGGGGTTTCGCGAGCCAGGGATAGGGGATGTCATGACCGACCTTCTCGAGGCATCCATAGCTGATGTTGCCGATCGCGTCGACGAGTCTGCTCGGCAGAGGCGGGCTAAAAGCATCCAGATGTTGCTTCAGCCACCCAAGCGGAGTCGTAAGCACGACTTCATCAAACTCAAAGTGTCTCCCAGCTGCTGTCTCGACTCCGACCTTGCAGCCGCCATTGACTGATTTCCCGTTAATCTTAGAGACGATGGTCTCAAAGTGTATGGTAGCGCCCTTGATGGCCGGCCGCGCAATCTCTTCCAAGATCTTCTGATATGTGCCGGCGCAGAACAGGTTCTCTGCACATCATCAGCTCATCAGCCCTACTTTAGTCCTGGATATGCCAACCCTCCCATCCAGGCCCGGGACGAGGAAGAGGCAGTATAGGGGGAGTGCATACCGCCCTCTATACATTCCTCCAGCCAGAAATACTTGAGACTCTGCCGAGTTACGGGGCTACCGACGAACGCCCCCCAGGATTCCGCCATCTGCAAGACAAGGTCCCTCTTCCGTTCATGGTTATCCTCGGTTTCGGGGATGAATTCCACCACCAGGGACTGAAAGAAGTCGAGCAAGCTCTCGTCCGGGCTGATATCAGCCGAGTACTTCTCCGAGTGCTTGAAAGCGGCCTGCACAATGTCCCACATGACCTGGGAGCACCGCTCGCCGTCCTTCGGCGGGAGGAGGTGGCCATGCTCGTCGAAGACACACGATTGGGCATCCTCCCACGTGGTAGTCGGGGTGTTTGTCAGCCTGGCAAGGTCCATGATCGTGTTACTAGTCGTCCCATGGATCCAGTTGGGACCAGTATCCACGAGATGGCCATTTGGCAACGCCTCCTGGTGCAACCGGCCGCCCACTCGATTCCTGCCTTCCAAGATGGTGACGTCGAAGCCGTAGTGGAGAAGGATGTCCGCGCAACGCAGGCCTGTAACTCCAGCCCCAATGACTCCAATATGTCCTGGCTTCCACTCCGTGGCCTGTGGCTGAGACTGCGGGTAGCTGGGTAAGTAGGTTACATATGGTGGCGAACCAAGGCGGTACTCGGCGCTTTCCCGAACTTGGGGAATGCAGTTGGTGACAGCAACGGATAGATTACCTCAAGTGTCTCATCCATAACTCCCAGTGAACGTGCGATCTGGTTAGGATCCAGTTCGCCCACGCCCATGCTAAGCCAATGTACCGTCTTAAGGTCTTGGTAAATACGGCGAGAGGAATTATTCCGTGAAGAGCCAGTAAACGAGACGGAATAAGCATCCATTACAAAGTGGCTTAAACCGGTAGTGATGCTATCAGAGGCGAAGAAGCTCCGAGGTTGGAAAACAAAAGTGGTCGAGTCTAAAGAACCCGATCGGTGCCGTGATTGGCTTAGCTCGGGGGATTGAGTCTCGAGAGTGGAAAAGGAGACTCTAATAAATCGATGAGGAGTGGAGATGTGAGAAAACCCGCAACGCAGCCTATACATATATAGCGGCTACGATCAGGGCGAGAGAGGCGGAGCTACTATGCAGTAAAACTGCCAAAGTGGACTGGAGTGAGAGAAAAGGGTAGAGATCTAGAACGGATCTACCAAGTTGATACGTAAAGGAGAGTGGGAGGACGGGTGGCCATGTGGTCCATAATGGACGGCAGCTAGGCCCTAAGTCGTTTAAGTCTCGGAAGGGTTTTGAGTCAACGATAATGAAAGAGGAGCAGGAACGATAATGCGGGCCAACTGGTCCCTAACAGATTAGAATTGGCAACAGAGTCGAAAGACGGACCGGTCGCCACTGGTCTGCAATATGGAGCGGGAACTTCGGGGTAAAGCAGAGCACATTTCCATGTCAGTCGGGCCCAGAACATCTGACTTCGGTTAGCCTTTGCGACTCGTCCTTGCTGAGTCACCATGCCGTCGAGTGTCGGCAACAACTTAAAGTACCTAGGTAGGTACCAGGTAAGCGGGCACCTCGCCTCAGAGTAATGAGGAGACAGACGAGGAATAGTGCGCAACCTGGATGTGTTGAGCCACTTGATCCGAGCAACCTAGGTTCCATGTTGGGCAACACTGTCTCTTTGGTGGGGTAAAGAAACAGACGTTGTGATGGAGGGGTCAGAAGGCGTATTACAGGTAACCCTAACCCTCCACGTACAAAGTCAGCAACTCCCATCTGTCTTGAATGTGCTGAATTCAACATCATACCTACCTACTATTACAACCCACCCAACATCCCCAACTCCCAACTCTGTCTTCTACCCCACACCCAGCCAAGCAGGCCAAATCAACCCATCAACAAGCCCACCCAATGGCCCCCCCAATCCCCCTCCCCAAATACGTTTACAAAATCACCCCCTCCCCACCCCCCTCCCCCCTCCCAGAATCCTACCCGGCCTCCGACCTCGACGCCCGAGACGGCTTCATCCACCTCAGCACGGCCGCGCAGATCCCCGTGACCGCGGGGCTCTTCTTCGCCGGCGACGCCGCCATCTGGGTCATCAAGGTGCGCCTGGGCCCGCACCTCGCCGCCGCCACGCGGTGGGAGGACTCGCTTCCCGGCTGCCCGCACCTGCACGGCCGGTCGTTTGGGCGCGCCGACATTGAGGGCGTGGCCGAGTTTCGGAGGGAGGGGGGAGGGGACTGGGCGGAGGTGCTGGGGCGGGAGGGGAAGGGGTTTCTGGAGTGATGGGGTGAGGTGAGGTGAGGTGTGGTGTGTAGTGGTTGGTGATGATGTGCTGTTGTCGTTGTTGCTGTCGTCGTGGTGATAGTAGTAGTGACAGTTATCAACCGAAGGCGAGCACAGATAAGACGCAAGGCATGGGGAAGCATTGCCGGGTATCAAATCAGGGGCGGTATAGAGTTACAGTTACATGGCTACCAAATCACGCAACGCATTCCTCTCCTTTTTCATCCGACCGTTGTTCCCGAGGCGACACCTACTCTGTACAGATGATTAACCGATTAACCCCTATCCCCTTTCTTGTCTTGTCTGTTTTTTTTCTTTTCTTGTTTCTTCTGCTCCCCCATCCATTCTTCCACCCCTCAAAACACCATCCCATCCGCCTCCTCCAGCCACAATCTAGCCAGATCCTTAGCCAACCCCATCCTCAGCCCCTTGAGCACCTCCTCTCCCGTCGTCCCAGCCGCCACCCCAGCGCGCCAGTCCCACCCCCTCCTGGCCTGCCTCGCCCTCCCCAGCGCCGCCCCGCCGCCGGCGACGGACCTCTGCAGCCTGCCCGCCAGCACCGAGCTCCCCGCCAGCACGAAGCTCCCCCCGGCCGTCCCCTCCCTGCTGAGCAGGTCCGCCGGCGTCGCGCCCTTTAGCACCCCGGGCTCCGACGCCAGCACCAGCCGGAGGAACTCGTCGCAAGCCCCGTACACGCGGCCGCCGACCGTCTCGAGGTCCTCGACCGCCTTGAGCAGCACCTCGATCTGCCCGAGCGTCATGGCCACCGCCACGGGCGGGTCCGCATCGCGGTGCCAGTCCCTGTCCCTGTCCTGGCTGAACGCGCGGTCCGGCCCGCTGACGAACACGGTCGCCTCGCCCAGCAGCGCCAGAAGGAAGTCCTCGCTGACGATGGCGTCGCGCGTCTGGTCGTACAGCCCGCCGCGGATGTTGTCGTCCGAGCTGGCAATGACGCTCGTCAGCGCCGCCGCCGCCGCCTGGTGCCGCCACGCCAGCGCGCCCCTCGCTTTGCCCCCGCCCGCTCCCGATGATGAGTCGCCGCCGCCATCCCGGAGTTCGTAGAACTGCCGCAGGGACGCGTACCCGCTGAGCATCTTGCCCAGGAGTTCCGCCGCCTCGAGATCCTGCGTCGCGAACTCCTTGAGCGTGTCGTTGCGCTCCGTCAGGAGCCTGCGGAGATGGTCGTCCAGGTCGCCCGAGGGTGGGTATGTCGTGGATTGGAGTAGGGAGTACGAGATGAGCAGGTTCATGACCTCGCGGACCTTGTTCGGCCTGTGAGCGAGGGCGTAGTACCACATAGCCTCGCCATAGCGGTGCGAGTCTCGAGCCAGCACCTCGCCATATGTCTAAGAAAACTAGTTAGTCTCGACTTCTCATGCGTATGTATGTTAGACGTTAATAGAAGATCTGCTCACCTCTGCGGTCTCCTCGGCCAGAGGGATCATGCCGAGCTCGTTGAGCAGCCGCCAGACCTTATCGACGGTCGGTCCCGACTCGACATCCAGGTTCTGCAGGAGGTTCTGCACCAGCTCTGCGACCATCTCCTCGGACCTCTCGGGCGAGTCCATCCGCCCGAGCACGTTGATGGCCAATTCCCACCCATTCCTGGACGCACCCGACTTGTCCTTGACCGTGGCCATCTCGCTGAAGTTTGCCAGCTCCTGGGCGTACTGGATCAGGGTGTTATCCTTGATGCCGTCCACCTCGTCGGGGCTCCCGGGGTCCATGCCGAGTACCTCCAGGTCGTCCATGTCGAGATCTCCCATGGCGAACAATCCCGAAGGCAGGTGAGGGGGCAGCCATCCAGCCAGGGAGGCAATCTCCACGACGGCGGTCGCAATCGGCAGCGACCACGCGCGGAGCAGGCCGACCAGGCCCTTGGTGTTGTCCTCGAAGACGCAGGCCATGCCAACCTCGACGGGATTCAGCGAGTTGAAGTGGAAGTCGGACTCGACGGCCGTCTGGAATGCCCGGGCGAGGCGGTCCAGGTAGCTCTCTGTCTCAGCCTGGTGCGAGGGCAGGATCAGGCTCTGCGAACGGGAAAAGCGGAGGCTCTCGCTGCTCTTCCCCTCGTCCCACCAGCCAAACAGGCCGACGGTCGCCTCGCACCAGTCCTGCGCGGCCTCTAGAATCGCGTCCTGCGACCCGAGCACTATCTCGAACACAATGTTCAGGTTCTCGTAGATGTCCCACGGCACCCTGCTCTCCGCCTTCCTCGCCAGCCCGGCCACCGACTGGCGACCGCGCATCGAGTCGGCCAGGGTCGAGTCTCCGAGCGCGCCGTCCCGCCCCTCGGCGAAGCGCCGCAGCTGCTCGAGCGCGCCCCTGGCCCGTATGCGGAAGAGCGTCCAATCGCTGCCAAATATCTCCCAGTTGCCGTCCGTCCCGGGGCAGTTCTCCAGCATGCTGCACGTGTCCTGCACCGCCCGCTCGACGTTATCGAGCGCCTGGCCGGTGTATGCGTATTCTCCGCGGTGGCCCCTCCTGACGTGGCCCCAACCGGCATTGCTCAGGAGCTGTCGCGCCTCCCCGACATTCCCCCGCAAGAGAGCGATGAAGACGCTCTGCCAGAAGAGGCTGTGGCAGGCAGGGCTGGGTTTATGCCTGTTGATGTGTTCGAATTGGTTGGGATAGAGGTCGTGGTGGTCCGAGAGCCACCGGAACAGCGTCTCGGGTAATGGCTCCGCTGCCGACCTCTCATCATCGTCCAGCCGAGTGTGGTGGATCTGGAGAGCCAGGTTGGCAAGGTAATTAGCCTTCTCGAACGGCGATGCGCGAGGGCCGGGGCCGATCTCAGCGGCGTGCTCCTCGTCGGACTGCGGGAGCTTATTCGCATAGTTGTTCCAGACCGAAGCCACGCGGCCGGCAACGGTCGCCAAGGCATCATCTAGCTTCTGCGCGTCGTCGGCTTCGCCCACGCCATCGTCGTAGAGGCGGGCAACCTCGGCTTCGATGCGGAGGATAAGCTCTGGTGGCTCGGTGATGGAGGCGTAGCCCATCTGGGTGGAGAGATCCTTGGCCAGCGACGCAAACTTGTACTCGCGTCTCCGAGTTACCGACTGCATGGCCGACGCCCGGGCTATGTCTTCGGCCTCTCTCCGAACGCGCTCGTTCGCGGCCGGTGTCGTGAACATCATCAGGTCCGAATCCTCGGCGGCCATAGTGGTCCCGCGCGCCGCATCTTCTTGCATATCTAGCCACAGGTCTTCTTCCACATCGTAGCGCCCGTCATCTTCCATGGCGTCGCCCCCTTCATCGGCACCTTCCTTCCCTTCAATTTCCTCGGCTCCCTCGTCATAGGTATCATCGTAGCTCTCGTCGTACGTCATTCCAAACGTCCCAGCTCGGTTGTCGGGCAGCACCTCGTCATCATCGTCATCATCTTCATCATCCACAACGACTTGCTTGCTCAGGCGCGAGGGCTGGTGGGATTTGGGTGCTTGGATTGACCGTCCAAGGGGCGCATTCCGTCTCTGGGGAAACAGGTTCTTGGATGAGCTGCCGGGATTGAGGCTGCTGAAGTTTGGTTGCTGTGGCTTCGATGTGTCCGACACGCCGCGCAGGATAGAGCTGCCAAGGTATGACGCTGATGGGGCTCCGGCGGGTGTGAAGCTTGCCGCGGAGGAAGGAGGCGGGCCCGCTGGGGTGGTGGATGGATTCTCGCCAAAATAGTAGCTAGTGGAGCTTCCGCGGGAGTTTCGATCAGGCGTCGAAGGAGCCGAAGGCGGCGAAGAATCGCCGGGGACCTCGAATCGGTTCGACATGTTGTTCGGGAGTTTGGAAAGGCGGCGGAAGGAGTGTGAAAATAAAGGGCAGGCAGTGAGGTTGGTAGGTATGTAGTTTGTTGCCTGGGAAATCGATGAATTCCTACTATTCAATCACATATTTCATTCCCAAACGGCGACGATTAGCACAGGGTCTAGCCAGAATGGATTGAATGTGGAATCTGGTGGTGGTTGCCCGGCTGTGGATTTCTTTCTCGTTGTGGAGCTCCAAGCTCTCTGAGGCTCTGCTGGACGCAAGACGCGGTTCTTTTTTTTGGTGGTGCTAAAGTTTCGCGACTTCGGAATATGCCGCTAACCTGCAACATCCCGTCCGTTTGTGAAAGGGGTCCAAGTGAATGGGTCACAAATGAAAAATACAGCCAACATCTGACAACATTTTATACAGATTCACCGGTAAATCAACACAGAACAGACTGGCTCAACAAGGCGATAATAATAATCTATTAATTTTACACTGCGCTACATCATTACCCCAGAGTATCTCTCCGCCAGACCTTTACAACTCAATCCTCACATATTTCCCCAGTCAGCAAACAGGAGAACCAGAGATGCAAAATCTCTCCATGTCTCTTTAACTTTTAGGCAGAGGAGATATAGGGTGACTTCTTCCAAGCTTGCTAGGACATAAACATAAAATATGCCCGGCTTTCCTTGCATCAAAGATGGTGCCTCATTCCACGCTTGGCCCAACTCGGTTGGCCCACTCATACTTCACATCCGCTCTAGCCTGTGATTGAAACGGCCTGTAACCCACCGCAAGTGTATCATTGACCGTCCCAAAGGTCGGGGGGGGAGGGGGGGTGGGTTGGGGGCTGCATCCTTCACGCTTGTCAGAGCCACGAATGCTCCCACTCCCAACAATTTCAATCAGGCCCAGCCAGGTTTCGAGCCATCCATTACTTCGTCCGCCATCCCATCGTCCGAGAGGGTGTTTGGATTCCCCAGCTTCGTGCAAGGCCACCGCCAGACTTGCTGGGCATGGGAGACCGTTCAGATCCGTTGGTAGAACAACAAGTATGCAACCTTGTTGTCCTTGATATTATCCCTGACCGGCTTGCCCTTGGGAGTGGCGCTTCGTGACGATGATCCACTGTTCACGACCGAGCTCCATTTCTTACTGCCGTTAACAGCGCCGCTGACCTGGTTCCATCCCTCCTCGTCTCCCGCATCTTCCTCGTTGATGCCGACGAAACGGTTGCTGGCTGGGGCTGCCGATCCTGGTCCATCCTTTCGAATGTCTTGTTGCGGCTGTTGCTGTTGTGCGGCCTTGTTGACCTTCTCCTCGGAGCCGCCCTCGGCAACATCCTCGGACCGAACACGGCGGATCACCGTGTCGTCGATGCGGATCCATTCGAGGCCGTCCTGCCGCCGAACATCGACGGTGTAATGCCCGCCGCTGGCATTCTTTCCATGGTGATAGACTACAGCGCTGAGTCTGTACTTGGGGAGGCCGGATCCCTCGGCCAGAATCGCATTCCGCTTCTGGCGGGACAAGACATCGCGAGGGATTTCAAGCTCCAGGGGATATCCGACCTTCTTCCAAATCTTCACGGTGCCATTCCCCTCAGAGTCGAACTGGAATCGCTTCAGGTGGAGAATGAGGACCGGAGGAAGGGACTCGATAAAGACCTGCTTGGTGGCCGTGGCTCCCTTCCCGTGAGGCGAGTTGAAGTCACCGTGGAGGGTCTCCGAGCGTGTCAGCCCCTTAAGCGCGTCAACGATGTTGCGGACTTCGGGAGCGCCGATATCCAGCTGAAGCGGCTGGTATGGCTCAAGGGTCACCGAATTCTTCAGCCCAGGAACCCGGAGCTCGGAGCGGAGCTGACCGCCAAAGATCTTGGTGACGGGAGACGCAATGTTGGAATAGCCCGAGGAGCGGGTAATGGCAGGTCGTTGCCGAGGCCCGACCTCCAGCCACACATCACTTGACTCGGCGGCATCGTGCGATTTCGATGACACCGATTGGGTGGGCGTGGGCTGGGAGGAATTCAAGACGAGGGTGGAATCATTAGGAGCAAGAGCAGCTCGCATTACCTGCGCACATTCGTCGTGGAGACCTTCAAGGAGGAAGCCGAGAAATTCTTCGGCATCTTGCTGATGACCACGCTGTATCAAAACGGTGTTAGCCAGGCTGCCAACCAACTCTCTTCATCTCAAGGGATCACTCACCCTCATGCTTGCGAAGCGCGGGAGCGTCCGTATCGCTTCGTACACAAACTCTGGAGTAAAAGGTTCGCCATATTGTTCCAGTTCCTCGCTCTTCAGCCGTCTTCGTAACTGTTCTACAGAAGCTGCAGAGTCGATCACCTTGATCTCGCGCATGAACATGATCCTTGCCACAGTATTAGCATTGAGAGCAACTTGGAACCCAGAATAGGGCCTAGGAATAGAACTTCACTCACATGGCATCCAGCAAAGGCGTCTCGCTCTTGAAGCTGTAAGCGGCCCTCTTGGAGACTTGATCCAAGCAGTCGTAGAAGGGAATGCAGAAGAGAAGAACTTGCAAGACCTGCCCGAGCGTTAGTTGTGTGCCGACGGATCTTGCGGCGACGAATGAACCATGCTCACCGAGTTCATATAACACATATTCCCCGTATTAATGAGGCCCCTTGGCTCAAGGAACGAAAGCTTATCCGCACCCCCGACCTCATATGCCTGAAGCGCCTCAACTAGCGAGCTGGCATTCGACTTTGAGAAGCCCGAGATCCCGTCTGCAGCACCAGACCCATCGGTCGTGATCCCGCCATTCATATTGTTATGGCCCCCGGCTTGGGTGGCAACAGCGCCTGAGGAAGGCGACGGCTTGGCGAATAACCCGGTCCAAAGCTTAGGAGCAGCCTTGACTGGGGCAGGTTCAGGTGCAGGCTGGGCGTCCTCCCCCGAAGGCCCACCAGCATTCACATCGTTTGCTGGAGTTGCGGCAGAATCGGCCTTGTCATTAGGGGCCGCACCGGACGCTTGTGACTCGTCCCCAGGTGCCTTTTCGACGGTGGAACCACCCGACCTGGCATCTTTAGGGCTGGCCTTGGGCAAAATTGGGAGCACCGGCAGAGCTGGGACGGCCGCTCGAGATGCGGGTTTCGCGGGATTCGTCGGTGTTGCTGCAGATGTAGTAGTTTGCGAGGGCTGGACAGAGATAGGAGTCGTCGGTGAGGTAGATGCTGCGGAATCTGAAGGAGGTTCTTGTGTTGATGGAGTCTCGGGCCGAGGCGCGGGGGCGTCCACAATAGATGATCCTGCGACAGTGACAGCGGTCTGTTTGGGTGCCGAGGCCGTCCTTGCTGGTGGTCCCGCCAGAGTCTGAGCTTCGGTGTGCTCGGCTATGGCCCCGTGCTCTCTAATAGGCAGCTCGACGTTCGGGGCCCCAGTTTCCGGTGCTCTCCTTCGCCTTCTAGATCTTGCGGCCCGTGCGGGAAACGGCAAGTCTGGTCTCGATAGCCAGGGAAGCTGGGTAGACGAAGTATTGTTAATAACTTGTGTGCGACTGGGAAAGACTCGGGGGACGAGTCACTTACGGGTGGCCTGAATGATTCGGTGCGAGGAGACACCTTGGGCGGTGAGTCACCTTGGGGGTGAGGCCCAGGTTGCTCCTGAGGTTGGATTGGCGGTTCCACCTGCGCTACAGGCTGAATTGGTATTTGTCCCTGGAAGGCCACGAGTTGCGACAGCTGTAGAGGTTGAGTTGGTAGTACTTGAGGCACTTCCCTCAGTTGCGGCGTCGGGGGCGTCATGGGAGGAGGAATGGCATGGACAGAGTGTGTGGAAGAAGGGGTATGAGGCGGAAGCGGGATGGGCGCGTGTGGAGGGATGTGGTATGGTGCCGACACTACGGGCGAGTGTTGAGGAGGCCTCGAGTAGGGAGAGACCATTGGACCATAGTGCTGCACCTGCGCCGAGGTAGGCGACCTAGAGTAAGGCACGGGTGGGTAGCCGTAGAAGTTGGGCGAACCCATGCTGCCATTCTGGTACTGCGCAGGAATGCTGTAGTATGAAGGCGCGCCATACTGGTTCACATATGAGTTGTGATGCACGGGCTGGTGGCTGATATGCTGGTGGTGATAATGGGCCTGGTGGTAGGACTGTGGTCGTCCCCCACGGCGCGGCCCTCCTCCGGGGCCAGGGCCCATATCCAGTCCTCCCTGCACGGCTTGCCCAGCCGGCAGATGCCCACGGTTGTTCATCATGCCGGCCTGGGGATTGTTGAATTGCGGTGGCTAATCACTTTCTGTGATGGCCACCGCGATCGGAACTCGGAGATTGAAGACCGGTGCTGGTCTCTATCAGGGTCCTGTTGAGCCTGGGCAAAGGTCTCCAGGCGCGCGTGGGTGTAGAAAGAGGCGCAAGCTTGGATGTGGCTTCGGCTTTTGGGCTGTCGCAAGGCCACGCGCTGTTTCTTGATAACTGGCTGACCGGTTGATCTCTTGATGCGAATGCGAAAAAAAAACACGCCAGGGCAGAGACCAAAAGGTTGGCAAAGAAATCAGCCAAATATTGGGCGTTTGAGGGAGAAGCGCCACGCCTTAACAATAACAAGGACAGTTCTCGCGAGGCTTTATGCAAGTGGACGTTTGACAGTTCGGAGAAAACAAAATTTGGGCCGGGATTATTTTCACCGGTTCATGTTTTCTGAACCAACACCAGCAGATGAGGCAGCAATTGAGGCAACGAATCTGCAGGCGCTCGGACCACCCGCCCTTGGACGTGTCCTGAATCGAAACCCGGTTCCATTAATAAGCCAGACAATGCAATTCATAAAGCAACAATGAATTCCACTCATCTGACAGGCGAAATTGAGTTGCATGTCTACAAAGGTGAGACCTAGCGTAGGCCATGAAAGATACAGGCCTACCTAGGTCCATAGCTTGGTGCTTGATAGGTTTGAAATACCTACATTGCCATGCCTGACACCGCGCCTACCTAGGTAGTTACTTGTCATCATAATGGACAGAATGCTCTCTGCTCTCTGGTCACAGAGAGTATGTTATCCCATAATCCATCATCCTATATAATGGGCTACACAGCAAGTCTGCTACCGGTGGTCATCGCTCGTCCCTGAAAAGCCACCTTCCTCCGCTCCGCATCGCCTCCCTCCACCTCTCTTCAACGAGTCGCTTTTCTCTCTTATCACCCTCCTCCCTCTCCTTCTGCATCTCTTGCGTACTCGGGAAATCCGTGTTCCAGAAACCCGGCGGCGACTGTCTCCGCGAAAATCTGTGCCTATGCTTTCCATGCTTGTTGGCGAGCTCCCTCGTCTTGGCCTCCAGCCACAGTTCCTCCTTCTCGAGTCGATTCATGAGGCCGAGCCTGTAGGCCTGCTCGCCGAGATAGTCTTCGAGCAACGTGATATCCGCTGCTCGATGGACCAGAGATGGCCCGACCGCCTCAAGCTCGGCTTGGGCCATAGCTCTGAAGTGCTTGCCACAACACTGGGGATCAGTGCAGCCAGGGAGTTCAGCGCGGTCGGACTTGTTACGCACGACCTCGGAGAACGCATAGTTCTGGCCATCATTGAATTTGGGATTGATCTTGAAATCGTCAAGCCGGAGACTCGCCAGGGGTTGGAGGCGGAGTGGAGGAGCACCGGATGGCCTTGAGGCACTGGGTGGCTTTGAGGCGGATGTCTCGCTCATGCGGAGCCGAGACACCGACTTTGGATTTTCCTGATTTCGATCCATGTTCGCTGTTGTTTTTGGTGTCCGGCTCGCATTTCTTCTATCCCCTTTCCCGAACGGCAGCTCCCTCGTTGGCACGATGATATCGAACGGGTCAGCATAAGGCGTTTTACGTATCTGGCGGCTTGGTCGTAATCGAACCGCATCGCCCTCTACCGATGGTCTGTTCAAGAGCGTGTCAAGTCGGCCTGTTGAGGCCACAGCTTGATTCGGAACCTCTATCGAGTTCCGCTGCCCGTTCTGGCAAAAAGGAGTATCATCAGACTCTGCCAATTCATCAACCCCATTATTGAGTCGCAAGCTGTGGCTCATCGCGGGTTTGCGAATTGTGTCCTGCCTTGAGATGATTGGCCTGTAAGTGGATGGAGCGAGAGCAGATGATCGAGCGGCCGTGACGGGAGCCCGTTGCGGCTCTACAGGCGTCCTGAGATGGGTTTGAAGACTTGATAGCTCGCCAGGCCCAGGATGGCAAGCCTCTACCAAGGTAATTCCTTCGATATCATCTTCTTCGAAGTCGTCAGCTGGGGCGGGATCATCGCCACACTGACCTCGTCGCTTTTTGGGAGTAGTCATCGGATCTTGTCCATTGTCTAGGTCGATACTCTCCTGCGGGGAGAAGCCGCGTGACTCTCGCATGAACACTGGGTCTGAGCTGGTGTGTTCGCTCTTGACCCTGCGAGCCGTAGGTGCCTCGCTGGCAGCATCATCCCGCATCCTCTTGCGCACGCTCCTCTCCGAGACGATTATCGGTCCATCTGAAGACGGCTCGTCCTTGATTACAACGTCGCCGGAAAGGGAAGCGTTTCGGGGCAGGTGAGAGAGCAGGACTGTGTCCTGTGTCACGTATGTACTTTCACCCTCCGTCGAGCTTGAGTGTCGTCCAGCGCTGATGGGGGCTCCAATTGATGGTATATCGACTGGCGTGGATAGAGCTCGTCGAGGGGACAACGGCAGTTCCGAGGACAGACGATCCCGTCCTGAAAAGGAGACGCTAGTCCTAGGTTCCGAATGGAAGCTCGAATTTGTATGCGACTTTGCCAAAGGATCGGGAGCTGCCATCTGAGGGAGGGGTTCCTCCGCTACCACCAGTCCCTCATCTGGTCTTGCGGAACCCGAGACGTCGGTAATAGGGAGCTGTGGCTTGGGTTTTGACGAGTCACCATTCTTTTTTTCCAGCTTCTTGACCTTGGCCTCAAGAGCCTCTGCGTACTTGAGCCAACCGTCCCGCTCATCGCGAAACTTCCGGGCGAGGGCCGTGAGGTCGTCGATGGTTTTCCTGGCCGCAGCGTATTTGGCCTTGAGTTTGGCATAATCATTTTCGAGTATGGTAACGGTCGGACCGGATTTGGCGTGCTCAAATCCAGAGTATTCTTGCCTCTTGCATGATGAGGCAGCTTTGTTTGGGGATATTTCTCCCAATGGCGCTCTTGAGTTGCCATCGAAGCCGAGGACCCCTTTTTGGTGTTTGCCACGAAATTCGAGCAGCTCGACCTTTAGGGACCGGTTCTCTCGTTCCAAGCGGTCCACAGTGGTGATACGAGAGCGCAGTGTTGCAACTTCGTCTGTGAGGAGTGTATGCTGTCGACGGTCTCTCTCCTCCAACTCTACCACATAGCCGTGTTAGCGAATATCTGCCCCTTTAGCAACTAGAATACCCACCGGCTTGGAGGTCATTGTCGATCTGGTCGCATACGGTTGCTAATGCCTCAAAAATAGCTGGACGGCCCCTTTCTAACCAGCTGGCCATTGTTCTCCTGTCAAGAAGACCCGGGCGAGCCTTGCCATTGGAATATAGGGCGGTAACAACAATTTCGACGTGGTCACACGGCTCGCGCCAAAATGCTGGCTGCGTCAATAGGTACTCGAGGACATCCCGACGCGCCACAGACCCCTGTCGACGTGTCTCGGCAATTCGGAAAGATCCGTCCCACCGCGCAGGACGAGACCTCCCGTCCGAATCACGCCTCATCACGTGACGACTACTTGGGATTGAATTCATGGGATGGGTTCGCTCTTGCCCGGGCCGACTGACGGCTGATCCCTGCATCTTTTGTTTAGACGGTCAGATCAACAACCAGGCAGTGCAGGATTCATCGACCTAAGCGTTGCATCTATCCGGGCAAATTGCGAGACCCCTGGCTTCTTGCCGTTACTACATAGTATGGTAGTAGTTGATTTATTATTTGCTGCTCGATCAGCCTCCTCCTCGGAATATCTTGCCGTTCCCGTTTGAGAGGTGCAGATGCCTTTGCAGCCTCAATCTCGCCGACAGTGCGCTCACCCATTCATGGGCTTGAATACGGGATGTCGTCTTCTTCTGTAACTGCCGCACATTTCCCGCCTCTAATCGCACGTCTCGAGTCTCGAGCCTTCATTTCCCCTTCCTCCCATCCCATTGTCTGGGCTGCCCGGGTGCTGCGGCAGCTCGGGCAATCAAACACACACACGGAAGGGGTTCGGGGATCAGAGGGTCCTGCGAACATGCTTCCAGAAGGGATTTAGAATGCTGGTGATCTTCGGTTCGTCCGATCCTGCTTTCCTGCTTCCTTGTGGAACAGCAGGTTATTTGTGACGCCCGTGCTGCTGCTGGGAACAATAGGTACGCATGAATTTGGCAAAGCTCCTTGGAACAACCGCACGTGGTCGGGGATGATGGACCAAACCACAGGCAGCAAGCTTGCTCATGATTCTCAGGAGCAATAGTGAGAGGGCCAGACACGGTCGCGCCGCAGTCGTCTATCCATGGGGAGATATGATGGGGTACTGGTATCATGATGCAACCTACATGCGCACTACCTAGGTACCGTCCGCCTCTGTCCGCACGGAGTAACCTACCCGTAGTTGTTGCGCCTTCTTTTGCGCCATGCCGGGACAGTGACATCCTTGCGCCATCTAGCCATGCATGCAGCCGAGAGCTGGCGAGAATGATCTCCCCCATCCCATCTACGTTGTACTGACTACCTAGGTAATTCGAGATCGATCGACATCAATTCCTGTTCTTCGCGTGCAGCATCCATACTTCGTAATGTACAGAACTTGAAGCCCCGTGGTCTCATCCCTGCGCATCTCTTGTGCTACGATTCCATGCTAGTCCCCTTTTTGGAGACAAAATCCTCCCATTATATGGGCATCTCACGTGGTCGAGTCAAGAACTGAGGCACAGCCAAACCGATTTTTCTGTTCCGCATTCAGGCGAAGGAGACGCTCATCAGGCAGGGGTGCCCCACTACGTCTCACTCCAAGAAAGACGCCGCGCACTGTAGGCAATCCGTACCCGCCTCTGGTTTGGACGAAATTTCCCATTCGTACCCTGGACCCCGACGCGGTTCGCCGGAGCATTTGCCACTCTGACCGACGGCCAGCAGCTTGGAACAAGCAACCTTGAACCTTGAACCGCCCTTCTTATCTCCACCTCGGATCTGTGGTCGGGCGCTTGTTATTCTCTTCTTTTTTCGACGCTCGTCCCTGATATCCATCTTCCTACGTGACGTGTCTACGGAGTACTTATCATCCAGGACTCGCCCGGCTCGTCAGAATTTTCCTGTTTCCTTTCCTCCCTCTCGACAGACATTACCTAACCTCCACTACCTACCGGACTGAATCACTCACAAACCTTAGTCTCACAAAATTTCAATCCAATCCAGTGAGTGTGTGTCCTTTTTTGCATACCCCACATCAAGCCTCCCCCACCTTCTTTTCTCGCTGCCCGCTCTTGCGCCCTACCTTTTCCCAGATCCTCCAATACCGAACGAAAAACAAACCCGCCCCCAGAGATCTGGAAACTTTTGTTGCCACACGTGCCAGTACTTACCTGCTCGACATCCAATTCTAACCTTTTTTGCCTTTTTACAACAGACTTCGTGAAAATTTCGTTTTCGACAACTCAAAAACTTCAGACCAAGATGGATTTCAACAGCACTCAAACTCAAGGACGCGCCTGCTTCACATGTAAGTCTAAGCTGAACCCCGCCTCCTCCCTCCATCCCTTTTTCCTGTTTTCTTTCTCAACAAAATTTTCGCCAAAATTTTCCGTCGCACTTTCTTGATTCCGAGGCCTTCTCTCGTTTCTGAGTGCAAATTTGTCCATGGTGACCATGTGAGCAAGCGCCGACTTGCTGTATCTTTGGTCTGCCATGGATGTTATCCCTGCGCCGAAGGCGTCCATTGTGGACGTCTTCTATATGAAGACGACGATGTCCCTCCCATATTCTGCCCTTTCCGATTCACCACATGTTCGAGTTGGACTGGGGAGGGAACTGAACTGGTTCTAAAACAAACTACTCCTAGACACAATGTCTTCAAATTCCCTATTACTAGCACTTGAGGTTCCGTGAGGGAGTTATCTGACCACGATGAATTATAGGCGGCCAAACTACTCACCAGGTATGCGACACGCGCGTGGGAACGAGTTCAAAGCGGAGGATTCCGTTGTGGGCTGCTCACTGACATCAATGCCTCCAAATAGGCTCGGGATTGCCCCAACCGTGGTGCGGCTAAGTGGTAAGATACCTCCTTGCCCCCCAAACCTGCAACTTGTCTTCTCTCTTGCTAACCTGCTCTGCCAGCTACAACTGCGGTGGTAAGTCCTTCCATATATCTGGAGACAACCTAGGTGGCTGAGCTGACCGGTGGATTTTCTACCCATCTTCAGGCGAGGGCCATATGAGTAAGTTCCATGTTCTCGCACTTCCCAGCCCAATGGCCCGGGACTGACATGATTCCAGGCCGAGACTGCCCTGAGGGCCCCAAGGACACCAAGTCCTGCTACCGATGTGGACAGCCCGGCCATATCTCCCGGGACTGCACCCAGGCTGCTGCTGGTGGCCAGAGCGGCGGCGGCGGCCAGGGTGGCGCCGAGTGCTACAAGGTAAGCAGAGCACACCACGCCTGTCCACCCCTGCTACACAACACTAATACCACCCCTCTCTCTTCCAGTGCGGCGAGGTCGGCCACATTGCTCGTAACTGCACCAAGGGCGGCGCTTCCTTCGGCGGCGGCGGCGGCGGCTACCAGTCCGGCGGCTACGGCGGCGGCGGTGGTGGCGGTGGTTTCAACCAGAACAGGACCTGCTACTCTTGCGGTGGTGTCGGCCACATGTCTCGTAAGTGCTTCAGAACTGCTGCGGTGCCGAGCGACCAGGTGGACTAAGTGTTTCTAGGTGACTGCGTCAACGGCAGCAAGTGCTACAACTGCGGCGAGACCGGACACTTCTCCCGTGACTGCCCCAAGGACTCGGGCAGCGGCGAGAAGATCTGCTACAAGTGCCAGCAGCCCGGCCACGTCCAGTCTCAGTGCCCGTCCAACTAGGCAACCTGCAGCGCGGCGACACTCGATACGACTTTTGCGACCTGCTCTTTCGATAGCCAGCCAGCACTAGTGGCTCGTGGCTACAGATTGGTTCGGAACACGGGAAAAGAATGGAAAGGAGGATATCTGCTGCAGATAGACAGCTCCCTCGGAGTGTTTTGACAGAGACCTGCATATTAAACTGCCTTTCTTTGGTGGATGGCTCTCGCGCTCACGCGTGGGGGCTCCACGGGTCGTACTAGGGATATCACGATGGTCACCTGGATATTGCCGGCCGGGTCAGTCACTGTGCCCGCAATGATTTTCCTTTTTTTTTTCCTGCTCTCTCGAGTCGCGTCTCTGTCGACTCTCATCGTATTTTTTTTCCTCTTTCACTCTTACTTTGGCACCCCCAACAGGCATCTTGCGCAAAGTACACAAAAGCACAGATAGAGCATGGTGGAATGGTCGATTGGCAACGGAAAAGAAGTCACGATTCGGGCGTTCCAGGATTGGTCGGGGCCTCCTTACATCAGGGTATGCTCTGTGTGGTAGAAGGCCATCTGTCTCATTTCCAGCCATCATCCTGCATTTGCTTTCTAGGGCGGGATATAACGACGGTCTCGGCTAGGTCTCTGATCTAAAACGGGTTCATAGGACACTCCAATAGCATCACCAACGGCCTTGTCATCATCATCATCTAACCGTCCTCTTTACCTTGTTGTTGTTGTTTTGAGAAATGTTGGGGTTATGATTAATAACCGGACCGAGTAAAATTGCTCATGCCTCGCAGTACCGCATATCTCATCCGTCACACTGCGCTTGGAAGCGGCCCTTGATAATAAGTAAACATCCATGGATGGTCCCGCCGTGCTCACCAAGCGGAAGCGATCCCACCCAACAGCTTGCCAGCGGACCACACGCCCCCGGACCAAGAACGGCCTCTTAAGGGACCGTCTCTCTTATCTTATTCCGCGTCTTCGTCTTATAGCATAGACTTGGGCATGTTCCGCATGGCTTGCCTCACACCCAGGTCGGCCAGGACCTCCTCGGCACCGCCCTATAGCACAGGGGTTAGCCGGATATATATATATATAGTATCGAACCAAAACAGGGAGGGAGGGAGGAGGAGGCGAAGGAGCTCGGACGCAGAACGAAAGAGACAAAGAACATACCAAGATGGCGTCAAACTTGACGGTGCGGGCAAAGTTCTCAATGACCCTCCCCATACCCGTCTGGGTGAGCCCGCGCCCGCCCCAGATCTGGACGGCCTCGCTGGCGATCTCGTGGGCGGCGCGGGTGCAGCTCATCTTGAGGAGGCCGACGGGCCCGCCGAGGTGGCGCGACTGCTCGGCGTAGGGCATGTGGCACATCTGGTAGGTCAGGGCCTCGAGCCAGGACTGGTGCGACTCGCAGAGCGCGATCATGCGGGCCAGCTTCTGGCGGATGACGGGCTGGTCGATCAGGCGCTTGCCGAAGACGATGCGCTGGTGCGACCACTTGAGGGACTCCTCCACCACGAGGCGCATGTAGCGCGCCGACGCGCAGGCCATGGACCACCGCTCGTGGTTGAAGTTGCTCAGGATCACGTAGATGCCCTTGTTCTCCTCCCCGAGCAGGTTCTCGACGGGGACCTTGACGTTGTCAAACGTGATGAACGTCGTGCCCGCTGCCGCGGAGTAGGACGTCTTGATCGGCTTGGTCTCGACGCCCTCTCCCCTCTCGATCAGGAGCACGCTCAGGCCCTTGTCCGTCTTGACGCCGGTGACGAAGTAGTCGCTAAATACGCCTGATTGGTTCCCAGCAGTGTCAGTATATAAGCCACCGGGAGGATATAACACTATGCAACAAGGGAGCCGGTCTCACCATTGGTGATCCACTTCTTAGTGCCGTTCACAATGTAGTGCTTCCCATCCGCCGTCTTCACGGCCGTGGTGCGCAGGTTCGCAACGTCGGACCCGGCAAACGCCTCGGTGATGGCCAGGCAGATCCTCTTCCTGCCGCCGAGCACCTCGCCGGCGACGCGGTCCCTCATGGCCGGGTCGCGGCAGTAGTTGAGCACGCACGGCAGGCCGATGACCATGCCGGCGACGTTGCCGTCCTGGAACCCGCGGGCGGCGGCGCGGACCTGCTCCTGCGCGCAGATCATGTCGTGGAAGTAGTCGAACTCGGCCCCGTCCACGACCCCGCCGCCCAGCAGCTCCACGCCGTGCAGGTGCCGCCCGGGCCCCATGCGCATGTGCAGCACGCCCGCGCGCGACATGCGGTCCACCAGCCCCTGGCTGATGTGGGCGCCCGTGCGCTCGTTCTCCTGCGCCTCGGGCGTGATGTGCCGGTCGGTGAAGTCGCGCATGGCGCGCTGCAGGCGGCGGTGCGAGTCGTTGTAGTAGGGCGACTTGAACGGCGGCGTCAGCCACAGCGGCTCGGCGTACGGGACCGGGCACAGGTCGCCCGGCTGCGGGTTTATGACGCTCTGCTGCTCGCCCTCCACCCTGCCGATGGCCAGGTCGGCGTACTTGGTCAGCACCTCGTGCCGGTGCAGGTTGTAGAAGTCGACCGTCGCGTCGGCGCCCGCCACCTGCCGCAGCACGGCCTCGCCTCCTGGGTGGGCGTCGAGGAAGTCCGACACGTCGTAGACGACGGCGTCGACGATGAACCACACGCTGTCTTCCGTCTTGTGCTTGGCCACCTCGGCTCGGGTGAAGGTCTTGGAAGGGGTCTCCATCTTAGGGGGCGTGAGGGCCGGCCTGGGATGGGAACTAGCACTTGAGTTGTTTGTCTAATAGCTGTTCTGGGCTGTCTTGGGAGAGCAAAAGAGAATGACTGCGCCAGGGATAGATAGGGATAGGAGGGCGTGTTAAGGTGTGAAGGGAGCAGCAGACCACCACATTGTTTAGAGCCTAGGATTACCGACGGTGGCCGCCGACGTCACCTTGTCAGTAAGGATGCCTCGGCTCAGGGAGGTGGGGGAAGCTTGGGGAGCCGGGGCAAGTATAATTAAGTTGTTCATGATTGGCTTGGCCTCTTGGGTTGACTTGAAGCCTAGATCCTGCGAAATGCCATCCTGGCTTGATCACCGCGAGGATATAGCAGAACGGATGGATTATGATAATTCGATTCATGAATTGAAGGACTATTACATATAGCTTGTAGCAACGTCCCTTCATTTCCAGTTCTTCGGGAAACTTGGCACTTACAGCACATCAAAGGCTATGGGTATTTATATTCGTGCGACCGGCAAAATGGTCATCAATCATCATCGGTTCTCTTTGTCGTGGTTCATATCTCCATCTGTATGTGCCATCGGGAATGCCGGGCGGTGGCCTGGCCGGGTGACAGGACTGACAATATCCGGGCTGGATGGCCGAATGGGTCAAGTGCCGGTCCTCTCTCGTGACCGGCCAATCGTTCTTATATTAGCTCTTCCCGTTTTCTTCTCTCCTTATCATAAAAAAATAACAATACTTCCCCTTCTTCTAACCCCAACCATCCCCGGCCAACCAAAACCGGAGCTCTTTAGAAAAGACAACCAAAATCTACTATAAAAAAAAATGCCCACCCCCTCCCTCCGCGACGTTCTCCAAGGCCTCGTCGACCCCTGGTTCTTCCTAGCAATCTCCCTCTCCCACCTCCCGTCCGTCCTCCTGCACGCCCTCCGCTCCTCCTCCCTGTCCCTATCCCTGGCCCCGCTCCGCCGCCTCCGCTCCGCCTGGTTCGGCTCCTTCTGGGCCACCGTCGCCCCCAACATCCGCGCCGCCGCCGAGCGCCGCGTCGTCCCGCTCCTGCGGGGCCGGGTGCGGGGCGGGCGGGTCGTCGATGGGGACGGAGGCGGAGGCGGAGGGGTGGGGGTGCCGGTGGCGGGCACGGTGATTGAGATTGGGCCCGGTAGTGGGATGTGGGTGAGTCTTTTCTCGGACCGGTATTTGGGGTCTCCGGAGGGTGGTGGCGATGGCGGGGATGGTGAGGGTGAAGAAACAGGAGGAGGAGGAGAGGCCGGCGAACCGGGCTACGTGGCGGTGCGGCGGCGGCGCGGGCCAGCCGGCTCCGGGGCCGTGACCAGGGTTCTCGGCGTGGAGCCCAGCGCGGACATGCACGAGCCGCTCCGCGAGAAAGTGCGGGAGGCGGGGCTCGAGGGCGTCTACGAGGTCGTCCCCGTCGGGATCGAGGACCTGGCCCCGTCGGGGAGGGTCCTCCCGGAGAGCGTCGACTGCATCGTTTCCATCCTCTGCCTGTGCGGCATCCCCGACCCTGAGCGGAACATCCGGGAGCTATACGGCTGCCTGAAGCCTGGCGGTCGTTGGTACGTGTACGAACACGTCAGGTGCGTGCCGTCGCAAGGCTGGGCTATGGGGGTGTACCAAGGTGCGTTCGAAACCCTTCCTTGACTAGTTTCCCAGGGCAGTGCTTACCGATCCGGAACGCAGCTTTTGTAAACCTATTCTGGCCACCTCTCATCGGGGGCTGCCAGCTCCGGCGTGACACTCGGAAGTCGCTGAGGGAGGCCGGGCCATGGACCCATGTCGATCTGGAGGTGGCGGCCGATGAGCCGTGGTTTTCTATATGCCCTCATATCCTAGGCGTTCTCACCAAGTGAAGGAATAGGCATTGCCTAGGGTCCTAGGCTTTGTCAGGGATCTTCGGGTCAACGGGGTTTCGGGGAGGCATCTCAGTAACAGCGTCTGGTTGAGGGGGATTGTTTGTCCCACGTTGTTCATCCCATTTCTATCTATACAAGAAGCTGAGAGTGTGATGAACCCTCGCGAGAATATCTCGAGTACGATCCAAAACCGTCCATCTCTGCCCAAGAGCTCTTGAACATATGCATACTCATCGTCATCAACGTCTCCTTCATTGCGCTGCCATGGCCTAGGTCGATTTCCTATTGGAACAATGCCGGAAAACACGCCGACTAGACGCCGCAGCAGATAGAAGGAAATAAATAACTTGATCTAGTAGATGAGCGTGCAATTGGCAAATATGCAAATCTCTCCGTTTATATTCCCAGCGCCAACCCCAAAACGCCATCCGTTCTTCAGTCGTGTGCGTAAGACATCCATCATAAAAGGACCGAGATAGTAAGAGACCCGTGAACTCATTATGGGGCCTGAGGCCCTTTCCACCTGAAACCCGCAGGCCGTCCAGGAAGCCTTCAAACTAGGCAGTTCGATCAACGTATAATTGCTGCCTGAAGGCGTGAAATCGAGCTTCCATCCGACCGAAGCGATGAAAAGGAGAATCGTGTGTAACGGGTGAATGACCCCGTCAGTCCCATTGTGTTCCCATCCCGGCAATATCAGCATCACCGTCCTCGTGGATCTTAAAGCCGATCCTACTGTCGCCGCGATTATCAGGGGCATCATCCGTCACGTGCCAAGCACGTTGGGTGCTGGGATATTCCGACGGTTGACTGCTGACATCGCTGCCATCATCAATGCCCGCGGCGTCGTCAATCTCCACGTCGACCTCGTTGGTCTCGACCGAGAGGGGGTCGACATTCTCCCCATCAGACATCTTGTCTTCGATGCCGGGCCACGGCTCGTCTTCGGGCAGGGTAGTAGCCAAGGCCTGCGCCTGACCGTGGCCGTGGCCTTGCTCGGCTAGATGCATGGCCTGCAGCCTTTCGTCACGCCACACTGGCTCACCCTTCTCCTCATCCTCGCCGTCCGTGTCCACGTGGTCTAGCTCGTCAGGTTCGTCCTCGTACACGTCGATATCGGGATCCACGTCCCTCCAGGGAAGACGCAAGGGGACTTCGTCCGCGTCAGCCTCGTTCGTCATCTCGCTATCATACGGGTCGGTCGAGCTGCCGCGGTCGTCGTCCATATCCTCGTCATCATCGGGATAACAAGCATTTGGTGGCGGAATAGGGCCACGGCTGCCGGCCCTGTGGCCCGGGTATGGTTCGGGAGGCGCGTTGCTGTACGGTGTGGCGTAACAGAACGGTGTTGTCCTGCGATCGCCTCGATCATCGCCGAATCCGGGACCAAAGGGTGCCAGGCTCGGACTGCGACTCATACTGCTTCGGCTCCAGCGTGGTGTATTGCGGGGTATGAGACTAGGCGACCTTGTACTCTGCCGGCGTTTCATAACGGAGCTTGAGTTCGCTGGTGTCGTCATGGGAAGGCGAGGGCTGGATCGGCGGAAAAATGGCGACGACCGGCGCTCATACAGCTGATTGCTGACATTTCCGTACGACGAGACTCGACGTTTTGGCTGGGACGGGGATTGAAGGATAGGAGCCGTTGGTGGAATCGAATTCGTACGGACATGGGGCGGACGCGAACCCTTTCGCTCCTTCAAGACCAGGGGGGAGTGTGCCCGCAATGCAACAGGGCTAGCAGAGAGGCTTGGGGATTGCACTCCTGTGAAGAATTGTTGAGGTGACGACGTCGACGAGCGCCCCAAAGATCTGCGGGTTTGTGCTTGGCGGAGGCTTAGGGACGAAGGTTGGGACAGCGGCTCGTCGTCCAGCCGATCATTCCAAGTCCAGCATTCCTCCAGAGCGTCGGCTTCCGGTATCTCGCCATTGCTACTGCTCTGAGAGTCCGGATAAACCCGCGTCAGTTCCCGTAGCTTCCGCCAAGTCCAGCCCGACTCGAAAGCCTCGAACCCGAGGGGATGGTCTTGCAGATACGCTTCTCGCTGGGTAACATAAAGGCGCTGCACCCCGCTCGCCTTCATTACGATGCTAGAGACAAGGAAAGCAACATCCCACAAGGTCGGCGTGACCATCTCGGCCGGTGTCAAGAAGCGAAGCCGTGAGTCCTTGTGGATCTTGCGTAATGGTACCCAGGCTTGCTGTAGACCAAGGGCCGATGACAGTCGAGGGTCTTCGTCATTGGCAGATCGATGAATCAGCGCCCGGGAACTCTTGCTAGTGGGGATGATGCGTAAGACGTCACTGAAGGCCGTATTGATGGCGAGTTGAACACTCCGGGCGTCGGGTCCTTTGACGTAGACGGTCTTGATGAGGCCCCTGCTCCTCAGCCGCCTATCGATCATGCGACCCGGCGCACAGGCCCGGGGAAGGAGCCAATCCGAGCCGGGGGATTGGCTGACAGTAGCCCTCGCATAGGGTATAGGTGAATCCGGGCTAGGCCTGCTGGCGGTATTGGGCAGCTGGGTCCACTCGTCGGCATTGCTGCCTGGAGCACCGGGTTGGGTTTGACTCGGGAAGTCGTGGGCTTCCATCCATATTCCTTTCAGTGGAAAAGGCAGGAAGACAACTTCCAGCTCCCATGGGTTGTTATATGAGGGGGAAGCTGAAGCCTGAAGTTGATTAACCCGAGCCTGCAAGGCCTGGAGCTGACTGAACATCTCAGACCGGCGCGTGGGAGTATTAGTGATGCTTGACGAGACAGAGACGACGCTGGCTGTCGCGTCATCGGCCACATCGCGCTGGGTAACCCTCCGAGTGCTTCCAAGGCTGCTGGTGTCGTTGCTGAGGAGCTTCTCCACTTCCTCAACCCGCGACTCCAGCTCCGTCACTCGGAGATCCGCATGATCGTGCTTCTCCTGGCATTCCTCGTGACCGGCCACGGAAAAGGAAACATTCTCTAGCCGATCCAAGCGTTGCTCGTGGCTTTGAACAGTGCTCGACAGGTGCTGAAAGTCCTCGGGGTTTATCCCCTTCACGGTTGAGGGGGACAGCCCGTCCTCCACTTCCTGAGTGAGTTGGGCTGCAGGCCTGGCCGAGCCGGCAATACCACGGAGAATATCATTTGCTACCCTTTGATTGGTGTTCGAAGCCTGTGCTGGTTCCTTGGAAGCCCCGGGGGCCAACAAACTGCCCGTCCTTTGCTCAAGCAGAGATTCCAGCGGTCTGGTGGCAGATACACCACTGAGTGTCTCCAAGCCTTTGCCCGCAAACGGGCGAAGATATCTGGTCTGGCTAGATGAGGCCGTGGATGGCGGTTGGGAGGCCATCAAACATTGGGGGGGAATAGGCGGCAGTGCATCAGCGTCGCCACCTTGGGGTTGGAGAAAGCTCCCCCAACTCATGGTATCGGGCATTGAATTGTCCTGTCCTGGGCTTGCATTGACGGCTTGCTGCTGCGGGTTCGCAGCATCGGGCCGACTGCACGAGAAAGCAGCAGGAAACTCCAGGAAGTTAAGATCCAGAGACGCATCAAGGTTAGAAGGCATGCGAAAAGATCCCATATCCTGGACTGGACTCAGCGGCTCCCGGTTTAGCTTGGGCCTCTCATTCTCCTGGCCGGCAACGGCCTCCCCCGCTCCGGACGGGACTTGGCCAGGCTGGAACTCGTCATGGTAGCACGCGTGATGGGAGCACATGCACCATCCGGCCTGATCAAGGTTGAAATTTTCCGGAAAAGAACCTCTCATTGCCGGGTGCCTGCTCCAGAAGCGGCGGCAACCACATCGGGGTCCATTGGCGCCAGGTGTTGTGTCGGCGAAGTGGCATGGTCCTCCAGGGAGGCTTGGGGTGGTTCGCGCGGGTTGACCATCGTTGTAGATGTCAAACAGAAAGGAATTGTTTGGAAGGGAAGGTTCGAACGATGTCGTTTCCATTGGTTAGGTAACTGGGCAGGCGTCGCTCCCCGGCGGTTCGAGATCGGGCGAATATGGATGGATTCGGCGCGAGGCAAGACGAAGAAAAGATCGCGAGCCGACCGAACGCCAGACGAGCTGGGTCGCATCAGACAGAGTATAGCGTAATCTAGTACATTGTTGTGCTACTATCGATTAGTTTCGGGTTATTTTAGGAGCTGTAGTTTGTGTGTAGAGAAAGCGAGAGACATTGTGGAAACAGGAGCGGGGTGGAATGGGAGACGGACTCGGGGGCAGGCTGATATTTATGTGTTGAAAGTGGCCTCGGCGCTTTGACGCAATGGACATGAAATGCAATGGAAACGATATCGATGGCAGTAGCCGGCCGCAGGCGTGAGGTTCAGTGGGAAAAAAAGTGAGGCGCAGAATGGATTGGCTCCGATAAGGGTGGTGGGAGGCACGAAGTCAAGACGCGGTCAGCGGGCGGGCGGCGGGCAAGCTAACTTGGGCTGCCGAGAAGGTGGGGTGGACCACCTGGACCATGGGGAGTGAAGAGCCGGGGGGTGGGAACTGGGAAGAGCGCAAGTTGAGAAGTGTGGAGAAGAAGACAGAAAGAGGAGTTGGGAGTTGAAACAGGCAGATAGATGTGACTCGACAACTCGGTTGTTGACTCCTCTTTCCCTGCAAGGCAACCAGGCGAGTTGATTAGTCCCCCATGAGCGAAGACATGGTTGCTATCCTGAAATGGACACTGAGTGGGAGTGGGAGTGGATCCCCTGTTTGCTACGCCGGTTCCTATTGGTTCAGATGCACTTAAGATCGCGAAACGCGTCTGTCTCTTGAATCCACGCAGGTGCGGTACGTTAGGTAGGTACTCATCATTAAAGACACTTGAATGTCTCTCTTCACTTTCTCTCAGACTTACGTCAACGTTCCCCAGCGTTGCGTGGTAACTTGTTGCTTGGTAACCTGCTGCAGACTCTTGCTCGCTCCCTGACTTCAACTCTTTCTTCTCTTGCCCAGGGTCGTTGTCGTAGACAATGATCACACAGTTTCTGTACCGGCCAACAAGTCACTAGCCTTAGTCACTGTTGATACTGGAGTCCGAGTCTTAAGGAGGTACTCCGTACATGTGTGCAAAGCTTAGATCAGCAACTCAAGAGACCATCATGCCAAATTGCAGGCACTTGTAAGGAACTCGGCTTCTCTTCTCCTCTGCTCCCCGCAATATCCAACGTAACAACAGTGGTGATGGGCGGGTGGAGGTTCATAAAACGCCAACAGAAAAGTAGGGCTGATAAGGGACCGTGCATATTCGGCACTACTCCGATATGAACTCGGAACGACATTTGATGTTCGCTCTCACTCCGGCCGGACAGGGCTGGGGGTGTTCGACTTGACAGCAACGCACCATTTTCTCAGCCACCCCAGGCCGTAGATTAGAAGGACCGAATGGAAAACCGCCCGGGGCAGTTCGGCGGCCGAAGCTGGTACAGCCAACCATATATCTTCTGTATTGTAGTCGTATTCCCTAGATTCCAGATGGCCCATCCTGCAATTGTATGTGTTGTGAAACCCAAACCCCTGGTGCCGATTTAACATGTTTGAGTGGCGAAACTTGGACTTGTTCAAGCCAGCCATAAAAAGACCCAAAACATACCGCTTCCAGCGCCGGAGAAAGAAAATGCAGCAAGTCAGCAATAATAGTACACTTAATGGCCCGTCATCCTCGACTCGGCACGGGTATCTTGTCCACCTCACTTGAAACCTCAAACCTCCCCCCAGCTCCCCATCGGCCCGGTGCTCGCGATCATGCTCCCCGTGCCGATCGACCCGCCAATGTCCCAATAGTGCCGCGACGAGTGCCTCGACGACACGGAGCTCCGCCTGGCCGACCGCCTGGTGCTCTGGCTTGCGCAGCTCCCGGGCGCGTGGTGCCTCAGCGCCGCGGGGCTGGAGGGGCTGGCTACTGCCTTGAACGGCCTCCGTTCGACCGGTCGGGCCCGCTGGTGCGGGTGTGAGTGGGACACGAGCGGGTGGTGCTGGCGGACCCTGGCAGCCTTGGCCGCCGCATCCTGCGTGCTCGAGGTTGCGAGGTGCGAGGTGCCGGACGTGAAGGGGGTCGACGACGAGCGGTTGGAGGTGAAGCGAGATCGCAGGTATCGGAAAACAAGCCTGATGTCGAGGTCTTGCTCCCACTCGGGCTGGGTGAATGCGGGGCCAGAACTGCCCGTCTCTCCCATCAGGGATGGCATCGTCTCTGGGCTGCTTGGGGACTGGGCGCCGGGGATAGAAACCGGCCGGGTCTGATGTGCAAGTGTAGGTTTGAATTCCGGCATCAGCGGTATAGACTCCTCAGCCATCTTTGCACCGGCTTCGTTGGCGTCGATTGCTGCTTCCGGGATGACGGGCAATCCAGCGTACGGGATTGGCGCTTGCTGCATTCGTACATAGGTTGAGAATGCGCCCGGGTGGGTCGACATGCGGTGGACGAGGAGGCCAAGCTCTCGAGCCACCCGCTCCAGTATGCGCAGCTGCCATGTCGAATCATCGTGTGACTCTAACTCGCGCGCGGCGGGGGTGGCGGTTGGCGGTATCGCAGATGCCTTAGGCGTGGATGAGAGGTCATCTTCGCCCGGGAGCTCGTCTGTGAGAGCCTCGCCGAAAAGGATGGAAAGGAGGTGATCATCAATGCCCATCAAGTCACGAATCACTTTACGGGTGATTCGACTCCAGAGTCCGTCTTCCAGGGCGAGTGATCCAGAAGCATCTTGATCATGCCAGTCGTCCCCGTTGAACTGTGTTTCATGCGCAGCCTCACCCATAGCGCCCAGGGTTGCGAGCTCGTCGGCGGCGTTCCTATCCGACCGAAGCTTCTGGATCGAAGCCTCGGATTGCCGACGCTGCCTCGTCTCTTTCCGTATCTTATCCAACAAGAACTGGCTTTGCTCTAACCGCCATGCCTCTATCCTGCGGTTCTTCTCGGCCTCTTGAGACGACTCTTGCTGCTCCATCTCCAGCTGAGCTAGATCTAGGCTCTCTCGCCTCCGCTTAACGCGCTTAGGATTAAACCTCTCAAAGGCATAGAGTTGCTCCTGAAGCTCGGATCCAATCATCCCCTGGTTGTTGTCCAACCTGAAAGATCCTAGTCCATCGTGCCCTGGCAGGACGGGAGTTGCGTGAGCAACGCCCTGATTGCGGTATGGGCTCGGAAGTGACCGGAAGTCGGCAAGATGGCTATCGAGACTGTCGAGTTCCGCGTCGTCCTCGACCACGCTCTCAACCTCAACTATTGACTGGGGCGGGCCAGCTGAGTTCTGCGCCGCAGAGTTCCGGTCTGAGCGGGCAATAGTATTGAGACTCCCGAGATCGCTTAGGACTGACCGACCGGGTGTTGGCTGCGACCCGTCCACAGAACTGAGGTACGATGTGGTAGTGACGGCGTCGGTGGCCGGAGAGAAGAGCACCCATGTTTGCGACTCGTCATTGCCCAGGCGAATCGATGGCGCCTGAGCTTGAGGCTCTCTCTCCGAAGTCTCGGGCCGGGATAGCCTCTGATATGACTGTCGAGTGGGTTGGTGGAAAGCCATGTTGCTAGGTCGAATGCTGCAGGGTTCAAAGGCGTGTCGGGCAGAACCGTAGAGTCCTCGATATAGTAACAATGACTGTACACCGATCGATATTCGCCAGCACGGGGTAACGACAGGCCAAAGGTCGGGCGGTAGCAGCGGTTGGGTATGTTGAGAGGGAACTGTGGAGTAGCAGTGCTTGGTTCGAGAGGGTATCTGGCCTTATGAAGAATCAAGCAGCTATCGGCAGCTAGCTGTGTTTTCGGGGACGTGGTTATTGCATTCTCGATATACTCCGACTAGGCCTACGTCGAAAGATGCTGAATAGAAAGAAGCCTTAAAGTTGGCAGGCGATGATGTGCTGCAGAGGGTCGCTGCAGCGTGTATCAATGTATCAGCATCAGCATCTTGTTGGGCTGCGGGATCGGGAGTTACGTACCGTTGTAAAAGGTGGGATGAGCGCAGCGGTGGGAAAAGGGGGGTGGGGACACTTACACCCCTGTGACCACCTTGCTGCTTGTGTGATTCTCCTGTAAACTCAACTCATTCAGTACCTACCTATTCATCCATTTCATGGTAATTCCACACTCTTCCCGTAGGTGGCCAGAACTGAAACAAGTGCATCTAGCCGTAGCTCCCAGTGACACAGCTACTTTATCTCCCATACGAAAGTTGCCAGATTTCCAACCCAATGGTCTCAACACCGACGTTGTGGAAATGACCGCATAGGTACCCGCCAACTTACCTAATAAGGTATCGAGATCACCGCAGAGACGTAAGAGGTAACCCCGCTCCCTACTCCGTATTCGCTGTTCAGTAAGAGTAGCGAGGTACAAGCAAAACTCGCTGTCAACTTGGCTGACAACCTCAAAGCCAGCTGGCCACATCAAAGAAAGACGAAGCTGGCGGATCACCCCTCCTAGTGCGATTGCAGCAGATCCATACATCATCGATGTAGGATCTCGTGGTCGAGTCTTCCCCCCTACTTCGCCTGGCACACGACTCGCTAGCCGAGCACCTACCTAGGTGTATTGAAGCCCTGCTCTCGCCGTGCTGCGGCACATCGAGTTGCTGGGAACTGGGAAGGAAACCACAGGAACCCTGCACATTCTCTGGTCGCTGAACTCTGATGTGCTCATGCTCACGCTGTCTAAACGGGTTAGTAGGGAGCTGGCAGTTGTAAGAATGCAACGGAAACCCACGCCCGGAAAGACGGTGAGCCAGGGCGTCCTCTCATTGTAATAGCAAATTCCGCTTGTCACGAATAAATCATATCACATCTGGGCTGTCACTTCATCAGAGAGTGGAAACAGCTGAGGTTCAACCGGGTTCATTGACTGTGCCAAAGCGAGACCATGCATAAAATGAAGACATGCCCTTCAACTCAGTCCTGATATGACCGTTTTGCGCCACTCCGAAGCCAGATGCCTTTCTTGCCTTGCACACCCATCTACGCCTCGGTGCTGAACGCATCGGGGTAAAGCTTCATGTTCTTCTTCAGGTTTCCACGGTTGCTGAGGAACTGGACATAGGCACCATCCACACGGACACGGCCAGCGGCCTTCTTCTCAAGGTACTCGTCGCGGCGGAGGGGAGTGAAGCCCCAGTTCTTGGAGACGATAATCTTTTGCCGACCGGGGAACTTGTACTGAGATCGACGGAGGGCCTCGAGAGCGAACGCGCGGCCTGCGGAGGTTCCGTTAGTACTGCGGCCAGGCGCCTCGTCGTTCTGTCAAGGGTTAGGGTAGACTTACTGGAATCACGAGTGCGGACGCTCATGAGGATCTGGCCGATGTTGACACGAGCGACGATACCGTTCGGCTTGCCGAAGGCACCACGCATACCGGTCTGCAATCTATCGGCACCGGCGCACGACAACATCTTGTTGATACGGACGACGTGGAAGGGGTGGGCGCGCACCCGGAGGTGGAACCCTTCCTTTCCGGCTGTCTTGACAAGATACCTGCGAATCCTGTCAACCTCTCCTTCCACGAAAAAAAACAAAAAACTTTTGAACAGGGCATCCGTAATAACTCACTTGTTGGCGCAGATACGGGCAGCCTCGAGGGCCTCGGAGCTCAGCTGTTCATACTCGTTGGAGACGAGGTGAATGCAGAGGGGGAAGTCGTCGACAGTCGCACGCTTTCGGCCAAGGTCGAAGATTCGGATCTTGGGGTCGGGGACACCACGGTTGAACCGCGACTTAGGGTACGGCTGCATCGCATTTTGTTAGCAATCTGGAGTCTTGCGGTTCTAAGAGCAACGTGTCGAATCCCAAATCCTCCACAACTGTCCGACGCCTCCATCATGAATAAATCTCTGGCGGCAGGAGAAGACATGGCGGCATCGGATTCCTCCAGCGATTTCCTAGCCCTTTCCACCCCATTTCTCTCCACCCAATCGACTCCCACCAAAGGAAAATTCAGGGAGTTTGGAAATAGCTCACCTTGTTCTTGCAGTAGCGGTAGCACCGCGCAGGACGACGCGCCATCTTGATTGATTTTGCTTCGGTGATATTACGGGTAGAGAGGTGGTGTTGTAAGGTGAGAGTACGAAACTCGGCGGAGAATGGCCAACTCTTTTAGGTCGTCCTGTGCTTGATTTCAAAGCAGTCCGTGGCTCGGGGCTCAGGTAAGCCTGTGGCAAATCTAGGCGGCTCCCCACTTTATCGCTTAAAGTGGGGCACTTAGGGCTTGGGACTTTTTTGCCCACTCAAGTCATCGACCAATAGGAATTCGAAGACATTTTTTGCGGTATCTCTAGAATTGCTGGTCGAGCCCAACCATCACACTTTCAAACTCCGGGACGACTTCAACCACGATCTCTCAGCGCCACTGTCCAGTCAAGTATCCGGATTCAAGATCCTAAAACTACTTTCGCAATGGCCCCCAAGAAGTCCAAGGGCGATGCCCACTCGTTGAACACCAAGCTCGCGCTGGTGATTAAGTCTGGAAAGGGTACGTGCCTTCTGACAATCACTCCCATATACACGCATCTAACGCTGTTTGCATAGTCGTCCTCGGCTACAAGTCTACACTGAAGTCCCTGCGGACAGGAAAAGCCAAGTTGATCTTGATTGCGGCTAACGCGCCTCCTCTTCGCAAGTCGGAACTCGAATGTGAGTTGAGAACCTTTCCTCCAGCCGGATTCAAAACGAGGGACGAAGTTGAGGACCTGTGAGGGACACTGGGATATGCTGGGGCGGTAGAAAGCAACCGCACCGCCAGGGTCCGTCCATTGGGACAGGAATCCTCTGTGGCAGGATCTTGCTACTCCCGAAGAGCACATCTACTTGCTCTACGGCAGTTCCATTCCTTGCTGCTCTACACTCGTGTTCTTCTCGAATGACCGACCATGCGAACTATTTCGAGCCATGTTGGACTACGCTGACAAGCTCCCAGACTACAGCATGCTGTCGAAGACTTCGGTACACCACTTCAGCGGCAACAACGTAAGTGCCAACCTCCGCCGTGTTTTTCCCTATTCGTGAGAAGAATTTTCCTGCTCCCGGTTTAGGAGGAGTAGAACTACTCCTCCAAACCCGCCCAGAGAAGAAGTCTTTTTCCAGACTTTGGAGGGTACCCGTTCCCGTTTGCTTACTCTTCTCCCTCTCGCAGATTGAGTTGGGCACCGCATGCGGAAAGCTTTTCCGCTGCTCCACCATGGCCATCCTCGATGCTGGTGATTCCGACATCCTGAGCGACCAGCAGGCTTAAGCCGGGGAAGTTGGAAAACGTGGCATGCAACGGCGTTCAGGCTCTTGGGTTGCGGAAAAGGGTATGCGGGCTGTTGATTGCAAAGGAACCTGCGCGACTGGCCGTCTTTTGTCCATCAATTGCACTAGAAGCAAAGCAATCCCCTTGGGTCTATCGTAGATCACGAAGAGACACGGGCTAGCTACCTTACCTACCCTTCCTGTGTTTGCATGTTATAAGCTACCTGGTGCCTCGGTACCGAGTTTGAGTCACAACAGTCCCTTTTCGGCAAGTCCCATGATGCTCGGCGGAAAGAGAAGAGGAATTGGGAGACTTCCTCAAGCAGAGACATTCCAGATGTGGCCTGACAAGTCCTAGTCCTGACTCAAATCCTCGAGCAAATGCATGAACAGCCTGAAATTACTTGTTGCTTCCGTTTCCCTGGCCGGGGACTGTTGATCCCTTGAATCACTGTATCCAAAAATTTCAGGAACTTGGAAGGACTCCAAGAGAAGTCGCCCCCCATATCTCCAAAAGGGGAGCGGAGAGCGGATACAAAGGAGGTTATTACTATGGAGGGTGAGCGACCCACGTGAGCTTGCATTGACAGTCAAATTAAGGACCGGCAGTACTAACTTGCTAAGTCATACTGCTCCGGGACCATTCCTCGTTGTTCATTGTTGTGGTCGGGTCAAGAAGGATGGCGAAGATTAATGAATTGGTCTCGATTGGCTCGCAGGGAGCCACAGCAACGGCCTTCCAGAATTCCTCCGTACCAGGCAATGCCACCGTGATCCATGTTTCACGCAGCAAATCCCCGACATGCCCCCAAATACTTATACATATCCCAGTTTGTTAAGGCTGTGACGCGGACACGTCTCTGGTGCTGTTGCTCTACACCACTACCTACCTCTATGTATATAAACAAGTGCAAACCTCCTATATTAAGGGAGCGGAGGGCGGCGCGCATCGGGGCAGTGGGGCACCCACTGAATGGGTTGGTACTGCACTTGGGTGGAGGGAGAACTGGAACCGAAAGTACATAGTAATACGATATTCCCACTTCATTCCACTACCAACCCGAGAAGATTTACCTTGTATCCCACGTCAACATTTACTCATCGCGTTCTACCTATCTGTTCCCTTGCGGAAACTGACTCGAAGTTCGGCTTGACTCGTTACTCGTGTGGGACCAGCCCAGGATCCACAGTGTGCGATCATCGAGTGTGGGCCTCGCAGATTGGCAGACCTGCCGGGGCTGAAAGGGGCTGTGAGTGTGGATGATCGCCCAAGCGCCACCAGTTTCTAAAATAACATCCGCAACGGATGTTACGTACCTGCCTGCAGTCGTTTGCAGTCTGAAGACTCCGACACATGAATTCCTGGTTCTGGAAGCTGCAAGATTACCTGCTTCCTCCCTTTCCAAGGAATCACTGTTGTACGACCAATTTGGTTACCGGACTGATCAGGAGAAGCGGTTTCGATTCCTAAAGAGAGCCACGGCGCTACCCCAAAAGTTTCCCCTAAAACGGTACCTGACAGCTGGGATCGGTGAGATCTTACGGCGCGAACCGACCAGGCACGACAGGCAACAAAACAACACACAACAGACAATAGACACCAGACACCAGACGACAGGCATCAATCATGTCTGCCGTCGCCAAGAAACCGCGTGAAGCGGGCCGCGACCCAACACCAACCTCTACTCCTTCCTCCTCGCCGTCACGCCTCCCACCGCGTGCCTCGACGCCGTCGTCGTCGGCGGCTGCTACTGGTGCTTCGGGTGCTACTTCTAGTGCTGCTAGCAGCACTCCCGGAGTCGCGCGCACCCGCTCCCTCCGCTCAGGGACGCCCGTATCGGCACGCACAGCCGCCCATCAGCGGAGAGATTCCCGCTTAATGAACAGCATCACGCCTGCCGATTCGGAACGCGAAGATGCTGCGCGCGCCGAAACGGTCGCTCTACTCGACGATCTGAAGGACCGTCTGGCCAAGGCGGAGGGCGCGTCAGAGCAGTTCAAGAAGCAGGCCGAGGTCCTACAAAGCCGCCTAGACGACGCAATCAAGGAGCAAGCAAAACTTGAAGAGAAGGTTCACGAGAACGAGGAACAGCTCGAGTCGCTGCGAAATGAGCGTCGAGAAGCTGGGAGGCAGATGCGCGAAATGGAGGCCATCTACGAGGGCGAGCGGAGCGCCATGTCAAAGGAGAAGGAAGACATGGCGAACCGGGAGGAGGAGATGCAGGCCGTCATCCAGAGATTGAAGGACAGCCTGGCCCAGAGGACACTCAACGGGGATGATGAGCCCCGGCCCACCAGGCAATGTACGTTGCCCGTTTTTACCCTTCCCCTCCTCTCGTTCTCTGCGTTCTGAACCAGACGTTCGCCCATACTTTGCTAACGCCGGGCTTACACACAAACAGCACAAAACAACTCACCAAGCCTGGACAACGGCAGCTTTGCGCCTCCATCTTCCATCCATCGCAGCGACTCGAGAAACAATTCCAAGCTCCTACTACAAAAGGACAAGCTCATCGAATCCCTGCGCCTAGAACTAGCCGAGGCTCAGATCAAGCTCGTCGAGACAGAGAACCAGGGCGGGGGACGGCTGCACGAGGTGGAGCGCCTGCTGATGGAGGCCCGCATGGCAAATGCTCGCCTTATGGAGGACAACGAGAGCTACCAGCTCCTCCTGCAGGAAAAGACCCTAAAGGGGGACTTTGGCACAAGCGACTTCAGCTACATGGGAGGTGCGGCGGCGAACCAGGATGCGCTCAACGCGCTCGAGGGAAGGAGCGGCGGCGGGACAAGTCTTGCGGACGAGCTGTCTGAGGCGACGGAGGGCGAGGGCGAGGGCCAGGGCCAGGGTGACAACAGCAGGCGACTAGAGACGGAGCTGCGGTCTCTCAAGGACCAGAACAAGGCGCTGACCCTGTACATCAACCGGATCATCGAGCGCCTGCTCCAGCACCAAGACTTTGAGCACATCCTGGACCAGTCGAGCGACTTCAAGGCGCCCAACACGAACAAGGAACTGCCGCCGCCGCCGTCGAACAAGCAGGCGACGGGCCCATGGCTGCTGCAGCGGGCCAAGTCCATGGCGGTGGGTGCGACCTCGGGATCCAAGCCGCGGCCCCGCCCTATGTCGGTCATGCCCAGCGCGAGCACCAACTCGGCGCTCAACAACCCGGACACGGCGCCGAGCATCCCCATCGGCCTGACCCGCTCGACCAGCGTCCGCCGTGGTAGGCCCATGAGCGAACAGTACACGAGCGGCGGGGGCGGCGTCGGGGCGGCGGGCATCGTCAACGCCATGTACAAGGGCATGGGAGCGGACGGGCCCCTATCGCCGACCCTGCGGGGGTCGCAGGCCTTCTTCGCGTCGCCAACATCGTCGTCGGTGGCGGGTGCCAACGGCAACAGCAAGCGCGCGTCGTCGGGCGGCGTGGGAGGCGCCAGCGGCAACTTCCCGGGCATGCGGAGCGAGACGTCGAGCACAAGCGGCGACGAGTCGGTGGCGAACGCGAGCAGCAGCGGCGACGTGACGACGCCGCCGTCGCAGAGCCCGCCGCGCGCGCACCACCAGGCCGGCGCCGGCGACAAGGCTACCACGCTGGCGGGCAACAAGCCGCGGCCGCTCAGGCTCGTGCAGGAGAACGCCGATGCGAAGAGCGCCGACACGGCGGCCAAGCGGTCGAGCTGGGTGGCGTGGGCGTTTGGGAACAAGAAAGATGAGGCGGGGCCGTTGGGGAGCCCGGATAGTATCAAGGAGTGAGAGTGAATTGACTATGACCTACTATTGAATAGTGTTGGATTCGGGTCGGAGTGGGGGGTTGGTGCCTGGGACTCGGGTTGGTTCGGTGGGGAGGGACAGGAACATGGAGAGTGCGATTGCGATATAATTACCTACCTATACTCTTTTCTCTGCTCTGGGTTTCTGGGAGTTACGTCCAGTTTCTTTCTCTCCTTCTCTCTCTGTGTGTGTCTCTGTGTACGAACGAAACCGGAGCAAAGGTATCATCATCACTGGGCCGGGAACCGGGCATCACGGGATTCGCCCTCGGGCAGGCTCGGCGGCAGGTTGGGATTGTGTAACGTCTTTTTTGGACTTTTCCTTTCACCTCATCGAGACGGCGATCTGTTTCTCATGTAGAGTATGGGTGTTTTTTTCTTTCTTTCTTTCTTTTCTTTTCTTTTGCAGGGCCCTGACTAGACTCGTGATTGGGCTTTATGGGACGGTCGAAGGAGGCGCTCAAGTATACCTACCTATCTATTACGTATTAGGAGTCTTCGAACCTCGTTGCTTTTTCCAGTCTAGGTGCTGGATTGCACACGCACAGCTGTATGACAGGACGAGCTCAAATAATAATAACTGAAGTCCGACGTTACCTAGTGTAGAGTCAATAGGCTTTCTTACTAGGTCGTGTAAAACTTCTGGCAGTTGGCCATACAAAAGTAGCTAGGTAGATATCTGAGAACAAAAGCGCACAAAGAAACAAGATTCCAGTCAATGCTGAATTCATTATCGTTATCATTGTTGCTTTCTGGCTGCCACCCCCTGTTGATACAATACATACTTGTCCGTCTTTCCAGCTATCTGTGACGTCTCGGCTGTCAATATCTTGATGCGATGGCAGGTTATCTCCAGGGTCACGATGTCGCTTGTCAAACCCATCAGGATGGTCCACGAAGCCCGACATGGACAGACGTGGGGGGGAAGACCGAAAAGAGGCTGCTACAGGGCTGACTTGTGTCCACCCCCGGACCTATGGCAGGACGGGTTCCTGCGCAGATGATCAAATCCGAGCGTTTTTCCTGCTCTTCCACGCCGCCCCCCCTTACTTAAAGATGCATGCGCTTTGTCGAATCCGATAATCGACTTTTGAGCGAAAACGTCGATGGCATCCAATGACGTCCGGACGCGTCCCCCCTCGCTTCCCCCGTGCCAGCGAGTCAATAGTCGGGAGTGCGACTCGAGAAGATTGGCTCTCGATCTCGTCATGGCCGCTGCCTGCCCTGCTGCGCGAAATTTCGCAAGTCCTCCCCGTTCTTGTTCGCAGGCAGACATGGATATCCGCACGGGGTATATAATATCGATACATAACAAGTACTGTACCTTCAGCCACGTTGTGCAAGCAAGAACGACGATCTTTTCTTAGAAAAGACGTCGTCCCCGCCTCCACGTGTCAAATACCCGTTAGGCTTTGGGGTTCACAAAATGACGGCTACATAAAAATCGAACACCAGCGCCCCTGAAGAAAACGGGCAGGGGATAGAAGACGACGATGGAAAGCAGGAAGCGAGAGCCGAGGACTTGACAGGGTCGACTTTATTCCCTCTGCTCCTCGTAGGGACTCATTCCCGGTGATAAAACCTGACCGGGAGTATCCGTACCCGCTCTTCCGGGATTGGAGAAGACGGGATGGAGAAGCTTCCATTGGCGACGGATTGCAGAGTGTTGACGTCTTTGATGTCTTGATGGGGAAAACATGATTCTGTAAGACACTAGCTGCCTCTAAAAGGTCGACGCCAGTACAGCTGCAGTCTCGAGTCGACAGTGATAGGCCTCCTTCATCCATGGATATTCTGGCACCATTGTTTAATAGCTTCACCGGTCAAATTTCCTTCACATTACCAGGCGGTGCACGTCCGTCCGTATATGGTACGTACAGGGCTTCTCGAACGGAACGCCTTTGGAACGGATCCGTAGAATGGGTACACTTTGTGTACATACAAGGTCCTTTATCCATGTCGTTGGGCCCAAGTGCCTCCGAAAGTCCCACAGAGAACCGATTAAGAGTACCCAGGGTTACATGTTACCCCTTGCAGCCAGATGTCGTTTCAGGGCGTAGCGAGGTAGACTTGTGTACTCCCAAAAACGGCGGAGGTATCTCTCCGGGAGGGCCTCATCTTCACGAGGCGAGACAGGTTAATCACGAGTGCCAAATTATTCGGGCTGTTATTTTTCGGTCCACTCAGCAAACCCTATCCGTGCGGCCTGAGGTCACTGAGATGACGATATTTTTGACGGCATTCACTACTGCTTACCTGGTATTATTGAATGTCAGGCGGGGAAGTTCGAGACTTTGGTTTTCACTAAGGTGTGCGACTTGGCTGATAACAGCTAGCTGAGCGAAAGACAAGTACCCGTCTGGGGAGGATCAAGGAAGGAAAACGTCAAAAGGCCTTTCTTACCGTGACAGGTTGTTGTCCCCTTTTCAGGGCTGATAGCGGATATTACAGCTCGATCATCCCCCCCAACGAAACACCTAATTAGCTGTGGCCCTAGTGGTCCACAAGCAAGGCAGCCCCCACCCACCACCAACAAAACCCCAAAACGGGTCACCCCGGTTTCCGCCACCACTCAAACCGACCACCACTCCCACTTCACCACGTCGTCAGAATCCTCCCGCGCGGGCTGGCCCTTCCTCCCTCCTCATACAACCAAAGGGGGAAGAAAATAGCGAGAGAAAACGAAGAAAAATCTGAAGAGCCCGTCAATACCTACCTAATTGCACGCCCGATAGATTCGCGCCATTCTCGCTCGACAACTCCCGCATTCCTCGCTTTTCCTCAACCTGTCATACTGTGTCCCGTCACTTTTGACGTTTCTGCACCGTATCTTGACGTATTCCTCAAGTGCCTGCTCAGCAACCTGCAACACAACAACAGATTCAACATAGAACGGAGGACGCCGGACATACAACCAGACCAACTAGACCAACCCATCGACCCGACAACATACAGCGACAACACTTATCCCCTGCGTAACGGCCGGACAATCATGATTTACCTTGTCCCACGTCTCGGCTCTTCGCTCGCAAGCTAAGACGATTGCACGATCCCTGGCATGCCTGGTCTAGGCGAGACTCCATTCCTCTGGTCGACCCTTCTCCCGTATCTGCAGCCATGGACAAATCACAGAACACCAGCAACGGCAACGGCAACGGCGCCACGGATGCCAGTCGATTTTCCCATCCCCCCCTCTCCCGCGAGTCGTCGACCACCATGACCCCGAGGACGGACTCTTGGCCCTCCAAGCTGGCATCCCAGTCCTCCCATACTTCGGCGCAGTCATCTGCGGCACCCTCGCCCCTTCCCTCGCGAGAACCCTCCCCATCCAGGCCCGCAAGACACAACAACGCCTCGAGGGCGTCGTCGACGGGACCGAGCGCCAGGTCACGGAAGAATAGTCAACAAGACCCCAGTCCTACACGCTCGACCAAGTCTAGTATACCCACGCCAGCAACAGGTCTGAAAACACTGTCTGCTACCACGACTCCCATCCTCCTCCCTGCTCCGGCCGATTCACTCGCCAATGCGCCCGTGCCACAGAAGCCGTCCGGCACGACTGACATGCTGAGAGACACGCGCCGCTGGCCTGTCTCGCCGAGACTACGCTCACCCCCTCCCATCCTCCACAAGCCGGTCCTTCCCCCGCCTCGCAAGGGAGAGCACGAGACTCCGGTGATCAATGTTCAGCGGTCTACGCCGTCTCCGCAGCGGGCGAACCCGGACCTGATCTGTGACCTGGACCCGGACGACTCTCACCTGCAGTCTGGCATGAGAACACCTGCGCGTGGATCGACCTTGGAAACTGTTCAGGAAGCGAGCCCACTTACATCCCCGAAGCAACAGGACTTGGACGATGCGTTGGAGAAGCTTGAAGATAGCAGCATCATCTCCGATATTTCCACCTCCCAGCCCGAAAAGGCCAATTCCCCGGCAAACGAGAGCGGGAGCGAGACCGGCAGCGTCAAGATGGAAATGCGATCCGGCGCGACTGGTGCGGCGCCGCCGCCGCTCACGACAAGGCAGTCAACCGCTTCAATTAAGCATGCTGTCTCCAAGAGCAAGAACGAGGTGCCGTTACAGAGCATGACAGTCGAGACCGAAACAGTCACGTCGATACCCCAGCTCGCCCAGCTCGCCCTCGAACAAGGCGTCGGCCCGCAGGGAACAAACGGCAGCCTCAGGACGAAGCCGAGCTCAGAGACGATCCGCCCCAAGAAGGAGAAGAAGAAGACGATGAGGAAGTCGCCGGCAGTCAGCAGCGGCACTGGTGAGCCTCCAAATCTCAAGTTCAATAATGTCTTCCAGCCTAGGCTGTGGCATCACCATCAGTTGACCAGACCTCCTTCTCGGTCGACGGACGCACGCATTTCTCACACGAGACCGTGCGGCCTTTATGATGGCGCGATAAGTCCTCGGTCGTCTCATTCGCCGAACGCTCTGAGCCAGAGCTTGATTCTGTACCATATGAACACTCTGCTGACTAGACCACGTCCAGTATCTTCGAAGGCTGATATCTTCGAGGCAAAGGTCGCAAGTGCCGTCGAGGAAGCAAACTCGTCGGACTCGGAGGAGACTTTTGTCTACGACTCGAATCCGCCAGACGGCCGCGATCGTCCCCACCATAGGTTTCACTCGCGCACGCCGAGCGCGACCTCTATGATAAGCCAGATCGACCGAAATGGCATGCGATCCATCCCTGGCGTGTTGGAGAACGTTGGCCTGGGAGTCGGGGTGACGAAGAAGAACATGAAGTTCGTCAACGTAAACGCCCTCAACCCCAACGGGACCGACATCGCTCTCGGCGACGACGATGGACGAGGCACCGGGAGGAGCAACGCTGGCTCCGGGCGCGGCACCGCGCGGCACCACCACCACTTTGGCCGATGGGGCCGCAACAGCGGCGGCAGTCACCGCTCCATCTTTGCCGACGAATCTCCTTTCCACAACTCAGCCAGTCCGCGCTCTTTACTAGTGGCGACTAATTCTAGACAATCCTCGGGGCCGCCCAGTCCCCGATATAATTCTGGCCGCGGGGCCGATAGTGCCAGCAGGAGGGGGCCGCCCATGATGGCAGGCTACGACCTGGACGACACGACAACAGGCGCCGACGACGAGAGGACGCCTCTGATCCATTCGACCATGCGGTCTTCGCGGTCGGGGAGGAGCCGACGGACGCCACTCACTGCACGACCCCTCGAGCACCGGAGCTACCATCAGCCGCCCTCGTTCCTAAACCGGTTCGCGAGCTGCCTGGTCTTGACCGTCATGCTCGTCCTCGTCATTTCTGGGGCGATTGGGTTTATGTTTGCGACGTCGCAGCCGCTCACGGAAATCGAGTTGATCGGCATGAAGAACGTCCTTGCCAGCGAGCAAGAGCTGATGCTCGACATTACTGTCAAGGCGAAGAACCCCAACGTCGCTGTCGTGGTCATCGATTCGGCGGATATCGAGGTCTTTGCCAAGTCTCCTCATGCAGGGACAGATTCGGAATGGTGGCGTCGACCCCACGACTCTGGCACCTTCTCGGCTCGGAGGAAACGGGACCGCGATGTTCATGCTCAGGATGACCCTCCGGATGACCCGCCTCCGGACAACAACGCGCCCAACATGAGGCTCGGGACGATCCGCCGGTTCGACAGTCCCCTGTCCTTCGAGGGCTCCTTCTTCCACCAGGGCATATCGTCGTCGACGGGCGAAGTCAGGCTTCACAGACCAGGCAATACCACGGACGGCGGCTCGGAGCGGTGGGAACGCATTCTCGAGGACGAGTTTGACCTGATCCTCAAGGGCGTTCTGAAGTACTCGCTGCCCCTGAGCCAGCGCGTTAGGAGCGTCGCCATCTCAGGTCGCACCCACGTCAAGCCAAACTCGGCGAACGACCCGACGCCCAACCCCAACGGTACCGACTTCTCCATCCACTTCTAGAACGGGCGATCCGGAAAGGGGGAGCACGCTGCATATTCTGCATATTCTGCACACCAACACACTTTCACGTACACACTACACCATTACTTCCCTTTGTCGATTTCCTCGAGTTGAATTTTGGCTTTTCGCTTTCTCACTTTTCCCCCTGGTTTTACTTTTTTGCATTTCCTGTATATTGAGCGAGCATGGCATCATGGGCATATTCCCCAGGAGCTCGGGCGTTGGATGACGACAAGAAAAGATAAAAGACTCGGGGAAGCAATTTCTACCAGAGCGAGATGCTCATTTTATGACCCAGCCAGCAGCAGACAGACAGATCGAGTCTCTGGCTCTTGGCTGTTTTACGATTTCCCTTTCAGACAGAAAAAGACTGCGACGACGAATACATCCACCCACCCTATTCACACCTTTTTTTTCCTCTTACCCCTTGGCAATATTTATGTTAATCCATCACCAGCCTATGGCCGACGTCTCGAGGGCTGTGCTACCAAGAGCATCGGTGCGGGCGTCGGGGTGGCTCATACTCGCGGTCTGGATCGCGAGGTATCCGTCATGGATCCTGTAAGGCGGAGGAGGCCTGCGGGGATGAGCATTGAAACTTCTGTATTTGCTTTTCGATTTACGCTTGGATTGGGGTTTTCCTGGGACAAGAGAAAACAGGTGCATATTTGAGAGCAAAAGAGATACTACTTGTTGACGATGTCCTTCATAGTCGAAGCGAGGAGCCGCACCAAGCTTCTGTCAAAAGACGAAAAGATTGTTGTGGAAGGAGGAACGGTGGAGAAAGGTACAGGGGGTTGGGTATCTCCTGATCTCCTCGGAGATGGACAGTTGAGCTGGTGTTCGTTACCGGCCTCGAGGTTCATTAGGCCTGAGAGCCAAGGCGGCAACACACGGTGACGGAGGGACCCAAAAGGGTTCTCTAAATAACAAAACTGTTGTACATACATATAATGGACCCCAGATGGCGATGCCACGAACTACCTAGAAGAAAGGATATACGGCGTACCTGCATGGGACTAGGTGGCTCCTGAGATTCGCTTTCGTGCCTGCCATTGTTGTTAGAGTGCCGGCTTAGGAGGGTCTCTTCGATAAGAGTCAAAGCGAAGCCAAGAATGGGGAAATTGAGGGCGGGATCCACGATTGGCCTATCACGTCGCGAGTTTGTACTGTTAAGATTTCTTTACGCCTCGATTCGGGCGATTGTGGCAGCTGAACTCAATCGACCATGCCCACTTGAGCCCCGTTTCCTGCTAAGCTTACCAAGCCGCGGAGATGCGAATCAACGACAACTTCTCGGCATATGCGGCGCTGGCGCAGGACTCGGCTCTCGGAGGTCTTGTCGAATTAAGGTCCCGGAGCTATTTTCAGCCAGCTGCCCAGCGTTTTTGACGTGTTGGCGTTGCGCATACCCCTCTTCTCACTCTGCGCCAGCAATCCCGATCTTGTCCGTCGCCTGTGGAGAGAGGGTGGACGTTGGAGGTCTGGGAGTGGACGAGATCCACGAGCACGCAACTTTTAGCAAGCTGCAGTGCTGCACGAAGACCCCCAAGCCACACACACATGCCAGTAACACTACCATGTTGTGATTCGTCGTCTTTTTTATTTATCTTGCATCGGTTAGTACCTACCTGATGCGTATGTTGGACATACTGCAGGAGTGGAGCTGCAAAATTACCAAGCCCTCCTGTCTCTGATAGCTACTTCATCTACTGTACCTATCTATGTATTCGGACTTTTCTACGCACTCCCGGGCCGAGTACTAGGCTATTGCCCAAGGTCCCATAATCCACCCCTTAGGTAACCTGCTGCCAAACAACTAATAAGCTAGTTGCCGATGGGGGCGATGGGATCACAGACGCTGACGATTGCGAGTTCCCGCTGCTAGCCAATCTCTGAAGAAGCTCTGCCCAGCCCGTTTTCATGTATCCTGCATCTCAAAAAGGTAGCTAAAGTGTACTACTATGGTTGATTTCTAAGGATTGCCCCCTTTTCCTTTGAGCTCCCTCCCGGCTTCGGAACTGTCTCTCCTCTCTCTTGTTGTCTAAGTGTGGTAACGTTCAAGCTTTCTGCTTGACTGCCCCCACAGACTAAACTTATCTCGTCCCTTCTCCCGATCTGAACCTACCTACCTACCTACATCAGAGACCCTTGCCTGGCCTTTGCATACCAAAATAGGTAGAACGAATATGGGTTCCTGAAAGGCTGCAAAGGTCATTCACCTTTGAGACCACTGGGGCTGCTCTGTCGCGTCCCGTCCATTGCCTCTTCATCGGGACGTGTCATCCCCCCGAAAATTCCGAGGTCGCTGGCGGCGTTCCGCAGACACCCAAGTCGGGATTTCCCTCTTATCTCGCTGATCAAGGGGAGAGATTTCCCCTCGGCCCCTTACTCACCGTTAAGATGGTCGAGCAACGTCCCGTACAGACAAGCGCCGTGTATCTACTCGGGACCACGCAATTTCCCGCCGTCCCGCCGCCGTCGCCCCCCTCCCCCGTAACTCCGGTAGCGCCGGACCTCTGCATCCCGATCGAGGAGCTCGATCTCGGCGATGGAAGCGACGTCCCCGGCCCCGCGAGCATCGCCGAGGACCGCCTCGCGGGCGCGGTCCACGTGCTCAACACCGAGGCCACGACGCTGCAGTGCCTAACGCGGCTGTACTCGACGGACGCCGTGGCGCGCGACGGTTTCAGCCGGGCGGTGGCGGCGGTGACGCGGCACCGGGGGTGCGGCGGTGGCCAGGGCGGCAAGCTGGTGATCGCCGGGGTGGGCAAGTCCGGGCACATTGGGCGCAAGCTGGTGGCGACGTTCAACAGCCTGGGCGTGCACGCGGCCTTCCTGCACCCTACCGAGGCCCTGCACGGCGACCTCGGCCAGATCGGCCGCCACGACACCCTCCTGCTCATCACCTTCTCCGGCAGGACCCCGGAGCTGCTCGCCCTGCTGCCCCACCTGGACCCGTCCCTCCCGCTCATCCTGCTGACCGCCCACACCCGCCCGGACACGTGCGAGCTGCTGCAGCTAGCCGCCCGCCGCCGCAACAGCCAGAGTAGTCGCAACCGCAACCGCAACCACAACCACGGCGCCGACCACCACCACGGCGTCATCCTGCTCCCGGCGCCGATCCACGAGCCTGAGTCAGTCTCCTTCGGCGTCTCGGCCCCGACCTCCTCCACCACCGCCGCCCTCGCCGTCGGCGACGCCCTCGCCATCGTCGCCGCCCGCGAGCTGCATGGCCAGACGACGACGACGACCACCACCGCCACCACGCGGTCCGGGGGAGGGGGGACCTCGGCAGCGGCGGGCGTTGCAGCCGTCTTCGCAACGAACCACCCCGGCGGCGCCATCGGTGCCGCCGCCGCCGCAGCGGCGATGGTGGCTGGGCGGGAATCACCTGCCTCGCCTTCCTCGTCGTCCCCGTCGTCGCCCTCCTCGTCGCCTTCGGCATCGCCCTCACGTGGCAGCAGGAGAAGCAGGTACACCAACAAGACCAACCCCGCCACCCTCTCGGTGCGCCACCTCGCCGTCCCCTGGTCCGACATCCCCGCCGTCGTGCCCTCGGGCCCCCGCGGCGCCGCACCCACGGGCGCCGACGTGCTGCGCGCGGGCTACGCCTCGCCGAGCGGGTGGGTGCGTCTGCAGCAGCAGCAGCAGGCGCGGTCGTCGTCGGGAGACGTCGTCGACGACGACGTGGTGGTGCTGTCGCCGAGCCGGATCCGCGGGCTGGGCGCGCCGGACATGGGGAGGCCCGTCGAGGAGCTGCTGGGGCTCGCGGTCGGGAGGGGGGATTTCGTCTCCGTCGCGGCGGACACGACGGTGCGGAGGGCGGCGGAGTGGATTGGCGGGGTTGGATTGTTGGAGGGGGATGGGGATGGGGAGGGGGAGGGCGGGAAGCGGGGCTGCGCCCGGGACGCGGTTGTTGGGGTCGTGGAGGGGGGGGAGTGCGTTGGTGTTTTGGAGGTGGGGACCCTGATTGGGAATAGGGGAGGATAATAAGCCACCCCCAAGGGGGGAAAAGGGGTGTGGATGGCATTTTTTTCTGTTCTTTCCCCCCTCGGCATTGCATCTCGTCTTTACCCTTTGGGCGAGGCTTGTTTGAGACGGGTTATAGATTCAAGGCGTTTGATTTCAGGGGTTGCTCGACCTGCCGATGGTCGGGGACTCATCTTACATATATGCATCACGACTTTTTATGAGCTCCAGCACAAAGGAAAGGCGGCAGCGGTTATGCCCCTGTCATATTTGCACAAGTTATAGACCGAGACCGCCTACCCACGATTCAATACCGAAGAGGGATTCTCGTTGTAAGCCGTCATCATGTGTTATATGGTATCTAGATGTTGCACACCTGTCTATTTTCCCAGCCACACACCCAGAAACGCCCGTCGTCTCCGAGCTGCAAATACCACACTCCCTCCCCGTGCCCGAAAGCCGCCACTCCAATGTCAGGTAACATAATAACGGGATTTTCGTTTTGGTCAGAGCCATGCATCAGTCATCCTCGCTTTCTTCTCCATCTCCGCCCGTCTCGACTCCTGATGCAGACTCGAGGTCCGAGTCTGACTCGGATCCTGATGAATCAGATGACGAAGACGAGCTGCTGGAAGACGCACCATCACCGTTAAGGTCGGCAGCCGCCGGCATCTCTTCATCGTCCGACTCGTCCTCCGAGCTACTGCTGCTACTTGATCCCGAGCTCGACTCGGCATCCGACTCGGAGCTGCTGTCATCACTCCCAACGTTCTCTGTCCTGACATTCCTCAGCCTGCGCCGCTTGACCTTTTGCGACCCGTCGTTCAGCTTTACGCGCTTCCCCCCCTGTGCCGCTTCGGCGGTCTCCTGGGCCGCCGCCGACGACGAGGCCGTGTTCGTCGACGACGACGTGGTCGTTGACGTCGTGCTCTCGTCGCTGTCGGATAGCTCGTCGAGCACCATCTCGGCACGCATGCGCTTCAACACGCGCTGCTTGACCTCGGGGCTGATCGTCCGCAGGACGAATTCCACCTCGTCGAAGTTGCGCTTGCCGTTGGAATTGGTGCCGTTGGTGGTGTCATTGTCCCCTTGTTGCTGGGCCTGCAACAGCTGCGACAGGACGTCGTCGTACTCCTTCTGCTTGTCCTCCTTGTCCTGGGTCGACTTGGCGAATGCCGCCGCTCCCTGCTCCATATCCTTCTGCTTGATCTCTTCCGCCGCCTCCCGTAGCCTGGACCGAACGAAGCCCTTGAGGTCACGGATGTACTTGTAGAATGTGCCGACGTCCGCCGACGGCAATTTGTCCTGGTCGAAGACGTACTTGATCAGCAGAGTCTGGTGGTTCTTGTTGAACTTCCAGGACTCCCGGGCTGTATCCCACTGGCGGAGGTAGGCAATTGACGGCTCGAGGCTGAAGATCTCGACTGACCCGGCCTTTGGGGGCTTGGGGGCCTTGGGCTTCTTCGCCTTCTTCTTGGTTTTCTTGGGAGACTTCGAATCGCCGTCTTCTTGCCCCTTGGTATCTTCGGTAAAGGAAACAGACTTCTCTGATTTTCGAGAGCCTGCCTCGCCTTCTGCGGGGGTCGACGAAGGACCGTCCCTTCGGAGCCTCTTGACAGGACCTAGGTCGGACTCAGTATGACGATAAGTCGAGGCCGAGGCAGTTGGCGGTTGCTTCCTTTTGGTGCCGTTTGTATGGGCTTGAGCAAGACGGCCGCTCACATCTGCATTGGCATTGGGATGGCGGTGGGCAGGGGCAGACTTATTTGCGTCCGAGTCTGTGGAGCCGGTTCCTGTTGGAGCAAAAGCAGGGCTTTCCCCAGATGCAGCGCCCTTGAGCTTGAGGCCCAATCGTTTCCAAGCCGGGACACGCTGCGCTGGTGCCCTATGGGTGGACATGGCGACCGGAATGGGGGGCGGATGCAGGAACGGGAAAAAGGGAGAGACTGTCTTGAGCCGGCCGGCTGGAAGACTAGTTGTCCCAGACAAGAGAAATTGTAAGGGAAATGGAAATCAGGGAACACGGGCTAGGTAAACTGAAAGTTTATCCTTTGGCTGAAGCTACCAATTGCAAATCATTGACCGCTCAGTGGCATAAAGGGACATTTCATTGGGCATTCTTGGGCTTCGTGGTCTGTTGTCAAGCCCTGCGCAGTAAATTTTGCGATACAGCCATGACCACGGACCGGGCTTGGATAAGATAAGTGGGGTTGGCGGGCATTCTGCTCAGTCCGGTCTCCATATCTATCTGTCTACGCCTGAATATCAAGGTTGAATCTCAGGCTCATGCTGATGTCGTGCACGGCCCATCTCAGCCTTCTCTAGGCAAGCTCCTGCAACGCGTCGATTGGGAAGCTTCACCACCAACGCCCTAATCAGTTCTCTTCCTCCTCCCTGCCCGATCAACTTCTCAAATTTGCCGCCATCGCCGTCAGATCCCGCCTCCGATAAGGCAAAGCAGCACATCGCGGACCTAGAAGCTCCGTTTTACTGGGAATCGACTGTCTGCACCTGGAAAGATGTCGGGTATGTCTAGCTCCAGCTCCAACTCCAGCTAAGCCCAAGCTCCAGCCTAGACCTCAAAAGGTCATTGGCATACTGGCAAACTGGCAAACTGACACACTGACACCTCCTATAGGCAACTCGGCATATGATAGACACATTACGATCTTCTCCGAGCAGGGAAGATTGTACCAAGTCGGTACGCATTTGCCTCCCTCCCCTCGAGCTCCAACAGCGACTCTGGCCGCCAGCTTCGACAAGAGCACATACAGACCCCGACGCCGCCAAGATGATGCTGACAGCTGAATGTTCCTCTAGAGTATGCGTTCAAAGCTATCACAGCTGCAGGCATCATGTCGATAGGTGTCCGGGGAAAGGACTGCGCTGTGATTCTGTCGCAGAAGAAAGTTCCAGTAAGCTAGATGGATTTGTTGCTGACATCCCTCACCTTCCAGGGCTAACTCCAGAGTTTAGGATAAGCTTATCGACCCTGCCTCGGTCTCCCACATATTCCAGATTTCGCCGTCGGTTGGATGCGTTATGACCGGCTCCATCGCCGACGCACGAGCATTCGCGCAACGAGCCCAGGGCGAGGCCGCAGAATTCAGATACAACTACGGCTATGAGATGCCTTGCGATGCCTTGTCGAAGAGGCTGGCCAACATCAGCCAAGTCTACACCCAGCGCGTAAGCTCTCGTCTCCCCTGATGGACAAACAGTGCATATTATGGGGCCAATGCTCACTCGAATACTACAGGCCTACATGCGACCTTATGGTGTTGCCACGACCTTGGTGTCGGTTGACTCTGAATTCGGGCCGCAGTTGTTCAAGTGCGACCCTGCCGGCTACTTTATCGGCTACAAGGGTACTGCCGCAGGACCCAAGCAGCAGGAGGCGCTCAACCACCTCGAGAAGAAGCTCAAGAACAAGGATCACGCGGAAGGTGACTGGAAGGAGGTTGTCGAGCTAGCCATCACCACCCTCAGCACGGTCTTGAGCATGGACTTCAAAAAGACCGAGATTGAGATTGGCATAGCTGGCGGGCCACGGGCGGACGGGAAGGACGGCACGGATCCTAGCTTCAGGACGCTAACGGAAGAGGAGATCGACGAGCGGTTGCAGGCCATCGCGGAGAAAGACTAATAGGGGCCCGTGGGAAGGGGAGGCTTGCACTACGATGAGCTGGAGGGTGGTTGAGACTTCCCGAGAGGTCGACTGGCGACCCTTATTGGTCGACATGGTTGTGCGGGAAGAGAGGGGGCAATTTCAGGGAGCGAGGGTGGCAACAGGCTTGTCGAACTGTATGACGGTAAGGCTAATATCCCGACATCCCACGTTGCTTGTGTGTTACTAGTTATCCTACCGGAAGCCATAGAGTCAACATGGACGAGACGTTTCCAAATTAGCCCCGTACCCAATGGCGACGTCACTACACCAACGGGGACAGCCCTACGTGGCGTTGGGACAAGGCTCAACAGTCAACAACGGGGGGTGGCGACTTGGTGTATACAACGTTGAGACCATACAGGATACACGCTCTAAATAACAACGAAGATCGGTATTTCAATCTTACCCCCCAAGCCACATCTACGAGTGTAGATGTGAATGGCACCCATCTGAGACATCCAGCGCAGTCATCGGGCCGTAAGAGAGGCCAGCCAGTGGCATCCCGAGGTGGTGGTGCTCGAAAATGAGCGATGTGCAGTTCAGCCCAGCCATATCAGAAATACTTGCAGAGCAGTGTGTGAATCTGCCTTATGCCATGCAGTGATGCAAGCACCAAGTTGTCCTGCGCTTCGGGTACCCGAACCGGACACTTGGGATCTGCTAGCGGGGGCAGGGGCTGATGAAGACAATCAATCAATATACAGTCGCACTCGCAAGAGACAGCTAATCAATCTTAGTTACAGCCTTGCCGCATTTTCCGTCCGTTTCACCGCCTCATCCGCCTCATGGACCTCCTCATTCACTGGACCGTCCGAACTCCCGTCTGCAGGATACATGACTACATAGTACAGCTCACGGGGCTGTCATCGTCTAATGCGGGTGAGAAGTGCTAAAATCAATCCATTTCAGCCCAGCAAGGTACGAAACGTGCACAACCGTCTGCGCCGGCGGCCTCATTGGCCGCCGCGTGGATGAGCCACACAAGCTGCCTCCACAGAAATTGGGGCTGTTGTTCTAGATTTGGCAGTTGAATGGCGTTGTGGCGTCGCTGAACGATCGCTTAAACTTCCTCTTTCGACGACCAACCTCATCTGGGCCAATAAGATCCGCCATTCCAAGACCCCACCTAGGAGGCTCTTTCTGGGCCTCCGGCTAGTCCCTGCCAACCATGTTAGGGTTCCCTGTGGAATCGATATATTCCCAACCACACCAACCACAAGTGGTGGGTCGTTTGTTGAGAAGGACACACACTTACTTGGCTTGGGTTGTGCATATGTGTCCCTTGCAGCAAGCATGCATGTCTCTCATGGGTTGGTAATCGGTCCAAGGCCCGCTCTCTCAGGGGGGAACATGGCTTGACCAGGGGGGTAACTAGTGCTTGACGATGGACGAGACCCACGAAAGGCCATGGATGCCTCCCGCAGACTGACGATCCCACGCGGGCGGTGGGGTAGTGCCAAGCGACTCACTCGATATTGGAGTGAGTTTTCCAGCTCCTCAGGGTTCACTTAGCTTGGGGCTGCCATCCAAGTCGGCGCCCCAGTGGTTGGATAATATCTCCGATTTGGCGACGACGACCTCGGCATGCATGCACTGGGAGGGCTGATGGACTAAACGATCTACTCGCAACTCCACGGCGGGCTTCCATCCACGGAAAAGCTACCTCAGCAAGTCCTCGAGCCTTTCCTCTTACGAGATTTGATATGCGTGACACGGTCCTACCAGTTGAATCCTATCATCCGCTACGATGGGAATCTATACAAAAGGGTTAACGCCTCGCCGCACTTGTCGAACGCCATGATATCCAGCCCGACAGATATCTGAAGAGCGCCAGTCCTTCTGTTCCCATCGTTTCGCCCTAGGGGCTTTGATTGTAATAGCGTCGTTTGTCGCGTCCTTTTGTCCATACTTCCTTTCGCTGTCGATATACCCCTACGTCACCTTCCTCGGGCATACCAGCCATATCTATCTTCCCGTTAATTACTATTGTCTCTAAGTTAAAAGGACCAATGGATGGACGTACGTCGCCTTCACCACTTGCTCGGGGTCTCTTGCGGGTTTCCATGCTCCCTGGTCACCCGTCAAGACAGCGCAAGCTATCAAACCCACTGACCCAACTCACACGCCCAGTCAACATATACCGAACGGCGCGAGTCGCCGATGTCCTCTCCGACTTCCGCACGCTGCAGTACTACATCGCCGCGGCGCCCGTCGACCCCGAAGACATGGACGACTACTACACCGAAGGCTGGGCTGTGCTCCGGCAGTGCGCCCTCGACGGGCAGCACATCCTCAACTGCGGCGCCGACACCACGGTGCCCCAGGCCACCGGCGGGCCCGAGGAGCAGGAAAAGGCGGAGCTGAAACAGTTTGTCCCCCCGCCCGCCCCCCGCGCCCCCCCTGTTCCGAGCGCTGTTGGCGGTACTGTGGGTACCAACGGAAATGGGCTAACAATCGTTTTGTGAAGCGTTCTGCTCGACGCATTCGCCCGCAGACACCAGGGTCAGAAGATCTACCTCCGCCAGGCTGCTGCGCAGCGCTGGGTCGAGTGGAGAAACCAGACCTTGATGGGTGACCGCCCTCACCAGGGCAACCAGTCGCAGCTCCGGAGCTGCGACCAACAATTGCGAGCTGTGAGTTTCCCTCCCCCGTTCCCCGCAGGCATGTTTGCCTCTTGGGAGGTTACGTCTACAGCGCCGATTACGAGAGAAACGGGGCAGACGACTGTCTATCTTTGGAGCTGGAGCTGACACGTCCTGCCTAGGAGCTCGCCATGGTCACCGATGAGTACGTCTACACCGAGCTCCAAACCTCGGATCTTGCCATGGGCCGCTGGATCGCCGAGGACCCCAGCTTGCGGAGCGTTCAACGATGGGTCAACTCCAGAGGTGCCTGATCCCTCTCTCCCTCCGTTGGGTCAGCCATGACAACGGAAACAGGGGGCCTTAATTCCTTCCTTCCTTTCTTCATTTATTGCATATAATTGGCGCCAAACGTGCACGTTGGCAAGGGAAACGACCGGTATACCACATTGGGGCGCGCACAGGGATACAGGAAAAGCACTGATAGCGTTTGTGTGTCGTGTCATTTTTCCTTCATTGTACGTATTTGCTACTGCGAGCCGGACTCGCATCTTTGGTTGGGGCAATGGTCCCCCGTCTCATGGCCCTCGTACGGGAAAGTGGGGGTCATGACAGGCATGTGGTGAGAGGGAGAGGGTCGGTAGCTGGAGGAGAGTATCTGCCAGGAGCAGGGATGATAGCAACGAATGTGGGCTGGCTCTCAAAGTAAATTCGAAAGTTCAAATTCACAAAGCACCGAGAAATGTCAATATGCACCACTACTGCTACGCCGTCGCGCATCTCGTCGGACGAGACTGTCGAGACGAGGCGGAGAAGAATGAAATGCATGGAATCCGTAAACTAGCCACTACGCCCTAAAACCGCCCCATCTGTCGGGAGTTACTGTTGGCGCAAGTGTCTTCTTCATAGCTTACGGTGCTTAAGTGTATGTATATGAGGCTTTCTAGTGTGTAAAACGGTGGGAGTGGATAAGTGGTCGAAGCCAATGCATGATCCCGTCGATGCAAAATTGGGAATCCTTAACATCTCCTGATTTTCATCACGATATATGTTCCCAATAGCCTACATAGTGATATCAGGTGTGCGCATAACATAAAATCTACCCTGTTATCGCAAGCTTCGTGGAGGTAACAGGATCAATAGCGCTATATGCTAACAAAAAGGCTTACAAGCAAAAATCGAAGGCTCCTGGCCTGGGGCTCAACCCCCGTCAACCACTCTTGCTATGTACACACAAGGCAATGCCGCAGATAGACAGTATCATGCCCACCAATATCTCTGGGGTGAGGCGTGGCAAGTAAGCAGGCGAGTTTCCAGGCGGGGGCGGAAGGGATAAACAGAGATGGATTCGACCTACCTCGACTGATCACTTTCTTCTCCACCCACCATTCCCCGACCACGGTGAAGAGGAACGCAAGCGTGTTAACGATGGGGACCGTCAGGCTCAGTTCTACGTGGGGGACGGGATTAGTGACCGTCACTTTTCACCAGCGGCTCCCATAATGCAGGACTGAAAGGGGGCGAGAAAACGGGAAACGAAAAGAGACAAGAAAAGAAGACGAAAAAGCAGAAAAGAGCACAGAGAGGAGGGGTAAACAAAGAGCCCCAAAAACTCACCAGCCTTCCCGATCAGCAGGAAGAACCAGACGCTCCCCGTCAGGTTCAGCAGCAGCGGCACGGCGTAGCGCGGGTTCCGCAGCAGGTCGACGACGGCGAAGAAGGCGCCGTAGGCCCGCGACCTCAGGCGGCTGGAGCGCACGGCCTCGGACTCGAGGACCGGGTGCGCGGGGGGCCGGTGCTCGCGCGCCGCCCGCCGGATGAAGGGCGTCGTCAGGCCCCAGGCCAGCCCCACCATCAGGAAGCCGACGACGTAGTTGATGGCCGGCGGATGGGGGGAGGGCGGGGAGGTCTCTGGGGGTCGGGAGGACATTTTGTTTTTATGTCTCTTCGGTCTTTTCCCTTATTTGATTGGGCGGTGAGGGGGAGGGGGACAGAAGGTGTTCTACAAGGAAGACATTAAGGGGCGATTTCGATGTTGTGAGGCTCGGAATTATGACGTTGATTAATCACCCAGCATCTGCTTTGCATCAGGGGCCTAATTCCAACGCCAAGGTGCCGGAGATCCCCCGGGCCAATCCGTGATTCTGAGTGGTCAAACCAGGCTGCTTATCTTGAATTGGCAGATGCACGGCTGTTGGGGTTCTTAGGTATTCTTGGATTCTTTGACATGCTGCATATCACATACTTTTAGCAAGGTAGTTATCTGATCTTGGGGATTATTTCTCAAGGGGCGGCCCGCATCTTTCACCTTCTGCAGCAGCTGGACGCATTTAAAAGCCCTTGCATACCCTTCAGACGGAGCAGTCCCTGGTGCTGGTTTATTTTAAGCTGTCATATGAAGGTTGGGACGAGTTAGTATGACTGGCTGCCCCTTGGTAACTGATAGGAAGGCGTTCTAGGGAAGAGAACACTGAGATCCCTCTGACCCACAGAGCCTTACCACCACGTCCAGCGTCAGACTAGGTAGACGAAGTCAATCGCTCGAAGCGAATGGGAATCCTCGAGGATGCGATGACCTTGATGGCGGAGAATAATTATGGATAGGTCGAGTTAATTATAGAACCATGTGGTGGAGGTTGACGAGGCCTGCTGACGACACGAGGCGCAGCGCACTCCAAACAAGCGTTCCTGGAGATGCCAAGCAATCAATCAGCACGTATGCATGTATGTACCACAGTAAGATGCAAAATGTACAGTATGTGCCCGTTGCAGGGGGATGGAACGTCACCAACTAATCCAATATGGCAACTTTTGGCTTCACACATAGAGGCATTGAGCTATACGTACTCCCGTCGGTAACTTTGTGTACGGAGCGTCTGTAATCCGTATTTCCTTGTGAAAATCTACGCCAAGAAAAGCATCGATACTGGGATCAACGCGTCAGATTGCGGGGCATCAGAGATCGAATTGGATGCCGAAATCGCCGAGGCAAGGATTTGGAGTTTCTCCTAAGGCTGTTTCCGGTGTGAGTGGGCACGCCATGTCGAACGATATCAAATCGTCCATTGAGTGGCAGCTGTGGCACAAACTCAAGGATGGTTAGTCAAGATTGCATGTTTCACATTCGCGAGGAGTACCACAGGATTGAGGTGTTGGTAATGATGCCGGTGATAGCGGAATATGCCAGGGCAGAGTCGTACTTTGGGAAACAAGCCGGCAGAGGAGGCTGTCGAATCCCTGCGATTGACCTGTGACGCTAGCAACCACAACCCTGGTTAGGACTGCCAAGTCCTGCCAGCCTCGCCGATTTACAGTCTCCACCACGCTAGCAACCCTGCGAAAGTGCACCAACCACCCCCATTATCCCCAAAGCGGAATAGACGGAATAGAATGCGTCTCCTTGATTGGTACGCAGTCGAGTTAGCTTCGTACCTTGCCAGGCGGCCGTCTACCTCACTATGGTTGGAAAACAACAAGCAACGGGACAATTGCAGCTGCACCTTCCCTTCTTTTCTCCCATTCATGGCCCATTGACTCGGCATTGTCGCTCTGTCCGATGATCCAACGAGTTCTTTTCTCATTTTCAACAGCCTTGGGTTCTTTCTCTTCTCCACTCCGCCGTCATCCCGTGCTGAACTGCTTGTCCCGTTTCAGGCTTGGAGAGCCGACCCGCCAACAGGGAACGACGACGTAAACAAAGCCTGACAGCATCGGTATTGCACCACGAAAAGTCGCAATCTTGCCCTCAAAATCCGGCAAAATGGCGGCCAAAGCCAAGGCTCACCCCCTGAACGGCATGCACACCGCCGGAATCTATTCTGACATGACCATTGATGGCCCGCCCATTGGGACTCTCGTTGTCGTGGTCGACCGGGCCAAGAACCTACCCAACAGGAAAACCATAGGGAAGCAGGACCCCTACTGCGCAGCACGTCTGGGAAAGGAGGCGAGGAAGACGAATACGGATATTCGCGGCGGACAGACGCCGAAATGGTATTTTCTCTCTTGCCTATGGCACCTTTGTCCACGCCGCCGGTCCCGAGCTTGCCATAACTGACATGTTACCAAATAGGGACCAGGAGCTCAGATTTAACGTCCACGATTCTCCGGATTACTACCAGCTGAAAGTCTCCGTTTTCAACGACGATAAGAAGACGGACCTGATCGGCGAGGCATGGATTGACCTCCGGGAGGTCGTCGTGCCTGGTGGTGGGCAGAACGACCTGTGGCACCAACTTACTTGCAAGGGCAAATATGCTGGCGATATCCGCATAGAAATCACATACTACGACACCCGGCCGAAGCCAGAGAAGCCCGCGGTAAAAGCGAGGCAGCCTGGCCCTTCGGAAGTCGATGGTTCTAGATCCCAACAGAGGAGCGTCCCTAAGAGACGTCCTCTTCCTTCAGACCCAGTCACCGGGAAGGTCCCGGTGCAGCAAACCCCGGATTTCGTCCAAACTCCGCAACGCCCTCAGCCCAATCCGTCCACATCCTATGTCCCGAACCAGTCTCCCCTTCAGCAGGTCGAGTACAAGACACCCCCGCCCGCCTCAAGCCGGTATCAACAACAGGATCACCAGTCGCCCGGCTTATCGAATAGTGGCTATGGAGCTCCAGTGCAGCGGGCAGAGCCGTCTATGTCCCAATACCATACGCCAGAACAGCATGACCGGTATTCGGTCCACCCTGATGACATCAGCCCGAACTACCGTCAGCAATCATACGAGCGTCAGAACTCCAGACATGGCTCGGATGCTTACATGCTCCAAATGAGCGAAAGCCCCGCGCCTCTCGAAGACGATCGGCCTCCTCCGCCTCCTGTCCACAGAAGCCGGAACAACAGCGGAATGACTCAGGAACAGGGGCTTCGAAACAGTTTTGACAGCGTGGCAGCTAAGGGAACGCCGCCGACTATGAGGCAAGATGTCTTGCGGAATGAGGCTCACAGGCGCTCGGTGCCCGCGACATATCCGGGGCGGCCTACTTATAAGGCCTATGACTCCGCTCCTGCAGCTCCGGCCGCTGCCCAATTTTCCGGCGAGGAATATCATCACCATTCTTCGCCTCCCGCTCACTATGCGTATGACCCGACATGCGATTTGAGCAACAGATCGATGCAGCCGACTGTCGAGGATGCTCCAGACTCCCCAGACAATATGCTGGTAAGCTCGTTCAGAAGAAGCGGCTCTCGGATGCCCCAATACGAGCCTGAATTCGACCCGGTCGCGAGTCCCGCTCCGTTGAACGTCGGTAGCCGTGGCCGCGATTCTGGCCGCGATTCTACTGGTTACTACAACCCAAACGCCTACCAATCCTCTGACTCGGCTATGATCTCGAGAGATCTAGACCACCCGTCTCAAGCCACTTCCGACTCGTACAACGCACAGGGCCAATTGCTTCTTCCCTACCGGAGCGAACTCGACGACACGTCGAATACGTACGATCTACCACCCGTGCCGGCTTCCTTGGTTCCCGGCATGGACCCCAGCCTTGTGCAGGAAATCTCCCACCGGATCAATGAGGACCGGCGCATGGAGAGACACTATACACAGCCTGCCATGTCGACTCCGCCACGCGGCCGCCAAATGAATGGTCTTCCGTCGAATTACGCGTCAAATGGTTCGCCGGTTCCCTACACAACACCACCGCAACCTCAACATCACAGTCGTAGCCCAGTCCCATATTCCGGAGGGTCGACAACGGCGGAGGCCGCCAGGTCAGGATCTGTCTCTCCAATGCCACAGCGAGACCTAAGCCCGAATCCACGCCACACCATCCGGCGGAAATCTATAAGCCCTGCCCCCCCTCTGAGTGATGGTCGCCGCTTGTCTGGCGTCCCCTTCGGGCCGGACTCGTACGATGCTCTGAACCCTAGCCTTCCCTCGGCTACTTCAGAACAGTCCGTCTCTCGTCCTGACTACAACGAATCGAGAGGAAAGATAATCACTTACGATGGCCGCGAGGTTGATCCTTCAGACCACCTACCGATGGATACGTGGGCCCCAGAGCCCGAGCCCAAGAACAAGAAGCCTCCGGGACCTTCCTCATCAAGGCCCTCTCCCGGCGGGCCGCAGGCTTTGCCACCGTCTGGCCGCAGACAATTACGAATCGCGGGCCGGCCACAGTCCATGGCGCCGAGTTCGGGGTATATATCACAGGATATTTCCTTCGCGGACTCGCCTGCGCCCTCCACTCCCGCCAGCACAGGCCGTAACAGACTTCAAAAGAAGTCCAACCGAGCGTCCGCCATGCCTGTCATGGCGGGCGCGAACGGGTCGCCGGGTGGCGATCCCTTTGCTTCGCATGGTTCCAGCCCGCTCGCTCCTCTCCCGCATCACCAAGACAACTTCACGCCACCTCGGACGTTGGCGCGGGCCTCGACATTCGATTACCCAAGCGAAAACCATGCGCCCATGTATGGTAGCAGCCCCGGGGAGAGGACCAGGGCAGGGACGTATGGAGGCAACAACGGCCCTCCGATCCCTGCGAAAGTCCCGCTTGCTCTTACTAGCCCTCCCTCCATGAGCGGAGCGTTGCCCGCTAGCAGGAGCATGGGCTACGATGAATGGGGTAGCGCGGGCGCAGGCGGTGGCGATCTGTCACTCCTTGAGGAGATGCGCCAGATCGATATCGGGACAGGCAGGTCTCGCAGGCGTGGTCATGGCTATGGCCATGGATATTGACGAGATTTGGGATGTTTGATAGGAAACCGACGTAATACATCGCATGTAAAAATAATGGAGGAATGGGAAACGGCACGAATCTCTTGGGTTTAGATGACAGGGCGGGGAGAATGCGGGACCGATGTTGGCTTCTCTCTTCTGTCTTCCATTCTGGAAACCATTATTGACATGTACACACACTTAACGGACCTCTCTTAGAGCCACGGAAGTTGGTGGTGGGAAATCAAGGCGCAGGCTGGACTTGTCATTTGGCTGGACTATGGCAAATGATACCTGAACTGAAAGGCGTGAGAAAACGAGCATATGGTCTGTTGCCTGAACATACTGGTTAGCTCATGAGTGCGGAATGTGGTGAGCCTTATTACTCGATGCCGTGCAGATTCTCAGCGACGGGAAACGACAGCAGTCTATTTCACCCCAGGTCTAGATATCTTGTCTATACAGGCTGTCTCTCGTGAGAGACAAATTTTTGCTTTTGGTTCATTCTTTCTTTTCCAGTCCGCCTGTAAGCCGTCCACTAACGCCGACGCAATGCAGTTGAAAAACCATGAACCGGAAACTTGACCACATCACCCCTCCCCCACTTTTTCCATGCTCATCACATCCAACCCCTCCGTTTCGTCCATCCCCGGGGGACTCCAAATCACGCCCCCCTCGTCGCAGCGCCGACCAACAAGCTCTCCAGCATGCCGTTGGTTTGGCAGGCCATCTGGGCCTTCTCGGCTTCGCGGACGACGCGCATGCGCAGGACGCGGAAGCCCTCGGCCAGCTCGGCGGAGCCGCCGACGAACTCGCCGTACAGGTCGAGCAGGTGCAGGCCGACGTCGACGCACACGGGCGCGTAGCGCGGGTCGACGATGTGGCGCGACACCCAGCGCAGGACGGGCTGGACGCTGACCTCGTCGCGGCCCGCGAGGGCGTCGCGCAGGGCGCTGCGGTGCCGCAGCGCCACCAGCAGCGTCAGCGCCGTCAGCGGGTTCGGCGAGGGGGACTCGAGGACCGCGTCGAGCGCCTGCCCGTGCCGCCCGTGCCGCAGGTCCTTCTGCCAGGGCTGCTGCCGCACGCGCCGCTTGCGCTTGCCGTCCTTGTCCTCGTTGGTCGGGATCACGAAGTCGACCGTCTCGCCCAGCATCTCCATGGACCGGCCCAAGGCGGTGGAGCGGGCGCGGCGCGCCCGCGCGGCGTCCAGTCGGTCCACGGCGTCGGCCCCGGCGTCTAGGGCGGAGCGCTCGGCTTCGCGGGCGCGGTCGCGCTCGGCGGCGGCGCCTGTCAGGCGGGTGCGCAGCGATAGGACGCCCGATTGCATGCCCACGGCGAGGTGGCGGTCGCTGTGGTTGGCGCCGGCCGAGATGACGGAGAGGGAGAGGATGGGGCTTGGGTACTTGGACCCCGCGACGACCTTCCAGTTGCTGGTGTCGAAGACCTTGACGTGCCCGTCCAGGCCGCCGCTGATGACTCGCCGGCCGTTGGACGCGAGACAGAGCGACGTGACCGTCTTCTGGTGGTTGCTGATGATGTGGAGCGGTTTTGCGGCGACGAGGTCGAGCACCGAGATGGTTGTGCCCGACGCCGCCAGGATGGTCGTGCCGGAGGGGAGGGGGAGGACCGTCTCGACGGGGGCGGTGTGCTTGAAGGTGAGGATGGCGCCGCCGGGTGACCGGGGATCCCACAGCCGGACCGTCGTGTCGTAGCTGCCCGACACAAGCGTGTTCCCGTGCGCTCCCGGGCCCGGCATGAACGCGCCGCATCGCACATAGTCCTGGTGGCCCGAGAACGTCCGTGTCGGGGTGTTCGAGGGCAGGTCCCATAGTCGGACCGTCTTGTCGTCGCTCCCGCTCATGAGTGTTGTCATCTCCGTCGGGGACCACTTCGTCACCCATACGGGCTGCTTGTGGGTATGCCATGTCTTGAGGACCGCCGACCGGGCGCCGCCCGCAACGTCAAATACTTGCATCTTCCCTGAGTCGTCTCCAGCCACCAGGACCCGCGAGTCAGCCCGTATCTCGCCGCTCCGCGCCACGTGCTCGAATCGCCCTATCGTCTTCAGGGGCTCCCTTTTCCGGATCGAGTAGACGTCGACGCGGGGGCCGGACGTCACGGCAAAGAGATCATTGGACTTGGCCGCTGTTGCGAGGGAACTCGACGTTGCTGTCGCCGCCGAGGGTGCGGGAAAGCTGATGTGGGTGATGGGCCATGATGCAGTCGAGGTGTGCAATTTCGGGTTCTTGAATGACTTCCAGTATTTCTGCTCAGCCGTGATGGGCGACGGCCCCGAGGCGAGCTTCAATTGAGCAAGCGCGGCCACTTCTGCCGCCATGATGGTCGATCGCGGCTTATATCTTTAGGTTGCGTTGATGGACTTTGCAGGTCAAGCTTCTTTTTTTTTCTCTCGTTATGCATTGGTAAACGGATCAGGGGATTTTGATTGGCTGCATCGGACTGGAGATCTTCCGATGCGATGTCTGCGACCCCCGCCGCCCGACGCCCAGGGATCACCTACGCTCTCTTGTATTGCAGCCACACCTCAGCCATTCTTGTAGCCTGCTATGTACCAAGGTAGTATAGTACTTGGACATACCTCTTCTATTCCGCTCCTTCAATGCCGCATCTTCCTCATTTTTGTTGTTGTACTCCCAGTCCCTTTGTGGCGTGCAACATGTCGGGTGCTCCTATTTGCTACACACTGGGTCTAAGCCTTGATAAATCTACCTTTTACACCGAGCTAACGAACTTACGAGATGTATCGCAGTATCGCAGCATCATCATCCTGACCTGCCTGGGCGGCTTGTAGCCACTATTCCTCGAAACTTGAAACACCTCTCTTTCATATTTACATCCATTGCCAACAACTCAGAAGAGACGGGAGCCGATCAGGACATTCCAGTTGTATCTGTAGGGCATTGGTGCACTTCCCAAGCTACCATCTCAACTTTAACCCTGAGGGGCAGAGCAATTAGTGGGTTACTCCCAAGACTCCAACTCTTCCTCTCCAGTTGAGTTCCCGCTTTGAAGAAGTGTACCGAATTTGCTTTTTGTTACTGCTGTACCTGGTAGACTGGGTCGCCATCTGGTGCCCATCACGTGGCTTGTGCACTGGCTTTGACGCCCTCCTCATGAAGAATGGGGCATCGGGATGGACAGATTGGTAGGCCACTATCCACATTGGTTCTTCCTTCTCCTCCTATGTACATAATGAAAATAAGGCTATGGACATGTTGCAAAGGGCGAATATACGACCTTGAAATAACCTTGGAATTCAAGCTGGCCTAGGCTTATAAAAATCGGACTGGAATCGGCTTCCATCTGATTCACTGTGGATGCGGCCCCTCATAAGCGCCAACAGCTGTCAGACTGGGTGGTTTAATTGGCTGGATTATATGGCACTAATTTTCGGTTGGGATGGCCCCGAGCCGCAGGCGCGACTGCAAGAGAGATGATTCTGAACTTGACTTCGAAGTGACTTGCATGCCAACAAAGAAGGCCTGCCTGGCAGCCTTTTCCTCTGCTGCTTTTGCAAGGTGGTAAGGTATTTGTGCCGGAAATTCCGCTTGCAAGGTAGAAGAGACTTTTCCTTGCCTTGATCTTTATCTCCTTCCTCGCCCACCCCAATTCCATCGACTCTACGACTCCTTATCCTTCTCGACCCATCTACGCCCCAGATTCCCACCGGCGCATACTTAGGGCTCCTCACGGTCCGAACTATCGACTCTGATCCCGACCTGAGCCATGTTCTGACACCCTGCCCGAAGTCTAGAGATATCCATACGAACCCCAAACTGCTTGGCGGGCAACAACCCCGATGCCTCATCATGCCAGCGCGACAGCCGTCTGCCCGCTCCCAGTCTTTTCTTCCTCCTGAATGGCAAGTCGCCTCGTCGAACTCAACTGTCAAAACCTTCATTGGTGGTCGCCAGCCGTCATGGATGGTAAATACTCATCCCGTCAAACCTACTCCTCGGCCAAGCACTCCTCGTTCGAATCAGCCTCAGCAGCCACAGTCACAGTCACAACAGCAGGCCGCTCAACCGTATGGATCCTCTCCCTCCCTCCCCTACCCATCTCAGATTATACAGAGGAAGAAGGTCCTGACCTATAGTACCAGGATACCATCGAGCGTCCTCCCCTCCCCCGCCCCAAGCGACGAACCGAGCCCGGCTGTCTCAACATCGGTATACAGTCCTAATCCCAATCCTGCCTCCCTCCCGGAGGGTCAAGATATGGGACAGCCGACGGGCCCCCCGAACTCCGTGGCGCTTCCCGTCACCGAAGCGCGATTTGTGCATGCCTTGACTCTAGACAACCCCTTGCCCGCATCAGCCAACGCGCACACACCTCAAGAGATGGATGCGCCCTCGCCGCGAGGAACAGGCGTGGGTATTCGGTCTCCTCCTGTCTCGGCACCGTCTCAGCCACAACCTGTCCGTACCCGATCATTGCCACAGCCGCTACCGCCACATACGACTGCACCGATGCAGGTTACCCGGGCCGCTATGAACCAACCATCAACGGCTCCGAATTTCGAAGGCACCAGAGGAATTGATTCGAGCTCAAATGTGGTGCGATCATCCACCACAACGTCGAACCAACCTATGGCCAACAACGGCCCTCCCTCAAAACGGCGACGCACAGAGTATGCCGTACACCTATGCCGTGAAACAACTATGTATAGTGGGAAGCTAACGAGAAATCAGGCAGAAAGGTACAAATGCAATGGACTTCTCTCAATACTCTATAATCATCGAGTCATGGATCACTTCCTGCGGCGGTCCTCAGTCTTTCTCGCAAGACATCGAATGGCCCAGGATGCTGCTACTAAGGGAAGCCTGTAAGATGAGCGATAGTTTCTTCCTCGCATTACATCAGTTGTTTTGCATTTGGTCTCGGGACCGAAATGAGGCATACAGATATCTAGCCCATCCACCCGGTATTTTGGACGCCGGCTTCACGGTTATCGAGCAGATCCTGAAGAAGAATGACCTGCTGTCGCCTGCGAACTCGTTTTGGTTCGCGAATCTGCCGGCGCCGCTCCCTCAACTCCTCCAAAAGTCACCACAATACTCCTCGATGGTCGACTCTGTGGGGTCCTTCTTGCTGAGAGTCTCGTTCAACTTCAGCAGTCTCACACAGGCGACATTGAGACGAAGATATCCATACCTTGTCGAGGAGCTCCTTGTAGAGCTGCACTGTTTCTCGCGCGTCCTCCAGGTAGTCCTCTTCACGGCATCCCGGCGAAGACTTGGTGTGCCAGATGGACCCCTTGGCGTAACCATAGACCAGGCATTTCTCGACGACCAAAGTAACCACCTAACAGCGACGGGCACCTTTCCGCCGTTCCTTCTGCAGGTGGAGCCCGACCAATTCGAGCAACGCAACACAACCTTGATCCAGTATTTTAGACACGTCATGAATCAAGCCTACCAACTATACCAGGGTCGATCGCCGGGACAGGGACCCCTTGCGTCTCCCACTCCACAGTCGGCCACCACTCTCGGGCTGAGTATGTCACCAAGGCCCCAGGCCCAAGGGCAACATTCGGGCTCTCATCCTGGGACTCCAACCCTTCCGAGCAATAGTGTTCCTCCGCGAAGGCCTACTCTACATGCCGTTGCAGGACCAGGCCCAGGCTCAGGCCAATTTCCAACCTCGCCATACATGAACGGGCCCCCCCAACAACCGACCCATCAACAGGGCGCCGGCGTACCCCGTGGGCAGGTGGCCACTCAGCCCACCGGGCATCATGCCATGGCGCAGCAACCGCAATCGCCTGGTTATGTGAACTTCCCCTCATACCAAATAACACAACAGACGCAAAACACAGGCGTGGTGGCTGGCGGAATGCTGGAACAGTATGAACAAATGCACCAGCGACTACAAGTTTGTTCAAGCCAACCCTTTTCAACTAATCCTGTCACCGGCCCTCCCACTCCCCGACTGGGGAGGGCCGTTTCTCATGGACAGGCCCTCCCATATCCATCCCAACTCTCTGTCACGCCGCCTGGAACTGCTGCGCCAGCTGCCGCCCCTACATCTGCAGGGCATACGCCTACGTTTCCGAATGGGATTGTATTGCTCCAGCAGCAACTCGCGCGCCAATCGTACATGCAGCAAAACACGCAAAATGTGCAACAAAACACGCCGAATGTGCAACAACACACGCCAAATGTGCAACATGTGCAACAGGTGCCGAATGTGCGTCAGAGACAGACACAACCAGTGGGCCCAGATCAGTTTGTAGCGCCGAAGCGGGGTTATATACCGAGGCACGAGTGGCCTGCCGACCCTCAGGATAGGAAGTCCATTCTGATGTCGCTCCACCAGGCACAGGTTCGCAGCCCGAAGAGGACTGTGCGGACGACGGACAGCGACGGCCCTGCCGAGCGGTATTACCAGGCTGTCAAGTCACTTCCTGTGCCGCCAACCGCCGTTCCTCCGGTCAACCGCCTCTACAAGCTGAATTTCGCGGTGACGGGTGAGCAGTGTGCTCTAACATCCACAAGCCGCCGGAAGCCCGAAGAACGCCTGCCCGTGACTGAGCATTTCAATGGATCCCTCCGGTGGAGGCTTAGGTGCTGCTTTTCTAGATCCAAGTCCGCCTCCATACCCGAACACGCATGGGTCTCAATGGAGACAAATTGGCCTCCACATATCTCGGTAAAACTGAACAATCGGGTCATTGAAATTCGGAGGCATATGCAAAACGGCAAAGACCTTCCTGCAGAGCTCACGCCGTACATCGTTCCTGGCACGAACGACCTCCGCATTGCGGTGGCTGATGCGAAGCAGCCGACCAACGGTCAGTTCATCGTGGCCGTGGAGCTCGTGCAGACTCTGAGCCACTCGGAAGTTCTCGCCTACGTCGAGAGGCACGGCTTCACCAGCCCGGAGAGAACTCTGGGGATCATCAAGTCCCGTCTGAGCGGAAAAGCGGATGACGACGGTATCTTGCTGGTCGATAAGGAGCTCTCCATCGACCTCGCGGATCCCTTCACCTCAGTCATGTTCAAGATCCCCGCCAGGGGCATAGCATGTACGCACATGGAGTGCTTCGACCTGGAGACTTGGCTGAATACGAGGCCGGCCAAAGCCCCGGCGAAGTGTCCCCATGGCCGAGTTCAGTGCAACTGCCCCAAGCCCAGCGAACCGTCGAACCCTGACAAGTGGAAGTGTCCCATCTGCTTCAAGGATGCCCGGCCTTACAGCCTACGCGTTGACGGCTTCCTCCTCGAAGCCCGCCAGCAACTAGAAAGGCAGGGAAAGCTGCATGCCAAGTCGATGCTTGTCGCCGCAGACGGAACCTGGACCGCTACCGTCGAGGACGAAGTTGACGACAATACCGATGACGACGAACCGAGGTCAGCACCTGCGGCGGCGAAGTCGGGCTCCTTGCCGGCTCCCCCGGTGTCGAGGAACCAGAACGTCGAGGTTATTGAGCTCCTGGATGATGATTAGGCGCCAAGCACACAGAGCTCGACAAACCCGACGGTCCAGTTGCCCATCCGGGGCCTCAACAAGGCATAACTCAGCCCGTTGGAGCTGATGGCCACTCCTCCCGACTGCGCGGGGGGTGGGAGAGATATGGGGTGTCTGGTTTCGGATGCCCCGGGCGTTTTGATACTTACGATCTTAATACACGCTGATCAACGACTGCGCTGTGGCTACATGACATGAACTTTTATCGCGTCGGTGTTTTTTAAGGGCGGGCGACAGGGAGGCTGTCACAAGGGGCGGCGTCTGGGGAACGGGTTATACGCATTCCGCCCATTTTTTTTTGATTTTGATTCTACGGGCATAGCATTGTTCAGTGGCTTAGCAGTTGCGCAGGAAGCCCCTTCTTTGCCCTTTTGATTTTAATCGCGGGGCATCCTCGCTCGGCCCGTCCGTCGGTGGTGGTACAGTACCTACATTACATATACACCGAATGAGCAAGGGCTGGGAAAGTGGGAAACACGTTTTGTTGGGAGCTACAGCGTGGCTTTTCATCGAGGTGCCGCGTCCAGAGGGGGCTACCTACTCTTACCATGAGTTTTGAGTTGCTTTCTGGCGGGACAAGACTCGCGGGTTCAATATCGAGTCTGTCGCGCTAATTCAGGGTCAATTGATGTAAATGTAAATGAATAAATGCTTGCGCAATCTATCGTTGCTGCTTGTGGTGTGTGTGAGCGTGTCAAGAAAGGGAGAGGTCTATTTCTATAAACCATGACTACGTCTTCCTGGGGCCTGTCTTTCTCCTATACCACCCCTGCGCCTAAGCATTTGATCGATGAAAAGATACACTGAAACCTTCAAATATTCACATATTCCCCGTGTCATGAATGATTCTATACGCTCAGTACGCCATTGCCTCTCCAGGACCCACTAACCGATCGATAAGTGAGACGTCTCTCTCCTGCAAATGACACCATAAACACAGCCCAACTCCCCCCAGACCAGAGGATCTAACCCCGCCTCTTGCCCCCCCTTTTTTCCAAATCACTCACCCCTTCTCCGGTATCGTGCTCGGCCCGTTCTCATTGGTGACCCCGCTGTACGCCGGCCTCGCCGTCCCGTCGGGCACCACCGGCCCGGACACGGACTCGGCCACGGCCTCGTCGTAGCTGGGCGGCGCGTCGTCGTACGGCGGCGAGTCCTGCCCGGGAGCCAGCTGCGGCGGGTATAGCGGGTCGTGGGGCGGCGGTTGTTGCTGCTGCTGCTGCTGCTGTTGAGCTTGTGCCGCCGGTCGCGGAGGAGGGATCGGCGGTCGCTGCTGCGGGGGTCGCTGGGCTTGCGGCCGGGTGGCGCTGGTGGTAATGGTCGCTGATGGTCTCCGCCTGCCTGCCTGCTGTTGTTGTTGTTGGCGGCGCATCGCCTCGAGGAGCGGTGCCGGCGGCGCGAGGCCGGAGTACACATCCACCGCGCTGAAGTGCAGGGGCAGGTGGATGGCCTGTGGGACGTCGGCATCCAGCTGGGAGCGGGACTTGGCCTTGAAGAAGGAAGTGGAGGAGGAGGACGACGACGAAGAGGGTTTCCCGCAGCTCAGGCCGATCTTGATCTCGAGCTGGTAGGAGCGCCTGAGGTTGCAGGCGAGGAAGCTGGGCATGACGGTGTTGGGCAGGGGGCTGTCGCGCCAGAGGGCTTCGGGGACGACGGCCTCGGCGCCGACGCCGTCGGCGGCGTGGGAAACGGGGATGGAGAGCCCGTGCCGCGACATGATCACCCAGCGGGAGGTCTCGGTGTTGACGAGGTCCTCGCACCGGATCACCGTCGTGCCGATCAGGTCGATCTGCAGGCTGACGAGGAAGATATCCGCGGTGCCCGGGGCGAGCTTCTTGGCGACCAGGCGGAGCGGTACGGGCTTGTTGCACGTAAGGATTGGGGGGTGTGGCAGGCGCGCCGACATCTCGACCGATGGCGCGACAGGACCTGAGGGTGGCTGCATTTTGCCGTCCTCGCCGGTAACAGGGACCGGGGAAGGAGAAGGAACCGGGCTTCCTTGGTTGCTTTGCCGTCGGTTGCCGAGAAACGACCCTTTCCCTGGGGATTGAAGTCCGGGACTCCGGGGGCGGAAAGTGAATGGCCGGCGTGCGTATGCTTCTTGGCTCGTCGCTGCAGGCCTGGGCGGTTCTATGGGCAGGAACTTGAAGCCAACATGGTATCTCCAGTTCTCCTTGAATAAGCCGGGCCGTTGCACCGTGACCTTGATGTAGTACCGGATCTCGGCTTGCCTGGGGAAGCCGGTAAAGCTCGGGGGCAGCGTCTTGGTGACGTGCGAATACAGCAGTTGCTTGCTCCCATCCATGACCCTGATACCACCAAGACCGAAGATGCTCGGTCCAGAACCAAAGCCCCCTGCTCCTGTGAGGCCGCCTAGGCTGGCCATTGCGGAGGGGTCGCCGCAGGCATTGTTGAAGGGGATTTTGAACCGGAACGAATACTCGTGCTGGCCCGGCGCAAGGATGAAAGGGGGGATGGCTGGGGTGTTCTCATCAGGGAAGACCTGGGCGACCTTGTAGAGAATCTTGTGGTTCTCGTGGACGATTTCACCGCTGCTGGGGCCACGGTTACCTTGCCCACCTTCAGCCGGCACAGCGAGGGCCGTCTTGGACTCGCCCTCGAGCTTCACAATGATGGCGCCAACATTCTCATGGCGGCTGACTCCGAGGATTACGCGGCCCCGGATGACATCCAGATTGGTGTAAAACTCGGGAGCGTTGTCCAGGGCTATCCGTATTGACATGTTGTCGCCGTCTGAATTCGATTGCGCCTTGGAATATGGTGGTAATTCGTTCTTGACGCGGGGCAATGTAGACTACCGTGCATCGCTGAGGAGGGAACGACGAGAGTTAAGGACGACTGTCTGGCTCATGGAGGGACGTCTGGAACAAAATGGCCCCTAAATGGGCGTTTCGATTTCGACTGTTCGAGCTTTCGACGAGGGCGACGTGGACTGATCGGCTCAGCCTCCCTAGCTTAGACCAACGAAACCGAGATCCACAAAGCTTCAGGGGGAAACAGCCTTGCTGGACTAAATCGAACGGGTTCCGCGTGAGTTGTAGTCGTGGCCTCTTCCCTCCTGCATTTAAACGAGGTTCGTGGTCTCGCCGGGCCGCAGTCAATGCAACTGGAATCGCTACGGAGGCGTTCCAACGGCCTCGGTTTCTCGGTTCCATCTTCAAGGCTGACGACGTCACCGGCATTGCGACTCAAAGCCACTTTTTCCCAGCCCCCACATGTGGGGCTAGCTGATAAGATAAGCTGCGACCCACAAATATTTTTTCGATCTTCAACTTCAACTCCGAATGTGCCCCGCCATCACGACCTTGGAATTGAGGAACGAACCGCTCTTTCTTTCCAAGCCAAGCTGGTTTCCTTCCCGTGAACTCCTCCAATGGGCAAGGTCAAGACGCCGAAGCGCGCAGGCGCTACGCCGAGCTCGCCGTACGACCGACACTCTACTTCCTCGAAACCGTCCGGGCCGCCGAAGAACAATGTCTTCAAGTTCAACAAGGAATTTGGCCAACACATTCTAAAGAATCCCTCGGTATCCGACCAGATTGTAGCGGCATGTATATCCCCAGACAATGGCCTTATACCCCTCAGCATAGGTCATTTCGCTGACTGTCGTGGGTACAGAAAGCCGACCTGAAGCCGACCGACGTTGTGCTTGAAGTTGGCCCAGGAACGGGCAACCTAACAGTCCGGATCCTCGAGAAGGTCCGCAAGGTCATAGCCGTCGAACTTGACCCGCGCATGGCTGCCGAAGTCAGTCTCTCCGTCTCCCGGAACAGTCTCATTGCCACGGCTCGCTAACCGTCGTGGGGGCAAAGGTCACCAAGCGCGTTCAGGGTACACCGCTCCAGAATAAGTTGGAGGTTTTGCTCGGCGACGTGATCAAGATGGAACTCCCTCCGTTTGATGTTCTTATCAGCAATACCCCTTACCAGATCTCCTCACCTCTCATATTCAAGGTCCGGGGCCTCCTATTTCAGTATCTGTAAACCTACAGCTTTCACCGAGCTAACGAGAAGTCGCACAGATTCTCGCTCTTCCCAACCCTCCAAGGACTTCAGTACTCATGGTCCGTATATCTTCCCCGAGACGAGCTCTCCATATGAGGCTGCTCAGACATGTCCCTCAGTGCCGGGTCTAACAAATGCACAGTTCCAACGGGAATTTGCCATGCGCCTGACGGCACGGCCAGGTGACGCCCTTTTCAATCGGCTGAGCTTAAACAGCCAGTTCTGGGCGAGGTGTACGCACATAATGAAAGTTGGACGCAACAACTTCCGACCGCCCCCACAGGTCGACTCCAGCGTGCGTATTGCGTGTTCAACTTACCCCTTTTTAAAAAAAATTATGGCACACGCTAAACTCCCGCCTGCATAGGTTGTTCGCATCGAGCCAAAACTTGGGAAAGAGAGGCCGTAAGTGTCTCGTACTTGTCTCCAGTCCTAATGCTGATGGGTCAACAGGAACATAAGTTTTGAGGAATTCGACGGGATGCTTCGCTTTTGTTTCAACAGGAAAAACAAAACCCTGCGAGCCTCCTGGTTCACAAAGGAGGTATTATCGATTGTGGAGAAGAACTACAGGATATATTGCGCCATGAACAACATTCCGATTCACGAAGGGGTGGTAGAGGGTGGCGATGACGACGAAGACGAAGGCGGCATGGACGTCGAGGACAACAACGTCGGGCCGAGAGGAGGTGATGCCGGCGAGGGGGAGGAAGAATGGGGCGGTATCATGGACGTGGACGACGACGCGCCCGAGTTCTTCAAGGAGTTGAGCGAATCAGCGGCCGCGAACCAGCCGGTAAAGACGCCGAGCAGGCGGAAGAAGACCAAGATGGGCGAGATTGTCCGGGAAAAGATCAGGAAGGTTCTCGAAGACGTCACCGAGATGGCGGACAAGCGAGCGTCGAAGTGCGATGAAAACGACTTCCTGAAATTACTCTTTGCATTCAACTCTGAAGGGATCCACTTCGCCTAAGGGCTCATCGGGGTGCCTTGTCTTGGAGTTACTGGAGTCGTGGGCATGCATGTCCTTGGGTTGGGTGGGAGATTTCCGATATCCATAGCGTCTGGGGTTAGATCCTTGACGCTTGCATACGACGCTCGAAATATTTTAAACATTTACGGGCCAGTCCTATCGCAAATCCTTGTCACAAGACCATGGTGATACAATGGTGGTTGACACGAAATACTCTCTCATCTCCCCAAGACAAGATTAAATATGGGAAGCCTCAGCGCTTCTGCGAAAGCACAGTCTCGTTACGGATTACTGAGGAAGGCCTTGGCTCCCGCCGAGGCTATCCACCCTGGCGGCTACCATCATTACTAGTCAGCATGGGGCTGGGATTCAGGATGGCAGCTTCTCTACCTTGTTCGTTGTTTGCAACGTATTGCGTAGGACAAGGTACACATTGATTGGCTACGAGGCTTCAATTGTCGAGACGAGACATGGTTCCTGAAATTTTGGGGCGCGTCGAAGCAATTCCCTTGCAGTGCGGATGGCCCTCCAGCCCTAGTACTGCTTGGCTGACGTTCAGGGCGCGTCCAGTACCCTTGACACGAGGTGGAAGGGAGCAATGCATTCTTGCCTCACCGTGATTTCACTCTTGTCACACAAATTTCACGAGGCGTCACTTTCACCCACCTCCATTGCTGCCCTCGTCTCCTTCGGATACTGTACTCCATTGCTGATCCCCGGTGCAATGCTGCTGACCATCCAATTATTCGGTTGCCTTTCGACTCTACTGGCTTATCTCGGGAGGGATTCGTGATCAATACGATGACCCAGGAGACGGCATACAGATCAGGGTGACATATGGTAGAGTCAAGGGATACCTCAAACGAACAAACCTCGACAACGGCGACGTCGGTTAGTGATGTCATGGTTTTTGCTGCCGAGTGCCCGCTTGAAAAAACTTTTGTTCCTTAACTTGTGGTGATGAGGCCTTCCCTCCAATCAAGCCTCTGTAACTCGGCGGTACGTTAAGAGAGATTAAAAGGTTGAAAGAGTAGGTTTAATATATCGATATCTGGATCAACCGTTTGGATGCTCTCCAGCCGCGGGGATAAATACTACATAAAACGCGGCAGACGAAGGTGGGATAGGCTGCTCCTCCGTCCCGACTCCGACCCCGCGGAAAAGCAACCATCACCGGGAACGGAGCCAGGTATCTGCGTTGTTGGTAGGTGTGATATACCGACCGAATTTAACCCCAGGTCCCATCCAACCCAACATTATCGGCAAGACAACACGGGTTGGGAGGTGTAGATATTACCGGGAGGCACGGATTTCCTAGACGGGCAGGTAACCCGGCCCAAAGGTAACCACATCCACTCTTCATTGCAAAAGCATAAACTATACGGATACTTGCTATTCGCATATACTTCGTAACTCAACCGGAATTGGAAATCAGAATAAAAATCGTACGACTGTTCTGTGCGCTCAGGCGCTGTCAAAGATGGTGGCGTGGGAGCTGAACCGGCTGGGCTCGCCAGGCCCAGGACCAGGGCAAATGGGGTCAATGCAAAAAAGCTTAGCTCGATCAGGATCTTCGCAGGCTGGACTCATGCAGGAAGTCGGGACTGGGGGGTGTTGGTGTGTGTTCGTTCCCCGTTCCTGGAGGAATTAGTTCGCAGGACATAAAACAGCAAATATGCAACTAGAGCTGGACTAGTTGGGCGTAAGGCAGCTGGAGGAACATCCCCCCACAACAAGACAAGGTACGGTTAATCAAGATGACAAGAAGATCCGAGCGAGGCTTGTCTGCCCCCTTGCCCATTGATCGAAGATCAGTCTAGTGTAGGGTAAAGGGGAACCGTCCGTGCGCCTCCGCTGGAAACGAAACGAACATCAGATGAAACAATTGACATTGCAGAAAAAAGAAAAAGGAGGATTTGGGCGGCCGCACTAGCCCAAACTCCCCGAGGAACGAGAACATGAACAGACCTTCGCATGATCATACCATACCTTGCTCTATCCGCAGCTCTTGCTTCCCCGCTGCGCTCGAGGTCTGTCTTACACGTTGCACTGCGTAAATAGCGGAGGCCCAGTGGAACCGTGAGAGAGCTAAGGACGGTGCTAGTGTGCTTTTTGCCGCCCGCTCACCAATACGGGAAGGCCGGCTAACCAGCCACTCAGCGTGAGACGGTGATATTAGGTTGGACCCTGTTGGGCAGCTCGCCTTGTTCCGTGTTAAATGCTAAATTTGGGCTAAATTTGCCTCTAGCTGGGGTGCCCAAGGGGGGCTAATAGACGGGCTGGGCGATGCCGCCATACCGGAAAGGGACAGGCGGCCCGTTGGGCTCGGCCTGTCCACAAATAGGAGGCGCAGTTATGAGATGACTTAGCCGCGCATCGAACGCTTCATCGGCAAGCAACATGAGGGGAGATTACACATAATTCGTGGCGTAGGTACCCGTGTTTCCACCACCAGAGAGGGGGGAATGTCTCTCCCGTCCTCAAAGAGATTTTCGTTGGAAATCCCGGCAGCCATGTGTCAGCCCGTGGGTCTGGGGGAGCTTTTCGACGAACTGTGGACAGTATGCAGTCAGTGCGAATATACAACTCCTCGGGCGACTCACGCGGCGCTGTTATCATCACAAGGCTACTTGCCTTACATATACGTGCATGCCTTAGTGCACAGCCTGGCCCGTTTTCGAGACCAAGCGCCGCGCATAGCTCGAATGGAAGGCGGCGGGCTCTTTTCTCTCTCATTCTTGATGGGTTCCGAGTAACCGGCGGCAAATCCCAAGGATTGGGATGTCTGCTCGTTTGGCAACCAACAACACAAAATTCTGCCCGACAGGATTTTGCCAAACGAGGCAGACAAACAAACCTGCAGTTGGAAATGCGACTATTATGGTAGAGGTAGGTCCTATGTACATACCATCCTCGCGATTGTGTGGGCGGGCCCTGGTTCTCAGGGTTGCAATAAGCAACAGATACCAGGTCTAAAAAGTATTGAACCATGGTCGTCAAGCCCAGCCATCAGCGAGCGTCGGAGCGACACCCACACCCCTGCCGCAAGATCCCAGTCCTTTTAGACGCAGCTACCTGGGTTCATTTGAATCACTAGTGTTCACTAGTGCCTTGCTTGTACCGTGTACGCATGCGCCCGCCTCGCCTCTCGAATTCCCTCTTCTAGACGTATTCCAACCGCAGGCCAAATTGCGTGGCCGTTTCCTGCGGCCGCTCCCATCCCAAGGCCCCTTGCCCGAGTCCAATATACAAGCGTATATGACTACACATGGCCCAAGGTCCGGGGTTGGTGTATCCTTCCTCATCCTTCTCTTCTCCCCGTGGCTCATCGAGAACCCTGCATCGAGAACTCCAGCCAACAGCCTACCTGCATCGCTGTTTCGGCCAGTCTCCCGGTTCTGCCTTGGCCTTCAAGTCCACCTCCTCTCTCGTCGACACTCGATACTGAGATATAAACTCACCGTCCCTCCCGTGTCTTGTTAATACCCCCTTCCCTTACTGTCACTTCCTCGGGTCCGAAGCTTTCCCTTCTTCTCTTCACGTTCCTTGTTCGTCTTCTGGCACTTTTCATCCGAAAGCCTTCAATTCTCCACCCTTGCTCAGGAAGCTTTACAAAAACCCTACTACTTGCTACGCCTGCTGTGTCTTCTTCGCCAGTGATCCTATAGTCCACAACCAGCTCGAGGTCTACTGCCCTTATATCAGCCAACATGGTTTCCAAGACACTAGTCCTCCTCGGTGCCCTCGTGGCAGCCGTGTCTGCGGTACCACGATGCAAGCCGGCCACTACTGGTTCTGCCGGTGCACCGGTACCAACCCTCCCCGCCACAGGAGGAGGTAAGAGCCCCCCACCAACATACCACCACCCCTAGCACAGATCTTTTTGTCTAATCGGTATCCTTAGCAACCGAACTACCTCCCCCGGCCGCAAGCCTCTCCCTCAAGCGCATAGCCGCCGGCCACGGCATTCAGAACTACACATGCGCTTCCAGCGACCAGGCCAAGGCAGCGGCCACGGGCGCTCTCGCCGTCCTCTACGACATCACATCCCTCTACCCAGGGACGCCCAACACGGGCCTGTCCGCCGAGGCCTTCAACGCCCTCCCGACCACCATCCTCTGGACCCAACCCCTACCGCTCAACCTCCAGGACCCCAGCGCCGCCTCCGCCGGCACCCCATCCGACCCCAACAACGCCCTCGCCGAGTCCTCCTACGGCGCCGTGATCGGCGACCCTTTCCCAAACCCGGCCGCCGACCTCGTCCTGGGCGGCCTGGCCCCGATCGCCTACCTCGGCCACCACTACTTCGACGCCGCCGGCGCGCCCACCTTCGACCTCCGCGCCGCGGGCGACGGCCTGTTCGGTCGCGTGGCCAAGGCCGACGGCGTCGCCGCCCCGCCCGCCTCGGACGGCGGCGTCCTCGGCACGGGGGCCGTCGACTGGCTCCGTCTGGTCGACGACGGCACGGGGGCCGGCGAGGGCGTCACGGCCGTCTACCGCGTCATCACCGCCGGCGGACAGGCCGAGCCCTGCTCGCAGAGCGGCGCCGGGAGCGGGAGCGTGCCGTACACGGCCATGTACTGGTTTTATGGGTAGGAGAGAGCCTGGGTGCGCATGCGCGCGTGGTGGGGGTGGGGGGGAGGAAAGGGTTTCTATTTCGGGATGCGGAAAACGGGCAATGGAGGCAAGCCATTGCGATGGACATATATGAATAAATTCTTTACGGTTGGGCCGGGGAGGGCGCCCAAAGGTGTGAGGGGTTTAATCGCGCCCTGGAAAGCATCCCATCTATGGCGAGCTTGGGTGCATATTTTACGCTGTACTTTATCTCTAATATCGGAACTGAAAAATCCAAGCTTCTACTTCTTAAGGAACAACTCATGCTCGTCAACGGCGAGGGGGTAATGGTATCTGCGTTTCAAGGGGGATCCAGAATCATCATATTATGGACGAGATGAAGACCGATTCAAAGACAAGTGCCGCCCACAAGCAACTGGAAACACGCTCCTGATGGCATCGAAGAGTGGCCATGGACCAGCGAATAATAACAAACTGTGTCTTGTATCATGTTGACGCATTCATCATATAAAGCTCATTTTCGGCTTGTCCGCTCCCCTACTGAACGGAGACATACCCAAAAAGAACAACAACCAAAAACACATCCCAAGTCCCCCTTCTAGCATCGTCATCCGCTAAAACTGGGATTTTTTACTGATACGAGCATTCTGCCAGCAAGGGTTGCAAGCAGAGCAGCCTCCCCTTGTAAAAGAAAATAAACCCTGGAGTAAACTGACGAGAGGGAGAGCCGGGAAAGCATTCCTTCGTCTCCATCTGTTCTTTTTCCCACAGTTGCCGGCTTCTAACAAAGTCACTGTCGAACCGGCCGTCCAAGACCTCGCCCATTCCCACCACCTAGCTTCCGTCCTTTTCCTTAACTGCCGCCGGCCCCCGCTGCTCAACGCAATGCCAACGGACAACAATGCACGAACCCTTTACCGGCCGCCCAGCTCGGCCTCCAGATCTTGATGCTGGCCAATATACTCCTGGGGCCTGGGATCCTCGGCGGTCCACTGGTTGTGGCCCGCGGCGCCCTGGGGGATGGGCACCTGGCTGGCGCCCGGCTGCTGGCCGGTGCTGCCCGCGGGGCCGGAGCCGGGGACGGTGCGGACGAGCTGGCGGAACCGGAAGACCTCCTCGAGGATCATCTTGCGCATGTCGGCGACCTCCTCGACGACCTCGAAGTCGAAGTTGAAGGTGGCCGGGCAGTCTGGCTCGTCACTAGCGTCGTGCCAGATGTGCAGGTAGGGGTGCTCGAGGGCCTCGTCGACGGTGATGCGGCTGGACGGGTCGAAGGCCAGCATGCGGTCCAGTAGGTCGAGGGCGTCTGGGTTGGCGTTGGGGAACAGAGAGGGGAAAGGCTTCTTGGCCATGAATGGCAGGTTACGCACGTACTCCTGCGCTCTCGGGGACCCTATGCGAGACAGCGTCTCTTCGTTCGGCGTGCCGAGAATATGGAGGATCTGGTTCAGCTGGTCGACGTAGTCGCGGCCCTTAAAGAACGGTCGACCGCCGAGGAGTTCCGCGAGGATGCAGCCGACTGACCAGACATCAACTGCAGGACTGCGTTAGCTAAGGGAGTGGAGCCGGGCGGGCGAGGGTTGGAGATTAAGGGGGAGGGGCGGGGGATCGCAAACATACTGGCTTTGGTGTAGTTCTGGAAGCTCAGCATGATCTCGGGCGCACGATACCATCTCGTGGCGACGTATTCTGTCATGTATCCAGCATTCTCCTCGGGATCAACAGAGAAACCTCGGGCCAGGCCGAAGTCGCAGATCTTGAGCTCGCAGTCGGCGTTGACCAACAAGTTACCGGGCTTCAGATCTCTGTGCAGCACGTTGGCGGAATGGATGTACTTCAGACCGCACAGTATCTGATAGATAAAGGACTGGAAGTGGGCATCGGTGAGAGGTTGACCAGAGCGGATAATGGCCGCTAAATCGCACTCCATCAACTCTGCAAAAGGTGGTCCGCGTCAGCCCCCGGCGCTATTAAGTGATGCAGGGGGATTCCGACCACATACCCTCGTACAGATAAGTCTCGTTGAAATTGTCGGGTCGAGGAATGTCCATGTCATAGAGACAGGTGATCTATCATGCCGGCGCCGGGGCACTTGAGTCAGTCTTTATTCGCCATGGGCGCACACTGTCGCACTCGTTCGCGCACCGGGGCTTACGTTTCGGTGTCCCCTGAAGTGTTGCAGGAGCTTGATCTCGCGCAAGGCGCGCTTGGCCAGGATCTTCTTGCTGAATACATTGGTGACCTTCTTGATGGCGACGCCCTCGTTGGTCTGGTTGTTCACTGCGGCGCTGTTTTCGCACGAGGGCGATGTTAGCATAGGTTGGAGCTCGATAAGGGCGGGGGGGAACGGATGAATCAATAATGGGAAGTTGGGAAGTTGTCGCACCAGACAATACCATAGGCGCCCTGTCCGAGCTCCTTCGTGACCATGTATCGCTCGTCAACGATGAAGTCCTGATTGAACACCTTGAACACCTTGCGGCCCTGAAGGTCAGCCATGGCAGGCTATCTATCCGTTGCGGTACGAAACCTCGGGCTTCCGTGATTGTGGCCCTAGTCAATGAGGGGCAGAGGGAGGGGCCGGGTCACCAGGGTGGCAGCGAGATCAAGGCGGCGCAGAGTCGCAACAAGCAATGGGCCGCAGATATAAGAAGAGATGAGATCGAGCAATGAAAATGCAAATGCAGGAGTCCAGAGAAATCCTTGATATTTAAAGCTCTGTTGGAAGAGGTGGGCTGACGAGAGCCTTCCCGATCCATTGCTCTGCTCTCTGCCCGACCCAAAACAGGAGCAACAGGGGAGGCCCCGCATTCTTGATGATCTGGCCAACAGGAACGGCCAGCCAACTGGCCTCAGAATCCCGCAGAGGTACTGTACCTCTACACCAAACTTGTACCGGACGCTACCTTCTCATTATGATGTGTACCTTAATTTTGGCGGCACTGATTGGTTATGGTCCAATCTTAGGTTGCTTCCGCCCCTCCACCCTCCATCAGTAGCCGCGCGCGACAACTATGACACTTATAACTTCCATTCTCAACGGGCAGAGATCGACAAGACAAGGTAGGTAACTTAGGCGTGGATATGGATGGCTACCTAGGTAGAGTAGGTAGGTACTTCTCTGCCTGGGATTTGAACTGGAATCCACTGCCAAGATCCAAAAATCTAGCTTCCAAATCCAAGGTCACAGCCCACCAGCTCATAGCCACCATCCCCAGCCTCGCGGCCCACGAATAGCACCACGGGCCGACAATGGGCCCTAAAAATAAAGCACGAAATGAGGAAGGGCGACTAAGTGCCGAGGAGATTCCTCATGGGATGTCCAGGAATCAATGAGCACCTTATTTATGGAATTTCGAACCGACAAATCCCAAGTCAAAGGGGCGTTACTGATCGATTAGGGGCGTTGGCTGCTAGAAGCATACCTAAACTGGTTAGTTTTGGCACGGTATGCCCAAATGCAGGTATCTGTACAGTAATGCAGCCACGCCCATACAGGTAACCCGTAGTGGGGTTTGAGTTGGCCCATACTCCATGCACCTACATAGGTACACACCCTGCTCCAAGATTCTCCCTCACCATTTACTCCTCTTTGTACAGCATGGAGAGACCTTCCGATTCTAATCCGAAAACGCTGTCTGGCGAGAAAAGCATGGCTGTTGCTACTACGCCACTACAAGATGGCAGCGAAGAAGCATCAGAGACTGCCACTACCCCTGCAGCCTCGGCTGATATCTTGATGGACAGCCTTGTCAGAGCGATTGTTTGCTATGAGAAAGAGTATAGAAATAGATCACTTTCATACCAAACACCCTCTTAGTTCACTGTCTTGCTCGGAGTCTAACATTGAGTGTGTCCTACCTTAGGCTTCTTCTGCTGTCTATAATCATTTCGCTCTTTGCCTGGTCCTGGTGCGATTGGGCAGGCTGCTCCAAATGCATTGATCTGGCCTACATTATCCTGACAGGTTTGACTATCCTTTTGATTGGGGTGATGCAGTATGCTAGGAAACTGTCTTGAGACTGTGGAAACTTTGAAGCTATAACATGAGGCTGGAGAATGGCCAGTGCTTTGACTAGGATCATCTTGGATCCACGTGAAGTTATATAGTATGTTTAGGAGGCAGTGAACACGTCGGTGGCTATAGAAGGCACACTACTCTGCAGTTATGCAATATGGGAGCCCTCAACTGGAAAGTCCAAGCTGTTCGGTGCTCATTCGGCCTGCACGTCTGGAAAGACGTCGTTCAAGAAGTTCTTAGAGAACCGCGTTGCCTGCTCATACGCCTTCTCAAACCCGTCACGCCCCCCATAGTAGGGGTCATTGACGACTTCCGCCTTGCCCGACCCGGAGTACTCGCCGAACAGCATCACCTTGGCCTTGCCGTTCGGTTTCTTCCTCGCTTCTCGCTGCAGATCGCTCAGGTTCGACCTGTCCATGGCGAAGACGTAGTCGAACTCGTCGAAGTCGGACGATCGCAGCTTTTGCGAAAATTAGTTTCCGCCAATCGAGAGCCTGGCCTCTGGGGGAACTGTGCCAAACATACTTTGCGCGCAGCGTGTACATAGTCCGTGATTCCGTGCCGTTCGAGTGTCGACATGGTCCGGTCATCGGGCTCCTCACCAGTATGATACGCGGCTAGGGGGGTTGGTGAGCCCACTGAGCTGGGAGAGTCTTCTAAGAGAGCGCCACGGATATCCTACCTGTTCCGCAGGAGTCGACCCTGCTAACAAGACCATTGTATGGAGCCTTTGAAGTCATGGACTGGAAGACACCCTCGGCCATGGTTGACCGGCAAATATTGCCCAGACAGACGAACAGTACCGACACCTGGTCTGGCATCTTGTCTGCTGGTGGAAGCTGCTTTCCTGCCCACGCCCAACCCCAAATGCAGATACGAGAAGAAGGAGTAGCCGGGAGGTACCTGCGACCACAGTTAAGGTGATGATCGCTTAAAAATAAACAATAATTGACTTGCGATTCTACCTAGAATCTACGCAGTGTATGTCCCAGTTTGATGTGAGAATGGACCCCTGAAGAGCTCTTCTTTGCAGCAAAAGAACCTCGCGCTTGCAGCGCTGGTGGGGTGTAAATTGATAACGGGAGCGATAAGTGGCTCACGTGGCTCCCCTATGGTCCAACCACCGAGGTAGGTACCTAGGCGCATCTTTTTGAGCTTGCTCCTGCCCACCCCCCCCCTTTATTTCACCAGCATCTACAACGACACCCTTATAGATGCACGTTCATCATCCCACGATTCCAGGCAGATATCCCCATGCATCTTCTACGATATGGAATGTCACCTCACACCCTTGATAGGCATATCTCAGGGCTGACATTGAGCCAAGTTTCCCATGTTTCAACAACCGGTTCTTTCATATAACTGAGGATGTAGAGAGAAATCATCGATTGGTAATTAGAGATGAGCCTTGACTCACGCTGCAATGTCATTATATCAAACAACTCCCCGCCGTCTATTTAGCTGCCACATGGACACACAAGATGCCAGACGAAGACAAAACCCCTATCTATCAAGTGGAAATGACTCTGCAGATAAGCAAGGTTCACATCTCTTGTGCAATCGCAGAGAGAGAGAGAAAAAGAGGAGATAGGACAAAAGATTTCGCTCTCCCCCCCCCCTTCAAGCCTCAATCTCATCCTCCCTCCACTCCGCCACCTTGGGAGCAGCGGACTTGCTCCCGCCGCCGACCACCCTCCCGCCATTCTTCCTCTTGACGCGGCACGTGATACCGACCTGGTCGTCCCAGATGAACCGCCAGAGCGCGTAGGTCCAGCTACGGTGCTGCGGCAGGTCGCGGTAGAACTCGCCGGCGATGCGGTGCAGCGCGGGCAGGCGCGTCCACGGCACGGCGGGGAAGTCGTGGTGCTCGTTGTGCAGGCCCACGTTGTAGGTCAGCAGGTTGAGCGGGCCGTAGTAGCTGAACGTCTCGGGGACGGGCACGCCCTTGGCCGGGTCGCGCGCCTCGGCGGGGACCGTCTCGTACACGTAGTGCTCGGCGATGAAGTGCCCGGCCAGCGGGTGCAGCGAGCCGGCCAGGAAGGAGGACAGGAGGAGGTAGAGGAGCGAGTTGGCGCCCCCCAGGTGGAAGACGACGAGGTAGTCGAAGCCCAGCTGCACAGCCAGGTTGAGGTAGTGCACCCCGGTGAAGGGCACGCGGTAGACGGCCATGGGCCGGACGGCGTAGAAGAAGATCTGGAAGGTGCAGAAGAAGGCTTTGCCGAGGATGGAGTCGAGGAAGAGGGCCTCAAAGGCCGTCGGGAGGTCCGTGTCGAGCCCGTCGACCCCAAGGGATTTGTGGTGTGTGAGGTGGTACGGCTAAAGCACATGTCAACATCTGTTTTTCCCAAACCATATTCTCGTCTCAAATGTTCCCCCCGGGGGGGAGGGGTCATCCTTACCCTGAACGAGGCACTATAGGGCACGCCAATTGGCAGGTTCGCAAAAATGGCAAGCAGCCGGTTCGCGAGGGGCGAGCGGAAGGCTAGGTTGTGCGAGATCTCGTGGATCGCGAGGAAGAGGTTCTGGTTGCAGGTTGCGCCAAAGACGTAGGCGACGGCCCAGAACTTCCACGACCAGAAGGAGGTGTCGCGTAGCAGGTATGCAAGGAGGACTTGTAACGAAACAACGCCGAGGACGACATATTTGGTCAAGGGCTCGGGGCCGCAAAGCTTGGTGACCTGGACGAAATTGTAAAGTCAGTTGGGAACCCGGATTTGTCTTTGTTTTTGGTTCTGGAATGGCGAGCAAACCAACCTCCGGGTGAGCCTTGATTATGGCAAGGCGCCTTGTCCTGTGTGGCTCCTCGGTGTATGTCCAGAAGAAGTCGCGATACTTGGTCTCGATCTCTTGCTGCTCTGTCTTGGAGGTACTGGTGCCGTTCTCCTCGGGAACCGCGTTGCTTCCCTTCTTCCGCTGAGAGGAGGAATTCGTGATTGTGGTTGTAGACGGTGCCATCGTGCAAAGATTTTGACAGACCGGCCCGCAAGATTGAGGAATTCGGCCCTCGAAGTTGAAGTTGGGCGGTCCAGCCAATTTCACTGATGATCCCAGATTCCGCAGCAGATGGCGTGGCATAGGAGTGGCGGTGGGGCATATAAAGTGGTTCGAGAAACCGCGCTCGGATGCCGGAAACTCCGCCCATGTCCGTCCTGGAAAGCATGCTCATGTTCCAGCAACTGAACCTTGGGGCCGCCAAATTTTATTTTAGAGAGGTAGAATTCAAAAACGCATTTAGCTTTCTTTTCCTAGGGCAAAGCTTATTTGACTATATATCTAGTGGTTGACTGCCGCAGGTGAGGTGCCCAAACACTCAGTATCTCATCGTGATCGCGGGTGGCTTGTTGTTAAGGACTTCGTCAATCTCGCTCAGTATTTCCGGCGTCAACTTCTTGTATGCCGCAACTGCCTGCACGTTCTCGTACACCTGGGCGGGGCTACTCGCGCCGGTGATGGCCGAGCTGACATTCGGGTTGCTCAGGACCCAGGCAATAGCCAGCACGCTCATCTTGATGCCGAGCTTCTGGGCAATGGGCTCGAGCTTGTTGACCTGGTCGATGGTAGTCTGCCACGAGTCCTTGCCGGTCCGCTGCCAATGGCCCTTGATGAACTCAACCTGGGTCTGCGCAAACCGCGAGTCATCGGGGACTCCGTCCTTGTACTTCCCCGACAGGATGCCCTGCCCCATGGGTGAGAAGACGGTCAAGCCCAGCCCCGTCTCGCGGTAAAGGTGCGCATACTCGCTCTCCACCTTCGTCCGCTCGAGCATGTTGTACTTGGGCTGCTCCATCAGAGGTCCAATCAGTCCCAGCTTGTCGGCGTACCGCCACGCCTGGGCAATCTCGTCGGCATTCCACTCCGACGTGCCCCAGTACAGCGCCTTGCCCGTGCTGATGAGGTGATTGAATGCTCGGACCGTCTCCTCCATTGGCGTACGCCGGTCTGGCCGATGGGCGTAGACAAGGTCCACGTACGGAAGCTGGAGTCGCTCCAACGACTGGTCCATCCCCTCGAGCACATGTTTCCGTGATAGCCCAACGTTGTTGGCCTTGTTCTTGCCGAAGGCAGCGCCCCAGTACAGCTATCACCGGCTTGTCAGAGTTCGTCCTTGCAGGGCGCGGGAGCGGAATGGAGGTTAAGCCACCTTAGTAGAGATCACGAGGTCATTGCGGTTCCAGCCGAACTTCTTGACGGCCTCGCCCATGACCTTCTCTGATTCGCCCTGAGTATATTCTTCGGCGCAGTCAAAAAAGTTGACTCCCGCGTCATATGCGGCCTTCATGCAAGCAAAAGTGCCCTCTGTTGGCAGAATGACGATTAGTTCGCAACTTCGATGTCGTATGTGCTGTTGGGGGCTCACCTCTATCTACATGCCCGCCGTAGGTAAGCCAGCCGCCCAGGGAAATGGCCGAGACCTGGAGGCCAGACCGGCCAAGGAACCGGTATTCCATCTCGGGGAGACCCTCTGGCTTCTCCGACATTGCGAAGACAGATATGGATGGTTCTATTCGTATAGGTACCTCCCAGCGTGGTGCGACGGTTTGACGACGCAGATGTGTGTAAATGCGAGCGAGCTATTTCCGCACAATATAGAGAACAGGTGGGGGAAATGAGGGTTTCCTGTTTGTTGAGAAGCTAAACCTTTATATGTTTGGAGGATTCTGTGGGGTCGTGTCCTTTCTGCCCGGACACCAACCCACTCCACCGGCGTTGCATTGAAGGCATGGGGGCGGGGTCATTGCGATATGCTTGGACGTTGTAGATCTCCGAACTCGGAATTCGGAGATCGGGAGCATCACACTCTCCAGTTTAGAACTTTAGATGGTTAAAGTCCAGCACCCCTAATCACTTGAATGAGCGTCAATTATCTCGACACCGAGATCAGAAAGGGCCCAATCTTACCTGGTAGGCCGTCAACCAACTCTAGTGCGGCAAGGAGCGTGCAAAAGGAGAATTACAGGCTAGAGCACACCAACAAGCAGAGCCCCATACCTTGGTGTACGCGGTATCGTGGCAAGACGGCGAGTACAAACAAGTTCCGCTCTAAGTATCATTCTCTTTCGTCCTGTTGGTCCGCCCGACCACCCCTTACTTGAAGGGTCTGTCGCTCTCAGATGGAGCGGCCATGGTTAGGCTTCCCTAAAGGGGTTTCCATTTTCTTGTTGCCGTCCGGAATACTGTGAACCCTGCCTGGTTCTTTATCTCAGCTGCTTCTGGGGATGAGTGGGAGGGGCGCTGTCCCAGGCCTGCTTTTTGGCCCAGTTGATCCGGCCAAAGGATCTTGACGATGATGACTAGGTAGGTACCTACCTAGGAGGCAAGCTGCAGGACGAGGAGCAAGATGTCTCCATCCCTCGGCCAGCCACTTAGAGAAGGACACCCCCTTTATGATGTGTGTCTTTTGCTCCAGACCCAGCCATGCTGGGGTGAGCCTGGGAAATTTCGTGTCTTTGTCGTTCACTCCTTCCCAAAGCGCATATTCGACAACCCAGGTCCCATTACACAATAACTAGGTTCGTGAAGGCAGTTGAGATTCTGGCCAACTCGCGTGTAAAGGGGCACTAGGGGTGGGATTCCAGCTATAAAACCTCCACTGGTAACCTGGAAACCATCCATCCTATTTGCAACTTCCTTTTTTCGGACCACACCAACAGAGGTACTTATCTTCCGTACCTGGCTTCGTGGGGTCCGTTCCGTCCGCCTCAGATATCGAGTATCTCCGGAGCAAAAGGTATTGAGGTACTTGTTTACTTCTCCCCTCATGCGCGTCTTGATTTCCATGGTCTGACACTCACTCACCTTGTACAGTACACACTCCAAGGTCAACTTGAACGCGTTGGTATCCGGGCAATTCTTGCATCGCGAATTCCTCGAAAGGTTAGTTTTGATGCCGCCCTTCTCCCTCTTCCCCCATGACGGCAAGGCTCCCGTCCCCGGGCTGTTCTCATCTAACCCGAGCCCTTTCCGCCATCTACGCGTATCGTTCAGATACCTAGGTAGGTATCTGCCTACGGTATTGCGTCGACGGAAATTACCCATTGTTTACCTTCCTGGCCCCTTCTCTCCTACGTCGTCACCTCTCCCTCCCTACTACCCTTGACTTCCCAACGCGCTGTCAACCTGCACACCCGCACCACCACCTACTCCTCCCCGACACTACCTAGGTGCATAGGTGGCCTGTCTCCCTTCACCTCTCCATCTCCCCATAAAGTGAGGCCATCCCACATGACCCGTCCTCCTTCTGCGTTTGACATTATCACTGCCCTTTCGATCCTATCCCGTAACCAGAACAACCGCGTGTTCGGCTGTTGGCCCTGGCTTCCTCGGTGTGATACCGCAAACAGCAGGCATGGCAGGGCATCCGGTTGACCCAGTGTTGTTGATACCATCAGCATCCGAATCACATTCCCCCTCCACCCGTTGCATTTATCTTTCTGCCTTCACTTCTTGTCCCAGACCCTCTGTCAACTCACCTCAACGTCTCCGTCTCGGATTTCTAATTGCTGACACCATGCTTTAGTCTCCGAAATCACTTTCCGCATCAATCGTGTTCATCATGTCCTGCACCGCCGTGCAAGCCGCGGCAAACCCCGGCTGGGGGAGTCCTGCTCCGACTCAGAGTATGACTGCCGACTCGCCGTGGGGTAATGATGAGGCTGGTGCTAAGACCATGGCGGTCGACTCCGCCTGGGGTGATGATGGTGGTGTCAAGATTGCGTCTGCCGATTCGACCGGGGGCGAGAACGGTGGCATTCAGGCCGCCAACGGTGATAACGAGGGGAATGACGGCCTATCTGCCCCAGCCGGCGAACTCGATGGTGGTGCTGGCGACGGTGGTTGCTTCAACTGCGGCAAGCCTGGGTAAGTCTCTCCTCGATGGCAAAGCTTGCATGGTTCTCGCACCACTCACATTTGCAATAGCCACAACAAGGCTGATTGCCCGAACCCGCGCGTCTTTTCTGGAACTTGCCATCGATGCAGTGAGGAAGGACATATGAGCAAGGATTGCCCGCTGCCGGTCGTCTGCAAGAATTGTGGCAAAGATGGTGAGACCTTTCCAATCCAGTTTATGCCTTGGTTCGCAGCTGACAACATCTCTCCCAAGGCCATACCGCTTCCGCGTGTGAGAACGCCCGCAAGGTTGATCGCAGCGAATACCCCGACATGACCTTGGAGGCTGCCTGGGAGCTTCTCATGGCGGCCGTCGAGGAACAAGACATCGAGGACATCAAAGCGGCTGTCCAAATCTATGTGAAGGCCGCCCCGGAAACCACGTTCGCCGAACTGGAGGAGGCATTCCGCTCTCAGGAAGTCGGTCTCTGGTTGATTGCCGTTGAAAAGCCTCACCTGGCGGCGACTTTCACCCACATGGACCTCCAGGGCAACTTGGGTAAGAAGTACAACGTTACTTACCGCTTCGGCCCGAACCCACCCCGTCCTCGTGAGCGCGAGGTTTGGCCCCAGAGCGCCGAAGAGAACATGGAACGGCTCAAGGATGCCGGAGAAGTTGTTGAACTTGGCATTCCCAAGTGCCGCAACTGTGATGAGCTCGGCCATATCTCCAAGAGTTGCCCACAGGAGAAGCAAGAGCCCCAGGGTGTCGTCGCTATCAAGTGCTTCAACTGCGAAGGCGAGGGTCACCGTATCCGCGACTGTAAGCGCTGCCCCAAACTCTGGATTTGGTAACCTGACTAACATTCTGAAGGCCCGGTTCCGCGTGTCAACAAGTTCGGTTGCCGGAACTGCGGGTAAGAACCGACCCCTTCTGTCTGTTCTGTCGTTTCGTAACCGCTAACATCTTCCATAGCAAAGATGACCACAAGGCTAGCGACTGTAAAGAGATTCCGCCCCTTGCATTGTGGAACTTGACTGACCATGGATTCCCACAGGCCCCGAGCCTCGTTCAGCGGAAGGTGTTGAGTGTCGGAAGTGCAACGAGAGTAAGTGTCGACCTCGGAGACGTTGATCCATATATGACTGACACCATATTTAGTTGGCCACTTCTCCAAGGATTGTCCCAAGGCTGGGCCACGTGGTTGCCGCAACTGTGGCGAGGAAGGCCATTTTTCGAAGGATTGCACCGAGCCACGGAACATGGCCAACGTCCAGTGCCGTAACTGCGACGAGTTCGGGCATACGAACAAGGAATGCCCCAAGCCTCGTGACAGTGAGTCCCCCAGGTGGCCCCATGGTGTAATGAGCCTCTACTGACAGCCTAAACAAGTCACTCGCGTGAAGTGCTCTAACTGCCAGGAGGTGGGCCATTTCAAGTCCAAGTGCCCCAACCCCATCAAGGAGGAAGATGACAATGACAATGGAGGATTTGGCAACACGAATGGCGGTACTCTCGAGGCTGACACTAATGGCCTCGGCGGTGGCGACTTCGGCCCAGATGCTCCTGCTGGTGGTGGTGAAGAGGCTTGGGGCACCACTCCAAGTGCCGGCATCACTTCCGCCTGGTAAGATGGCTTCAATATCAGGGCACACGATCCAGCATAACACTCCGTTCTTTGCCGTCATGTCTTCGTACAATTGCTGGGAAAGTTGAGGGGTTGTTCATTTTCCGGATCATCTAGAAATATGCTGGCCGATGATCTCCTGGATCCATATGTTTCCTGCTCGTTTGTCCACGGACACCCAGGTTAGACAGACATGCTTCCTTGTTATGGAGATAGCCTCATATAGGTACTCAAATTGAAAATCGATCAAAATCGGCTATCTTGCCTTCATCACTGTCTACCCCTGAGATCCCCTTTCTTTGCGTCTGGTGCGTTTCGTGACTGCGAACGTCACCATTCGTTACTACGCCAGGTAGTCACCTAAGATGCTCTCGCCTACGAGGTATCTCAAGATCCGGACCTAATCGAGTGAACCGCTGGCAGTGTCTATATGTCTATCTAAATACCAACAATTCTAGCGCGCTTCGAAAAGACTTGGCAGTGTCAGTGTCCCACCGCCTCTAACCCAGAGGGAAATGGCCCAGAGCTCCGTCTTCACCGCCGTCAAACAGATTATTGGTGCCGTCCAAAGCCGCGAAATGCGCCGCGAGCTCCATGCCCCTCCTCCGCTCGAACTCGATCCTCCTCCAGTCCCACTCGCCGTCGCCGTCGACCCTCACGTCGCCCAAGTCGTCGGCCGTACCCACGCCAGCGTCGCCGCCCCTCCAACCTGCGCCAGGCCGCTCGGGGAGCAGGCCGTTCTCGTGCAGCAGGATGGCGGGGTGGACGGTGAGGCGGCCCAGCTTGAAGACGTACTTGCTCACCGCCGTGGCGATGACGTACTTTGAGAAGTCCTCCCCCTCCTGTTCCTCCGGCGCGCCCGAAGAACCAAAACCGGAACCGCCAGCCTTGGCCGGCCTGACGCGCCCGCCCGACCTCCCGTCCCAGGACGTGGGCCTCGCCTTCCCCCTGACGACGAAGTGGGTGACGATGTACAGCCACTTGCGGTCCCAGGCGAGGACGCGGCTCCACATGTCGTAGGGCTGGGCGGCGGCGATCTCGCGGCGGAAGGAGCAGAAGACGGCGCCGAGGCCGATGCCGAAGCCGCCCCTGACGGGCTCGCCGGTCGGGGAGGCCGGGTCGGGGACGAGGCGGGTGCGGGCGTTGGCGGAGAGGCGGGGCATGCCGGGGCCCAGGAGGTGGGTCACTAGGTGGGAGCGGCTGACGTCTAGGTCGGTGAAGTAGGTCGAGTTGGACTTGTGGAAGTTGTAGTCCGTCTCCAGAGGGGAGGTGCGGCTTGTCGTGATGGAGTAGTGGAAGAGGGCGCGGGGGGGCAGGGGGCCGCGTGGGCGGATGAAGTGGTAGAGGAAGGCGTGGAAGATGCGCGTCTGGGAGATGGAAACGGGGGGGGGTTTAGCTGGCCGGCCTTGGGAGATATGTCATAGAGGGAGAGGGGATGTGGCTCACCGTCCATGCCAGGGGCATGCTTTTCCAGTTGGTCAGGATGAAGAGGGCCAGGAGGATGCGGCTCGTCCGCCCGGGGCCAGTCAGGAAGGCGCGCGTCCGTGTGCGCCAGTCGACGCGGAGCGCCCGGTGGCCTAGATAGGCTGTCGCCGCGGCGATGGACGGAACAAAGACGGGAAAAAACAACGAGAGCGTCGAGACGGAAGCCATGGTGGGCGGCAGGGTGTCTTTTCGCCTGGGTGTAGATTTGGTTTGGGCTTGCGGCGCAAGAGGGTTCTCTCACCTAAAAGACCAGGAAGAACGGTAGAAATGAATGACTTGGTCAGGGAGGAAGGGAAGCTGTGTCAGGGAACGATGGAGACTGACTCCTGCGCCCACAATGGTCCTCCCATTAAAAACTTCGCGTATGGGCAGGAGTTGACACGCGAGGGAGTGAACGAGCCGAGGCTCCTCTGATGATGCCCCACCCACCCAGATTGGCGGGTCCCATTGAAAGGGCATGGCGTTTTACCTGGTATAATCCGTCCCTCGTGTTTCTGCATGAACTGCAATAATAATGAGCCTCGGTTGCATATCGAGACGTTAGTCTTTTCTCTCCATTTCTATCTCTTGTTTCATTGCGCTTGATTATTCTACGAAGCTAGGCAGTCAATCTCAAGGGGGTCAAATTCCAGATTTACAGATACATCTCAAGACGTCAATCCTCCTCATGGCAGTTAAAGGTGACAGTACAGAGGTACGGTAGTCGGCATCTCTCATATCCTCACAGATGAAACCATGAAACAAGGTAAAATAAGGAACAGGCCTTGCCCTTAGATTCCTTACCAGGCGCCGCTGGCGTATCCAGCTCCCCCGGCCTCGGAGTCACTCCAATATCCCGAGTATCGGCCCCTCCCAGTCCTCGGATCCCTCGCCTCCCTCCTCACCCACGGCTCCCGCGTCGACACATGGCGCACCCCGTCCAACCAGACACCACCACCACCACCCCCGCCACCACCCCTCTCCCCGATCCCGGGGTCGCAGTCCGGGCAATACCCCTCCAGCCCAACAAGCTGCCTCCTCTGGCACCCACGGCAGTACCCCACCCTCCTCCTCCCAGGCGTCCGGGCCCCCGCCGACAACCCCCGACCCCAATCCCAGCCCCGGTCCCGGTCCTGGTCCCAGCCGGGCATGTTGGCCGCCACGTCCTCCCGCGCAGCAGCCGCCGTGGCGGCCAGGCCCTCCCACCGCGACCCGAGCTGCAGGGCGCCGCCGCCGAGGTTGAGGACCAGCTGCAGCGGCCGCTCGGGGCGGGCGGCCAGCATGGCGGGGACGAGGTGCCGCGCTATGTAGTCGTAGATGCGCTCGGCGTCTGGGTGGGGGGCGTCCGCTGCTGTTGTTATCGTTGTTGCGAGCCTGATGTCTGGGTCTGTTGCGATCCTGATGTCTGGGTGCGCATGTGGCTGGCGGCGGGGGTGGCGGCGGGGAGGAGGGTGCGGGACTGGGCGACGGGGGATGGAGAGGTCGTCGGCTTCGTCGTAGTAGTAGCGTGATGGCATCGCTTGGGACGGGAGCTCGGTGGTGGAGTTTGTGGGATGGGGGTGAAGAAAGGGATTTGTTTGGGAGGTTTGTGGGTTTGGTGAAGGTGCTCTTTGTGACTCCAGGGGCCCGTTTGGGAAGATGAAATCTTGGAGTGGTCTGTCTTGAAGGACAAGCAACCTGGAGAGATTAGGCCAACTGATGGGTCTAATGAGCTTGAGCTTGGTGGGAATTCAAACGTGGAAGAAAGAGGTTTCGCGGCGTATATCAGGCTCTGCAGTATCGAGTTGACCGGACCGGCCGAGGCTCTACAGAAGTTTAGGCCTTTGCCCCGTCACCTACCGACCCTCCACCACCTCGCGCATCCTGATACAAACCGGGCAACTCGTCCCACAGAAGAACCGCAGCCTCGGAGCCTCACTAGATGTACGTGGAACCTATCACGGATACACCCTTGGGTTATACCACAGCAGAGGGCTGGATCAAGCCTGCCTAGTTGGGCGATGCTGACGGAGACCAAACCATTTTTATCATGTCAAATGTGACTTTCTTAGTGGCCAGTCCCGATCGACAGATGGAGTGGGTGCAGTAGTCCAAGCCAATGTATTCACTTGAGGCCGCAGCCCTGCGCCCCCATCAGGTGGACTCCACCATTTGGGAGTTCGAATGGGTGACAGCACAAATCAATTAGTTGGAGGCTATGTAGCTACTGTTCGGCCAACGAATCTGGAGCCTCGTTTTTAAAAAATAAAAATAATAAAAATAAAACCAAGGCAGCCTAGACCCTCAATTTATTCCCGAAACAGAAGGGCTTTCGCTCCAAGCGTAGAGAGCTACCAGGACCTCGTTGCATCTGTCACGGACCCGATGGGCCATTGGCCGATTTGGAACCCAGGGCGAAATACGGCGCCAGCTCTCCCCAACACGACCCTTGCCTCCCATCTTGATGATCATTCGCAAAGTTGGCGCTCGGTAATGGCCCAGGACGTTTAGGGCGCATGATATGCCTGTGAGCAGGCTGTTCTTGATGTAGCTGAGCCGCCGGAGAATGATTCGCTGGTTGGAGGACTATGTCATTCACGATGACATTCTGCGACCTTGGCGAATCTGAGGGGTTCGCCGAAGGACACAGGCTGCCAGCAGAGCCGCTTTGGTGTGAAACGGGCTCTCGAAAACTGGCATACCATCCTCGGGCCCGACTTGAGCCTGTCTAGCAACGAGGCGTTGCTTGAGATACATATTCACATCGCTTAGCGATGGGGCGACACGCCCGGAGGATGTTGGAGTCCATGGTCCGTTTAATCCATCGCCTCTTAACATCCTTGTACGCGGTTGTATGTCAGGCAAGATGGCCCTGCAAGGTAATCAACAGGAAGTCACGGGTGGTTCGCCAGGGAATCGTAGGTGTATCCTTATTCAGTCAGAGACTGATTCTTATCAGAGGGAAGAGATCTCCTCTCTCCAGCTATCAGTTCCAGTACTAAAATACAAGTGAAACTCATGATGTAACTCCTGAATGAAAGATGGCCCAAGTCCGATACACTAGGGAAGGGTTGGCGATGCCTTCACAAGTAATGAATGTAACAGCCTCCTTCAAAAGTTGTCAGGAAGTGGCCAACATCCCCCTCTGCCGTGGAGTTTAGCCCGGTGCTGATACCTTGCTTGGCGCGGAGAATCTCCAGGGTTGTCGTCGGTAGTAAATATTAGATCGCACTTATCGCAAGTAACCGGAATCTGCATTGTATATTAGTCTAGAACAAAAACATTATTTTGAAGAACGAGTTACTTACCTTATTTAGCTCCTTAGCTAGCCCTTCAAACTTCCAAGTTGTTGGTTTATTGGTATTCAAGAGGTACTGGCAGATAGGCGATTGGACCTGGAGCATCTGACGGAGATGCATAAAAGACGCAGGGACTGGCTCGTCCAGTTCGTTATCAATCCTCTTATTAGAAAGAAGGTAGACCCAGTAAAAGCAAACAAAGACCCATATCGAAGGGTCAAAATCCCAGTCGACGTTAGGCCAGGGTAGTACAATTTTAAGATTGCAGTCTATACCCTTTTGTCTGAATACTGTTATAATCTCCTCTTCTTCCTCTGCAGAAACCCCATCATCATTCGCTACCAGAGGTTCTGCATCTGTGTCCCAAACGTTTGACAGCCCATTGCGCACAAGGAATTTGCTCAGGTCGTTACGCAGCATCCTGAAGCCCTGGACAGCTAATACTGGCATTTTCGAAGTATGATCCAGGTATATTTGAGATTTGGAAGTTTAAAAATATGGTGTGGTTCAAGGACGATAATAGGTAGGTAGAGGTTTCTTGCTTGAGAAGAGTTGAAACATACATAGGCAAAGCAGCAGTGAGGGGCTACCACAATATCATGTGACATTGTCATGGGCACGGAGGATACTGGCAGGTCCCGTCAGGACTGGTGACACACCTGTACGGACCTAGATTCTTCCGGGGGAATGAACAGCCCGGCTACCTACCCGACATGTCTTCCTACATATAGACAGACAGCTCCTTTCTCCCTGGAAGGAAGAGGCAGGCTAGCGTTAGGCCTGTCTTCGATCTGGACGACAAGAGAGATTAACACCGCAGCCCCTCACTGCACCCTACCTGTGACCGACCGGTGAACTATCGCCTATCACTCTTCCCTCTTCGTTCCTCACTCTGGACTTGTACCCCTGACAGACATATGGCTGGACTCCGTTTCTTTCTGTATTTGGAAGCAGCTCGGGGTCAGCTACAACAATAACAAAAACAACCTTCTTCTCTTGAATTTGGGCGGTACAATGCGATATAAGATTGCTATAGACGTATTAGAATTGAGCTTCTTCAGAGCCAATCGCAGAAGTGTCGATTTGTAACTTGGCTGCGATCTATGGCTGCCACGTATCCCAACCGTAGGTCGTGCTGTTGGATTTCTCAGGATCTTGGAGGACTAGCTTTGATCGAGGGATCAGGAAGAAGAGGAGGGCTCGACTTAGTCGGAGGTGCTTGATTTCGTTGCAAAGGTTCTGAATTGTCGTTACGAAAGAGGCTTCTAGAGCCTGTAATTGCTTAACCGTAGCCATTATAGGCTGGTCGCGAGGGTTAGGAAGGAGGGGGAAAATTCGGGATGGCGATTAGTATGGCTTGCCAAGGCCGTTTCGGGAGTTCCGGTCAGTAGCCCAGTGTCGTATGCCCAGGCAGGCTCACAGCACAGTAGTAAGGTCGCCGGCTCCTTGTACCTCTTCTACTTGCTCGGCATGGCTGGCCTGTTGTATGCTGACTAAAGGAATCTGTGGATTTAGGAAGGAAGAAGCTAGGTTACCTACCTAAGCCAAGGGGACTGTTGAATAATGTCACGGGCTGTCACAGGAGCAAGTCCTAGGGCCTTACAGGCTAGTAGAAGAATCTGAAGATAATACGGTCTATTCAACAGTAAAAAAAAGAAAGGAAGGAAGGTAGGCGGCGAGCTAGGAATTGTGACTAATTTAACGATAGCATAGCAGTCGTCACTGTGTCACTTATATCTCAGGCTATTATTTTCCCTGCAGTGTACATGTGGCAATTCCTGTAGCTGTTAGCCTTCGAAATAGTAGTGAATGGGAGGGAAGTGAATTCCTTTTCAAACTTCTCAACTATATAAGACTGACCTCCAACCGCTTCCTACTCTGCCATTTCTCCGCCAGATCTGGTTGCTCAGCCATACCAAGTCTTCTAGTAAACCCTCAACCCTTTCTATGCCTTCTCCCAGTCATATCTAATCTTTTGGCTATACTAGGTCTTCTTAAATCCAGTCACCTAAGGCCTTCTTTTGATATCGATGCAGGATTTTTCAGTAAGCTCCTAACCTCCTCTCTGCTTGCTCCTGGTCAACTCTAATCTCTTGGTTATACCAGGTCTTCTAGTAAATCCTATTCAAGCATCTACAAGATTACAGCCAAAACCAAAGCCAAGCAAACACCCTCAAGATGGCTGTAAAGTAAGTTAAGCCTATTATTGGAACCTAGTTCCTCTCTACACTCTCATACTAACTAATTATGTCCAAAGCCGTCACTTCTGGAACCTCGACGAAGTTTCTTCGAATAAGATTGCCACTATATTCCATAAGGGCGAGAACTACAACAAAGAGGGTGTCATCTGGCATGCCTGGGAAGAGATTCCTCGCGTATACCTTCCCACTCAATCTGTCGTGCTCCTTGGCGACCGGTACTCGGTCGTACGCGAGCCGTACCGGCGCCCAGTTGGGGCGCAAGGCCAGGACGACGATGAGCATCTGCCCCAAGTTCGCCCTGATGTTGTCACAGTCCGGCACCATAACATCCAGCCACAGCAAGGCATAGCCCCGTTGGCCACAGAGCGAGACGTGCTCTGGATCGAGTGCAAGGCTCCGATTCACAATTCCCCGTTCGAATGGAAGAACCTGATGTTCGAGGCAACACACCGACTAGCTATATCGTACTCGCCGCGCAAGGTTTATTTCATCCTGGCCATCGGCCTAAAATGGATGCCGTTTGTGTGGGATCCAACAATGCCGGGACAGAACCCGATATAATTCCGGGATCACTTCAAAGCCGAACGCTGGCAGCTAGACCCTCGCGTTAAAATGATACCCCAGGCAGCTCTAACAGGTCAGACGCATATTAACCTAAGTCAAACGGGGCGGTTGGTTGTGGACAAGCAGTGGGCGTATTCGCTAGACTACTGGACGCTCAATGGGGCCGGGATCCCGGAGAACTTGGCTGACTTCCAACTCCTCGAGAGGATCTTTGCTCTCATCCAAGCCTCGAATTTTCTGGGAGTTAACCCCGCCTTTGGGGGTTAGTCGTTTTTTCCTTTCTTAGAGGCGTTATGGGAGGGAGGGAGGGAGGGAGGGAAGGAGGCGGGGGGGGTTGGGGTTGGGGTTGGTCTCTTGCCAACTCTACGTAGAATGCATCAATGGCATAGAACAAGCAACAGATGAGTCAAATCATGGACCTGTTGGTTCTGAACTAGTCTAAAAGAAATCAGTTGATGCTATGTGACATGCTGCAATTGCCTGATGTTAAATTAGCTGAACCGAACAAGGCTTTAGGATTACCCTGGCATACGGAACCTGGAACCTAGACAGAACTGGTCACCTAACCTCCAAACCGACAGTTAGACCCCTAGGCGCACGCAGGAGAAATCAGAAAGTCGGAAGCCAAGACAACTACACAGACATTTCAGGAGAGTCCAGATTATTGCCATTATTGAAAGAAAGAGAAGCCGGAGCTTAAAACCTGGCGTGGTAAACTCTTCTACAGGGTATGGTTTCACAACTTGTGCACAAACGACTTGGAAGTAATGCCCCTGAACTTCTTCCCCCAAAACCAAAAGATGATCCCACAGGAGGAGAATAGCGTGATCAGAGCCATGTTCATCAGGATCGGCGGCCTGAAGCCGCTCTCCTCCGCCCAGGGAGTGAGGAACTTGCTGCAAGGTCGATCATGTTAGAGCAAAGTCGAAACAGATTTAAGGGGAAGAAATATCTCGGCGACTGACCTGACTCCATATCCCCACAGGTTCTTGTTGATGGTGATGGTGACGAACATGGACCCCGTCACGGGCTTGTAGCTATCGATGGCGTACGTGCTCGCAATGGACGGCAGGGCCGACACCTGCATGCCCAGGCAGCCGTAGCCGATGATGACGATGGCCTGCCACGGCCAGTGGTAGTCGTACCCGACGGCGGTGACGACGCTCCCGAGGACCATGACCAGGACGTACGGCACCATGGCGACGAGCCTCATCTCGGGCTCGCGGACGCCGCCGTTGCGCGCCGTCAGGTGCGCGGCCACCCAGTCGGACAGGGGCCCGCAGGTGACGAGGCCGACGATGCCGCCGACCAGGACGGCCAGGTTGAACAGGCCGATGGTCTGGGGGCTGAAGCTGTAGGGAGGGGCCCCGAAGGCCTGCGACTGCGACAGGTTGACGACCAGGAAGCCCGAGGCGGACCAAGAGACGACGAAGGCGGCGAACTCGACGATCGGGAAGGCGTGCAGGTATAGGGGCAGCCAGAGCTCGCGGAGGAGGTTGCCCTCGAACCGCTGGAAGGGCAGGAACTGCTTCTTGGACGGCGAGCCACACCCCAAGAAGGGGTCGTGGTGCGTCATCTGCGGTGCGAGGTCGGCGTCGTCGGCGTTGCTGTTGCCGTTTATATTGGTGTTGTTATTGTTGCTGAGGGTGGTGGTGTTGGTGGTGGTGGCTGGAGGCAAGCCTTCGGTGTGGGTTGCGCCGTTGCTGCGCTCGATCTTATTGTCGAGGTCGTTGTCGATGATTCCGGCCCCGGCAGCGGCGTTGCCGTTTGGTGGAGCGTCCTTCTCCCCCGACGGCTCGACCGCTCGCCGATACCGTGTTTCGGGGAAGAGGAAGATGTTGACGACGAGGGTGAACAGCAGGAGGCCCGTGTTGAACCACCAGAAGCCCCGCCAGCTCAGATGCTCAGACATGGCGCCGGAGATGATGGGCCCGACCATGAGCGAGATGAAGTACATGGAGAAGTATAGGGTCTGGTACTTGCCCCGGTCGTGGAGGAAGATGACGTCGGCTATGACCTGCGGCATCAGAGTCTCGCACGGCCCTGCTGCCAGGCCGTTCAGGATGCAGGCGCCCATGAAGGAGTTGTAGCTCGTGGCGTAGGTCCTCCAGAAGGAAGAGCCAATGCAGATGAGAGTCGAGAAGATGGCGACCGGACGGCGGCCGAAACAGACCATGACGGGGACCCAGATGAAGTTGCTGAAGCCCAGGCAGAGAATGGCCACGCCGGTGAACTGGACGACGTCGGCCAGGCTCCTGTTCCACTCCTGGACGTAGGCCTCGAACATCGGGGCCAAGGCCAGAGGGCCCAGGTTCAGGCTGAAGGAGAGGGCCGTGGCGCAGAAGATGGTCAGGTTCTTCCAGAGGGGAGACCAGTTCAGAGGGTCCCTGGGGTCGTCGGATGGCTGGGGGATGAGCACGTTTCGGCTGCGCCCTCCGGCCTTGACAAAGTGGTGACTGCCGACATCTTTCATGATCTCCGTCCCCGGATAGATCTTGGTGTGCAGCACATCCTCGAGCTCGTGTATTGTCCCTTCGTCCAGGTTTTCGTCCATCGTGGATGATCTTTCTCAGTCAGTCGGCCCGGAAGGGTGGTGAGGCTGTCGAACCAATGCTTGTCCTGTACGTAAGACTCCTTGAGTAGGGCAAACACGGTGTTGTTGGGATGCAGATGAACCTTGGGGATAGAGGACAGATGGAGGACGAATGGATGACGAATGGAAGGTCTCCCAGCATCTGGATCCGACTGGCATATAATAACGATACTTGCCATATTGCCAGAGAAAGCCTGAGCTTCAAGGCCTTGGGGCTCCATCCCTGGTTGCTCGGGATCGGTGGACGGCAATTGTTTCCCTCCTATGCACAGCACTGCTAAGAGGTTTTGTTGCCACGATGTGACGCAGCAGGTAAATCACCGATCAAGGTAAATGCCCGTTGGTCGTAGCAGGGGGTTGCGCATCTTGAAGAGCCTTGATAGGGCAATTCCCTTCCCGACTCGACCTTCCCCGCGGCGACCAGGACCAGGTTAGATAACTAGCGTTGCAGCGCTGCGGGCGGCATCTGTTCAATGATGTCAATTCGCCGTCGCACCATCCCTTCCGCGCAGGACCACTTCCTGCAAGGACGCCGATATCAGTTGCTGCTGATTGGTTTGACTGATGATGACACCAAGGAGGTTAACCTGGTAGCCGGATACCATGCGACATACACCAGTACGCATAGAGTGCATTCCCCATGCGGAGGTCGGTACTTGACTCTCCCTGGCCTTCCATGCTAACCCAACCCAGGCCGAGGTTAAGGCCAGCGAGAGTTGTCGTGGGAGCTGCATCTCCGTATGAGTGGCTAGAATGCTTGCTGTCCGAGGAGGCCCTCATGCTAGGACATGGGGGGTTATCTAGATAACCAAACCCCGCCCCCCGGAAAAGCCAATGGTGAGACGGCAATACTCAACGGCAATACCGAACGGCAAGGTGACACTTGAAAAGAACGAGCAAATTGGGTATTCTATGTCGAGTCTGGTCTAAGGGTATCTGTCCGAATTCCGCGCAAAAGAGAGCCAGCCAGCCAGGCCACCCAGCTAGCTAATAAGCCCCTTGCCTTCACCCGTACCACACCGCCTTCTTCCCGTCCTCGATGTTGTACAGTATCGTGCAGTGCTCCGTCTGGCACACATTCCGCCTGCCCAGGTTCTTGAATTTGGGCCCCTGCGGGCCCGTAATGTAGTGGTACTGCCCGAACAGCCTCCACTGCCGCATGTCGCTGAGCGCGTAGAGCTCGTCGCCCCACGGGCCCCCGAAGTGGAACCACGACGTCGGCGCGTCCGGGTTCGACGCCGCCGGGACGAGACTCGTCTGGTTCGCGTCGATGCCGCCGCCCTCCATGTAGGCCCTCCCGTCGGCCTCGCGGTCGGCCTCGTAGTCGTAAAAGTAGGCGTACGTGTTCTTGGCCGGGTCCCAGAGCGGTCCGCGGTCCGTCACGTCCTTCAGCATCCCGAACGGGAGGACGTACGGGTGGTTCCCCGGCACCGCGTACATGGCGTGGCTGCCGATGGCTGAGTAGATGACCGGCCTGTCGACCGTCTCTTCCTCACCGTCGTCGGAGCCCCCATGCGTCGTCTTCGTCCTCGTCACCCGGTACTTCTCCAGCGCGTTCCAGGCGTACGCCTGCCCGCCCGCGTGCTCGCTCATGAACAACGCCCGCGGGATGCCGTTCTCGAACCGCACCATGCAGTGCTCCCAGTCCCCGACATGGTTGCCGAACCGGACGCTGAGCACCGTCTGCCCGAGGTTGTAGCTGTAGAAGAAGAACCTAATATATGTTGTTAGCTAATTCCAGCACGATCTAATTTAAAATGAGCAAAGCGTAGCGTACCAGAAGGCGTCGAGGATCCCCGAGCCCTTGTCGACGAGGACAAGCACGGCCGGGGCGTCCGAGTACCCGCTAGAATCCGGCTTGTACATGGGCGACGGCGACGCGAGGGGCTGCTGATTTCGGGGGCCGATGCGCGGCCCTCGATCGCCACGCCGGCTTCCGGATCCCTTTCGAGGCTCTGTGATATGGTGGAGTGGATGGTCTTTGTCGACATCCCACCACGTTGTGCCGTGTCTTGGTGGGCCGGATCCCCTGTACTGGTCTCCACTACGGGGGCGATCCGGCCCGCCGTCATCTCCACCACCTTCTCCATCGCCGACAAACGGTCTTGGCATTCCAGCCTCGCTGTGGAGCCACTCTGGCCGATCCTCGACATCTTCCTCGCTCGTAAGATATATCGGTAAAGGGTGTGCGTCGAGATCTTGCAACTCGTCGAGGCTCACGGGTTTGGAGAGGTTCAGCGGCATGCCGTTGGCATACGGCACCATGTGTTCGACATGATCCGCGATATCCGAGGGGAAGAAGTACTCCTCCGAGTGCAGATGGATCAGCGGCGCATATTTGAGAACGTAGTCGGGGACTTCTTTGAGATCGTTCGCGTCCCGGTGGTCCGGGTCTCCTTCCTTGCGCCGCCTCGCGGACCCCCAAATTGCAGCATTCGGCCTGGCAAGAGTCTCGGTCTCGCCACCTTGGCTCCAATGTGAACGCCTTCGCAAATCAAGTCGCCCCAACTCGCCCGTCTCGTTCTTGCGGCTATGCGAGGGGTGCGTGGCCGGGTCCGACCGGAGATGATGGATGCCGCATAGAGTGAGCCACCGACAGGTCTGGCGATCGATCCAGTACGGAGACGAGCTGACCCAGCGCTTGTCGCGGAGGCGGTCCTCCGAGCTCGGCGGAGTCGGGTCGAGGAATCGTGGTAATTTCGAGAGAACTAAGACGACGGTGGTGGAGAGGAAGAGAACGACGATGATCAGCTTTTGGAGGTGGTGCATTGGGCCGGAGTTTCGGAAGCGATGAGCCCGCTCCGTTCGCTATTCTGAAAGAGAGAATGGGTATCCGAGGTAGCCGAAGAAGAGGTAGTAGGTAAGTCGGGCTTGACTCAAGAGCGGCAAAGGCATTGGCGAGCTTGAACGACCGTGACTCCGGATCGCGAGGGTTTATGTTGGTGTAACGGTGGTGTAGTTGTCAACGACGGACGCGGACGGAGAAAAGCCTGCCATGTCACAGAGGGTATGTGTTGGTCGCGGTGTCGCAACTTTTAATGGAAAAGATCAGCCAAGGATCACAGGACGAGCCACTGAGAAGGCCTTTGAGCGGGGCTACTCTGGCCCATTCTAGCCGTAGCGTGTACACTTTACCCCTCCACCGGCATTACATGACTAATGGCCCAAGGTACCGTTGACCTCATATACTTTGGTGTACGGATGTACCGCTAAGCAGGTATGTACCTAGCGTGGAGTGTGCACGGTCTCAGCCCGGAACCGGTCATTGGACAAGCCTTAGAAAGTGGCAGCTGACTGCCGGGGCATGAAACCAAGGAATCCAGTAAAGAGTCGGAGAGAGGCCACATGAGAGACAACATTGGTATCTGGGTTTTTCATCTTAATGACGTTTGCTAGGTCAACGTCAGCCTCTGTCCATAATAAAAAATCGAGGGGTGACGGGGTGATCGCGTTCTGCAGACCTCACCTTCGTTGTCGAGTCTCGACACTCTCCAGGTGCATGTTTGCGCATGTTTGCGAATTTCACCTGGACCAACTGCAACTCTGCGACGAAGCACGCCTTCCTGGAGGGGTAAAGGGGGGATCGATTAGGTAGGTAGGTTAGGTAGGCAGGTAGTGGTAGTCTTTAGTGAAAGAGACTTGTATCCCTCATTTAGCCATTGCCGCTGCTCGATTCAGAATCGCCACCTGACCTCCGGCTCCCGGCTCCTGGGAACCAGGCCCGGCGATTCGTTCTATTTTGAGGGCGTAGATTTGGACTCGGTCTTCTTTGTCTCCTATCCCCAGCGAGAGCGTTTACCCCTGCGTCGGCGACCGCGTTGTGGCGTTGTTGGGCCGTTTTCTCCATCACCTGGGGCCTGCTCTCCAGCATCAAGCTTCTTCTGGTGCAGGCGCCGTACTCGGTCCTTTTCCAGTTTGTTCCGATATATTTCCTCATCGGCATCCTCTTCTAGGAGCTGGTTGTGGGGCGTGTCCTGGGGCATTATTGTCACATCGTCCGGCTCGCCTCGTTTGCGCTTCAGCGTCGTCAGGTCTTCCAGGAAGTCGGCCTGTGGCCGCCGTGTTCCGAATTTATCGCTGTGGACGTGAATGTAAACACCGCCGTTCTGTTGATACCGTCCAATTTTATCTTCGGCCCCCGTAGACTGTTCCTCCTGATTTGGTTTCAACTCGACGTGGTTGAAGTTGACTCGCGCACTAGATGCTGCGATGAGGTCCAGATCCTCAGAGAGGTGACGAAGCACGGGAAGGCTGCCTTGAGGGTCATGGGATGCAAATATCATCTCCGTGCCAATATTTTCGGCCCATGAACCGCGAAGTATCGTGCCACGGTACGAGATGAGAGGATGTTTCGAGTGTAGCCCCAAGATCTGGATCTGTTCAGGCTCGATCGTGGAGGAATCCCCTGGCTCTTGTGCTTCACCCGAGGCCGCTCGTTTCTCTTGTAGTAGACGATTCGGCCTTCCACCCCCCATGGTCGACTCGTCATCATCGTCGCCATCGTTGAGCCCTCCATGTTCTGTGTCGTTCTCGGCGTTGTTGGCGTCAAATTCATCCTGGTCCAAGGGGCGGCCCGTCTCCTCGTCATCTGGTCCATTGAAATTCGGATTGAACCACACACGATACCCGCCGCGGGTATTATGAACTATTTCATCCCTATTTTTATTGAAATCTCGGACTGGCAAGTCAAGAGTGAGATAGTAGGTCTGTTTAAATGGTAAAAATGGTTAGTTGGGCGCCTGCATGAAGGCATTGTGAAGGTAAGGGTTCTAGCCTCGGTTTCCGTGGCCGAGTACTCATATTCCCACTCGTCCTCATCCTCGGCCTGGATGGATTTTGTGATATAAGTCGCTGGAGTCGCCATTGTGGGCAGTGGCTCGCCGACTTTAAAATGTAAGTAAATACTTCTATTCCAGTCTTGTTGATTGGGACGGGATGCAGGGCTGGGTAACTCAATTCATGGCATGATGGTAGCCAAGGGAAATATAGCGGTCAAGTGCGGCAAAAATGTAGGATTGACGGCAGGGGTACGGAAGTACCTTACATACAACGGCGGGGTTCTAGTGCCCCGCCATTGGCAACATTTTATAGACCCTTGGATTTGACTCACTTTCCCGAGTGTGATCTGATATCCTGTCTCGACCACGGTCACGGTCAAGATCAAGATCACCGAGGTCATAGTCACAGTCACGGTGCTGCGACTTCCTGAATTTCCCCTTCGATTCATTCCTTCATACCTCCTCTGAAAGACGGGTTCAAAGACTGGTTCAAGGATGCCGAAAGTCCACCTGCTCGACTATGTCGCCGGCAATGTGCGCAGCCTGGTGAATGCCATCGAGAAGCTAGGCTTTGAGGTCGAGTGGGTTCGCACACCCGAAGAGGTCGCAAATGCGGAGGTACAGCACTTATTTCCCCGCTGCCCGTTGTCTCGAGTTCAGCAGCGGTATATACTGACACGGCGTCCATCTCAGAAACTGATTCTCCCCGGCGTGGGCCACTTTGGCCACTGCCTCTCCCAACTCGCCTCGGCGGGGTACGTGCCCGCTTTGCAGGCGCACATCGACGCCGGCAAGCCATTCATGGGCATCTGCGTGGGGCTCCAGGCCCTCTTCTCCGGCTCCTCCGAGGACGCCGACTGCCCCGGCCTGGGCGTCATCCCCGGCACGCTCGACCGCTTCGACGACGCCTCCAAGTCGGTACCGCACATCGGCTGGAACAACGCCAGCTGCCCGACGAACCCGACGCTGTACGACCTCCGCCCGGGCTCCAAGTACTACTACGTGCACTCGTACAAATTCCCGTACAGGCAAGGCGAGCTGGAGGGGCTGGGCTGGGCCGTCGCGACGGCCACCTACGGCGGGGAGACCTTTGTCGGGGCCGTGGCGCGCGGCAACGTTGTCGCGACCCAGTTCCACCCCGAGAAGAGCGGCGTGGCGGGTCTGCGGGTGCTCCGCGCTTTCCTGACGGGGTCAGGCGCTACGGCGCTGGGCGCGCACCCCCCGACGTCTGACGCGGCGGCGGCGGCGGCGAATGACGGCGGCGTGGCGGGCGAAGGCGGCCCCGACGGCCTGACGAGGCGGGTGATCGCGTGTCTGGACGTGCGGACTAACGACAAGGGCGACCTGGTGGTGACCAAGGGCGACCAGTACGACGTGCGGGAGAAATCGGCGGACCGCGGCGTCCGCAACCTGGGCAAGCCGGTCGAGCTGGCGAGGCGGTACTACGAGCAGGGCGCCGACGAGGTGACCTTCCTCAACATCACGAGCTTCCGCGACTGCCCGCTGGCCGACCTGCCCATGCTGGAGATCCTGCGCCAGACCTCGGAGACCGTCTTCGTGCCCCTGACCGTCGGCGGCGGCATCAGGGACACGCTCGACATGGACGGCACCAAGGTGTCGGCCCTGGAGATCGCGACCATGTACTTCAAGTCGGGCGCCGACAAGGTGTCGGTCGGCAGCGACGCCGTGCTCGCCGCCGAGGAGTACTACGCCGCTGGCAAGTCGCTGTTCGGCAACACGGCCATCGAGCAGATCAGCAAGGCGTACGGCAACCAGGCCGTCGTGGTCAGCGTCGACCCGAAGCGCGTCTACGTGCCCAAGGCGGACGCGACGCGGCACGCGACCCTGCGCACCGCGCACCCGGGCCCCAGGGGCGACGAGTACTGCTGGTACGCGTGCACGATCAAGGGCGGGCGCGAGACGCGGGACCTAGACGTGGTGGAGCTCGCGCAGGCGGTCGAGGCCATGGGCGCCGGCGAGATTCTCCTGAACTGCATCGATAAGGACGGCACGAACAGCGGTTTCGACCTGGAGCTGATCGCTCAGGTCAAGCGCGCCGTCAGGATACCCGTCATCGCGAGCAGCGGCGCCGGCCACCCGGGCCACTTCCAAGAGGTCTTTGAGAAGACCACCACCGACGCGGCGCTGGGCGCCGGCATGTTCCACAGGGGCGAGTACACGGTTAAGCAGGTCAAGGATTACCTGGCTGACAAGGGCTTGACTGTGAGGCAGTTCGAAGGGGACTTGTAGTCGGGATCGTGGCGAGGGGAAGGGGGGTTCTTGGGACTGGCCGGGAAGACTCTTGACTGGATTGATGAAGAGGGTACTTGGCACAATACTGCTCGGATACCAGCAAAATGCGCAGCCTCAATGTGGATAGATTTTCTTCTCCAGAGACTTGCTATGATACCTATGGTAAAAACAAGAAATTTGACTGTGAAACCAAGATTCAATTTGCTAGACGTGGTGCGTTGTTACGACCGGAAGAAGAAGAAGAAGGAGCAGAGCTAAAAGGAGCAAATCTGAAAAGGGCAATACGCGGCCACCCAAATATGAAATGCAATTTCGCAGAACGACACCGAACCCCCGAGAACTCCATCAAATAATTCATTCATTCGCCCTGGATAACTGATCCCTTAGACTTCCATGCCCATGAACAGCCACTGATTACTTATGATGTCCATGCCACCGGTCCAGTGATCAAGAGTTGTAAGCGAGAATCCGGCCCATTGCAGGCCCTTCATCATTGCCTTCAGCTCCTCGTCAGGGAAGGACCGATCAAGGCAGATGACCATGTGGGAACAGTCAAGTGGTCCTTCGGCAAGTTCGATTAGAGCGACGAGACTGTGAGTGACTTGTCAGCAAAGATTGCAAAGGGGGGGGCGATCGGATGGATTCTACTCACGCTTGCTTCAAGTCCCTTCCGAGAACGCCAGCATCGAAAAAGACGAATAGACTCTTGATTTCCGTATCCTCAGACACGAAAGCCCGGAAGCTAGTCCCGCCAGCGTAGTCGTATACCTCCAACCAGGCGGAAACGTTGCCGGTATCCGCTCCGGCCGCCCGTGAGGCCATCAGGGATTGATCCGTGATGGGGAAGTGCTCGGGCGGCGTAAGCGGGTCGTCGGCCGCGATGATGCCACCAGCATCGTTACCGGTGCCGTTGTAGTTGTGGTGGTTGCGGTTGTGGTAGTTGTTGTAGTTGATGACATCCGTCAGGACGGCGCCGTGCGCTGCCAAGTTCCTCTCACCAAGAAACATGGCCCGCAGGGTCTCGCAAAAGAATCTCTCACATTCTTCCCTGATCCGTGATGTTGCCCCCCCTCGACGGCGCGGTCGAGGGCTGCCATTCCCATTGCGACCGCCCCAGCTGCCGTCGGTGCGCGACTTCGTCTTTGGAGTCAACGCCAGCTGGTTCGTCGAGGTGATGGCCGCGAGGGGGGGGCTTGACGGCGGCGATGGTAGTCCCGTTGAAGGGACCTCAGGAATACCACTCGGCCCCTGCGGAAGAGCGTCAGCGGGGGCTTTCATAGGAACGAGTGTCTCTCCAAAGGGGAGGGCAATCGAGTTGGGGGGGGGGGAGAAGGGGAGAAGCTTACCTGTAAGAGACGTAGTGCAATAGTGGAGCCCCTGCAGGGAGGCAGAGGAGTTGACGAGGTAGCAGCTGGCAAGGACATCGGCCTGACGGACAACGCCCTCGCCATAATTACTTGAGTAATTGATATTGTGTTGTTTCATTGGCGCCATGACTGCCTATTGATGCCACCTTGATCGACTAGGGTGAAGTTCGGTGAGGGTTTTTGGTGTGCTGGGACAAATGGTCAAAATCGCCTGGAGGGGAATTCGCAAGTGAAAATGGGCTTGGTTAAACAGCTGTCGTTTTCTGGAGGGCGGTAGAAAAGAATTTGTTGTCGGGCGATTGATGGTCGGCGTCGATTTGATGATCTTGAGAATGGAAGCGGTTGGAAGGATCAGGAGGTTGAAATGGAATTCTGGTGCGAAGTCTCCCAAGTTGAGTTCGTGGCCAGCCAAGGCCAGCCAAGAAGAATAGCGAACCTTCGGTGGAGTGGGGGTTATCACGTGGCCGGTCTCGGATCCTTACAGGCGGGATGTGCGGCACTTGAGAGTTGAGACCGCCGGAAGCCGCCCCTTCCATTTCTAATGTACATAGTATACAGTAAGGTAGCTTTCTTGCGACCAAAGTTACACAAAAAGCATCATCTAGCCGCGGAAGTACTACCTATGCATAAGCCTTGTGGTGAAATTGCTAGGGCATGAATTGGTTGTGATGGTTTATACTTTCCTTCTGCCTTTGCCGGTGGGCCCGAGGTTTACTATGCAAGTATGGAAATATGTACCATCATAACCTACATAACCATAGGATGTAGTATCTATCGAAAGATAACGTATCAATAGGGGTTGACGTACTGTGTCGGAGTAGGAGATGCACCATTGCACCGTTCATGAATCGCAACCGATGCAGCCCAGCTCCATAATGAGCTTGGCGTTGGCGTTGGCGTGGGCGTTGGCGGTGTGCTTTTGGAATGTGACATGGCTGCCACTGCCCATGACTCACTTTGTAAGCTTGAAGAGCAGGCAGCTATCCAGAGGTGCTGCTCCAAGCTTGGCCCCTAGCAATTTTCAACTCGCAAAATATGGATTGCCCATTTAACTACCTAAACTTTCATTGTCTTTGTCGTTCGGTGGTACGGAAGTAAGGTTAGGCGGTTGGTTACAGTTACCCTAGTCAGGCAGTCAGATCTTAATTGATTGATTCGGTCCCCACCAAAGACTCTGAATATGCAGGGATGCCCCGCTCAGGTTTCTTTATCGATAAAGGTTTTGGCGGGGAATGGGGGGAGATCATGAGATCGGCCTGCTCCGAAATAGCCGTGACGACCAGACGGCCTAAATGTCATCACGGGGATCTTTGCTTGTGCAAGCAGATCGACATGCTCTTCCCGATGCTGGACATTGCGGCAAAGGCGGTAAAAGTCCTCAATTATAACTATTATATTTCGGCACCCCGTCTTCCTCCAGTGTTCCACCCTGTGTTCTGGCTCGCTGCCAGATTTCATGTTGCAGATTCCAGACTCCAGATTCCAGGGTCCCAGGTCCAAGGTCTGAGACACTGGCGAATGGAACCAACCGAGTAATTGCCCCTCCATCGCCACAGTTCAGCAGTTCAGCAGATCCGACGTCTCCGAGGCATCTGTTAAGTCAACGGAAGCCGCGAGGGTCACCGCATGCGAGTAATGAGAAAAGCGCGTAGGGCGTGGGCATGCGTGACTTGTGCAAAGAAATAGCCCGTTTCAACTCCAAACCCCTTGGGTGCGATATTGAAATCCTCCCGCGCAGCTTCTTTTCCTCACCGCTGTTAGCTGCTTGCCGCAAAAGGTACCAGTAATACACCATGGCCGACCGCGGTTCCAACACCAACAAACTCTCCTCCGGCCCTTTGTTCCCGGCCTTCCTCCTCCCCAGCCTCAGCATCCCCTTCCGTCGGCGGCGGACCTCGTCGTCCATATCTTCCAGCCCCCCGCACGACTCCAGCCCCCCATCCCTCTCCTCCTCCCTCTCCTCCTCCAGTCCCGCCTCCCCCACCAGCCCGAACAGCCCCGGCACGGCCTTCCTCGCCGACTGGGATCTGAGCAGGTTCCTACGACCCAAGGCGCCGCCGTTGCCGACCGCTGGCCGCGACCACCGGCGCCTGTCGCGCACCCACCCAGACACCCTGCGCTGCAGCACCTGCTCCGCCGACCTCGCCTTCGGCGCCCAGGTGGTCAGCAAGGGCTTCACGGGCCGACACGGGCGCGCCTACCTCGTGTCCCCTCCCGCCGCCGCCCTCACCATCGCCGGCCACCACCCGCCCGCCACCACCACCACCGGGGCCGAGCTCGCCAACATCCGCATCGGCCGCTCCGAGAGCCGCCCGCTGGCGACGGGGATGCACGTCGTGGCGGACATCAGCTGCGCCGTGTGCGGCGCCCGCCTGGGATGGAAGTACGTCGACGCCCTGGAGGCGGCGCAGAAGTACAAGGTCGGCAAGTTCATCCTCGAGACGCGGCGCGTCGTGGCCTGCCGGGACTGGGAGGACGTCGAGGATGGGGACGGGGACGGGGACGGACCGGCTGAGGGGGTGGTGCCGGGTCGGAGGAGGAGGAGGGCAGATTCGTTGGAGGTTGAGATGGAGCAGGTGGGCGGGGGTGGGAGCGAGGGTGGAGAGGACGGTGATGATGATGGTGGGGTCGTGGTGTTCGACTCGGAGGATGAGCAGGAGTGCGAGGATATCTTCGCCGGGACGTGGGACCCTGCCGTCGTGGCCAAGAGACGACGGGGCAAGGTTGCCAACCTGAGAAAGAGGGGTGGTTTGAGGCGCCCTCTCGAGACCTAAGACGGATGCTTGGGTACTTCAAGGCGACACCTGCCCCCTTCCCACTTTCCCCTTTTTTTTCTCTCTCTTTTCTTTTTCTCTGGGCTGGGATTCAGACCTCTCACTTAGGCCTCGCGGCTGGCGGCCGGGGATCATTATTGTCATTCCTGATAATGGCATTCATAATATTGGGCGCATCATATTGGGCGGACTAACAGGAAATTGGGACACCACAATACCCCCCTTAAATAGGGTTCATGTAGGCAGGTATGGCAATATACTAGTAATGAAGGCAGGCAGACTGGAATGGTTTAGTCATTGGGCGCCTTTAAGGCCACTCCTTATATCGCGATGTACCAAATCTAAGCGACCATCATATTAGGGCATGGCTATATCACTGGCTGAGCAGGAACCTGACTCTCAGTTACACGAGGTCCCGTAAAAGCGGTGCCTATAACGGACACCAATCCCGTCGCCCTGTAGCCTTGAGCATCAGGGGAGCCGCTGCCACGGGCTGATCTACCTTGATATTGTGAGGCCCGGCAACTATTTAGACCTTTGGCTCCTCCGAAACATAATGGAGGTATGCTCCAAGCAGTTTAATGCCCTCGATGTAGTTTCGCTTGTCCAGCTTCTCGTTAATCGAGTGAGCGCCGTCCGTGGAGCTGCCCATCGGCAGGAGAAGGACGTTCTTGCCGGTGGCCTGCTCGAACGTGAGGGTGACGGGAATACTGTGCGATCTGTGGTTAGCTTCACTGTGCGTGCTGGGGAGAGCCTCCCTTCTCGCTGGGTGTTGTTGGTTTGCTTACCTGCCGCCTTCCCTGGTGAAGTCGGGCTTCACCCCCCACACGCGCTCCACGGCCTTGGCGGCTGCGGTGAAGTTCCAGTGGTTTGGGCTCGCAACCCACCACTTACCCGTGTGCTGGGCGTAGACCTTCAGAGTATTCTTGCTCCCGAGCTTGGCGAACTGCTCGTTGACGTACTTGTAGACGCACTCGTTTGTCTCATCGATCTCCATGTTCGGCACGGTGCGGATCGAGAACTTGCCGATGACCTTGGCCGGGATGACCGTCTTGGCCCCCGGGGCCGAGAACGCGCCCTCGACACCGTGCACCGACAGACTGGGGTACCGCCACCTCGCCATGAGGGTCGGCTCCTTCTCTTCGAAGATGGTCGTCTTGCTCCCCAGCGACTCGTGGAGCGTCTCCATGGTGAAGCTGATGTCGGAATACAGACCCTCCTCCTCGGCCGTCACGGGGGCGACCTGCTCGTTGATGCCGGGGATCAAGATCTTGCCGTTAGTATCGACCAGTGTCCCCAGCACGCGCACGAGGTCGGTCATGGGCTCCTGCGCGGTGCCTCCGAAGACGCCGCTGTGCAAGTCCTGGCCAGGCCCCGAGATCTCAACCGAGTAGTAGTTGCACCCGCGCAGCCCGTAGGTCAGGCAGGGCTTCTCCGTGCCCAGCCAGTAGTTGTCCGAGATGCAAACCGCCTCGGCGTCGGCGAAGAACTTCTTGGCCTCGACCTCGATGAGCTCATCCAGGCCCTCGGAGCCGTACTCCTCCATACCCTCGAAGCACATGAGCAGGTTGACGGGGAAGTCGACACCGGCCTTCTGGTGGGCCTCGATGGCGTTGAGCCAGCCCAGGACGGGCCCCTTGTCGTCGGTGGAGCCTCGGCCGAACATGCGGCCGTCGGAATCGACGGTGAGGTCGAACGGCTCGGTCGCCCACCCGTCGCTCTTCTCGGCGGGCTGGACATCGTAGTGGCCGTAGACGAGGATCGTTCGCTTGTTCTTGTCGCTACCGTACCGCGAGAGGATTACCGGGGGCAGGTCGAGCTCTGGCATGTCGGGCTGCTTGCCGAGGGGGCGGAGCTCGACCTGGGCGCCGAGGGCAACCAGCTCGTCGGCGAGCCAGTTGGCCATGCGGACGACATCCGGACGGCGGGCGGCGTCGGAAGAGATGGATGGGATAGCGACGGCTCTGCGGAGTCGGTCGATGAAGTGGTCAGACAGGCCGTCGACCTTCTGGAAGAAACCATCGAGTTGGGGAGCCATCTTGCGAGCTTGGTGGGAGCGTATCGAGTCTGTGATGTAGGCCCGCGAGAAGTTTGGTAGAGGACGAGTTGCGAAAAGCGAAGGAGAAGACGAATGGCACGAGGGCTTTGAAGAAAAACTTCGAAACAGAGGCAGAGCTAGCCGAAGAGGTGTCGACGGGATCAATTGGGAAGGTCGTATGAATAGTGTGCGGGGCATTTGGGAGTCTAAAGAGCGAGGCGTCACGGAATTGGGATGCAAGATGGTGGTCACCAACCAGAGAACCCCTCTTGTGCGCTTACTCTCGGAGCTTCAAACAAGGGAGGGGCCTGGTGGGGTGGCTTAATGCATCTATCCGGCATGCTAAATTAACGGGTCCTTAGGCATTTATGCGTGGGAATACGGATATGGCTGCTGTGCCATTGCTGGTCTCCTAGGAGATTATGGACGGTCGCATACGCTTCAATCGACCGCGGCAGCCTTCTTACCGCAAGGAAGAGCCCATGTGTGCAGCGGTTCAACTGCTTATACAACATTTTCCAGGAGAATAGTAGACATGGAACATGCACTGAGAGAAGAACAATTCGGCCCACCGGCATTGTACCGTAACCGAAGAAGACATATGAAGATCATCTTGTCGAGCAGATAGGGATTGACGCCCGGGCTCGAACCCATACCATTTCCAGGAGGACCACCCAGTCCCGCGCGGCGGATTATATCACGAAGTCGCTGGCGCAGGCTGGCGTCAGGAAGGGTACCTGCTGCTGTTGTTTGAATCTGGTACATTTGTGCCTAAACCGGACCGACTGCATCGCATGGCCGCTGGATTCGGCGATAAGTACAATGGCACCTCTGTCCAGGACTGTGCCCGATGGAAGGGCTAACTCAGTTGCTCCTCTGACCTGCCTTGGCTTCCCTCAACTCGTCCATCTTAGCCACCCGCTTCTTGAATTCGACGTATTGGCACTTCTCGTAGGTATGTCTCTCGTCCTAAGCGTGTGGGGGAAAGGTGTCAGCTCCTTGCCCAAATACCATTGAACTCGAGCTTCTTAGGATATCCCGTTCTGGGCCGCGGCCTCGGGTTCCGGAGAATGCACGTACCTCGCACTTCCAAGGCAGGTAATAGGTCTCGTAACGGCACCGATTGAGAGGGATTAGAAGATGCGCGCAGCTGTCTCGGTAGGCCAACGGGATTTTCGCAACGCTCATCTCTTCCCGGGTCGCAGCTGGGATTGCAGGGTCAGCTTGAGCTTCAGGCAGCGGTATGGTTTCAGAGATTCGCTTACGCCGCGGGGTCTCGACTGAGGAACCATCTAGCGCCATCTTGGAATGCAATTGAGACGCTTCCGCCAGCAATTGCGAGGGTTGGGATTGGGGTTGACGTCGATGTCGTTCAAAGATGGAAGGAGCTGTTTCGATTGTCCAGATTCCACGCTAACCGGAATGGGCGCTGACAGATCAAGGTCACGTGTCTAGAACATGGAACTAAGGCACTTGTCATTGGATGATCTCCACACGCTCAACTCGGGACAGCATGGAAAAGCAGATCAACGCTGCTGCAAAAGACTGACTTTCTGGGAGGCCGAGTCCACTGTTGCTATTAACTTTATGCGTCGCCTAATATTGCTTCGGCGTGACAGTGCCGTGCTATGCTGCAGCTTATCGGACACATCGTGCTCTCGAAAGCCCATAATGTGCTGCCGAGAAGGCCATGGAGACTCGCAATATTTCATGGATCAGACTTCACACGGTCGCCGTGTTCCTTCCGAAGCTCGGCATCGACAAGAACTAACCAACCCCTCTCCGTACGAGGCTTCCAAACCCCCAAACCCAAATCCTGTGTGGCCTTTATGCGGCACTTCTCTTCCACTAGCTATGCGGCCTCAATCTAGCGCACCCCGGCTGTTCAGCTTTAACCGCCATATCAAGGGTTGTTCCACAGCAGGTCCGCCCTTCGTTTGCAGATCTTATCCGGGAAGAAGCAGGAGCATGGACTTCGTTGCCCCCAAGCTGCATGATTCTAGATGATGTTCAGTATGCAATATCTAATCTGACTGTGCTCCGTCCGTCACGGAATTAAGAGACCCTTCGTCGCACCGCGAGTTATTCATTCGTCTGTGCGATGGTCTGCACGAGGATTAGGTATATAGTTTTTCTGTTAATTCGTAAGCTTTCTGCGCCCTACTCGCAATTTAGCTTGGCCCAAGGGGGGGGGATTTTGAATATAATGTCCCCCTTCCTCTGCAATGTGGCTCCGGGACCTCTCTTAACGTTTTCTCCCTTTTATTTTCTAAATTTGTGAATCCTCGTCTCGCTAGGTGTGCTTCAAGATGAGGACATCGGGGCTGTTGCCGGTGCTTTCTGCCGTCGTCGGCCTGCTCGGCACGGGAGCAGAATCTCGCGTCTCGTTACCATTCCCGCCTGTTATCCAAGCGATCGCAGCTCCCCCGGGGGGCAATGGGGCCGAGATATTTGAACAACTCATTGATCATTCTAACCCGAGCTTGGGGACGTTCTCGCAGCAGTATTGGTGGAACTCGACCTACTGGAAGGGGCCCGGATCGCCGGTATGGCGAGCCTCCTCCTATCTGGGAACCAGCTCTTGCTGAAGCAGCTTCTAGATAGTCATCTTCACCCCTGGCGAGGTAGAGGCAGAGCCATACCAGGCGCACCTGACGAATCGTACCATGATCGGCCAGTATGCTCAAGCCCTCGGAGCTGCGACCATCTTGTTTGAACGTACGTTGCCCGACTGAGAGATCGAGGTTCACGTTGTCCACGTTTTCTAAACAGTTTCTGCAGACCGCTACTACGGGAAGTCGTCCCCGTACGAGATACTCGACAACCAGGCACTGCAATATCTAACCCTCAACAACTCTGTGGCCGATTTGGTCCACTTCGCCCGTACTGTCGATCTTCCGTTCGATACGAACCACTCCAGCAACGCGCCGCAAGCGGTAAGTTAGCAAAGTGAGCATTGGGTGGTGGGGAGGAGGCCACCTTGCTAATCGATGTCCCTCAAGCCATGGATTCAAGTAGGTGGGAGCTACAGCGGAGCATTGGCCGCATGGAACGAGAGGCTCTCTCCCGGGACATACTGGGCATATCATGCCAGCAGCGGGCCGGTCGAGGCCGTTTACGACTACTGGTCGTACTTCCTGCCCATCCAGAAAGGGATGGCCAAGAACTGCAGCAGAGACTTTGAGCGGATTGTGGACTATGTGGACGACGTGATATCGGAAGGAGATGCGGACAAGCTTGCCAAGCTCCAGAAGTCGTTTGGTCTGCAGGAACTTGGGCACGCCGACGATTTCGCTGCGTATGACTTATCCCAGTCCCAGGACAAAGCCCTGCACAGCCTCCCCCGCTGACGTGTGTGCGTGATAGAGCAATTGCGGTTTCCTTGGGAGAATGGCAGGCGGTGCAGTTCTATTCGAACTATTCCACCTTCTTCCAGATGTGCGACACCATCGAGGGCGTGAGGGCCGTTTCCACGAACAAGACAAACACGCGCACAAACGCTACGATCCCGTCCGCGCATGGTGTCGGGCTGGAGAAGGCCCTGGCCAACTATGCAGCCTGGTTCAAGGCCGAGTATCTGCCGGGATGTGAGCTTCTCCCGCCTTCTCTGATCAGAGTTTGTTGAAACTGACTCTGGCTGCCTTCAGATTGCCAGGACTTGGATTATGAGGACTGGAATAGCACGAATTCCGTCGGCTGTTTTGAAACCTACAACGAGACCAGTGTCATGTACACGGACCGGAGCCCCAACAATACGATCAATCGGCAGTGGTTCTGGTATATCTGCAACGAGCCATTCTTCTACTGGCAGACGTAAGTTTTTGACAGCCCGCCATGTTTTCTGCCGAGAGAGACAGAGAGGGAGGGAGGGAGCGAGGGAGAGAGAGAGAGAGCACAGCTACTGACTTACACGATTCCCAGCGGCGCACCGAAACATCGGCCGACTATCATCTCACGCTATGTCACAGCAGAGTACTATCAGCGCCAGTGCGGGCTCTTCTTCCCCAAGGACGGCAACTACACCTACGGCTCCAACGCCGGCCGGACGGCGGAAGAGCTGAATGCCCTGACCGAAGGCTGGGACTTGACCAACACGACACGATTGCTCTGGGCAAATGGGTTCGTACCCCCCTTTTTATAAATATATATTTATTGCGTCGCTCTCCATCCCATCAAGCAACTCCCAGCAGGAAATAACCGACCTCGTGCTAACTCCCGGGATGTCAAACAGCGAGTTCGACCCCTGGCGCTCGGCCTCCGTCTCGAGCGAGCTGCGGCCCGGCGGCCCGCTGCAGGGCACGGCGGAGGCGCCCGTCTTCCTCATCGCCGGCTCGCGGCACTGCAACGACCTGACCTGGCTCAACGGAGAGGTCAACGCCGACGTCCGGACGGCGCAGACGGCGCAGATGGATCTGATGACCCGGTGGGTGGGGGAGTTCTACGCGGATGGGGGCTAAGGGGGTGGGGGACGGGGGCAGGAGGGGAGGAGCCGGCAGTGGTGGGCGGGGGACTTGAGATGGGGGATGGGGGCTGGAGGTTGGGGGCTGGGTTGTAATGAGGGATGACGAGTTCGGACGAGAGAAGAGAATGCGAAGTGTTGCTAAATTTGATAAACCTCGCTGACCTGAGAATGGTTTACGCCGTTGTGAGGCACAATCTGCAACCAACAGCCAACCATGTCAGAAATGTGGAAACTCGATCCTGCACTGGCACAGACTGGATCTCCAACACGGCTGCAACCCCGCGGCGTGAGAATGCTACTGCGTGACGTCTTGACGCCAAATCGACGCACGGAGCATGGGAAACGGCAGAGGTGTTGACATGCATAACGGATGCGCATGGCCCGGCCGTTGTTGGTTATTTGCTTCTTCCCGCGCTGCCGATCGGTCCCCGATGCGAGGCACAGCTACCCAATCCCCGGGGGCCACGGGGATTGCGTCCTTTCCGAGAGCAGGGAAGTGGGTGTGAGGGAAGGACCGTTGGCTGCGGTCTCGAGGCGTGTTGGCTGGCGGCGAAATCTCCACTCAACAGAGCCTCGGCGGCTTGTCTCACGGTTGTAATACCACTCGTTCGTGGCGATCATCGCACTTCTCGTTGGGTTTGACGAGATAGCTATTTCCAAAGCACCCAGCAGAGGTTGTCAGGTCCCACGAGGAGAGGCTTGCGACGAGGCTTGTGACAAGGCAGCAGTCAGCAGTCACCGGGGGTCGTGTCTAATTTTGAGGTTGCTGTGGGAATCCCGGAGCCGGGTTATGCGCGAAGGAAAACTGGAAACCGGGATGACAAGGTGAGCTGGCAGGCCAAAGCGGTTCCGAAGCAACCAACGACCTCGGCGTGCATTGTCAGTGGCCAGTGAGTTTGTCTGGTCGTATCAGAACGGGCCTGTCTGTGCTGGAATGCAGATAACTGGCCTATCGGGCCGCATCCTTGTCGTGGTGATGTGCATTCCCAGCTTGTTGGGACCAGCATGGGGCTGCTGCTGGTTCGTCGGTGAGGTGAGGATGCGAGCCAGGCGACATTGGGAATATTGGGCGCCACTATCACAGACCGACATCATGTTCAATTGAAGATCAACCAATTACTTTCAGAGATGGAGAACCAGAAGAAGACGAGCGCAGAGAGATGTCTAGTTTTGGAAGTGAATCCATTCCTGCGTCATGTTAACCAAATTCAAGAGCCGCGGAAGCGCGATCCGGAAGCGCGGTATGTAGGCACACCTGCACGTGGAGGTCCAGTACATACATTGAGGATGTATTTGCACGGAATATCTTGATTGTGGAAGTGCAACGTTGCGTCGATCAATCCAGCTGGCGAAGACTCTGCGCATTTATTGTTAAGGCAAAAGAACAGGCGTCTGCATACCATGCCACGCCCTTGAATTAAGAGATAGATACCTACCTATTCGATGTAGACCGGCGGGAAGGCCGATGCCGATGCTGATGCTGATGAACCCTATTTAATCAGGGATATTTTCGGCTCTCTTACAGGGCAGGACAGGCAGGGTAAAGCGGGCAAATTATCGCTATTTTCGCTATTTCCCCCAATTTGTCCGTCCCCAGCCCTCCCAATAATAGCATACTCAGCAGCATGAAATCCCCGCCTGGGTGCAATTCTGCGGCGGGTTCTAACGTAATACCGAATGGAATGCAAGTCCAATGCCTCGTCCCGAGCTCTATTGCTATTCCTCGGTGATACTCGTGATTCTAGCAGTGTCTATCCCACGTCAGAAAACTTCTTACCGACAGGCCCAGCTGAAGTTGACGCCTTTGTTGGTGGACTGGAGATTGGTCAAGTTGATCGTTGCATGGGATCCCACACTACCTACCTTATCGCTTGCACCACATGTCATGTACATGTATGCATCACATTTCTTTCCTCCTTTTTTTTTAAGTGGCATGGAACACAGGATAGCGTGCCACAAGCGCATTCAATCGCGGAGAAGCGCCAAGGGCGAGGGCGAGGGCAAGAACCAGGACCAGGACCAGGACCAAAACAAGACCAAGAACCAGACCAGGAACCAGACCAGGAACCAGAGCAAGCGCTCCCGATTTACTCTGTTATTGGCAGGCTGTCCTATGAAGAGCAAGCTGTCTTTCTTTGCAGCGACCTCTATCCTCCGTCCTCTTCCTCCAGCCTGTCTGACTCCTCGGGCCATGATGATCCTCCACAAGTGGCTTCCGCCACAGCCTGACACCTTTGTGTGACTTGAGACATTCGGCAGGAACCGTAGCATCGGGTCTCTCGCAGCCTCCCTTTGCTCCCCGAGTGGGGGCGTAACCGCGCTACCTGCAGACCCACGCGCAGGCCACGACGCGGGCGTACACCTACCCCCCTCTGAGACTGTGCCACCGGTCCGTGCCGCTTGGAGACCGAATCTTAGCAGTCTGTATTATACCGAACGTCAACATGGAAGCTCTCTCGGTACTTCCCAAATACCCATGCCAGCCAGGGTGCAGCTCGTCGCCCAGTCGGGTAGCCGGTCAGTGGCCAGTGGCCAGCCAATACCCTCCTCCCGTGTCTGGAGATATCCAACCTACGAGGTAGATCCATGGCGCTGCCCCCTCCAAGATAGGTGGGTTGTGTCGTGCGTCACTTCAGCCTCCTTTGTGCTCAACACCGGTCAAGCTGCCATCAGCAAGCCATTCGTTTAGGCGCGGATCTTCAAGAATTTGGGACAGCAGAGACAAGGATTCTCTGTGCTTCCCTCGACCAGGGAACCCACCAGTCAGGATGGCTTCCAATGGCGTTGCATCCTCCACCTCTTCACCCTTTCTATTTCTAGAATGCAGGTCACCTATTCCGCCACTCCATCATGGAGACTATCCCGTGGGCTCCTCTCCCGTGAGCTCAGCCGGTATCCCAGGGTGGCTCCAACAGCGGGAGCCAACCAGGCAAGCCTCCCGGGCAATATCTCGGTGCATTCAATGGAGGCCCCGTTTCCCACGGCGTCAATTTGTTCCTGCATTTTGTGCTGGTGATCTCAAGAAGTCTCCTTTATACATACCTCCGGTATACTCCCCGGGTCCCGGGCTTGTCTTTGGCTATAAGATGCCCTCGCCGTCTTCCTCCCTCCCTTCATATCTGCTCATAGACCTTCCCACAAGCCCGCCAAGTCCCTCCTCTCCATCTTTCTTTCGTCATTCTTCCGTTTTCTTCCTCGGGTCCCCTCCCCCCTTCCCTGTCCGCATCGGCCTTCCCCTTTCATTGGTGCGTTGGGCAGCCCTAGACGAGTTTTCTTTCCTTGGGTGGCGTAATAAATACAGAGCCACGTCAACTACATCCTTTGGTTTCCATTTGCCTTCTACCTCTGTCCTCTTCAGCTCTTTGCCTGAGATCTACCTCTGCCCTCTTCAGCTCTTCAAAAATGGCTTCAACGGTTCCTAGTGGCCGTCAATATCCCGGCGATGTCAGCCTCCCTTTTCCTGATATCGAGAATCTATCCAACTCTACAACGATCGTCCATGATGAGTCTATCACACAACCAGTAAAGGCATTCCTCCCCGGTCGCCGCAAGAGCCTCCCTATCACACCTCGGGATTTGGAAGAGGCCCGTGTCTATCACAGTTACGATTCTTCAACGACGCTTGAGACAAGTGAGAGCAGCGAGGGCGATGACCACTGGGAGAAGACCAGGAGGTCTGAGCCTTCCATCCCTGACCGAAATCCTCCTCATGGCCCTAGTGATGCTCCCCTACCAGCCAAGAAGGGCAACAGGTTCTATCGCTATCTACGCTGGAATTTCGGGTCTGTCTACCGCCGAATCTTTTGCCTCTCGGTCTTGGGCAACATCGCCCCCCTCGCATACCTTCTCGCTCATGGTCTACTCGGCGGGCCACGCCTGACACACCAGGTAGCATCTACCGCTGTTTCGGCCAACATTCTCGCGGCCATCCTCGCCCGGAACGAGCATGTTGTCAACGCCATGTTCATCGTTTTTGGCACTTGGCCTAAACGCGCCCCTTTCTGGCTTCGACGACTGGTCGCAAAGGTCTACTCATACGGAGGCGTCCATAGCGGCTGCAGCGTCGCCGCCACGTTCTGGTACATTGTGTTTCTCGTTCTCCTCACTCAAGTTTTCACCAGCGTCGGGATTTCCGTCCTGCGAGGATACCTCCTACTGGTCAGCTACCTTATCATACTCTTACTTGTCTCCATCATCATCTTCGCCCACCCTCGACTACGCTCCGTCATCCATAATTGGTTCGAGGGCGTGCACCGGTTCATGGGCTGGACAGTCGTTCTCCTCTTCTGGGCGCAGATCATGCTTCTGACCGTCGATGCGGCCGCCTCCCGCTCCATTCCCTTTGGCACGGTCCTCATCACCTCGCCACCCTTCTGGATGCTCCTGGCGATCACGCTCCTGATCATCTACCCTTGGACTCGCCTACGCCTCCGCGACGTCGAGGCGGAGGTCCTCTCGGACCACTGTGTCAAGCTCAACTTCAACTACGGCGACGTCCAGTACGGCCAGGCCGTGAGGCTGACCGACGCTCCGCTCCGAGAGACTCACTCCTTTGCAGTCATCCCCAACCCCCCTGCTCCTTCAGCTGCCCCACATCAACAGGCGGGCGAGGCGCAACTGGTGTGCTGCCGCTGCAGGGCTGTGCTCGACGGCACGGACAACAACGAAGCCACGACTACCATGGCCGAGGGTTCTCCTCTCTCAACCACCCAGCCCAAGACCCAACCCCGGACGCCATCCCCCTCACCACAGCAACAAGTACAGGCCTCCCAGCCCGCCTTCGGATCCTCCCACGCGGGCAAGGCCGGCTTCTCCGTGCTCGTCTCCAACGCGGGCGACTGGACCAAGAAGGTGATCCACAACCCGCCCAAGAAGATGTACACGCGCGGGGCGCCGCAGTACGGCGTCCTCCGGGTGGCGGGGCTCTTCTCGCCATGCATCGTGGTGGCGACGGGGTCGGGCATCGGCCCGTGCCTGTCGCTGTTCGTCCAGCGGCCAGACCACCCCGTCCGCATCGTCTGGTCGGCCCCGAGACCCGCCGCCACCTACGGCCAGGCCGTCGTCGACCTGCTCTACCGCGCCGACCCTGGCGCCGTTGTTATCGATACCCGCAAGACGGGCCGCCCGGACCTGGTCGATATCGCGTACCGGATCTGGGAGTCGAGCAGGCGGGAGGTTGCGCGGGCGGGGAAGGGGGCGCCTGCGTCGGGGCCGTGCGAGGCCGTCGTCGTCATCTCGAATCAGAAGGTCACTAGGAAGGTGGTCTATGGGCTTGAGAGCAGGGGCGTGGCTGCGTATGGCGCTATCTTTGACTCGTGAGGGGTATGAGGACATGACGGGTTTCCCCCTTTTCACTTCTTCCCTTGTCGTTTTACCTGCTTCCCCTGTCGTTTTTACCTCCCGGGTCTGGGATATTCGTGACATCTCAGACCGCTTGGGCATCAAGGAATTGTACGAGGTATGGAGTTGGTTGGAACTTGTTTCCAGGCATGTTTAGCTCCTCCTTTTACGGCTCTCTCTCTCATGCCGGGAAGAGTATTCAAGGCGTCTCTTGTACATTTTTATCCGGGTCCGGTATTTTACGGACCTAGCCTTGGTTCCGTACTGCTGGGACGCTGGCGCGTTGGCTGCTCGGTTTGCCCCTGGTTGGGGCTTTCGGTCTTCTTCTTTTGGTTTCAGTTCCTCCTACCATAGACGGTCATTTAGATGAAAAGTTTGGATTTGCCAAGAGTGTGCTGCTCATGTCGTGACGATGTGTGACTAGGAAGCCATCAAAAGCCTGGAGCACAAATGGCGGCTGCTAATTATTATCTAGTGATTCACATTTCCGTCGTCTTGCACTGACTATTAGGTTTCTGACAAGCCACTTGTATGAGAACAATCATCCATTCACTCTCAGTCGAAGCTAGAGATCAAACCTTGGTTAGCCCATGTGCGATCATGGTCACTTTTTTCTCACGAAGCTATGAGATATGGTCTGTCATTATTTTCATAGTAGCCTTGATACTACTGAGTTTAACTAGTCCAACCACTTTGCTGATCACTTACGTTCCAACCTATTACTCGCATCTACCTTCCCTTTACTGCGGCATGCAGTGGCCTTGCTACTCCGAAAAATCTCCCCTTAAGCTGCTGAGAAACCGAGATGTTTAGACCCAATGCTAAAGCTGACCGTATCCAGGTCAGTTGTTAATTTTATGAAACTTTCGATCTGACGCTTTTTCTTCCCTTCATTAGCCCTCCTATCCGGCCCTATCGAAATCTTCTAGGTTGGCACCGCGTACCACGAGAACAAGAAATTGTTACTCTGGATATCCAATAGCCTCTTCCTTGCCGCAATGCGTCGCTCGCCATTCGTTCAAATTGGTGATTCCTGCTGCCTACATTTTCTCGATGCTGTGGAGGTGATGAAACCGGAGGAATAGCAGTTACAGTCCCATTGAGGACAGGGAAGAGGGATCTACCGTGATCGTTTCGGTGACCGTTTGAGTGATTATAATGGTGTCGCCTTGGGGGGCTATTTGGCTCGTTCGGGAAGGTATCGAGGTTGGGGAGGAAGTTGCTGTATTGGAGACATCGGACATCCTGGTTGGACGACAGGTCTTTGATCGAAGGGAAGAGATATGCGAAGATTGTGGAGATGTCGTCGAAGATGGCCTCGTCGCTGTGGGTTCGAAAGTGGACGAGAATGATAACGTTCCCGAACTCCGAGTTGACTACGTCGATGTTAGCTGCTGATTATCTTATAGTCTAGGCAATCAAGGGAGACAATACAGCGGCTGATTGTGAGACCGATTGAAGTGATTCGGGGGAATTTGGAACTGCCGGGGAATCGGGAGCACCTGAGACCACGCTGGAAGCCATGTCAGACATAAAGTCTCGTTTGAAAACTGATAGCTGATCTGACTAACCAAGGGGATATAGAATCACAGGAGGATATTGTGCTCCCTGTCTTCGTAATGGCTGTGCCTGCGACGACAACAACCGTGTGGTAAACAAGAACAAGGGGCTCACAGGTCGCAACGCAGTTTACTGTGACTGCAGATATATGTGTAAGTGGGATAACGAAGAGCCGAGCTCGCCAGAGTGGGAAATAGGGGATATATATATATATATCCATCTCTCCTTACCTGCACTCGAGTTAACCACCACCAGTAGAAAGAAACAAACAAGAGCCAGGGGGGGTATGGCCGTGGAGTGTACGTGGGATTTTGACATATTGATTTCAGGTTGTCTCTTGTTGGGATGCCAAAAGAGGTACTGGTGGGCCAAGGAAAGCGATGGGACATCATTTCTTCAAGAGTATGTGCGCGTATATATACCTATACATCAAGCGCTGCGTTTTGACAACAGAAAAGGGTCAAGTCACCAGCATATTTGTGAATTTGTTGTTCCACCAAGACAATCAGTGAAACTAGCCTACCAGTCATTCAAAATCCTTCGGCTTCCAGTAAATCCGCAATCGCCTCGACACCTTCAAAGACTGTGACTGTGCGCCATTCTTCGTTGTGTGTGTCGTCAATTTCGGGCCAGCTTTGCTATTCACGGCTGTCTTCCCAACACACACTCATGGGTTATCAGAGCAGGCCATCAGAGAACCGTAAGTGTCATGAAGTTACAATAAATTTCAAATCCAATATCTTTTTAGTTCCCCCAGTTTCGCGACCGCCAGCAGTAGAGCTTAAGAAGGGCGCCACGAGTGTCTTCTTCTCCTGAAGAGGTCCCTTGACCAACCAAACCACCAGCCTGCCCAAGAAACCGCTGAACCCAAGATTTTCAACGCCTCCCCGCAGCCAGACCATATGTGCAGCAGCTTGCAGGTGCCTTCTCGCTAGATCAACCTCTCCAGTTGAGGACTCAAGACAAAAAAAAAAGTCAGTGTGTGTCCTGCGAGTTCCCCGTGCACCAAAAGATTCAAACTTACAGCGTCAGATGCAAGAGCGAGGGTCTTGAGAATCGTCGCATCGCTGACCGACTGGCCCTCTAAAGTCAAGGCGAGGTTCAACATACGGATGCACTCGGTCTTGTACTTCAACGCCTGGTTGGCGTATATCTCTGCATGATTCAGCGTGGATAGATGACGACTTGCAACGAGGAGAACGCCCGCAAGGACGCCGGCGTCGGTGGCTGCCATCTGCATCCAGGACTTGGCCATGCCGTCTCGAATAACCTGTTTCTCGATATTGGCTTGGATGGGGAAACAAGCCAACGAAGAGGACAGGATGACATATTTGACGACTGTTATTGAAGGAGGCCGTCAGTCAGTTGCTAATTAATTACCTTGTAGCAGTTGATAAAACGCTGGATTCCTCGAGACTATAATTATACGCCCAACGATGAGAGTTGAAATGACCCCCACTTACAGTGATCGAGGAGGAATCCTTCAAGCGGGGAGAGTCGCCGCGCAAAGCTGTCGAACGGGTCCGTCCTGGCAGCACCGAGAACAGACTGCGGACTGGCAATGGCTACGATGTGAGGGCTCAGGGGGCTCGCAGCGGGCGTCAACGCTAGTAATTCATCTCTTGGTGGGTGCTCCGCCGACAACACCGACTGGTGGTCGGCCACTCTCTTTTGCCGAGCCTGAGAGTTGCGTGCTGCATGAGAGCGAACCTTCTTCTTCCAGGCAGGGGCATTGTCAGGGTGGGATATGTGGACGAACTGAAAGCCGCCTGGTGTTGGCTCCTTCGGCGGCATTCGGTCTCACGATGCGGGTGAGATCAGTCAAGAGTCGGCAAGAGGAGTACGGAGTATATGGTAACCTAGTATCTTCGCTCTCGGAGGGATGGGAGATTGCAAATGGAGATCCATGGATATTATTCAGCATTGATCCTGTATTGGTCCGATGCCGACTCCACACCTCCGAACGCCAAGCTTCGCATTTTCCTAATTGGGAAGTCTCATGTTGGCGTTGCTTGCTGACAGCCATGGATGCTTGCTGATTGATTGAAATTTGGGTCGATACCGGTCATGTTCCCATATTTGGTGGCATCGCGAAATCCTTCGACAAATGCTATATAATTAACCGTGGCTGCACCTTTCCGCGATCTAATTACCTCCAACACTTCGAGGCTCTAAAACTAACGAGTTGCCCAGAGCAACATATTTCGTGTAGTAAAGTCTAACGAGTCTTTTTCGTTGTTCATCATCATCATCATCATCATGCCAAGGATGTGGGATCCTCTCACTGACGCCCCTGACCTCCACGGGAAAGTGGCGGTGGTGACAGGCGGCAAGTAAGATATGCAACCCCCCCCCCCCCCCCCACCGCCCCCCAACCTCCTTTTTTTCGTTTCTCCCCAATCATACAAGTAACAATAGTCTATGGGTACCTAGTCACTGTATTGGACTGACAGCCTCAACAGCGCCGGTATAGGGCTGGTAACGGTCAAGTACCTCGCCTTACGCGGAGCCAAGGTGTACTTCACAGCCAGGTCCGAGGCGAAGGCCCAGAAAGCACGAGATCACCTCAAAGCCAGTCACCCAGACATTGATCTGAACAATCTCGTCTGGCTGTTGCTTGACTTGGCAGATCTCAAGACAGTCACTTCTGCCGTTGAGGAGCTGAAGAAGAAAGAGGACAAAGTTGACATTCTAAGTAATTACAGTTTTAGCATCTCTCATGGTGCCATAACCTATCATTACTACACGTTGGTTGGTACTGACAACTCGAATAGTCAATAATGCCGGATTTGTAACAGGTTCGACTGAGACTGTGGGGCCGGGTTGGGAAAGCCATATGGCTGTCTGGTATGAACGATCCCGAACAAATTACCCCTGTTGCCACCCGCTTACCGGTGTCGCCAGCCATGTTGGCCACTTCGTCTTCACAAACGGCATCATGCCTCTGCTCAAGCACGCTCTCACCTACGAGAACGCGGACGTCAGGGTCGTAACGCTCAGCTCTTGCGTCGTGTGCGATTTTCTCCCGCCCAACTACGACTTCCATTTCGACTCTCCGTCTTTCCTCACAAACCCAGCCCCTTCTTACCCGTGGCGGTGGCGATATTTAAACCGGCATATATTCGTCGTAGACATGATCCGCTACGGGGTCGCCAAGGCTGCAAACATGATGTTTGCACAGGAACTGCAGCGCCTGATGGACCAGCAGGGGCTCCCGATCATATCCACGTCGGTGCACCCGGGAGGGGTGGCGACCGACAGCGTCACGGACATTGGCAACAGCGTGTTCGGCCTCCTCGTGCGGACAACATTCATCACCCCGGACCAAGGTGGCGTGACGCCCTTCTTCGCAGCGACCGCGAAGGAGGTGCGCGACAGCCCGGAGAAGTACAAGGGGAGATTTCTGGAGCCGTTTGGGAAGGTGGGAACTCCGCATGTGGTCACAAAGAACGAGAAGCAGGTGCGGGGCCTGTGGGATAATACGACGGCCGAGGCGAACAAGTACCTCGTCGAGCTTGGCCTTGCTCCTCTCGGTTCGTGGTGATATGAGTATGTATGACTGCGTTGAAATGACCATCACATCTCAACAAGTTTTGATAGATTTTCTTTCCATCTACGAGCGCTTACACAATAATATATTTCAGTTTCTCATCCCTCCGTCACCTTCCCCTTATCATCCTGGGCCATATTATGTGGAACCTGGCGCTTTCAGTCGTCGACATTGATATCTAACCCGAAGAACAACCATGTCAGCGGTCAGTATTTGTAAATCAACTTAAGAGTGAGAAGTTATCAAAATATTTCTTTCTTTTCTAATTTATGTCTCAGGTATTATTAGATAAAATAGATATGTGGAAAGTTAGCTTCACATTTCCAAATATCCAAACGTTTTCACATTTAGCACGCTCTTATTGTTTTTAAGGGGTTCTTTAAATGGCGGCCCCAACCAGCTGGGAGAGATAAGTATAAGTGACGACAATCAGAAGCAAGTTAAGAAGATATAAACAAGTGATCGAACGCTGAGCATTGCAATTGCAATGTGAATGGAGGTAGCACGTTCTAAAATTAGGCAGCATGTACACTTAATTGGGTGGTGGTCGATGCAGCACGTGCCTGCTCACATGCAGGCTGTTTTAATTGATTCGCGTGTCGCCGTATCCTGACCGCGTCTTCCCCACTTTCAGCTTCGCGTCTTTGCGACGTGACTTGCGCTCATTTCTCCTCTCAAATCTGTCTGGTGACTGCCTACCTAGTCATTGGAGCAATCCGCCGCCACCGTGCAACCTCGGACTGCTGCAGTTGTCTGCTAACCCTTCATGGGCTATTTTCTGCGGTGACACTCTGGTTTCTCTCACTGCGGCTAACTTTCTTGCGACCTCCCTTGAACCTTCCCACCTTCCCATCTTTCTATCAGCGCCAGGGCAGCGCCATTGAGAATTCGACACCCCTGCGGCCAACCTTGGTTGTTTCCAGCATTGAAGGAAGATGGTGAAAGGCAGCGCCCCCGAGGGCATCTATAGTGCCACGTACAGCGGCGTAAGTTGATCGGCCTGCCTTGGTTCCTGGTCCGCAACTGCGTCCGCGCGCTGGCGTTTCCCCCAAGAGCGACCGACCCCTTGTTGGGCGGTTTCGACCTAGCGACTACTCCTGAGTATTGGTTCACCGTTAGGGGCGACTGCTGACCCGTTTGTCTGGCAGATTCCTGTATGGGAATTCCAGTTCGGAGCAGATCTCAAAGAGCATGTAATGCGACGGCGACACGACGACTGGATCAATGCGACACATATCCTCAAAGCCGCCGGGTTCGATAAGCCCGCGCGCACCCGAATCCTCGAGCGCGAAGTGCAGAAGGACGTCCACGAGAAGATTCAGGGTGGATATGGAAAGTACCAAGGTTCGCCTCGCCTCTCCCTTCCCCTCTTCCGCTACCCCGGAGACGAACAGTGATCCTTACGCATGCTCTCGAACAGGGACATGGATTCCATTGGAACAAGGCCAGGCACTCGCCCGCCGAAACGATATTTTCGAACGCCTACGGCCAATATTTGAATATCAGGCTGGCGGCGAAAGCCCCCCGCCTGCACCTCGACATGCCAGCAAGCCCAAGGCTCCAAAAGCCAAGCCTGCTGTTCCGAAATGGAGCAGTAAGTCGTCCAACTTAGCGCGCGCAGACAACGTCTCACAAGGCCGCAAAGGTGCTGCTCCTCCTCCTCCTGTCCTAGAGGAGTATGACAATGGCGATGTGCACATGAACGAAGACGACACCCCAGACAACCTCACCATTGCCTCGGCGTCTTACATGGCCGAGGACGACAGATACGACGCCCCACAGTTCTCGACAGGACATAGGAAACGGAAGCGGGAAGAGATGATTCAAGATCTGACAGATCAACAGCACGCCATGTACGGAGATGAGCTCCTGGACTACTTTCTTCTCTCTAGGAACGAGCAGCCTGCCATACGTCCGGACCCTCCGACCAACTTCCAGCCCGACTGGACCATAGACACGGAACGACACACGGCCCTCCACTGGGCATCGGCCATGGGTGATGTTGATATAATCAAGCAACTCAAGCGTTTCGGTGCGAATCTGGCCTCCCAAAACGTCCGCGGCGAGACACCGTTCATGCGGGCTGTCAACTTCACCAACTGCTACGAAAAGCAAACCTTCCCGCTGGTCATGAAGGAGCTCTTCAGTACCCTGGACGCCAGAGACGCGTCCGGGTGCACAGCCATCCACCACGCGGCAGTCATGAAGAGCGGCCGAGTCGTCTCCCACTCGTGCTCGCGTTACTACCTGGACAATATACTCAACAAGCTCCAGGAGACACACGAGCCGAACTACGTCCAGCAGCTGATCGACGCACAGGACAACGACGGCAACACGGCCGTCCACCTCGCCGCCCAGCGTGACGCCCGGAAATGCATCCGCGCCCTCCTGGGCCGCGGGGCGTCGACAGACATCCCCAACAAGGAAGGGGTCCGCGCCGAGGACCTGATCAAGGAGCTCAACGCCACCAAGTCCAAGTCCTCGCGCACCGTGCAGCAGCGGTCGTCGAGCCCCTTCGGCCCGGAGTCGCAGCGGCACGCCTCGTTCCGCGACGCCGTCGGCGAGTCGGTCGGCAGGCTGGCCATGTCGTTCAAGAGCGAGGCGGCCAGCACGGTGCAGAGCCGGATCACCCCGCTGGTGCTCGAGAAGTTCCAGGACCTGGCCCAGAGCTACGAGGAGGAGTTCAAGGAGAAGGACGAGGCCGAGAGGGAGGCGCGCCGCATCGTGCTCAACACGCAGGCCGAGCTCGCCAACCTCCGCGCCGCCATCGCCGACCTCGACGGCCTCGCCGAGCCCGACGACGTCGCCGACAAGGTCGCCGGCGACGCGGCCGTGCTGCGCAAGCAGGTGCTCGCCTACGTCGCGCACCAGAACCGCATCGCCGTCCAGGAGGCCGTCGAGGCCGAGCTAGCCAACATGGCCAACGGCGACAGCAGCAGCACCACCACCACCGCCGCCGCCGGCGGCAGTAACGGAGGAGGAGGAGGAGACGGCCCCGACGGCGCGGAGGAGCGGCTCCGGCTCGCGGCCGAGCTCGGGGCCCTGCTGGCGGAGCAGCGGCGGGCCGAGGCCGACTACGTCGAGGCAAGGGGCATGCTGGGCACGGGCGAGAATATCGACAAGTACAGGCGCCTGCTGAGGAGCTGCCTCGGGCCCGGAGACCAGGACATGCTGGACGCCAACCTGGACGACCTCATCAAGATGATGGAGGAGGAGACGGACGTCGGTGGGGGGGCCGGGGGAGGGGGCGAGCAGATGGAGATCACGCCTGTGTGACGGGGCCTTTAAAAGCCATCTTGTTCTCTCTCCTCCCCCCCCCCTCCTCCCCTTTTTGGTTCCCCCGTGTAACGACGATGCGATAGGCAACGGCCGGTTGAGCTTTTTCCACACTACACGCTTTTTGTTATCTACACATCGAATATCCCGGAAGGGAGAAGTGTAGATGTCCCCCGGGCTCTTCTGGATCGGGTCATCACTTTGCGTCCCCTATCTCTTGGCTAAGAGACCCTTGGCTCCCATGTTATCTACTATGTGGTTACGGAGAGGAAGGTCATTTGGCTTAAACCCCTCAGGGTTCGATCATGTTTTTTTTTTTCTTTCTTTGGTCCCTTCCGGCGATATATGTAGTAGGGGTGGTTGGTTCATCAGCATTCTCAAGCAACTCGCGCGGCTCGGGCTAGTAGTGTATGGCTCGGACAAGTGCATGGTTTATATTTTCTCTATATTCTTGGCTGTTGAGGGGCTGGCGGGAAAGAGAAGCGAAAAGGGAGCAGGGACAGCTTCTGATACCACGAGCTCTTGTCTGGTGGATCATGTAGGACTAGGAGAAAAAAGGAAACAGTGCACCTTGCATCGCTGCCAACTTGTGAGACTTTCCCGCTCGTAAAGCCTCTGCCCGTGTCTGCTGTCGAGAGGTGGGACTACGGAGAATCCCTATCATGACCGTCTTTAGTTGCTGATCTCTTACGCGGCGGCTGAGTTGGCCAAGGCAGCCTGGGGCGGAGATTCAGGCTTAAGACTCGGCGTGGCAAAGCATGTTGAACCAATTCCCATCGCGGCACTCATGGTCGCGGAGCTGTAACAGGCCGTCAGGTCTGGTTTGCCGGTGGGGTTTATGGTCAGGCCATGTGTCAAACGCTGACCTCGAGATGTTCAAAGGCAGCACAGTCGGCTCGGGTCACGATTCATCAAAGCCGGGCGTCCAGCGTGAGAACGTGAGAACTTTCTCTTGAGGATTAACGGCCACTGCTGACCCATTCTTCCCAACGACTAGACCGGCGATCAAGAAAGTCGTAGGGGCGGGGGCTTCTACTAGCTCGCTTGGTCCAGGTTTTCCCAGTAGTTGTTGTCCCCCACCCCGCTTGACCGTGGCGGTGAGCCTGGTAGATAGCATGCTTCGTATCTCTAGAGTAGATTGGGACGAGTCGGCTGGCAACCAGAGATTGCCAATAGATGCAGGTCGGAATCAGGCTTTAGTGAATATCGCACAGGATACCAGCTTGGGGCCCCGGGTTCACTAAGCAAGGCATCTAGACCTGGGCTGTGTGATTCCGACTACACGAAGGCGGACGCGGCTCCCGGCTGACACTGGAGAAGACGGCGAGAGAGAGCCCGTAAGAAAGCCCACACAAATTTCAGCTTGAGGCGGTGGAGCCTGGTCTTTATTCGGCTTCTGGGGCGGCCTGGCCCCAATATGGACCACCTTGGATGCGACATGTCAGCAGACGGCAAGCAAGTTCAGAGTGATACAGACCAACAACGGCAAAGCTGAGAGGCACCTCCGAGGCCACGTTAGCTCGGCCGGCTGGGTCGGGTTCTGAGACACTAGGCGGATCAACCGACCAAGGGCCAGAACGCTTATATGTGCTAACTGCCGAAGAGGGTGTAGAACTCGAGGCCAAGATTCTCGCCCGGGCACCAGCTGAGCGCCTGAGACAGGACAGCCGCGACTGGGTAGTCATGGGCAGACAAGGAGCTAACATGGTTTGCAAAATCGACAGCATCACTTGACCGTCTTGTGGTGCGAACCTGTCTCAGCGAGTGGGTCCTAATAAGTGCCATGCTGCGGAGACCACTGGGGGCTGAATCCTACTTGTTTGTGGCTGAGCTTGAAGTGTTGCGAAGGCCCAAATTGCAGTTCCAAAACCCAAGCACGCCGCAAGTCACTGGACTGCGTCCGCGAGGGAGGGCTGGGGAAAAGGCTGTCAGCTGGGTTCGATGCCGTTTGCTTGAATTGCAAAGATTGGATCGCATACGGCATACGGTGTTTACTTGCTCTCGAGATGCATGGACGGTGGTGGCCACGGCCGTATTCTCGGCTGCAGGGGACGGTGTGGTGTTGTGGTGGTTGGCCGAAGCAACTCGGCATTGCGGCGGCGAGGCTCCTCGAGCGACTGGTTGGATCAAATCGATATCCGTTCAGTCTTGGCGACACCACTAGCTCATAAGAAATCGAAGTGAGGATTGACAGAGTGACGGGCAACGGCTCACAGGATTACATAGTACACTAGATGGCGATGACCATCGCTGCCTGCTCTGAGTGGGTCGTTAATCATGTTTAGATCGGTCCTAGTGCCAGTTCTGGACTCTCGCGACGGTAATTAGCTGATTTGGCCAACAGGCAAGCCAATGATGATGCCAGGAATAGATATCGCCTCAAAGGCGGTATGGTATGTAAAAGAGCGGTCAAAATAGGTAGCAGAGCCAACTCGCGAAACACGAAACCGAACCGTGCCTTGCATCTACACGGGTAGTATACGATGGGAGGCGTGAGATCCGCACTTGATCCAGCGCGGCTCTGGTCAGGAGGCTCGAGTCAGCCAGCCATTTGCAAGGATTGACAGGGTTGGGAACGGAATACTGTGCGCCTGCGGGATACATGTGTACATCCATAGGGCTGAGAAATTCGAGATCTGTCCGGCTCGTCGGCAGCCAATTGGGCGATCTACACTGTCAGTGGTCACCCAACTGTCTCCCTTGCATACATACTATCCACTGGACAGCCGAGCAGCCAAGGTAGGTAGGTAATCAACAACCCGCCTGACGGGCGGCAGCGGCAGCGGCATCGGACGCGAAACAAGAGTAAGAGCCCCGAACCAATTCCATCGCGACAATTCTTCGGTGACCGAGGAGACACACCCTGGAAGCGTCTAAAGTGGTTGGCAGTAGCGAGGTTGACGACCTCGAGCACCCCTGGATGTGTTCGCAAATAGCATCGAAGAAGTGGCAGCAGAGGGATCGCTGCTAACGAAGGCCATCTCATGGGAGAAAAAAACCTGGAGGAACTACTTGAAGGGTCTTATTCGATCAGCTGGTGCACTCGAGCCTTGGCTTGCAGTAGGGTGGCGATGCTGAGAAGATCTGATCCAAGATCCAGACTCTATCTGCGTTGTAACGGTGGTAGTGTTGGGGGGGAAACCCAATATCGTTTTGTGCGCTGTGTGGAACGAGTCAGGCACGATTTCATCTTTATGTTATGTGTTGTTGGTCGAGTTCCATGTTGGATGGGACATTCGGCACTTGCTCTCAATCAGGCACCAGGTGGTAAGGTAATGTACCTATGTAGCAGACAGTGAGGGTTCTTGTTCCAATTTAAGCACCTAGGTGCAAGTTCGATTCCTGATGATGCGATTCTCGTTGATTGTGCATGGAAAGAGCATCTCACATATTCGGGGGTCTGGGCATTTGTGGCGGGTGCAGGGGTCGGGTGTCACCAGCAGCCAAGTACAGTGAACCTACCTAGGTACCTGGTTGCCACCGCGCTGTTATGAGCTGAAAAAGACACCCAAATCCCAGTTTTCTAATAAATAACAGAGTGCCATTAATTACCCCGCCCAACCCCCCCTGAAATGGTGCCAAAAAAAGAACCTAGCCTCCGCAACAGTGGTTCACATGGGTGGATGTCTTCCTGTCAAAAACCGGAATCTGCCACACCTGACGACAATGGAAGCTGAGCTCTGAGCCGCCATCTTGGGAACCATGGACAGGCGAGAGCTCCAACTGGCCTGGGAATCCTTGGAATCTGCAATCTGCATGTATCTTAATCGTGCTGCTTGTTATGCAGGCATACATACTGCAGGTAGTACATAAGTATTGCATCAGGCTGCACACCCCCACCCCTAAATATCCTGGGAAATGGAGGTGGTTGCCGGACCGTTCATGTTCGTGTTTCTGCAGGCTGCCTGCATGAAGGCCCTCGCTCGCTCTTGGAGTGCAAACCGCCACGAGGCTCGTCTTACTAGTGTAGAGCGCCATCTACGTACGGAACACATTGCATCCATTGGAGCTCCAACCCGAAAGCGCTCTGATTGATGCTCCCAGCTGGCAACACAGATGTCGGGCTCGGCCAAGAAGACGGATACATACCATACCAGATCTGAACCCAGCGTTGTACGGAGGTACCTGAAATCGTACAGGGATCAATTCGCTTCCATTGCCCTTGCCAGGCGGAGACGGGGGTGGCTGTACGCCTTGCAGTTTATGTGCGTATGCATGTACTGCGTACGTAGTATAGAGGACGGGCTCGCACTCAGCTGAAACTTTTCAACGCTACCGAAAACTAAGCCTGTTGCGAACTAGCACGTGCCTCCTTCAATCTCTCCAAAGAGTTCCATTTCGAGCCTGCCCTGTCAACGCCACCGCTCTCCTTGTCGCAATCCTCCGAGGGAGACCAGTCTGGCTAATTCAAGATGCCTACGCATAGTCGCTGCGCCAAATTATGGGTTTTAGAATCTAAAAAAAAAAAAAATTCCGCTGGGGAGAGACGAGCAACAGAAACGAGAGGACGAACTGTTGGGCTGAATGACAGGGATCCAGCATTTCGATTCGCCTGTCGCATTCCGCACTCTTCAGAGGTCCAGCTCGCCTTCCGCCATGCTGACTTGCCTTCTCTGGCGCTTGCCGCCGCTCACCGTCCTCCCCGATGGATGTCTTGGGGCTCCCGGGCGTCTCGCTTGCAGAGCAGACAGAAGAGCAGGGACAGGCGTCCTTGGACAGCTAATCAACACTCGGGGTGCGTTTCTAGAAATCTACATGTGTAGATGGGCCGCCTCCTAGTCTTCCACTAATTCCCAGGTCCCCCTGTTGGTCGCCGTCTGCATCCGGAGTTGGCTGCCCGCCACCAGACGCCGTCTGCTTGGCCGCCTCTTCTCAAGCTTGCCTCGTTGACTAACAGCCCTACCACCCATACCACCCTGCCATCCATGCCATCCATGCCCACCTGCCCTCAAAACACAGATCCCGGTCAAGCTTACCGTTATTGGCCACGCCTCGTGTCATCGGCAGGGACAGAGAGAGAGCAGCTGGCTGACTGAAACTAGGTGCAGCTCACAACCTTCATCACCATCCCCTCCCTCCTTCCTCTTTGCTACGCCTACTCCTGCCCACGTTCCCCTCACACCATTACGCTTCTAGCCTCCTTTGCGACGTACCTAACTGGTAGGTAATCGCTTCCTTACCCTTTTGTCGGCCTTTGCTACCTACCTACCTAGTCACCTAGGTTCTTACACACCTGCGCTCTACATATACATATAATAGTTTCTCCCGTCTCTGTCCCATCTGACATGCACTGGGAAGCTCGCATTTTCGCACTTTGGTTGGGACGCAGGGTGTGTCCATTCAAGTACAGTACAGTACCTAGCCAGCGCCAGATCTGAGCTTCCTCGACATTGGATCACAAACCCACCACAAAAACATACCTACCTACCTAATCTATCTTCGAGGTCCCCGGGTCCTAGTTTTATTATTTTCCCTTCTTTTCCTATTCTTTCGGGGTCTCGTTTACCCCTCCCTCTATGCTAAGTTTGCCCCTCACCCTCTCGAAGCCTCAGCCCTACCGTGCGAAATAAAGTGCCCAGCACCAACAAACGGCTGCTGTGTAAGTGCTGCTGTTCCATCAAGTCTCCGGGTTTCTCATTGGGCAATTCGCGACGCTCCCATTTCCCCTTCCTGCCACCTACCACCCGCTGTTCCTGTTTCCCTGCCCATGGAGTCTGTTGTCAGTCCTACCTACGCAGCCCTGTGCTTGTGCTTGGTCTCATTGCCCAGCCCTCGTCGTTTCGTGTCACCTGTTCGGTCCTTGGCGCAAGTGAAGGTGACCAACATGGGGGAAAGGGACATGGGGGGAGCATGGGGGGTGTGCCAGCCTTGGAATTCCCTCTAGTGCTCGGCGCCAGCGCCACACCGATCCATCCCAAAGCGGGTGTCAGATATTAGTGACATGGAAAAAACCCCAGGCACACGGCCATGCATGCTCCATCCATGCTGTCCCACGATAGCGCCGGAAAGTTCCCAGGCCGAGGCTGACATTGGGGGGAGGGAGGGAGGGGGAGCCCTGAAGTGGCCTGTAAAGCCAACCTTAGCCATCGCTAATCTCCTGCTCAGTTGCCTTCTCCTGCGCTTTGCCGCTGTTCCCGTTTGGATCTGCAGGCCATGCCCGCCCTCCAGCTGCCGCCCGACAGCAGCGTCACCTCGAAGCCGGGTTCAAGCCACCAACAGTCTCTACTGTTTCACCCGCATATATACGTAGCGCTCGCCGTCCTTGCTGTCGTCCTTGTTCTTCGCTTCATCTTTCGGCGCCTCCCAAAGTCATTCTGCCTGTGGTCCGACCGGTCCGTGCAATTTCGGGCTAGGCAGCCGGGATCCTCGAAGGATTCTGGATCGTGCGATTGGGATTCATCCGCTCCAGCCTCGGCGACGGTCATCTCCAGATCTTCGTTGCCATTCCAGGCTCCGATTTTCGAGAAGGAAGCGCAGACCGTTTGGGCAGCGGGCCTACTAGACCCCCCTGCTTCTCCAGCGCGAATCGGGTTTGTTGCTGTGCCGGGGATGGGTGGGCAGCTGAAGGATCAATCCAGGTCACGTGGAGTCAGCACCGGTGCCACAGACTCGAGACAACAACCACCCCCCCTCTCGGCCCATGGACTTCGCCCGGAGAGGAGAATCAGTCGTTCTCCTAGGGCTTCGCGGGCGCCCTCTTCGTCCCGGACACGTAGCACCTGTTCTGATGGGCCCTCGGACGGAAGAGGCAGCGCCATGGCAGACGACAGCCGGCCAGGCCTTCTCCAGCCGGGCTCCATGAGCGGAGACGGGGTGCTTGAACAGCATTTCGGTGGCGACAACACAGGCCTGGCGGCGGCCGCAGCAGGCGGTAGCGGTCTAGATCTAGACCGCGCCGCCCCGAGACAGTTCTCCCGGCCACCTCCGCCGCCTCCCCTGACGCCGCCGACCCTCTCCACTGCCATGTTCGCATTTGAAGATCGCCGGCCCCATTACGCGGTCTCCATCCCTCCCCAACTGGACACATCCTTCATTCACCAACCAAATCCCGATTATATTGCGTCGTCAACGTCAGCGGAGCTCAGCTCCAGTCCTACGAGTGTGGTCACGACGCCAAGGAGGCGGTCCTACACTAAGACCGTGCCGATTGGCATCCCCATCTCTTCGGGGTCGGCTTCTTCGCCTCGGTCGCAAGATAGTTCCGCGTCGTCGGAACCGTTCTCGCCATCGTCGTACCCGCCAACATCTCCTCGATTGCCGCCACCTCCGCCAAGCCTGTTCGATGACTTCAGATACGAGCATGATGGGCAGCCGCAAGAGATTGACCTGCAAGGCGAGATCATCTCCGTCATGGACGATGCGGGACACGGGTGGAAGAGGCACACCAGGGTCTATGGCGGCGGTGTCTGCTTGGCATGCATGGCGGCTGGAGGCCAAGGAGGATTTTATGGAGACAAGGTGCCTCCCGAGGAACGGCGGTAGCAGGACTGTGAGACTGTGGGACTGTGGGGAGAGAGGAAGAGGCAGGAAAGTCGAAGGAGGGCCATGGGCTGCAATTAGAGGAACGGTGCGCCGTCAACCGTCCACCACCAGACGCCACGCCGTGGCGCCGAAACCGCGACACGAAAGAAGTCGCAAGGCAGCAAACAAGCCCACGGGAATATTACGGCGCATTTTCAGGCCAGTTGGCCTTGTTATTCATAATGTGTTACGACCTACCTTTATTCCTTTATGTTCACCTATTGGTATTTTCCCCAAGTTTCGTCTTTGATCTATCTGCATTGGCGGTCACTTCGGGTTTCATCTACTTCATTGATCAAGAGCTTCCTTATTTCAAATCATAATCTTTCGCTTCCTCCTCGCCTCGCAGGTGGTCGGGGTAGGGGGAGGGATCTGCTACCTGGAGAAACAAGCACCAGGTGAACCAACTGCCTGCCGGGTCGAAATAACGACTGTGATGAATACGCCGTTGCAAGCTTGCTGCCTTGTTGGACTTGGACCCTACGGATTCTTGTCTCAATAATGAGTCCCTGCCGTTTGCAGTACACGATGAATGGGAACTCGTTCTTTGAGTCGCATCTGCTCCCGCTACTTAGAGCGCCGCCAACTCCAAAAAATTGGGAAAGTTTTGCTTGTAGTCGTACATAACCCTTTTTCAGAGTACGAAACTGCCCCTTTTACCCTGTGGCTATTCACCCTCCTCCCCTGAAGCAGAGAGGCGTTCATCGGCAAATCAGACCAACGCCCACATGTTTTCTCTGCTTGACAAGCACAAAGAATCTTTGACGGGTTTCGACTCTCAACATGGGGAAAGGCCACAAACAATGCCACAGTGGGGGCCAAAATCGTAGCCGAACGCCCGAGGATCGACGTTGAGGATCGCGAGCGCCGTTTGACGAGGCGAGCTCTTCTTTTGGGGGGAAGGGCCAGGACAGGACAGATCCTGGAACTTGATCGAAACTGGCAAGGAATATGGCGGGCTATGGCGACCTCTAGAGTGGGGTTGTGATTTAATAACTTGGCCAGAAGCAGTCACAAGTGTTGATGATGTGGTAGCGGCCGTCTCACGTCATACGGCCTGTGATCGACAATATTACCTCCACCCCTGTCTGGCCTGCTCCCGTTCGAGTTTGCGGGGGGGATGGGGAGAAGGATGCATCGGTGTTTCTCCCATGCTCGCCCCATGCCCACAAGGTCATCCTGATGATCTCTTTGACCTCATCTAGCCCAAAACCAGGGCTTAGAGGCGCTGGTCATTGTATATCATCGAAGTATAGACGGATTCAGCCTAGCAGAGAATCCACCCTAGCCCCCACGCGGCCGCTCTAACAACTGGACTGGGATGCGAATAAGCTCGACTGACTAAGCCTCGTTGAGCGGGAACCGAACAAGCAGATTCGGTCCCGGGGTGGGTACGGCTAGGTTGTGCAGTTCCCTTGGGGGCTCGTGTGACTAACCAGTGCGCGAACGCGTGCCGGGGCCGGGTTAATAGCCTCAGGGGAGTAACACTACACGAGATGCCACAATGGATGATCCGCAGCCAAGCTCCTACAGCTCTAGCGAGCCAGGGGGAAGGTTCAGAGACTTGAAGGGGGTGGTCGCAGTGCTGGGCCCATCGAGCTCCAGTTCGCTGGAGTGGCCCGGCGCTGCGGCTAAGACAAAGTCCGGCAGGTCCAGACACAAGTAGGATTGACAGATTGAGAGCTCTTTCTTGATTTTGTGGGTGGTGGTGCATGTCAATTCTTAGTTGGTGGAGTGATGTGTCTGCTTAATTGCGATAACGAACGAGACCTTAACCTGCTAAATGGCTCGCATTGCCTTGGCAGCGCGCTGGTTTCTTAGAGGGACCATCGGCTTAAACCGATGGAAGTTTGAGGCAATAACAGGTCTGTGATGCCCTTGGATGTTCTGGGCCAGCCAAGCCTTGAAGAACAAGAGTCTGGGTTCAGACCAAATCAGGGGTCGTTGGCTGCCTTCCTAGCCTGCTGAGGTGTTAGAGGGAGTTGAGCAAGAGTACTTGCTGCCCAAGAGTGAAGGGGTTGGGATATTTCCTGACAGAGGAGTGAATTTCGACAGATTAAGGGGCTATCCTGATCCGGGTCGAGAATTGTACCGGGCATTGCAATGGGTATTAGACGGCTCAAGGTTGTCTTCTTCCTCTGCATGTCTCGGTGAACTAAGCCCTGGCTTCGCAACACCCAAACAGGGACGATGAAGCTGCCGCCCATCACAACGGCAGCTTACAGATGCCTGTGCCTGCAGGGCCAACCCCTGAAGGGTGGAAGAAGGGGAGCTCGAATGGGGGTTCGAAGTGGTTGAGACGCCCTGTAAAGTAGGTGGGTAACCAAAATCTAGGTTGGTCATCTTGAACCGCGTCATAACAGTGTTCTGTTAGTATCTGATGCCAATATGAGGATGAAGTGGCTGTCGGGGATAGTCCTGATCCCTTGTTCGTGTGGATAATACCACACTCAAAGCAGATACAATCCCGCGCTCAGAGGAGATAGACGGGAAGTTGTAAAGTTGAAATCTTGTCACCCAGAAAGCACTTGCAAAACGGGTTTGACGTCTCTTGCACCAGCTCAACATCAGACCAAACATGGGCGTCACGGTCTTCGCAAACCCTGATGGGTTTGGATTTGATCTGGATTAGAGCAGGAGATTCAACTGCAAACACGATCTGATGGTTTGAAGTTAGAATCGACAAAACAGAGAGTAGAATAAAGAAAGGTGCCTTCCCCGAGCTTGACGTTTGGCTACCTCAGGAGGTATCGTATGGGGGGTCAGGTGATCCCATAGGCATGCTTCTTAAGGTCGCACAGCCAAGTTCCTTGATTCTATTTTTAGATCACAGACTTTGTGTAATCCGTAGGTAGTACATATAAGTACCTAGTGTAGAATCAGCAAGGCCTACCAGGCCAACGCTGTTGTAGAAGGGGGACACGTGAGAAAGGACCGCAATCGATGGAACACCTTGGAACTCTGCCCACTCGAGTCGGCCCAACGCGGGCCCCGTTGACTCGGCTGACAAATGAGGAAACCGGGAGGCTACACTATCGAACAGCGGCGGGGAGAGCCCCCCGATCCGTGCGCTTCGCTGGAGCCACGACGAAGCGCGCCGTTGGTGTGTGGAGGGCACGGGCCCGATCTTGTACCGCAGAATGCCCAACGAAGCTAATAACACCAAATGCAGGCAGCTGCAGGGCGTGCAGGTGCCGTGGGTTTCACAAGGAACTGGCCCAACCTCGTAATTACATGGGGGGCAGGGGGCACCACAACTTGGGAATTGATCGTTGATATCTTGGATTACTCCGGAATATGGATTTTGATGATGAGGAAAAGATCTGCTGGGCCTGGCCAACCTAACGCCCAGCCACAAAAGGTGACTTGCATATTTCACTTTCCATCTGGACAGTGGGAGGCATTGGAATGTCATATTAAAAACTCCGAGCGACTCATTAACTCGGGACATAACACACGGGAACAAAGAACACCAAGAACACACGGCCATCTGTTGTGCTGGAAAACCGAGGTAAGGGCCCGAGGCCTGAGATAGATTGCCCGCTCGCACTGCTGCAACCTCGTGTGTGACTGATCAGGGGAGATTTTTCGCTACCGTGCTCTCGTGGAAAGCAAGGTTGAAGCCATTTTAGGTACCTGGGGTCGTGTTTCAGATGCCCGGTCCGTGTGTCTCCTTGCCACCGGGTCGAGTTGCTGGCCGTTTGCGCCGCCACCTGGCAGCCCCCTGCTTGCTGCGGAGGGGCAGTTGCTGATGGGCGAAACGTGGGAATCACCGTGGGCAGGGCAGGTTTTAGTGCTCAAGACCTACCATTCTCTGCACCGGTGTCGCGGGCTTAGAGGCAGGTCTCGACAAAGGCAGGTACAGTACCCATTAGTACCTGACTAACAATTTCCAGTCCGCAACCAGCCCTCCGAATGGACAGAGCCCCCTTACGGATTGTTCGGCGCCAGTGCCAAATCCAGCACAGATTGCTGATATTGCGGATTTGATTTCCAGGTTAGTCCAGCATTGACAGCTTTTCGACCGAAGCCAGAATGGATTGGCGGAGGCTAGCCCCCATGGTTCAATGCCGTTCCCGTCGCCATGCCAGCAGCCACGATGCGCTGGGTTCTTTTCGGCTCAGGAAACCCAGAGCATCCCCGGAAAGGCTTCTAAAGCATGCGCTGATCTTGGGGGATCACCTCTGGCGCATTCCCGGCCCTAACGAGAGGCATGCTTGGCATTTTATCTTAATAATAGACCGACAAAAGCCCCAGGTAAACTTACAATGTGATTCACACCCACTCGTTCCGTGTCCCAAGGGGAACGGGGCGATGGGACCAGATGACTGATTGCCACTTGTTTACAGTGATGCACGTTATGTGTGTACATACTTTGGCTTCTAGACCACAATTTACATGCCCACCACCCCCGTAAGGCCTGGTGGTCATGTTTAGGTGGTGAGAGGTGCTGCGATTGGTAGCTGGCGGCCTAAGCGATCGTAGGTCTTAGCCTGATTGGGCCTCAGGGGGTTGATGCGCTGTCTTCACGATCGCGTCCGGCCAGTGAGGGCAAAGGGAGCAACAGAACCTCGGATGATAACTGGGGCAAGGGGTCCGCCTTGCAGAATCTGCCGCAAAATTTCGTATCTGCTGATAGACGGAGAAGTCCCCTGGCCCAAAGAAGCCTAGCGTCATCTGGCAATCTCGACTTCTTCAAGCTCCATTGGCTGGCGGGCAATTCGTCCTTTGTGCACGCCAGAATTCGCGCCATTTTGCCCACCAAGGCATTTCACTCAATCACCGTGGCCCGCTATCCGCTAGCCCCTGCTTCGAGTTGCGCTACCCTGTCGCCTCCAGCCAGTCATTTTGCTCCGTGACTCCTTCGCCGTCTCCTCCACAGCTACTCGCCCGATACATCTGCTCCACTCAGCTTCCTCTCCTATCCCTCTTGATTTTTCTCGACATCCCCTTCTCTCCATCATCACCACCACACACCGCCCTTCCTTTTTTCCTCATCCCCTTTACCCTCCCCCTCCCTTCCTCCGTGTTCGAGGCTTTGCGCCGCCACTGCCACCGCCCGTAGTAATCGTCGAAATCACAATCTTGACTGTCATCGCATTCTCTCGAGTGACAGCGGCAACCATCATCATCGTTAAGGGGTTCTGGCTCAGCACCATTCCGACTTTTTTCGCGTTTTAATCATTGTACTCTATTTCCATCGCCGGTTTCTATTTTATATTCGACCTGATATCAACATCGAATCCTAATTCACCATCCCGACGATTCCTGGGACGAAGCGTGGCGAGTCTCGAATCAATCCGTAGCTGCTCGCCATTGACGTTGGGGAAACGCGCCGATCCAACCGTTGAAAGCCGCCAGGCCAACTGCAGCCTTCATTTGAAGGACAAAGGACGGTTTTTGTTTTGCCGAATCGCCGTTCTTGGGAAACGCAACCAGCTCTTGCTTGCTCCTGCTGCCGGCGCTTGCCACCGATTCTCGACCGTCTATTTTCATTGACAGGGACCTGCCTGCTTCCCTTCGAAGAAATTCACTTGTCTCGTTGGCGGTCCTTGATCAAAGCTTCCTCGTTTCGCTTCCCATCGATCCTTCCTTCCGACCATATCAGCTTCGACAGCCCCTGTCTGCCCTGCCGCTCATTCAGCAACCTCCACTCATTATAACCTCGTCCAATACGACCGTTAATACCATTCACTGATCAGCATTCACCATCTTCACGCGCCTCGCCTCATTCGAGTACCGTTTTTTTGGATCCTTTTCTGACAGGCATCAAACACATCATTTTCGCACGTTCTCCGAGAGAGATCGATCAGCATAGACAAAGAGACGACCACGGATTGTTCGACCACGATCCCACTTGTCGTTCTCGGCTGCAGCATTACGCGCCGTCATAATATCACCATCGGGTTTCCAATTTTCGTTCTTCCGACGCTATTCTAATTCAAGTCGACCGGGTGCACACATTGCAGCCCATCGCTTCACTCCTTTCCCGACCAATATCAGTTGCGCTTTCTAGGGCTCCCCCTAATTTAGCTGCCGTGTTCGTGACGCAGCTTGGCTGGATACCCCACGACACAATAGACGACTCTACGTTTCAGCACGAATCATCCCTCGGAGCCATGGACGCAGGCGGTCTCGCTCCCATGTCTCACTCTACCTTCGCAATGCCCGGCTCGGGCCTCGCTTCTCGCCGTGGAGGCCAGAACATCAAGCCGCTTTCCTTCGAGGCCTTGAAGTCTCCAACCGATACCCGGGACAACGGCATTCCTACTCCCCGCACTAGCCGATCACACCTGCTGGCTGGCCTTCGGACCGCTCCTAAGACCGCCAACCCCATGTTCGCCAACAACCCGGCTTCCCCGACTTCTGTCCCGCCGCAGGCGAGAGGGGCCAGAACATCGGGAATGTACGACAACAACGCCCGGTTCAACGCCCCGAAAACCTCGCTTCCCCGCTTCCCGAGCGGCCAGCAGCAACAGGGTTACAATCAGATGAACTTCGGACAGCACTACACGGCCGACCAGGTCCTCGCACCGCCCGAGTTCCACGTCAATGAGCACGGTCAGGAACAGATCGACCCCAACCTGCAAGCCCAATTGCTGGTCGCGAACGCTTACCTGTCTGAACAACAGCAGCGGCTCCAGCAGCAGCTCATGAATCTTCAGGCCGCTGCCCAGCAGTTCCAGGGTCTGAACATCAACGGGCAGTATCAGACGATGCAGCAGACGTACTCAAACTTGTATCAACAGCAGCAGGTTAGGAATATGCAGCCAATGATGACCAACGGCATGTCTCAGCCCAACATCTACACCGTTTACGATCCGGTGACCGGCCAGCAGACTCTGTATGTCGACCAGGGCCAGCCTCAGATGAACACGCAGTTCGTCACCCAGAACCAGTTCAGTAACGGCGCCTCGAACCTGCAACAGCAGCAACCTGCTGTGGGGACGCCTCGGGTGCAAGTCTCGCCCCCTCCCGTTGACGCCAACAGGCCTAGCTTCCGCAATTCGTCGCCTCCTCGCCGCTTCGACTCGCCCTCTGATAACCACGCGCCGCTGCCGCCGCCTAGTGCGAATGCCTTCCGCCGGGGTCATAAGAAATCCTCTTCGCTTGCCAACGGCATCAAGGGACCTCTCTCCATCGGCACTGAGGAGCCGCCCATGTCCGCGGGCCCTAAGACGGCCTCTTTCCCGCTCACCCCGATGACAGCCACCGGAAGCTATGGACCCGGACAGGCGCGCGCTGGCGAGCACCCAGTGCGGCAGCCACGAAACCCGCCATCCATGGACGAGCTCAAGGCAAAGCCGACCGCCAAGCACGAGGGTAGCAAGAACTTCATCACCCGCACCCGACGCTCAGCTGTCCACAACCTCGTCCGCGCGGGCCTCGAGCGCCGTAAGGAGGCCCGGAGCTCTGGCAGCATCAGTCCCATTTCCGAGAGCGCCGAGGAGCTCGTCGAGACCCAAGTGACGGATAACGACTCGGACTCGGGCCGCAGCGGATCTGGCAGCCTGGTTGACGGCGATGATGCCGAGTGCAGCCTTCCCAGCTCCCGGACAAGCACTGGCAGCTGGGGTGCCATTGGCTCCGACCGACCTAGCTCCCGACAGAAGGTGGCTCGTGACAGCGTCGCCAGTGCCAGCTCCTCAGACAGCGAGAGTGGCCGCGACTCTGGCAGCTTCGCCAGCGTGTTCAAGAATGCCAACCGTACCCCCAAGGCCGGCGAGGTTACGGAGGGACAGCGCAAGGCGCCCATGTTGGTCCTCACCAGTGCCGAGAAGCGGAAGCTTGTTGTCTAAGTTCTGGGACTTATCATGCACCGGCGTTCAGCAAATGGGAGTGGCAGAGTGACGGTTTTCTATTTATGCTAATAACGATTATGGCCCATGTCTCTCCTTTCACGGCCCGACGATGGGGAGGAGCAAAGAAACAGAAAGAAAGAAAAAAAGGGGATCAAGGTTGCAGAGCTTCCGAAGTCTAGCAGGAGTGCCTCTCCCCTCTTCGGGACGCTTATGAAATGATTCGGTCGGGCGAAATGACTTGGACATTGGAGCTCTTGCCATTGACTATGGGTTCCACACAGTTGGTTGCTTTTGTGGGTCAACCACCTTTGTTTCACAAAGGCTGTGTGGTTTATTGCATTTGGGAGAACTGGTTTTGTTTTATTCTCTTCGTTTTTTTTCCGACGTTTACTTGGCTTCGTTTTGACTTGCAATTGGACCTGATGTCGATCCATCCCACGATATGCCTGTGGCTACACGCGACACCGAACACGCCGCTGGGCGCGAATCTGGAGGGGATGCCCGTCATTCCATTCTTCCAATCCTTTCTGCCACTCGTGGCATCGACCTCTTTTTGGACTCTTTTTCTCGGGGACGGGCTAGGGAGTGAATCTCGCTGGCGCCTCTTTTTGTTCGATGGGAAGGAATACCATGCAAGTCAGGGGATAGGGGCAGGAGAAATAGCCAAGGCACGCTGTTGAGAATGGAAATCCAGTGCACAATTGGAGGGACGCTTTGCTTCTTTACACGCGCCTTGATGACCTTTTTGAGGGAGAGTTGGGGGCATGAGTTTGGCGGATGCAGAGAAAGGGAAAGGCGGTTGCGTGTCTTCATATTTTTGAGGGAGCAGGAACCAAGTTCGCACCCTCCTTTTTGTTAACATTCCATGTGCATTCTTAAAGAAACCTAGATCAAGAACAAAAGATTCACAAGTTATTACTGTCCCTCCATCATTAATCAGATGTGCATTTGTGCTACCCTTGCAAGCAAATGACACGGCTTTCTCCCTCCCTCCCTCTCCTTCCTTCTGTTCTCTCCCCCTCCCTTACCCCTTCCCCAACAAGCTCTTCATCAGCTCGAACCCCTTCCTCTTCTCCACCTCGATGCCGGAGAAGCGGTCCCTCACGGCCGTGACGACGACCTCGTCCAGCTCCTCGTCGGCGGCCAGCAGTGCCCAGGTCTCGTCGGCGAAGGCCTGCAGCGGCAGGCCGATGCGGGCCTGGCCCGCGGCCACGAGGTCGGGCTGCAGCTCGTGCAGCTCCGTCTGCACTGCCGGGGGGATGATCTCGATGACGCGGATGTCTTTGTTGGGGGTTGGTTAGCTAAGAAGCGGTAGGGATTTTTTTTGGGGGTGCGGGGGAGGGGAGGGGGATGGGGAAACATACGGTGCGTCCCTGGAGAGCTCGAGGCCGACAGCTGGGCGCGCAGGGACCAGGCAAGGCTGTGGAGGGCGGCCTTAGAGGCGCAGTAGTTTGGGCAGCGAGGGTGGGGGATCAGGGCGAGGCCGGAGGAGACGAGCACGATCGAGGCCGGGCGGTCGGGGGAGGAGGTCAGGTGGGGCAGGAAGGCGGCGACGGTGGCGAGCGGGGAGAGGTAGTTTGTGCGCAGCTCGAAGGCGGCGGAGGAGACGGAGACGGTGTCGGGCCGGGTGAAGTCGATGGTGCGTTGGAGGCCGGCGTTGAGGACTATGCTGTCGAGGGAGGGGTGGGTGGCGGTGATTCTGGTTGGAAGGGGGGATTAAATTTGACACTGTGGGTTTTGATAGGGGGGGACGGTTGGGGGGGGAAGGGGAGAAGGGCTGTTTACCTCTTCGCCCACTCCGGGATGGCGTCGACGTCGGATACGTCAAACACCTCGGCGGCGACCTTGTCAGCGCCGTGCTTGGCGACCAGTGCGTTGAGGCGGTCCTGGCGGCGGCCGACGGCGATGACGAAGATGCCGCTGCCGATCATGCGCTCGGCGAGGGCAAGGCCGATGCCGGCCGTGGCGCCCGTGATGAGGACCGTCTTGTACGGGAAGGGCATGTTTCGAGAGGAAGTACTGGTTTATTTTTTAGTTTCTGGGTAGGATGAACGCCCTATATCTGTGCTGAGTGGCATCTATATATCTGCTTCTATCTGCATCTTAGTAGCCTCCTCCCCCTCCTGTCGCCTCTAGTCATTCATGCGGTGACGAACCCCGCAGTTAGGTAGCTCCCGTGCACTGCATTTCCGAGCTAATTATAACAGCTCGGGTCCGTCTCGTTGGCCAAAACCGGCACGTCTCTTTTGCTGCATTGAGGGGGAAATACGAATTCAGGGGTGATCTTTCCAAGCGACGCGTCATCTCGTGCAGAAAAGACACATGTAACCAACGGGTTTCCCAAGAAGGTAGGCAGGTACCTACCTATATATAGATGAATCTTGGAAATCTTGGGGGTGGCCTACGCCTTTTCACGGGCATGTGGTCTGTGCGATACCAGCGACGGCAATGATAGTAACAGCATCAACGGCAGCAATGGCGACAACAGCAACAGCGATAAATACGACAGGTAAGTGACGGCGCTAGGCAATAGCGATAGGCGATAAGCATTGGCAATATGCAATCCCGTCTCCAGCATTGGGATTCTTGCTATTGCTCGCTGCCCATGGTGACCGGTGATAACGGCGCTTATCGCCGGCGACACGGCCCGGGATTGGACGGTGCTTTGCCCGAACTGGGGCCGGAAGTCGGTCGCATGTGGGTCATCCATGTCGTCACTTTTTAGCCCCGCCTCTCGCCCTCACCCCCTCCAACTTGTTTTGTAGGGAATAGTCTCCTCTTAAGCCCGGAGCCTCAGATTATAAAGCCAAGCTTGCCTTCCATTCAATTGCCTTCCAACTGGCCTATCAACCCACACTAGTCGTGCCAATTCGATCTCAAAAAAGATGTCGCCCCTCATCGCTCAAGCTCCCACTTCGCGGATCATCCTGGGTCTCATGACCTTTGGCAAGGACGAGTCCGCCGGAGCCCGCATTACGGATATCAACGAGTTCAACAAGATCCTGGACCTGTTCCAGTCCCGCGGTTACAACGAGGTCGACACGGCGCGAGTCTACATCGGCAAGCAGCAGGAGGCCTTCACCAGGGAGGCGCAATGGAAGGACAGAGGCTTGACCCTGGCGACCAAGATCGTGTATCCCGGCGAACCCGGAGCGAACACGCACGACAAGGTCATTGAGTCGCTGGAGACGAGCTTGAAGGAGCTGGGTACCGACTCGGTGGACCTTCTGTACCTTCATGCCGCCGTACGTTCTTACTTGAATACCCCTATTCCCTCAAAATACGCCCCCCATATCTAACCAAGCTCCTTGCAGGACCGCGGCACTCCCTTCGCCGAGACCCTCTCGGCCCTCGACAAGCTCCACAGGGCGGGCAAGTTTGTGCGGCTCGGCATCAGCAACTTCACGTCCTTCGAGGTGGCCGAGATCGTGCTGACGTGCAAGCACAACGGCTGGGTGCGGCCGACGGTGTACCAGGCCATGTACAACTGCATCACGCGGGGCATCGAGCCGGAGCTGGTGCCCGCGTGCCGGCGGTACGGCCTCGACATCGTCGTGTACAACCCCATCGCGGGGGGCCTGTTCAGCGGGAAGATCAAGTCGAAGGACATGGTGCCCGCCGAGGGCAGGTTCAGCGACGCGAACCCGACGGGGCGAAACTACCGTGGGCGGTACTTCAAGGAGAGCACGTTCAGGGCCCTGAGGGTCGTCGAGGAGGCGGCGGAGAAGCATGGCCTTAGCATGATTGAGACGGCGCTGCGGTGGACGGTGCATCACTCTGCGCTCAAGGTGAAGGATGGAAATGATGGTGTCATCATTGGCGTGTCGGGCGCGCAGCAGCTCGAGGATAACTTCACGAATCTGGAGAAGGGGCCCTTGCCTGATGAGGTGGTGAAGGCGCTCGATGAGGCGTGGCTTATCACTAAGGCGGATGCGCCGAATTACTGGCACATGGATATCAAGTATACGTATGATACTAGGGAAGCGCTGTTTGGGGCCGGCGCGAAGTGAGGTGGAGGTCACGGTTATTCCCCTGAAATGGACGAGGTGTTGGTAACGGTGGATTCTCCAGCGTTTTCGAGGCGTGTCTGTTTTGGGACATGTGGGATGAAGCTCATTGGTTGAGGAGGGAGGAAAAGGGGGTTGGGCTAGATGTAGATTCTGAGTACAGGACAAACTGTCAAACCGTTCTTCCGGTGATGTATTTAATGAGTGTGTCTCTGGCTAACTGTTCACTAAACTGGGGGTACTGTTCTCGCACACATTTCCAGCGAAAGAGGGAGTGCCGATAATGCCGGATCCGTGACAAAACGAGCGAGATTACTGCAGCTGACCGAGAGCCTCGCGCCGAGACTTGGAGCGGGGGTCGAAGAAGGGCTTCTCTCCGAGGGATACAACACGGTTACCCTGGCGTTTCCCGACATAGTCACTATTGTCCACCACCGTTAGTGAGGGTTCTCTTCGCCCAAGCAAAGGGACACGGGAATTACTCACTTGGTAGCAGTGTGGAACACGGAACGGCTGACGAGCGGAATTTGGGTTAGCAAAATGGCCATGCCTACCGTGCCAGCATTGGTGCTGCCGGTTAAGACTTACTTGTCCCAGATAGCAAGATCATCCTTGTTCCAGCGGAAACGGACCTGGAGGTCATGATTCTCCGCGATGAGTTGGAGGACTGTTTGTTTTGCCGGTTAGTTCGCACACACACGCGCAAGCAACAGGTCTGTAAGGGCAATGCCGACATACAGTACGCCTTCAAGACCTCGCTCTCGCGCTCGGTCACCCCGTTGATCCACCCGGCCGCAACCTGATGGCCAGCTCCGAACAGACTCTTCCAGCCCGTGACCGGGTTGGTTCGGACAAGAGGGCTGTGTCTCGCGTCAGCATTTTCACCACGGGACCGTCTCCTCATTCCCAAAACGCATGGGGAGCAACTGTGGAACTCACTGCTCAGCCAGGAAATCCAGGCCGGTGTTCTCTGGCGCCCCGCGGTAATCGTCAATGAGCTCCTCACCAAAGGCCTCCTTGACTTTGACGAAGTTGGGCTGGTGGTGGGTCGCCGTGAGGCCGTCGGCGAGCTTCTGGATCGCCGGGGAGAGGCGGTCGTACGCCTCATACCCGGACGCCCAGAGGGTGTCTCCGCCGGCGTCGGTTGGAGGCTGGACGATCTTGAGGATCGCGTAGTCGGAGGGAATGCGCTCGAAGGTGATGCTGCGAAGGGGGATCAATATACTACTCAGGGGCAGAAAGGGGGTGGGTGCGGGAAGGCATACTCGGCGTGCCAGCCCTCGCTCGCGAGCTTCTTCGACTGCGGGGTGAAGCGGTCCTTGTAGTACTTGCGGTTCTGCTCCGAGGAGATGACCGACACCTCGTCGTCGAGCTTGCCGTTCTCGTCGACCGCGATGCCCCGCTTGCTGTTGGACAGCGCGTGGCGGTGCAGCTTCGACGTCTCCGGCTTGCCGGTCAGCTCGCCGAGCCGCTGGCCAAGGAGCTTCTGCTCATCGATGTTCAGGTCTTGGTTGCGGAAGAAGACCACGCCGCGCTGCGAGACTGGAGTGTAGTTATGAATTAGCATCTTCTACTAAGTGTGGCCCCGGAGGGTATGGCTTTGTGATCTTACCAAGGATAGCCAAGTCTCGGATCTTGTTATCATCGTGCAGAATCTGGCTAAGCTGGAGGCTTGGGAACTCCCGCCCGATGACAGCAGTGACGTCGAACTGCTCGTGGGCGTCGAGAGATCCCGAGTACACGAGCGGCCCAGGGATCCGGGAACTGCTGATTGTCTTGCCGGGGAGATCAATGATTGGGGTGGAAGTCTCCACGTCGATATCTGCAGCTGGAGGAGCCATGTTGAGGAGTGTTTCGATTTGGATTAATGTTATGTTTCTTGAGTAGAGACTTGGATATCTGGAGCAGTGTACAGCGCCAAGTCGTTGAGGATGGAAGTCCAGGACCACATGGCTACATGGAAGGAGAAGAAGGGCCTTTAAATACTTTACGGGAGGAGTATGTCCAAGCCTAACTACCCTTCTGCCCTTGGGATAGACCCTCCGATGATGATGATGAGGTGCGATACTCCGCACTTTGCGTCACACATCACGCTTGAAGATTTGATATTGCTAAGAGGTTAGGAAGGAGTCACGGGCGCAGTACTATCTTTACCCGGGCTTGATCTTGACTTCCAGCGAATATGAAGTCTTGCTTGGGTGCGATGGGATTTGGCGGCACACCATAGATTAGACCTGCAGTGGTAGCTTCCCGGTGGAAATCCCAGGGGGCGAATGGAATGGAAGTAAAGGTAAGACGTCAAGTGGCTCCTGATACATCATTGGCTTCTCGGAAGTCGGTCGCTTCTGGCTCGAGATGGGATGCCGAGTGTCTCCTCTCGTGAACTGAACCAAGGTGTATCCGGGTTTCGAGGTGCCATTATCGCGTCATCTCACGCAACTTGGCGATAAGACTCAACCGGCACGAGATGGGTGCCGTCCACGACACGAATCAACAACAGTTTCAAGTTAGGTAAGCCCGGGAGACAGAACAAGACATTTTGCTCGGGATCACGACACCGGACTCGGTCGGGGTGGGGCCGAGGACCTTGCGCCGATCTTGGATGTTGCATCCGGCTGCACTCATTCTTTGCATGCAAGCCGCGATGGAGTTTAGACTGTATGAGATATTGGAATCCAAGTTCGGCAAACTTTGGAAAAGAAGGATTTCGTCACGGGAAAACGTTGGAAAAATAGGCAGCTGCTATCGAAATGGAATATACGTCTTGAAATTCCACGATCCGCCTTCTCTCCCTCAAACTGCTAGACTAAAGTAACAATGCTCAGCCGGTCAAGATGTCTGTCCCTTACGCCTCTAGGTTTTCGTTGAGAGAAATAACATTCCTCGTCAAGACCGCCAACCACCACATGCATGCCTGAGCCACGGCCCATGACTGGAGACATCAGCCGGTCAGACGGAGGGCTAGACCACCCCGACCACCCCGACCACTGGTACGAGGCCCAGCTCATGTACCACGGCCTCCCACATCAACGCACGCCGGTTTGAACAAGCTGCGTCTCCATTTGGCCGTGACCAGTGGGACGTCCTCCGTGCCGCCCTCCATCCTGGACATCGAGGCCGACCTAAGGCAGAAGCGCATGATAAATTATGGCGAGGGTATGGAGGTATACACCGAGGATCATGACCTGAACAAAGACCATGAGTCAGATCGCCCCTGTCTGAATAATATCGATCTCTGTTCGAGCCTCTCTGCACAGGACGGAGATCGCAGCAGAACCAGGACAGGGGTAATGTCAAGAGTCAGGAACCTGTTCAGCCGCCTCTTCCTCGCCGGTCGAAAAGTAGCCAGGGGAACGGTGCCCTTCCGCCGGGTGAAACACGGGGGCAGTGGTGACGCGGAGAGTGGCACCGACGAGGATGGTGGTGGCAATGAGGACGCCAGAAGCGCCGTGCCCGGGAACGACGTCGTACATAGTATCCGTATCCGGCCCGGCCCCCCGAAACGACCGGCAAGGGGTTCAGCGCTGTGACGAGGGCGGGAAGGCGATGAACTGCCACGAGCCGCCAGAGCCCCGAGGGTTATATGCGGTTATTCGTTTGTATTTCCACCATGTGATTGTTTTTGATGGCCGGTTTATAGATGGACAAACAGCGGAGCAGCAAGTGTGTAGATATGTCATGACAAAGGAAGGACGTTACCAAGGGTCCGTCCGTCTGGAAGGCGAGGATTAGTAGTTTCGCAGGTGACGACAGTTGACTACAACGCGATTTTTTGCATATAACTTTGGATTGAGAACCAATGTATTGTACGCAACCCGGGACGGAGGACTTGGTACCAAGTCAGCAGGCCGACTCCTGTCTGTGGATATTGATGACCTGAACTTGGAAAGAATGAACTTTGGCTGTTGGCCGAGTGCCGTGTTGTTGTCCGAGTTCAATACGCCTTGGGTTCCGAGTGGACTGACGGGGAAGAACGACAACGACGAGGTTCACAAACCTTGATAGTGAGGTAGCATTGCTGCAATCTCCAGGCCCTTGTCACGGGGCATGCATGATCCTGTCGATCAACCACTGCTGCTCTGCCGTTTATTCCGAACTCGAGATAATATGTAGTTTGTGAGGCTATAGTTCTGAGCAAATGCATATTCTCGGCCCAAGTGTCCGTACTGATCCGTAACCTGTAAATATAGGAACTCGTCTTGCATATAGCCCAGTCATGCATGGAACGAGGCACGTTCCAGATTTGCACTTGCAGGAAATGAATCAGCCGAACGCTGTTTGACGTCACCTGCGCCAGGGGCAACCACTTAAATCTTTTTGCGCTGCAGAAAAGTGTCCATAGGCAGCTGCAAAATAGGGATAACAGCCAGCTGACTGACTAACGTGTCGAAAGCAACATCGAGCCCTGGCTACCAAGGTGTGACCGCCTCGACAATCCGGTGCCAACTACTCCTGAAACGAGGCCAAGCATCTTAATGATTCAATCTCTGCAGATTGTACTCCGTACTGGGCGTGAAGAATCGAGACTCAGGGGATCGAAATGCAATCGATACGAAGACGAGGAGCCTGTACTGACTGATCCTCTTCGATCCGGGCTTCGGAGAGACCCTTATGCCTATCAAAGCCCCCTCGGAACCTTCTCAGCAGAGGATTTCCGTACCCCCGGTTGAGGATTTGAGATCAGCGTTTACTCAAACAAGTCTCCAACTCAGACAGAAAAGAAAAGGGCGGTAACGCTCGCTCGCCTGCTTTGCTCGCTCGAGACACCCCCAACGAAACGCGATTGCTCCGGGTTCACGTCGCTGCCACTCATGGACGACCGCCGCCGATCCCCGTTGTTCCGCCCGACGGACGGTCCGTCCGGCACACCGCTGCTTCGCGCCGCCGAGGCCGACGAAGAAGACACACGGGGCCGGCCCAGCTACGGGGGCAACCGGCGTCACAGCCCGCTCCCCGCGACCAATTCCTCGGCGTCGTTCCTCTCTCGCACGCCGATAACGCCCTCGGCCCGCCCGACCTTCTCCCGCAGCAGCACGATGCGCAGTCGGTCGCCGAGCACGAACGCCCGGCTCGCGGCGCGGAAGAAATACACGTACGCGACCTTCTTCCTGGTCGTCAGCCTGGTCAGCTTCACGGCGCAGACGGAGTTGGCGGCCTACGTGCAGCGCGACCTCGGGTGGGACAAGGCGTACTGCATGCTGTACGTGACCCACGGCAGCTGGGCGCTGCTGTGGCCGGTGCAGCTGCTGGTGCTGCGCCTGCAGAAGCTCGACATGCCGTGGCCCGTCTTCTGGCGCCGGCACGTCTGGCTGCTGCGGACGACGGCCCAGATGGTGCAGACCCGCTCGCTCGACGTCGCGCCGCGCGGCCGCGGCGGCGCCTCGTCCATGTCCCCGCTCGTCTACATGGTGCGCACCACCGCCCTCGTCACCACCGCCCTCACCGTCGCCGGCCTGAGCTGGTACGTCGCCGTCAACAAGACCACCCCGAGCGACCTGACCGCCATCTACAACTGCAGCGCCTTCTTTGCCTACGCCTTTAGCGTACCCCTGCTCAAGGAGCGCCTGCGCCTCGACAAGAGCATCGCCGTTGCCATCGCCATCGCCGGCGTGCTGGTCGTCGCGTACGGCGACGGCGGCAACGACTCGTCGCCGTCGAAGCCGACCCCGCCGACCCCGCCGCCCGGCACCGCCGCCGCCGACGAGCCGCCGACCCCGCCCACCAACGAGCTCGACGCCGGGACGCGGTTTTTGGGTAACATGATCATCGGGGTCGGGTCGGTGCTCTACGGGTTGTACGAGGTGCTGTACAAGCGGTACGCGTGCCCGCCCGAGGGCACGTCTCCCGGACGGGGCATGATCTTCGCCAACGGGTTCGGCAGCCTGATCGGGGTGTTTACGCTGCTGGTGCTGTGGGTGCCGCTTCCCGTGCTGCACGTGCTCGGGTGGGAGACGTTCGAGATGCCGACGGGCCACACGGCCTGGCTGCTGTTCCTGAGCACCGTCATGAACGCCACCTTTGCGGGCTCCTTCCTCGTCCTCATCAGCCTGACCAGCCCCGTGCTCAGCAGCGTCGCCTCGCTGCTGACCATCTTCCTGGTCGCCATCGTCGACTGGATGCTGACGGGCCAGCCGCTCAGCGCCGCCGCCGTCGTGGGCGGCTGCCTCATCGTCGTCGCATTCGCTATGCTCAGCTGGAGCACCTGGCGCGAGATGGCCGAGGACGAGAAGAGGCGGGATGTCGATATTAGCCGGGACGACGAGGACTACGATAGCGACGATGACTGATTGAGGGATGCGGCCCCAAAGGACATGAGAAGCAAGATCTACATTGGGGTCAGTGAGACCGGACTGGATGTGATTGTTGAAGTTGGGATGGGGATGTGGCTTAGAGGAATGTCGGCTTCTTTTATTCTATTTGCATGGCCCACCAACGCAGCGGTACTCATATACCTACGGATATGGGTACTAGTTGAGGAGGCCTCGGTTGGGTTGGCGTATGCATTGGATCATTAGATTTTCTTTTTGGATTTCTTTTTGATTACGGAATGGCATAAAGAGGTCTCGAATGCATCGACGATGCAAGCTTGGCCTTAAGGTCGCATACAGAAAGCACGGAGACTACATTGCCAGTGAAGGCACTCGCATGGTCGTGCTCTCTCTGGGGTTGGACATATATAGAGTAATTCATATATTGGCATGTACAAGCGAAGCGATTCGTCTTGAACCACGTTTGCCATCCTGTATGCTTCACTACCAACAACACCCAGGCCGACGCCAGACTCGAAGGGCTGCGTCGGATGTTGTTTCGCCTAGCCGATGGGAGCAACCCTGGCGTGGCCGCCCTCTCTTGGGTTTTCATCCCATCGCAGTATATTGACCAATTGCCGAGTACTGGAGGCGCGCCGTGCCGTTAAAGGCGAGTCGTTCTAGGAGTCCCTGGCTTAGGTTCGCATCAGCTTTTGATTTCTCGCCCCCTAGTAGCTCAAGTGGCGTTTTTCACACTGACAAAAGCTCGAAGCCTTCCTCTGGATTCAGGTCGCCGAATAAGTGGGCGTTGGCGAAGTTGGGTGGATTTGCCGGAGGGCCGTCACCCTCCTTCCCTTCCTCCTCATCCTCCTGTTGCCCCTGTCCACCGGGCGGCCCCTTCTTGACGAACACGCCCTCCCGCTCAACGCGCCAGGCTGACCGGTTCATGCTCACAAAGTACACCGCCATGTCCCAGGCCTCCTTGTCGGCGGCGTCGCCGCTCTCGAACTCGCGCAGGCTCATCCAGTTGGAGCGCGCGGGCCGCTCCACCCTCAAGGCATCATCGTCGTCGTCGTCGTCGTCGTCGTCGTCATCATCATCATCATCGTCGTCGTCGTCGTCGTCCATGGCAGCGCCGCCGTCGAACAGGCGGCGCATGACCAGGCTGTAGCACGTGTTGCGCTCCATCCACAGGTCGCCGGCGTCGATGCAGCGCATCTCGTCTGGGTCGTCGAGGATGGCGGTGCGGGGCACCAGCTGGACGAAGAGGCGGTCGAGGGGCGGCAGGTGGCCGACGAGGGTGTTGAAGTGCGACGACAGCGGGAACATGGCGACGTAGGAGAGGGAGCGGACCGACGGCGGGACCAGCGGGGCGTCGTTGGGCGGCTCCTCGCAGCCCAGGAGGGCGCCCAGGATCGACGGCGGCCGCTTGAGGAAGAACTCGTACGTCTTGTAGACGGGCATCGAGGACCCCTCGTTGAGGAGCAGACACGTCCACGGCCGGATGGTGAAGAGGGCGCTGCGGATCCGTTCTGGGGGATTGTGGCACTGCGTGTCTGGGCAGTCACCTGTCGTGGACGATGATCCGGCTGCCGTCTCGGTCGAGGAACTGGCCTGCGTGGCTATGCTTGGTCCGTTCTCGGTGGGGCTGTACTGGTCCGAGGGGACCTCGTCGCTCAAGGGCACCCTCCTGTCTTCTCTTGATAGTGACAAGATGTGACATTGGCTTTTGAAGCTCCACGCATCTCCCACGAACAGCATCCGGGACAGCAGGCTCGACAGCATCCTCGGCGACGCGATCATGGTGAACCGCCTGGGATCCATGGTCTCAAACAGCACCTCCCAGAACCAATTGCTATCCTCGCCGTATCTCTTCTCTCGTGCCTGCCGACCGGGACGTTGCCCGCCGCCCCGGCCCGCCTGTGCTTCTGCCAGGGACATGGGCCGTGGTACCGGCGACGAGGGTTGTTCCGCCGGTCCGGCAGTCGGGCTACCATGCCGAGGGACGGTCGTGTCGGACGGCCGGCCGGACTCGGTCAGCCGGTATATGCCTTGCATGCTGTCGCCGATGATCAGGGTCAGGGTGTCGACGTGGCGCCCGAGGTCGTTGGCGCGGAGGAAGGCGAGCAGCGGGAGGGCGGAGGCGGGATCGGGCTCGTGGGCGCCGCTGCGTCCCGGCTCGACCATTAGCAGGTCCCAGCGGTCGAAGGCCCACCGAACGTGCCGGAAGAGGGAGGGTAGGATGGTGGTGCGCCATCGCTTGCTGACGAGGGAGATGGTCTTGAGAAAGTTGGATGACGGCTCGTTCCTGAGCATGGCAGGATGCGGCTCATCGTGGAGGCGGGAATCGGACGGTGCGGGCCGGTCAAGGTAGCTGAAAATGTGGGTGAGGAGCTCGGGAGGGAGGGCTTGGATGCCCGGCATTTTGGGGTTGGGAGAAGCCATTGGAGAGTAAAGCCGCCAGGGATATGTCTCAGGTTTAAGTAGTGGAGGTGGAAATAGAGGGGCTGTGAGTTATTCGTGGTTCATAGTGAAGCGATTCTAGTAGTGATGGGCGGCGACCATCGTGATGTCGTCGATGACGGGTATTTGGGGAGCCCACTTTCTGTTTCACAGTTCCGTCGGAGTAATCCGTACGAGGTACCTAATTTTCACCACAGAGGAGTACCCGAGTAGATGCCCTCGGTGCCTACCCGGAGAATACAGACAGACAGCTTCCGATTGATTGGCCACTCAGTACATAGATGCCGGTACCTACCTCCCTGCGGTACTTGTGGCAGGCACTGTACAGTCCCAAGGGAGTATCACAGTATCACTCAACGCGACGTGATGCGTGATGGCGGGGTATTACATAAATCGCCTGGAGCTTCCATCCAACCGACATCGCTCCGGGTGCGGAGAGATGGAGAAGTCAGACCAACAACAGCCCTGCTGCTGCCACACTTAACTGGTTGATAAGGTCAAGACTACGCCGAGTCTCTAGCCCTTATGCATGCTTCCTGTACCTGCTCATGCATGGCGAGTGTCCAGGCGTAATTTGCCCACCCCCTTAAGCTTGAGGGCCTCCTTCGTCTCCGCAGATTGACACGACCGAGGCCAATGGAAGCGTCTGTCAGCCCTTACAAAGTCCAAAGTATGCGGGGTCTTTTAACCCCACCATATAATATAACGTTTGATCTGTCGATTTTGCCTTGGACCAGGCCTCTCGGAAGCCCTCTTGAAGTTCTCCGCGTGCCTTGGCCGTGCCAATTGGGACGAGGATGGTGGCGGATACCGGGAATCTCACCGTAAACAGCCAACCAAACTCGAGCCCGCTCAATGACTCCATCTAGGGGTGGGCAGAGGGGGTGAATTATCTTCCCTGCGAGGGTTAACAGCGTTCGCTCCATTATTAGGTGGGTAGGTTAAGTACCCGTACCACCTAGGTTGGCGGTAAGGGATAAGGATAGCTCCCTCCTCCCCTCTTTTACGCCCATCTCCTCAACATCGCCATCTCCTCAACTTCACTACTAGGTATCTTCTCATTCACCACTGTCCCCAAACCTAGCCACCAACCTATAAATACCCATCTCGCGTCTTCCTCCTTCACACAGCACAACACCAACACCTATCAGGAAGCTACCTAGGCAGTCCTTCATCATGGCGTCGACCAAGAATCACCAGCGACCCCCGTTCAGGGCTGAGCACATGGGATCGCTTCTTCGCCCGAAGAAGCTGTCTGAGAAGCGCGTGGCCCTTGACGGAAAGCCAGCCCTGGACATTATCCAGGACAAGGAGCTGAAAGGCCTCGAGGACGAGGCCATCAATGACATTGTCAAGGTCCAGCTCGACCTGGGGTATCACGGTCTCACGGATGGCGAGTACCGTCGTCATCAATTCTGGGGGACTTTCTTCCCTGGCCTGGAGGGCTTTGAAGAAATTATGGATCCCCCAATGGACATGTTCCGACTCTACGTGCCGGACCTGGCCGCTTTCAGTAAGATCCCGTTCCCGTTCCCGTTCACCTCCCCGCCCCTGGAACGAGGATGTCCAGCTAACCACGAGCGCGCCCGTTCACAGCTGAGGCCGGACACAAGCCCGGAGAGTCGATTGTTTGCACTGGCAAGATCAAGCACAAGGGCAGCACGTATACCAACGAGTGGAACTATCTCAAGAACCTCCTCCCGGCTGACCGGGTTAAGGAGGCCAAGTTGACTCTGCCGGCGCCGGAGTGGTATCATCTTCGTTACCAGTCCGGTAGGGCCTACGTCAAGGGTGTATATGCGAACGACGCCGAGTACTTTGCCGATGTTGCCAAGGCGTACCGCACTGAGCTCCAGATCCTGTACGACGCCGGCTGCCGCAACGTCACAATCGATGACCCCAACCTTGCCTGTAAGTAGCCGAGCCCAAGCTCTCGTGACCTCTTGATCCGTCTTCTCCAGCGAAGCAAGCACTGATGTTTCCAAACCCCCTACAGACTTCTGCTCGGAGAAGATGCTCGAGGGCTTCCGCGACGCCGGCGAAGACGCCGACGCCCTGCTGGACAGCTACGTGGCGCTGTACAACGACTGCCTGTCCGCTCGGCCCGCGGACTTGCACGTGGGCCTCCACCTGTGCCGGGGCAACTTCGCGTACAGCCGGCATTTCAGCGAGGGCGGCTACGACCGGGTGGCGGAGAAGCTGTTCCGCGAGATCAACGTGGACACGTACTTCCTCGAGTACGACACGGAGCGGGCCGGCGGCTTCGAGCCGCTCGAGCAGCTGCCGGCGCACAAGAACGTCGTCGTCGGCGTCATCACCAGCAAGTTCCCCGAGCTCGAGGACCTCGGCGAGATGCGCGAGCGCGTGTTCCAGGCGGCCGACTTTGTGGCCAAGGGAGCCGGCCAGACCAGGGAGCAGGCCCTGCAGAGGATGGGCGTCAGCCCCCAGTGCGGCTTCGCGAGCCACCACCTCGGCAACTCGGTCACGAGGGAGGACATGATCGCCAAGCTGAAGCTGGTGAGGCAGCTCGCCGACTCGATCTGGCCCGGTGAGCCATGAGCACTGGCGGATAATAGGGAGACTTGAAATTGTGAGCGCGCTTTGTTTGTTCTCTCTCTCTCTTGTCTTCTTTTCCTTCGCGGGGGCAAGTAAAATCAGGTGGTTGGGCGTAACCCGAGGCGTTTATTGCCCTGAGATCAACTCTCACGGGCTGGGGAAGAAATAGGCGCAGACAAGCAGGCACAAAATCAAGGGGATCTTTCTTCTTATTCGATTTCTTCATGCCTCGTATATGTGAAGTACAGGCCGCCTTTAAGAACCCTACCGGTACCGCCCTGCAGTAGTTTCCCCTTCCCGTTCAACCAGCTCCGTAAATATCGATGTTAAACCTTGGGGTTCATTTTCGTGGCTTCGCCCAGCCACCCCATCTGCCGTCTCCATTGTCACTTTAAACTAGTCAAGTCTGGCCCTTATTGCCTGTCCGACTCTGTCGCGAAAGACGTCTCCATCCCAAGTGGGTATTCAGGTAAATCCATCCAGACTCCTGGCGATGCAAAGGATAAACCAAAAACCCTGCACAAAATAAATCTCTCTCTGTGTGTGTAGCCGCTTCCCAGAGCCCGCATCCCGCACAAAACCTTTTTATATCCAAAGAAAGCCCCAATATGACGTGAGGTAGAAGAAGTAGAAAAGTAAGCAAGGCAAGTTCGAGTCCAGTCGAAGAAGGCCAAAAAAAAAAGTTTCCAGCCCCTCTCTCCCCCAAGTTAAAGGAGAAAAAGAGGAAGCGGGGAAGAAAAAGAAAAAGAAATCACCTCAACCCCGTGGCCTCGAGCGCCCCAACGAGGCCCTTGAGGACCAGCGGGCGGGTGAGCAGCAGGTCGACGCCGCTGGCGAAGGCGTCGCGGCGCACGTCGGCGCCGCCGAGGCCCGTGAGGGCGATGACGACGGCCGGGCGGAGGCGGCGCGCCGACTCGAAGGCGCGGATGCGGCGCGTCGACTCGAGGCCGTCCATTACGGGCATGGAGATGTCTGAATTTTTTGGGGGGTCAGGTCAGTTGGTTGTCTTTTGAGAGGGAGGGGTTCGGGGACAGGGGACGAGGATGAGGACATACCTGTGAGGATGCAGCTGTATTTGTGCGGGGACTGGGTGTATCTCTCCACGGCTTCGAGGCCGTTAGTCGCTGAGGTGTGGGGTTGTTTGAGCTTGGTCATGTAGGCGGCGAGGATCTGGGACGGGCGGGATAGTTAGCTTGTATCTGGTCTTGGTTCTGAGGGAGGAAATCCCCCTTGCCCGTCAGACCGTTACGCACCTTGAGGTTGATGGCGTTGTCGTCGACAATAAGTATCGACGCCTGCGCCTCCACGGCCGGCGTGACCGGCCTCGCGAGGACCGGCTGCTGTCGTGCCGGAACCACCACCGCGGCGTCCCTCGTCTGGACGCCCTGCGGCGGCGAGTCGGGGACCTCGAAGTCGCCGTCGGCGGAGGGCAGCGCCGTCTCCACCACGACCGGTACCAGCTTTGCGCCGCTTGTGGGCTCCAGCTTCGGATCGCCCGGGAACTCGGCGACGTGTGAGGCGCCCATCTCGTCCCCGCTTTGGAGCGGGGTTGCCGGCTCGGCTATGTACCCGGAGGAGCTAGGCTCGGAGCCTGCAGAGTCCGCTGACGATGCCCGGGATTCCTTCCACCGGGACTGGCTGCTAAGCAATGCCTGGGCTAGCTTCCGCGGCCCGACACTACAAGTTTGTTAGCAGCCGAAAAAAAAGAAAAGGGAAAAGAAAAAAGAAGACTGGGGAAGGACACTTACGGCTGCGACAGGAACTCAAAACTCTTCCGCAAACGGACCTGGTTCGGCCTGAGCATGTCATGCGCCATGGTGGAGCCGAGACAGATGAATATGTGCGGACAGGAGGCGAGGAGGTCGGGCTCGTCCTCGACATTCTCTACGCGGGCTGCCGTCAGGTCGTTACCTTCTCCTGCTCCCTCCCCTCCCTCGGTACAGATGACAAAGTCCGGCGACGCGTGCGGCACGGCACCGGAGAGCACAACTTGCATGCCCAACCAGTCGCGGCAGATGCCCTCCACGAGCCGCAGATGCTGTTTCCGGCCCGCGCCGGCCTCGAACCCGCGCAGCAGGACCGTCCGCCCCGCCAGCGCCCGCACGTCCTCCCTGAACGCGGCCTCCTCCGCGCCGGCGCCGCCATCGACGATGCCGTCGTGGTGGTGGTCGCCGCCGCCGCGAGGGAGGGGCAGCGACACGGTGACGGTGGTCCCCTTGCCGACGCGGCTGGAGACGTCGACGGTGCCGCCCAGCACCGTGGCCATCTGGCGGACCAGGCTGAGTCCCAGGCCGGTGCCGGGCGAGAAGTTGTCCTCCTGCGAGAAGGGGGTGAAGAGGTGGTCGCGCAGGTACGACTCGTTGATGCCGCGGCCCGTGTCGGAGACGGTGAGGACGACGATGGCGTCGTCGTCGTCATCGGCGGGGGTCCCGTCGTGCCCGGCCGGTGGCTGCCGCTGTTGGCGGAGGGATACGGTGATGGAGCCCGCCGAGGTGAACTTGAGGGAGTTGCCGAACAGGTTCATGACGACCCGCCGGAAGGCGCCCGGGTGGGTGCGGAACGCCCAGCTGGCAGACGGGTCGATGTCGAGGTAGATCTGGACTGCGCCTGGGCTGAAGAACCACCCGTCGGCTCGCTGCGTATGCCCCGAGCCAGGCGAGGTCTTGGCACGCGGGGGATTCGACGGGCGGCGGGGCGGGTCCAGGGCAGTGAACCGGGAATCCGAGAGGGCCCGGAATGCGTGCCCCGCCATGACGCTCTCGACGACCTCCTCCACCAGCAGGTCCAGCTGGACGGGCAGCTCTGGCACGCTCTGGGGCAGGGAGGCTGACGAGCTGGCCCGCGTGCGAGGGCCTGCCACGCTGCTTGCCCTCTGTTCGGTGTGCGATGCCCGGAGGATGTTGCTCGTCTGGCTGTAGTCCAGCAACTGCGGGTTCCGACGGGTCAGCAATCAGAAACATTAGAGCGGGGAAGGGGAAGGGGAAGGCGTGCAACTAACATGGTCGATGGTGTCGAGCAGCGTCCTCCCAGACGTCTCGATGGTGTTGACGATGCCCTGCTGGAAGCCGTCCAGGGCGGTATCGCGCAGCAGCTCGGCGGCGCCGACGACGCCGTGCAGGGGGGACCTCAGCTCGTGGCTTATGGACCCGAGGATGCCCGTCTCGGTCTTGATGCTGGCCTTTGCGTTGAGCCGCGACACCTCGGCCATGGCGGCCAGGCCAAAGACCTTGAGGTAGCTCAGCTCACTCTCCACCGTGAAGATGCGCGCCGGCGTCTTGGTCCACACGAACCCGCCGGCGAACCACCGGGACCGCTGCGGGTCCCAGAGCGGGACGATGGCGGCGCTCCTGGCGCCGGGGAAGATCTTGATGAGGGAGGAGGCGGCGCTCCGGGCCGAGTGCGCCCTCTTGGGGTCGGCCCCTTTCCACGTCCAATCATCGCCGTTGACCGTGCTGGTTCTCTGGGCCAGTGGTGAGGAGGGTGGGGTGTCGTCTGCTTCCGAGCTGGAGTGATCCGGCGGGGTCCCATCCTCTTCAAAGTTTATGATGTGGCCGTTCGGATACTTCTGGAGCAGGGTCTGGAGGTACCTCTCGGGTAGGCAGGTGTGTTCGATCGGTGGTCCATCACCGTTGATCGACGAGCTTTGAGAGGTTGAGAAGCCCAGCACCTTGCAAGTAGGGTCCTGCGCGAAGCCAAATTGGTTTGGTATAGCCTCATCGCTGTTCGACTCGTCTGGGATTCCAAGGCTCTCCGAGATGGCTGACTTGGGATCTCCGCCCACAAGACCCCCGAAAGAGTGGATGCTGGCGTCCAGGAACAGAGCACCTTCGACTTGGATAGATTCGCGGATGATGTTGGCCGCCTTTGAGAAGACGCGCTCGACCTCGCCCTTCAAGATATCTGCAGGGCTGAGGCGCGGTGCCGCCTTCCTGGCTTGTGGTATTGCAGGCGGTCGGGTATTGATTCGCCGGACAGAAACGCCGTTGGGCCCCTGTCGTGGTTTCCAGACCCCCGGCTCGACTATCTCGTCGGCACCGGCCTGTCCTTGCGAGTCATGGACGTGGAGATCCTGCAGACTTTTGTTGAGCGCCCCTTCTCCTACCTCGGGGATGTCGTGGAGTGATGCCCTGCGCGACATCCCTGACGACGGAGACAGCGTCGCCTTTCCTTGCACAAAGTTTCCCAGTCCCCATACCTTACGGCCCTCGCGCTTGCACCACTTGTTCGCTCTCTTGAACTCCAAGTAATCCATCACCGTCGGCGAAATATCCTGCAGGAATCGCTGTTCTTCCGCTGTCAAGCCGTCTGGTCTGGGATTGGTATCGAACACGCAGTAAACCCCGATGTTGATGTCTTCTGGAGACCGGATCGGAACTGCAGCATAGAACTTATAGCGTGCGTCTGCGAGACTGCAGAACCGGGGATGTGTCTCGAGGTCGTGGACGATCGATACCGGGAGATCCTCCGGTGGGTGCTGGCCAGCAGCAGCATTGCGGCGGACGGGCCCGGTCAGGACATGTTCGCAGATGCTGACTGAGCGAGGGATGGCATTGCCGCAAATAGACTGGGCCGCCTCTGGGCCAGGGCGCAGCGCATCGGCGACGATATGCTGGTGGCTGCGGTCAAAGAGAGAGATGACCGAATGGCAAGCATTCAACCGGTACAGTCCCAGCTGCGCGAATGCTGTCAGGCCGGGGTCCGGCGACGCCGACAGATCCAACGAAGGGACCGGCGCGGGATCATAGAGGGCGGCAGTCTTGGTTTCTAGGGAATCGTACCTACGTGGAAGGGATTTCGCGGTCAATAAATGGCCGGTTACTGGACTTGCTGCAAGCATACTTACTTGAACGTCTCTCTCTCCCGAGTTGCCTCTGATATAGGGCAATGAGCCTTGGTTGTCATCGTGGGTGTCGTAGATCCCATCGACAAGGCGGCGTTGTCATGGTGGTTTGGGACAGATGATGGGACAGACGATGGGGATTCAAACTCGGATTCACAAATGCCATGCAAGTGGAAGGCCCGAGAGCCGAGCCTAGTGGAAAAATGGGATTGGATATTGGTAATATATAAGGATACCATCTATCGGTTGGACATGACCTCCGGAGGCGCCAAACTTAAAAAAAAACGGTGGTGTGCTTGGGGCCCAGACCCGATCAATCTGCGCCCTGAGACCTAGACCGATCGAGACGCAGGCCGATCAATCCGGGGGGGGGCATCTGCAAGCAACCACTTAGCGGCCAGAGATGGGCACCGCCGCACCATGGGCCCAGCATGGAAAGTTTCCCCCTCGCCTCGGTATACGCATGTAGGCAAGTGTACATAAACAGTGGGGGGGTTGGGACGGGCGGATGGTATTGCCCTAGCGCCATCCGGTCGAGAAATTGTTGCTAGTAGCGCACCTCCATACTATGGTAGTGGACGCAACCGGCTGTTCCGGCACATTGCAAAAAATGGGCAGCATTCTAGGAGCAAGGTGCGACGCTCTTTCCCCTATCTCGGTCTCCGACGTTGAGTTCTCTAAGCAACTGCCAACTAGAAATTATTCTCACTTTCATAGGTGCTTCTTGGGAATGCATTGTCCTATACAGATTACATCTCGGCAACAGGTGCCCGGGTTCAGTTCGCCATGGATTCGGAACAGCACAGGTTTTTTAAGGTTGGGGCTAACTTATAGCTCCCGCGCAGGTATGTACTGTACCTCCTTTCACGCCCCCTCCCACTCCTGCCTCCTGCTCATCCAGGCGAGTCAAGCAATTACACTAGAGTGCGCAAGAATGGTCCCACCAGTCCTCACGCTAACATTTGAAACCCCCGAGGAGGTGTAGAGACTTCCTAGACTTTCCATCCCAGCTGGCTGATGGAGGTTTTTACCTCGGCTGCTGACAGCTCCGGTCCAATGACATCCGGCCCATAGATTTACCTCAGCTGAGGTATCCATGTTGTCGGTTCCTGATGCAGCAATGGAGTCCCTGCAGAATCCGGGTTCCGGGTCTGAATAAGATGGAAAGACACTGACTGTACTTAAGCTGGTGTATAATTAGGTAAGGTAGCCATAGATTATGAGTTACGCTCCTTGGCTCTCCCATCGATTTGCAGGTCTTTCTTGCCACCTCTGATAAATCCTTCTAGCCTTCCCGGACCCGCCGGCATGATGGATCCCATCGGTCGGCTCCGCAACTCGATCTTGATAATTATCAGGCACGCCGCCCGTGCCTGGCACGACTGATAAGGCCACCCGACCCTCTCCCACCGTTGCCGCCGATATGTTTGGCACATCTGCCATCATCGCTCGGCTCCGGCGCCCTCCTAGATCTTGGCGACATGATCCTGCCGTTCCCCGGCCCCTCTATCGGATGAACATGTCTAGGTAGCGAGATTATGATGAGCCGCCCCGGGCCCATGCTCGGTCCGGCACCACACAAGTCGTTGGTGCGGTAGGTTCCGTGGCCTGAGCATCGGTCCGATTGAAAGAGCGCATCTGCCCATGGTCTGGCCGACCGGCCGCCCGGCTAGACGATCCAGCCCGCTGTTAGTGGTCGGTGGCGCCCACCAGGGCTGAGATCGCACTTATTAAACGCAAGACCGGCGCTAACTGGGTCCTTTGGTTGGGACTTGCCAGCCGCCAGCTTAAATGTTGATAACCTTGATTACCTCGTAGGTAAGCTATAGCTGCTGCAATACATAGAGCTGTATGGTCGGTTGTGTTTGCAGTTGGATTGGCTCAAGGGGAAGGAAGATTGTCTCTAGAGGAAACACACCACTTGTTGTGCTGGCCGAATCTTTCCCTCTCGGCCAAGCAGGGCTAGCACAGGATGGCACCGGGTGCTACACGGATTTAGATTAGGCGTTCCAGGCTGTTACAACGCCCTCCAGTTTTGACTCAACCGCACACTGACCTACGCTTGTTGTCCCAAGTCCTGCCTACATCCTCCATTCTCCCATCTCCGGCACCTTCCTCAAACCAATCGCCTTTTCCCTTCCCCTCCAACTCTATAGTTGCCTGAGATGCCTAAGGCAAGGTCTACAGCGGAGAAATGAAGGTTCGCTGAAGCAAATAGGTATACTAGCAATATTAGTACTGTCGATAAGACAGTTGTGCCCTAGCTAGTCTTGCCCTACTAATACTCAGTATAATATGCAGCTAGAACTATAGGATGAGTGAGTTGATGTTAGCTGAAAAAAGGAGTTGCAGAAAATAACAAGCTAATACGAACGATAGGTTTAAGAAGGATTTGTTCAGTAAACACAGTACTATTTCAAGTACCTTCCGCTTACAGTTTCTCAAAGTCTTTGCTGAATTCATTAGAAAATCTACCCTAGAGCTTCTTGATCTAGATAAGAGACTAACTGTACAAACTGTAAGAAATTGTCCAGCCTCCACGCTGCCAATAGACAGGTGATAGCGACCAGCTTTGATCTGAGCTCGAGCCAACTCAGACTTGAAGTACTTGTTCCTGGCAAAGGCTTCAATGACAAGTGTCCAGTGATGTCTATTTCATGGCATTAGCTGCGAGATACACTGAAGGTCCATCTCGGCGGTTGAAGACAAATAGTAAGGGGAACTGGAATGGGGCTGCTACTAACATGGCCTCTTGGATCAGTCCCTTCCGACCTAGATGTTCTGCGTGCTTGAGCCTGGCTTGGGCGGTCTTGTAGTTATCGCCGGTAATTAGGTAGCACATGTCTAGTGCTTGTTGGTGGGACAGCGCTGCAGCATCCCACTTTCCCTGAGACGCCTGGGCATTGCCGAGGGGGAGCAACAATCCGGCAAGGCTGTTTGTGGTAGGCGGTTAAGTCTGCGCTCTCGAAGTTAGCAGACATACCGAGTTTGACCGTGTTGACGGGGCATTTGCTTACCCCCTGGCTGGCTTGGCGCCGTTTGGGTTGCCGTGCTGGCAAACAAGTTCTGGTTGCCGACGGAGATATCGATGGGATCTGCGAATCTCATCAGTTTCCAAAACTTCAGTACTCTGTCACGGACGTGAAAGCCCTTTGACACACTCTCGGCTGCTCGAGCCTCGCTCAAATTCCTCAGGTCCGAGAGCAGCGATTTGACTTTTGCCCGAAAGTCCTGTGCGTGTTGCGTGGACGCGCCGATGGACTTGATATCTCGCATGTCCAAATTGAGAGATATTAACTCCTCGCCCCTAACGCCAGTTTCGGCAAATTCGCATGGGATAAGCTTTTTTTTATGGAGTCGGAGACATCAGTCTAAGGTGCAGTGCGGTTTCGCGAAAGCCCGGATGGGGGAAAAGGTTCTGGGGGGGGAGCATAAGAGCAACCTACGAGGCGTTTCTCTGACCTCCAGAGGCTGAAACCGTGCCGAATCTTGGTTGGGCGCGTTTCAAACATTGTCAAGACAGGACATTGGATACCAGACTCTTGGAACTTTGTACACAAGCTGGTAACAATGCCAATCTCGTCTATAGCGATTCTAACTGCCTTGCCGTCAGCCTTCCCTGGCATATCCATCCAGGGCTGGCCCCAGGTCATGGCCAATGGATTCAAGCTGCCTTGTATGCCTGTTCTTATGCAGGTGGGTCGGATCTATCTATGAGTATCCCATTTATAAAGAAGCGGGCGAAGTGCTCGCAATCGTTATTCCTTTCGTCATAGTCCGCCGGGATCTTCCATACGCGGGATGGTAGCGTCTGTCGTTGAGCAGGAAGTATCAGCGTCGGTATGGCGAAACCAGGACAGACACACTAGACGGGTCAGGAGCCATCAGTCTGACACGTCCATTCTTGTCTATGAAAATGCCATACAGCATACGAGCTGTCCCCTGTTGACTACTGGAATCGTGTTAGAGATGGAAGGATATATTCCCCCTTGGTCGACATGCATGGACAATCACAATCCAGGAATTCCCATGAGAACAACCTGACCATGTCCTCGACATCGAGGGCCTTGACCAAAACGAGGAAGAATTGGGCAGTGGAGAACCGAAAGATCAGATAATTAGAAACCAACGCAAGGTCCGTCGATCGCACTTCCGTGAGATTCAGGGTTCCACTCTCTACTCACAACTCAGTCTAAGTTATTCTTAATGCTGAACATTATTAATCGAATTTCTTCCCTATTTCCTCTCAACCTACGGGTACTGCGACTAGATCTCACCGTTATCTCGGGATTCCACGGCCCCGGGGTTCAATATCTCGGACCCCCAACTTTTTACATGTACTGTACAATACAATACTTGTACTAACGACAGAATGCATTGATTAGAGGCTGGGCATTGGTTCCTTCAGAATCACCTAGTTAAATGCATCGAAGGTTGGTTTGGAAGTAAGAAACCCTACGGGGCATTAAGTCCTCATACCATGGATCTCCGACGCGCAACTTCGGTGTACGGCGACATCGCACGACTGGAGTGTTCTATGTGCATGACGTCACGTCGGCTGATTTACGGATGTTGGGCACCAACCATTGTGCCGCCCGAGAACACCACATAGGTTCATCACCAACCACGCGGCCGGCTCCCGTCATCAACTAGGTAACTAGGTAATTAGGTAACTTCCGATTGATTCGTCTCTCACATGATGACGCCCACACATAAGCTCAACATCGCACTGATCCAATTCCTGCCAAAGGTTCGGTCGGCAAGAATTTGCTCTTCCCACAGTTTCGCTGGACTGACTTTCCCCTCCCCAAACAGCCTCTTTCTCCCGAGGCCAACTTCGCCGTAGCAGATCGGAACCTTCGGTCTGCCGCCCGCCAAGGATGCCACCTCGCAGTCCTCCCGGAATTCCACCTCACGTCATGGGTCCCGGATAACCCAGACTTCGCCGCGTCCTGCAGGGACTCCCTGCCCTACCTTGAACGCTACCAGGCCCTCGCCCGGGAGCTCCACATCCACATCGTGCCCGGGACCCTCGTGAAGCCGGTGGAACTCCCCCCCGACGACGACAACAGGGGCCGCGAGCCGGACCACGCCACGGAGCTGCACAACCTGGCGTACTTCATCGCCGCCTCCACGGGCGACATCCTCGCCACCTACCAGAAGAAGAACCTGTGGCACGAGGAGCGCGGCGTCCTGACGGCCGGGAAGCACGCGCCCCACCGCGCCTTCGACCTGCCCCTCCCGGACCCCGACGGCAGCGGCGCCGGCGCCGCCGGGGTGGTGCGGGCGGGGTTGCTCATCTGCTGGGACCTCGCGTTCCCGGAGCCGTTCCGCGAGCTGGTCGCCGACGGGGCGGAGCTGGTCATCGTGCCGTCGTTCTGGGACATCACCGGGATCGAGCGGCGGGTCCTCTCGCTGAACCGCGAGTCCGAGGCCGTGTTCCTGGACGCGACGACGGTGTCGAGGGCGTTTGAGAACACGTGCGCCGTCGCGCTCTGCAACGCCTTTGGGAGCAGCCAGGTGGCGGTGCCGATCCTGGGGAGCCTGGGGAAGCTCGGGACCGGGGAGGAGGGGATCGTGTTTGGGGAGGTCGACTTTGATACCGTTAGGTATGCGGAGGAATATTACAAGGTCAGGGCGGACCTGCAGGGCGAGGAGTGGCACTATACTCGCTCGGCGACTCTGCCTCCGAAGTAAATCATGGATCACGGGTGTAGTCAGTGGCGGCAGAGAGGTATTGATATGATCGTTGCCCGGGTTTGAACAATAGGATTGTAGTCAAAACCGTTGTCAACGATTGGATCGCCAGTCAGAGAAACCAATTCTAGGCTAGCGTTCTACTATCACGCAACTCCCCCTCCCATGCCACGAAAAACCTCGCTGCCAAGTGGCTCGGACCGGCCATGCTCCTTGATATCGATCAACGCCAAGCGTAGGTCATCACGCTCAAACGCTTAGATATCAATTAGCAGTTTGCGGGATATGATAGACCCCAGGTCGGTAGAACCGTTGGCGTCTGGCTTCACTAGCTGCGCACAGTTTCTTGATGAAGTTTCGGAGGGCACCAAGCCTGTAGATGATTTGCAGCTAGTAAAAGGCATGCAAGATGCGTAGATGCTCTATATAGCTTAGCAGACTAACAAAAGACATGATTGAGGAGGAGGGTTTGATTTCCTTTTGGATTAATTTTAACCTGTAGATGGTGTACATGCCTGTCAAAAAGGCTATGATTTGGTAAGAGTTGACCAGACCAAGTGCATAATCTAGTAAGAGTTGGCGTAGAGATAGATGATTCTATCCTGTGAGATAGCCATTATACATAGCTACCAAGTCCCAAACTTGCTAATAATATAACAGCACCAATGCGTTGAGAGATTCTATCTTGGAGAAAGCAAAGGCATTGCTAAGGACTAGGCCTAGTTTGTTGGAGAGAACTTGATAGATAAGCGCAGCTTTCTCGTCAAGGAAGACTAAGTAAATGCGCTGGGCGGTGCTTGCCATGGCTTGCAGATCGGATAGAAAGCAGGCCAAGGCAAGAATGCAGACTAGCAACTCTGGAGGCAGGTTCTTGGATTGGCATCTTGGAAGCGAATTCTGATGATTGTGAACTCCCTCTCACGGAAAGTAAAGTGGGGGGACTGACCTTGTGGGAGCCAGTTTGGGCTAAGGCCGCGAGTGTCATGTGAGTTTGAGGGGTTAGGTGGTTAATACAGTATATCTAGGCTAAATTCATCAAGCAGTAACTCATTAACAGTAGTTACGGTGAGTAATTCGGCCACTCGTAGTGTTTCCAGTACCGCAGGCAGCAACAAGGTATCTGTAGATAGATTCTAACTAGCCTGAAATCATATCTCCCTTCCCTTCTTGTCGACTTTGAAAATGAAGGTAGATATTCACCAGTTCCGTGGTAATAATCTAAAACGTTGCGAAGAGGGCGGTTGAGATTATGGACGCTCTGGAGAAGGGCATGTCATTTTAGGGACTCTGCAGTCTACTCTGGGTTGTCACAGCAAGCCAGCAGTGTGTATGTACATGTACATTAGATTTGGGCTCTTCGTTACATGCCTCCTAAATAACCCGTCGATATTCAGACACACACAAAAATGACACGACCCTCTCTCCTATTTCGCCGCATCCTTGTAATGCTGGGTGAAGTCATACCTCACGGCCATGAATCCCATCAGCAGCTCCTTCATGGCGACGGGGTCCGACTCGCACTTCTTGCAGTGCTGCATGAACTCGTCCCTCTCGAAGCGGGTGTCCGGGTCCGGGTCGGACACGCGCCTGAAGTTGTCCTGCGAGATGGGGTCGATGACGGTCCTCCACTTCTCGATGCGCTTCTCGCTGTACAGGTCGAGGATGGACTCGTCGGCCCTGCCGTCGTAGATGCCCGCCAGGCAGTCGTACAGCCCGCCGACGTCGACGAAGCCGCCCGTGATGCCCAGCCCGCCCCACGGGTTGCACAGGTGCGCCGCGTCGGCGGCCAGCAGGAACCGCCCCACCCGGAAGGCCGGCGCGCAGCGCTGGTGCATCCTGTAGGGCGCGATGGTCGTGATCTTGTAGTCGCCCGGCTTGGGGTTGCCGGGGAGCATCATCTCGTACTTCCACGGCTGTCGCTCTATTAGCTGCTCCTGTGTCAGGCCCGTCTCCTCGCCGTATGTGACGCGGTAGAGGCCGTCGGCCGTCATCTTGGCGACCATCTGATTTGCAGGGAGGCAGTCAGTCAGCAGGTGTTATTGCAAAAGAAAGAAAACAGATCTAGGGGGAACGGGTGGCGTGCTCACAAAGAAGTGGTCTGGGTGGATGGCGAAGCTCGAGTCAGTGAAGCCATGCTTGCCCTCGAAATCGTAGTATACCTGCGAACACAGTCAATATCATCATCCTTGACAACTAGGGGAACTCAGCGGGGAAAAGGGGGGAGGGGGGCGAAGACTCACGTTGGTGGCGACAATCTGCTTATCCCAGGTGAAGCCCGGGTAGTCGTTGCCGAACAGGGACCTCCGGATCTGGCTGTTTGCGCCGTCGCAGCCGACAACATAATCGGCCTCGATGCGCACCTTGCCGTCGGGGGTCTCGGCGTCGACCCAGGCCTTGCCGTCGTCCTGCCCGATGTCGACGACCTTGTGCTCCCAGTGGATCTTCCCGCCGTACTTTGAGGTGATCTCGTCGAGCATGAGCTGGTCCAGGTCGTGCAGCACCAGCGACACGGTGCGCAGGTCCTGTCCGTCCACGTCGGCCAGCATGCTGCCGTCGGTGCCCGCAATCACGCTGTGGTCGTCCCACCGCCGCCACACCATGGTCGTCGGCGAGATGCCCCGCCGCCGCACCTCGTCGATGATGCCCGCGCGCGCGAGGTCCGGCACCGCGGGCGGGCCGTAATGCGCCGCCCGCGGCTGCTCGTCCAGGTGGTCCGACGCCTCGAGGATCTGCACGGGGATGCCGTGCTTGGAGAGCAGGAGGGCCAGGAGCAGGCCCGAGGGCCCGGCGCCAACGATCAGGACCTGGTGGGGCGTGTCAGTCGTGTTTTTGGGGATGGGGTGATGGGGGGATGGGGGGTCGGGGAAGGGGGGAAAGGGGGAGTGGTTTTCTCGAACCTTCTTGAAGGGACGCTCCATTCCGTCTGCTGGCTGGACACACAAATAGACGGGACTGGCGGTTTGGGGATGATTACAGGTTGTGTGTCGTGCTCGAGATTGCACGGCAAACTTTTTGGAAGGAGCGCTCTCAAAGAAATATAATTAACCCCGCAACAACACGATCCCTCTTCGGCGATGAGCCATGAGGGAAGGGGGCTTGTGGATTGTGGAGATGGGCCTAAAGATTCGGAGATGCTACGGAATCGTCCCACACCACTGGTTTGCTGCCGGCTAGTGTGTGGTGGTTTCTTTGCTGCTGGGTATGGCTAACGATTTGCCCTCGAGGGGAGGGGATGGATCCTAATCATCGGCAGTTTTGAATGACATCAGCTCTTCGCCTGGAGGATTCCCGGCCCTCCTTGACATGCGCCGATGCCGCGCGCGCGAACCCCGGAATGTGCGGAGACGCGACCTGGTGACCTCGAGTAGGGCCTTCTCGCTATTGGAGCTTGGCAGCTGCCGGCCCCCAAATTATCAAATTATGGTCCTTCTATCCGTGGAAATCCACAGTCGTGTCAGAACTGATCTTGTGAGTTCTTCGAGGATGTGGCTCTTGGGTATTGCTTGTGTATGCATATGTGGGTGGTGCAACTTGTCGTCAGTCTCGGAATTCTGGGCGAGGGGTGGTTACTCTTGTTGAAAGAGCCGGGGTTTCATCTGCCTAGCCAGTTCACAGCGGGGCTCTATTTTAAGAAGTGACTTCAGACTTTATTCATTCGGTTGCAGAAGGTAGCAACCAAGGGGGAGTTTTGGTTGATATCAGACTCTCACTCTCAGTCGTGAGGGAAACCGCGTCCACGGCACCAGACTGCCAAGGCGGTTGATGACTATTAGCACCTCTAACTTATTAATTACCTATCACGATTTACCTGTTGACAAGCTTTTGTCACGGATAACCAAGTCCGGAAATTGAGACGATGGCGCTAAACGGCAATCATGAAAAGTAACTGAGATTTTGGGCCAAGGGTTTAATGAAACAAACTAAACATAATCTCATCCTACCTAGTAAATAGAAACTCATGTCTGTGAGGACAGCTGATTACCAGAGGCTTGAGACCCTTATGGGCAATCAACTTAAAGAAATACAGGGATGAGACGTAACAAACGAATTATAATTAGCTGGCTATGAAGTAATGATGAGGTTGAAGTTGCACACCATTGTTACAATGATGTGGTAACAGAGAAATCATTGTTGACTTTATTTGCCCTACCTGCTTGCAATGCCTGTGCTCTCATCTGCCTTTGGAAGGTACAAAAAAGCAGTATTAAACCGAAATACATATGATGAGGAGGGGGTAATTAGATGAAAGCTCCCATGTAGGTATTCTGCGTGGACTTACACAGGGCCCAGCCTTTTTGTTCTTTTTTTACTTGCCCCAGTTCCCTCCCGAATCTGTATAGCAACTTCTACATCTGAGTACGTACCAGTGACATTTACTTATACGTTTCTCTACCAAAAGCAGCTATATATAGACAACATTCCGTTCGTTTCGAAGGCGAAGAATCAATCTTTAGTAATGGGCACATCAACAAGTTTGTCCAGGCGCAGCTCAACGACCCTTCTTGACATTCGTTCGATCAACTTGCCAAAAGGTCTGAGACGACGCAGGCGTTGTAATATATCCTGAACGGCTCCTTGACGCGAGTCCGCTACTTGCTCGTCAACTCTGGCTGGGGTCCGAAGGACAGTCATCAAGACTCAACGGTGCTGTACGACCTTGTTCACAAGACCGTGAACCGAGTTTCGAAGTACTCAGCTAGCCAGCTTAAAGGTTGAGAGTGCCAACTTTGGTTCCATGAGAGACCCCCAATCTCGTGTCATGTACAAGTACCGGAGAGAGAAGAGGCTTATGCAGCTTGGATTTGAGACGGAGGACAAGATCGCAATGTGGATTGTGATCAACAGCTTGGATAGGTAATTATGGCTGGCAAATTGGCCTGGGTTGGGACCTCAACTACGGGCCCCTGACGTTGAGGAAGCTCATGATGGGACTCTCAAGCAAAGAATGAAGGAAATCGACGCTAGGGACAGTGATCTGGCTAGCAGATCTGGCATTCAAGGTTCAACAAAGAGTTTGGGCCCAAAGAACTGTTGTCAGGCTTGTCGACTATCAGATTTTAGTCGAAGTGGGCGCCGAAGAAGAGGGTATCTATAGTATAGGTATATAGAGAGGGATCAAACCTTGGGGAAACAGGTGGGGAATGGAGCTTGTTCCCCAAATGTTTCATTAGAAGCGCCTACAAGTGGTCATAACCGGTGGGACAAAATAATATAGTGTGCATCCATTGAGAGTGGTTGTGGGCAACGTATCCTTATTTGGCTATACTCAGTATATTGAAGTGTACTGTAAATAAAAGGAAAGAAAGAAGGGAAATCCAATCAGGGGCGCGTTCAGTACCCCAGGTCCCGCGCCCCTTTAGCTCTCCTTCGGTTATGCTACAAAGTAAGGTAGGTCTAACTACATTGGTTTCTGAGTGGGTCAACTGACGGAGATCTCCGTGTAGGTACTTCCTTCCTCCTACGCATTATTGTTGATAGTAACTTATATATCTCCCAGTAAAGTAGGTAGATACTAGGCCATGGACAACAATGCATTGACGACTAGGTGCATGAACCAACCCCCCCCCCCCCCCCCAGAGCAAATCGAAACATATCTCCCCGTCATTACATGATTAAAGTGTCGATCGTATTCCTAACCTCGCATCTCCCGCCTCCCGCCAACGGCCGGGCTCCTCCGCCCTGCCCCGCCTACCACTGCGACGTTACCGGGTCGTCGGGGATGAGGGTGACGGTGACAATAGAGGTGGGCGTGGGCGTCGGCTCCGGGCCCAGGACCGTGATGAAGGTGGTGACGACGGTGGGCGTGGGGCCGCTGACGCTGATGATGGTCCCGACGGTGACCGTGACGACGTTGCCGTTGTCGCCGCCCTTGGAGCTGGGCTGGTAGTCGTTGGGGACGCACTGCGAGTAATATATGCTGCGCAGCGGGGAGGGCAGAAAGCGTCAGCATGTGTCTCGCCTTTTGGACGCACGCGTGATGTGCCGTTGCTTTGGTGGGTTCAACTTACTTTCCGTCGTTGTAGCAGTATGCAGAAGTGGGACAGGCAGACGCGCCCGAATAGGTTATGCCACCGCCTATTCAAGATAGTGGTCAGCTCCAGATATTTCAGATCGAGCGAGCGAGCCGACGGAAGTGTGGGAAGGCGGATGGATATTGTGCTCACATTGTCCCCATATGGTTTGGGCCCCGTTCGGCGCCCGCGTCTGGGTCTGGATTTGGGTCACGGTCTGAGTCTGGGTCTGACCCCTCGAGATCGTAGTCGGCCTCCGGCCGCCGCCCCTCTGGCATAGACCTGCTCCGAGCAGCAGGGTGGAAACGAGAAGCGACTTCAACATGGTGCCCTACAAGTCGGCGAGACCGGATAGAGGGTATGGAGGATGGGGGATGGAGGATGGAGGGAGGATCAAGGATGGATGATCGAGTATGAAAGACTGAGAGTCGAAAATAACGAAGAAAGAGTAGTTGCAATGCCTCGCCCGGGCTGACTTCCCAGAGCTCGTCCCTTGATACATATATGGGGAGAAATCATCCCAGGAATCAGAATAGGGGACCCTCTCCCCCCCAGGGGAACAACAACGTCCAAGAGCCGGGTTTACAGTTTGCCAAATTGTAGCAATATCTCCGTACCACATCCTGGATTGGCCGCTTCATCACAATAAACACGCACGGCTCGGCTCAGGGGGGGCCCAGATCAAGCTCGACTTATTAAAACAGGAGACGAGATTGATATTGGGCGGGACCAAGAGCCCAGCCAGCTTAGCCGGATCAGGGATTGGGCTTGCTGTGAATGATCACATAATATTGTGAAATGGGCTGTCATTTTAGCCTCTTATGTAGCAAGGCGTGCGGCAGAGCCTGTTGTCGGCTATCCCCATCACTCCGTGCGTCTACTCCTTGGCCAAGGAAAAATACCCAACCCCCCGGGATCGGCTCCAGACAGCTGATAAACCACTAGATCGGAAACATGAATGTACCATGGGCCCAAAAAACATCCATGTGTGCCAGCCAGGCGAGATCTGCTCCCGCCCGCTCGCTTACGCCAGGGGGGAACTCTGTCGCTTGTTCCCAGTGCTACCCTCCTAACGACGGGACACTCGCCTGTTGCTCCCGGGGGCACGGGCTGCTATTGTCCGATTCATTAACCCAGGTTCCCGGGTGTTTGCCACAATCTGGAGCCGCTTCTATTTCCGTCTGTGCCAAGACCGAGCCGTCGGACGAAAGCCCTGAGTATGGTATATTGTTCTCTTTGTTTTTCCCTAGTTTTTTTTCTTTTCCTCGCCTCTTCTCGTTGGGAATGGGAAAACACCATCTGGATAAATCCCATCCACCCCCCGGGCCGGCGGGTGAAAACCGACCATTGCCCTTAAGATACAAACACAGGGTTATGCACTGTACTTGACATGTGTGTCCCCCGCTCTCGCATTCTCTCGCAGAGAGAGAGACGCCTCGGTTCTCTGCAAGCCTGCATCTCCCAAGCTGAGCCCCATCACGCGCTCGGCTCCATGGAGCCTGGGGCCAGTTGCCAAACTCCTGCCGGGGTCCTAATTATATCATATCTATCCGCTAAATGAAGCTCTAAGATCCGGCTCCTGGGACTTAGGGAGCAGCCCTCGGAGGCCGGACCAGGAAACCGGTAGCCGGGTGGGAAATGAGAAATAAAATAAAAATAATCCTCCTCTGCGGCTGGTAGCGGCTTGAGTGGACCAAGCTTATCGCGGTTCCGCCTCCTCCTACACCGTCCATGTCTTTACTATCTTCTTGTGGATGGAAACAAGCGAGGCTCCAAGGTCCCCCCTCGCTCCCAAGATAATGTCGTCCCGTCTTACGGGGCGAATCCCGGGGCTACGAGCAAAGGGGGTGTCATCATCCAAAAAGGGGGACGGCTGGCGTCAGGGGTATATATATGGAAAGCCGGATATAGCATCACGGGATTGTCTTGCCTGGTCAGGAATCCTGGGCCCCTGATGAGATCGGACGATTAACCTTTTTTAACCTTGTTTTTCTTCTTAACCGCCTTGATCGAACTTTGAAGTTACTGCCCGGCCCGGAGTTGGACAATCCCAAGATTGCGGACCTCAAATCACCCAAGCCAGGGATACAGGTCGATCCACTTGCCCCAATCGAAACCCCCTTTTAGATTTTTTTTTCATTACCCTTGGGAACGTCGTGACCTCTAATCAAGTAAATCTGTTGGTAAAGCAACCGTCGGAACATGTCTTTATCGCTCACAACTTCCCATTGCTGTGGTCCTCGACCTCGCAGAAGGCCTTGAACGTGATGAAGCTGTCATCCTTCCCGCCCTCCGACGTCAGGACAAGCTCTGCCGTGGCGCCGACGAAGAATATGTGGCCCTCCTCAATGTCGTGCACCGTGGGGCCGACCGATATCTTGCCCTTGCCGGTGGTGCAGATGACGATGCTCGGCCCGTCCAGCTGCTCAAAGGTCGCCTTTGACCCGTCGCCGCTCAGCACGGTCCGGATGATGCTGAACTCGTCGATGGGGGGGTCGTAGAGAGTGGCGGTGCTCCCAGAGCTGTAGGCCTTGGCGTTTAGGGTCGCGTAGGGGTACTCGGTCGGGTGCATCTTCTGCTCCTCGATGGGCGCGTAGTTGTAGGTCAGCATGGAGACGAGGGTGTCGACGTCCTTGAACTTGGGCGTCAGCCCCGCCCGCACCACGTTGTCGCTGGCGGCCATGCACTCGACCACGTCGCCGCTGAGGTAGGCGTGGATGTCGTCGGCCCGTAGGAAGAGCGCCTCGCCAGGCTGCAGGGTGACGTAGTTGAGGAACAAGAGCACGAAGAGGCCGTGGTCGGTGCCAAACTGGCCGTGGAGGCGCGTCACCAGCTCGGCGAGCGTCGCCCCGGATGTCGCGGCCACGCCCTTGGCGGCGAAGTCGGCGCCCGCGCTGGACGCCGACTCCACGAGGCTCTTGGTTGCCGCCGACAGGTCTGCTTCCGACGACGACATGACCGCGGCAAAGGCCTTCCGGAGAACTTGCTTGTTCTTGGCTGTCGCCTCCTGTGACTCGTCCCCCTCGTTGCCCTTCACCGTGTCCACGAATTCCCTGGCGGCCTCCTCACCGACGAGCTGGCGGAGTGCTGGCACATTCTCGAGGAAGTGGGCTATCTCGTTGAGCGGGCGAAACCCGCACAGCCCCTCGAACGGGGTGATGGCAATGGTCATCTCGGGCTTGTGGTTGTCATCGGGGTAGTTCTTGGGGTCCCTGGCATGCAATTCTCCCGCCAGCTTCTTGTTTGGATGTGCTTGGATGGACAGGGCCTTGTCGATCGAGAGGACCTTGAGCAGGAAGGGGAGCTTATTCCCGTATCTCGCCACGACGGACCGGGAGAGAAGCGCCTGGTTGTCCTGGACGAGATCGAGAAGGGTCCGGCCCGTGGTCAAGTCCTTGGACGGGTTGGAAGGATGCGTGCCCATCCATAGCTACGGAACGCGTGCAAAGCATTGGTTAGCAACATAGTCTACAGTCTACGGGTTCTGAAATAGCCACATACCTCTGCGTACGGCCGGTCATCTTGCACGACGAAATCTTCGGACGGAGTGGCAGCGGCGAGCTTGGCGGCGACGGAGGCTTGCCCTTTCTTTCCCCAGTCATACGAATTGACCCCGCACTGGAGCCGAATTAGAGGGACCTGCATGGTTGTTTTGGGGACGTAGGGGTTGCCAAATGCCGGAGAGTGAGGCGCCTGGAAGGGAGGCCTTTTTGCTTTTTGTGTTTGGTACCTGAGTAGTAGGAAACTTTAGTAGGTTGCTTTGCAAAAGGGGCGGTCTAGTAGGACACAAGCCATTGCTAACCCCTCCCTTGACATCACACCCGCATGGAGCGCGCGCCAAGAGCGAGCCGGGCAGGCAGGAGGGGTGGGTATAGGCGGGGTTATTCCATCTCACCGCCCTGATTCTGCCGCAACGGGTTCCCCTCGTAAGGACAACAAACTTGAAGCTCCCGGCGGCATATATACATAGGGTTTCAGTAGGAAGGCGCAAGCTCAAACTCCAGGCCCAAGAACCTAATTAATATGGGGTCCTGATAAACTTGCCGCTGCTGCTCAAATCCAGGCATTCCCGCCCCCTCAATTACCTATTTCCCTCTTCGTTGCCTGGCAACTCCCCTCCTTGCCGACCACTTCGCGCCTACCTTCCCAACAGACTCTAACCTGTAAGCACGCCCCCGACCCCCTGAGCTCGAGACACGGCTTATATGCGTGCCTACCTCTATGCCTGTCTCGACTTGCCACATGCGTTGCCAAAACCCCTCCAAAAAAACCAGGCCCCCTTATTTCGGACCCCAGTGGTATCTCTTTGATATTCATTCTACCTAGCATTCAGCTGCAGCCGTATCGTGCTAACATCATGCCCGACCTCAAGAAACAGGATTTACACTCCAGCCTTGGCGATTACTAGAACTTACCGTCAAACCCGCCGACAGGTATGGCCTCCCAACGCAGCCGCAGTGCCCGAGGCCCCGGACGTGGCAACGGCGGGAACCAGGGCGAGGAGCTGGATCTCTGGAATGCCTCCAAAAGTGACATACACAAGCTGGTGGAAATGATCAACAGCAGCAGCGACGACATGCGCGCCATCGGAGCACAGGACAGCTACATGGCAAAGAACAAGGGGAGCTACGATCCGCAGGCCGAGGAAGACAAGCTGGAGGCATTATTCCGCGGAGGGGTCCGGGATACCGAAAATATCAAGCAGAAGCTCGACGAAACCATGCACAAACTCATCATGGTCAGGGCGATACAGAAGAGCAAGGAAGAGGCCGAGGCCGCGGCTGGAGGCGGCTCGGGACCGTCGACCAGGGAGCGGTCCGGGGGATCCATGTCCGGCACGGGGAGATCGGGCTCGGTCCGTGGAGCGGGCGCAAAAGACCGCGAGCGCGAGCGCGAAAAGGAGAAGGAGCGAGACAAGGATAAAGACAAAGATAAAGAAAAGGACAAGGAGAAGGAAAAAGAGAAGGAGAAGGACAAAGAAAAGGAGAGGGACAGAGATCCCTCGTCTCTCTACGACTTCGACGGGGGTGGCGACTCGCCCGTCCCGTCGCCGTTGGGCAGCCACACGAGGAAGCTGGGCGGCGGGGCGGGGAGCGACCGCTCGGGCACCCGGGATAGTCTCCCGCCGCGCGACAGCATGCCGCCGGACCTCCCGGCCAGCGCGGCCGCCACGCAGCGCTCCAAGGTGAACTTCGTCAAGGGCCAGGACGTTGTCTTCAAGCCGAAGCCGACGCCGACCAACGACAACCCGGACTGGTTTCTCGGGCGGGTGCAGCAGGTCCTGGGCGAGGGCAAGTCCAGGCGGTACAAGGTGCAGGACGCCGACCCCGACGTGGCGCCCGAGGACAGGATCGAGTACCGGACCAGCGCGAGCAGCATGATCCCCATCCCCGCCGAGGGCGCCGAGCTGCCGGGGCTCGACAAGGGGAGGATCGTGCTGGCGCTGTATCCCGATAGCACCACCTTCTACAAGGCCGAGGTCACGGACATGGACGCCACGACGGGGAAGGTCAACCTCAGGTTCGAGGGCGAGGAGAACAGCGGGACCCTGCAGGTTGTTGACAGGCGGTTTGTTGTCGAGTACAGGAGCTGACTCGGACGGTAAGGGGGACTTGGGGTCCCCCCTTGCTTTGATTTTGCCTTCTTTTTTCTTCTCTACTCTCTTTATTTTCAACCCCATTTGCTGGCTCTCAATTTGGGTGAACCCAGCTGTTGTTTGCAACGGGAGTAAGGTGTGTTTCTTGGGGAGCGGAGTTGGGCATGATGGGTGGGCAGATTTGGGCATTAAGGTTACAAAAAGGTCTGGCAAGGCCTCTAGTCACTACCTATGTACTGTACAGGCATTATTATTAGTCAAACAAGCGATGGCAGATGCGTCGTCCATACACTAATAAGGCACATGATAAAGTTTGCAACGCTCGTGTTGAAGCTTTTGCGAGATTTGACCAAAGAGACGCCCCGTGCTCACTTGGCACTTGGCACTGGTGTTTGACGGGCACTGGCGGGCAGGTGAGCCTCAGGAGAAAACTGCCCCCATTGGCTGCTCCGAACAGGGGTAGCAAATCTCGGTTGAGCGTGTCAAAAAGTGAGCTGTCCGTGCCCGCACTGTTGCGCCCTGGCGAAATAGGGTCAGGGGTCGAAGCCACGAGAGATGAATTGAAACAGGAAAAGCATTGCTCGACTCCCAAGAAGCGTCGTTGCTAGTCTGTTCCGCACTTGCGACAGACTCGAGTCCCCTGCCAACCTGTCTCGAACCAAGCCACTGCCGTGCTCGTAGCTTTGACAGCTTTCGCAGACCGTCCATCCATCCACCTTATCTTGGTCGCTATTGTTTACTTGCAGATTATCGACCTCCAATTCACTGCGTCCAGGCCTGCCTTCCACCCTACTGGCATCCGATTGATTTGTCGTAGCGCCAAATCATTTTCCCCGAACTGGTCGGAGCGTTAACTCGAAGTCGATAAGCGCGCAGCGATCGCAATATACGCACATCCATCAAGGCAGAGTGGCGTTGGATCAACCGCATACACGGGCCAAACACCGAGCTCTCGCGACGACAGGAGCTTCTCGAACACTTTCGAACACTTCTCCCGCGCCCACTGACATCCATCCACACCTCACCGATCGCCCGCATATCATATACAGCCCCGCGACATATCTGCTCCGACAACCCTCCTCCACACCGGCGCTTCCCCAAACCTACTCCCCTCTTCGGCACAGGGAACCGCACCCGAGACACCCCTAAGCCGCTTACAGCCAAGTCCCCTCAAGATGGGCGGGCAGCTCTCCAAGATGATGGGCAAGATCTTCGGATCGAAGGAGATGCGCCTCCTGATGCTGGGCCTCGACGCCGCGGGCAAGACCACGATCCTCTACAAGCTCAAGCTGGGCCAGGACGTCACCACCATCCCCACAGTCGGCTTCAACGTCGAGACGGTCACGTACAAGAACGTCAAGTTCAACGTGTGGGACGTCGGCGGCCAGGACAAGATCAGGCCACTGTGGAGGCATTACTTTAGCGGTACGGGCCTTTCCCTTTCTTTCTCTGGCTGCTGCTTTCGCTGGAAGGGTGCGGTTCGGCTGAAGGATTCGAGAGCTAATGATAATCACCAGGCACCCAGGGATTGATCTTCGTTATCGACTCGTCGGACCGGGCGCGGATGGACGAGGCAAGACAGGAGCTGCACCGCATCATCAACGACCGGGAGATGAAGGATAGCCTGCTGCTGGTGTTTGCGAACAAGCAGGATCTCGACAATGGTACGTAAAGGGGAGACAGACGCAGCCAACCACACGCAGACCAAACTAACGCCCTTCCCCCCCCCCCAAAATAGCCATGAAGCCCCAAGAAGTAACCGAGGCCCTCCAGCTGTCCAAGCTGAAGGACAAGGTCTGGTACGTCGTGCCCAGCTGCGCCACCACGGGCGAGGGCCTCCTCGAGGGCCTGGCCTGGCTGTCCAACAACGTCAAGGCCCAGCCCGCCCCGTCGAAGAAGTAGCCGGGGAGCCCCGGGTCTGCCGCGGGCTGGAGGAAAGGCGCGGGGGGGACCGTGTCTCGGGTTATCTTCTTCATTTTTTAATTATCTAGAGGACACCTCCTTCACAGTTCGACGAGGTTTATCTTCTTTCCCTCTGCTGCCACCGCCACCTCGGTTTTACCTTTTTTTCTTCTCCCCCTGGGCCTGGCCTGGCCTACCCTAGCCTAGCCTTGGCTTACCCGCTGGATACTACGTGCTATCGAATACCCGCCGGTTTACCTGCGACCTTTGAAAGAAGGCCCGGAAGCGATGTGGAAACTCCATCATCAATCGGCTCGCCCCCTTCTCCCCAAAACACCCCCCTGGTTTCGCCTGTGTCTGCATCGCATGCTAGGTGGGGCCTTACATAACGTGCAAGGGCAAAGGATACAGACGGTTTCTATCTTGCGGACCAGAACCTGTGTCGTGGAGATTAGGATGTGGGCGGTCGGGGTTGGAAATGGAAATGGAAAGGCCCGGGAGGATCAGGCGGTAGAAGGAGGATGGGGGGATGCTAGTCACGGGCTGTCCAAGACGGGGGGTCAAGAGAACCCCGGAAATGCTCTTTTTGATCTGATTTCTCGGGTCCTTGATGTGTATGAACTTTTGTCCTTTATTTTTTTTTTCTCTCTTGCTGCTTGTTTGTTGCTCGTGTTGGAATCTGTATGCATTTTCTATTTGCTTCATATGGTTTTTTTTTTTTTTTTTTTGGCTCTTGCGATCGAATATTTATACTTACAGGGCGATACCCAGAATGGCGGATTATTACTACTGAACCAAAATCCTCTTCCTGGCTTGTTCCAGACGGGGTTGCTTCTACCTGCTTTCCGCCGCCTACCTGACTAGTACATGGTAACGCTATATAACGTAGATCTGCTGGTGTTCTGATGTGTTCCAACAGAAAGTCCTGGTTTTGCCCATGCATTGAGAGACATGGCACATGGCTCCTTGTTGTGAGAATACTAGCTTGTCATAATGAGCTTCCTGAGCTGGCTCCTCCGTCTAACCGAACGCTAGAACTACATGCCTTATCAAGACCTCGACGATGCAACTATCTATGACTTCAGAACAGAAGGGGAACATACGGCCCACGCGGATTATAAACGCCAGGAGCCCAATGCAGTCCGCCCGGAGCCGGAACGCCATGCACAACAAAGAAACGATACCCAAAAAAGCAGCAGACTGGAAAGCCAATAATGCCATCCCAAGTGCTGCCCAAAACTCTGGCTAGGAAAACACTGAGACATAATAGGACACAACAAAAGGAGAGGAAAAAAGGCAAGCGAAGCCCATCACCCGTCTTTGACCCTCTTCCCAGGCCTGACGATCGTGTCGTCAGGCAGCCCACTCCTCTTCGTCCCCGGCAGCGAGCTGGTGCGTATGTCGTTGTCGTCCTGGCTGACGCGGCGGTGCGGGTACTCGGCCTTGAGGCCCTCGAAGCAGTTGGCGCGGACCGGGTCGCCCGTCGTGAAGAAGGGGTGCTGCAGCGCCTCCGCCGCCGTCAGCCGCCGCTCCGGGTCGTACTCCAGCAGGCCCGACAGCAGCCCGTACCCCTCCTGCCCCAGGCTGGCTAGTGGGGACGACCCCTGCCCGGACGTGCCGCCGCTGGTGCTGCTGCTGCTGTTGCCGTTGCTGGCGCTGGAGCTGGTGTTGGCGCTGCTGGTCGTGGGCTGGTTGATGGTGTTGTAGTACCACTTCTCCAGGTGGCTGACGCCGGCGGCTGCCGCCGACGACCGCTGCTGGTGGCCGCCGCTGCCGTAGTGCTGGGCCGCGTGGTGGTGGGAATGGTGGTGGCCCTGGCCGCTGAGCGGCGGCTGCAGGGTGGACAGGTGGCTGTAGTCGGGCATGCTCGTCAGCAGGGGCCAGCGCTCCTTGGTCGGCAGGCCCATGATGTCGACGATGCGCTGCATCTGGTTCCGCTGGAAGGGGACCGTCTTCTTGTTGTCCATCTTGGCCTCCTCTCCCTTGAAGATGGGCCGGAGCGACAGCAGCTCGGCGAAGATGCAGCCCACCGCCCACATGTCGATGGCGGGCGTGTAGTGCTTGCTGCCCAGGAGCAGCTCCGGGGCGCGATACCATATCGTCACGACCACCTTATCGCCGCTGAAGAGCGCGTGGAGCGGCTTGTAAAACAGCCGGGCCAGCCCGAGGTCGCCGATCTTGACCTCGCCGGACGACGTCACCATGATGTTAGCGGGCTTGAGGTCGCGGTGGAGCACCCAGTTGGTGTGCAGGTACTGGCAACCGTTGAGGAGCTGGAACATGATGGACTTTATGGTGGTGGCCGGTATGGGGTGCCGCGGCTGCTGGGTGTGGTGGTGGATGATCTGGAGGAGGTCGTGCTCGGCGTACTCGAACACCATGAAGATGCACTTGTCCTCGAGGATGATCTCGACCAGCCTGATGACGTTCTGATGGTTGAGTTCGGAGCACAGTGCCATCTCGCGCACCGCCGATTGGGAGATGCCCGTGTATGCCACTTGCTCGCCCTCCTTGTCGGGCTTGAACTTTTTGATGGCGAACTCGCCCGGCGACCCGTGGCGGCCGAGCGCCTTGTACACGCGGCCGTAGGTCCCGCTACTGATAAAGCCGACGACCTTGTACCTGTCTGTCACCCGGACCTTGCTCTGGTACCCCATCGGGCCGGTGCCTCTATCGGCGGGATCTGCAGATATGCGTAAGCGTGAGAAACCATGCCGGGAGGTAAGGAAAACCCCGGACAGGCGAAGCCATGGCGGCCGGCGTTGTCAGACCGCCGCAGCAGTGACATGGCACGGAGAGAGGGGGAGGGAGAGAGAGGGTGCAAATCGATGCGAAAGTAGGCGATGGTCTGGAATAATGGAACAAGCAGAAATATGGCAGAGGGCGGAGAGGATGGAAAGAAAGCCTTAAGTTCGTTCGCTACCGCCAAGCCAAGCCTTAGGCGAGTGGTGAGCGGACCTTGGATTTCCGGGTTGTATTATGGACGGGATATTGGATGGGAGCTGACAGGAGCTAGCATGACTCGGAACTACGGGATATGAGATCCAATACTTCCGATCACCGAAGGAACGAGCGGGGGAGCGGGGAGGACAGCAACCTACGCAGCTAGTGGGATGGAGGATGTGGAAATGTGGGATGTGGAAAGAAGCGAGACGCAGGCAGGCAAACAAACGAAATCACCGCAAAATAGCGTGGCTAGCTAGCTGCCTTACCATCAAATGCTGCCTGGACACTCCTCTTCAGGGATTGAGTCCTCGATGCTGACCCCGACCCCGGTCCAGACGCCCCTGACGATGGGTTCGTGAGGCTCATCGGAGGCAGGCGGAGATTTGGTGTGGAGAAAGCTGAGTTGCGCACTTCGAATCGAGTTCAACGACCCCCACCCCCCCTTCTTCACTGGTGCACTGTTGGGGGGACAGACCTGGGAGAAACGGGGATTGAAGGGTAGCGTCTCAAAACTCTGGAAAGATGGCCCAAAAGCGTACAATAGAAAGAAGCGTAGAAGTCGAGGAATGTAAACCAATGAATAGCAATGAATGCAGGCCTCGAAAAGATGCCATGAGGTTGGGCAAGGATAATAAAAGGTGGGGCTCTGCATGTGGCTGTACTTGTGGCTGAACCCAAGGAAGCTGGACTTCTGGAGGACAAGAGTCACGTGGGACCCGGCAGCTCCTCCTTCATCCCGAGATTGCAGCTGGCTTCAGAGAGAGTCCATATCAGATGCTGCGGACATTTACTCTCATAAAATATTGAATCAATATCAACTACCTGAGGTGACTAGCTAGGCCAACGAAAATGACGACCCGATTCCTTCGTAGATCCATCCGACTACTAGTGGTCAACCCGAACTCGTCACAGGAGATGACGCGAGGGATGGAGGAAGCTCTCAAAGGGACTAAAACATCGGATGTATGCTGTGCCGAAAATATCCAGCATCTGGTCATAGGCATGAGAGCTGCCGGCCTGACCTACAACATAGGAAACCGAGATCTACACCTACACTGCGCCGGCAGAGTCTCCCGCAAGCATCAACTCCGGAGAAGATGTCGCGTCGAGCTACGACGTTGTCTACAAGAACCTCACGAGCACCGGCGAACTCCAGAAGTACGACGGCGTGCTTGTGGCATGCTTCAGTGCTCATCCACTGGTCCATAAACTGGCCCACGAGCAGGGAAGTCGGGGACTCTTGGCCGTCACCGGCATATTTGAAGCGAGTATCCTTGCCTCTCTATCACTGCTAACCACACCGCTCTCGAGCTCGGCCACCCCGCGAACCTGGGGTATCGTGACGACCGGGAAGTTCTGGGAGAGTCACTTGGCTGCGGGAGTCAGCGACCTCCTGGGACAGGACCCCAATTCTCGCAATGTCAAATTTGCGGGAGTCGAGTCCACCGGTCTGGATGCGGGCGATTTTCACGGCGAGATGCATCCGGCCATAATACGGCAGAAGCTCAAGGAGGCGACGAAGCGACTACTCAGCACGGGCGCCGTGGACTGCGTCGTCATGGGCTGTGCCGGAATGGCAGGTCTAGAGGAGACTATCAGGGATGCAGCGATCGAGAGGCATGGCAAGGAAGCTGGGAACCGTCTGTACATCATCGATGGAGTGAAGGCAGGAATAGGCCTACTAGAGCAGATGGTCAGGAACAAGAGAATGTTCCAGAAGCAGTAATCCCGTCGAATAGTAAACTGCGCCAAGGTAAAAGCACGCTGCACAAACCGGTCTAGATCACAACGCATGTAATTGTCAATCAATCCGTCTCGTCCGTCCCCAAACCTCGTCGGCATCCTTCTTGCCCTTCGTCTCCGGCACATTCCAAGCGACAAACACGGACCAGAGCATGGCAAATGCCGCAAAGATAAAGTAGACCCAACCGGCGCCGCCAAAGCGCTCGTTCAGGGCGGCGTTGATGATGGGGAAGAACTGGGCCACGAGGAAGGTGGCCACGTAGTTGGCGCTCAGGCACCACGACTGCGTCGCCCCGACGGCCTCCTGGCCGACCAGTTCCGATGCCATGATGAAGGGCACGGGGCCAAGACCGACGGCGAAGAAGGCCACGAAGAACAGCACCGAGACGGCGGACAGGATCTTGACGCCGAACCTGATAGACAGCGCCAGTGCTAGCGAGCTGGAGCCCTGGCCGATGATGGAGAGCAACAGACAGGTCTTCCTGCCCAGCCGGTCGGGTAGCGGCGAGCAGGCAATGGTGGTGAAGAGGTTGATGGCCGAGATCATGATCGTCAGCAGCGACGAGTTCATAGGCACCAAGTCGGCTAGGAGCACGACCGAGTACATGATGATGGAATTGATGCCGCAGAACTGCTGCGCAAAGGCGATGCCCACGACCGCGACGATGGCCGGCCTGTAAGACGGATCCCGAACGACCTGGACGAAGCCCAGATGCTCCGCCGGCGCCTTGCCCGACGACACCGGCGACGCCAACGCCACGGCCCCGTCGCCGCCAGCCAGCAACCCCTGCTCCTCTGCGGAAACCGCCGGGATGCCGCTCCCGGCGCCCCAGCCGTCGACCTCTTCGCCGACGTCAACGCCCGTCCCGCGGATGCGCTGCAGGATCCTCCTCGCGCGCGCGACGTCACCGCCCGAGGCAGCCGTCCAGGCGGGGCTCTCGGGCACGAGCAGCAGTCCGAGGCCCTGGGCGGCCGCGACGGCGACGCCGGCGGCCAGGATCCAGCGCCAGGCGGCGCCGTGGCTGAGGAAGTAGCCAAGGGTCTGGGTGGCCAGGATGCCGACGTTGATGCTGATCTGCGTGAAGGCGCCGAACAGGCCGCGCTCCCGCGGGGGCGCCACCTCGCTGATGTACAGCGGCACGATCACGGTGGCGGCGCCGGCGCCGACGCCCGCGATGAGGCGGCCCGCGCCCAGGACGGGGATGCCCCCGGCTAGCGTCTCGGCCACAGAACCTAGCAGGAAGAAGGCCGCGGTGATGCGCATGGCCGGCAGGCGGCCGCGGGTCGAGGCGAAGGGCCCCGCTGCAAGGGCCCCGCCGAGGCCGCCGAGCGTGAAGGCGGACGAGACTGTGGCGAACTGGGCCGGCGTCATGGGAATGCAGTCCGGGAGCGAGCGGGGGGTGCTATCGGTTTCGGGCTTGCGAGCGAGGGAGAGCAGGGCGGACATGACGGTCGCTGGCGTGGACTTCTGGGCGCAGGTGATGGCATCTTGTGGAGCGTTCAGCTCGGCCTGTACATGGGGAGAGGGGAGTCAGCTGTCTATTGCTATCGTGTCGGAGGATGTTGTTGCAAATACGGCTCCGATCCTGCAAAGGGAGGGGGAATGCGTTCCCATGTAAACGTACCAGGTGAAAGCCGAACTGGAGAGGCCCGAGGGTCGCGATGGTGATGATGATAATAAGATAGAGCGACACATCTTTTACGCATTGCCGCAATCCCGATGGCGCCATTTTGAGAGAAGGAGGAGGGCTAGGCGCTCTGGAGCTGCTGACGATGTCAAGCTCAGCTTCGGACAATTGACGTTGCTCTCGTGTGTGACGGTGTGTCAATGCCATTCCAAGCATGACGGCAGACGTGGCCCGTGCCCAACGCCAAGCCGCAACTCTATGGACCCCTGCCCTCGCTCCCATATTTGGCTGCCTACCTACCTTCCTTTTTCTAACAACGCTTCTGAACATATCATTGAGCAGACACTTGCAGCAGCAGTTCGTACAACCAGCAGCAATCACTGCGGTTTTCTTGATTATTGCACACTGAAAAGGTCAAACTTAGGTGTTTGTGAGTTGCAGTAAACTGACAACTCCTGGTCCAAAGTCGGGGTGGTCTTGTACAAAAAAGCCTCGGGAGAATATACATATATATATATATATATATATATTGCCCTTGGCATCGACACGGCGGTTGTAGAGCGCTCTGCTTGGGCGTCGACTTCTCCACCGGGTGATTTCCAACTGGGGGAAGTGCGAGTGGTGCCGCTTAAGCATCTTGGGGTCATGTCTTAGACCTCCCGGTTCTTCCAGCCGCCCTCGAGAGCTGCGCGGACTCCCGCTTCCAAGGAATCCAAGTCTCCCTCGCCCAGGCCGAGAAGGCCATTGTCATTCTTCTCGTACAGAGTCCCGCCCTCGGCCCATATCCTTCTCAAGGTCACACCGGTAGCCCGTGGGTTGCCTTCCTCCCACGCCTTTGCCTCCAACTTCCTGAGATCATCGAGAGATGTGGAAGACACGGCCCATTTGGCCCCCGTCTGCTTCTCATACTCGGCCAAGACCTGTTTTGGCGTGACAACGAAGGACTGCACCTTCAAAGCCTTGCCGTAGGATTGCTCGGGGTGTTTCAGCGTTGCAGCGACAAACTTGCCCACGCTATTGTTTGGGCTGCTATTAGTTCCCTGAAACGAGACCATCAAAATGACGACGCAGGCCTTGAAGGGGTGCAACAACTCACTCCCGCATAGTGCAAAACCCAACCCTACCCTGTCCATCATCAATCACATAGGCCCGCTTGTTCGCAACATCAAACCCGCCCGCCGCCTCCAGCCCCGGCGAAAGGTCAACCCACATATCGAAATACGGCCCCGTGACGACGTATGTGACCTTTAGCCGCTTGACATTCTCACGCACGTACCTCCGCACCTCCAGCTTCAGCCGGTGCGGTCTCTCCTCGGCGCTCCGCGGCCCGTGCTCGATGTCGGTGCCGTACTCGGATGGCAGGAACCACCGCACGGTCCCGGACTCCTCGGCCAGGCGGATCAGCGCCACCTGCGCGCCGAGGACGTCGCGCCCGACGGCCGAGACGACCGTGTCGGCGCCGGTGCTCGCGTACGCGGCTCGCACGTCCGCCTCGCTCGTGATGTCGCCCTCGATGACGGTCAGCCCGGCCGTCTTCCACCGGTCCAGCTGCGCCGCCTTGGCCGACGCCGTGGCGGGAGACGTGAACAGCACGACCTTGCCGGGGCCCGGGTTGGCGGCTAGCAGCGAGGTGGTGATGTACCGCCCGATGGTGCCGGTGCCGCCGAAGACGAGGATCTTGGATGGTGCGGAGGAGGCCATGGTTGAAACGGTGGGTGCTGTGGACTTGGCCCTTGTGCGATGCGGGGAAGGGGATTTGCTCTTTGGTCCCTTTATATACAATTGCTGCCGATATTCGCTGGGGGAATCACGTCATAGCTGACAAACTAGATGGCCCCACGCTGCATGAGGCAGTCAACATTTAGGTAGGTAGGTAGGCACTTGGGTCGGGCGGGTTTGGCCAGCAGCGGGAATAATCATTTGCGCTCCGAGGAGCTTTGCGATGCGACAGTTACATGAAATGGAAATTGAGGATAACCCTTTGCCAATTGTCATTGCAACTCGAGTTATGGCCAAGGGGCTTCCCTAACTGGCAACATTTTGACTATCTTTGCTCCTCTTGGAGCTAGGAAACCTATGTAGGTCCCAGAGCACTGCTGCCATCGGCTCGGGTCAGATTCGGGCCTTACCCACCCGAAGCTAGATGCATCCGAGCCCGGTCCCACAATTTACATCAGCCTCTTTTATTGGCGGTCATAACGCCCCACTTTCCACTCCTCACTGCACCTGAATATTTTTTTTTTCTATCTTAAGCTTGGGAAGTGCAAGTGCGTGTGCGCTCCAGCGACCCAGCATCTTGGCTTCAGCAACAATGGCTTCAACTCCGGTCGCCGACCAGGCGGGACCCGTCAAGGTGAATGGCAACAAGTCTGAAAAGAACCATAAACGAGACAAATCACATTCAAGAAAACGATCACGGCTAGACGACGCCGATGGAAAGGTGGAAGATGAACCGAGGGAGCGGAAGAAGTCCAAGAAGCATGGCGAGGCCCAGCTTAACGGCGACGAGGAGCTTCCCAATGGCCAACATGGGTCTGAGGAGGACAGCAAGAAAAGCCTCGAGAAGCACAAGAAGGCCAATGGACTGACGAATGGCGACGCTCATCCCGCGGTCACGGAACCCAGTGTGGACGCTCCGGCCGAAGATGGAGAAGTCGCGAAGAAGTCGAAGGACAAGAAGAAGCACCGAAAACACGAGAGATCTGAAAAGTCACTCGAACCGAAAGCCCAGGCACAACCCTCACCTGTGGCCGAAACGGAACCGAAGAAGAAACGAAGGAAGGACAAGCACAAAGCAGCCTCTGTGGAGGTAGCTGCCAATCCTGTCCGGCCCTCCTCTGAAGAAGCCGAGCGGGTGGACAAGGAGTCGACGAACCGAGAGAGGTCCAAGGACAAGAAATCGAAGAAGGAGAAGAAGAAGCACCACAAGGATGCCAAGTCTGCAGCAGAAGAGCAAGATAGCACATCCGAAGGAGAGGCGGGCAAGGGCAAGCGGACGAGCAAGGAACTGAGTGAGAAGAAAAGCCGGAAGCTCAGTCCCGACATCTCTGAACCCGATGCCATGGATATCGATACCCCCGAAACAACGACGGCCCTTGGTGCTTCGACTCTTCCGAAGGATCACATCTTCCCCTTCTATACGCAAACAGTATCCCTCTATGTCCCCTTCTACCCCGTGGGGTTCGACAAGCCCATCACAAACGTCACCAGCCAACACCTGGAGCCACTTCTCAACCACTATTCCCCTCTCTTCCGTGGGGTGCTCCTCGGCTATCACAACGTCAACCTCTCCGAGCGTCCGGTCCGTGCCGACCCAAACAATCCGCCGACAGACCGAACTGGCGCCGTCCTGACTTCGGTTGACGAGTATGCTGTCGGCTTTGGCTGGCTCACGGCCGACCTCGACCTCTTTGTGCCGCGTCGCGGTGCCTGGATGGAGGGCACCGTCAACCTCCAGAGCGAGGGGCACATCGGCGTGGTCTGCTGGGACAAGTTCAACGCCAGCATCGAAGCGAAGCGCCTCCCCCAAGGCTGGCGCTGGGTCGACCTCGCCAACAATAACAACAACAACAACAACAACAACAACAACAACAACGGCCACGCAAGGGCAAAGAAGAAGTCGGATGACGGGCTCCTGTCGCCCAAGTCGGACGGCGAGGGCGAGGACGAGGAGGACATGCTCGACGGGGCGGAACTCGAGGTGGCGCAGATGCACACGACGGGCTACTGGGTCGACGGCGGGGGCAAGCGCGCGGGCGGCACGCTGCGGTTCCGCATCAAGAACTTTGACGTCGGGCTGGCGGGCGACTACGGCTACCTCAGCATCGAGGGCACGATGCTCGGCGAGGACGGGGAGAGGGAGCTGGGGGCCGTGGAGCGCGCGGCGGAGAAGGGGCGCCGGCGGAAGCAGAATGTCTCGGGTCTCCTGCGGCCCATGTCGAGGCGCGTCCCCGAGTTCAGCATGACGAGGTTTGGCAGGGAGGACCAGGAGGAGGACAGCGGGCAGCGGACCGAACTGTACAAGGGCAGCCGGCCGGGCACGCCCGATGACTGATCTCGGGCCGAGACGAGACACACGGTTTGATGTGCAAGCTTTGATGTGCAAGCATCGTCAAGCATGGTCAAGCTCTCTCCGTCAACCCGAACGACTAATGAATCGAGCTGCTCCCGCAGGCCTCGCCGAGTCAATGTTTTACTGTCGAGGATGGTGTACCTTACTTAGCTGGATATTCTGCGGGACGCGGGCCTATCCTGCCTGCCTTGAATGGACTTCACTTTCTGTTTCCTTGTTTCAGCACAAACAAATATCCTGTCATCATCACTGGCTACGTATCGCTTTTGTAAAGGGTTGTACAGCCCAACCCTTTTCTTGCCATATAACTAGAGCTCCACTCAGTGTACGGCCGTTTTTCACTCCGTCGTGTACGGCCATATGGTCCGTGCGAGGAATTGAGATCATTCCCATCGCTATCTGGCTTGATTCTATAAACTCAATTCCCTTCAGGCTCCCTCTTCCGCCTAGTCAACCCTACAGAGCTTGCCGTTCTCGTTGGGCAGTCCATCAACACTGCGCACAGCCCAAGCATCGCTCCCAACAGCGGTCACCGCCCAGAAGACCTCCTCGGGATCATACTTCTGCTTGATCTCCAGCAGCCGCTCATAGTGGCTACCGAAGAACGAATGCTGGAAGTCGGGCTCCAGGCGGTCGGCCTCGTTCATGTAGCTGCCGCCGCCGGGGCTCGCGTCCCTCCAGCGCTTCATGTAGACGTTGGTGAACTCCAACCGCAGGGCCATCTGCTCCTCGTCCGTGGTGTCGGGGCCCCAGCCCGTGCCGGCGATGAGGTGGCAGTACGTGTCCCTCCAGGCCGGGGTGACGGCGTTGTCGGGTATCGAGTCGGCGTCGGCGTCCCACCCCGCGGGGCCCCGCGGCCCCATGTGGAACCCGTTCAGGAAGATGCCGTGCTCCTCCACGGTGTAGCGGATCGCGTCCATCATGGCCCGGAACTTGGGGCCCCGCTCGGCGGCGTCGTCCCAGATGGGGCGCGGCCAGAGGCGCGAGCTGCTGGCGAAGCGGGGGAGCTCGACTAGCTCGAGCGGGAAGGAGGCCAGCCAGGCGTCGTAGAAGGACTCGTAGTGGATCCACTCGGGCTCGAAGTCGATGCCCAGCGCGGCGAGGTCGCTGAGGAAGGGGGCGATCAATTCCACGGACTGCGCGATGTCGAGGCCCGGGGCGAAGAAGGGCCCTATGTTGAGCGAGGGCAGCGGGTCCGAGGTAAGGTGCAGGTACGAGTAGGTGCCGGCGGCGACGAAGCGCGGGAAGTGGCTGAAGAAGGAGTCGACGACGGCCCAGAAGGTGTCGGCGCTGAGGCCCAGGGCGGCCGAGTCGATGGTGAAGGTCGACGCCGTGACGGCCACGTCGCGGTAGGCCCGGATCACCATCGACGTCGCCACGCCGTAGGTGCCGCCGCCGCCGCCGCGCATCGCCCAGAAGAGGTCCGAGTGGGGGCCGTCGGCGGTGGCAGAGACGAATCGCCCGTCAGGCGTCACGACCTCGATGGCGAGGACTTGGTCTGCACCGAGGCCGTAGAGGCTGGAGAGGGGGGAGTGTCCGCCTCCTTGGGTGTAGCCGCCGAATGCTCCGATGGTCTTTGACGGGGGTGGCACCAGATCAGTAAGGGAGGAGCAGCTTGGGTTTGGAATTAGGGGTAACTCACCTGGCCTTCACCTCCGACAACCATGAGACCCTTCGTCCGCGCGACCTTGTAAATCTCAAAGAGTTGGACACCGGCGCCAACCTTGAACGCTGGTCCGTTATATCCCGGGGCGGAATAGTTGCCGTAGAAGACAATGTCCTTGAGGTTCTACAGATGTGTAAGTCAGAAACTCGACAACGAAAGCATGGCTTGCTTCCACCGCTGATTCGCTTCAGTGGTTAGAGGGGAATGCGATGGTCATCCATACATGAGTCCAGACGGATAGTGCCCCTGCACCAGAGCTCTTGCCCATGAAGTCGTGGCCCGTGTTCTTGATCACAAAGCGTACGCCAGTGTTGCGGGCAAAGTTGACGGCGAGCTGGATCTGGGCCACGTTCGTGATGTTGACTACATAGACCGGGTAGCCCCCCTTTCGTAAACCTTGTCAGTATTTGTTGCAGTCCAAAGGGTTTGCTAGGCAGTCTTGTGAGGTCCTTACTTGGGTGCATCCATTGGTCTCTATGACAGCCGGGGGCAGACATGTCAAGCCGACTTCGGTCGGCCAGAAGACTTCCAGCGGGTCCTTCATCCTAGACGATTTGCACCGATATCAGTTGGCTGTTCATCTTCCCTCCATCTGATGGGTGCTCCTTCTCCAGCTCCAGTTAGTGACCACGTACCGCTCATACGAGTTAGTCCAATTGGCCGTCAGGACGTCGCAGGCCGCGGTGTCGAAGGTAGGCCCCTCGTAGCACACGGATGCCTCCGGGCGCGGATGCAACAGCTGCCCGCCGGCAAGCTCGTTGAACTTGCTCCAGACCGAGTCTTCCGGCCAGTCTGCGTCCCCGGGGAACACCTTGCACTCGTGACGAGGACCAGTCGGGGCCGTTGCGTTGTAGAACGCGAACAGTCGGGCGACATTGTCATCGAGGCCCTGGAGTGTGGCGTCGGTGAGCTGCACCTTCTCCCAGGCGAAAAGATCCGCCTTCTCCACGGCTGGGCCGCAGCGGGCCGCAGCGGGCTGGAGAAAGCTCCATGCTGCCCACAGCGAAATGGCGTGGCGTGAAAGTGAGTGCATCTTGGTGTTTCTTTTTGCCGTCGAACACGCCAACTGTCAGCTTTTCCAGGTTCACGCCGTCACCTTTATTTCCGTCCGGGCCGTGTGGGAAAGGGTACATTATAAATGCCCCGTGGTTAAATCCCCGAAATCTTACCTGCTAATTGACCCTTGTTGGTTTAAGCTACCCTGTTTCCCGGTCAGTCAACTTTCAGCCTGCACTCCGTCGATAATGCTACCATGATGGGGATCAAGGAACGGTTCGGAAAGACCGGGACTGTGCCCATTGGCAGCCGCATGGGTGGGTTCCGACATGCAACGCGGGGGTCAGCATGGATTGCATATAATAATTAGCCGCGGATAACTGTAATTTTACACAACTCCGCATCCATCTGCTTGGCTTGAGCGGCAAGTTCGATTGGGAGGAAGGAAACGTCTTTGGCCCCAATCATGATCGAGGCCTAGATTTTCAGTTTGTTTCTTTATTGATTACGCGCCAGGGTCTGATATGGATCGCATAAAAGCCCGCGGGACGGGACGTCATTGAGGCTCACTTACGCTTCTAGACTTCCATTTTGAAAACCCCCGAGATAATCGGAAATTACAGCGTAGCATTACCCTCGTGTGATAGTGTGCTGCCAAGGTCAAGTTTAATGCAACTATGGCAACTATGGGGCGCCTCCTAGAGACCATCTCCTGCACAGTCTGAGCTCCTAACCTCTGGATTGAACAATTCTGACAGGGCATACGGATACGGACGAATGCATTCAATAATCAATATTGACAGTCGAAGTGTGCAGTGACCGGGGCCGAAATGGACGCTAGCGATTTGTCTCCCCTACACCGGGACTAGCATCCTCACCCCGGGGAACACACGGCGTGCCTAATAAGGGACCTCAGGTTCAACCCATGCATAGCTTTTCCCTCTCAGCAGGCTGTAGCGCCGTTGCCGCTGAAGTTTCCGGGCTGGTACATCCCATCGAGGTCGCCGAGGCACTCGGCTATTGATTATTGTCAGCAGGAACAGCCACGGGGACCAGGGGACACCGAAAAGGAGCATCTCCCAACACTTACCGACAGTGACAATCGCGAGGTCATTCGTCTTGGCCCAGTTGATCAGCCACGGGGTGAGGGTCCGCACGGTGCCCTCGTAGGTCTCGTGCATGAGGGGGATGTGGCCGTTGCCGCCGGTGCCAGCCGCCGAGAACTGCTGCTCGCTCTGCTGCGGGGTCTGGTTGTTCCAGTCGCCCGCGTCGACGTCGTCGGTGATGACCTTGTAGCCCAGCGTCTTCATCGTCGGCAGGAACTGCCCGCTCGTCTCCAGGTACGGCGGCCGCATGTACGCCGGCTTCTTGCCGATCAGATTCACCATCGCTTGCTCCACCTTCTGCATCTCCTGCGTGATCTGCGCGGCACCCATGCTGCCCATGTGCGGGTGCGTCCTGGGGTAGCGCAGAGTCAGCCACACCCGTCCGTTTCACGGTGGGATCGACGCTCCCGGGGCTGAGCTTACCATGTGTGCGAGGCGATCTGGTGGCCCGACGCAAAGGCCTTCTTGACGGCGGCGCTCTGGCCGTAGATGCAACCGTACAGGGTGCCGGTCCAGAAGAAGGTGCCCTTGGCCCCGGCCTTGTCGAGAATGTCGACCAGCTCCGACGTGTACTGGTACGGGCCGTCGTCGTATGCCAGGGCCAGGACGCCGGGCTTGCTGCACTTGGTGTAGACGACTCCCGGTGACGCGGACCGCCGCATCACCTCGATGGGGCTCTCGATCGGCATTGCGGCCGCACTCGCGGCGAGCAAGAGAGCCACGACAGAGCTGGTGAGCATTTTCGGGGCAGCGTGATCAAGCTTGGAGGTGTAGGAGAGTCGCGCGGTCTTGCTCGGCAAAGATCATGGGGCGTGAGGCGTGACGCATGGGAGGAGTCGTACTTCAGCTATATAAGCCAGACATCCGGACCCTTGGGCCCATTGGCCCCGAACGAGGTCCAGCCACGATGTCGGCTGGATGGATATTGGAACGACTTGGTCTTGTCGTCACCAAACTCGGAGAAACGGAACTCTGGCGGCAAAAATCGCAGCTTAACTTTCGTCCCCCTTGGCATCAATTCATACGATGAGGGACTGCCCACGGACCTGGCTCCTGAGAGGCGTGCCTGGTGAGATCGGTTAATATGGATTTGCATGCTATATGGCGATGCCATGCCCTGTTTTAACCGTCCATCTAAATATCCCGGAATGGCTCAACCCCCAAAATATTTGGGGAGGGGGGGGGTGGTGGTGCTTCCTTTAGCCTATACCATCGTATTAGAGTCTGTTAGTCCGAATACCTTTTGAGCCACACTGCCATCGTGTTTCGGCTTTGTACCTCCCCGTTGCCACACTAACGGATGGACTCCAGGACGGTGGTGCCGAGTTCACGTGGTACTCGGTTCTGAGGATGCAATTTCGGAGATCAACTAGGTAGTCATTGCCATGTTGAGGCAATGGCCCGTTGTGCTCTTATTCTTGTGGTGAGTCTACTGTGTACCTGGTAGTCAAGGCGGCTCAGAGAGGGTTCGGGGGAGCAAGCGTGAAAGATTTTGTCAGCACCAGCTGGCCTCCTATCGTGACCTGCGTAGGTCTTCGGTTCCCTCCATTCTCATTATAGAACGTCGTTGAGAGGGCAAGGAAGACCCCGTCCTTCTATCGCGGTCTTTCTTGCGCTTCGATTCAACCATGTCAGTCAGTTCCATCTTGCAATTGATAGCTTCAATCGACGACCTCAAGTGGAAACGGGCTCTTCACTGCCAGATTACGTTTTCCAAGCCACATCAGTTGGGCCGTTGTAGAACAAATCAGACTCTCAAACTGTGGACTGGAAGCGTTATGAAACTCTGCAATATCTACCTACCTACAGTACCTAACTGGACTTGTCTGTCATCTCCGGCCCACATTTTACCCCTGAATTTGTGCAACTGTGCAAATTTGCCCAGGGATGTATGCAAACGGCGGGGTTGTGCCTGGATGTTAGCGGCAAAATAATCTTCCTTTCCGGCAAAATTTTGTGCGTGTCGGGACCGCCTAACGCGGGGCAAGGCGGGGCAGAATTTCGGTTTATTCAGTGAGTCAGGCTTCTTATTTTCCAGTCACAGCCAGACGGATCTTCGAAACACGCTTCAAACACGCGCAAACTTGAAAACCCCGAGATAGAGTCAACACAAACCTGCCCCAATCATGGCGGATGCTCCCGCCGTATCTGAAGCGGCCGCCGCGGTCGCCAAGCTCCACCTGGATGATGTGACCGGCGAAATGGTGTCCAAGTCCGAGCTCAAGAAGCGCCAAAAGGCACGCGACAAGGAGGCCCAGAGGAAGGAAAAGCAGGCCGGCAAGAGCGAAACCGTGGGCCAAAGCCAGACCAGCTTCAAGGACACCGAGGCCAAGGAGAAGGATCTCACCCCGAACCAGGTACGGTCATAGCAAGGGTGTCTGTGGTCAAGAGTGACCATCGCTGACTGGATGGATCAACAGTACTTTGAGCTCCGGTCGAGGGCTGTTAATGAGCTTCATGCGCAGGGCAAGGCATACCCACACAAGGTAACGGGTTCCCCGACTAGATACTGGAAGACATGCTGACCAATGGGTGGCACGCAGTTCCATGTGACATACGATATCCGAAAGTTCGCCGAGGAGTTTTCGTACCTCAAGAATGGCGAATCGGCATCCGACAAGACCATTCAGCTCGCCGGAAGGATCTATGTGCAGCGTTCAGCAAGCAGCAAGCTCTTCTTCTACGATATCCGTTCCGACGGGGCCAAGCTCCAAGTTCTTGCCCAGGCTCAAAACTCGGCGCCAGACGCCCCTGACTTTGAATCCCAGCATGTCAACCTTCGCCGAGGAGACATCGTGGGCATTCGCGGTTTCCCGACGCGAACAAACCCCAAGAACAAGCAGGGCACAGGAGACTACTCCGGCGAACTGTCTATTGCCGCCATTGAGGTCACTCTTCTTTCGCCGTGTCTGCATCAGATTCCCGACGACCACTACGGATTCAAGAACCCCGAGCAGCGATTCAGACAGCGATACCTCGATCTGATGATGAACGAGAGGTCGACCAACATCTTCATCACCCGGGCCAAGGTCGACTCGTACATCCGCCGGTGGTTCGACGACCGCGATTTCATCTCAGTACAGACCCCCATGCTGAATCTGATTGCGGGAGGCGCTACAGCACGCCCCTTTGTCACGCACCACAACGACCTTAACCTCGACATGTTCCTTCGTGTTGCGCCAGAGCTGTACTTGAAGATGCTCGTAAGTTTGTGTGTTTTTTTTTTTTGTGGTCGTGTCTGAGTCGAGACTCCTCGAGTCGACGCATCAGTCAACCGCACCCCCTTTCCGTTGACCAGTCGCGAGAGCCTCAGGCTCCCTTTCTCTCCTGCGGACAAAGCTTACTGGTTTCAAGGTCGTCGGAGGGCTTAATCGAGTATATGAAATGGGTCGCCAATTCAGGAACGAGGGCATCGACTTGACACACAACCCGGAATTCACAAGTCTGGAGTTCTACATGGCCTACGCAGATATCAACGACCTCTTCGGCATGACTGAAGAACTCGTGTCTGGGTTGGTCAAGCATATCCATGGCTCCTACCAGACCACCTTCCATAACGCCAAGGGGGAAGCGATTTCCGTCAACTGGGAAGCTCCGTGGCGCCGTATTGACATGATTACGTCTCTAGAGGTCCGTGCCTTACTCCCTCGTCGGAACCCTTAGGACGCCTTTGGGACGAATTCTCCGGGCAAGCTTTACTGACTTCAAGCTGTGTAGGAGTGCTTAGGCGAGAAGTTCCCGCCGGCGGACCAGTTCCATTTGCCAGAAACCGACGAATTCCTGAAGCGAGCACTGAAGAAGGCGAATATCGAGTGCACACCACCATTGACCAATGTCCGCATGCTGGACACTTTGGTGGGACATTTCTTGGAGGAACAATGTGTAAGTTTGCCTGTCGCCCTGCTGGATCAGTGGACACAGAACTAATAGCCTTCAGATCAACCCTACCTTCATCACAGGTCACCCTCAGGTAATGTCACCACTCGCCAAGAGCTCTCGCACAACGCCGGGTCTTTGCGAGCGTTTCGAGGTGTTTGTCTGCAAGAAGGAAATCGTCAACGCGTAAGTTGCTGGCCACTTACCACGTGTCACGCGTGTTCCCCGGTTTATCCTCGATTTCCATATCCGGCTAACAGAAGATCCCCCATAGCTATACGGAGTTGAACGTGGCAAGCGAACAGCGGATGAGGTTCGAGGAGCAGGCGCGGCAGAAGGCCCAGGGCGACGACGAGGCTCAACTGGTTGATGAGACCTTCTGCCGAGCGCTCGAGTATGGCCTGCCTCCTACCGCAGGATGGGGCATGGGTATCGACCGCATGATCATGTTCCTTACCGACAATTGCAGTATCAGGGAGGTGCTAGCTTTCCCGACCATGAAGCCCGAGTAGAGAGCTTCGGTGCTGTTGCTGGGTCACGGTACAGGTCGGCGATAGATATTGCAGAAAATACCGCAATAGAGCATGCCTTTCCTCGGTTAGAACACCGGGTTGTTGTTTCTCCTTGTGTATGTATCATCGATGACTGGCCTGCATTTCCGCCCATACATTCACTCCACATGCGGACCAGACCAGAAGCCATGGAGAGAGAGAGGCGCAATCAGCGGAGGTAAGATTATGTCGTCTCCTTGTAAACAAGTGAACAACACTAGGAATCTTTGTCGCATCATGAATACATCTTGAGAGATGATATGGACTAGGGGAACGAAGAAGCGGCCTTCTGAAACAATATGGTGGCCGAGTAGGTTCAGCAGGGTTGGCGTGTTCGACAGTCGTGACAGTGTTGAAGCTTCCACGGTGCCAGGTGACATACCACCTGGCAGGTGCCACTAAACTCCACCGCGTTGGACGCGAAGTAATATCATCAACTCTGCCAATAGCTTCTCCAATAGCTTCCCTCCACCAACCAACGGCGAACTGGATCTAAAAAATGTCGCGACGGCCACCCAGAGGAGAGTATATAGAGACGGTGAGCACCAGCCCCTCCCAGAATCCCCGGCAATACAACCTGGCTGACAAAAGACCTCCCTCAGGATACCGGGAACAAAGTTGCCCGCAAAGCAACCCTCGTCGGGACCCAGAACATCATCCTCGGCGGCAAGACGGTCATCCAGCCCGAAGTGATGATCCGTGGTGATCTTGCCCGCACCATGCAACCCTCTTCATCTTCGGGCAGTGCCCCCGCCAACAACACTGCCGTTTCCATTGGGCGGTACTGCTTCCTGAGCCGGGGGTCCTGCCTGCGCCCGCCTGGGCGCATCTACAAAGGGTATGTGTGCGTGTGTGCTTGTTTTCTCCTTGCCCGCAGCTCCATGCCTCTCCGCGTGTGACATTCCATGCTCACCACTGCCTCGCTTACAGGGCCTTCACCTACATGCCTCTCCGAATAGGCGACCACGTCTTCGTCGGGCAGGGCACCGTCGTCCAGGCCGCGAGCATCGGCAGCCACGTGCACATCGGGCAGGGAGTCGTCGTCGGGGAGTTCGCCATCATCAAGGACTACGCCCGCATACTCGACGGCACCGTCGTGCCGCCCAACATGGTGATCCCCAGCTTCAGCGTCGTCGCGGGGAGGCCGGCGAGGGTGGTCGGCGAGGTGCCCGAGGGGGGCCACGAGGCCTTTGAGCTGAAGGAGCTGTACAAGTCCGTCGGGAATAACCCGCAGCCCATGCCTGTGTGAGGGAACCGCTGCGCCACGAGAATCACTCCCTCAACACCATTCCCAGGGCTGCGACGTGGCCCGGGATACGACTTTCGTCCGCATTGGACTGCTGTCTTCGGGATTCCCTCTTTGGCCATCGATGGAAGGATAAGGCATACGCAGGACATGATATGGCTGGGCTCTGACCCTGCTATACTGAGTGGCTTAGGCCCCCCCTTCACTTGGGTGGTCACACGCATGGCCTGTCCTGCCCTCGACTCGGGATGTCACGAGCATGGTCTGTCTGTATGAGGTCTTATCTTACGCCGCCCGCGCCGGCCGCATAGCCGTCAGCTCATCTGAGCCCGGCAGCATTCCCCCTTTCATAGGCCGGAAAATCGCGCGTTGGAGGGGGCTCTTCTGGGTTGGTTCGTTGCGTCGCGGATCGGTGGATTTGGGCCAGCCAGGTTATACCAGTGGCACCGGTGGTTCGCATGCAGTGCCCGCAACGGAGGTTCATGGTCCCACGCCCTTCCTTTGCTCTCATTCACCTTGATATGGCGATGGGAGGCAAATGTGCAAACCAGGGGGCCATGTACGCCGCGTCGGAGGATCGCTGCCATTATCTAGGACAACCATGCAATACAGCCTGTCTGTCATCTTCCCTTCCTGTCTGCGGTTTCCAACCCCCATCTCCCTCAAGAGTGGCATCTTGGTTTTGACATAGTTGGAACTGGAGAGACGAATTCCCTTGATTGAAACTTGAGAACAAAACTCTGGCCTCTAGAACGACAAGGGGCCGCAATCCGTCTAAACACACTCACAAAAGGAGTGCGTATCATCGCGGTCCTGTTTCTAGGGGGGCAACAAATAACGTGGACACGCGGCCGACTGCCAGAGCCCTGTTCCTTGGCCTTACATACGTATGTAGAACTCGTCTCCTCGCCCCCCAATATTTCCCTTGCGACTCGACGCTGGCACGGCTGTATGTATACCTAGCTTCTCCCATTGGCCAAACACACGCAGATGCAGATCAGAGCCCGTTGCGGCCGTTCCCGTTCCTGAGATCGACGACTCGCCACTCGCCTTCGGCCGTCCTCCTTGCATGGTTTGGGAATAATGCCAAGAGGAGGATGAGGCTCCGAAATCCACTTCTCATGCATACATCCCCAGTGGTCCCGTGTCCTTGTCCCAAACCCCTGGGAGGTTAGTGTAGATCACATTTTGCAAAACGGGGCATGATGCGTTTAATGACGAGTCTGGGCTATATCGAGGAATTGGATGCCCATGGGACGCAACTACCATGCCAAACATGGCTGTTCGTTCAAGGGGCGGCTCAAATGGTCCCGTGGGCTCGGTAGTTGGTTGTGCCAAGTTTGCAGTGTTTACGTCAATGACTTTTCTTCGGAAGCGATCCGCGATGCGAGACTGGCCCGTTCAAATTGGGCTCTCGGTCGGGGTCAAGCGAATGGCAAGCTTCTAGGGGCCCGACCATGCATCCCCGGACGTTTTTTTTTTCTCCCCGCAGGAGCAGCGGCGAATCACCCACCTCCGGCCGGTCCTCTCCGGATCATCTCGCGGCCAGTGGCAAAGAGGGTTTCGACGGTTCATATATAGATCGCTCTGATGCAGTAGCGCTGGAGTCTGAGTCTGGGGAGGGGGTTTGCCTGCACTCCGCAGACCCCGCAAATGATGTTAAACAGTGGAGGCCTTACACCTACGAGGATACTTTGCGCCAGTGGTCCGTCCCATCCCCTTCTCGATCAAACGGTTGGCATGGAAGTTCTGCGCTCGATCACGTGCTCCCCCCCCTCGTCACCTGCCCACACCTCCCCACCGTTTTCATCCTCCTTTTCTTCTTCTATCCGTATCTTTACTAGGTATTTTTAGGCCATTTACCTCCGGTGGGCTGTTGGGCTTCTCCCTGACGGAAAGAGTCGACAGTGTGGCAGAATGCCAAGTCAATGTCGTTCGATATCCCCCCAAGCCCTACCTAATTGTTCAGCTAATAGGTGGTACCCACCGATTGCAATACAGCAAGATCGATCGATCGCAGGTTTCCCCGCCAATTCTTGTTCGTATTTGATCTCACCTTCTCCCCGAGACAAACCGATTTTGGGTCGGAGTGCGGGGGTGCTGCTATGGTTTTCCAACCAGGGACTTGCCCGGAGATGCCCAACTGTGCGGGGTCTGAGACAAGACGGAAATCGAGAAACGGGAGCCCCATCTTGCAGGAATCCACTCCTCCTTGTCGGCGAAAGTTAGGTTATCAGAGCAGCATCTCTGTCAGGTGATGGATGATAGGATGGGAAGGTAATAATCGTGTGGTTGACATGCAGGCTGACATGCGCCAATTGCTTAGGTCTTTGCTGCAGATTTGCGAATGGAGATTGCCCAAGGCTCTTGGGCCAAGGTCTTGGGTGTTTTTTTGCCGTTGAGGGGACGAATGGCGTCCAAAGAAGACGGCCCGTGGAAATATAGTTTCCTAGCATGTTGCAATGAGCAGCTCATCAGCTAACCGGGACGATTATTGATTTGCCGGACCAGCGACTCCTCCCTGCAGCCTAGCACGGACTTTATTGAGGGCCTATGAGGTCATGACCTGATGAGAATTGGTACCTACCTACCTCTACCTATGCAGGTATGGATGGAACCTGACCGTTTCACTTCTAGGTAATAAATAGCGCCATTTACTAGCCCGGTGCATATTGCTCTCACCGGCCACAACCTGCATGAAGGAATTCTGCTTCTCGACATTTCGCTCTGTATTGCGTAGATAACCCTGCTGATCACCACATCCGCCTTATCACATCACGGCCATTTGTTGTATGCGTACTGGTGGCAGCGTGGCAGCGTGGAATCCCCTTGGCCTATCACGGCCGGCTTCCTACACACAAAAGATAGAATGAACATACAATCATTAACTAGATACTTGGAAGGCTTCCATCTTTCTTCTCCTGGGCAACCCACTTTTTAGATTTGCTGTCTAACGTCACCCAGGGCCGAGACCTCCTTGGCTGCAGCAGTTGGGCAATCCTCCTTTTAGTGCGGAAACCTCTGTGGGGCGGAAAGAGGAGCCGTGGCGGGGCACTGTAACTTCTCAGGGAGCTTCGACATGGGTGGGAACTGGAAGTTGGAAGCTTGATGGAAGATAGAACAGGGCAACGGGCTACTAAGGTAATTAATTTATCACTTAGGTTCCATTGATATCCATGGAATGACCTCAAATGTCGTGTGTGCTTCGACTTAACAAGATATTATCTCTACGACAAGCCAAACCTCATCCTTAGTTATTTCGTCCAGACCTACCTACCCAGCCAAACTCGGGCCCAATCTCCAGGGATAATACCAATTCCCAGGTGCCTTACCTTCCACCTTTACGCAGTACGGATACATACAGCTCTCTTCAGCTGAGCTCCAGCTCTCTCGTTGCGACATCTCTTCCCAACCAGGAATTGGCTGGCTGCACGCTGCAAATATTTGGTCTCCATCATTCACATCCGAACCATTGAGCGCTTGTCCAAATTGTTGGAGGCGTTGGGCTGAGATTTCAAGCATCTCGCTAAGTTGTTAGGCACTTGGCAGCGCCTTTCAATCTCCTGAATTCTCGGCCACCTCGAATCTGTGCAAGCGCTTCGCTTTGTTGCGCTTTGCTGCGCTATTGTCGATGATCCAAGCTGAGATCGATGGGAATATCCAACAGAATCGGGTCTCAGTATTCCAGCTTTCCCACCACAGCGAAAACATAATTGCTCGGCTCCCCTGTGCACTTCTTCCTGCACAGTTCTTGTCCAAGACACAGCATCGAATTCCTTCCCCGTGGAGCTTCCACTGGCTAGACTTCTACGGAACCTCAACAGACTTGCGCCATCAGCCATTACTTCCGACCAACGCGCAAGCGAAACTTTGGGAGGCTTGAGTTTCCTGCCGCATGCTATCCTGTTGGCTCCAAAAACATTGGCATATTGGCCTTCATCCATCCTCCCTGGCTTCGTCAGCTTCTAAAACATCGTCTTTGATTTTTGCTGAGGCTGAACCACTTTGCCTGACCTACACCGACATCGACACCGATTATACTCGGGCACCTGCGAGCCCGAATTTACCCCATCCGGCGCCTTTGAATGCGACAGAGTAACAGAGGAGGCAGGCTGATAAGAAAAAGCATCCCCCATGGGCTCGCCATTACTCGTTTGCCCGAAGTTGTACACCATCAACGTCCGACGACCGAGGATAATGATGATCTCGCCTTCACCTTCGTTATCGAAAGGCCTTGGCCAGCACCACAACCAGGACCTTGCTCTCCAGGAGTACTACCTCTTGCAAGAGCAGCACGAAACTCTCCGCCAACACCTCGAAGAGCTGCGGCCACTACGTGCTTCTATGCCGGCCATCAGCAACACTACACCGAGCAGCCCGGCTGCCTCGCCTCCCCTGGTCCCGTTCAAGCCCTTCACGAACGGCCAAACATCACCATACCACCACGCTCGCCGCTCCTCCCTGTCTGTAGAACCATGCAGGCGGTTTTCCCTTGGCGGACAGCAGCAAGCAGAATGTGGACTCGTCGCATTGGGACTTGAGGCCGACTTCGACATGTCAATGGCTACCGGGCTCGCGGCGGAGGAAGCGAAGCTTTTTGACGTCAATGAAGGCATCAAGCGAACGCTGACGGAGCTGCTGAATTGCAAGGCCGTGCGATCGGACCGGTCATTCAGGACTTGGGTCCAGCGCCGGCTGCTGGACGCCGAGAAGGAACTCCGGAGCGGAAGGCGGAGACGCGGCGCGAACCGAAGCCGCGAGGGCAGCGAGCAATGGAGTCCCGGCCGGCCTCCTCTCATTCTGGAGTGCTCAGGGGGACACTGACGAGTCCACATTGTTGTTGTAATTCTGGCTTGGCGTTCGGGGCGCTACCTACCTTCTCCGGCTTTTCTTTTTCTCCTGGCCTAGGAGTCACGGTTTTGGCGGCGAGCTGGAGCATCAGACGGGCATCACTCATCGGATACGGCGAATGGCTGGGCACTCTGTTGCACCGGGAAACGGCGTTTGGCTTCTTTCCATGTGGATGGATATCGCATGTCAATACGTATATATTACCCTGCACTATTTTATATAATATGATGATAATGACCTGATCTGACCAAGAATGAATGGGACCTTGTTTGCGTCACAATTCGTGAAATTGTGGTGATGTCTGGGACCTGGACCCACTGTTTAGATCGGCCGTTTCTCTGTGGGAAAAAGTCACATGCTTAGTCACGAGATCACGGTCCTAACTTTTTATCTGCCTCCGTTATTTGCGGGACGGCATGCGCGCCGCTAAAAGGTAGGTGCCCCTGGACATAACGTTGAAATCCATCTCGTTTGGTTCTTGGGCAAGAACTATTTGTGTTTACCGACGATCTGCATACGAACGGTTCTATTCACCCACCTCATGACTTTCCCTTGAACCTCGCCCGTTACGAGACCGGAGCTCTTACTGTTCGCAATGTCGGTCCTTCTTGAGACCAGCGCGGGCGACATCGTGATCGACTTACTGGTCGACTACGTGCCCAAGATGTGTGAAAAGTAGGTTTATAACATCCACCTTCTTACTTGTCACAGGTCAAATCCCAATCCTAAACTCGACAAGATGCTAATTATTCTGTATCTACAGTTTCCTCAAGCTCTGCAAGCTCAAATACTACAACTTCGCGCCGATCCATTCCGTCCAAAAGTCCTTCTCCTTCCAGACTGGCGACCCTCTTGGGCCGCTCTCCTCCCAATCCGACGGCGGAAGCTCGATATGGGGGGTGATATCGGGCGATGCCAAAGACAGGACCTTCCCGGCGCTCTTCCACCCGAAGCTCAAGCACCTCGAGCGCGGCACCGTCAGCATGGCCACGGCCCCGCACCCGTCAGACCCGGAGACCCGCCTCGCGGGGTCGCAGTTCATCGTCACCCTCGGGGACAACACCGACTACCTAGACGGGCGGGCCGCAATCTTTGGCAAGGTGGTCGAGGGCCTCGACGTGCTGGAGAAGATCAACGACGCCATCGTCGACGACAAGGGCCACCCGCTGGTCGACATCCGCATCAAGCACACGGTCGTGCTCGACGACCCGTACCCGGACCCGGCGGGGCTGCGCGAGCCGTCGGCGTCGCCGCCGCCGTCCAAGGCGCAACTCGCGACGGTGCGCATCGTCGAGGGCGAGGAGCTCGGCGGCGACTCGGACGACGAGGAGGCCGCGGCGGCGTCGGAGCGGCGGCGTCGGGAGCGCGAGGCCGCGGCGCAGGCGCTGACGCTCGAGATGATGGGCGACCTGCCGTTCGCCGAAGTCAAGCCGCCCGAGAACGTGCTGTTCGTGTGCAAGCTGAACCCCGTAACAGAGGACGCCGACCTCGAGCTCCTCTTCAGCCGCTTTGGCAAGATCCTGAGCTGCGAGGTGATTCGCGACCGCAAGACGGGGGACAGTCTGCAGTACGCCTTTATCGAGTTCGACAATAAGGAGAGCTGCGAGGCGGCCTACGCCAAGATGGACGGCGTGCTGATTGACGACCGGCGAATCCACGTCGACTTCAGCCAGAGCGTCAGCAAGCTCAGCAACATCTGGCGGTCCGAGACGAACCAGAAGAGGAAGGGCGTGGCCGCGGCGGCGGGCAACGGCCGAGGCGGGTGGGGCGGCGTCAAGGAGCTGGAGAAGTGGCGGAAGTACAGGGTCGGCGGGGACGAGGCGGCCGACAGAGATGGATACCGGATGGTCTACGGGGCGGAGGAGATGCGCGGCCGGCACGAGAGGGCCAAGGATGGCCGGCGTGGTGATGCTGGGGATCGAGACGGAGATGGAGATGGAGATGGAAATCCACACCAGGATCGCGACGGTCCCCGGCGGCACGGCGGCGGCGACGACAACGACGCCCGAGATAGCGACAGGTTTGGGAAGGAGGGCAGGGGCAGGGGCGGGGGCAGGGGTGGGGACCGGGGTTGGCACAGGAACGGGGACGGGGACAGGAGACGGGCTGACGGCCGGACACGCAGCCGCAGCAGGAGTCCGTGGCGAGGCGGGCAGCGGAATCGTGACAGCCGGGATTGGGACCGGCGAGATCGAAGGGATCCTCGCAGGGAAGGGGACCGGGACCGCACGCGAGACAGGGGACGAGGTCGGAGTGACTAATTCTGCAGCTCTAGGTGGGCTCATCATTGGACGCCTAGTCCATGACAGAAACACTCCTACTAGGGCTATCGACGTGTCTGCATCTCGCGTATCGTATCTCACGACCCAGACCACCATCTTCACAAGCCATCACCGCCTCCCCGTTCGCGAACCGTCTAGCGATGATACGTCTGCCATCCGTGAAAGCGATGGTTGCCTGTCCGGGGTCGTGTGCGTCTAACTCGCACGGTCGACGACTCAGGATGGTCCGCGCCCTCGAATCGGCCCGCAGACCACCGTCGATGGATAGTACATGTCCCTCATCCGGCGACGCCCAAGCCTAGGATTAACCTGCAGAATATGCATAGCAACCTGATTGCGGACGGCGATTGTTTTCGTCCGGACGTGACGTACTCCAATTGCCTCAAGTTTCATCATGCTGGCGAGGTTCGACCTCAGATGCCAGCTCGGCTTCAACCCCCGGAAGCTGTGCTGATCAACATTTTCGTCCAGGGTAATACACTACCGCATTCGGTTCTAGATTATCACTCCGAGCCTTGGGAACAGATGGGCTAGGAAGGCCGGAAGAAGTTCAGACGCGCTCTGCGCGTGCCATGCTTAATTTGCTCTTCTTCCACTTGGCCCAAGGCTCCTTGCCAACTGTTGAACCCCGGCGACGCGTGTCGTTTGATGTCCCCTTATTTGGGAGCTTGAGCTCAAGCCATTTCTGGTTGCTGACTCACTCCGGATTCAGTTCTCGCGGGATGAGAAGCCGGGGGGGAGAGGGGAGGAGGAGAGGGAGGAGGAGGAAGGAGGAGGCACAGTCGTTCCACAGCGTAATTGGGGCGATGTCCGTTGGTGCCACTGGAGCCTCAAAGGATGGCCTGACGGAAGTTCCCAATCATCCCACCAGCCATTAGTAAACCCATGAGGGGGCCATTGTGTTGTGCGCGACGCGGGCATGCAGCCTTGCAGATAGCATTTCGCCCGTTAAGCACCTGCTGACAAGCTGGAAGGCCACCGTACCGAGCGTATCACACGGACTCTAAACTGGCATCTCACTTTCCGGTACGTCTCTGCCACTTGCCGACTACCTCCTCCCCATTGGGGGGGTGGATTTCATGTATCTTGCCTATTAGCCATCTGACAGGCGGGGCGGGAGGCAGTACACATGGTGGGAGGCTGGGCACGTCGTCGCTAGCTAGGTAGAGCAGTCAAAGTTTGTTTTATTCTTTCCCTATTTTCCCACTTTTTTAGTTGTTATAACTATTACACACCCTCTCTCCTCTCTCTCCTGCAAGGACCCTGGTGTCACCTTGGCGGCCCCCGTTCGCTCTCAACGTCCATTGTCGGACCGAGTCTGGCATGCCGACTGGGCTGTAACCGTTACGGGTGTGTGTGATCTGGCCAGTCAGCCAGGAGATGAACAGTAACGACGAGAGTTAACAACAGCAAGCCCCAATCATCTAGAACGAAGTATCTTCTAGCGTCGTACAGGCTGGGCCTGGAAGGGCGAGAACGAGGCCACCTCACAACAGACCGGAAGGAGACACAAGGCCACGAATCAAACAGCGAAGCCCCTCCTCCCTTCTGCCAGTTCAGGACGAGCCTTGTGTCACGCATTTCTCGTCTTCGAGATCAATCGCCCAAGGAAAACGATCGTTTGCCGGCACAGCTGAGTGGCGCCTGTAAGGAACATACATCTCTGTTACGAGTATATTCATAAGCCTGCAGGGATCGGATCCCATGCACGAGAGGGGTTGCCAGGGCAAGCACACATCTTGCACCTGGGATGCAAGCCACACCCGCGGAGGGTCTGGCATTTCCTGGGCCCGGTAACCACAGTAGCGTGGCGGCCGCCCTCACGCGTCTTCGGTGTCCGAGGTGTGATTATGTGGACGGGGCAAGGGGGGGGAAGGGGGGGCGAGGTGGCCAACGGGGGTGCCCGGGCCTTGGGTTGGCTGGCCACCTCACTCCCCTTAACACGGCGCTCACCGTACTCCAATCGCCGGCAGCCTCCCCGGTTTCACCATGGCGGCAACCTGCAGACGCGACCCCAAGGTCGCCGGTGGGGGGGAAGCTCCTTGACAACCGATTATCTGCAGACAGCCGCGCTGGAGGCTGGGCAGGGGGTGGGGGGAAGGAGAGCTCTCCGCATTCCAAGAAAAGAGAAGAAGGGAAATGAGAGAGAATCAGAGACAAGGTCGTCTTTCTTGTCGCTCTTGCATAGTATTCCCCTGTGGCAAGGGTAGTATCCCCCCCAATGCGCCGTCGATGCTGTCTCGGGTTGGACGGGGAACCTCCCCTTTTTCAAGCCCGACTCCTCCGAGGACAACAGCTGTCTTCTGCTCCCTGTCACAATGCTCGAGATGATCATTGCTATTACATTGCTCGCTGGACCTGACTAGGGGTGGGCATGCTATCCTTCTCCCCTGGCGCGAGGGGAAACAAGGCTGCTCCTCGCGCTGAATTATCAAGTTGAGATTTGGCGGTACTTGCCGCGTTTTGCCCGGACAGAGATATATTCCTTGCAGTGTTTGCATCTAGGTGGGCGCGAGCTCGCCTGCAGGTAATATCCTGACGTTAATGAATCTCGGATCGATCGGAGCCGAATGTCGGCACAGTAGCCGAGATTTGGAGAGCAGAATATCGGTTACCTCCTGTGTCTTCGGGTGGCCCTTTGCGGGGCCGAGCCTCGAATGTCCCCAAAAAGGGGCGGTGGGGGGGGGGGGGGAGGGAGGCCCACTGTCTCAGCGGCGCGTGTAAACGAGCAGGAAGCAAGCACCGGCAACGACATGGGGGACCCGGGGGTGCAAACCTTGCATGTCCAATTGCCCTATCTCTGATAATGCAAGACATGCTCCCCTGCCGTGGGAGGAGATGATTGCCGATCGCCCAGGCTAGCAAATCGGGAGCGCCCGTTCTCGAGCAAATCGTGGGTATGGTCGATCGCACATTTCCCCTCTCCCTACGAAGGCTACGATTTGCTGGTTACATAGATGAGAGATGGAAAAAGTGACAGAGACAGGGGGCTTCCCTGTAGGACATGCACCTCGTCAATACGCGGTTTCGTGGATGGTCATATTGTGGCGTTCCCAGGAAAGCTGCACAGTAGGAAAGCCAGGCAAGCATCTCCGCCCTTCCTTGCGAGCGCCACTCCGTCGCACATGGTCACCGTTGAACCACGCCGTCTTTCTCCAGCGTTGATTTGCCAGGAAGCCAACTTCCCAGAACAGCTCGCTTCGTGTTCTTTGTCTTCCCAAATGCGTGGAGAGCGTCTCTAACATCGTCAGGATGACGACACCTCTCTCTCTCTCTCTCTCTCTCGCGCGCGCGTCTGGCAACTTGCCAGTAATCGCAGTCAAACAGCTGACATCCCATTCCCCCCCCCTCCCCCTCCCTTCCCCGACTTCTCCTCTCCTCCATCCAATCGTCAACCAGGCCGAAAACCAGCCAAGTATGCACCGTACACGTGTAACCAATCTCGGGGCTCCACTTCCCAGGGTTCGGTCCATCATCATCAAGGTCAGGTTGCCAACACCCGACTGGCCTTGCGGACGGCGGAAGCAGTTAATTAGGTATTCTCACTCCCGGGCAAACAAAGAAAAGAACTTGGCCTGTTCGGAATTACCTTCTTGGGATTTGCGGTGGAGCGCAAAGCTTTGCCCTTTTCTGAAAGGGGCAAGCCTCCATGAGGGACGGGGCAGACTAGGTTCAAGGGTGTGGAATACATCAGCCTCACTGGAAGGTGCGCCGTTGGCAACACCTTCTGTCATATTTCTTTTCTGGTCATTTCTTCTTCTTGGTTTGTTTCTTTTTTTTCTTGTTTCTTTTATCAATCTCTCCCTCTTTCTAGCGGTCCGGCTGGCCCTTTGTCATTTCTTTCTCCGCCCCCCTCCTTTTTTGTTTGGCCGCCCTTGGGCAGGGGGGCTCCGGCAAACCTTTCCTCTTGCATCATGTCGTCAAATCGGCCACGGAACAACAGAGCTCTGGTCACACAGAAAGAGGCCCTTGGGGCTGCCTGTACCAAGTTTGTGATATGCAGTGCAGGGACACGAGGGCCAGCCCAGGCCAGCATCTATTAGATAGCTCTTTGTATGCGGCCGTATCAGGAGTTGCTCCACCCCCCTCCCCTACTGCCAAGCCCATGTCGACCGCCTGTCACTAACTACGAGGGAGACCGCCGATTCAGGACATGTTTTCATGGTGGTCCATCCGGGGGGCGTGGAAGATCAGCGAGGAATATTCCGGCCGCTTCTAACTAATGATCTGTACGTTTGCTTCCCCCCCTTAGGCCCCTCCACCCACCTCTCCAAGGATATAGAGAGCCCAGATCAAAAGCGAGAAGAGTGTTTGTCTGCTAGCGCCTCCACTCGCGCTCGGTTCTTCCTGCCTGTCATTTTACCTCCCGCCGGTCGGCCCAAGAGAATCCAGAACCAGCTACTGAGCTCATCTGGTCCTGGCAGATGCTGCTATGTATGTATGTACGTACATAATATGGGTCATGGATGGAAACCAGGTTCCGCCATGCAGCTCCGACAGAAGGCTCCTATTACACACAGCTCTGGCAGCTATTACGAGCTACATGGGCGAACCAGCGCCACTCCAGATCATATGGGTGGTTCTAGGGCTGGAAGTTCTGGATATATAGGCACCGCTATCTTAGACATATGTATGACACTGGGAGTTGCCTCTTGCCCTGGGCGAGCTTTGAAACCGGACAGTTTGGACTCACGCCTTCTTGCGAGCCCACGTCCACCCCCTCCCCCCACCTCAAGCACCGCCCATGTTCGCCTCCTGCGCCTACCATCCCGGATCTACTCGGCCCTAGCCCGATGTGGCTCTCTGTTTGCGGGCTACCGCGACGATCAAGGTCAGGCAGATTCAAGCATGCAGGATTTGGGCCCCATATGCAGCCAGCCGTAGCAACCGACGAAGCTATGCGACGGCGTGGCTATGACATCTGTCGTGTAGGTGCTGCGTGCCAGGTAGGGAGGTATCTATCTGGCCTTTTGCTCGTGGAGACGAGACGAGACTGGAGAAACGCTGCTGGTCACAAGTCACAATTGCGCCAGTCCATCATGGCATGGGCATGGGGAACATCAACTCTGCAAACACGAGCTCTTGGGCTCGTCGGGGCGAGTAACACAAGGTCTATAACACCAGATCTCTTGGCCGTCCCTGGAGCTCTCTCCTCTTCACCCCTCCGACTCCTCCTTGTGGGACCGCCGTGTATGCTTCTTGTTGGACGCCCTGCCATTTGATCTCTCTCGCCCTCATCCACTCCTATTCGCGTCGAAACGATCTTCAGAGATCCATCCGCCTGTCAGTCAGTCTGACAAGGACACGAAGCAAGCCGTTTCTGATCCAACAGGTCAAGTCGGACGACCATCAAAAAGACTCACCGGCCTCGGAGCGACTTAGATCACCACCGTTCCTCAAGCTTGTCTCATCCCCCTCATCCACCACCTCCCATTTCCCCCTTTCCTGCGGCCTTGTGGAGTCGAGATCCTCACAAGCACCCTATCGACGGGCGCGTGTGGTTCTCAGTACGCGAGTGTGCGAAGACTTCCGCTTTCAAACACCTTGAGTACAAGCAGTCACGCACGACCCTGACCTCACACGTCAGCTAACATCATTCGCTTCCTTCTTCTCTGCTGGATATCGATCGCCTGTCTCGATCGACTGCCTCGCCTCCGATCTCGCCTCTCCGTTTTGCTCCCACGTCCTACACTTGTACCCGATCAAGGGGCATCCTCAACATCGCCAATCCGGCTTTCTCCGCCCTAGTCAAACAATGGTCTCCCAAGCCGGATACAGCGGTCGACGATATAGCCGTGCCTACCCCCAATACATGACACCCTCTGAGCGCCGGTATCATATCTCCTCACACGACGGTCGAAGCATAGCAATGGCAGAATCCCAGGTCGAGACAGATTCGCAGCCCCAGAGGAAGCGGATCGCCGTAGCGGTAAGCTTCCCTCGACTCTCCCCCCCCCACAACAAGCTTCTAAGCCCCTCTGGACCTGCGTGTTTATCACCCAGGAACCTGGGCAACATCTCTGCATTCAGAAACAAGAACAGTGGTTTCTAACACGCATCCGGTGCTCTTCAGTGCGGGCGCTGCCGTAAGCGCAAGATCCGATGCAGCGGCGATCCAGGAGGCGGACAACCCTGCTCCAACTGCAAGAACGCTGGCAGCGAACCATGCTTATTTCTAAGGGTATTAACTATTCCACCCCACAATGGCCCTTCTGGCCCTTTATTCAACTCTCCCGATTTGCCATTCTGACTCTGGCCCCCAACAGGTTCAGTCGACTGAAGCCCCGATGCGACAAGACAGCAGCGAGTTTACCTACAACGTCCAAGACGCGCGGGCCTACGCCAATCGCACCGCCAGCCATAGCGTTCAGTACACACAAGATCTGCCGGCATTAAGCTCGGCCGAGATATTGAATCCGTACCGAGGCGGCTCGCCCTACGGCTACGGGACCAAGCAGTTCTACCCAGCCATGTCCAGCTATGGCACCGGTTATCCCGAAGAGTACGTCGAGTACGGTATTAGCTGCCCGTCCCAACAGACAGTCCTCAATCACGAAGCCGTGGGCATGATCCCGTATCCCTGGCTGTCTCGGAGCAAGCAACCGGCTGCCAGCAGCGTATATCTTGATCCAGATGCGACCTACGCCTACGGTGGCACGGCGAGCCTCGTGCACCGCTCGGCACACGCCGTCACGACCGACTCCCCAAACTTCTCCTTCTCCCACATGGCCGCACAACTGCCGGCTGCGTCAGTCCACGGCACCGACCGCCTGCTGCCGACTCCCGTGAGCCGGTCCCTGAGCAGCTCGTCAGGACTGCCCTACCCCAGCCTGCAGTCTCTCAAGGCCGCCATCCCGACAACCGGGCCGCAGTCACCGCCCCTTTCCGCGACGGGAGGTCCCGGCGATGTCGCCTCGGCTGCCGCCGCCGGTTATTCGAATGGCTTTGATACATCTGGCCTTCCGTATTCCTCGGCAATGGCCATGCCAACCCACCACCACCATCACACCCCGCACAATCACAGCCAGCACAACCATCACCCGGCCCGCACCGGCTCGGTCCCCTCATCGTCCTACTCAACCGCGGCCGAGTCGCTCTTCTCCGAGCACGATCACGGCCTGCGGTCGCACGGCTCGACCGTCGTCGACCTGACTGGCTACGCGTATGCGGACTCAGGGGTCGGACCGGGGGCGAGCTCTCTCCGGCGCGGTTCGCGCAGCTCGAGCCAGACGTCGTCTGGGACCGGCACCGGAAGCTCGCTGAGAAGCAGTCAGACGGGTTACGTCCAGACCGAGAACCAGCAGCAACAGCAGCAGCCCGACGAACCAGTTGCCGCCCACGTGTATCCGCACCAGCATCAGCAGCATCAGAATGGGTTACAGCAACATCATCAAATTCAGCAACCGCAGCAGCAGCAGCAGCAGCAGCAGCAGCACAGCAACCAACAACAACAACACCACCACCACCACCATCACCACAACATCGCCGCTGTCGTGGCTGGTAGCACGGCGCCGACGGCGACATATCTCCCCGACACGCCTGGCGCGTCGGGCCTTGGCAGCGGTCATGCAGAGAACCGCCGGACAGCTGTGGGGGCCCGCCGCTAGGCTGGCCCCGCGATACGGAGGGGTACCGGCGGGGGGCAGGGGATGGGGGGAGGAGGGTGGAACGGTGTTGTATGCCCCCGTCTTCCCCTCGTCCAATGAACAATCCCTGGGATGTGATGACTCCCGTCTCCACCCCCCCTCCCACCCCCAAAACCAATTCTTCCCATCCTCCCGCAACTGGCCGGCCCGGGCTGAGAAGGGGGTGGAAGTCGCACGTCGTCGTTTGGGGTATGAACCCCCCTTCTTTTGCGCCTTGCTTGCGTCCGCCGCACACCACGTGGTACCTTTGTCTCGTCGGACGAGGTTTCCAGCGCGGGCCGCGGCTCCTTTTGGTTGCCGAAGCTCACCGGCTGGCTAGATATTGTTTCCTCCCCCCCCCCCCCCCCCGGGTACTCCCTAGCTATCAAATTCTAATCCGCTCAGCTTGCTCTCCGCCTGTCTGCCTGCCTGCAGCCTCCCCCAAAGTTCCTCGATTTGATTTGTTCCCCATTGCACTTCCCCCTTCTTCTATTTTTGGAATCCTCCGCCACCGCCCCCTTCCTCAACGTGCATTCCCACCCCCCACCACCCCTGCGCCATATGACGAGGTCCGACGCGCTGTTACCCAAGGAAACGCCTGTTCCGGGAGGGAGGAGAGGAGGCTCCCCCGACGGCAGGCGCCACAATAAGCATGAAACACATCGAACCCTCCCCCCCCCTTCCCCCTTCCTCCCCTCCCCGGAACCGCTGTGTGCTCCGAGCCGCGCGTCAAAAAAGGGGGCTGTGGGGTGTGTGGGTGGGTGTGGGTGTGGGTGCCCGCCTATCCGTCCATCCGCCCAACGTCATAACACCAAGTTAGAAGAAGAAGAAGAAGCGCCTTCACCCCGCGTCGCGGTTGAGGCGATCGGATATCGACGACTGCTTCTCCTTTCCCCCTACGCACACACACCATACCAAAAATATCACCCCCCCGCCAACCAAATCTACCATCTCTCCGACCTCATCGGCCATCCAGTCGGATGCCCTTCTGGCAAAACCGTGTCCCCCACCCCGGCTGACGAATATGCCGGGGAACCGGAGGGTGCTCCTGGCGTGTCCGTGCGACGCTGGTTCTCCTCTCCCTCGGGAGGGAATGAACACCCCCCCGTGGCCCCCCTTCTTCTTCTTCTTCTTCTTCTTCTTTCCCCTGTTTTTTTTCTTTTCTTTTTCTTCTCTTAAGTGGTGTGTGTCTCCCCGAGCTAGTAATTACAACATCGCGTGGATGGATGGATGGGGTACCTTGTCGTGTCCATTTCCGCCTTCCTTTGTTGCTTCGTTGTTTCTGAACTGATGGTCTCTTCTATTGCTGTCTTGCTGGGTCAGAGGCCTAGGCGATAGAAAGTTGGTTGGTTACTGGTTTAATCGTTTTTTTCTTTCTTTCTCTTTTCCGGTTGATTATCTTGTCCGTTAGTCTGTCTGTGATCCTATCTTTCCTCTTGTATCTCGATATGTCAGTCATGTCAACGCTTGTCGTTTCCACCGTTGGCTCTTTTCGGTTTCTTCATTTTGTGTCCCTGGTAGGCCGGACCCGGGACTTTGTTTTAATCACACGGGAAAGAAAGAATTACGAAAACTTACACTGAACGGCTGGGGTGGATAGGCTGGAGGATACGGGGAACGGAGGTGTAAAATTGGATATGGCGCATGGAGGTGGTTGGAAGAAAAGGGGGTCGGACAGGGGAAAATAAATACCCTTTTGTGGCAGCTTGGCTTGATCTTGTCTTTCCTGCGTTTTTGTTTGTCTCTTGTTTCCCCCCTTTTATTCTTTTCTTCTTTTTTGTCATTACTACATTATCCACTCCTTTTACGACAAGTCAAATAGTCCGGCTATGGAGGTCTTTGAAGTGTGGTGGCGATCAATTCTCTCCGCCGATGCCTGTAAACGGACCCGGGAATCCATGTAATAGTTCCAGCCATTTAAGCGGCGTGGATCCATCTAATAGATGAAGTTACAGGACCTATTGCCTTGGTCAAGGCTTCGTTCCAACTCTTAAATCTCAGCGTCTTACACTGCCGTAGCTCTCGCTGTGCCTCGCCGCCTTTGGGGAGACTCGCTCGCGAGATGGCCGATGAACTCCTTCAGCTGGGTGTGGCTTCTGATTCCATCGCGGGTATATCGAGTAGAACTTAATGAGAGCGACAGAAATGCCTTGGGGTCCCCAAACCTCGCTTGACACCGCACGCCACGTTAATGAGATTTCTCATGCAAGCGTCAATCTTGCAACGAACATCGGAGGAAACCGAGAATTGGGGAGAGGAGAGGGTCCTGCAGATGCTGTAAGCTATTAGTAACAACATACACATCTTCAATTTAGGCTTATATAGCCACTCCAGTTGCCACACGTCGGTTCAGAATGCCCCCCGCGGGATCTCCCACACTAATCACAATCGCAACCAATGAAAGTACCCTCAGCCTTGCAAACCGGTGAAGGATGATGCCCCAATGGCATTGGCTAACGTTCTGACCACTACCTTACGAATTGCACGGCAGATTGGAATAAATGAAGGAAGATGACCAGTTTATGAGGTCAACTCTTAGCTAACACAGGATATCCACGACATGCCTCCCTACCCGACGAAGCACCACTGCCCCAAGTGCAAGAAGACGACCAAGAGCATGTTAAAAGCGGGACATTGCAAAAAGCATCAGTGAACCTGCGCAAACGATGGCCATAAGGAATGGGTTCAGCTGAAAACCGAACCTTGTGAGATGTGTGGTTTGGACTACGAAGAGGGTGTGAACTGTCATCGATGCGATATTCTATGAAGGTGCAGTACATACAACTCCACCTCAGTACTACTGAAGCAAAGCTAACAGCTCGCCAAGCAAGAGAGAATAATCTGTTTGGGGGGGGGGGGGGAGACCCTTACCCTCTTGCGTCTTGCCCCCTTGGTCATGCCCTTCGCGCTTACTTCTGCTTCTTCTACCAATGGCTGCATAGGCTGTAGAGGAGTTTCTCTCATAGAGGCAGCAGAGCAAGTTCTCCACTCTCTGAATACCGCTCCGGAGTGTAGTCTGGTCGGCCAGAATAAGCAGGTCTTGTGGTGTCTCTCAAATCTTCTAGATAGGAATTGGACAGGTTGATGAGAGTATGCTCGGAGCACTTCATTGACATGAAGCATCTCTGGAAGTCGTTCAATACAAAGTTCTTTGCATTGATGCAGGCGATGAATGCTGCTCGTGACTCGGCATCTGGCAGCCCTCGAGAGATTTCGCGGACGAAATGAGCGCGCAGGAGAGCGTTGTCAGCATAGAGTTCCTTGGACCAGGAAACATCCTGGATGAAGATCGGGTACTCGTACAAGAAGTACAGAGGGCCGGTATGGGAATACTCAAAGTCGATTACCCCGGACAGCTTGGGTGGCAAACCGTCGGGTTGCTCGACAAAGAGCATATTCTGGCCGTCGAAGTCGGCGTGGATCATGCCAAATGGCTGTCGAAGGTAAGGTTCGTCCGCATGAAGTGCCAGGAAACCGTCCAGCTCTTTCTGGATCTGCTGACAGAGTCTGACAAGTTCCGGTGATTCGACTTGGTCGGTCGAGACGAAGGATTGTAAATACTCATCAGTCGAGTTGAAGGGTCCCCTGGGTAGGTCAAAGCACGGGCTGACGAGGGGGCCAACTCCATGCTCGTTGAGAGATCCGATTTTGTCGAAGCGCAGGGACGCGAACTGGATGATCACCGAGGTAATCTGTGAAAGCGCCGCCTTCTTATGATCGAGGGGTAGATCATCCCATATTTGATATAGATGCCGCCCGGGAATTCGCTCCATGAGGACGTAAGGGGCACCGACTGTGTTGTCCAAGTCCAGGTCGTGGTGATAGACCTCGGGAACGGGAATGTCGGTGTGGCTCCTGACGTATCGGACCGTTGCGATTTCGCTGGCGTCCCTGGCGGCGGCAGTGGCAGACCTGACGCGAGTGAAGCGTGCAATGCAAACAAATCCAGACCTCGCGAGGCGCTCATGCGCTGTTGGGCTCGCTTGAAAGGTGAGGAGGTAGATTTCATGACTGGCTCCCCGAGTGAATCGCTCGGCTCTCATGCATTTGGCGTGGAGGCTGTTGGTTGCGCGGTCCAGGAGCTTGTAAATATCCAGCTCCAGCCGAGGCGAATCGTCCGAGCTGGACTCGTCGTCCGAACTAGCGCATGATGACATGGCGCGTTCTGGTTGACGACCAAATCAGGGAAATGAGATATGTGCTTTTGCGAGTTGATGTGGTCAGGAGAGTTAGTCAGCCAAACCCGCACCTTCCAGCCACTCCATTCTGCTGAACCAAATCAGAGGATCAATAATGGTAGACGGGTTATTTGGTTGTTCTTGTGAGTAGATGAGAGATATCTAGAGATATCAGAGATATCAGAGACAACAACAGTTGCGGTGTGATCACGTGTTTTGGTTGTAAACAGCCATGGTGAATCACGTGCCGTTGTTGGCATTCTTGGTTTGTACAGGAGGCTGACATTGATTCTTCTCCCCATATTGCTGGCAGGATACAACGACTGTGGTCAAGCTGAAGCGGATGATGGGGTGGGGAAAGCCATTGGGGATGGCTCCGTGCATGTCGCTCCACATGGAAGGCCAGGTGGAGGTCGCATTCAGCCCCATTGTCGCTGGCTATGCTGCTGTTCTGTTGCAAGTAGCAGTAACTACCTAGGTACTGTACCTAACTGACGGCAGCAGCCAAAATAGCATTTGGCAAATATGGAGAGTCCCTGCAGCTTTGTCAAATACTCCGTACGTGCAGTACAATAGTTGGCTGCCAAGACTGCCCTATGGAACAGGGGTGCAAATCCTCGGTCTCGAATGGTAGTTCTTGCTGCAACAAGGGACCGTGTTGGAAAGTCCCATTCGAATTTTTGTTTTTGGGCCAGATACGGAGGTACGGATATTTGGGCTGTCCGTGCCCGAAACATGCTGCCGTACTGTGGGAATCACGATAAGTTGCGGGTCCAAGGTAAGGTACAACACAACTGTTCCTGGAGTGCCCAGTGCCTGCATCAGGCAAACCCTCGATGATAGGCCATGGCCAGTGATGCAAGGCGGCAGCCGCTTCCAATAATCCGCTTCTGTCGCCAGTACCTCCAACTGGAGTCAGACCTGGCATATCCAGATGGCATTCTATTGAGGGACGAGCGCAGCCAGGAGTTCCTCTACGAGAAACTCTTCTCACCCAATGCGATATCTCGGCCTGCACCTCCCAGATATCAGTTGGAGGCTCTCAAAAATCTGGTGACCCGGATTGAAGGAGCCATCGAAGATTGGGACGAACACGTAAGTGGCACCGAGCCCCATCATCCCATCATCTTTTCCCTGGCACATGTCTCAACGCCATACGCCGGAGCAGGGAATATCAGACAGCCTCATGACCGCCCTCTCGCGTCTGATGTCACTGCCCCTTCCTTCTGAAACAACGGCAGCACTGCAGAAGAGCTACGTGACATATTATCAGTCGCTGCTCCCTGACCCAGATCCAGCAGCCTCGGACCCGACCATCACCCTCCTGGAATCCCGCTCGTTGATCTCCGCCGCGGGAACGACCGGCCTGCGGACGTGGGAGGCATCACTGCACCTCGGCCAGTACCTCTGCGTGGATCCGGCAATCGTCCGGGACAGACGGGTCCTGGAACTGGGTGCCGGGACGGGTTACTTATCGATCCTCTGCACCAAGTATCTTGGCGCGATACACGTTGTCGCGTCCGACGGGTCGGACGATGTCATCAACAACCTCCCGGACAGCTTGTTCATCAATGGCCTACAGGGCTCTGACAGGATCGCACCGATGGACTTGAAGTGGGGACACGCCCTCGTCGGCACCGAGGAGCCAGCGTGGAACGGAGGCCGCGAGATTGATGTCGTCCTGGGCGCCGACATCACCTACGACAAGGCGTTGATACCACCGCTGGTAGGGACCTTGGAGGAGCTGGCCGACTTGTTTCCCGAAGTGCAGATACTAATATCAGCGACTGAGAGGAACCGAGACACCTTCAGACACTTCCTGGATGTCTGTCAAAGATCGGCATTCACAGTCGAGCTCGTGGATTTTCGCGTGCCGAGGCCCGAGGAGCAGATCGGCCCGTTCTACGGCGGCGGGATCCCGATTCACATCTGCAGACTCAGGAGACTCAGGAGACACTATTAATAGATAAAAAGCAATGGCAAAGTGACGCGGTCAAATGCCGTTCAAACACATTATCTCGCCTTTTCCCGGTTCGTGACAAGCCCATATCGCCCCTCAAATCTCACAGATGCGCCGACGGAGCCCGAAGGTCAGAGGGCGGCCAACCAGGGGCGACATCCGGGAGACCCTGGCAGCAGCAGGTGATCAGCCCGGCCTTCTCAAGAACAAGATGATATCATATCATACCCGAGGCCATGGCCTAACGTGAAATTTGACGCAAGGGGTAAATGCAAGATCCTCCTGCCCGAGGGTGGAGTCGACAAGTATCAAATCTATTTGAGTGCTCTGGAACTCCTATGTATGCCAGGGCTTGAAAAAGTGCTGGTTCAATTATAGCGGCCTTCAGCCCGAGGCTGTAGGGCCAGCTCAGAGCTATGTACGCCACCTCTCAGAGGTCTCGCCCCTCCCACTCGTTTTATTTTGGGGGTGGTTGGGCCTGGAACCTTACTGGTCTGGTGGGCGACTGGCGACGCGTTGGTGCCTAACCAGCAGTGATGCAAAAGAGACGACACAGGCAATTTGTCCAGCCCAATACAGGGAATTTTCCATTTTGCAGATGCTGGCATCCGCTGTTCACACGCAACTCGCACCTGCCTGAGTGGCTCCAGTTGTCAAATCCAACTATGACAAACACCATTTCGCATATACAGAGGCCTGACCCAGCATCGCAGTTTCAGCATTTTTGGCTCTGGGGTTATTGATGCCAAACTCGGAAGACCATGCTCCCCATATCTACCCGCCATAGGCACCATGGGCCACGCTTCCGAGCAGCACCCGAGTCCTCGAGAAGTAGCAGCAGCAGAGGAAGAAGCACCACCACCACCGCCACAACCAGCAGCAACACAAGCTAGTTTGCATCCCTGCCGAGATCACGGATAGATCGCAAGAGCCAAACAAACGATCGACACCACCCCGAACAACAACACATCTTACGTCAGGATGGATCCTTACCAGGGCGCCTACTCCTCGCCAATGTCGGAGGGCAATCCCTACCAGGACATGCCCGACACTCCCCTCTACCCAATGAGCCCCACCTTCGACTCGGGCGGCGGGTCCAGCGACGGGCGGCAATACGTCTGCCTGGCGGCCGGGTGCGAGCACGTCCCATTCAAGCGGGTCACGGACCTGGACCGGCACTACAAGTCGGTGCACACGCGCGACGAGGACAAGGACAAGTTCTTCTGCGACTACAAGAAGTGCCCGCGAAGCCAGGACCCCTTCTACCGGCCCGAGCGGCTGCGGAACCACCTGCGGGACTACCACAAGGAGGACCTGCCCAAGAAGGGCACCAAGGCGTCGGCCGAATGGCTCAAGGAGAGGAACGTCCAGCCCAAGTGGTGGCGCTGCTACAGCTGCCTCAAGCGCGTCGAAATCCGCCGCGAGGGCTTCACCTGCCCCACGTGTAACCAGGTCTGCGAGCCGGATCGTCAGAGCCTGAGGGAGAAGCGGAAGAGGTGAAGACAAGAGAAGGGGGGGTGGCGGGAGAGAGAGAGAGAGAGAGAGAGAGAACAGAGGGACAACAGAGAGCAAAGGAGAGCGAAAGGGAGCGAGGTTGGGAGGAGCGGGGGAATTATGTGTGATGATACTGTGGCGCCAGGAGAGTTTGACCTTCTTCTTTTCTTCTTCAGGTTCAAACAAAGAGTCGACGGTTCGAGGATCAAGGAGCCTCCAGTGCCAGTCTGGGCTCTGGATTGCCGAGTTTTATGGATCGGGGCTACTATTATCGCCTCAAAGATTAGACAAAATACTAGAAATCGACTTCAAATAACACATGGCAATCGGTCGTGACAAGTCTTGTAGGCGTTGTAATCTTTGCCCATCCTGCGCATTTACCCTGGTATCTTCCGGCGGCCGTCACTTGGTCGCTCGTCCGGGTCACACTGCGAAAAGGATAGGTCTCGTGTAAAAGACGGGCGAAATGTCCATGGAAGACAGAGAGACAGGATAGCTCCCGGCGACAGAGTCGAAACATACTCTGTCAACATCTCACAATGCGTCGCGATGGTGACGGTGGCATGTGAAAGTGGCGGGGCAAGAATCCAGCCCGGCCGCAACTGCGACGGGCGCGACACCACCCCCACGTGCCCACCCAGTCCCGTCACCAAGAGGGGCATTTCCCTGGTGCAGGAGCATGGTACCCAACCAGCGTCTACCTTCCCGTATGACTTGCTTAGGCAGCGAGACGTACCGGTCGAGGGTGTTTCCGGAGTTCTCCCAGGGCCCAAACACTGCTGTGGCCAGTGACGATGCCCGCCTTTCCATGTTATACGGGACGCATATGCCGCTTGGCAATGACACGTGGTCGTTCGCGGCACAATAGGTGTGGTCCACGATGACCTCATGCGGCCACTGGGCCTCTCGACATTGCCAGCACTACGCATATATCGAGGATAATCGTGGGTCTCGTGACAGCGTTGCCGTGTTTCCGGGGGCTCCGGTGACAGCCTGACGACTGGACTTGCTGCCCATGCTGACACAGCTGAAGCAGCTGGTGAAATGGGTGATTCTGTGATTGGGATGCCGTGGAGCCGGTAGTGGTCGTAGAGTTGGTGGCTCGAATTGGAGAGGCGGGGCAATAAGCAATCCACACTCACCGGGGTTTGGGAAAGAAAACTGGATCTTTGAATTTTGACCTAAAGATCAGGTGATGCGGCACCTGACCTTGTCGAATTTTTTGCAAGTGGACCGGGCTCTGCGCACACCACATTAGGGCTCGGGCCCAATTAAGCGACACCCGGCCTTTCGGATTTTCTCGAGTTCCACTCGCAAAAACCTAAACACCACAAAAAAGTCCCCATCGCCTTGCTTCTGCCCTCAGCGTCCAAATTTGCAAGGCAGAACCTCGACAACCAGAATCGCGAAGATGGCCGACACTCCAGTTACCTTGCGCACGCGCAAGTTCATTCGGAACCCTCTCCTCGGCCGCAAGCAGATGGTCGTGTGAGTCCGCCCTCTCCCCTACCCCCAGCCCCAAGACTTCCCGATGCCGAGAGATGTTTGATGGTGGAGAAAGAGACCGCGATTTGGGGGTAATCAACACCAGAGGACGATATTTCAGCGTGGAATTGGAGGACTTCCTTTCGGCAGGCCGAGCATCAAGAAACGACTTGCGTCGAGTGTGTCGTCTGGAGGCGCGTTGGCTGACTTTCCGGATCTCGCAGTGATATCCTCCACCCCGGCCGTCCCAACATCGCCAAGGATGAGCTCCGAGACAAGCTCTGCGGAATGTACAAGGCGAACAAGGAGCAGGTCAGCGTCTTCGGCCTCCGGACACAATTCGGTGGCGGCAAGACGACTGGCTTTGCCCTGGTCTACGACTCCCCCGAGGCGATGAAGAAGTTCGAGCCGCAGTACAGATTGGTCCGATTCGGCTTGGCCACCAAGGCTGAGAGGCCGAGCAGACAGCAGCGTACGTGGACTCACTCCTTTTTTTTCGGTTATTTTCGATGGCATGCGTGCTGCAGATTCTGCTCTGCATCACAGCAGCGCATCTGTGGACGATGTACTCCCGCTTAATTCTCCCGTCTCGTCTAACATCCGCCCCCCCTCGAACAGGCAAGCAGCGCAAGAACCGACAGAAGACCCTGCGTGGAACGGCGAAGGTCAAGGGTGCGAAGCCGAAGAAGGAGAAATAGGCGGCTGGCGTTTCCTCTTTGTGGTGCTCTTCACCGGTTGTCTTCCAGGTCGAGTTGGTGGGGAATGGCTGTGGCTCTGTGCATTACATACAAGATGCGACTCCGCATTCGGCAAAAGGAACCGAGACGATTCATATCTGGCAATCGATCCATGGAGGGCGTGAGGGCTGCTGGGTTTCCATTATTCATTCTTCCGACATCATAGCACGCAAATAAAAGGTTGTTTGCTTGTGGCGTCAAGACACGCGGCTCCCTCGTTTTGCGGATTCAATGGTGATGGGATGGAGGAGGATGCATAGTGTTTGATCATTCTCTCCATCGATGCTCTAATTTGTTTCTAGGTCACCAGATCGACGACTGTCTCAGCAACACCAAAACGGCCATTCCGTTCGAATCGACGTTCCCACCCGCCGAATTCCAGATACCCGCCCTTCATCACCGACAGACGGACAAATGGATGCTCCTGATTATTCCGTGGCGTCCAGCGCCAGTCCCACAACGCCAGTTACGAGAAACTCCTCCCAAATAACCCGCCACGCCTCACAACACCTACTCCGACAAAAGTTATCCATACAAACACGCACATCCACCCCTCCACCCTTCTAACCCTTGATTCGCACCCATCTCATCACCCCAACAACCCCACCAAACCAGCAACAGCAGCCACAGCAGCAACCAAGCCCGCCCTGGCCCCCACCCCTCCCCCCCTCCCTCCAGCAGCCGCCGCTGCCCCGCCCGCATCCAGTATCGGCCGGTGCCACCCGCAGTGCGAGTACGTGCCCCGCGTCACGCAAGCCCAGTACGTCGTCTGCACGAACCGCGCCGCCGCCGCCCCGTCCGCGCCCGAGTACCCCGTCACCACCGCGGCGCCGTCCGGTGCTGATGGGCCCGCCGCGCCTGGGGGGGTTGGTGAGGTGGTCGCGGCGGCGGCTGTTGGGGCCGCGCCGGTGGTGGGGGAGGTGGCGGACGAGAGGGCGGTGAGGAGGAGGAGGAGGAGGAGGGGGAGGGGGAGTGGTGGAGTGGTTCGCATCTTGGTGTGTTGTGTGGGTGCTCGGGCTTGGGAGAGCAGTTGGTTTGTGGTTCGTGGTATTATTGTCGGGGGAATATGTATATAATTATGAAATCTCTGGTGGATCGGATTTGCTTTGCTGAATCGCAGGTCTGACTGGCCTGGAGCTGGAGTGCCTTTTGAGAGATGCTTGTGGGGTTCGATGGAAATGTGGAATGTGGACTGTAGCTAGGACGGGACTGGTGTCTCTTTCTCTTTCTTCCCCGAGTATGGCCATAGCAAGGTAGCCAGAGAAGTCCCTTGGCCGGGTTTATAAATCCGCATTTGCCATACCCTCCATTACAGTTACCTGCCAGTTGCACGTATCGGTGCCACCCAACGCTGCCAGCACGACAGGCAAGTATTCGTCACCATCGGAATCAGGGGAAAATCACACTGGCCCTCCGGCGGTGGTGATGATGGTGATGGTGGTGGGCGGATGGAGGAGGGCGATCCAAGGTCCAGCTAGATCAAGTGCCGTGTCTCATGTCGCTCCGACAGGACGGCGCGGGTTGGTCGCTCCGGAAGGCGGCCCCACCTGCAGCTGCTTAACCTTGGGGAGGCTGCTGTCCAATCAGCCTGCCGATTTCTCGTCTACGTCAAACCATCGAGGCACTTTTTGTAGGTTTAGAAGTGCAATTCCCATTCGAGAACGGAGAATGTTAGGTGGGCCGCACGCGGCGTGATGGATAATATCTTCTCAGAATTACATTGATGCATACAATAAGGCATCTAGCTACTTATCGCAGTGTAGACAATGCCCTGCGAGGCTAAGCGGGTTGCCGCCGGCGAACTAAACATACAAGGGTATTATGTGTGATCCCAAGAACCAGCAAGTCTGGACCGACGTCAGACTAGAGATAATGCCGACGAAGAGGCGAATGTCCATCAAGACGCCTACCGCTGCCCCAACGCATCTGAACTCCCAACAATTACAAATAAACAAACAGCTGCCACAGCCAAGGCATGGAGGGCTATACCAGCGCCCTCAAACCCTCACCGACGTCTTCCTCCGCGTCCTCATCGGATGAGGGCTAACAGCAATCTCGGAGGCTACCGGCGGCGATGGTGTCGCCTTTCTTCGTCTCCGCGGCCTGGGAGGCTGGGAGCCCGCGGCCCTGTCCGGGCCACGAATAGAAGCAGAAGCGGGGAGGCACACGCCGAACGGCTCGTAGTGGCGGGCCTGGATCCCAGTGCCACGGCCGCCCGCCGACTTATTGACCCAGCCAGAGCCGTTGGGCAGCGGGGTGGTGGTCGTCTTCTCCCCGTCCTCATCCTCGTACGTGCTGTCGATGTCGTCGTCGGCGTAGTGCTCCGCCACCTCGGGCTCCGGGCTGCTGGACAGGAGCGACACCACCTGCGAGCCCGGCGGAATGACCGACCGGGGCGCCTGCTGCTGCTGCTGCTGCTGCTGCTGCTTCCGTGCGCGTCGGCCGATCTTTGACTTTGGGGAGGGTAGCGAGGAGCGCGTGGCCGGTTCTTTCTTCGGCACAACTTCCCCCCCTGGTGGTAGAATGGGACCACAGTTGATTGCGTGTCGCGATCCTGGGCGTGCTCCCGCGTCTAGCGCCGACGTGCCCTGGGACGGGAGGCGAAGGTTACTGTGATCCGCATCATCATTCGACTGTTCATCGCCCTCGTCGAGACGCCTCATTATCTCCTCATACTCGCGGTCCCGGATTATCTCGGGCTTGCGACTCTTGGTTGCCGGTATCGCTGTAGCCTTGGATGGACTACGGTCATTGCGGGATGTTCTGGCCGTAGAGTAGATTTCGTTGAGCGATGGCAACGAGGTGACCGAGGCCGGACTGGCGTCGTTTATGACAGGCTCCTGTGGCTTGATCGGGGATCCGCGGCTGGTGGGCTTCCCTGGCCCCGTGTTGCCCAGGATCACGGATTCGTCGGCAGTGTCCTCCAGCGGGTCGAACGAGTCGGCGGCCCACTCGATGACGCCAAAGTCCCCATCCGGCTGCCGCCCGCTGTGGATGCTGCTCGCAGACGAGGGAGGGACGTTTAGCTTCGGATACGCCGCGGCTTTCGGAGCGACGTTGACGTCCGCGTTCTTCGGGAGCTGACCGTCATCTCCGCCGCCGTCGAACGGCGCCACGAGAGCCCGTCGGGAGCTGGCAACGGTATGCCGGGGAGTAGCAGAAGGCGAACCGGAGGCCTGGAGGGAGTCCCTCGCCGCGGCACTTTCCGACATCTCTCTCAGCTGTTCGGATGGGCTGTCGAACGGCACCTCCTTCAAAATAGACGGCGATACGTCTTTACGGAACCCGGCGGTGGAGATAAGGAGGCTGATCTCGTCTCGTCGGTCATCCGAGATTGAAATGTCGCCCTCGGAGTGGCCAGCAATGTCGGACTGAACAAGTTCCTGCTGCAGCGAGTCGCCCGCAGGAAGCGTCTCGGGGATGATGCTCTCGCTCGAGTCGGCAATGTCGCCACCAGTCTGCTGAGCCGCTTCATCGTCTTTTTCAGCCCCTTCATGGCCCAATGTAGTGGATTTGTCGCCATTCATCCCTGTCTCCTCGCTGTTCGAGTCGCCGATCACCTCTCGATCGTCTGCGCTTGGAATGTCTTCATCTTCGCCCGCAGTCTCGGCAATATGCTCGAGGGTAGATGGTTGGAGCGACGGCAGCGGCTCCTGCAAGATCCGCGGCTCGATCATCTCAGAGTACTCCATGGTTCGGTAACCGTCCTCGACCCCTTCGTCGGCGTCGGCGTCCTCGTCTTCAAGATCCGGCCCTTCGAACCTATCGTAGACCCGGCTCCCATTCTCGTCATACGTCTTCTCGTTCCCGGCCAGGTTGCGATCGCGTCTGGCGAGAATCACTCGGATGCTGGTGGACCCACCGTTGACAACGACGGCGGTGAGGTTGGACAGGGTGGGCTGCCAGTTGGTGGCCTTGGAGAGGAGCCACTGCTTCCATGTTATCACCATGCCGTCCTTCGCCCGGCCCGGCCCCAACTGAGGCAAGCTTGACAGGTCCGGGGGAAGGGATGGCAAGTCGTCCAAGTCTGTGAATTGGCTGTGTTCCGCGTCCTGCTTCTCGGGTTCTTGTTCGGGAACATCGTCGTCATCATAGTTGAGAGTCATATTGACCCGCATGTTGTCATGGCCGTCGAATTCCTCGGCGAATCCCTCGTCGTGGAACTTCCGCTTCTTGGCCCCTCGTCCGTCATCTTCTCCGTCGTCTCCGTCGTCGTAGAAGTCGCGCTGATTACGCCTCCTGCGCTTCGCCCGTCCGCCCCGCTGGTCCCCCTTATCGTGCCAGTACCATTGCTGCTGCGGATCCCATCGCTGGACGAACGGAAAGGGGGGTTCGGAGAGGTCAACGCCGTCTTGGCAACATTCTACCGCACGGTAAGCGATTTTGCTTCGCCAAGCTTCGGGGTCGTCCTCTACCGACTGGTCGTTGCCATCCTCACCGTCGGCCGACGGCCGTCCTTGCGCTTCGGCGACACGGGAGTTGATCAACGGGCGGACGCCCTTCATGAGGTCCGCGCGGATCTTGTCCTCGTCGGACTTTGTCTTTGGGTTGCGGATCCCGAGTGCACCAAAGAGGATGCGTCGACCCGCCGAGATATCCAACTTGGATTTGCGCTGCGTCGACGAGGCCGCCAGGTCGGAGGCCCCATTCTGGGCAACCTCGGGTGGTGGGTGTGTCGGTGTGGCGGACTGGCTGGGCGGTATATCCTGGTCCAAGGGACCGTCGAGGCTCGAGAGAAGGGCTTGTTTCCTTTCGGCTAGGGACAAGCCACCGGCGCCAAGCGATGAAGCTTGGGTTGCATCTTGGCGAGCAGGGGCGGAGGACTGTGATGCCGCGTCTGTGAGGCCGCCTGCTTCGGCCACCTTCTTGGCTTTCTGGGCAGCCTTCCTCCTGGCGTTCCTGGCTTGTGTCCTAGACAAACCCTCTCCAGGGGGTACCCGTGCGGATGTCATATTGACCGCGCCTGGTGTATTTCGAGGTGCAGACGCGGCGAGTGGTGCTGTGGCTCCTGTCTTCGACTCGGATTCGGGGTCCGGCTCATCATCACTGCTGTCTGATGAGCTGTCTGATGAGCTGTCGGAGTCGTTCTGGTCGACAAGGGATGCACCCCCTGTCTCACCCTCTTCGCCCTGACCTCCGCCGTCACCCTCCTCCTCACTGCTGTCGCTGGAGTCATCGCTAGATCCACTGCCGCCGCTTTGCCCATCACTGTCGTTGCTGCTTCCACCACCATCGGAGGGCTTGGGGGGTTTGGAGGAAGCGACTTCTGGCCCGCTATCGTCGTCGTCATCGATGCCTGACGAAGGCCCGGAATCCCCGCCGCTTTGACTATCGTTGTCGTCGTTGGCATCGGATACTTCCTCGTCATCTTGATCGTCTGGAGATTCGGATTCGCTTTCCGAGGAGCTTGTCAGATCTGCGCCCGACTCCGAGGAATTGACCTCTTCTTCGCCCTCGGGTTTGTTGTCGTCCTCTGCGGATTCGCTATCGCTGGTAGCGACTTCTGCAGTCGGTGATGCTCCCGCGGATATGTCTTCGCCGTCGAACTTGGTGTGGACAGGGAGCTTGACAAATTTGCCAGACTTGCGGAGGTTTTCCGCCATGTGAGTCGAGGCCGTGCCCTCGAGGATTGACCCGGCTGGAAAGCCATGCTGGTCATAGTGTTTGACCAGCGAGTCCACCGATTCGGCCTCGCTGTCGTCTTCCATGTCGTCCACGTCCCCCACGTCCCCGGCGTCCACCATATCTCCCATGTCTTCGCCTTCCTCACCGTCCTCTTGCCCGTCCTCCTCAACCTCGGGAGAGGGTTCGGGCGCTGGTGCATCCAGGGACTTGAGGTATCTCCGCATCTCCTTAAGTCTCATCTGCGGCTCGTAAGACTTGCGGAGTTTCTTGTACGCCCTTTTCACCTTGTTCTTGCTACGACGTAGCATCTTTTCGCAAACGCCGGCATCTGCTTCGGGAAATGCCGCCCGCAGAGCCGTAATCTTGCTTAGCCCAGCCAGGTCGATGACACTATCCTCGATACCGGGAAATGAGTGCGTCTCTGAAACAGAGCCCTGGTCATATTCACCGTACTGTGATATGTCTCTCTGGAGGTCGCGGACCTCATCATCGAGGTTGGATTCGTCGGAATCTGGTTCCATGTCGTCGACCCCGTCTGCCCCTTCCTCGCCGCCATTCTCGCCCTCTTCGTCCTCGTCATCGGCATCGTCAAAGGTTGCCGAGACCACGACCTTCAGAGGGTCATCGGGGTCTTCGCCGTGCTCTGTAAGCAGCATGGGCTGATAATCGTCGTCGTCCTCTCCTTCGTCTTCTTCCTCGGCTTCGTCATATGTTATTCTGCGGCGCTTCAAGGGAGGAATTTTGATTGGAGGCCGGCCTCTGGGTGCCTTGAGCCGCGGTCGGCCAAAGGCCACGCCGTCGATGAGGTGCTTGCCACCGGCGGAAATCTGGTCTCTCCCACTGAGCAGTCGCTTCTTCCGGTCTTCTGTAAGCAATGGCCGGATGCTGTGTCGAGTTGAAGGAGCGGAGGGTTAGCAATCTGGTATCCATTTGGCCATGCACTAGCGGGTATGTATGTTTACTTACAAGACCTCCTCGTCTTGGCTCAGAACGGTCTGAACTTCCTGGAAATGAAGGCACTCGAAAGCGTGGCCCGCGTGGTCTCTCAGCTCGACCACGTAGTCCTCCAGGCCCCAGTCGGTGCTCTCGAGGGGAACGGTGTCGTTGACATGCTCGAGGAGCTTGGCAATCGTCGGGTCATTCTCGAGGGAGAGGCTGAAAACGACGCGCACCTCGGGCAGGCCATGCCGGCGGATGACAAGACGAAGCCGAAAAGATTTCTGCTTCATCTCGGTCGTCACCTTCCGCTTGAGCATCTTTAGAGTGGCGGGAAAGGTGTGGGGTTTTTTTCTCTTCCCCTTTCACAGGCGGCGAAGGTGAGAAAGTGGGCTCGAAATGGTGTTGGAGAGATTTGCTCCTCTGCAAAAAAAGTTGGAGGTGCAGCTCGGGCAGAATCACAGGTGGGGCTGGACTGGGGTTCAGCTCTACTGTGGTTGCGTGCAAAAGTTTTACCCCCTGTCAGGTATCGAAAAGCGCACTAAATCGACCAGGGATACCTGACCCACTGGGCAAACTTACCCATTATACCATAGTATTTGTAGGGAAAACCCGTCTCTCATTGGCTCAGGTTGACAATTTTGTACCTGAAAGGTATGGATGGTACCAGGTACCTCAGGTTATTCACCAGGGACGCGCCAAGAATCGAGATGGTTCTCCATGCAAACTTCCCGCCATATGAATGCCCCATATCTAGGTAGGTAGGTAAGGTAGGTATGTAGTGTCTATGTGTTTTGCCCTCGAGTAGCCATCATTGTTAGGATGCAGCTGCTTCTACACCACAAAAACGGGGCATTGTATGGGGAGTATCCCTATGGACAAGTCGACTTCGTACCCCATGCAAAAGACCAGGAACAACATGGAACTCACCTATCTAAACGCCCGGTTGCCCCAAATAACCACCCCCTTTTCAAGATGATCAGAATGCCTTACAGAAGATGCATGCAAACTAGAATACCATAAATGAACTTGGTCATGGGAAGGAACCCATCTCCAAGAGATGACCCATTTTCTCTATCTGGTGGGAAAAGTTAGCATTTGACAAGCAACAATTGCGGTGGTGAGAACGACAGCAGTTGAGCGTACCTTTGTCTTCAGATATCCCTCAACCTCGGGGGCCCTGAAGCCTCCCCTCCCCTTCCACGAGAGTGGCACCATGGCCACCCGCTCCCTCACAACGATCTCCCTGTTCGGCCCCTCGACGGCCCGGATCTTGTCCGGGTTGTTGGTCAACAACCTGATGTCGCGCTGGCCAAGGTCCAGCAGCATGGCCGTCGCGAGGCCGTAGCTCCGCGCGTCGGCGGGGTGCCGGAGGAGGAGGTTCGCCTCGACTGTGTCGGAGCCGAGATCCTGGAGGTTGTACGCCTTGAGCTTCTCGCCCAATCCGATCCCGCGGCCTTCCTGTCGGAGGTAGATGATGACGCCGCCAGACTTGTTGCCCGGCAGGGACATCAGCCTGGCCGCCTCGTCGAGTTGCTCCCCGCAATCGCACCTCGCCGACCAGACCGTCTCGCCCGTGTAGCACTCGCTGTGTATCCTCACCAGCGGCGGCGTCGTCGTCGTCGTACTATCCTCCTCCTCCTCGTCGTCATTCTTATCCCTTTCCCCACCTTCTCCGGCTCGCGGCCCACCATCCACGCCACTAGTCGTCCGCCCCGGATAAAGCCGCCCAGTATACGCGCCCCTGACCAACCGGTCCATCTCCGTCTCCCCCTCCCTCGGGGCGTCCAGCGACTGGCTTCGGATGCTGCCGCCGAAGACGATGGCCAGGTGCTCCTTGCTATCAGTGTCGTTGGTGTACAGGTGCAGGAACATCTCGGCGCCGGTCGTCGTCGGTATGCGCGCCCGCACGATGCACTCCACCTGCGGCAACCTCTCCAGTAGCCGCGGCCTCCTGCTCCCGCAGCCGCCCGTCGGCACGGAGCTGTCGACGGGGACGCCTCGCGGACCCGGCCCCGGCCCCGGCGCGAGTCCGTGTGCGCCGCTCAGCGAGCTAGGCGTGGCGGTGCCGGGGGTTGGGGGTGGCGTGAAAGCCGGGGAGAGCAGCGAGGGCGGCGGGGGGGGAAGTGAGGGTTGGGAGGAGGACGGTGTGGGTGGCGATGTAGTCTCGTCATCGGCGGCGGGTCGTTGTGGTTGCTGCTGGTCCTGCTGGCGCCGCTGCGTCGCCGCACTCGCTGTCAAATCCATGCTGTCTACTTCATTTCCAACGTCGGAACTGGTTTGCGCCTTCGTCGGCGGCGAGTAGAAGGACGGGAGTTGTGTCGTTTCTCGGCGCCATTGCTGCGAATTGGGTTCGGGTGAATGGCCTAAACCAGGCATGCTGGGGTTGGTGGTTCGTGGAGGGGCCGAGGAAGAGAGGAGACTTGGGATGATGGATGGATGGCCAGATAGAGCGACCGCTGGGCGAGAGAGTTCTGGCGAAGGGAGCTAAAAGATCGAAGGGGATGATAACAGTGTCGCTATCCAGCTATCCAGGTATCCAGCTTCGAACTTCACTTTTGCATTTGAAGATGGAAGACATAGCGTGGTTCTCGAGCAATTGGAAATCATTAGTCATGGCTCGCTGTTTGGCGCGGGAATTGTTCGCCGAGGTTCTCTGACAGGAATTTCCATCTGCTTCTCGCCCCAGATTCCCCACATCCGCTTTGCGGCACACCGTTATCGGGGCCCAGGATTATCTGATCCTTCGATAGCTTCATATCCACATCATCAAATGTGCACCGTCCTGCGCAGTAAAAGACGCCCTGGAAACCGGGGGGTTGAAACCAGGCCTTGGCCAAGCAGGAGAGTCGGGCTAAGAGTGCCCGGCTTATTTTGAGATCGCCGTCGACAAGACTTGCGACAACTTGTTGATCTTGCATAGCTGTTATCCCGCCTGGAAGTCACCGGCGAGCAGCGGGCTGGATTTGTCCTGATACCATTCACAAGCCCTCAGCTGTCTTGCGGCCCTGGGATGGGCGAACGCCATCCACAACCGCAACCACAATTGAGGCAGCGTCTGCTGGCCGATTGAATATAAACTGGAAAGAGACGCCGCGTTTGAATCGGACATTCCTCCACACCCTACACATTATACAGATCAGATCCTGCAGCGGGCGCCCCCCCCCCCCCCCGGGGGCCTCTTCTCTCTTTTCCCCTTCCTCATCAACTTCTGCCATCAGGAACTTCTGCCCTCATCAGCTTCTTCCACACCAGAGACCTGCTACATGGAAACCCCAACACGTTGGACCTGCAGGAAGCCCCTGTTTTCCTTATAACTGCAAGAAGTCGTTCCAATAATCCCAGTCTAACTCGATATTGTCTGTCAATCCGAGGCCGTCAAGGCCGTGAGGATCCGGGATGGTAGGCATATGAACACTTTCCTCATTTCCTTTCTTCCTCTTATCCCAAAGCAACTGAATGAACTGGGGCGTGACCTCGGATTCCCGAACACCTCGAGCACGAACCAGCTCCTTTCTACGCGCCTCCCAAGCCTCCAGAGTCAAGTCACCGAGGGCGACAAAGAAAGCGTCCTCGGCATCGTCGATCAGCTCGGGATGCTCGCTGTAAAGATCCTCGACTAGCTTCCAGGCCAGGGCCACTCGGTCTCCGGAGCACCGCCGCCGCAGGTCGCTGATGACGTAGATGTAGGCGTCTATCTGGAAATTGGAAGTCAAATGGGTGAACAGGTGCGAGGAAAACTTGCTGTGTATGCCCGCATCCACCATCTCTAGCGACATCACGGCCGAGTCGAAGACCATGTCGCTTTCCTCCCGCGTCATATATACCTCGCCACCACCGACGGCCGCTCGTCTGGGATGGTGAACCTTGAACCGCATGCGAGCGACGGCAATTTTCGCCATGGCGTGTGTCACACCATGCAGAGGTACGCGCTTGTCCCAATGACGAAAGTACTTCTCCTGGTAGGTGGCCTCTATCTCATTGATGGCCTCGTCTTGCAGCTCCATCGACACCCTCTTGCCTCTCACATGGCCCTGAATGATGTTCTCGAAGACCTGGGCGGCCGTGGGCGAGGATCGAAGCCAGTTGGAGACTTCGAACTTCATCAAGACGCACAACATCTCGGTCGGACCGTTGTGCTCGATAGGGGGCTCGATCATGTCTGGATGCAATTCCGCGTCGTTGACATTGAGTGGGAGGCGGATGTCACCAACCTCGGATGGTGGCAGCTTCGTCCCCGGGGTGGATACGGCGCGACTTCGAGAGCAGAGTCCACACAACTGCCACCAGAGACGGACGCGCATTTCCCTGTCGAAGAACGAGATCTTGGGGTCGGTATTCTCCCGGTGCAGGCCCATCTTCTGGCCCAGCCTCATGGCGGCGCCGGTCAGGGTGGAAGTTAACTCGGACTCCGGGTCTGCGAGGAGAAACAGGACAAGCCCTTGCAGAACCTCGAGTTCCCTCGTCGTGAGGAAGTCGCTCGCGATAAGGGCCCGGACGGTCGCGGCTCGGTAACGCGTCAAGAGGGTGTCCCTGGTCTCGCCGAAGGAAGCCCGGCAGTCATCCGGGGACATGGAGGTGACAGCTAGAGTGTAGATGGCGAACAAGATGGCCGTCAGGGGCTTTGGTACATTGGCAGGGTCCCAACTTGCATCCAAGATGCGCTGCTGCAGACTCGGTACATGGACGATCTTCGTAAGCGGATTGACACTTTCGACAAAAATTTGCCAGAAGCGGTAGATGTGTCTTGGTTCTGGGTGTAACTCGTGGAGTTCAGGCTGGGTGCTTGGAAAGATGAGCTGAAGCGGCGGTGTAGGATGCAGAAAGGGGTCGTCTTTGTGACGCAGGCTCTGGATGGGAGGATTCTTGAGCTTGTCGGGACAGACAGGTCAGTCTTCAGCAACCAGAGAGAGCCTCGGAACAACAGACCTCTGGGCTCAGATTCGACCATAGACACCTGAAGATACTGTCTGTCAGTTTGTTGCTTGATGAAGGCAATTGCTCTTGCCATGCTGGTCAACTGACTGGTCTACATTTGCCGCAGTGTTCTCCAAGGGGTAAGTCTTCGGCCTGGGACGACTGGTCGCGGAGGTTTCGAGGACTGGACTTTGGGAGCCGGTCTCCTTCAGCTTGACTTCCAGCCCAGACGGGACCCAGGTGTTGGCGCAGTGGGTGAAGTCGATATTGTGCTTCCGCATCAGAGCTTCATACTGAGTTAGTCGGGCGACCAGGTCTTCGTCGGCGGCCCTCTTCCGAGGTCGATGTGGAGCGGGAGCCTCATATAAACACTGAGCCTGGGCCTTGAGGCAGTTGGAACAGGGGTCGCCTTTGTCGCATTTGACCTTGCGGCGAGCACAGAGCGAACAGGCATGCCTCCTGTGCAGCCCCTGGGGCGCCATCATTGGAAGTGGCGTCATGGCGGTAGCGGATACACGCATCAGTGAAGGCTGTCCGAGGTGATCGCCGAGAGTGTTGGGTTTTAAGACTGTGTCTCGGGGATGGCACCGGGGGCACAACGGCGCACTTCGGAGGGCTCGGGTCCAAAAATGGCCTAGCGCAACTCCGTCTCGGAACCCGACCCCGCCGACTAATTACACTCGTTTCTGGCACGTGCGTTGGTCGTGAGCGGATTACCCCTTTTCAAGCTTGATAACAGACTGCCATAAAGCAACTCAAGATGTCCTGGACATGCGACACTAAGCTTGGCAGGCCGATGCTCCAAGCCTGGTTTTGATCTCTCGGACCCGAAATGAGTTGAAGACTGCTGGAGCTCGGTGAGCTAGGAGCCCCAATTAGCCCCTGACTTCCTGCAATAATACAGCAAAGGCGTTTGTTCTCTACTTTCCGACGGCCGATTGCGTCGGCCGAATATCAACATTGTCGAATTGTCTACGACATTTTGAACTGAATGATTTTTCTCCAGTGCTTTGGTCATCCCCTCTCTTCGGTTCCCGGCCTCGATATCTGATTTCCCGACCGAGCAATCCTATTGCATGCTTCAACGCCTCTTGTTTGAGTCGCGAACGTAATCATAATGCCATTCAGGAAAAGCAATCCAACAGAAGCTCTCGCGGCGTCCCTTGAGGGAGCTGAAGCTATGACAGCGCTAGAACCAGTACTAATCGCAGGCGATGCAAAGGAAACAGAGAGTGCGCCTGTGCAGACGTCCGCCACCGAGGATATCGTGTACCCCTCCGGACCGAGGCTTGGCTTGCTTCTCACCTCCGTCTTCATTAGCATGTCCTTGGTCACTCTGGTCAGCATATCCATTCCTCCCAACTTGAGGCCTAGAGGCTGACGGCATAGCAGGACCGCTTGATCATCCCGACGGCTATTCCACAGGTCACGGACGACTTCAACTCCGTCACCGATATTGGCTGGTACGGTTCTGCATATTTCTTGACGAGATGCGCCTCCCAACTGCTATTCGGAAAGCTTTACTCCGTTTACAGCATCAAGGCCACCTTCCTGACCACCCTCTTCGTCCTCGGGGTCAGCTCCGCTGTGTGCGGGGCAGCTCCGAACGCGGTCGCCTTCATTGTCGGCCGAGCCATCGCGGGAGTGGGAGGGGCAGGGATATACGGCGGCGTGGTAAGTCTCGCAGCGGGAAAAATTTGCGACTCGGGCCTTCCCTCCTTGTTTTGGGGGTTCGCCGTGTTCCTAACTAAGAAGCACTCGTTTTGCAATCTCCACCTCCTCTGCGTCCCACAGAGTAAGCCTGCCTTTTTATCACAGTTCTGCAACAGCTTCTGGGGAATATCCTCTCCATTAGCGAGATCAATAGCCCTGCCACCAGCGCACCCTACGATTAGCGCGATCGGACACAGCTCGTACAACCGCCGGAGCTTCGCTCCAGCCGCATCTGTCACAGGGGAAATATAGATGACGTGTCCCTTCACTAGCGAGTGCGCCACGTCTGGCACTAGGCCCCCGCTGTACCGCAGCGTGTACCCCTGCTTGATGAACTGCGCGACTAAGGCGTTGTGCCGCTCGTTATCTGCCGCGGCGCGCAGGTTCGCGGGCGCGAAGTGCCGGACCTTGAAGAGCGGATTCGCGAGCTGGATGCTGCTCCGGACGAGCTCGAAGACAGCCGAGCCCAACCAAGAAGCAGTACGATGCCCCCGCCCGGCCGGGCACCCGCAGCGCAACGACAGCGGTCCGTACACGCCGAGCACAGCAGCAACCAAGCTCCGTGTGGGGACTCGGTGGAGCGCCGAGTTGTCGTCCCAGATGCCGACAATGGTGCCCACAGTCTAGTTGGGCACGATGATGGAGCTACCGTCGGGGGGTTGAAGGCCATGGTGTAGCGCTCTGGGAAGACGACGACACGGCACCGCCGGTGGCGGCAGCGGCGGGCTGCTCCACAGCGTCTTCCTCGCTGCTAGCGGTGCAAACCGAGCGGCATTTGGCCAGTCTAGTACGGATAATGTTCTCCGCCAAAACGTCGACGTCGAGCCGCTCGTCGCCGAAGGTGTGGGCGGTGCCGGCGAGGAAGACGTGCTGCGAGTTGCGCAGGGTCTTGGCTATGTCGGCGATGCAGTTGAGAAGGTTCGGCAGGCCCGAATCGCGCAGAGCCCGCGGCTGTCTCACGGGAGGAGTGATTGGAGATGCCGGAGCAGGTCCGGAGATACGCCGCTTGGGACACTCTCGGCGGCCATGACGGTTAATGACATGTCTCGGTTGTGTACTTAGGTAGGGAGGTTGAGATGCAGTATATCTAATGAGACTTAACCACTGATCTGCGGCCAAGCGAGCGGCCTTCCAATTGCATCCCGTCATCTCGCTCTCGGCTTGACCTTGACGAAGAAGCCAACCGGCCTCAGGTTGAACCATCCATCTTGCTCCAGATTGTAGCTTGGGTCCACCATCTCAAAGTCCACCTCCCTGAGCAGCATCACCAACACCGCCATACTCCACTGCCAGGCGTAGTGCTTCCCAATGCACTCCCTCTTCCCGTTCCCGAACCACTTCTTCACCCCCGCGGGCAGGTTCTCGAACGACCTGGCCATCATCCGCTCTGGCCTGAAGGCAAGTGGCTCCTCGAAGACGGTTGGGTCGCGATTCACCCCCGCGAGAACGATGATGACGGCCTGGTCGTGCGCGATCTGGTACTTCCCGCCGCCCAGCAGCACCGGCTCCTTGCCCCTGCTCGGGATCGGCTCGATGTTGAAGCCCGGCGCCACGAAGGAGAGCCGGAGCGACTCGCGCACGATGCCCTCGACGTAGCTGAGCTGCTGCAGGTGGGCGTGGGTCAGCTCGCCGGCGCCCACTATGGAGTCGATCTCGTCGCGCGCCGCCGTGATGACGTGCGGGTTCTTCAGGAGGAAGTAGATGGCGGTGGCGATCAGGGCGGGCGCGGTGCTGCTGCCGATAGGCATGGTGACGATCTCGTCGATGACCTGCGAGTCGGTCAGGGCCTTGCCGGTCTCGGGATCGCGGGCGTTGACCATGGTAGCGAGCAGGTCTTGACGGTCCGTCGGGTTCGCCTTGCGGTGCTCCACAATGTCGGCCGCGTAGCTCCGCATCGTTTGCGTCGCCGTTTTGAACTTGCCCCCGTACACAAGCCAGTTGAGGAACCCCGGTCGCGTCGGGCGCTTCATGGCTTCCGACGTCGCATCTTCCATTCCCTTCAGCATGGGGTGTGCGGGGCCGCTGAGGCAGTTCAGCTTCTTGCCGAAGAGCGTCAGGGTCGTCGCCTCAAGGTTCAGCCTGTTCAGCTCCCCGACCGCAGACACCACCTTGTTGTCGGCGCCGAGGCCCTTCCATTTCTCGATGAGCTCAATGGCAGTGTCACGTATCTCGCCAAAGTGCCCTGCGAGGGACTGGGGCGTAAGTTTCGGTGCAATAATGCGATGGGCGATGCCCCAGCTCTCTTCGTGGTCGAACGCCGTGAAGAGGGCATCGTGCACGGCAAATCTAATCTCGACGATTGGCCCGCCCACATACTTGCGAAAACGCTTTTCGTCGCATAATTCCTCGGCAAGGGCGGCACCGGCAACGAAGACGACGGTATGGCCGAGGACGTTGATTTGGAATATCTCTCCGTACCTCTCTGACAGCTTCTTCAGTGAGCCCCAGGTATTGCTAGGGTCAACGTCGAAGATGTTGCCCAGAAGGGGTAGGCCGGGAGGTCGAGGAATGGTGAGGGACATGGTGTTTTGGCGATGGCATTCGAGGACAACAAGTGGAGAAGAAAAAGAACAAGGAGAGATCAAGAGACAGACTCCTGCATATGTAAGATCCAACAGCCTGCTCACACCGCAAGACGACACGATAACCCAGCAACCTTGTGAATGGGATCTCCGATGTGGCTTACATTAGCGTTGCGGGCTGCTGACTCTAGGCGTCCGTCCATTCGTTGTCTTTGAGACAACAGCCAGCCACTTCCGAATATTGGTTGGAATAGAGCTTTCCACATCACAAAGATGATCCCCATGGCTTTCCAAGATTTCCAAGAGGGGTGAGGGATCTCCCCTTTAGCGGAACTAGGTCAAATTCAACCACATCAATTCGGCCATCAATTTGGTCCGTCGCGCCACAAGAAGGCCAGAGCGAAGCAACCATGGATCCCTATGATATACGACAACATCTAGCTTGCCCAATGGTATATATTGTAATTTCAAAGAAGAGCTGAAACCTAATGATAATTACACAGTGAATCTAGACTGAGAGGAGATGAGGGAGAAGCCACGCGAGCGCGAGGCCCATCCCAATAAGCTGCGTGCGAAGCACAAGTTTGATACGTCTGATGAACGGAAAACTAGAAGTGACGTAGCACGTCTTGATCCTTCCCGCGAATAGACGTCCCAATGGCAGCATACGAATCTAACCGCTGGTGTCGGCATGCCATGCTTAGATGTTTCTTGCTATACTAGGCTGGATCCTCTCCAGCTTGTCCATCAGTTCTTTCCACAACTTCCGCTGTGTTGCTACTCCCTCCTCGCTCGTGACAAATGGCGAAATCCTGTGGTCGACGTCAGCGCCTGATCACCCAGAGTCTAGATCTCGTCCTCCCAGGGTACCAAGATCATAAACCAGAGAGCACTTACAATTCCGGCCCGGCGGGCTTGCAGTCGCACAGATACTGGCCGTCTGTTTCCCTAGACCCCTTGGCCGCATGTACTAAAGTCCTTGAACCCTCCTCGGCTGTCCCCATGAGTATCGCTTGCGTGGCTTTGACATAGACGGAGAAGAAGCCTTTCGACTCTCGCATTATGTCGGTGACGACAGCGCCGGGGTTGATGGTCGAAGAGATGATACGGCGCGAGTTTGGTGGCTGCGTTAGCCTCTCGGCCAACTCGCGGAAGGCCAGCAGTTACATCAGCTTGGGGACATTGTACCTGTTGCACGGCATCTAAGTAAGCACACATGACACACAACACATATATACACCAGCCAAGCACACGACTTGCCTGTCCACCATTCTCGCCACATCCTCACGCGCCAGCTCCTGGAGGATGTCCTCGGCTCCGAGGCGAACCATGTGCTGCGCCGCCTCGAGGCTTAGCCCCGTGTTGGCGCCCGTGACGAGGACAGTCTAACCCGCGAAGCTTTTGCTGGGCCACTGGGAGCGTGGTGCACAGCTGGGAGCGGAAAAAGTGGCCGACTGGAGGAGGCATTTCTGGCGGTTATTATATAGGAAGGTCTGTACTTGGAGGAATGCAAGAGTTGGCAAAAGGTAGTAATTATGGCTAGATGATCTCTGTGAGCCTCCCTCGATGTTTTTGTGTGTTTCGGGGGTCTTCAAGCCTTTTACACATCATTGCCTTTATTCCTTACCGATGCATACGGAGACGATTGTCCAGGTTCGGCCCATCGCAGTCTTAGCAAAGGTATTTATGATTTATCTTAGCTAAAGTTTGGTAATTAATGGGTGGTCCATGTTCTTTACCCAAGTACCCGACAGACAAGCTGGTTTATGTGTGCATAAGCTAAGTAAGTGGCGACTTCCAGGCCCACTATCAAGCAAGAAATGGCTTTGCCCATTTGCGCACTTGTTCCTTTTGTGGTTTAATGCACCCGTCTCCCACGACCCGACCCATGGTCCGCATTCACACACCATTTTCTATGGCAGAGGTGGCTATACTGGCCCCCGGGGAGCAGTGGAGGCTCGCCATTTTTAGCTACCCAGGTGATATGGTAGCTTAAGACATTGTATCCAAGCCGACCACGATGGCCGAGAGCAGCGGAGAGTTTTTCGGTAGGTCGGCTAGAGGTCCGATGCATGTCCGTTGGTTTTCCACGATGAGACATGGCCCTAGCCCCAGCGCTTCTGCGACAGGGTTTGGAGAAGCCACAGCTTTGGCAAGTATAACCTTGGCTTTATCTCCAATCTGGGCTTTTCCGGCCTTGACTGGAGCGCCCCTTGGCTTTCTTTCTGCAGGCTTGTGCCACAGCTGCCGTAGAAAGTTTGCCTGATAACTAATCAGTTCATGTAAACTAAAACAAGCGCAGGATGCGCTAAGCTCCTCGAACATATCGGCCGGATTACTACCTTGCTTGCAGCTGAGGACAATCGTCTTCTGTCGAGCGTCAAGGTATGTGTCATCGAGAGGTACTCGTTGTGGTTGCCAGTCTGACAACTATAGCGAGGCCGATCTGACCATGTTCTGGCCGATGCCGAATCTTTGCCCTTGCCCTCGCCGCGGAAGTTCAGACGACTCGCCCCAGAAGCTACGACTCCCTCAGTCATTGGCATTGAAGCTCGTGCCCTCCCCGCCCCGGATCCGCCGACGGCTGAGGATAAGCGTTCCTTGTCGGATGCTCTTTCCCGGCATGGCTCGGCCACAGAGCGAGAGCTCGTGGAGCTGGACCCCGACATTGCACGAAGGACGATTGTGAGCGTGTTAGACGGTCGCCCTGCATGGAGATCGAATAATGCAGTCCCTGCTGCAACAAGCAATACGAAGAGATGCTGGAGGGCTGGGCTGGTAGTAAGCGGCCGTGGGTGTCAGCTGGTGACACCTGCCGTGCAGAGAGACGGACCTCTTCGAGCGGCGAAGGGCGAAAGCTCCCGGGCATTTCGTGTCAAACGGCAGTATGTTCATCGATTGGCGGTTCTTGGCTGGAAACCTTGGAGCGATGTCTCGGCTATGGTGCTTGGACGCAAAGGGGTAAGGCAAGAGGTATCGCACCTTTGCGACACTGGAGACTGTTGCCGGCCAGATCATTTGATTGTTGAGGACCACGCTGCTAATGAGCGACGGAAGTATTGCTTGGGGGGGGTTGCATTGCAGGTTTGAACCGCCCTGCCTTAAGTAAGCAGCAGGAAAATCATACTTTGTCTTAACTACCAAATAAACCTTACAATCCCACCGTGATGCTCTTCACATTTGTATAATCCTCAACGCCAAACTTTGAGCCCTCGCGGCCGATCCCACTCTCCTTGATGCCCCCAAACGGTTGTTCACAAGCGCTGATTAGGCCCACACGGACACCAACCATGCCCGTATCCAGCGCTTCAGCCACCCGCCATAGCCTTGAAATATTCTCCGTGTAGAAGTATGATGCGAGGCCACTCTGGAACGTGTTCGCTAGTCTGATTGCCTCCTCCTCGGTGTCAAAAGGTATGAGTGGGGCCACAGGCCCGAACGTCTCCTCGTTGCCGAAGCGCATCGTCTTAGGATCACAGTCCACGAGGATTGTGGGCGGGTAGAGATAGGGACCCAGCTCTTTCCTGATGGCTCCTCCGCTGACCAGCCGCGCCCCCTTTGAAACGGCGTCGTCGACGTGCTGCTGCACCTTGTCAACGCCTTTTTGTGAATAGAGCGGCCCGAAGTTGACTTTGGGGTCCCAGACCGAGCCCAAAACGAACAACTGCTCTTGCGCGGCCTGCAGGAGCCGGGCGACCTCGTCGATGACAGACCGGTGCACAAAGATACGGTTCGCACACACGCACGTCTGGCCCGAGGACCGGAACTTTGAGGAAATCAGGCCTGAAACGCGCAGGGGGATATTAGTTGTCGTTCCACAACCAGGAGTTGTCAACCGCCTGGGCTTACCATTTACAGCCTTCTCGAGGTCAGCATCCTCGAAAATGATAAAAGGCGCATTGCCTCCGAGCTCCATGCTCGTCTTCTTCAGCGTCTTTGCGCACTCGGCATTCAGGTATTTGCCCACGGCCGTAGACCCCGTGAAGCTGAGATGGCGGACGCGGGTGTTATGGCACATCTCCTCGCCAATGGCCGCCGACCCGGGACCGTCGCTAGTGACGACGTTCAGCGTGCCGGCGGGGTAGCCGACGCGCTCAAACAGCTTCGCAATGGCGATGGCACACATGGGCGTCTCAGGCGCCGGCTTCAGCACGACGGTGCAGCCGGCCGCGATCGCGGCCCCGACCTTCCGCAGAGCCATGGCGATGGGGCTGTTCCACGGCGTGATGGCTGCTACTACACCCTGCGGCTCTCTGGTCGTGAAGATGCGGTTGTCCGCCTTGGCCGCCGGTATGGTCTCGCCATACAATCTCTCGGTCTCACCCTGAAACCACTCTAGGAAGCTGAGGCCGTAGTCTACGGTGACGTATGACTCGGTGATTGGCTTGCCCAGCTCCAGAGTGCAGATCGCCGCCAAGTCATCGCGGTTGGCCCTTACGATGTCGGTCCACCTCCGAAGCAACTCCTTCCGCTTGCGATGGGTGAACCGCCGGTAGGTCTCGAACGCGGACTGTGCAGCGTCAATTGCGCCGCGGACTTCGTCTCTAGATACGTTTGCGACGTGAAACGCGACTTGACCATCCTCGGGGTCTGCTTGAGTTACTGCAAATTAGCAACACTGCTGCTTGGTCACTGCGCGGATAATGGGCCAGGATCAGCCCTCAGCTGAGGTTCTAAAACAGACCATAAACCGGAAAGGTTGCGCCTTGTGCGGCTGGCACCCATTTGCCCCCAATGTACGCCCGGCGATCCAGCAGCGAGGCGTCGTTGAACTATGACGAGGGCGTCAACTTGGGCATCAGAGGGTTTGCAACGTATGCATAGGGGGCACTAGGTACTCAACGGTGTATGGAATTTCCTTCAATAGTATATCTATCCCCGAGACTGCAGCCATGATGATGGGAAATCAAGTGAGAGGCTTATCGTGACAGAATTCTGCTGAGAGGCTGGTGCATTCACAGGGCTAGTTTTGGCCGAGTTCTTTCCACTTCAGTTACCCTCTCCCTCTCCATTCGCCCACTATTAAATTAACAACCTGCAAATATAAGATTGAAGCTTGCCACGTACACCCAGCCTCAAAGCCGGGTTCCATGTTGCCGTGAGCGACTGACTTGGTTCGGCAAACACATGGCGGAGCTTGATTCACCCGCCCCACTTGTGCCGATGCACGGCGGCATAGCCGGACTGTCGGGGAAGGTCCACTTTGCGGAAGATGAGTTGCCGAAAGTTCTCTACGACCCACCTAAGTCACAACACCTTTGCCGAAGGAGTTGGGTGAGATGCAGATGTATCCCCGTATGGCCGAAGAAGCGTCTAGTTATGGCAGGTATCTAGCAAAATAAACTAATCGAACGGTGGTCAAGCACCTCTCGCCCGGCTATCGCTCGTGAATCACATGGCGACTTCTCCGTGCTCTCTTTAAGGAGTCGAGTGTGGCACTGGAGCTACTCGTGTTGCTGCTGTTTGGCCCACTCTTCGACCTCGTCGTTCATGTGCAGCCAAACAGATGTACAGTCCAAGTCCTAGAAGCGAAGAATGAGCATCAAGTTGGGTTACTGGGAACGTTTAAGAAACAATATATGATGGAGGGATGACTCACCGTTGTTCTTGGGTCATCGTTGGCCTTCTGAAACGACTTGAGAGCAGTCTCGCCCATTGACGCCTCAATGCCAACCTCCTTGGCCGCATTGATGCCTAGGGTAAGGTCCTTCAACACCATGCGTGCCGGAAACGTTGCCCGGAAGTTGTTACTCGCCGGAGACCGCGCAATGACGCCCGGCACCGAGTTCTTGTTCTCCAGGACCCAGGAATTCCCACTGGAGCTCTTGACGCAGTCGTACAGTCTCATCTTATCCACACCATACCGCAACCCAAACGCCATGCCTTCGGCCAGCGACAGAACGTTGTTGATGGAGATGTAGTTGTTCACGATCTTACCGACCAAGCCCGAGCCTAGCGGGCCGCAGAAATTAACCCGTTCGGGCAGGCCCATGTTGGAGACGACATCCTTGATGCGCCTCGCTACGGGATCCGTCTCTGCCGGGCCGGGATGGCCAACGAGGAAGGCGACGGTGGCCTCCTCGGCGCCTCTAGCACCACCTGAGACGGGAGCGTCGACGTAGATACCCAGCCCGGCCTCCATGACCTGCTTGCCGATCTCTTGGGTGGCCTTGATATCGATGGTGCTGCATTCTAGCATAAGCCGGTCAGGGTCTTGGGGCGCCGCAATGACCCCGGAATGCGGATCCAGAAAGACCTGGCGGACATTTTCGCTCGTTGGGACAATGGTCAGCAGCGTCGAACACTTGCTGGCAACTTCCTTGGAAGATCTGGCAATCTCGATCTTCCCAAACCTGCTGCAGTTGTCGGAGAAGCGCCGACAGGCATCCTCAACGACGTCGTAAATGTGCAGTGTGGCAGTCGGAGGCATCTTTTTGCGGAGGTTGACGGCCATGCGGTATCCCATGTTCCCGAGACCTGCATTTCACCTTAGCTCGGAAAGCACACGACATTTCGTCCCAGGGAGGCGAGAGAACAAACCTATGAACCCGATATCTGACGCCATCGCGAGGAGGTAAGAAGTGAATTGAGTGAATAATAGGAGTTGTTGTGCAAGATTTAGGGATTCGTGATCGATCTTCGTTCTCCGTCGTGATCTTTTTGGGGCTGACTCGCTCTGGTCTGATCTCGGAGCGAGGTTGAAGGTTCATCAAAATACTAGTCTCCTTTTACACAATAGCATTTATAGCGTCAACCTGTAGGTACTGGGCACATAATTATCTCCATAATTATCTCTTATTCACTAGCAAATCATACTGCATCGCGGCTTCTCAGTGGCCTGAGACTGCCGTTGCCGAACCTTTCATAGATTTCGGCTGTGTGGCAGGTGCGGGGACCGTCAACTGACCCTAGACGTTATGTGCCTGTGCCGAGGGCTTTGAGCCGCCTGCCGGACCTGAGTTGGGTCGGTTGAGAAGGCATATTGACGTGGGCTGCCAAAGAGGTTGAGGCGCAATGCCTCTTTCGATCGTTTTCATGGTCAGCGCCGCTTCAAGCGAAGCCTTCTGAATATCCTCACTCATGCCGGATTCTTCCTTCCCAAGCTCTTCAAACCGGTCCAGCCAAAAGCACCACCGTCGAAGGCACATAGTGGGTGGTCCATGGGACTGGTACAACAGGCCTCCTTCAACGTAGTTTGCCTCATCCTCCTCTTTGACATCCATGTAGCTAATGTTATCCTGCGCCCACCGTAGAAGAGGCTTACCAGCATAAGAGACCCATGCACAGGCAACCTGTATTCTACATTCTGTTATACCCATCTCCATGCTCAGTTCCTCCTCAAGCGCTGATCGCAGAGCATACATTGCCTGGTAGTAGGGACTCACTATACCTGCACCAAGGCATCGAACCCCAAAGGTATTCAGGTTTTGCCATATCTGTGCAGACTTTGGAGTAACCGTTTCTGTTGCTAAAAACGGGTCTTTACCAGATAAGTTGGATGCAACTATTTTGAAAATAGCTTAGGAACATACCATTAAGTACACTTCTATACACACAGAAAGTAGAGGCAAATCTCTCCATACACGGTATTTGTTCTAAAGGTTAAGATTATTAGCAAATGGTGGGCGATTGAAGGGGTTATGACCAATTGTCAGCAATTGTCAACCGTACAGCGTGCTGCCCCCCCCCCCCCCCCCCCCGGCGGGGGGGGGGGGGGGGGGGGGGGGGGGGGGGGGGGGGGGATGGGTGGGAGGGAGTGGATGGAGGAGATGAGAATGAGGGGGAGGGGAGGAAGGACCGAGATTGCGCGATCTGTGGGATGTGGGCGATCTTGGGACTGTAG